ACCCTAACCCTAACCCTAACCTTCGGCTTTAGCGCATTGCTTGTGCGACATAGAGCCTAATCACAGACAACCACGACCCTGGCCTTAGATCACATGGTGGGCTGATTTCCTTAACGCTGCACTTTTACTTCCATCATAAGCTTATTAGCGCTACATTCGATCACCTGTATCCTTGTTAAATGCTGCGTTTAGTCCCCCCTAATTGGGCGCGAGTCCCCATGTCCTTGCGCGGTAGCGACGGTGTGTTTAGTTTGTTTAGTTTCAACGCTCGCATGAGGAATGTTAGGTTTACAATTACTCTGATATGCTATGAATTAACTTCGACTCTCATTTAAGCACATTATTGACGTCCTTTCCACGGACCTCCTCTAATCTCTCCGCATTGGCATAATCTACAACAATCCACATTTACGGTAGATCTACGTATCTAAGTTCGGGCCATCTCATCGGCGATTATAGTAATTATATTCTAAACCGCATCCTACTCTATCTTACATTTCATACATGTCTCATTTCAGCTCGCCTCTTAACCCCAAATACTGCAGATCCGTTGCCTTATTTGTAGATCTGGGTTATCACGGAATAAAACTGCGGGTTTGAGCTACGACACTCATCTCATGAAACATTAGGACTACTAGGTTCCTTATGCCTCTTAAGAATGCTAATATTTTTACTTCTAGCATAATTGCCATCTAGATTAAAAATGTTAGACCTATATCTTTAATCCTATATTTAATAGATAATGTATTAATATAAGTAACTTAGGGTATTGGCCTACCTTTAATGAGGGCGTGGCGTTGATCCTACAATTTTCCCGTCACCAAGATGTGTTTAGGTGATTCATGTCGGGGTACATACGTCCATTTTCCAGATATCTCTCCACCTCATGAATCAAATCGATTTTAACTCGGACATATAATAGAACAGGGCATAATGATCATATTATCGACCTCAAAATCGGTTACTCTCTTAATGCGGGAGCATGGCGTGAATCCTACGATTGGCTTCCCATACAAATCGATTTGAACGAGGTATCCCACACCAGTACATGAGCCTCATTCTACGAATATCTCGTCACTACGTAGGCCAAAATCACTCAAACTCGGACGTACGATAGAACAGGGCACAATGATTCCTTTTCCGGCCCCAAAATCTGTTGGTATCATAGATTGAGTACCTGGCGTTGATCCTACGTTTGGCTTTCCACACAAATGCGTTTGAAAGATACCCCACCACAAACCTCACCCGCAAGCACCTCCCCACCCCGCCGACCAAACTCCCTCAAACCTAACGCCCACAATTGATGTTGACACCGGTGATATGCTCAGTAAGACCTATTCTACGTCCATCACCAGCACAAAATACGCGTCGACGGTGGGAAGAACTCATGGCAACAAACGTGAATTCAGGCTTCACCATACGATATCTACAACCTCGCTACCTCCCCTCCCATCCTCCATCCACTCTCCTCCGCAATCATCTCCGCACACCTCTCCCCAATCGCCAGCACCGTCAACATCGGGTTGATGCTCACCATCGAGGGAAACACGCCTGCATCCGCAATCCTAACCCCCTTCAGTCCCCGCACCCTCAGCTTCTCATCCACAACCGCCTTCTCATCGGTCTTCACATCCCCCATCTTCGTCGTTCCAACCGGATGATACACGGTATGCGCGACCCTCCTCCCATACTCGCTCAGATCCTCATCCGACTGCACGTTCGGCCCCGGCGCGACCTCCCTCTTGATCCACGACTTGAACGGCTCCTGCTGTGCAATCTTCCGCGCAGCCTTCAGCCCGAAGACAATCGTCGCAGCATCATACCCCTCCGGATCAGTAAAGTATCGGAAATCAAGCGCTGGCTTGACATTCGGGTCGGCCGACGTCAGATATAGCTTCCCTCGACTCCTCGGGCGCATCGTGTTCGGCGTCATGCAAAAGGCAGCATCCGGGCTGTCATATCCAAGACGAGCCGTGTTCACACAAAACGGAATCTGGTAGCAGTGCATCATCGTATCCGCGATATTCCCATCCGGAATCCCCCCCTCCGTCGCAGCATTCGGCTTCTCACGACGAAGAAAGATGCCAGCATCCGAGTCCATGGTCGTTTGGTTTTGGGGAACCGGCCTGTTGAGTTCCCAGATGATGATCGACTCGTGGTGATCCTGCAGATTCTCTCCAACGCCTGGAATATCCTTAACGACAGGAATCTTCAGCTCCGACAGATCCTTGGCCGGTCCAATCCCAGAAAGCAGCAACAACCTCGCCGTATCGACGGCCCCTCCACACAAAATCGTCTCCGTCTTCGCCTTCAACACAAGACGCTCCCCCGACTGAAGTGCTAGGTTCACACCCGTCACCTTATCCCCGGTAACGTTAACCTTACCAACCCACGCATTCGTCAGAATCGCCAAGTTCGGCCTCTTCTCCTTCCCGCTCAGAATCGGATGAATATATGCGACACTCGCACTACTTCGTCGTCCGTCATCTGGGTTGTAGGCCACCGAAAAGAACCCCACACTCCCATCCAACGCACTCTCATCCGTGATCTTCCTGTTGAAATCATGCACAACCGGAATGTCCATCGCGCTGGAACACGAGTTCACCCAATCCTTGCACAGTTGGTTCCTGTGACGGTTGTGCACTGGCTGGATGCTGTTCCTCAGCTTGTCAATCAGACGCATAAACGTCTCAAACGACCAACCTTTGGCGCCCTGAGACTCCCAGATCTTGGCGTCATACTCAAACGGCCGGAAGGAGATCAGCGTGTTATGGCTCGAACACCCCCCCAAAACCTTTGCACGTGAGTGACGAATGTGCGAGTTGCCCATTGGTTGTTCGGTGGTGGGATAGTCATAGTCGAGATCCCCACCAAGCAGCTTCAGCCAGTCTTTCAATAGGAGCACGCGATCATCCATATAGTCACTAGGCCCGGCCTCAATGAGAAGGGTCTTCTTGTGAGGGAGGTACTCTGCTAGCCGGCTAGCAATCACGCAGCCGGCCGTCCCTCCACCCACAATGATATAATCGAAGCTGTCCACATCGGACTGAGCGAGGTGTGTTGTCGTCGACATGTTGAGTGTCTTGAAGTTTAGAGAGGGTACTACCGTGCGGGATATATATACGGCGGGGGATAATCACTTGACAAATCAGTTACGTTTAATTAACGAGCTAAGGTGAAAATGAAAGACTGGGGCAAGGGGGAGTATATTAAAGATGGCGCCATAACGCCATGCATAAAGGGAAGTTGAGACATCTTTCACGGCTACATATAAGACAGCCGCCACTGTACACTCCAGCCCTTTCCACCGCTCAATTCGCCCACCGCCGCCTGCCGTTGAAGTGAAAAACCATCTCTCAAACTTTTATAGTGGGTATCGAAGACGACGTCGGTGGCTTGACTACTGCACGCCAAGATCGACGGTGCCTGTCGTGTGCGACGCTAACCCGCACCAGTCAGTAGCTTCGGCACACGGATTTCCCTACGTCACACGATCTCAAGAACTTCAATCAACACATCAACAAGATGGGCGGTCAATATGCTCCCCGGCAGCTCTACTACAACGGCTCTGTCCAGAAGGCGACATCCTCAAAGACTTTCCAATCAATAGATCCTTCGACGGGAACTCCACTTGCGGAAATCCACGTCGCATCCAACAGAGATGTAGACGCCGCCATCTCTTCGGCGACGGACGCGTTCAAGACATGGTCCACAACGCCGGCCATCGCCCGCGCGCGCATCCTCCTAAAAGCCGTCCAGATCCTCCGCAATCGCAATGACGAGATAGCAAAGGTCGAGACACAGGACACCGGCAAGCCGTTCTCCGAAACGAGCACGGTCGATGTGATGACTGGCGCAGATGTAGCCGAATACTTCGCCAATCTTGTCGGGGGAGGCGGACTAAACGGGGAGACAGCCCAACTGCGCGAAGACGCATGGGTATACAGCAAGAAAGAGCCACTCGGCGTCTGTGCAGGCATCGGAGCCTGGAACTACCCCATTCAGATCGCGTTATGGAAATCTGCGCCGTGCCTCGCTGCGGGCAACACAATGATCTACAAACCCAGCGAGTTCACTCCCATGCACGGGCAGATTCTCGCCGAAGTATACACCGAAGCCGGCGTCCCAGCGGGCGTCTTCAACATTGTCAACGGCGCGGGCGACGTGGGCGGCTATCTCACATCCCACCCAGGCATCGCCAAAGTCTCCTTCACCGGCCAGGTCTCGACCGGCAAAAAGGTCGCCGGTGCGGCTGCTGGGAATATGAAATACATCACGATGGAGCTCGGCGGAAAGAGTCCACTCATCGTCCTGCCGGACAGCGACCTAGAAAACGCCGTTGACGGCGCCATGATGGCCAACTTTTTCAGCACGGGTCAGGTATGCACCAACGGCACGCGGGTTTTCGTGCACGAGAGCATGAAGAGCGCTTTTGAGAAGCGCCTCGTCGAGAAGATGCAGTATATCCGCGCAGGCGATCTCTGGGATATGAACACAAACTATGGGCCTCTCGTATCAGGCGTACACCGCGAGAAGGTGTTGGGCTACATCAAACACGGCATCGAGGTCGACAGGGCGACGCTGCTTTATGGAGGACTTGGGCAGCCGTCAGTGCCACAAGGCTTGGAGAAGGGCTTCTGGGTCAAGCCGACAGTCTTTACGGATTGCACCGACTCGATGAAAATTATCAAGGAGGAAATCTTCGGGCCGGTGCTGTGTATCCTGACATTCTCTACCGTGGACGAGGTCATCCGGCGAGCCAACGACACCCCGTTGGGTCTCGCAGCAGGCGTCTTCACCAAAGATCTAAACCTGGCGCACAAGGTGATCGGCAAGCTAGAGGCAGGCATCACATGGGTCAATACATGGGGAGAGAGCCCGGCAGAGATGAGCGTGGGTGGATGGAAGCAGAGCGGTATGGGTGTAGAGAATGGCCGACGAGGAATCGAGGCGTGGGTGAGGAACAAGAGCACTTTGGTAGATATGAGTGGTGCCAGTGTGACAGTTTACTCCAAGTTATAGCGGAAAATCCAGTTTATTGTATAATCTTTCAATGTCTTCGTAACGAAGGCGCGCATGGCAGTTGAAAGATACTCGACGAATATCATCGGTGGCAACAAAGACAGTGTTCTTGGCTGCCATATGTGCGTGAGTTGAAGGTAGCCGATTCTCTCCTGAGATCTGTATGACATCGTCTACCGAAACAGCAGGATGTACTATCGAAGCTATGGAACCTTATATAGTATGGTGATGCCATTCATTCCCTAGCCCCGCTTCACAGCCACTCAAACATAGGTTCCATCTTAGCATCGTTTCAAGCATCCACGGTCCTGTACTTCAAAGTTCTGAGATACAAGACCATATCCCCAAAGTCCGTCTTTAACACCTATAGTGCAGTCCGATTTGCCATTTCGAGCAACGTCGTTGAATAAAGTCGCAACTGCACCGAATTCGTTAGGGGTATAGCATGTTGATGGAATCTTATATAGTTGCGGTTCAAAATACATATAGACGTCGTCGCATTGCACACACGCCCAGTTGTCTGCGGCGACACAAAATCCCGCCGGCGTGCTCGCCCATAGTTTTGAAAACGCAGAATGGATCTTTAGGAACCCACCCCAGCCTGGTCCGCCACCACTCGAGGAACAGTAAGCTTTATACTGTTGCCACGGGTCTGGGCTATATATTGATTAGCTACCACTTTTCCCATGCGAAACTAGGTGGTAATACGTACTTGGAAACTTGTGGAGTAGCGACCGCAGCTGCGTTTGCAGCGGCAAAGAGCCCTACAGAGGCAAGCGTGAGACGCATGTTGGATATATAGTTGATTGGAAATGTCAGGGGCGGAAAACCTTTGGCAATACCATTTAAAGAGAAAGAATAACGACAAAACGTGGGATAAGAAGTTATATCTATTCCGGCAAAGGTCGCCTGGTTAAATAGCTTGAGGGTCGGTCCACCTTTCACGAATCAACAAAGCCAAGAAGTCGGGATCGCACTGCTCTTTACATTTTCTTTACCAATCTCCTTTTCGGGGGGTGCGACCGACGGAGGCCTCCCCTAATGGAAGTTAGCTACTGTTGGTTTTGTTGGATATTTCCATTATCCCAGCCAATCCGAAGCTGGATAGCATGCGGACAGCATGGGTATGACTGGGGGCTGTCGGATATATTGCGGCGTTTACTTACCTGTCAGTTATGCTCGCGATCCCCGTGGCCGAGCGTGGTGGGGCGACCTCGGCGCGTACCTGCCCGGGAACCCAAATGTCATGGACAGCCTATGCTAAGACAGATGTGGAAAATCCTACGAAGAGAAGCTATTACGTCTGCGTGGTCAAATCGGTAGCGACGCTGCACAATGTTTGAATTAATGAATGGCTCCAGCGCCTGTACAGTATCTACATCCAAAACGCCATCCATGCCCGCTCAAAAGCTAAACAACCCCGACCTTCGCTTCCCAAATGGATACACAATCAACGCACTCAGGAACAGCCCAACCGTAATCCCAATCGCAACCTGTATCATCGAGTATCCAACATTAAACACGATCGAGTTGAGCTCCGTCTTTTCCTGTCCGACCTGAGGATAGTTAGCAATGTCACACACAACCCCGTTTCTCCTCCAAGTAACCATTAAATGACGACAAATCGGGGGTAAATGGTAGATATAAAAAGTCAAAGAAGCTCAGGAAACAAACGAGAGCGCTGCCAGTACCAATCAAGAACGAAATAGTAGTCTTCCCGCCACCGTCTCCATTCGCGGCTCTATAATCAGCGGGGAGAAGCTGCAAAAATTTGCTTACAGGGATCGTCTTATTCGTCGTGTTCGTGATGCCGTCCGCGCTGGTAAGTCCTGCCAGAAGACTGCCGCTCGCTGCAAGACCCGAGGGGACCTGTACGAATATCGCCGGCAGTAATGCGGCTGCGGCGACTCCATGGCGAAGTCGACTGTACAAATTTCCCATCACTCCAATAACCAATGCTCCCAGGGTCTGTGACAACTGTGCATTCGATGCAAAACGCTTCGACGTGAAGAAGTTGACCACATAGCCGCTGCATGATATGAGAAGCATCACGGGAGTCTGCTTCCACTTGGCCTGGTTGATGATACACAAGCACATCGTAAATAGAGGTACAAATGCAAAGCGGGCGTATTGATTCATCGGCCTGGCGCAGGATGTTGCCGACGTGGCGTTGCTGTCCATCAGTCCATACATGGCCGTCCCAATGGTGATGCCGAATCCAAGGAAGAGCGAGTATATGACGGCGTAGACCATGCGAACAGAGCCAGCCACTATCGACTTTGACTGAAGTTCAAGCGATCCACATAGAATGATATATCCCGGAAGGATCAACGCAATCGACGACTGGGCCAGCGCCGAAAAGCAAAACAGCCGTCCCCCATTATATGGGATGCTTCCAAACCCACGTGCCAGAAACGAGGTGACGACTGCTGCACTGATTTCGAACACATTCGCATACAGATCTGACTTTGGCGCGACGATGAGCTGGAGAAATCCGAGCACGCACCCCAGGATGAAGGAGATGGGTAGGTCGATGAAGTTGGCTTCGAACGCAAACGGGCCAACGCAGACACTCGCCAGGCCATACACGAACACCAGTAACCACCTGTTGTGCTTGGGCTTCTCGCGGATGATGGAATCCAGCCTATGCGTTGCCTCCTCGACTCCAATCACGTCATGGACGACCTCTTTGTAAATCTCGTGGACGTCCTTCAGCTTTCCCAGATTCACCCCTTGGTGGGTGCGGACAAGCTTGACCTCGGTTGTGTGCGTCGACGCATCATCAAACGAAACAAGCATGCACCCAGGAATATACAGAAACTGGCCATCCAGCTCCAACACTCTCGCAGTCATTCTCATATACTCCTCCAGTCGATGTGTCGGCGCGCCGTACGCCATCAACGCCCGACAGAGCCTGACGAGGTATTTCTGCCTTTGCAACGTTTCGGCGATGTGAACGGTAATCTTGATCTCGTCTTCCAGCCGCGGCCTGCTGATTCTGTGAAAGGCCTGCGTGAATCCCCCACTATGTGTCCGACCATGCATCGGAGGGCGCTTGCTGCTTTGCCCAGTCGGGGTATTCCCACCATAAGCTGCCAGCTTCGAAGACGCTTCCACGAGTCCAGCCAGCGTCTCGCGGGATTGGTTCTTCTGATTGTACCACTTTGCATTCTTCTGCTTCGGGGTCGTAGCGCCCGACGACCCAGGCGTCGAGAAACCACTTCGAGCACCATACGACCCGGTGCTGCTCGTCCTTTGTTTGTTCGCTGCTCCGTCCTGCGGATTGTATAGCTTCAACAACGAAGAGAGAACTCCGTTCCGGTACTGGTCCGGACGTGCCACATAATCCTCCGTATAATCCTGCTCGTGAGTTGGCGTCAACTGGCCAGACTCCAACGCTGTCGAGTCGGTGCTTAACACTCTCACGTGGCCAGACGTCGGCCTTCCAGTAAGCGTCCGCACGAGTTTGTGTGCCTCGGAAGTGCTGGCGTTTGCCCTCCTCTCCTTGGATTCTTCGTCCTCGTCTTCGTCACTGTCCAACCCCCCATCGTTATACCCATATTTGTCCATGTCCATCAACGGAATGTCGTCTTGCTTGCCTTTTCTGGGTAGGGGAGATGGGGGATAGGATCGGAACCCTTCCGCGGAGAGGCTTCTTGATGACGAGGCGGAGTGGCCAACGAGCGAGGCAACTCTTTTCGCCCTCTCTTGAGCAGCTTTGGCCGAAAACGCCTTCTCCGAGGTCGGTTCCGTATATCCATCATCGGCTATCATCATATCTTCTGTAAATGACGAGGCCGAGTTATTTCTCAGAACCGAGGGCCTTGGCTTCCTCGGGGCCGGGGAAACCACCTCGACGGCGGAGGCGTCCGAGAACGGATTCTCATTGTCAGCAACACGCTTCTTCGGCACTTCAATATCCTTTCCCGTGCTTCTCGAGCTTTTTCGTGTATGTGCAGGGAGTTGCAATCTCGTATCGTCTATCGCTGAGTCTCGCAACGGAAATATTACCCGCGAGTTTCTCAAATCATTAACCTCGCTCTTGCTGTTGAATCGCACGCGGCCGCGCCTGGCATGCACCTCTGGGACTTCGCCAGCAGAATGGGGTCTCTCAATCGGGTCGGCTTCAGGCAGGACTGGCTCGCTGGGGCTTGCCTCCGTAAGACTCAGTCGGTGAGGTCGGTTCTGACTTCCTTCGCCTGCAGATGCGGGTTCGCCCGACATGTCCGTGGCAGACTGAGTATATGGTCAATTGGTTTTCGGGGAATAATAATCAGGTATTGCCGGCGTGGCGGCGAGGTGTTCGAGAGTCAGATAAGGATGTCGGTCGTGGGATGAATCATGGGAGGGACAGTGGCAAGTGCAGAGCCATATCAATAAGTAATAAGAAACAACAATTGAGAACCAGAATAGCAATATACAAAAAAGCGAATGGGTTGGTTGTAATCAGTATAGACAGAAAAGATGCATTTGCTGTGAGTGGGTGATCGAAGTATGTACGTAGGGGAAATATATGGGTGATTTGTATGTACAGATGGGAAAGTTTGAAGGGCGGAAGGAAGGAAGGAATGACGGGTTATCAGGGAAGACGCGGCATATCGAGCAAGGTCACTAGGAGTGGGGAGGAGGGGTTCTAACAGCGGGTCTAAAAATCCCGAATAGCTCCCAAAGTTGGCGCGTAAAAGCTGAAGAACCGGAAAAAGCGGATTTTGCACAGATATAGATAGCTCATATCTATGGCAATTGCGAAAGCTCAAGAAAATTGGAGATAAAAATGGAGAATAAAACACTGTCGCAACACGAGCTAGCCAAAAATCCGCCGCTGGCGATGCCCGATTTAGCCTATCCGCCACCCAACACTGGGACCTAGAACCCAACGAAGGGCGGCCAGACCGTCGGCGGGGAGCGCACTGCTGCACAGCCCGAGCCTATGAAAATGACACGATTAATATCATCTCGATCTTAATAAATTCTGATGCCATCAGATTTAAAGGGGGGATAAATAAAATAAACTGACGGAGCCTGACGGCGACTGGCGAAGAAATCTCCTTCCCAAGACAGCTGTGACGTCACATAGAGGGGTTGGCGGTTCCAAAATCTCATCATAAACAAAGACATGATCTACACACGGAAAAGAAATCCGCGGCAAAAGACAGCTACGGGCCGAAACCAACGCTAACTGATGCAGCTTCGAAATGCACGGCTATCTTATGTTTCATGTTTCAGCACTGCGGAGTTTGCATTTGTATTTATTCTTGCATTGGCCAACTATCTTGGCTATCCTATCTGCTCCGGAGGTCCCTCCTCTACCTGCACAGGCATTCCAGCCAAGGCAAGCAAACCGAGTACAGACGGCACAGGGACATGCATGCATCTCTCATCAGAGATCGACATACACCCCCCCGTAAACCCCACCCCTCTCTACACACCCCCACGTCCCCCCAAAAGCTCAAATAGCTTCCACCCAAAATATACTCCAGCCAACCGTACAAGCTTATAAATAATGAAGAAAGGCAATCCCATCAGGAGCCTCGGGTAAACGTCCAGGCAAGAATCCAATCCACCTGTACTAAAACGGAAAACCCTCGAGTGCAAAAGCCGTCGCGATTTGCGTATAACTGTAAGGAATGTGTCGTGACAATCGAGGAGAGTCATTAAAAATGGAAAATAGCGACCCGGGCGTGTTACTGCCTTGGTAATAATTCGTATTCGGCGTCAAAAAAGTTCGATGGCGGAGGGTATCCGCATTGAATGCAATATCAAATTGTCATCTAAAAATCGACCCATCCGGTGCACCCGCGGATCTACCACGTGTGCTCCAAATGGGCGAACTCGGCCGTCTAAAAGACGGAGCTCTTGCGCTTCTCAACAGAGCTGAGAACCAGCATGGGGGCCTTGAGCCGCGCCTGCTCAGCCTCGGGCTTCTTGCCACCATGCTTGAAGGCAGCGGCAAAGCTGCAGATGGCGGGACCCTCGTCACCGCTGGTGCCTGCCGTGGTCGGCGTTGTGTCGACAGAATTGTTGTCGACCGAGTGGTTCTTCTGTCGCGATGAAGGCCTGTCAGAGCCAATGGCGCCGTGGATCGAGGTGCGGAGACTGCCCAAGCTTGGTCGTCCAGATAGGCTTCCGCTGCCGCTCCTGCCGCTATCAGACTCCTCGCCCGACGATGTCGCAAACGTGAGCTCGCCCGTCTCACTGATGGGACTGATGCTGCCGGCAGAACCAGATCCCGGACCACGGCGACGCTCCAACCCAGCGCGAACCAGGTTGTGAACTGCATTGCGGCGTTGGCGGGTGGCAAAGTTCTTGCTGCCTTCAAACTTGGAGGTGGGCTTAGCGCGCAGCTCATCCAGAGATGGCGGTCCGCGTGGCTGACGGATGGGGTGCTCGCCAGCTCGTCCCTGTCCAGGACCAAAGGTTCCGGTCATCGGAGTCGGAGCATAGCCTGCAGTCTTGGGGACCGAAGTCCTCGCCCCGCTGTCAACATTCACGGCCGTGGAGACGGTGAGAACATTGGCCAGGCTGGACGACTTCTTGTGTCCGCGGCGGAAAGCGTTGGCCGATGGTGGAGGGAGCGGTGTATGATCCTGAGGAGGCGAGGCGCTCTTCTTTGGGGGCGAGATGCTGCGAGTGATGCCGTTGTTGCTCGGCGGCGACACCTGGAAGCGAGGAGTGCCAGGCTGCTGCGGTGGCGATCCCGAATCCGTGTAGATGTCGTGGCTATCAGCGTATGCCTGCTGTGCACCCTGGTCGATGTAGTATGTCTGCTGGCCAGTCATGGGATTGTAGACCGAATACAGGCCGGGCTGTCCTCCTGGCACAGGAGTGATGATGGGCTGTCCATTCTGCTTTGCCTGCTGCTGGTACATGCCCGCACCTGGGGTGACTGGTGGTGTGGCAAACTGTTGCGGCATCTGGCGGCCCATGTGACCCAGGCTCATGCCCTGGAACTGCTGAGCAGCAGCCTGGACGTTGATGAGCTGCTGCTGTAGCCGTTGCTGTTGCTCGGCCAGATACATGTTTGTGGCAACCAACTGGGCATACAGATTCGGATCCATCTGCTCTTGACCATGCTCATCGATGTGAATCTCCGGAGGAGCCAGGACTTGCTCAGGGAGTGCATACATCTGGCGGTTGTAGCTAGGCTGCTGTTGCTGCTGCTGCGTGCTGAACGAAGAACCGATGGATGTCTTGGGCGCGCCATACCCAGAGCGAGAGTTGTTCTTGCTTTCCGCGTACATGCTGTTGTCGAGGCCCTGGTGCTGCAGTTGGGTCGGGGGTGCCGAAGGAGGGAAATGGGCTCCAGTGGTCGTCTTCGGGGCCGTCCTCAAACCCGCAAGCAGGTGAGAGCGGCTGGTGCGAGGAGTCGGGGCGCCATTGTTGGCCGGGTCGGAGGCTGCCGTGGGCTCGAACGAGAGGCGCTTGATGTGGGCTCCCTTCCCTCTGGAAGCGAAGCCAGAGCCGGGAACCCCGATGGTTTGGAAGTTGTTGTAGGACATTTGAGCTAGACCGCCAGCGTCCATACTCAATGTTGTTTTATGGAGGTAATGTACAGTGTTTTGTTTTGTTGTATCTTTCAAAGTGAAGTGAGGAGAGTGCGAAGGTAACGCGTGCTCCGAAGTTGAATTAGAGAAATTAGGCGTGAGTTCAGGCTCAAGTCAATATGCAAGACTGCTGAGAATTATCGCAATAGTGTGAATGCGCGCAAGAAGTGTGAATTGTCGAGTCCAAGTGAATCTCAGATGTTAATCTGTGGAAGGCGAAAAGTGAATATAGCGTGTGAATTTCCAAGTTGGGTCGGTAAAAGAGACACCAAACGGCGAACGAAGAAGAAAATGCTGCGACAAATTATGTGCTGATTGCTATGTGTATTAGAGAGCCGTCGATTCGAGGGCGAAGTTGAACAGAGTTGAATAGTCAGTATCGAATGAATGGCGCTGTGTGGTGGATGTATAAGATGTTTGTTTCTTGCAGCCGACGGGCGACACAACGAAAGATCACAAAGGACAGCGAGGAAGAAAAGCGTCTCTCAAAGAGCAGGAATGAGGTCGAGCACTCGAGTCGCGCCGGTCGATGAATGAAGGTCGGGAGTTTCGATGGAAGCTGGTGGTGTCTCAGTCGCGATGCGGAATGCGAATGCCCACGAGAATCTGTCTCTAGCGGGACTCTCTACAATTTTTGTCGAACGGGATTTTGTATTTCGGCCTCAAGCGACTAGCTCAGGAAAGAAGGTAGCTGGCTGTAGAAGTTGAGGACAGATGAGAGCGACGAAGTTTTTGTTTTTACTTTCTCGAATCTGAATGGGCCTATAGAAAACTCGACGACGACGAGAGGAAGGGCGACGCAATGGGAAGGGGAAGAGACGAGAGGGAGGAGAGAGCTGAAGAAGAGAGAGAAGGAAGGTGGAAAGTGTGGCTGTATTAGTGAGAAGAGGGAAGAGAAAGATGAGTGAGGAGGATGTGTGTGGAGTCGATGGGTGCGAAATGGGAATTGGGACAGTCTACTGACGGGAGAGAGAAGGGTAAGAAGGTTAGGGGGAGGGGGGGTGTGTTTAGAGTATACACAGTACAGTATACACAGTATACACAACTTTGACAACTTCCCTGTAGAGTGTTGTACGTACTTTCATACTAAGGCCCAAAGGGTTGAGAAGAGGGGGGGGGGGGGTGGGAGTAGGGTGGAAGTATTGGTATTGGCTCGTTCAGGGTTTCTGGGGGGTGGGTGGCGAGATTAGTTTGTGGCAGGAGGAATCGAGAGGGGTGGACGGTGATTGGTCGAAGCACGAGATCCCGTGAGAGGCAGAGGATGGGAGAGGACCGGAGAGGAGGTGCAGCACTCTATTTCTAGCTATTTCAAGTAAGCGAGAGAAGCGAGGCGGGAAGGCGGTGAGCGAGGGAGGGATGGATGTGTGTGTGTGTGTGTGTGGAGGTGTGCAGAGATGGATGTGTGTGTGTAGAGGTGTGGAGAGGTGTGCAGATATACATCTGCACCCTCTTTGCATTGCAGGTTGCATTAGGTAGTGGTGGTTGTAGGGGTGGTCGTAGGCTTACTCTACGGAGTTGTAGTGGTCGTAAGTGAATGATAGCATACGACAGTCTGAGTTAGGGTTCCCCTAAGAACGGAGAGTTTGTTGTTGTTGCTGTCGGAATACCCGAACATTGTAGTGTGTGCAAATATCAAATACGGAACACGGGCAATCGCATTCCTCATCAAGCTTCTCCCGTCTCCCATGGCGAAATTAGCATCTCCCAGCCCTACCACTACCACAACAGTACCGTGTCTGTAGTTTCTCAACCGTGTCTTGAACATTACCATACCAGAGTGCCATCTATTACCACAGTACCATCTATGACCACAGCACCATATCACAGTACCATAGTCGAGTGCCATACCATACCATATCTATTCCATATCCATTCCATATCCATTCCATTTCCATACCATCAATATCCAACCATATCCCATACCAGGGAACAACCATACCCCTCTGTACACACATACACACATACACACATGAACATACAATTTTATCCCTCTCTAACACCACACCCTCCATTCACACCCCCCTCCCCCCCCCCCAACCCATTCTGTCTCAAACAGTGGAGGGCTTGGACCCGCACCCCCTGCTTTCCCCCTGCGCACCCTCACACTCACACCCACCCTCAGAAGTATTACTCCCTCCACCACTCTGCGTCACCTCCTCTCGTCTCTCTCTCCTCTCTCCTCTCTCCTCTCTCCTCCCCCTACCCAAACCCCCCAAGCCAATCACATGCTCCCACTACACAATCGCCCCCTCTTAGCCAACCTTAGCCACGCCAAAACACGCCAACTACGACAACCACGCCAAAAAAGAGGGACGCGTTCTGTCGAATGGCATCGCTGCTTTCGGCTGCGTCGGCGGCACCAATATCTATGTCTACATCGGGTTGAATCACACAGATGAACTGCTCGAGGAGGTTCATATCTACACCCATATCCATATCCATGTCCATGTCAATGTACGAGATCTCACCAAAGCAGCATCCATGCCATACTCAATACTCCATACTCAATACTCACCCCCTCCCTCTCCCCTCCCTCGTGGCCGCTTGTTACAGGTGCTACAAGCCTCCCCTATGTCCTCCGTCACATCAACGTCGTGATGCCCCATCTATCCTCCGTACGAAGCATCCAGATGCACACTCTCCATTCTGTACACACCTCCTACTTACTCCGTACCATCCTGACCGACCGTCACACAGTTCGGAAATCCAGCTCGTTCTCGCCCCCCTGTGAGACCCCAACCCACCCCCCATTTCCTCCCATCTCACACCCCATCTCACACCCCTCCCCCTTCAATCGTTGCCTCATTCAGACTCCCGGCGCTTCCATGCAAGGCATGCCCATCCCGCACCTGCAGCGCGTTGGCCCAATCACCCTACCATCGAGCCGCCTCTACCGCTTCCACGGCCTCTCGTTGGTGACCACCCCCCAAAACCTCCAAGCCACCATCAACCGATCAACGCTCGCCGTGCAGGCTGACTGCATTGTCGCGTAACTGGGGCCCTGCTGTCGTGGCCGCTCACCGTCCATTCAAGCCGTCCAGAACCGGTTTTGACGCCAATCGTAGTCTGCCATCGTCCTGTGAGCCAATTACTCGACATACCCGGACGCGCTTTGCAGAATATCCCTTCCCTTCCCTTCCCTCCTCTCCTCCCCCCGGCCAGCAAGGAAGAGTCGGCATCGCATCGATGACTATCACTCGGGATTCCCCCGCTTTCAGACAGTGGATGATGCCTTCCTCCGCGAGACATGGTCTGGACCCACGAATCGACGTGCACGACGGAGAAATATCACTGTCTCACGTGGCAACACTCACCGCCCAAAAATAGACGTTGGGTTTGGTTGCCAACGCATGGCTCCACACAGACGTACTTTCGCGCTCGTCCAAACTAAGAGCACTAGACTGAGGGGGCGGGTTTCACTACGGGCTCTGACGGTTTCACCATTGACACGCGAGCACAGACTGAACGAACCCCCGTCCCAGCTCGCCATCACACCAAACTTCATGTTGTAAATCAGGTACACTTCATCACGTGGCTATAGCATCTTGTTTATTCGGAAACAAGTCGGCACTCGCTATTCTATTCTGTCTCAAGTACAGATCAGATCAGATCCATGCTATCAGCTGTGGCAATAGCGCAGCTCTATACATTAAACGCCCGCGGCAGAATCACCCCCTCCACCCACTATCCCCTGCCGACCAGAGCTATTTCTATAGGCATATCCACAGTTTCCATCTCATCAATGACATTTTTTTCATATCCTGCCTGGTATCAATCCACCCCCCATATAATCAGTTGCCCTTGAAATTTGTACCCGCGCGGCTCGACTTGATGACGCGCTGCACGATATCCTCCGTCTCATCCCAGTCCTCCCAGTTCAGCTTGATCAGATCGATGCCGTAGTGCTCCGCGATAGCCTTGAGCGCCATGAAGCTCTTCTTGTCAAACACGAAACTGATGCTGACACCCACACGTCCGAATCGCCCAGTGCGCCCAATACGATGGAGGTAGGTCTCGAAGTCGGGTTCGGTCTCATTGCGGCCCTTCATCGGGATGTCGTAGTTGATGACCATGGACACGGACTGCACATCGATTCCACGGGCGAGAACGTTGGTGGTGATGAGGATCTTGGCTTCTCCAGATCTGAACTTGTCGATGATGGAGTCACGCTCTGCGCCCTCAAAGGCTCCGTGGAGAGCGGCGACTTGGTGGCCATCAGCGATCATGGCCTTCTCGATTCTGCTGGCAGTCTCTCGTTTCTATATTGTGTCAGTAAACATGTCATCTAAACAGTTCAAACAACATACCTTGACGAAAATGATCGACGATCCAATAGTCATGAGACCGTACAGCTTGACGAGAATATCGTACTTTCCATCCTCCGAAGGGCAGTCCATAAACATCTGACTGATTCCAGCGACGGTGAGCTCTTCGTGCTTAAGCTTGATCTCGTTCGCCTTGGGGCTGAACTTTCTCGCGTATTGCATGACTTCCTCGGGGAAGGTAGCCGAGAAGAGTAGGATCTGAGTGAGGTTTGGGAGCAGGCTAATTTGTTAGTTGGTAATATTAAAGGGGAATGATGGCACTCACTGCTTGACACGGAGACATTGGTCTCCAAGACCCTGCTGATCAAGCATGTTGTCTGCCTCATCCAAGCACAAAAGGCTGGCCTTGCTAACATCGAATTGCCTCCTCTTAATCAAATCCATGACAGTTCCTGGGGTTCCAACAACCACTTGACCCTCAAGTCTCTTTCCCTTCTCCACAGAGCCTGGAACTGCCGCCTGAACCACCAGATCGGGAACGAATTGCCCAATAGTACGGATAACACCTTCGATCTGGCGGGCAAGCTCTCGACTCGGTGCCAGGACCAAGGCCTGTGGCTGCTTCAAGCTATAATCGATACGAGAGAGGATCGTAAGGACGAATGCAGCGGTTTTGCCAGTTCCGGACTGGGACTGCGCAATCATGTTGGATGGTGGGTTGGCGAGGAGAAGCGGGAGGGCCTTCTCCTGGATCTTGGATGGCTTTTTGAAGTTCATTGAGTAGATTCCCTTCAAGATCTGTTCGGAACTGTGTTTGTTAGCATTGAAATCAATTACAATATAATCAGGCTTCCTTACATTCCCAACTCCTCAAACGAGTTGATGGAGTACAGAGGGCTAGAGGTGTCGCCTTGGATGTCGCTGAGCTTCACTTCCACCTCGTACTCTCCCGCTGGAAGCAAGGCAGATCCGCCCTGGTGCTCGGTGCTGCCATCAACCTGAGCCTTGTCTACATCTTTGGGCGATTCAGCAGGTGGCGACGCAACCTCGTCTGCCCACGAGGTCTTTGCTTTGGTCTCGTCGGTGGCGGGAGCGGCAGCTGGCGCGTCAGCATTCTTTGGGGGCTGCGAGATGCGATCTGCGAGCGATCCCGAGGGCTTTTGATCTGAGCCTGGAGTCGACATTTCAGGGTTGGTAGATGTCGACAAGTCTTTGCTTCGGGGCTCGTTTTGTAACAGGCAAGTCTGCCAAGTCTTTGAAGTGGGGTGGCGGTGAGGTCCGAGATGCCCTCAACCCAGATATCGCGATAATTGGTGGTAACAAAATCAACGGCGTAGCTCGTATGAGTGAACGCGACGCGCAATGAATATGTCGATGTATGTTGGAGAGAATGAGTTGATTCAATGCTGCCTGTATTCTTAAAGCTCGCGAAGATGGTGGGGTTTCTTTTGGGAATCCTGTATTGGGAATAGCGCCGGTGTCATAGGAACAGGCGCGGAACAATATATCTCCGGGGGGCTTAGAAGCCAACGAACAACTGGAGTGACGGCGGCCCGAATCCCCAGAGACGCCGATGAGCCACACCTCAGCCATCAATCAGCGCCTAGTTTTGGTTTGGTGGGGTAATCATCATTCAACTCCAGTCGCCCTGGCACTTCGTATCACTGTTGCCAACATATACGCATGCACCAGCAATGAGACTAGGGGATGCCTCAAAATCTCCATGAAACCAGACCGCATCTCTAAGCTGACTCCCGCCGGCCATGGCCGATGTACAAATAGCTCCCAGCTTTGGGGCCGAGCTCAAGGTTTGATTTGCCATGTCGTTTGTCCACGCCAATACTTACTCGTCCAGGATGCATTTAAACCAGTCAACTCTTGGGTGTCACAGGGCATCTCATGGCTCGACGATATACAGCAATTTTACCGAGAGCGGAGTGTGATCGAGAAGGAATATGCCGCCAAACTCAATGTCCTGGCAAAGAAGTACTTCGAGAAGAAGGCGAAGAAGTCCGGCACGCTAAGTGTTGGCGATACGCCGGCAATGACTCCTGGGTCTTTGGAGAGGTTGGTCATACGATTGAGTTTTTGGATTATGCTAACGTCTCAGTGCTTCCCTGACAACCTGGACCACGCAGCTTACGACGCTTGAATCGCGGGCAGCCGAGCACGACCGATACGGGAACGAGTTGGTCCAAAATGTTGCAGAGCCCCTGCGAAATCTCGGGCTCAGGTATGAAGATATCCGGAAACGCCACGCCGATTATGCGGATAAATTGGAGAAAGAGCGCGACTCTACATACAGTGACCTGAAGAAGACCAAGGCTAAATACGACGCGGCATGCCAGGAAGTCGAGAACAAGCGGAAGAAGGCAGAGTCGGCATTCGACTATTCAAAGGCCAAAGCGCAAAATTCGTATCAGCAGCAACTCTTGGAAATGAACAATGCCAAAAACACATACCTAATCGCCATCCGGGCCACGAACAAGCAACAGGAAATGTACTATCATGAGTATGTCCCGGATGTACTAGATGGCCTTCAGGATTTGAACGAGGCTCGAACGACAAAACTAAACGGGCTGTGGTCCCTAGCTGCATCGTTGGAGCTTGGAATGATCAAGAGAAGCACAGATATCATCAATTACCTCGCACAGGAAATCCCGAGAAACATTCCCACGTTGGACACCATGATGTTTGTCCGGCACAATGCTGCGCCGTGGCAAGAGCCGGTCAATAAGACATTCGAGCCCAGCCCCGTATGGCACGATGATGACTCCATGATTGTGGATGAACCCGCAAAGGTCTTCCTACGGAATATGCTCAACAAGAGCAAGGGCCAGCTGGGAGACCTACGTAGAGACGTCGATATGAGGAGAAAGGAAGTAGAAGGGTTGAAGCGGGTTCAGCAGGCTGTTCGAGAGGGCAAGGATAAGAGGGATGAGGTTGTGGTTTGGTCGCAGCTGCTCATAGCGCAAGAGAACCTCCACGATTCCGATCACAAGAGGCTAAATGTCGAGGTCGAAACAACCACGATTACGACTACGATTGGTGACCTTACGATAGGAGCGAAGAACCACAACTTCAAATCACAGACGTTCAAGATTCCGACGAACTGCGACCTCTGCGGAGAGAGGATCTGGGGCCTTTCAGCGAAGGGCTTCGACTGCCGCGATTGTGGGTACACGTGCCACAGCAAGTGCGAAATGAAGGTTCCTGCCGAGTGCCCAGGGGAGCAGAGCAAAGATGAGAAGAAGAAGCTCAAGGCAAGTAGGCAAGAGGGCGGAGGTCACGGGAAGACTCCCTCGGTGGCTGGGAATGGTGATATGCCTTCCGAGTTACCAGCGCCGCTCAGTAGGTCAAACACGATGAACTCGTTGAGTTCCGGGTATGCAGCGAGCGCAAACCGCTCCGTCACGAGAGGAGGCCCGCAGTCACCAACGGCAGAACCACAATTACCAGATCGAAGCTCAAAGCCGGCCGGGACATTACGAAAGGCGCGCATCGTTGCGCCTCCCCCGACGAGCTATATCAGTGAGCTGCCAGGGAGTAGTGCGAATGGGGCATCGGGCGGACTAGGGGTACGATCATCGGAGCCAAGAGGGAAGATGCTCTACGCTTACGATGCGAGCGGTGAAGGCGAGATCTCTGTTGGTGAGGGAGATGAGGTTACTATCACGGAGCCTGATGGTATGTTTGTTTGATTGCTCTTGTGGATTTACGCTGACTTTGTAGTAGATGGCTCTGGGTGGGTGAAGGTCAAGTCAGGATTCAGGGAAGGGCTCGTTCCAGGGTCATACCTCGAAATGATGCCTTCGCCGTCCCCTGCGCTATCTGCAGCACGCCCTGGATCTACACACTCCAACTCGGGATCGTCGGTTGCCGGCAGTGTGAGCAAGAAGCAGGGACCCGCGGTGGCCCCTAAACGCGGCGCGAGAAAGCTTCGATACGTTGAGGCTCTCTATGATTACACGGCACAGAGCGATGCGGAGCACAACATGCTGGAGGGCGATAGATTTGTCCTCATCAAAGAGGACCCCGGGGATGGTTGGTCGGAGGTGGAGCGGGGAGGGGTTACCAAAAGCGTACCAGCCAACTATGTACAGCTTGTATAGAGGACGGCCTCTGGAGGCATCTGTTGTTGTTGTTGTTTATCACGAGCGAAAGAGAGCGCGTAGTACGTACTTTCTGTAGAGTACTGTATGTAAGGGTTCGAAGAGTTCAGCACAGTCCATGCGATCAGTTTTTGTATAATACTCCGTTGGTACTAACTTTGGCCATCCTGCTCCGTATTGTCGTGACCCCTAGCAAGTTGAGCCTCGCAAAAGTGATGTCACGGCGGACCCGACCCCAGTGCCTGCCGATCGTGTCAATCCCCATAACGGCCTGAATTAGCATCGTCAGTGATGTTGGCTTGTTTGAGGTCAAATCTGTTTCTGCTTGATCCAATCAGCCATGGTAATCTGTAACTCTGATACCCTAGGGCGTACCTGAAGCCCACTTGTGATAGACTGGAGTCCACTCGGGCCTCACATAGGCCACTTTGCCAAGTGATCAGTGGAGAGTTTGGTGGATTTGGTGGATTTGGTGGAGAGCGGGTCGTCGTTTGTTTGGAACACAGCTAAGCATCAGTGGCGTTCTGAGATCGACGATCTCGCTTGTACTATGCCATACCACGAGAGTAAAGTGTGTACTAATTATGGCTATGAACGCCTAGTTATGCGCGCGGATGGAGTCGATGGAGCCACGGAGACGGGGGAAATGAAGATTTCCTTGATAACCGTCCACCACCATCCATCCATATCCGGGAATATACCAAGGACAATCCAAGGACAATCCAGGTCAACACACACCACCAACATCGCATAAGGAGGGGGCAGTGCAAGGCTGGAAGTGGCGAACAACATGTCGCTCCAAGAGTCGCTGCGAGAGTCGTTCCAAGACAGTTTCTAACAATTTCGACATTCTCTACTGGCCCGCACTGCGCTGTACAGTACCTGGCTGCACTGCACGGCACTGCACGGCACTGCACTTTATTGTGCAACAACACACACATGCGTCGCGCATCGCGTACTCTGGAAGTCCACTGTACGCGTTCTCTTGTAGTGTTGTCGTCAGCGTATGTCGTTGGCGTATAGCAGTCCGTTACCCTTTTCTCCATCTCCACGCTCCTCATCCCGTCTCCTCCATCTATCTCCCCCATATCCTCCCCCTCCCCCACTCATAACTTCCCATGGCTTCTCCCAATTTACTCCCCTATGAAGCTTGGACGATCCCCGACTACACACCGACTGTAGACCACCGATCGATCCCGTAGTGGATCAAAAGTATGGGGCGGCAGTGTTCCAGTTCCTGGGCTGGTTGTACCTCTTAGACATGTTCGAGTACAGAGTACACGTCCATTCCCGTCCTCGCTCTCGTGCAACACCTACAACACGGCTCGTACACGGCTCGTCATAGTACGAAAATGTGACAAAATACTCCAAAACAGTGAGTAGACAGTACGAGGCTGTTACCATTTCTTAGCTGATGGGTACTTCCACCTCCTGAGAGGTTGCACCCAGCTTCCCTCCCTCTAGTGTGGGTTCCGTCCTGTCTCTCCCTCCTCCTCCTGCGCTCTGGCTGGACGTTATAACAGTGACGTCCCCCGTTTTCCCTCCAACCCTTTGTATTCCTCCCTCAAACAACCCTTCTTGACATTCGAGCGTCTTTTTTGCTCGTCTTTCACTCGTTCTTATCTTTTTTTTTATATACCACTGGCCAACTCATTCGTTGTGGTCATCGTGTGTCTTGTTTACGTCTTTTAATTCACCCTCGCCGTCCCTCACTCCTTTCGGGCTCGCGCAACGCAACAACAAACAAATCCCATTATACTCCCCAATCCAAACCTCTTTCATCACCAAAATCTTCAAGATGAAGTCTTTCACCATGGCCGCCGCGTTGGCCTTCGCCACCAGCGTCATTGCCGCGCCTAGCAACGTTTCCCCCAACGACCTGAGGCCGAGAGCAACTCTCGAGGCCATCACCGTGAAGGGTAACGCCTTCTTCAAGGGCAGCGAGCGCTTCTACATCCGCGGTATCGATTACCAGCCTGGCGGAGCTTCCGACGCGAAGGACCCCCTCGCAGATGATGTTATCTGCAGGCGCGACATCGCTGAGTTCAAGAAGTTGGGAGCCAACGTCGTCCGTGTCTACACTGTCGACAACAGCAAGGACCACACAACCTGCATGGGTCTCCTCGCCGATGCCGGTATCTACTTGGTCTTGGACGCCAGCACGCCAAAATACTCCATTAACCGTGCCGACCCTCAACCATCTTACAACGCTGTCTACCTCCAGTCTCTCTTTGCTACCATTGACGAGTTCGCCAAGTACACCAACACCTTGGCCTTCTTCAGCGGCAATGTACGTTCTTCGCGCAGGTGATCAAATCAATTCATGCTAATTATTATACAGGAAGTCATCAACGACGGCACCACCACTGAGGCTGCACCCTACGTCAAGGCCACCACCAGAGATATGCGCGCCTACATCAAGGCCAAGGGTCTCCGTCAGATCCCCGTCGGATACTCTGCCGCTGATGTTTCTGAGAACCGCATGGAGATGGCTCACTACATGAACTGCGGTTCCGACGATGAGCGCAGCGACTTCTTCGCCTTCAACGACTACTCGTGGTGTGCCCCCAACACCTTCACCGGTGCCGGCTGGGACCAGAAGGTCAAGAACTTCACCGGCTACGGAGTCCCCATTTTCCTGTCCGAGTACGGTTGCATCAAGCCCGGCCCACGTACGTTCGAGGAGGTCAAGTCCCTGTACAGCACTGACATGACCGCTGTCTACTCTGGTGGTCTTGCTTACGAGTACTCCGAGGAGGGCTCCGGCTACGGACTCGTCAAGATCAAGGACACCACGTCCGTCTCTGAGCTCTCTGGCTTCAACTACCTGATGAAGGCCTTTGCCAGCACCCCATCCCCCAGCGGAGACGGTGGATACACTTCCTCCAAGGGCAAGGCCTCCGAGTGCCCAGCCAAGTCGTCGAACTGGAACGTTACTACTGCGGATCTCCCTACCATCCCCAAGAAGGCTGCCGAGTACATGAAGAGCGATGTTGGAAAGGGACCAGGCTTGGCAGGAGCTGGTTCCCAGACCTCCGGAGGTGATGGCATCTCGTCTGAGGGAACCACTCGTTCAGGAACCGGATCCTCCACTAGCGACACCCCTGGAGAGACCTCTGAGGCTGCCGCTAACGGACTCGTTGCCCCTATCGACTTTAAGGTCGCATATGCCGGCATGGTTGTCCTCGGGTGCTTCTTGGGTGGCGGACTACTGTTGTAGTTGAATTAAGTTTTTTTTGTTGGAGGGATAGTTGCTTCAAGTCGAAGCGAGCGTACTGGCTTTCCATTGTACAACTGCGAAGAGCGAATGTTAGCACCTCCTTACGTATTCTAGCCAAAATTAGGAATGAATTATTCTGATATAAACTAAGCCGTTGTTCTTATTCCGAAAGAATTCACTTGAAAATACAGCTACGGCAGTCAGCAGTGATGCCAATCCAATGATGTTGTACCGCATAATCGCGGATCCACCCGTCGGTTAGAATCCGAACATTTCGTGCTTAACACCAAAATAAGTCGACCACACCAGTGCTCGCTCTCGGTCCGGCGCTCCCCGGTGGGCACTGCGGGGTACGAATAACGTCAGCTTAATCTAGAACTTTCACATCACAACCAGACATACTGCATGCAAAAGACCAAAATCAGGTAATTAGATACATTGATTGATAACGTGCTGGAAGTTATAAATACAGGCCCTCTCCCTCCCTCCCAAGTCCAATATCCATCCTCCCAACCCAACGGCAGTAGAAATTATTACCACCTATCACGCCAGATCAAAGTCAGCATCTCAAACCATGGCCGACCAAACCTTCCAAACCGCATACTTCGACGAGGCCACCCCATCCCCCTCCACCACCTCCTTCACCATCTCAGCCGACTCCCCAACCGACATCTGGAGCAAGCCTGGTCCCCCCGAAGTAGTCACCTTCAACGCGCCCCTCATCTACAAGCCCATTCCCCTCTCCAAATTCCAGCGCGCCCGCGTCACCGTCACTGCGGACTGGGGCACGCTTTACGACCAGGGCGGGCTGGTGTTTATTCTCCCCTCTTCCGTCGAAGGTCAGGCAGGGAAGTGGATCAAGACGGGTGTGGAGTTCTACTCTGATGAGGTGTATGTGTCTACCGTTGTGAAAGACAGCTGGGCGGATTGGAGTCTGGTGCAGGCGGGGATTAAGGATGGGAAGGTGGTGACGCTTGAGATGGAGAGGGATGCGAAAGAGGGGACGCTTTGGATTTATGTTATTGATGGGGAGAAGAGGATTCCGTTGAGGGAGGTGACGTGGGTGTTGAGTGAGAAGGAGCAGGAGGTCTGGGTTGGGGTATATGCTGCTACGCCCACGACAGAGAGGGGGGATAGGGGGAAGCTGGTGGTGGAGTTTAAGGATTGGGAGTTGGAAGTGAAGAATTAAGAGTTAAACCGAGAGGCTATTTGTGAACTCTTACCAATAATATAAATCCATTTGAATTACTTAAATACTTTGAAACCAATCCTCATTTTTAATCAAACGTCAATATCCGGAGGCTTTCACGACACATGCCATCTGGACATTCATATCAAAATAATCCCAGTCCCGAGGCATGCTACTCGTGGTTTGTTGCCTGTCTAATCGGAAGTGATCAGGTAACAGTCTAAGTACGAGCGTTTCATAATTAGTCATGCGACTGAAATAAGTGTATGCATTCATTATATCTAGGCTTCCACAAAAGTCAAAATATGAAATTTAAACGTGGCAAGAACCTTACAATATATAATCCAGCGCGTAGGCAGCTTAATTTGCCTTTCCATCAAATGCCGTTCGCCCTAGAAATGGCCTTTACACTCGCTAAATTCCTCACTCCTATCCTTGGCCCTCGCAGGCGCAGAAAGATAGCTATCATAGGTCTTTATGACGCTGGTGTGATAGATCTGCTTAAGCGTCTCTGCGGGACCTGTGATTTAGTAACTAAAGAGGATGAAGACGGTAGAACTTGGCCTCGAGTCCACGCCGGCACGAAAAGCAGTTTGAAATGCGATTTTAATTTCGTCGCCGTGGAAGTAGGAGGAGGTGGTGCGCCAGCTGCAGACCATCTATGGACGGCAGCGCAATTCGGCGAGGCAGATGGGTTCATCTGGGTGGTTAACAGCGCTGATACGTGCGTCCTCATTGAAGCGAGGGTAGAGATGGAGAAAGCTAGGAAGGGGAGGAGTTTAAGGGGAGGATTGGTCCAACCTGGTGTCAACCCCAAAGCGCCGTGGTTGGTCTTGGTAGATTTCAAAGAAAATCCTCTGGTATAACATCCCCGTTTTTGCTAACTATTATTTTTGTCATAATAAAATAATATCTTAAATTTAACTAACTCTGTGAGCAGTCTATTGCTGAGGCGACAAGACAAGCTGAGCTCGTTACAGTAGATGCTGGGGATGATTTAGATTGGGTACATACACCCTCTAAGTATAGAGCATTGATATAGAGTTACTAACATTAATAATAGACTGTCCATGCTGTCTCTATAACTACGTCGGAAGGTCTACGGGAAGCTATGGGGTGGCTTTATCAAAAAGTAAAATAATAATAATAGGTTTGAGAATATAGGGCTAAAATCTACGATTCTTAATAATCGATCCTGTTATAGAAGAAATCATTGATAATATAAATAAATAAATAAAAAATAAATCGTGGCGTCATAAAACATGAAGCGAACGTCGTCTGATAGTCATATATCATCCCGTTATCTCATCCAGTTCATATCTGTCATGATCATACTTCACACCCTAGAACAATAAATAAAACACATAAAAGATAGACCATCATCACCCTTAACCCCAGCCCCCAAATCTTCCTGCTTGCGCAGTTTAACCACCATATACCCAAACACCCATCAACACCCACCAAAACCAACAAACAACAGGCACACCGCCTATCTAAAAATCATCAGCGGGACCATCATCCCCTTCTGCATTCCCATCCCCATGTTCATTCCATCTCCAATAGCCCTCATCCCCGACCCACCAGTCATCATATTCAGCTTCACCTCCCTCTGCACCTGTCTGTCGCCAATAGAAGCAGCAGCGGAACTCCTCGCAGTGAACTGCTTCCCGAGACGCTGCAGTATAGCCTCGCGTCCCTGGCGAAGTGCGTGGATGCGCTTCTCGGCATCGTCTACAAGTTCTTGATGATGTGTCTCCCGCTGGAGATTGCGTTGCACGCCGCGCACAGCAGGGTTCAGTGGCTTAGGCTTAAGCGCCATGGCGGAAGGCCAGGGTGTGTGGGGAGGGTCAGGTGTCTGTGGGGAGCGCTTGGGAGGTGACGATTCCGGAGATTGGTGGTAGCTGCTAGTGGACTGGGTCGATGCAGATTCAGGTGGAGAGCGTCGTAGTGGATGCACGTGCTCTGGTGATGGGATTCGCCCCTCAGGCACGAATGTCGTCGCTGGTAGTAGCGGTGACAGGCGTTTAACCGGCGTTGTTGGACGCGGAGGAGTGGCTAGCCTGGTCGGTGGGGTATATGTGGCTGGCTGCAATACGACAGATGGATGCGACAGTTCTGGGACAGACGGCTGCTCCGGGATTGGAGGTATTTCGCGGTTATACGACGGCGACCGCGAGAGCTGTTCTGGGACAGGGGGCATTTCGCGGTTGTGGAGTGGCGACCTGGCGACAGGTTCTGAGATGGCGAGGCCAAGGCTGCTCGAGCTATTCTCGTTATGGATGAACCGGGAAAAGAAGGTGCTCTGCGACGCTTCCATAGCGCTGTGCTTGAGGCGATCAAGGAGGGACGAAGCCTGGCGACGGAGAGTTGGTGGTGGTGAGGGGGTAGCTGCGCGGCGGTACGCACGACGACGTTTTCGAACGCGTTTATGCAGATGTGTATTACACGGAGCTGTGCCGAGCTCGCCCTGAACGAAGAGGCCTGAGCTGTTGCGGAAGCTAGAATTGTCAAATACATCGTCGTCCATGTGGCTTCTTGGCTGGGAGCCAAAGCCAATGCCAGAGCTCGAGCCACTGTGTCTAGCTTCCCAGATTCCCTCCTTAGTTGCCAGATCATTCAGCGGCGCCAGAGCCTCGTCCCACGACCCAGATGTCAGGATCACGTTATCAAAATCGATGGTCCGGAGGCTTGAGCCGTGTTTACTGACGAGGGAAGATACTTGCTCGGCAGCAACCCATGCATTCCTCACAAATAGACGACGCAGGTGGGGGAAGTGAAGTGGTGGAGGAGGTGGAGTTTCCGGGAGAGGTGACATTGGCGACGTGATCTCAGCAAAAAGCTTTGTGGCCGAACTCGGGGACGACGGGCGACTCGAGTCGTTGAGGGTCAATGGACAGGGACCGCGTTGGCCGTACCAATGAAAGGTGAGTTTCTCAAGACTACTAGAGAATGTGCGGATGTAGTTTGTCAATAACTTCAGATGGTCTGCACGTGAATTTTCGAATGCCCAGGAATCAATTGACATCTTCAGATTTCGGATCTGTCGCCAGCGGCGGAGGCCGGATGGTGACGCACCAAAGTTCGGTGTCGGGTGCAGATACAGGAGTGCGGCAGGGTGGACCGCTAGCGAGAGCTTCTCGAGTTGCGTCAGGCCAGCGCGCTCAATTGCGATCCGCAGGCTGATGAGTGCGTAGTCTACAGCAGAGCGACGGTACCGCTGACATGGTTCTTGTCCAGGGCACGAGACGCTGAGGTGGCGAAGATTGGGCATGCAAGCTAATGCACGGATGAACGCAGGAACATTCGTCGCTGCATGGAAGATTGGAGGGTACTGCTGGGTGAGATAGTCTGCCAGCTCATGTGTGCCATACTTTGGACGCTCGGTTTCCGAGGCAAGCGATGTATGCGGCGTGTAGAGAAAGTTGACTTCTCGGCCAGTGACGGGATTCAGAAGCGGAGGAAGAAAGGTCGATTCCGTGTGTGGCATTGAGAAGGTCAGGTGGCCGACATGGTGACCGATGCGGGCCAATGCTTCCATGCGAGAAGGCCGGGATAATGCGCTCGGGGTGAAGGTTAGGTGAATCCGCGCAAAGAGAGGCCTTGTCACGATGTTTGAGCATGCCGTGTTTGTGAGGCGGAGAGCGCAGAGATTGTCGTCGTCCAAATGGGATAACAGCTGGCGATTGATCTTCTCGTCTCGCCATATCTTAAAGAAGAGGGGGTTGGACGAGGCCATGGCCAAGACACAGGTCGACCCAAAGTGAGGCCAATGGCGGGGTTAAAAAGCGATATCAGAATGCAGAATCAGAGAGATTCGAAGAGTGGAGATTGTCAATTAGAAATGCATATAATGTGATCAGGAATATAGCGAAATGTAATGCAAGAAGATTCTCATTGAGTTGGTCAACAACAGCAATGAATGCAATGAGGGTATTCTGAGGAGTGAGAAGAAGCACAAGAAGGAAAACCTACCGGACCAGCCACCTACCTTCGTTATATTCGTACGCCGCCTCACATCGCGATCGCGCAGAGGGCAAATCACGAAAATGGCTCGAAAACAGAGCGAAAAGAGGAGATTCCACAGGATCGCCATGATGAGAGTGAGTCATTTTGGTGGTGAACGGTGACCAGAATGCAGGTGCAGGGCGGGACGACGATGGTGGATGCACATAGATGGACAGAAATGCATGGTGTTGCTGCACAAGAACGCGACTATGTCGCGGTCGCGATGCGCCTTTTAGACGCGACAGACGGCACTGAGGCCGGTGTATGGCTGGAAGAGTTGAAAGGGAGTGGCTATATGCGGGGAAGTTGGGGCTTGAGCTCCCCGAACGATTGGCGGGGAGGGGACGGCCAAGAATTTGTTTCGGTGCCGCTGTGTCCGGTCCAATCGTTGGCTGTTGAAACAATTCGTTTATGCCGGTCGCGTGGAGAGATCACCACCGAGAACACCAAGAACACGACTAGAAGGACTCCGGCTCTTCTCGCTTGGGTTGTCAAAGAGATGTCACGAAACAGACGCGCTGTTGTCGTGTTTAGATGATGTTTTGACGTTTGTTGAGACCCTGAAATGCCTTATCACGAAGAAATTGCCGCGATAGAAGAAGAAAAGGGGACTGAGACAGTGATATACCCGCGTTGAATGGGGGGGATTGGGACCACAGTAGTTAACGACAGGCAGATAAACAGAGATAAAAATGCCAAAAATGTGAATTTAATACACGCGTACGCGGTCAAGTGAATCTCGAGTAGCTCTTCTTCTCTCTCTTTATTCCCATTGCGGGCTTTTCCTTCGACTTCCTGCTCAGATAGTCAACTCAATCAACCCAGGCCGCCGTAGGCAGTGAATCGCCCAATTGCCTTCACAAATAAAAACAAAAAAAAAACAAAAAAATATATCTGAGCATGAGCTCAGAGAGACAAGTTACTCTCTGACGGGGAGTCGAACCCCGGTCTCCCGCGCTTTGTCGAATGACAAGCGGAAATCATGACCGTTAGACCATCAAAGATGTTGGAATTGTTAGAGAGAACTAGCCAATCATGAATTATAAACCGGTGCCGCTTTTCACTAGTTTATCCGGAGCTAGTGACCCAAATATTGCTGCCTGGCTTCGGAGTCGGGGTTTCATAATGCCCGCTTCCTTGCCTAGTTTGTGGCTTTCACAAAAGACTGTTTTCGGAATTATGTGCATCTCGGCTTCTCGTTTCCCGTCCTTGGCGACAGTCACGCCTGTTGCTCGAATTTACTATAACACAAACACGTGACTAGATTGAATAGAAATCCAAAATCATCACGTGCAACCCACACTTCTTCCATTCTTTCAGACGACTCTTCGGACGACGCTAGGCCCCTGTCACTAACTAAAATTCCCCTCCCGCCGCCGGCATTCTCCGTCCCGTAAAAGGGTCCAGCCCAGCCCAGCATTGAGCCTCGTATCCCTGCCGCGTCTTCAACGACCTCAAACCCATCTCCAATGCGCCAGATATATCCGGAGCCTCGCTCGTCCACTCCCTCACCATTTTGCGACGGCACATTCATCAACTGAGCCGCCATATCACTCACCGACGCGCCTCGAAAGCCGGTCCACGGTTCGCCAGGAACACAGCCCGACGCCGCCGCCGCCGTCGCTGCTGTGAAAATTCAGCGACATGATCTTATAGCAGAAAGAATCTGCCGCCGCAGCTATCACACCATACTGGCCCAATCTCGAAGCCGAATAGCGACCGCTTGGAGGAGGAAGGAGAGGGGAGGAGGGTGAAGGGCCCACGCTGCTATTTCGCCAAATTTCGAAGCCCACGGCACTACAAAGGGATTCCGAGTAGCAAGTCATGCGTATACCCATTCGCCTGCAGCTTGCGCTGCTGGTCCTCTTGACGGCTTTCTTGGCATTGGCTGCTGTGTCCATTTCAACCGTGAGTTCTACTTGGACCGGGTCCGCGGAAGACGCCTTCTCTGACAATGTAAATAGTGGATAAATAACTACAACTTTGTTGTTAGTATCAAGTAAGTCAATCCAACCCTGTGCCTGCTGCGAGCATTGCTGATAGGCCTCAGATCACAAAGCTTGTCCTTGACTGCGTCCCTCAAGGCTGCGCAGGTAGCTGCCAACCTACAACTCGTCGAGTCGACCTGCAGGACTATTGTGACTCGGATAGAGATACAAAAGTCACTAACGAATTTCTACCGGAATGACAACAGCGCATCGAACTGGCGGCTGGCAGAAGAAGATCTCCAGGCGGCTCTTGCTAGTACCGGTTACTCGCAGCTGATCCAGGTCAAGATATTTTCAAAAGACGGGACTGGAGACTCAAAGGGGTTGCTAAACGTCACAGCAGTTGGCGCCGCGGATATCCAACTTCCGATGAAATATCCAAATGGCACGGTGAGAATTGTGTACCTCCAGTCGACATGATAAATAACTGACAAGTGCCAAAGAACATCAAACTTGGCGACCAGTCACCGGATGGGCCCACTGGATTCCCTGTTTCGCTTTATCCAAATCTCACATACTCTACCACGACTATAGACGGCGTGGTGTCCAATACCGTCAAAGCGTTTCAAATATACAAATTCAATGCTTCAACTGCTATGCTACTGGGACCATTCCAGGTCAACGAAACACTTTCCTTGGTGTCTATGACGCTGCCAATTTTCAACAGCACGTCAAGAGTAGATATTCTAGGTTACATGACTGTGGTCGCCGAATCTACTCGGATATTCAGTGTTCAAAATTCGAGGGAAGGCCTGGATAGCACCGGCATGGTTTTGCTTTTGGGGCCAGACACTGAAATAAACAAATTCCCTCAAGCGAAAACGCCGGTCAACGAAGGCCATACTCCAAATAGCACCGATCTTGGCGAGCAGGATATGAACTTTATATTCCCGCCAATTCCAAACCAGAATCAGACCGATCGACATACTATGCATAGCTCCTCTACGAACTACAGCTCCAGTTTCAAGTTATATAAGTACCCAGTAGCGCTTGAAGTGTTTAGCAGAAACAACTCCCAAATCAACAATGCTGGCAGCAACTTGAAGACTATAAATGAGCAAGGAGTCGAGGTTGCTGTTGGATACGCGCGTCCTAGAAGTAACATAGTGGACTGGGTACTGATTGTGGAGGAGACCAGGGCTGAGGCATTTGCACCAGTCGAGAAATTACGCAAAATTCTCCTTGGTTGTATCTTTGGAACTATTGCACTCATTTTGGTTGTTGTCGTTCCAACAGCTCATTACAGCGTTTTGCCGATTACGAGGTTGAAAGAGGCCACCGAAAAGTCGGTTCAGCCGCCTGGGTATACACCACGGAATAGCATGGGGTCAGAGATATCCATCGATGGCGAAGATCGCCTGGGCGACGAAGAAACAGCAAATACTTCGTCGAGCAAGACGTCGAAGCGTGGCAAGGGATTTGTAATACGCATGAGACGCTTTGTGCAAGGCAAACACCGAAAATCAAAGGAGGAACAGACGGAAGAAGAACGTCGCCGAGTGTTTAAAGTCCCTGGAAAGGTGCTTGACCCCAGGCATTTCATTACTGACGAGTTGACGGAGCTCACCCGCACCTTCAACGAGATGTCTGATGAACTGATGACGCAGTATACGAAGCTTGAGGAAAGAGTCGCCGAACGAACTAGAGAATTGGAGATCAGTAAAAAGGCAGCGGAAGCAGCGAATGAAAGCAAGACGCTCTTTATTGCGAACATATCACACGAACTGAAAACGCCGCTTAATGGAATTCTTGGTATGTGCGCCGTCTGTATGGGAGAAGACGACCTACCTAGCATCAAGCGATCTCTTCAGGTCGTGTACAAGTCGGGGGATCTTTTGCTACATCTGCTTAACGATCTATTAACATTCAGCAAAAACCAAATCGGCCAGTCGATCACTATTGAAGAGAAAGAGTTTGTCCTTTCCGATATCAAATCTCAGGTCGTGACCATTTTCGACAAGCAAGTCAAGGAGGCAAATATCAAATTTGCTGTCCACTTTATTGGTGCGGAAAATGGTGATCTTGATTCCACAAAAGCCCTGACACGGCCGAAGAAGGCTCTCCCTGCCGTGGGTCCAAACGGGACCGGCAGGTTGAAGGACATGAGGTTATGGGGGGATCAGCACCGAATACTCCAAGTGCTCATCAATCTGGTTAGCAACAGCTTAAAGTTCACTCCTGCAGGAGGTAGGGTCATAGTGAGGATCAAATGTATAGGCGAGAAGGATGCAGAAGGCAATGTCAGCAGAAAAGACTCACTGTCATCGAAACAAGGATCGTTGCAACGCTCATCAAGGCAACGGCATCGCGTTGGTTCTGGCTCCGGATCAAACGCATCCACCACCTCGAGACTACCGTCTAGCCCGAGCAAACCTCTTGGCACTGCTCTACTCATCAACCCTATGGATCCAAAGGCGGCTTTAAGCCACATTCATGTTCGCGAACGGTCACCGACTCCCCCACCATCAAACTCGAAAACGCTCATCTTTGAGTTCGAGGTTGAAGATACCGGTCCAGGTATCCCTGCTAGTATCCAGGACCGCGTCTTTGAGCCGTTCGTTCAAGGCGACTTGGGTCTCAGCAGAAAGTATGGCGGCACTGGATTGGGGCTTAGTATTTGCCACCAGCTCGCTGGACTGATGGGCGGCACTATCACCCTGGAAAACACGGGCGAAGGCCAAGGCACTACATTCAATATGCAAATTCCTCTAAAGTTTGTTGGAGAGCGGACATCCAGCACAGCAAGTTCAACTGCTGGGGGGTCTCGAACACCCAGTGTTACTTCACGAGAGGATTCCAGAATGGCAAGGTTGTCGCTTGAGATGCAGGCACAAAGTGCCGCGAACAACAGCAGCAGTCAGGTTGCAGTGGTTGAGAAAGATATTCAGCCTAGACTTGTTGGGCTGAGTCAGCCATTCTTTGCGTCGGCAGCTTCTGGGGACGGAGCCACAGATGATCAGCTTGCGATCCTCAACCGTGTCGCAACCAAGCCTGGATCAGGCAAAATTCGAGTACTAGTTGCAGAGGATAACCTAGTGAATCAAGAAGTCGTCCTTCGGTATGTATACGCAGCTTGTTCACCTGAAATGCCACAACTAACATTTTATAGGATGCTAAAACTCGAGGATATTTATGATGTGACTGTAGCAAAGGATGGCCAGGAAGCATATGAGAAGGTGAAAGCTAGCATGGAGGAAGGGCTTCAGTTCAATCTCATCTTTATGGATATCCAGGTACGATTCCAGACTCCATTGAATGCCTCTTACTAACAAATTTAGATGCCGAACCTCGACGGTTTACAGAGTACTCGACTGATACGTCAAATGGGTTATTCCGCACCAATTGTCGCATTGACGGCATTTTCAGAGGAAAGCAACGTCCAAGAGTGCATGGACTCGGGAATGGATATGTTCCTCAGCAAGCCCATTCGACGCCCTGCGCTCAAGCAAGTTCTCAAGAAATTCGGGACTATCCTTGAAGAACCAGAACCGAGCCTGTCGCCACAGAACAGCCCAACCACCGATGGTCCGACTACTAATGGCGTTACTCATGGCATAGCTGAAAACCCCGACTTACCTTCGTCGAATACCGCCCCTATCAGCAATGTTCCCCTTTCAAATTCAAAACTATATCACAAGTCTTCTGATAGTCGACCCGTGTCGCGGGAGTCTCGTGCGGGCCGGCACCTATCGCCTCTTCGACCTATGGAACCCATCACGAACGGGCCGTAGGAGAGCCTACTTTTTTTTTAATCCTCGAAATCACTACAAATCCCTTAGGGTCGTCTCATTTACACATATTAGCGCGCTTAGCGACGATTTTCTTTTGTCATTCGTCCACGGCGCAGAAAACACTCAGGGTACTGGTTACGGAGGGCTGGTCAAGTTATGTTTGCGCAACCGGTGTTTAGGGGCATGGTGGAAAGGCTGTCATGCTTATATAACAGCACATAGCAACCAGGAAAGGTTGGGAAAGGCAACATTGCTGCCATGTATGCGGCGTCATACTTACTCCGCGGATAATAACGGTCTGGAGTTGGTTGCATATGGGTGTATTGTGTATTTATTTAATAAGGAAATCTCGGCGGAGGAACGGGATGGCAGTTCGACATGTAGATAGTTGGACCTGCACATAATTGCGGTTCGAATATGACCGAGGACAGAGATGCATATAGGAAGGAAGAGAATTATATATGCTGAATAATAGCGGCATTTGATACCCACGCTGTGGCATTTAAATATAATAATTGTGAATAAATAAACACGTGGCTATGTGTTGTAATATAGGTAGCTGACCTATCGGTGCTAGGTGACGTTAGCACATGCATCTTTAATCATGCCTCTCTATCTTCACGACTTAAATACTTGTAGCAGTAAATAGGCTGCCTACAGCCTTAACTAATTTGGGGTTTCCAGAGAAGTGACTACTCACCGCCACCCTATAAACGCGCTGCACTCACTGGTAACATATCATTTCATCTTCTTATTTATGTATATGAATGCCAATCTTTATAGTTAGTGCTGGCAAGCGATCGAACATCTAAAACATGGGGGAGTTTGCAAAGGATGAACGAGGCCAGGTCCCAGAGCCATGGCTTGAGTATGGGTGCACGCCCTGGAGACATAGCAGCCAACGCGCAACTGAGCTCTATGAATCGGGGGTAAAGCTATGGAGATGAGAAGACCTTATTGATATTGAGCAGCAACTCGGAGAATCGCTTACCTTGGAAAAGTTCACGGTCCGTCGCCTTGATGGGAGTGTTGTTCACATCAAGAATCCGATGTTTAGGGTAGTAAAGCCAATCTGGTAGGATCTGTTTGTCTCATTCTAGTTGATAGAGTAAAAACGTATACTTATTATGTCTAAGAAGCCGTATGTCAACTTTCAAGAGTACTGGCTCCTTGTACAATGCAAACCTGACGGCCCACCGGAGACAAACAACTGCACGTATCTTGTCGACTGGAACAATCAGTCAGTACGCAACTACGAGGGGCCGATCGAGAATGCGCGGTTGCTGTTTAACACCAAGCAACAGGAATGAGAAGCAAGTCGGACCTGCGAGGCCTTCACATCGCAATTCCGTAGGGCCATAGGGGGAGATGCGAATGCAAAGAAGATAACAAATATCGTATGCTTTGCATTAGGTGACTTATATTCCAAGCCACCCGATTGGTGGCGGATGCAGAACGACGTTCTGCCAGAAAAGGAACGAGAGTTAGAGACAAGTGTGGTAGATGGGGCCTTGGTACATCATGCAATTGCGTTGACGATGGCGAATATTATCCGTTCTTGCGCCAAAAGTAGTGACAGAGAGATAAGGTTACTCACCCAGGACCCAGGCTACTGTGACAAGACGAAGGATCTAATAAAAGGTATTGGGTTTGAAGTTATAGGAGGATATGGGGCTGGAGGCTTTGCTGAGGTTGATGACGAGACTGCCATCTTCTCACCTTTCCCAAAGGCACCAGTCAAGCAGATTATTGCAGATCTCGCGCGGCCACTTGTTTTTATCGCCCTCAGGGGTGCTACTGTCTGGAACTCCCGCCGGTATTTGACTCCACTTCCTCTACTATAGTTATGTCTAACTTGCGTCTTATTTAGGAATCCTTATGCCGACCCGGACTCTCCACGGACGAAGCAGATGTGGGAGAGTTATGAAAGGTGGGATTTTCCAGTTTCATCTGATAGTAAACAGCTGGGAGGTTCGCTGCATCAGTTGTCGGGATTTACTAGAATCGGAGAATAGGTTATAACAGATGGGTAGGTTGGGCATTTTGAGTCGCGGAAAGAATTGAGGATTATCAAGAACTAAGACAGCCGATAAATGTTATAATCCTGCTTGCCCTACTAACAATTTTGCTCTCCAGGCTGGCTGCGTAGTGCACCCATGGTTGAGAATTCCGTATGATATTATATTTTAATTCAATTCATTTCAATCCAATTCGACAAGCATTCTGTAACAGTATCGTAGCATTACGACGCCTTACTATTATGCTACATGTCAGAATGACCCCCGTGGGATGTCGTCGAAGTCATGGGAGTCTGTTCCCCAGACCTTATCGCACGTGGACAGAGATCATCGGCCATCCGAGGAACTTGATAAGCGCCAGACCAGGCTATACTGGCTCCGGTACCTTGGTGATGCCCTCCTTCACCGCGCCGTGAAATTGGAACAATTATTTGGCCACATCTGTTATTTACCTATCGTGGCGCGTTGCTATGCATACTCGTAGATTTTTGATATATGCTGTGGATCTCAACCCTCTTTGTCGCCCTGGATACCAAGCGATTACCGCAAGTACCCCGCCTGGACGAGGGGCAGATAGAAATATAGACGACCATGCCCAGCATTGCGCGCAAGGTTAACATCACAGCTAGGAAAGATGGGCTGGTATTACAGCCATTAGCTTCTAAGGGCCAAAGGCAAACACCGCCAGTCAGGATTTCATACAAGAATTCTGCAGTAGGACCTGTCCTGTCCAATGCGAACAACGACGGCAATGGCGACGGGAAAAGTTTCGAGGCCTTTGGCATAGTCGGTATATATCATATCTGGCCCCCAATTAAAGCATATAAGAGACACATGTTAACGTATTCTTGCCAGGCCTCCTCACAGTCGCCCAAACATCCTATCTTATCTCCATAACGCGCCGCGAACAAGTAGCTCAACTACACAACCACCCCATCTACGTCGTGACAGATGTTGCTCTCACGCCTCTTGCGTCACAGAAAGATGCTGAAGCTTCCGTGGTGAGCACACACACGTCGTTGTCAAGGAATGCTACATCTGAGCAAGAAGACGAAGGCAACAATAGCGATGATGAGGCGGTTCTTTCGGGTCTCGGCAGCGACGACGTCGAGGACGAGGAGATCTCCACCATAACTCCCCCGCCGGAAAAGAGGTTACATAAACGCTCCACAAGCGTGGTGAATGATGTGTTTGCGAAGAAAGGCGGCTACGGTCGGTTTGCGCGAAATTGGTTCAACAGAAACGGCTGGGCACCGGACAGGAAGATGGCGGGAGTTGGGTTGAGTAGTGCTGGTGTGGATGCAGAGAGTGATGCTCAGATATCTACTACGCCAGCAACCCCCGTGATATCTGCAGCGGACAATAAGAGCGAGACGAATTCAACGGAGGTGGATGGGGAGGAGAGTGGGCTTACAGATGAGCATGTAGCGGCTCTGTTGCCTAAATTGCTGAGAACAACAAGTTTGTTGTTTGGGTCGTCGAGAAGCTTTTACTTTGCTTATGATTATGATATCACAAGGAGCGTCAGCAATTCAAGGTCAGAGAATGGGTCAGATCTACCCCTTCATGAGGAGGTTGACCCGTTATTCTTCTGGAATCGCAACGTCATTCAGCCATTCATCGATGCAGGGCAATATTCCCTCGTCCTACCGCTGATGCAGGGATTTGTGGGACAGCGGTCTTTCTCGATTGAGAGATACCCCGTTGCAAAACTGCCAGGGGCGGGTGGAGAAATCCTAGAGCTGAGAGATATGCATCCAAACGAAGAGAGGATTGCCCGCGCAATCTCAGACCGTCCAACCACACCAAAATACGTGGAAAGCGACTGTGATGATACCCCTGGTGACAAGAATTCGTCGGATTTGTCGCCAATATCGGGTCATGATCCTCGAGCTTTAGCCTTCGAACCTTCAAGCACGTACCTCCTAACACTCATATCAAGGCGGTCTGTTAAACGCGCTGGGTTGCGCTATCTCCGCCGCGGAATCGATGAAGATGGCCACTGCGCCAACAGTGTCGAAACCGAACAGATCCTCTCGACGCCGACGTGGACCACATCGCCCATATATTCATTCGTGCAAATACGCGGCAGTATCCCCGTCTTCTTCTCTCAATCACCATACTCGTTCAAGCCCGTGCCTCAGATGCAGAACTCTGAGGGTACAAACTTCGAAGCTTTCAAGAAGCACTTTGAGACTTTGACAGAGAGGTATGGCGACATAACGATTACGAACTTGGTAGAGAAACATGATAACGAAGGTATCGTTGGAGATGCGTACGAGAAATACTGGAAACGACTTATTGAAGAAGGCGGAGTAAACGGCCAGAAGCCCCTATTTGAATGGTTCGATTTTCACTCTGTATGTCGGGGCATGAAGTTTGAGAATGTCTCGCTCCTCCTCGATTCACTCTCTCCTTCCCTGGAAAAATTCGGCTATACCATTTCTCGCGAAGGTAATGCGAAGACTAGGCAGAGCGGCGTTCTGAGAACAAATTGTATGGATTGCCTTGATCGTACGAACATAGTGCAAAGCGCCGTCGCGCGGCAGGTGCTAGAGCAACAACTTAAAGCTGAAGGCTTCGATATGAGTGCCCAGCTGGATCAGACGACGCAGTGGTTCAACGTGCTGTGGGCAGATAATGGCGACGCAGTGAGTAAGCAGTATGCAAGCACAGCTGCGATGAAGGGAGACTACACTCGGACCCGGAAGAGGGACTACAGAGGGGCTCTGACTGACATGGGCCTCTCTATCTCACGATTTTACAGCGGGTATGCATCCTTAACTTCTATCCCTGTGCGCCCTAAGTACTAACACACCTAGAATCGTGAATGATTACTTCTCCCAAGCCACAATCGACTTTCTCGTCGGCAGCGTCTCCGCCCTGATCTTTGAAGACTTTGGCACAAATCTCATGACCGCCGACCCCTCCGTCTCCCTCTCTCGCACCCGCCAGCGCGGCATCGAGATCTCCCATAAACTCGTCGTCGCGGACGCCTCAGAGGAGCTCCTCGGCGGTTGGGCCTTCCTCACACCGCACGAAGCGAACTCAGTCAAAGGGCACATGGAGGAGAGTGTACTTCTTCTCACGGACGCAGCTCTGTATGCGTGCCGCTTCGACTGGAATATGGAGAAGGTCGAGAGCTTTGAGCGAGTGGACTTGAGACATGTGACTGGAGTGAAGTGGGGGCCGTATGTCACTGCCACGCTGACGAGGGCCCAATGCGACGAGAAGAAGAATGTAGGAATGGTAGTGAAGTATCGTGCCGGGGCTGATGATATCACACGCGTGAACACGCGGTCATTGTCCACGGTGGCTTCAAGGGAAGTGCTGGATGGCGTGGCTGCAGCTGATGCTGCACCGGATAAAGAGAATCCGGTTGGGGACAGAGGGAGAAAACCAGGCGAGGAACGGATCATTGCTCTCAAAGCTCTTCAGGCGCGGACATCAGTTGTTGGAGACGGAGGGTCGTCGGCGGCGCCTGTGAGCGAGGAGGAGTTGATCCGGAGTGTGGCAGAGGAGATTGGACGGGTGGTTGGGATTGAGGGGCGGGTGGAGAAGGGGGATATAATAGGTGTTGGAGAGGCAAAGAGGGCAACCGGATTACTAGATTTAATAGGGTGGAGGGTTAAGAGGTTGGTTTGGGCGTAATCTGGGAAAAGTTGCACGAATGATGTGCCTAATATAGAGCCAGCAGAGTATCCTGTATAATGTGGGAGCAGGACCATAGATGCCATTTTCTACTCAACCGGGCATGTCTTTATGAAGTGCATGTCGCTCAGAACAACTGTTGTCTCTCGCTGCTGCCTTCCAAACGGAGGAGTGCGTGAAGTTCATTAACTGAACCGTTGGTAGTCCAGATAGGGTCACCTGGAATTTCTCCTGGCCAACTCTCGCTGGCAATGCCGCTTTACCTGTGAAGCCTGTAACCTCGTTACTGAGCCTGGATACATCCGACACGTATCCCTTCCACCTATAACCTCTTATACACATGCACCTGGAACCTCATATCCTCCAACTGAATAGGATACTTCAGCTTCTCGCTTAACCTAAACCACTTGGCCTCCTCTCCCATCAGCTTCTCCCACTGCGCCTTCCCCTCACCACCCTCTTCCCCGAAGACCTTCTGCGAAAGCAGCGCATGGTCCAATAGCCACGCCATAGGGTACTTTTTCTTCTCCGCTCCCTCCATGCCTACTGCTGCCTCAGAGTAAGAACCAGGGGAGTCGATGACGATGATCACCGACCCAGGCGAAATGGCCGAAAGCGAGAGTAACATAGCGGTTGTGCGCGCAGTAGATGCGGTGAAGAGCTCGTTTAGCGTGAAGAAGAGGGTGATGATGCATGGTTCTGGAGAGGCGAGGTCGGCGAGCTGGGTGGGAGTTAGGGCGATGGCGTCGAGCTGGTGGAAGGTCGTGCGGAGGGTAGTGGCGGGCATGAGGGGTTTAGCGGCTGCGCGGGCGCGGGCAGAGGCGTGGGGTGAGAGGGCAGGTGGGGAGACGAGGGCAGTGGTTAGGGTGGTGGCTGTAGGGGCCCAGTCGGCGGTGTCGACGAGGTGGAGGTCGCAGAGGAGAGGGGTTGGGGTTTCTTCTTCGGTGGTGGGGTCGGGGGTTGATTCTGTTTCAGCTGAAGATGCAGATGAATCGGTAGGTGAGGGCCTGGAACCGTTTAGGAGATATCGCAGGGCGCCCCCGATGCCAACAACTTCCGCTGCGCCGCCACCGAGACAGACGATTCTCGTTGCTCGTGCATCTGAATCCTTGTCTCCCCCATCTTGATCGGCTGCCTTGCGTTTCGTTCCGCGCGCAAACATGTCGAATTTGTCCAGGTGCTCACGTAGCTCTATGAGAACAGACGCATAGCATAGCGATCGACTCGGGCTCCATCTCGCAGCATATACCTCGAGGTATTTCTGTGCGCCGAACGCGCGCGCAAAGTCTCGCTCGAACAGGGCAGCTTTGATTTCTTGCAGCGTCGGGCTGAGTTCGTCTGAGATGAGGAGCGGGGCGTAGGTATCGCGGAAGATGTTGAGGAGGAGTTGTTGTAGTTCGAGACGGATGGGAGAGTGGTGGGGTGGAAGCGCGGCCTGTTTCGGGGGATTCGCAGGCCGACGGGCTGCTTTCGGTGTGTAGCCAGGGCCAATCCAGCCGGGCATGCCGGGGCGGCGAGTGTCTTTGACCTTGTTTTGGACCATGGTGAGGAGAGAGAGGTGATGGTCTGATATGCGTTGTGGGTTGGAACGAGGCTGCTGAGGTGATAGTTGGAGTAGGACTGGAGACGTGGTGTGAGTTGGCACCTATTCCACAGAAACCGGCGTTATCAGCTTCTTTAAAGTCGTTTAACCTGCCCAGCAAGTTTGTATATGGCTGTTAGATCGGTATGTATAGTTAGTTGCAGCAATACAGCCGCTTGCAAATATCACCACCGCGTTTCTTTTCCCCGCTGAGAATACAAATCGCATTTTCTTATCGCGATAAGAATAATTCAGGTCCCGCCTTGGTGGGTCACGGGATTTTGTATGGTACCTCTGTGTTATGAAGGGTCTCACTTTAAGGGAAGCCAGAGAAAAGCAGAGAGGTGTTGTTGGAGCTTCTGAGGCACTTCAAGAAGCTCTTTATGAGACTGGACAGAGAGGGTGGTATATGCTGTATAGACAGACCAGCAGTATCCAGGTATTCTGTCCTTAATCGTCGTAACTATGAGCCGGAGTACAACAACCCCGCCATTGTCTCATAGTGAGTTGTTGATATGGCTGCTGTCGCATTGCCTCTAATATGACAGAATCTCTGATCATTAGAGTCTCATCCCAAGTCCTGTGTATAGAGAGTAAAAAGATAAAACGACATAACTGTGAGCCTTGTCATGTTGATGGTCGACAGTGAGTGCCTGAGTAGTGAGGATTCACTTCGTGCAGGCCATCACATCCACCTGAGGCTGCGATCAGGCATTGAATTAATTCCAACGTCAACTGGAGACCTCATCGTTGTAGAATCCTGCCACCAGGAACATCTTTGTGGCCAAACACTCAAAAACGCTTGTTCCCATTTGCATCGTTGCTTCACTGTTCTTTGTGAAGCCATGGATGACAATGTAGGCACCAGAAGGCCACCGCCGCTGCCAACACCCAAACGCAATGCTGGCTGGTCGCAAGTGCGCGCCGATGAGTCCACTCTAGGCACCTGCCATAAATCGACTGGAACCTGAACTTTATATCCGCGGTTGGTGAACAGCACACCAGAGCAGAGGGTCACGAGACAGCTTCAGTGCGATTCTCACAAGCGGTTGCAGTTGAGCTGGCCGCCGTTGGAGTCAAGATGCCTAGAAATGGCACTTGAGCTCTGCCATTGCGCCTGGTCTATGGCCCGATCAATGGCTTCGTAAGTATCTATCGTGAGTCCCTTCCATACGGTTGTTGATCTTGCTGGTATTGTCATACCGGCGTGCCTAAAATGGTCGTTGGCGCAATATCTTCTTTCTATCCTCGTCAAAGCGGTGGCTGGCATAAATATAGTATGTGACTAACACCCCAGGCACAGAGTTTCGCTGCGCCAACCTATGAGTTCCACTCATGCTGCAAGCAAGCCTGGGTCTGTTCGGCGGCTACTTGAAGTCCATCTTCCGCTGTTCACTTTCGACAATAGCCAGCACGTATCGCAACAATCGCCACGTCAGCCACAGCGTCTTTGTCCAAGAACCAGCCGCAAAACAAAATACAACAGCCCCAACGAAGACGACTAGACGGACGACAACACAGGCCGCAGCCAGAGCGTCTTATCCACTCGGACTGTTTATATCCAGTTACCGTTCCTCGACCTCGACGGCGCTTTGTTCTGCCAACCCAATCAGGTTACTCCCGGCACCCAACAGTCACGTGCTGCGGCCGCGCAATCCACCAACCTGCAAAATCCCAACGTAAGCGAGCCTAAGGCACGCACGATTGTTGTTAGGCCGCTGCCTCCATCGTGAAGCCAAGTCCAAAGATTACGAATCCTGCCGCGAATCCGCCACGCTTCGAGGCAACAACAAGGTACAAACCATCCAGATGCCTTCCGCCATCACCGCCATGCCTGAGCAGCAGTTTAGCTACCCTCCGCTCGGCGAGATGCTCGAGACGCACCCGTATGCGCTCCCTGAGCAGCGCGCCTTCCACCAGCTTGCCAACGAGCGCGACTACACCCACGATGAGCACGAACACGAACACCTCGCCGATGGGGCCCCAAGATATGCGACTCCGCCCCCGAACGCGGAATACCAGCTTCACGCGACTATGGCTAGTGAGCTACAGGCCGCGTTGGATCCGAAGAACGAACCACCAACAGAGGAGCCGGGACGCTCGAAGGCGGTACCAAAGCCGGATCGTCCGGTGATGAAGGATGATAATGGGCGCTATGTGTGCAACTGGCCTGGATGTGATGAGGCAGTCAAAGATTTCGGGAGGAAGTGCGAGTGGTCGTAAGTGAACCCTTTCATCGTCCCAGGCGCATTCCCAATACTAACTGCTATCTTTTTCCAGAAAGCACATGGATAAGCACGACCGGCCCTACAAATGCCCCGTCCCCGGATGCGCGAAACTCCCAGGCTTCACATACTCCGGCGGCCTCCTGCGCCACGAACGCGAGGTCCACCACAAGCACGGCGGCCCTCGCAAACAGCTCAACTGCCCCCACATGAACTGCAAGCGCCACCACGGAAAGGGCTTCTCGCGCCAGGAGAACCTGAACGAACACCTGCGCCGCGTGCACACCGGCACTGATGGCGCTGAAGCTATTGGCACCGAAGAGTCTGAAGGAGAGGGTGGCAAGCGCAAGCGCGAAGGCGACGAGGAGGTCCGCGAGGAGCTCAAGCGGATCAAGACTGAAAATGAAGACCTGAAGCGCCAGGGCGAGGAGATGAAGCGTCAAAGTGAAGAGATGATGCGCCAGATCCGTGCGCTCCAGGAACAAGCTGGCGCGATGGCACAACAGCAGATGGAGGCCCATGCTCAGCAGCAGGCGCAACAGGCTACGAGAATGCCAGCCGCGTCAATGATGTGATCTTGGCTTTCAACTAACTAAGGGCCTCTTTGTGTTGGTCACTTTGTTTTGCTATTTGGCACTGGGGACCTCTTATACCACGGTCGCGTCAACAGGATTGTTCCGCTCTGTCTTTATCTCGTTTTTGCTTTTCAGCAGCGCCGCCAGTCTCCATACAATCGGTCGTGTCCTAGATGGAATCGAATGGGACGAGCTTGTATTCTTTGAGTTTGGGAGGTTGGGTGCATATGCGGAGTTTGTTATATGGTGGATCACTATACTACGGTGGTGGGGGTGGCGCATGGAGTATGTCGATGGTGGTGGAACGAAATTTAATCAGAGGCGCGAAGGGACAAACAGGAGGATACCCCTTGATTTGGAGGGAGAATGAAATTGTATGAGGGGGATGGATGCGACACTGTTGCAGTATGTATGATAGGTAGCTAGCAGATGGAGAGAATGAAGACACAGTTTGCTAGACCACATTCTCAATCATGGCCTGAGGCAGATTTGATATATATCCCTTTTTGCATTGATATACATCTAGATTTAACTATAAAGAAAAACATGTAATCGCACTCTAACACCTCCTTCCCTACCAGTTCCGCCCCGTAAGGTTCCGTAGCACCAGTTCAAGATCCAATAAAGCCAACTCATTTTACATCACACCTCAAACACCTCGCCCATCCTCTCTCCTCCAACCCTCCTAACCTCAACCAAATCGACCCTCCACCCCTTCCACTTATCCAACCCCCTCTTAACCTCCCTAATCCTCTCAATCCTCCTCTTCCCCTCCTCCTCCTGCGCCTTCCGCCACGCCTCCTCATCAAAATCATCTTCATCATCATCCAACAGCCCATCATCATGCCCGCCATGCGCGCTAGCACCATGTTGTCCCACCCCCGTCAGCGCATTAATTCCATAATTCAGCATCTCGCCGATTCCACCGCCCCCCCTTGCCCTCTCACCCCCACTCAAGTCTATATCCGAGAACTGTGCGCCTGGGCTGCCAGCCTCGAGCTCCTTCCTCCCCTCGCGCCACAGTCCGCGCTTCAGTTCTGCCACTTCAGCCTCTAGCTCACGGATGCGGCGCTCGAGGCGCTGCCGGACTTCCGTCTCGATGTCATCGACGCCATCGTCGTCGCCGCGGTTTGCTGCCTCCGCGGCTGCGAGCTTTGTGCGCAGGTCCGCGGCGTCCTTGTCTGCCTTTTCGCGTTCGCGCTTGAGTGTTTGGCTGCGCGCGTCGTGCTCCTTGTGGAGAGTCGTCAGAGTAGTGATTTTCTTCTCCAGCGCCTCGACTTTCTTCTCTAGGTCAACTGCGCGGGTCTTTGCGTCCTCGGCTTCGCGCTCGAGGGTGCGTAGTTTCGTCTCAGCTGATGTGCGAGAGGAGCCTTCGCGCACGGCACGTTCAGCAGTGCGCTCAAGGTTCTTTTTCAGGTCTGCGAGTTCGTGCTGTGCTGTGTCGAGGGACTTTTGGGTGCGCGAGACTTTGTCTTCGAGGGCGGCGATCTGCTCTTTCTCTGCTGTGGAGCCAGTGGCTGTGCGGGCGAGCTGGGCGCGAAGGTTCGAGATCTCGAGTTCCATTGTCTCTATAGTTGTTGATTTAGAGGCAAGCTCGGCAGCGAGGTCGGAGGGCGGGGAGAGGGAGTGTGGGGCTGAAGGAGAGGAGCCGTGGCGGTTGGGGCGGGAGACTTGGGCTTGGAGGTGGGCGTTTTGGCGCTCGAGGGAAGCGACTTGGGATTTCTAGGTTTGTTAGTATTGTGCTTATTAGATGTGAGCTGGAATACGTACTAGCTTTTGTGCTTCGTCGCTTGATGGTGCTGTCGATCCAGCCGTCTTGCTCTCAGTGTCAGCCTCACGCAGCTCTTCGAGGTCCTCCTCAGCCTTCTTCCATCGGCGCTCGCTCTCTGAAGTCTCCTTGGCAAGCCTCTTGTTCTCCCTCTCTAGTTCTTCGATCTTGGCCTGTTGTCTGCGGTGGATTTCTGGTGCTGTGTCACCCCCCTCTGGGCTAAGTATCGGTGGAGACAGCGGTCCTGGACCTGCACCTTGTCGGAATGAGGAGGATCGCATCTTCGATTGAACTGATAGAGATGGTTGCCTGGCCTTGTGGCCTCCAGCAGGCGGAGGAGAGCCTGCGTCGTCGATGACCTTCGAGGTGTCCTCCTCTGGAGTTGCGCTCTTGTCCTCCTCTGTTGCTTTCGTAGTTTCTACATCGGGGCTTTCTGCAGGCGCAGCTTCAGCTTTGTCTTTCGATTCTTCTGCAGCTGCTTCTTGCTTCTTCGCTGATGCGCCTTCTTTCTTTCCCTTCTGCTTCTTCAGCTGTTCGACCTATTCACCACCTCGTATCAGCATGTCTCATTCCCAACTCCCGCGCACTGTACGCGCCCATTGAGCACCTACCCTCTTCCTTGCCGCCGCCAGCTTCTCCGCCTTAGCTTTAGCCTCTGCATCAGCCATAATAAGTCAATTTGTCTGAATAAATACCACGTCGTGGACAATCGCAGTTCGTTGACGTCTTGAGTTCCAATCAGGACACCTCGACACCCGCGGCGCTAGTCGTCACACCTCCCGCACGCGCCCGCCCAAGCTCCCGCACCCCTGCCAGCCACTGGCCGCGGGACTCGACCGAGCAACCAGCCACCCCCAGCAAAAGGACGACCCCAACTCAACTGAAGTGGTCCTCAACCCCGCCTTCCCTCCCAATTGCACCACCCACCACCACCAAAATAACACCACCCACGCACGCAACCGCGACCAAAAAGGACTCCTTCCTCGCGCCCCGACGGATCTCATCATGCAATAGCATAAACAGCAGCGATTCCCATCTCCCAGTTCGCTCGCACTGCACCATACACGCCCGCCATGACATCACCCCCACACCCCGCGCCTCCACCGCTCTCCCTCCATCTGGCCGACACAGCGTTGAAACCGCTTCTTTCGACGGCGGCGCCACCTTCTTCTCAAGCTAAGAATCTCCGCGCCCTTACCACTGCTGCATTGAGTGCGCACACGTCAGCTTCGAGGCTGGGGCTAGGGTACCCGGTGCATATCCTCGTTGAGACAAAGGATGGCGGACCAGTGGCGATGCATGCGTTCCTCGACCCGGAGGCGAAGCGGGGGGAGGCGCTGAAAAATACGGCGTTGCTGGATGTACATTCTGTGGGGGAGGAAGAGCCGCGGCTGCGGAGCTCGAGGGGAAGTCCTGAGGCGGCTGGGGAAGAGAGAGGGGAGGGTGGGGAGCTTGGAGAGGGACAGGCTCACGATCAAGGACATGCGGAATTGACAAATGGAGTTGCGGCGATGCAAATTGGTGCACCAGCTGCAGGAGGCTGCGAAGAGGCGGAGGAAATCGGGCCACCTCTAGCACCGATGCTGGTTGCCACTGTGGTCGCGGAGTCACATAGCCGGATGAGCGAAGCGCGGAGGGCGGTGAGGCGACTAGAAGGTATGGGAAGAGGGTTTCAGGAGCAGTGGGTTCGAGAACGGGAGGAGGAGGAGGGGAGCGAGGCTACGTTGGGCGACCACCAAGCCGAGGGGACAGGTACAGCGGGGGCGAGCGCGCAGGGTAGCTGAGACGATGACGAAAGACGAACAATAAAAGAAGCGACGACGGATCTAATACAAAAAGGAGCGTTGCATAGGAAGGGGAAAAGGTTGGAAAATAGGCGGGGAAATACAGCACCGACTTGAGCCACGGCGCATCACGACCAACAGTGCAACCGCGCAAAGCGGTGCCTAGCTTTTCTTTACTCTCGGCATAAAAGCATTCCTTGCGAGGTCGCAGGATGTGAGGCGTTCCAAAAACTCATCTCCAGGCTGGGTATATATTTGTGCCTTGAAGCACATTGTGCTGCTCTTGGCTACGAGCCGATTATCTGTACATAGCAAAAAGCGTGAACATTGGCTGTCTATAATGAAGACTCTATGATTATTATTTGCGGTGACTGTTAAATTGAGAATGAGAAGTTTAAATTTATAAATCCTTAAGGTGGAGAAGAGAATATTATCCTCTTTAAAACTTCCAATTTTAACGAAGAATATATAAAAAATACATGCAAATTATTTTTATTAAAAATAGTATGTTATAATATTTGATGAGAACATCCCTGATACTAAACAGGCAGGACACAGTGATCTAACGCATTTCATTAGTCGTATCAGCTAATCTTATACTCCAAACCGGTACAGTACAATACTCTGGTCCCAACTATGAGCGGCGAAGTCTGTTCTCGGGCTCCAAGACACGATCCCTCCAGAACTTCTAGCTGCACGCTCCCATGGGCGCTCAGAGTAACCATCGATCCAGTTTTAACTCCCGTCCACCCCTTTGTACGCCGTTCCCAGTCAAGCCTAGATAACCTGTCGTCATTGAGGCACAGTTTCCAAAGAAAACACCTCATTCTCAAAGAGGATATTACTCAGATCCTCGCCCGTGCCGCCATCAAACCCGGTATCTGGCAGCACAAAGCTAGGCGTCGGTGACTTCGACTGCGACTGTGACCTCTCCTTTGCCGTAAGCTTCTCTAGCTCCTGCTTTGCAAGTACGTACTCGGTCTGCAGCGATTCGTACGACTCCGACAGATCGCGGTACTTCCCCTCAAGCTCCTGCAACCGGGCTTCTACCTCCTTGACGTGTTTCTCCTTGCGGTTGCGGAAGGCGCGCTGCGAGGCGCGGTTCTGTGCTCTCCGGCGCTGTTGGGTGTCCGTTAGCCTGCGCTCCGTATTGTCAGTCTTCAGTGTGAACTTACGGAATGTACTTGTGAGGTAGCTGGGTTGGCACCAGCTGTAGTTGCGGGTCGCTTCGTGCGGAGATCAACGTCGTCGTATAGATCCTCGATCTTTAGCTCGATGGTGGCGGCGAGCTGGGAGGCATGGTACATCTCTGGCGTCTCGTACTGGAAAAGATATGGCTGGAATTGGTCATATTGGGTGAGGTTATTGTACTCTTTTGGATCCTGGAGTAGACTGTTAGTCTCGGCACATAGATGGAAGTGTGAATCCAAAGAGGGCTTCCCACTTTCGAAATGTCCGGTGACCCAATGCTTGATCCCCCTGACGCGCTGTCATAGAAGCCTACGTGGCTGGAATCGACGACCGCATACGAGTAATCTTCCCCTTGAAGGGGATTTGTGTAGTATGATCCACCCGACATGGAGGTATTCGTATGTAATCGACAGTAGTATATTATCGGCAGTGTATTATTTAGAGCTGTTAGAGGTCAGTCTGCTGCCTCGGATCCATTTATGAAAGTATGACTACAAGATCCTCATCCATACGCATTTTACTCACTTGTTACGAGATATGAAGCTTTGCTAATATGTGCTATGATTCTGATTATGAGTTGTAGAGGCGAAATTTAACATAGCTGATAAATATCAGGACCAGCACGATAGTTATGCTCAATGACAGTGCCGTGTATGCAAAGATGGGACCAATGATATTCTACTGCCGTTCTAACGTGCGTACGTAGTTGTTATCCCCATGGGTGAGCTGCATACACCCCCGGTATATCCGACCCCCTGGCTCATCCCATCCAAAGAGCGGAGGACAGTAGCATGATCTAAACCGTGGAGTACAACTTGAAATACAACTTGGAACACAACTTGCAAGTATCCGGGTATCTTGGTATCCCATTCCCCCGCGAGTAACTAGCAATGGTGCGAGACCGATGGTTTCTGGGCACGGTCTGCATACGGCTCCGGGTATTTGATAGGCTATTTGTATCAACACAGACTTCCTCAGGGGATCTTAAATCCACATCCCGAAGTCGGCGTATGTTTATAGACTTCGAAGTCAGCACGAAGCCCCTTCCACTGTACCGTGAAAGCGAATAATGAGCAACGAGAAGTGATCGGGTATTGTTCAGATGCCACCATATCATATCGGCCAGTATTCTCCACGAATAAAAGCCCGGAGAGTCATAGATTGTATGTATGCATGTCAGAACAGCTAAAACCATATCAAGCACTCTATTCGCCAGCAGGAGGCATTGGGCGGTTTGGATGCATGCCACACAGCCTGGATAGATTCTGTCGGATTCTTATTGCCACGGGGCTGTGAAGACACCTTGTGAGGGAGATCCTGCGATGCGGCATGGCTTGTGAGAACGTGCTCGACTCGACATACTCTAAGGGGCTAGAGTAATGTCGAAAAGGGGATATGTACTCCCACGGGTACATGCAACGAGGCCGGGTATGCATAACCCATGCAGTGGAAGAGAATATTGATCCATGTGAGCCCGCTCTTTCGCTTCCATAGCCTGTAACTTTACTGCTTACTCAACTGCACCTCATAGTTTAGTATGTGCTTACACTTACAGGCCTTCGTGATGCGCTGGCTGACTGTTCGTGTTGGGCGGGGACAGCGATTGACCACCACCCAATAGCTGCTGCCCTCACCCATGACTATGCTGCGGCGTGCCTTTGAGGTATCTCAGAAATAGATGTCCGGAGGGCCGAGCGCTAGATAGACATTCTTGTCTTCTGTCGTCATACTGTTTCTTGGCGGCTTCAAAGCGGGGATTTTCCCCTTTCCCACATAACGACGTCAATATGGCGTTGAAGAATGGCTGTATTCTCGTGGAGATGGGGCTGAACTGGGTGCATCCATGGTAATCTTTAGTGTAATGCACACGGCTGGCTAGACACGGCAGACTGGACATGAGTGGCAAAACGCTCAGGCAGCACCGGCGACCGCGTGGAGAGATGGATTTGGAAGGTATGATTTGCCGCTGTTTCAAAATCGCTGTCGCTGTCGCGCACGCCGTGAGTGGAGGAAAGTTGCGGCCGTGTTTGTGTGCTTGCATAGGACAGATGGATGTTGGTGGGGGTGGGGTCCAGACTCCAGTATGGCACGTACAGTAAGCAGGAGCTAATACCGACAACATACTTGTCAGGAATTTGATAAGCAAGCCAAGCAAGCCTTGTGGTATTTGTGCAGACCGGTCTTTAATACTTCCAATCAGAGTATATACCGTCTTTCGTTTTCTGGGTTAGATATGACGGTTATCAATAATCATCAGAAATCAAACGCTGGTATGGACGTTGTGTAATGTAGCGTTCACTATACACCCAAACAACCGGTAAGTATCCAAAAATCTTCAGGGCACGAGATATTCTGTCTCGCTCATAGAGATCTTTCAGAGTCTTTCGTAATATCTTGCCATGGAGAGATTGACGGATAAGGCAAGCATGGCGCTCTTCCTTCCCAGAACTTTGGACCCCATGAACTTAGCCTTCATCTAGTGCTCACTGGACGGAATAGACTTCCGCTGTCGTGGATTCGTATCTTGAACTCCGCTGTAGGCTACTTGTTGCCCGCAATTTAAGAAGCACCTCACCTCACCCCCGGGAACGGTGGGCAACCTTGCCCGATCGTAAAATAGCCCCGCGCGGTCAGAATGGCAGGAGGGCATAGACCTATTGTCTGAACTTTGCTGCTGTTTGCCATGGCCCTTAAACCGAACGATTCCCGCCGTCGATTTTCTGAAAGTCATATCATACGAAGAATGCCTGTCTCTTGGAGTTGAATATTTAATTCGATATGAGAAGTAATTAGAATAGTAGCGGGATGTGAAAACCCAAAAAATGCCCTTTGAACTGTGCGTTAATCCACTGCAAGCCGTGCACAAGTCTGTATAAAGCTGAATGAAGCTTTCTCACACTGTTGCCTTAGGGCCTGACACTATTTCACAGTGAAATATAGAGACCGAGTTGATGATTTGGACCCAGTGTGGGCCATACAATTATATGGACTCCGCTTTTCCGCGGTCTCGAAGCTCGCCCACTTTGTGACCTCAGCTCATCCCTGTGTCCGTGAAGATTCTCGTATCTGAATCTTATTGCGGCGCCGTCATCTCGGTGCTGTTATGCTCCCCCACTAAAGTATATATTAGCTCTAGCCAATTAAGGCCATGCCACCTAATGGCAGGGCCTCATGCGCAATGCAGAGCACTCACCGTCTAACGCCACCAAGAACCTACTGACGCAATTATATGCAGCCACCTATCGCACATGAAAGTTTAGCGCGGCTCCTCCAACCGGCACTCCTTGTTTCACATAGGAGAAGAGGGGTTGAACATACCGTTGCAGTGATTTCCACAACCTCCTGTCCCGAGAACAGTTTCTTCAGTTCTTCAAACACCTCCTCGGGGACCCTCACGTTCCTCGTCATCTCATCCGTATAGCGAATAACAGCCCATTGTTTATCACTAAACCCCTCTCGCTTCGTTGCTCCTGCCACTTCAGGGTTGCCCAAGCTCTTCATCCCCTCCTCGCTGACCCCACCCTTCTTAGCCAATGGTGCATGGCTGAGCCACTCGTATGCTGCACCGTTAAGCACAGCAACGCGGCATATGGCAATCTCGCGGATATCATCTGGCAAGCTAGTCTTGGTTCTGATGGCGCCGAGGAAGCTGTTCCAGCCATCTGCGACGTTGGGCGAACGGAACAAGGTGAGATCCAGGGGCTGGAGCGGGCGAGGGGCCCGACGAGCAGCTATGCGGTCATAGATTGCTGCAGACTCCTCGTCGAGACCTTCCTTGCTGTTTGGGGCATATGGGAGACGCATGGTGGGGTAGGGAATACGAATGTTCCTGAGGTGATATGTGGTGATGTGTTTGACTTTGTAGACGGGGAAACTTTATGACAGTTTTTTCTGAATAAGAAAATATCAAACAGGACTTCAATTATTTAAATACAAGATGTATTTGGGGGTTGGACTATGAGTAAATGGAGATGTGTTGCCGAGCGTCGGAGGTGGGGTTGCGGGGTGCTTCGTTCTAGCTCCTACCGGCAACGAAAGGCGGCTATATATATAAGCGCCTCTTGCACCATAACACTCTTCTTGAAGCTTACAGTATTAGCTGCCAGTATAATGTGGCTTCTAAGTTAAGAGCAATCAGAATAATTCTGAGGCAGAGTCATCTTCGAATTTAAGCGCTGAGATTGCCTAGTAACAACAGTTGCCAATGCTCCGACCCCCGATGCACGATGGAAATGCCCATGATAACAACGTAGGGTGCAATCATCGGCACCATTGCACGACTTTTCGTCAAATTTGGACGGGCGAGGTCCACGTTGTCTATGAGATCGATACAGGTCACAATGGTCAAACTGATAACAATAGAAGCCACACAGCCCACGCGTATCACGGGGAACATGTGCGCAGAAAACAAGTAGACTAAGTAGCATACACAACCTGAAAGGCTACTACCAGCTCCCTCTATGTGGAACGTAACGCCAAAAACAGGAAAAAATGCAGCAGTACATACACATGTTGTTAACAACGAGGTCGCTCCGCTCCCCCGTCTCCAGATACCCCCATCGTTCACCCTATCTATCCCAAACCATCCACCTTATTAACCCTATTCGCGGAGAGTGCGTGCATGGCACGGTTTGGCTAATTGGCACTCCGCTATATCGACTTCACGAAACTGGACTCTTTAACAAGTGGCGTCCAAAGTGGCCTTCGAGTTCATCAGGAGGGCAACAATAAGACCGTATAGACCTGTGACACAGCGTTAGACTCGATAGGCCGAAAAATCAATCGGTGAACATACCCAGAACTTCAGCGAAAATAAGGATAAGAATCATTCCCACGAAGAGCCTTGGCTGCTGTGCAGTTCCTCTAACACCCGCATCTCCGACAATACCAATCGCGAAACCGGCGGCAAGACCGGACAGACCTACACTAAGACCTGCACCAAGCTGGATGAAGCCGGTGAACAGGGGCATTTGCTGAACGAGTCCATCGGAAATCAGGACTGAGACGACGAGACCGTAGATACCAATGATACCAGCCATAATGACGGGCACAATGTCTATCCTCGAAATTAGCATCTAGTCGTTGTTTCTTGATGAAGATGTTGGCATACTCTTGACGATCAGATCTGGGCGGAGGACACCCATGGCGGAAATTCCGACACCAGACTTTGCGGTTCCGTACGCTGCGCCAAAGCAGGTGAACACGATGGCAGATGTGCAGCCCATCGCTCCGAAGAACGGCTATATCATATATTAGTCTCGAAGGCTCTTCAAGTCGGTGATGGAAAGTTGGCGGCTGCCAGCTTGGCAATCCCGTAACAGGGTTGACGAGTATCGAAAAGCGCGTTGGTACTCACAGCGTAGACGGGGCTATAGAGAACACATCGTTAGCAGGCTGACTCGTATATAGACGACAGAGAATCATCAAGGAGATGAATATAGGGTGGTGAAGACAATCGTGGATCGGCATAGTTGCTCTCCTCCGTAAACAAGCTTTCAGTGTACATACCAAAGTTCAGTGGCCATTTCGACGGTTTATGAGGATATCCTTTGGATCTTTGGTTGCCAAAAAGGTCAATGGAGCTCGAGATAAAAGGAATGCGGGTTTTCGATGGCTTCGATTGAGCTATAGCTGGCTATCTCTGTCGTGACGATGTTCCAGGAGGTCGTCGTTTCTCTCAAGCTCCACCTGCTTACCTACTCGCGGCTCGGTTGGTTAAACGACACTAGTGTCGATTCGGGATTAGCGCCACTGTAATCGATTTTGAAGGTTGGAATTATTTTCACTGCCTCCAACCACAACTACAACCTCAAAGTTTTTTTCAAAGCACACAGGGCGAGCCAACGCAAGGAACCCTGCAAGCTCACTTCAAATTCATCATCTAACGAATTACCCTCAACCAAACCTCCAACATGTCTGACGAGCAGAACTCCGGTGCCGGTAAGTTTCCCTCCGCTGTAACCAACTTTTTCCATCCCACGCAGACTCTAACATGGACCCCCAGCTTGGCCCGTCGCCGACACGGCCCTCACCCAAGAGATCCTCGACATCGTCCAGCAGGCCAGCCACCACCGCCAGCTGAAGAAGGGCGCCAACGAGTCTACCAAGACGCTCAACCGCGGTATCTCCGAGATCATCATCCTCGCCGCCGACACCGCCCCTCTCGCCATCCTCCTCCACCTTCCCCTTCTCTGCGAGGACAAGAACGTGCCATACGTCTACGTTCCCTCCAAGACCGCGCTCGGCCGCGCCTGCGGTGTGTCCCGCGCCGTCATCGCGACCAGCATCACCACCAACGAGGCGTCTGATCTCATGAACCAGATCCGCGCTCTCAAGGACAAGGTCGAGAGATTGATGATCTAGATTACGCCTGTGGACGGGTGCAAAACGGAGTCTTTCTGAAAATTTCTGTCGCTGGAATGCGACCGGGGTTTGGGCTTACGGACAGGGCGTGGTGGGGGGTTTTTTTCTGATTTGAATTTTGTACAATCTGCTGACAATCGATGCGATCATTGGTGGGTTGCAGATAAATGCAAAAGAAATCTCTTGATCACTCAAAAATATGTTCAATTCCCGTTATCACTTGTGAATGAGATTCCTTGTGACACAGGAAGAACTATTGTGTGAATTTCTATATGTGACATGTCGACTTAACCATAACTCACTCACAGACACACCATTAACCACCAGATCAGATGAAAGTTGAGTTTCAATTTCTAACGACATTCATGCAAGCATTATAAGTATATACCTCGGTGGCGCCAAGTCCCAGGCCGCTCTCACCAGCCAGAGAAATCACCGAACGCCAGGTATGTACCACCAGTATCCTTCCAACCATTGAACACTCCCACCAACCCAGCCAGGCTCCAGCCCAACTCCTCCCTAGGATCTAACGTGAAAAGAAAAGCAATCAAAAAATTCAAACGCATCAGTGGTATCGGGTACAGTGTGGCGGACCGTTGCCATCGGTCCGAAACGCCTGTCCCAAAAAACAACAAAACCATAATAAATCACATGTTCGAATACGGCTCCCTCGAAAAGGCTCAAATCTCCATCTCCGCAGCGACCTCCTCACTAACGCCGCGTACGGGCGCCTTCAGATCCTGGTCCTCGTCTTCGTCATCTGCTTCGTCGTCATAGTCATCAGAGAAGACATCAAGGTCTGATATAAAATCATCATCATCATTGTTCAGATCGAACTCTTCGGACACCGTCCAGTCCCTGCGCTCAATGTCGTCGTCGTCCGGCTGGCCCGTGGCACTGTCGGCCTTGTCGCCAAGCCAGTACCGAGCACGCTTGTTCGCCCCGCTCTCCCTACTCACGCCACTGGCGCTGCGTTTTGGAAATCCGAGTCGGGGGCTGTGAGTCATGATCGGGATGCCACGGACATAGATGTAGGCAACGCGCTTTCGGGCCTTGTTGAAGAAGAGATAGTGCACGCTCCAGATGGAGCCCTCTTCGCCGTCCCACTCGGATTCCTCTGGCGACCAGCAGTAGACGGAGCACTCCTTGAGAGTCATCTCCTTGTCAATTACGGTCCACATACGTGGTCCCCACGCCTGGCTAGCTGGCGCTGCAGACGCGCCTTTAGGTGGTGGTGGGAGCTCTAGGGATGCGCTGGGGCTCGGCCTCAGGTTATACATTGTTGAATCGATATTGTTCATGACTGACTTCAGGCTTCGCTCCCTCCTGAAGTCCGTTGGTCGCAGGATATGGGAGAAGTCATAGTCAGGGTGACTGGCATTCAGCGTGGCGATCAGATATGCGAAAGTCCTACGACTTGATATCTGGCTCAGGGGCCCGAATGGACTTGACCTGCTCAGATCGAGCGATCCTGGCCCGGAAGATTGTGGGGGGGATAGCGAGGCCGACAGCCGCAGCAAAGATTCGTATTGCGACTCTAGGGAGTTTTCGATATTGCGATAGAGCTTCTTATCGGAGCCAGCGGCCTTTGTGGTGTACAGATCACAGCCGCCGACGACATGGCAATCGGGGGTGTTGAAGTTCAACGCGCTGGTGACGTCGTCGAAGTCGCGAAGTGGGAGGAACTGAAGGCTCATGCGTTAGCATTTCGGGCTTGACGTGTCGCGAAGACGAGGGCTTAGAAGTGAAACCTACCTTCATGGTTGCGGCATATACTCAGTACACTTGTGGTATGACAGTTGACGTCTTTATAATCCGGGGTTCAGAGTCCGGATCCACGCGCGATCGGGGGCCCACAAGGTCGCGCGATAAGAACAGTGACTGAGGAGAGACGATAGGGGTTCGGCGTCTAGAGACACCTCTGCAGGATTTGAGTGATCGCGGGTGACAGCTTGGTCGTCTAGGTCGTAGGACGACAGTGAGGGGTTGTAAAGCAGGGCTGATCTGAGGCCTGTTGTAGCTGATGACGAGCGGCTGGTTTCAACCTGAGCTGGGTGCACAGGCGGAATCAGAGTGTAATCGGCCAGACGATAAACGTCTAGCAGGCAATGGAAGCTGGCAATTGCTGGAATAACATGTTATAAGGGCGGGCCGTTGAGTTGTTTGTATAGAGTGATTGTCGCGTCCTGCGGGGTTGTATGATACGGCAGATCCAAGGATAGACACGAGTAGGCGTCACGACCGGATTCGGGTGGATGCCGTCTATCGGCAAAGGGCAAAGGATGATAAGCCACATCACGTGCGATTGCTTGGGGGAACTTGGCCAACGAATCAAACGATGGCTCCTGGCACGTCTTGGAAGGCTTTCGTGTCATTGTTCATAAACTTCAGCGGCTAGTCTGTACATTTTCATTCCATGGCATTGAAAAGTCTGGATTATGACAAAGAGATAGGGATGGGCCGTCAGCCCCTTTTATTACGCATGCACCACGCTGAACATGCCTTCTAAACTCCTGCCATTACACACGTGAATTCATGAATGACGGTTGAATGCGATATAACGAACGCCCTTGTGGCACGCCTATCCCTTTACTCCTTCCCTTCACTTCACTTCCCTTCACTCCAACCCTTCTCACATGAGGCCAGCGCTTTTCAGCCCGTTACTTACCTGTTCGTCTGCCTAAGACACAAGACTGTCGTCAGTGGACGCAAATCAATGAATTGTATGTATTTTGAGTAGATACAGTCCCAGGCGCCGATGGTCCCAAACGCCGTTGCCAATGCAAATCTATGTTTTGCTACATGATCTTCGTGATTTCCTCCTCAACCTGGAGTGGGGGAATGAAATCAGCCGAAAGGATCAGGGTGGCTGGTATGGGGAGAGGAGAGGAGAGGACGTGGTATGGTGGTAGCTGAGGGCGGTGGGGGTTATGAGAAGTATTATGCTGGACTCACCTCCATTTCTTCCAAGCTGTCTTGCTGCCCTATCGTCCTTAAGACGTTCTTTTTACTGCTCTCCTGCATCTCCCCAGCCAATAACAGCTCGTCCAGTATGAAGTATGCCTTTTGGAAGTTGAAGATGATGTCTAGCTCGCAGACGTTCCCGTAGTACTTGTCCATCTGCTCGACGTATCTGTGGACAATCTCGAGGGTGATGAGCTCGTTGTCTGTCGAAGCGCAGCCAGCGATGAAGAAGAGCGAGGCGTATCGGCGGTACACGATTTTCGAGTCTGGAGAAGAGTCAGCCAGCAGTTCAAGGTGCTAGCATAGGAGTGGTATGACCTTTATATTCGAGGAAGTTGCACATGCGCGTGCGCCGTGCCAGGACTAGCTGCGACACATCCTTGATGATCTTGGCCTTCTCTTTCGGCGACAGTGTCGTGAACCATTTGGCAAGACGCTATGAGCAGCATCAGTATATGGGTTTGGCGTAACAGAGAGAGGGGGCGCATACGACTTTACCCTGCCTTGAGAGCAGGATGAGGTAACTATTCGAGGGACGGTCAGCCACGTCTTTCTTGACTGGGGGCCCAGGGGCGCGTGAGGCAGCTGGGGAAGGAAAGACAAAGGCTCACCTGATGGCCATCAGCGCATCAAATCCGCAGAGCCAGCTCTGTCTCTGATGATAATAATCGGCGGGGTAAATGTAGGTATTCGTGGAGATCGGAGCTATTGAGCACGCACGCACTGTAGATGGTATTATTGTTGCGGCTACACCTACTGGAACCTCAAGTTGTCGTAGTGTGGGGGGCAGACAGTGGTTGTTGCAGTTGGCGGGAGGCGGTCGCACCAATCGAATTAGGTAAGTTCTCGCTGTAACTCGGGGCCGGGGAAATCGTCCCTCCCTCTAACGGGCGGATGTGGGTGAGAAAAGCAAAAGCAAAAGCAAAATTGATCCCCAAGTCCGATACAACAAAACGACAACGGGATACCACTTTATTCGAATTTACTTGCTGCGCTTCATTGCTAGCCCTTCAGATCGACTGCTCGACTTTATATCTCACTTCCTACAACCCCATAAACTATTCCTGGCTCACACGAAGATTCCCCGATTCGCTTTTCTGATAACGAACTCCGCCCCTCATATAGAGAGTACCTCGGACCCTTTAGGGACGGGAATCGTTGACGACACCAGAATTTGCGGGATAACCAAGAAAATCGCTCTGGTACCTTCATACGCCCTACGCCCTGTCTGGAGTCGCTAGCAAAAGGCATAAGCAATCAGCAGAATTGCGACATCTCCAGTCTCCATCCTCATAATACTGGTCTTTTTTGGATTACAAATTCATCATCATGACAAGGCTGATCCTTTCCACCTCGTAAGGCTGCCGATCCAGCACTGGACCCTGAAACCTTTTTTCCGCGACTTTCGTACTACCTTATTGCCCCAAAGCTAATTTATCGTCTTACAGCAATATTATGAATGGAGTCTCCTCCATTATTCGCAGAAATGGAGGGGAAAAGTCCAACCAGGAGCTGGTGAACTCGCTGCGCACCAATTTCGCCGCCGCCCAGCAGGATTACTCCCCCCCGCTCTCGGCCTCTCCAACCCCGCCAGTCGATGGCGTGCAGGAGACGAAAGGTCCATCGCGACCGGCGACTTCGATCTGGACGACGAGAGACCATGGCGATTTATACATACCCACAATCGACTGGGCGCTGTCCGGGCTAGCCGAGGAGAGGAGCCAGTACGATATCACGGTCAAATTATTCTTCTTGCCCAAGGCATCGCTGGAGGAGCGCGAACAGATTACTAAGGATGCGGTTGACTTGGTTCTGAAGGAATTGAGAGTCGAGACTATTGATTTATTGATTGTCTCATTCTACGGAATGTCCTTTGATGGCGATTGCGAGTACGCTGCCGACCAGAAGAACTCGGAGCAGGGCAATGATGAGGAGGAACTGGCGACCTGGCCGACAATGGAGTCGCTTCACGAACGCGGGGTCGTAAAGAAGCTGGGCCTTGCTGAGTTTGGCAGCGAGAAACTGTCCAAGTTCATGTCGAAGGTCAAGGTACGCCCTGTTGTCGACCAAATCAACGTCCGAGACTGCTGCAACGTCCCGCCACCCCTCATCCAATTGGCGAAGCAGGAGAAACTCGAGCTCTTGACCCACAACGACTGCAGCGAGATCTTACCGAGCGGAACACTGCGAGAGTTGCTGGGACAAGGTCCTAATGGCGCAGGTGTCATTTCGGAGTTGAAGCGTTCGGCAGATGGTAGCACGAGCGAGATTACACCTAAGTGGGTTGCGAAGTACACTGCTGTGGTGCGCGACAGAGGCGTGGTCGAGAACAAGGGGTACTTCGCCGCAGCGGAGCTGGCTGAATGAGCATTACACATAAAGAGGGTTTTTGGAGGTAGCTTTTGCATTGGGATTACTGGTACTGGTCATCCCACGGCGTTTTTGGTATATGGGATAACGACGCACATATTGAGCTTCTTGGAGAGCACAAGAAGACGGCGGTAGCGATGATGGCAAGTGGAATAGACATAGCCTTGCGTTGATTGCATTTATATGAATAACCCGGCTTCTGCCATGATGCATGTCTATCTTCGCTGTATGATTTCTGTATAAGTTTTTTTTGCTTTCTAACCCAGCATGCTTCTCTTCCTACCCCGCATCCGCACATCCTCCAGCTTCTTCAGCGTCACTTTAGCACCGTTGAAGCTCTCCCCGTACGCCCTTAGTACCTCCCCAAATAGCGCCTCCGTGCCGGGATGTGTACTTCCAAAAGCTCTTTCCAGAACGTACAGATCCACAGCCCGATCTTCATCCTGTGCGCTCTGACTCGCCAGTCCAAAATCAATCAACACAATCTCCCCCTCCAAATCATCCTCTACCGCTCCATTCGCCCCTTCCTTTTCCGTCGGCCTAAGCATCAAATTACTCGTCGTCAAATCCCCATGCACCACACCCACCGAATGCATCGTCCCCACCGCCGCCCCCACCATCGTCATCAACCTCAACACCCTCTCCTGCCCCTCCTTATCATCCAACGTCTTCCCCTCCCCCTTCCTCCTCTTCAACCACCGATTCAGCGCCACGCGCACCACATCCCCCTCCACCCACTCCATCGCGATCCACCCCCCCTTCAATTCAGCATCGAGCGCGTACACAGCGGGGACAGGGACGCCGTCGCGGCGGCACTTGGCGAGGACGCGGGCCTCGCTGAGGATGCGGTGTTTGGTGAGGCGGGCGTCGAGGATGGGGTGGCGGAAGGGTTTTGGGGGGCGGTGTTTGAGGGCGCAGGGGAGGGTGGGGAGGAGGTAGGTCGATTTGTAGAGGAGGGCTTCGGCGCCTTGGGTGATGAGCTGGGGGGTGGTTGAGGAGGGGTGGGTGAGGATGGTGGGGAGGGGGATGATGGGTTCGGAGGCGGCGGTGGGTGGAGGGAGGACCTCGGAGGTCGCCATGGCGGGTGGTGAGGAGGAGGTGGTTGGTTGTGAGTTTGTGGTTGTATTCGTATTCATGGAGGGGTTGAGATTTGTCGTGCTATCGTGGAAATGTTGTTCTGGTGGTGGGATGGATGACAGACGTGGGGTCGGTTGATCCCGCTTTTAAGCCTCGCAGCCTCGCCATCAATGGATTTTATGGATTTTATGGATTTGCAGATTTACAGTACATTAAACGCAGGGTACATGTCACTTTTTCAACGGTAGCACAGCGATGCTAATGGTACAGTCTGCAGCGGCAGCTATGCAGGTCTGAACCGATTCAAACGGGCTATGCATTTAATTGTTGAGATGTAAATATTTCCTCAAAAATGCATAAATTGCCAATTTTGACACGGTAATGAGTGCTCTATTGGCATCGTCTAAACACATGATGCCCAATTACCGTTTGGGCAGTTTTTGTGAAGCAATCAGTTAATGTTAATGCACAGTCTGCACCAATCTCCACGTCGACTATGTACAGGCAGGGGTATCACCGTCCACCCAAAACCAATCACCCTCACCTTCACATCGCCACCATTACGAATGAACTTCGTCGGCTTCACCACACAAATCCGCCAATTCAACTATTCAATATTCACTCGTCTCTCGTCCATACTCTCTCTCGAATTATTCCGCGAGTACTGGCCCCCCGTCCGGCCATGACAATGCCGTTAGAATAGCACCGACATAACAACCCAACCACCCAACATCAACGGCGGTCTGAACCACATCCATGGCTTCCAGCGACCTCCCCCTTGCCGCCCTGACCCTCATCCTCGCGGCCCTCGCCCTCTCCATCCTCGTCATCGCCCAAACAACCACCTCCTACACCTCCGCCTACCTCTCCGCCCCTCTCGAGCTCCCCACCTTCCTCGACGCCGCCGACTTCTCCATCCAGGAGAACGAATCCTACGACCGCGACATCGCGCGCGTCCCCCGCCTCGAGGACAAGATCCGCCTCAACCGGCTCCTGCGCGAGATCCAGAAATGCGGCGACGACCTCCGCGAGGACCTCAACCGGCTTCTCATCGGCGAGTCGGGGACGCGGTTGCGCGCCAGCGCGCGCCTGCTGTGGGCGTCCAACAGGCTGCAGCTGGAGCAGCGCGTGAGGCGGCTTGATCTGCTGCGCACGCGCTTCCTGGTGCTGTATATGGGGCTGCTTGCGCAGGGGTCAGTGGTGCCGGATAAGCCTGTTGTGGAGAAGAGCCCGGAGAGGAGCGTGCCGAAGATGGCGTTGAGGCCACATCTGCATCATGCGCTTACGGAGGGGATTGTGCGGAAGCCGCCGCTGAGGAGGCTGACGACGCAGGCGATGGGGCATAGCAATACGCATATTGGAGGGGCGCAGAAGATGGGCTGGGCGAGCGTGGTGAATGAGCTCCAGATGAGCCCGTTGATGCATAAGAGGCATGCGAGTATTGATGCGGCGATGGCGAATCCGCCTTGAGTGGGGAGAATGGGGAACTGATCTAATGGCGTTTTAAGGGATGTTTTTTCCGGAGAGAAGATCCAGGAGCAGAGGCCAGGAGTTGAATTGGCTATACCACCCGATTCGGGAACGCAAGGGACGAGTAGTGCCCACAACCACGCAAGGACGAAGACCTAGACCACGTACCGTGGAAACGAACAGCTATATGAAGACTTTCGGCATTTCTAGCATTTACAAGGGCGCAGAAGAGGTCGGGACTACGTGTCCTTGTAAGACGAGAACTGTCCACGACATCACGGTGTACGAGTTACGTTCATGATAGATGAGCAGATGAGCATATGAGCAGAACAGAAGTTTGGAGTATCCGGGCGGGGCCACAAGTGGCGATATATACCCATTTCTAACATTTATGAGCGAGCAGGAATGATTCGATTCAATGTAGATAGAAACATTTATACTTAATTCAATCCATTTAACGAAGAAATGCTTAAACCAATTGCCTCGTATCATAGAACTAAATGTTCTCTTATAGTCTTTCATCATATGAATTGATATCCAGGTCCGATCTAAGTCATCCGTAGCATCCTCGATATACCATAGCATATGATCTCATTCATTCGTCAATTCCACTTTTAACTTCCTTCCATACCCAAGAAGCTCTCTATACCTACCAATCACACCCCTTCGCCAGCAGCTCAGCCAACTCATACAGCGCCAACGCATCCTCCTCATCAAACCCACTCAGCACCGCACAATCAACATCCAGCACCGCGACAACCTCTCCGTCAACCAGCAGCGGAACAACAACCTCGCTCTTCGTCGCGCCATCACAGGCAATGTGGTTCGGGAACGCCTCAACGTTATTGACGACCTGGATAGTCTTGTGCGTAGCCGCGTAGCCACACACGCCGCGCGTGAAAGCGATGGTTTGGCAGGCGACTTGGCCGTGGAAGGGGCCGAGAATGAGCTGGGAGGGGGTGGTGCGGTCGAGGACGTAGAAGCCTGGTTGGGGGAGGGGTGTTAGTGGGGTTGGAGGGCGGGGGAAGGGGGATAGGGGACGTACCGGACCAATTTACTTCGGAAAGAGGGGCGGGGAGGGATTTGTAGGCATGCCAGAGGAGGGAGGAGGCGTTTGCGAGGTTGCTGGGGGAAGGGGGTGAGTTGGTTGAGATGGCGGGGTTGAGGGGGGAGTGCTTACCAGACCTGTGGATGTGTTAGGGTTTGGTCTGGGAGGTGGGAGGGGAGTGAAGACTTACCCAGTTCCTTTGGCCTTCCATGAGGCCCTTCATCTGCTCTAGAACCTGCTTGTAGGCATCTGCCCTGGAGACACCTTCTTTGAAGGTCGATGCTTCGGCGTGGGGTGCGGTGTGTTCCTCCTAGGTCAAAATCGTAAGCCTGTTGCTCATACCCAAAGGATGGGTGATGTATATACCATTTTAATAGATGCTAATATATTTTAAATATAAAGAGAAGCTATATGTCGTATACAGTGCAATGTGCTTCGTTGTCTATGTCGGTTTCCAATTCTGCAAGGTCAGCTAGCTCCCCCACCCCCACCTGTAGGTTCCTTGCCTTATCGGCGATAAGGTGCCATGCCCAACACGATAAATGACGGATCGTATAGGAACGCCACAAAACACCATTTAACATGTGCACGCCCTTAATTGGGATACGCGGCACAGAATAAAGGCAGCAGGATCTCCTGCTTATTGCTTCCTTTCTCGAGAAGCCACCGATTGAGTTAAGAGCTGTCCCATTACTAAAGGTCAAATCCGCCCAAGATGTCTGGAGTTCCTTGTCGAGACTGTGTGAGTGGCACTTTGTCGGATAAAACGCCAACAGGAACAGAGACTACAATACATGGGCTGCCGACGTACGTCGCTCTCCCAGAGGGAGAGTCAAAAGGATTGATCGTCTATATTCCTGACGCGTTTGGGTGGAAGTTCAACAACAATCGTGTTCTCGCCGATCAGTATGCAAAGAAGGGCGGGTTCACCGTATATCTTCCCGAGGTCATGGATGGTAAGTAGCATATTTGAGGTCAGCGTGCACAGTACTCTGGCTGACAGCCTAGGCCACGCGGTAAACGAAATGCTTCTTGACCACATGAGCTTCATCACAGCGCCGGCATCCTGGTATACGACGTTATTTGAGAAGCCAATCTACATACTGCAGTCCATACAACATATGGTCCCATTTGCGATCCGTTGCCGAGAGTCAGTGACAATGCCAAGGGTGTTAGAATTCGTGAAAGCCCTGAGAACGTCGCCAGAAACCGCGAATCTCAAAATTGGCGCCGCTGGATTCTGCTGGGGCGGGCTGCATGCTGTTAAGCTTGCACATGATACGCCGTCTTCTCGTGTTCACCGATATGGATCCGAAGCTGGGGAGGTGAAGCCGCTGATAGATGCTGCCTTCACAGCCCATCCGAGCATGCTGAATGTTCCAACTGATATCACTGGAGTCACAGTTCCGCTATCCATAGCTGTTGGAGATGTTGACTTCGTAATGAAATTCCCTGATGTCGAGAATGCCAAGAGCATATTGGAGAAGAAAGGCGACGACCACGAAGTCGTCGTCTATCCTGGGGCTAAGCATGGATTTGCCGTGAGAGGGGACCCAAGGGATCCTAAGCAGAAGGAACAAGCAGACCAAGCAGAGGAGCAAGCAATCGGGTGGTTCTCAAAATGGCTTGCTTAATTAAGCATTATTTCCCGGATCATATAGACTAGGATTCCTGCATATGAATATTGGCATCGTTTCACTTGTTTTGTTTGAATAATGAAAGGCCAGCACACTGTGCATTATTTGCATAGCCACATCCTCCACCAAAGACATGGGCCTTCTCCGGAGGAATTTATAATACTTCAGGTCGATGTTGGACCGACCTGCCTCGCCCTGCGCCTTCATTTGGGGTCGACGGCATTGTTGGGAAAGCCGGCACGCGTCAACCTAGTTTTTATTTATTGGTCTTCCAGGTTATCGCCACACGTCTCTTGTTGGAAAGGAATCAAATCCGAGCGGTTCCAAGCTGCAGAGTCATTTATTTACAGGCACAAAACCAACTTTAACCGTAGCCGCGGCCTCGATTTATGACGTAGCCTTCAGCCTCGCGATGGAATGTTGCACGTGAGGCAGCAGCAAGGCTGGCATCAAACCAATCAACGACATACTTTGGCGCCGGGCTTAACCGCGCATCCAACATCAACCACTCACAATGTCGCACCGGTCTCCAAGAATAAACATCAGACTGACTGAGTGTCATGACAGCGCCTACCAACAATATGGCGGCCTGTCAGGGACCTACCTTTGGCGACAGGATGCACAGGTTGTGGATCAGGGCACCACCACATGGCCAGACGTAGGTCGAGGAGTGGCTTGGGTAGGATGAGTCTATCGCTCATGTCCCAACAGGTAACAGGCAGCCGATATGCTTGGTCTAATTTTGTTTTATTCCATCTTCTTATTGTCTTCCTTTGCCCCTTCATCTTTCATTTTGTTTCGGACTCTACATTCTTGATTTCTCCGTGCCGTGGTTTCCTTTGGCGTCGTCTTACTTTCTTTCTTCATTTCTATTTTGATGATGGGACGCTGGTCGGCTCATCTCCCATATTTTCTTTCCCTTCATTAAGGTCAGTAGATTCCATGCTGAAAGTTCTCCTGCTATGGGGTAATGTGGCCGTGTGAGTGAAGTTAGCTGACATGAAGCAGTACCCTTAAAATGGGCATCTCTACAGCGAGCTTCCTCGCCTTAATATATTTCCTTGCGACTACGGCATCTGTCACAGCCCAGACTTCCTCTTCACCCACATACAACTTAGGAGACGACATCACAGAATTTATCCCGTTATGCGCGCAGTCATGTTTTGCTTCGTTTCTTTCCGCGAATTTTCCAGCGTCCGCATGCACGACATCTCCAACTTTAGATTGCTTATGCACACATAAGAGCTCGACAGGGTACACAGCGGGGGAAGGGGCACTACAGTGCCTTATAGCTGAAGAGAATGTGGGGTTCTGTGTAGGAGATACCAACAGCAGTTCGGCTTCGAAAAAGGCTTATAACATGTGTGCTGGGAAGGCCAATGCGCTACCAAACACGCATGCGGTACTTCGGGCGACTATCATTGTCGATACTGGATCTTCAACGACTGCCACCACCACCACGAGCCATAGCTCATCCAAGGCATCAAGCACTTCTACTACGACCGCCGATTCGAGCACTACCAGTACGACTGCCGATTCTACCACACTTATTCCAAGCACAACATCCGAAACGACGAGCGATTCCACCTCGACGTCAGAAAGCACCGTAGCTGACACTACGGTACCGGCTGCCGCTGAAAATTCCTCGTCAGCTACCCCAGTAGCTGGAACTCAGCTGAGCTCGCCACAGCTTGCTGGTATTGTTGTGGCAAGCGTTGGCGCCGCTGTGTTGGCCATTGCGGCAATTGCAGTTGCAGCGTGCTTGAGGCGAAGACGACGAAGAAGCCGAGAACGAGATAGCGATACCAATAGCCTACCTTTCCAAAACGACCCTTCAAAGGGCGAAAAATACTATCAGAATGGGCTAGGAAATGGGCCCACCGGGCCTGCAGGGTTGAAGAAAATCCCACCTCCAAGGTTCCCACTCGAATATGGGGATCCTGGAATAACCCTTCCGACAGACCAGATTGGGGTGGCAGTTTCCCCAGAGGTAAAGCAATACGCCATGCCTACAAACGGGCTACCCGGAAAGCCCAAGTTACGACTATATGTTCCACCTGAGCCCGTTGCGAAAGACATAGCGCATCCTATGCCACGAAAAGAAAACGATTACTACGACCAAGGAGTGCCGAGCCGAGATAGCGCGATGACCCAGTTTGAAGAAGACAGCACTCCATACACTCCTTTTAGCTACGAAGAAGATAATACCGTATATTACGGTCTCCCGAATGACGACGCAAAATCGTCGCTACCAGCCATCACTCCTGCCACACTTCAAAGGGCGGGTTCTTCCGGAAATGGTCTAAGGCCACAGGAAGTCCGAAAGCCAGGTCTTAGCTTTTCGAAGCCTCTGCAATTAGGCACAGCAACGTCCAGTGTATATTCAGGGCGAAGTTCGCCACGAGACAGCGCAGCGAATTACCAAAACAGCCGACAGCCGCAACAGTCGCCATACCGGTCATACGCACCATATCGACAAGGCTCTCAGCAGGAAGCCGCGGAACTACCAACAGATTACAATAACCAAGCATACGCACCAGAAACCACACTGGTGCCAGCCCCCCTGCGACGAAAATCCCACGTCAACAACAGACGCAGCGCCGACCTCTCCCCCGTTGTCGAATCGCCCGTCTCCTACCCCAAGATTCCCAAATTATCACCTACCTTCGCCTACCCGCCGCCGAAGCAGCCAAATTTCCAGCGTCTGCAGAATCCGCGGATGAGTGCGGGGAGTGGAATGTCAACAGAGAGTACGTCGTCCTCGTTGCTGGAGAAGCGGCGGGGGAAGGAGCAGGCGGATGCGTTGGTGCTTGGGGGGGTTGATGGGAGGGCTGCGGGGGGTGGGAAGAATGGCTGGAGGGTCGTGCCGGGGAGCGGCGGTGGGAATGGTGGGGGTGATTCTGGGTGGAGGCCACAGCAGAATGGGAATCAACGTTCATTCATGAATTTGCAGGGCGAGCGGGGACAGGTGCCTATGAGCCCGAGTCCGTGGGAGCTGACGCCGAAGAAGATGGGGGATGATTTGTTTTTGACTGTACGATAGAGTAGATGGGATATATATTACGCTTGAAATGATATGCTACCTTGGCTACGAGCTTTCGTGGAATGTTTCCTCGCCTCTCACTACAATAAAGGGTGTGGCTCAAAAGCCATAGAGATGGTTAAAAATCGGCATCTCAAGCAGTCTCATTCTTGATAATGCCTTTAGCGCGGCAGGTCAAACATTGAAACTGCGACGTAGAAGCTCAACATTAGGACTCACACTGGACAGCTCCCGGAAAAGATTGGCAATGCCGCCCTGAATTTCTACACACCTGGCCATCACCACATGCGAGCCAGCCCGAAGGTCGTTGGAGAAGGGGTGCCCTTTGCTTATGACATATTTTGAATCCCCTCTCTCTTCTCGTCACTGCTCCACTAGTGGTGTCGCGACGCCTCTGTCACCGGAGCATTCTCAGCGCCGGTAGGGCTTCTTGCCACGGTCTAATCAAATAGAGGAGCTATCATCTACGGAATGGTATTCGGGTTGTCAATGAACTTACCCCTTGTCGATGACATTTATTGTAATGGTGCGATGATGGAAATTACTCTGGATGGTATTGAGAGCACGATCCCATGACCGGCCTCGGGTTTGCGTGCAGATGGGGGTTACGAGCACGCGAGGTTCGGTAATCCTACGATTATCCATTGTAATTACGATTATATCAGAGCCATATTTCCTCCCGTTCTTACCTCGACGTCTTTAATTAATGCGTGTGCCGCTGTGATGTAGCCAAATCCTAAACACCTCAGCACAAAGTGTCATCCATATCCATTGGTGATTGGTTTTGAATACGAGGGGCCTATACGAGGGGCCTAGTCTCCACCTCGCTATCTATAGCAAAGCCCTTACCAGTAGACAGACAGCGGCATGGCCTCGTCCAAATCATGCCGTTAGCCCAGTTGACAGTGTATCTCAGCTTATTCACTTCCATAGGGGTCGCTTTCGCTGTTCTGGCGTAGAACATGCGGAATGCGCACAGGCTCGGCACCAAGCCCATTCCTTCTCATCACGGGATATCATCCATCTGCGGGCCCAGGCCCCCGCCAGTGTCTCACACCACGAAAATCCAAAATCAATAGCCAGACCGCCCACGCCGTGCTAGAGAGAGAGCGGTAACCCGAGAACTGTTCGCCGGCCGGAGATGTGTGGTGATCGGGGTCCGTCCAGCTGAGACCGCCGGGACTAAATTTGGCCGGCGTGGTCTGGGCTAGCCTCGCTGTTTATGCACAGACAGTCGGGTCGTGCGTTGGCCGCCCACGGGAACGAAAATCAGGGAAAACATTCTGTCGTGATAGGGGCGAGCGAGGGCGATATTAGTAGTTTGTCGGTCTGGTGCTCACCGACCTATGACTTACCCCGGACTGTACGCGCCGTCTGCGACAATCACCGAACATATGTACAGTTGTTTATCGCTGTTTGGATGTTTCCCGGTGCGGTCGGGACAGCGCCAGCTGAGGATGACTGGTGCATTGGAGGGGATTGACAGGGCTATGCCGGAGGGGGTTAGTGGGGGGGTTGGTAGGGCGTGCCGGGCGCGGCGTTTGCGGCTCACATCAGCTGAAAGATGACAGATGTGGCGGCGGGGGATGCTGGGAATGGTGGGTTGGGTTGTTGTGCACCGCAGATCGGAGGTGAACTACTGTTAAGTTGCATACAACGGCCGCAGGTATTGTTAATATTGCTATGGAACATGCAGATGTTGGAAATCCTAGGCCGGCGTCGAGATTTGAGAGATGGGGATTGGGATTGGCAGACGGGAAAGGGATGGGAATGTCATAGGCTGGGAGATGCGGAAGTTTGTGTCTCTGATTGTGGGTGGCAACGGCAATGAAGCGGGAGTGGAAGCCAGTGGTGGAAGGAGTGGAGTAGAGCGGGAAAGAGGGTAGTAGTGAATAAATGATGCAGGCAACAGAGCAGGTTCTGTTTCCGTTTTTATTGTCTCGTACCAAGATATGCAGAGACTATGCAGGATAGAATGCGGGATAGTATGTGGGATAGTATGAGGTAGTATGAGAAAGTAGGGGATATTATAGGATAGTATGGATATGATATGGGTATAGTATGGGTTTGTATGGATTAGTATGGGTTAGTATGGGTATACTGCGGGTGTAGTGCAGTGCAGTGCATGGTTGTATGGCGCACGATGATGCTCTGGTTCCAAATATCGACGACATCCCAGGTGAACAAGGATATGTACAATATGGGGCGTATGCATACTTTATGCACGGTATTGGTCCCGAGATGGCCAAGGGATGGCCGAGAGATGGCCCAGAGAGGGACCAGAGAGGGACCAGAGAGGGACCAGAAAACTCGAATGGGGTCATATGGTATGGGATGAGGCCATACAGAGAGTCTAGAAGAGGACAGAGCGAGTTACGGCTTTCGTATAGGGGTTAATAATGGAGAGAGCAATGGGCGACTGTTCGTGTAAGACGGCGCGCAGTAGTACGACAGTAGGCAGGCAGCGACGGCTGCGAGTCCGGAGTAAGTAAGCATGTCATACGGATCAACCCCGTCGTCGATCATGCACTATGGGTGTTCTTGAGTATGAGTGGAAACAGAGAAAGGAGAGAAGGCGCGAACGGCGAAGAGGCTCGGAAGAAAAGAAACTTGTAACTCGCTCAATCGTAGAGAAAAGGGGAGAAGGAGCGACGGAGAAGAGGCTCGGAAGAAACAAACTCGTAACTCGCTCAATCGGTGCATATCACGACTTTTTCATCCTGCATGCTCGTACTCCGTATTCCTACTCCGGGTGCTCTTCGTATTCCAAATTGAGCTCGTAGGCCGCTTTTCATGCACTGCTTACCGCCATCTTGTCCACCGCTGTCATCTTTTCTCCCGTGTTCATTGTTTACACACCTATTCCCTGCATCTAGATCACCACCTTCCCTGTATCTACATACTCCAGTAGTGCTGTCTCAGGACGCAGGATGCGAAAAAAAAGTATGTGCACACTTGCCAATAGCTTATATCGCCCCTCCCACCTACCAGACCGCATGGTTGTCTTGCCCGCCGCCTTCACCAGTTTTTCTCCCAATCGGGGAATCAAGCGCGCCGGCGATCCTCAGCCAGTCGTGCCTCCAAGACCTCTCCTGCCTCAACCTCACTGGACCCTCGTAGAACAGGCGGCTCTCGATAGATCGATCGGTGGCGGCGAGTCGGCGTTCGTACATGCTCCATACATCCTTCAATACATATGTACAGCGCTTGATCCAACCTCGCGACAGCGACTCAGGCCCATGCTGATGTTCATGCCCATGACCATGTCTATTTCCATACCCACTCCACATCCCAACCCGTCCCAATATCCCCTCTTTCTTCCTTCATCACTCCCAAAAGAGTCTTCAGTTTGTCGCCCCCAACCAACTCCCAAGCTCCCAACTACCAACCACCCCCCCACCGACCGCCACCACCCCTCCACTTCACCCCTACCCCCCTACCCCCCCCTAGCGCCCCCGCCCCGCTCAATTCAGCTGCCCATGCCCCGAGGGGACATAACTCGCGAGCAAACGCCAAGCCTTCCCTTTCCCACCAGCACCCAGCCAGCCCCAACTCTCTCTCGCACCAGCCTTGGCGCTCATCACACCCCCCAGCGCTGCGCCCGCGCGCTCCTCGCTCACCTACCTGGGGCGCGTGTGACCGCGTAGCGGCGTAGGGCTGGAGTGGGACGCGCGCGCGCTCGACCGGGATCTTACATGCATGCGCTGGGCGAGCTTGCCTTGTCGGTGGTGGGGACGAAACCGACAAGGGAAGGGGAAGGGGGGGGGGAGAGTGGAGGGGGAGAGAGGAGAACAATGCGCGCTGGGCATGACAGGACTGGATTGTCCCAATCCTATGCCTTTTCCATGGCGGCGGCGACAATAGCTACAGCCGTGGCAAGAGAGCCCCCTCAGCGCCTCCGAGTGAGGTATATATCCCCCCCTCCTCTCCTCACCCGCCCCCCATCCGTCAGCTAGACACCTTCGCCCTCACCCACCACCCACCCCGGCACCTATCCACACCGACGCACGCACCATGCCCGCCCTCCCCCCCTCCCAGCGTGGCCCCCGCGCCCCAGCCTCCTCCGAGGACGACGCGCCCGCTGGCCTTGCGGCGTACATCAGTGCCGCGCCCCCGACGTGGATCTTGCTTGGAGGCTGTTATCTGCTATACCGCGCGGCGAGGATCAGGATGAGAAGGAGGGCGCAAGCAGATGACCGACGAGCCTGCAACGACGACGAGTGCGATTGCGAGGACGACAAGGCTGGCTGGATTGGCTCGAGGGAGGAGGGATATCGAGACGACCCCGTCGAGGCTGAGGCGCACCGATTAAGAGCAGAACAGCTGGCGAAAGAAGCATACCTGGATCGAGATATGAACCCCCCGTTTCACAACACCGAAATGCCGAACTCTTCCCTCCTCGATAACAGCACACCCCCGCCGGACTGGCAACCTAAGAGCCAGGACCTCTCCATGGGGAAACGTCATGTTACACCCCCTCCGCCTCCACCACCTACCTCTGGCCCTGCAATCATCGATGGACCTGCATACACATGGCAAGAAGACCAGTCCTCCATCTCCGAGTTCTCTTTTGCCGATATGGCTGCCAACGCTGCCGCTGCCGGCATCTACCCCCCGGTTACTTCGAAGCCCACCACCCCTCCCACTACCTCTGTCGCCGGAGCTCCCGCCACACCAGCAACGGAGACCAAGAGGCGTTCCTACAGCATAACTGCCGCTGGGGTCGAGGTCGTAGGTGAAGTCGTGACCGGGGAGGGATGGCGGAGGCATACGAGGGTATATGGGGGTGGGGTATGCCTGGCGTGCCTGGAGAGTGAGAGGATGAGGGCTGCAATGGGGATGGATGCTCCTCCTGGTGGTCTACCTGCGGATGTGGCAGTGGTAGAGGGAGAGGGAACTGCATGAAGTTGAGCTGCATTTTGTGCGGACAGGGGTGTTTGGTGTTTTGCTGGTGAACAGTGAAGACGAGCGTATGCGGGCGTGTCGCGTTGTAGCGAGTTGGTTGTTTCGTGTGGAGGTTGCTCTTGCATCCTGGCACTTTATTGCTTCTTGGATTCTTTCTTCTTTATTTTTTCATCTTTCTTCATCACGACTTCTGGCCGTGCGCGCGCATTTGCGTTGTGGCTTCATTTTTGGCGACATCAAACATATTTTTAACGACAACTTTTATTACGGCCGAATATAGGGAGGGAAATGGGGGCGTCATAGATGGCGGGGGGCAGTGCAAACTAAGAGATGGGATATAGTAGATGAGATGATGAGACGAGATGAGACGACGGAAAATGGACATGGCTGATGGGCTAGGTTAGATTTCTCCTGCTCCAGGGCGATGGGGGTAGGAAGGAAGGTCACTGGCGCAAATATATATATCATCATAATCTGTGCTTTCTATCATTGTCATTGCTATTGTCGCTAGCTACTGAGGTCTGCCATCCTAGCCACCTCATCCATCATAAAACTGTCATAAACGCATACATCCCCACACTTAGATCCCATTCCACCAGCTCGTCTTCGCGACCTCAAAGCCGCCCTCCAAATACCTCCCCTCAACCAACTGACTGCTATCACTAGCAAACACCTTATACGCCCCCTTCTCACTAATCCACGCCTCCCTCGCCTCATCCCAGAAGCTCGTCGCATACTTAACCTGCACCTTAACCTCAACCCTCTTCGTCTCCCCAGCCGCGAGGAAAACCTTCTCGAAGCCCTTAAGCTCCTTCACAGGTCGGCGAATCGACGGCGAGTCCTGCGCCACGTAGACCTGTACCACCTCTGCGCCGTCCACCTCGCCTGCATTCGTAACATCGAGACTAACCACCAATTCCTCATCCACGAGCTCAACCTTGATCTCGCCAAACTTGAAGGTAGTGTACGACAGACCATGTCCGAACGCAAAGGCCACATCCCGCTTCGCGGCCTCGTAGTAGCGGTACCCGACATACACGTCCTCGCCGTACAAGGTGCGGCCGCGCTCAGAGCGGTAGTTGAGGTACGCGGGGTTATCCTCCAGGCGGACTGGCCAGGAGAGGGGAAGCTTGGCAGAGGGGTTCGTCTCGCCGAAGACGACGGAGGCGATGGCGTTTCCGGTCTCGTTGCCGCCGTACCAGGCGTGCAGGAGGGCGGGGAGGTTGGAGAGGAAGGGGGAGAGGGTGACGGGGGTGCCGGATTGCATGACGACTACTGTGTTGGGGTTTGCGGCGCTGAGGGCGGTGATGAGGGCGGGCATGTGGCCGGGGAGGTCCATGTCGGCACGGTCGTAGCCTTCGCTTTCCCAGTCGAGCTGAGGGGTGTTAGTAAATATGTGCGGGTGTGCGATGGGGGGTAAGGGGGACATACGTTAAGGCCGGCGCAGATGATCACCTGGTCCACCTCCTTGGCTAGGGCAGTGGCATTCTTGATCTCCTCCTCCGCATCAATAACCCAGGCGCCTCCAATTCTGATACCACCACCAGCCGCAACCACCACGGCGTCCGAGACCAGCTTGCAAGCCGGCGCGCTGGCAAACTCGACGCGCACGTTATACTTCTCCCCCTTCACAAGCTTGACAGTTCCCTTCTCCTCTACGGTGCCGCTGCCGAAGAAGGCCTGACCCTGCGTCTGCGTGGTCTCGTTATCAACAACAAGCTCGTCGTTGACGTACAATTTTCCAGCTCCATACACGGCGAGACCGAACTCGTAGTCGCCGTCCTTCTCGGCTTCGTAGGTACCGGAAAAGGTACCGTACCAAAGCGCCTGCGCGGGCTTGTAGTAATCGATGAAGAACTCGCTGGTGCGCAAGATGGTCAGCTCGTCGATTGGCTGGCGGTCCGTGACGGAGGAAGGCTCGTTGTAGGCGCGGAAGGTCATGCCTGGCTTTCCTTCTTCCGAGGTGAGTTGGGCGCCGAGGAGGGGGAGCTCGCGGTGGGAGTAGCAACCGACGGTGTATTTGACCTCGGTGCCTTCCTCGAGGAGGGCGGTGATGCCGTCGTAGGGGGTGACGGCGTAGTATGGAAGGAGGGAGGCGGAACCGCCACCGCAGTAGGTTGCGATTTTAGCGTTGGGGCCGACGATGAGAGTCTAAGCCAGCTGTCAGCTACTGTCAAGTGCAGGCCTTAGATATCAGACTTACCGATTTGTTCTTCTTCAATGGCAAGACGTTCCCTTCGTTCTTCAACAGGACAATGGAGTTTGCGGAAATCTTCTTCAACAGAGCTGCCGTCTCGGGCGTATCGCGGGTTCCCTCCTCTGCATTTTCGGGGATCCCAGAAGCAGCACATCGGTTGACAAGGTTGAGAACCTCACGGGCGCGCTGGGTGATAGCATGCTCTGTGACTTTGTTCGATGCAAGAGCTCCCTGGAGAAGCCCACCTCTTAACCTGCTGGGTCCCGGCATCTCGAGATCCAAGCCGGCGTTGATCGCCTCGGAGGTGGAATATGTTCCATACCTAACGATTGTCAGTAAGATCCGACAGCCACGCATGAAAAACTTACCAATCGCTCATTGTCATGCCTTCCCAAGCCCACTCTCCCCTCAAGATATCCTTCAGTATCTTCGGGTTCTCGCTGACGTGTGTCCCATTAACCTTGTTATAGGCCGTCATGAACGAACCAGGCTTGCTGTCCCTAACCGCAATCTGGAACGCAAGCAGGTAGATCTCCCTCATCGCCCTGTTCGTGATAATCACATCCACAGCATTCCTCTCGTGCTCTTGGTCGTTGCACACGAAGTGCTTGATACACGCCACAATACCCGTATCCTGTATTCCATTGACCAAGCCCGCAGCCCCCACACCAGCCAACACCGGATCCTCAGACAAACTCTCGAACCCGCGACCACCAAGAGGTGAACGTTGGATGTTGATAGTCGGGCCCAGAATCACGTGGGCGCCTTTGGCTTTTGACTCCTCTCCCATCACTGCACCCGCTTCGCGGAGGAGTGCAGGGTCCCATGTTGCGCCCAGGGCGGTGCCGCACGGGAAGCAGGCGGCAGGGATGCCATTGAAGAATCGGGTGCCGCGGACGCCGTTGGGGCCGTCGGTGACGCGGATGGAGGGGATGCCGTGCTCGGGGATTGCCTGGGTGTGCCAAAAGTCGATACCTGGGGATGGTGAGATTGAGTTGTTGTTTCAGTGCGGGGTGGCTTACCGGACAGAAGAGAGATCTTCTGGGGGTTTGTGAGCTTCGAGAGCACGTCTTCTACGTCTATGGCGGCCATTGTGAGTGAATTGGTGGACTGGATGAGCAGTTGCACCGGGAAGAATGGAAGTAAGGAATTAAGAAAAGACAATGGAGAGAAGCACTTGGACCTTATGTATGCGCTGTGTGAGAGCAATGGAAGGCTTCGGTCCGCCCTTCCATCGTAACACAACGAATAGCGGAGTTACGCTGCAGCATCAGAATATAAAGTTACAGGCTAAGTGGTCAAGATGAGATGATGGCCGCCCCCACCACCATCCCCTCGATGGCGGGAGAACTTCGGCGCCCGACATATACCCGCGCCGAGAGGAATCACAGCATTGCGGTCAAGCCAGTGGCTTCGACCAGACGTCACCATGCCCCGGAAAATTCAATTTTTGCCATACAAAAGTAGAGAACCCACCGAAATAATCATACTAGCCGCAGGTGCTATTCGGATCTTGGACTTTGGTAATGCGGGGACCAGAACATCGTCGCCCTTTACGGCTTACGACCGCTGGTTGTTAGGGGAGCGTCTACCGGGACTGCGGACAGATATCTCCGCCGGCCGCTGTTCTATGGAGACAGCTAGTTCGTTCCGTTGGTTGGTAGAGCAGATCTCTTGGTAATGGGTTGAGAAGCACCGCGAAGCAGCACATAAAGCTATATAAAGCCTACCAGACGCCTATATTCGTTAATAATAGTCACATCTTCCCCATATCCCATATATCTGTTGCAAATGGCGGTTCATATTCATATTTTCAACGGAGTATAAAATCAGTATCGTCGCGGCTGTGACGTCATCACAGCGACCCCTCACTTCGACGATTTTGGGAGTGTATTCCTTCTCTTCCACTACTCCGCGCCTTTGGGAACAGGAACTCATGGAGGGAAGTAAGGCTGACTAAATAGACGCTGATTAGTTTTGGGGATCCCTCTCAGGACCCGAATAAAAAGGCCAAACCCCCCTCTGAGGGCTGCAGATCCGCTCCCGGCTCACTGTTGTCCGGCGCGGAACGCAAATGCCCATTTCTCCGTGAGGCGCAACCAGAACCTGTGGCTGGGGAGATGATGGTCTCTGCAAAGTTGCTTATTTCTTCATTTTAGATGGGAGAGGGATAGTGAGTTGTTTTAATCGCCTCTCGTCTTTCTTTTTGTTGCGCCACGAAGTCGCTCATCCCGCCTCTGTGCTGTTGCCCTTGGTCCGGTGGGGTGGATTCAGTTTCAGACCGCAGTCTTTGAGGTTCATACGCAACTCTCTGACCTCCGCGGAATCTGAATCCCTCCAGAAACATGAATATCCTCAGAAACCGAGCCTTCTCAGAAGTCTGAGTCTTGCCAGAAACGCGAGACTCCTCAGAACCGATAGCATTAAAGCCTTGAGTCTCATCAAAACCCTTAGTCTCTCTAAAATCCTTGGCCTCATCAGAAACCTTGGCTCTCTCGAAATCTCTCAGTAGAGCAACCCCTCTCAAAATCCTCGGTTTTGAGGCAACCAGCGACCTGTGCGGCGGCGTCGTTGGGGCTGACTCCATAATCCATAATCCTACGTATGGGGTTCCGTTGGTCGGCGGGCTTTTTTTTCAATCAGGCTGAATGTCAGCCAGGTGAATGTCAACCAGCTACCCCTCCAGTAGCGCAAGCGCATCCCGCTATGCTTTCCACCGAGAATTGCTATGTAGAGGTAGTGCCTGAAGGCAGGTTGATGAGATGAGATGCCTACTATTATCCTTTGTAAGCCTTGGTATTGAAAAAAGCCCTCGCTCTAGGTTTACTATGGTTTACTATGGTAATGGTAATACTCATCTCATCACTTGTTTGCACGCGTGCGGCCAGATACCATGGGTATTGGATGGATGCATTCAACGAAATGAAATGTAAGGGTCCGGTAATCGCAAAGGTGTGTGTTGTGCAGAGGTACAGTAACGGATAGTCGTAGTAGTGGTGGTGGTGGTAGATACGGGCGGCAGATAGTGGGATATCCTCTAAAAATACTTAGAGGGTACCTACGAAATGTAGATAAATGTAAGCACGATGCACGCAATTTGTTAGTATGAACAAGTACCTGCCTTGTAATTTTAGTGGTCAAGACTCTAATGTTAAGTAAGTTATGTGTTCTGCTGAATAAGAGACCACACACACACACTCTCGCCTCTCACCCCCACCACCCCTCACCCAAAGGCAGACCACCCCACCCAACATTTCAAGCTTGCCAGTGAAACTTCTGGTGTCTCTACTCTTCTTTCTCCCCCTCATCTCTCTTTCCCAATTTCTTCTTCATTAAATCAATCTCCCTATCACAAAGAAGTCATATCATCATCCAGAACTGCAATCATGGGTTACACCGATCAGGACTGGCAGTCCATCAACACCATCCGTACCTTGGCCGTAAGTTCATCCACCAGAAATAACCCCGCCCTCGTCATGAGAAGCAGCGTCATAGGAATGCCCCCGCGCCCACCAACACCGCGTCCGCCATCGACGGCGCCAATCTTACGACGGCGAGGATCCGGATAATTATGTCGATGACAGCCAGCTAATTACTTTTTCGTGTTCAGATCGATGCGACCTTCGCGGCCAACTCCGGTCACCCCGGCGCCCCAATGGGCATGGCCCCAGTGGCCCACGTCCTCTGGAACAGGATCATGAACTACAACCCAAAGAACCCAAAGTGGCTCAACCGCGATAGATTCGTGCTTTCGTGAGTATTCCATGCTTCCTGTACTCCTCATTTGACATGTATCTGCCAATGCTGGGATGCCATTGCGGTTATCGGAGCGCGCATCTGTCGGGCGCCCGCAGTTCCCAACCATACAGGAAGGGAATTGCAAGCTCACAGCATTGGCTCCAATGCAATGTTGATCACATTGGTAGTCTTCAGTTTTTTGGTGTAGATGTGTCTACCTAATTCTGAGGGCGGGAATGTGTCGAGAAATCAGCGGTGAAGTCCCGTAGCTAACCAGCCTCATAGTAACGGCCACGGATGCATGCTCCAATATGCTCTCCTCCACCTTGCCGGTTTCGGCCTCACAATCGATGACCTGAAGAACTTCAGAGTACGTGATACAAGTTCCCCAGATTCCCCGGAGCCTCCATTAACAAAACTTTAGCACGTCGACAGCATCACCCCCGGTCACCCGGAATCCCACGATACCCCCGGCATTGAGGTCACCACTGGCCCTCTCGGCCAAGGTTTTGCTAACGCTGTTGGTCTTGCCATTGCCCAAGAGCACACTGCTGCCCAGTTCAACAAGCCCGGATTCGAGCTTATTAACAACCACACATATGTCTTCATGGGCGATGGATGCCACATGGAGGGTGTTGCCAGCGAGGCTGCCTCCATGGCCGGTCACTTGCAATTGGGCAACCTGATCGCCATCTACGATGACAACAACATCTCTATTGATGGAAACACCAACTGTGCCTTCACCGAGGATGTTAACAAGCGTATGGAGGCATACGGATGGCACTGCGTGACCGTCGGTGACGGAGACCACGACCTGGACTCGATAGAGGCGGCCATCAAGGCTTGCCAGGCTGTCAAGGACAAGCCATCCATGATCAAGCTCCGCACAACCATCGGCTTCGGCTCGAAGCTCGAGGGAACCGGTGGTGTCCACGGCGCCCCGCTGAAGAAGGATGATATCATCCAGGTTAAGGAGAAGTTCGGCTTCAACCCAGAGGAGACCTTCGTTGTCCCTCAGGGTGTCCACGAGCAATACTCCAAGAAGAGCGCTGAGGGTGCCGCTCTTGAGCAGGAGTGGAACCAGCTCTTGGAGAAGTACTCCAAGGAGCACAGCGCTGAGGCCGCTGACCTCAAGCGTCGCCAGACCGGTGCCCTCCCCGAGGGATGGGAGAAGAACCTGCCCGTCTACACACCAGCTGACAAGGCTGTTGCGTCGAGAAAGCTCTCCGAGATCGTGCTCGGCAAGATCCACGATGCTATCCCAGAGTTGGTCGGAGGATCCGCAGATTTGACCGGCTCCAACCTCACAAGGTGGAAGGATGCCGTTGACTTCCAGCCCCCATCTACTGGACTCGGTGACTGGAGCGGTCGCTACATCAGATACGGTGTCCGCGAGCACGCCATGGGAGCCGTCATGAACGGACTCGCCGCCTACGGAACCATCCTCCCATACGGAGGAACCTTCCTCAACTTCGTCTCCTATGCCGCCGGCGCCGTCCGCCTGTCCGCTCTCTCCCGCGAGCGCGTCATCTGGGTCGCCACCCACGACTCCATCGGACTCGGAGAGGATGGACCAACTCACCAGCCTATCGAGACCCTCGCCCACTTCCGCGCCCTGCCCAACTGCATGGTCTGGCGCCCAGCTGACGGAAACGAGACCAGCGCCGCCTACTACGTCGCCCTCACCTCCCTGCACACCCCCACCATCCTGGCCCTCTCCCGCCAGGACCTCCCTCAACTCGAGAACTCCACCATTGCGTCCGCGATCAAGGGTGGTTACGTCGTGCACGAGGCCGAGAAGGCGGACATCACCATTGTGTCCACCGGTTCGGAAGTCGGCATCTGTGTCGACGCTATCAAGACCCTCAAGGAGCAGCACAACCTCACCGCTCGTGTCGTCTCCATCCCCTGCTTCGAGGTCTTCGATACGCAGTCCAAGGAGTACAGACTCAGCGTTCTGCCAGACGGTATCCCATCCCTGTCGGTCGAGGTCATGTCCACCATGGGCTGGGAGAGGTATACCCACGAGCAGTTCGGTCTTAACCGCTTCGGTGCTTCGGGTGCTTACAAGGATGTTTACAAGGTATGTGCTCACTACCCCCAAGTAGCTGTTATAAAATAGAATAGATCACTGACACCCCATACAGAAGTTCGAGTTCACCCCAGAGGGCATCGCCAAGCGCGCTGTCGCCACCGTGGACTTCTGGAAGGACGTTCCAAACATCCGCTCGCCTATTAACCGCGCTTTCCAGCAGCTTATCTAAGTTAAGTGATGGGAGGTTACGAGGTTTGTGGGGGTCGAGTGGGGGGTAGAGAAGGTGCGAGGAGGTAAAGAGAAGAAAAGAAAAGAAAAGCGTGGGGGGAATGGAAAGCGTGACGTGTACTGTTGTAGCTCTTGCAGGTAGTTGAGACTATATACATATGATTTGCTATGATTTGGGGTAGATGATGTGAAGTGTACTGTGATATGTATGGGTATTCGCTGGTGGTCATCTGCCCAACTACTAATCCGGTGGTCTTAAGCAAGCACCTAGGTAATAGCTAAAATTGGTGCCATCAAGCCTAATAGGTGACCTACGCCGCGGCTCATATATGTTTCGTACTTGCAGCTTGTATGCCCTAGATATAGCACTATATTACTACTCTGCCCTATGAGATATATACCATTAAGTTCCTTGCATAAGCTTTGTAATTGTCAAATTCCTCGTCTAATACTTGCACTATCTATAACGACAAGCTAATATTAAAATAATTAGGTCAAATTAAAGTGTAGTTATTTTATATAAATATATATACAAAGAGGAAAACACACAAGGCCAGAAGCGATAGTAGACCGAACCTGCGACAATGCGAATGAGTAGTCCGGAAACAAACTACATCTGGATATAACTTCGAGCAAATACAAATTATGACATATAGAAAGAGATATAAGCAAAAGATGCATAAAGATACGATCCAGTGCTTGGGCCCAATAAGATCTAGTGTGTATAGTATTCCAGAGTCTCCTGAGGTGAAACAGATGGTAAAGGCGCCACAGGCGTAGACCAAAATAAGGACGGAAACAATTATATCAGTATACCATACATCGGTATAGAAATCATGCTCATATAGTACCTCGGCGGGCCATAGTGAAGGCTGTGCATGTGCAGGTGATTCTGATGTTGTAGGCCGCGTAGGGTGTTCTTGATCAACGCGTGACTGACTTCCTGTAGTTGATCCCTGTATATCATCGGCACTGATACCTAGGCTGTGCTCCATATCAACGAGACCAGTTGTAGTTCTTCTTTGCGGCATCCCAATATTGGCTGTTCTGTCTGAATTGCCGCAGGATGGTTGGCCTGTAGGTAATGCTCCCATAGGCCCCGGTGCCTCAATTTCGGAAACTGTCGCAGTACTGGCAGTAGTTATGTCGCTGGTGGAAATTGAACTGACTGATGCACAATTGAAAGTCTTAGGATTGTTTGGACCTTTTATCTATGCTTAGTCTTCGAATGACCCTTAATAAATATGTATATGACATACCTAAGACGCCTTCAATAAGGCTAACTAGAGGGGTGAGTAATAGTAGAGTAGGTACAAACTGACCAAACCCCCATGAGCTGTCTTCATTCGTATAATGTCTTGGGGCGTCGGAACTCCTATTTCCTAATATCCGTACCGTCCCCCATGTTAAAGAGAATGTCAACCAAGAAATCTATTCACTTGTTAACTCATAAAATAGATGGATGTGCATTACATCAACTAACCTCCCAAAAAATCGAGTTAGCCAAATCATAAATAGCTCTCGCGAGAAGTATAAACGTAATGACAGTACAGTGACCAGCATAGTAAATGAGCCGTGTTAATCCTCGGCTGGTCCTATTATGCTTCTCCTCTAGCTTCCTTACAAATCGTTTGCACAGCTGTGCTGGTTTATGCCTTAACCAGATCCTTGCAGAATCCGACCTACTCCGAAAGAGCTTTATTGCTCTAGCAGCCGAGCTAATAATAAGCAATACCTCTGATATGATCAGTGAGACGATGTAAGCACCATCGTCAGCAATAAACCCGTGACGCCTACCCATTAATAAAAAGCAACACTTTGCTGGTGCTCCTGGATAAACCCCCCGGTTATATTCGTAACTCGGTCCACATGCGCCGCCAGTTGGAAGAAGAGCGATAGCTAACGTGAGTGCTAGAAGAAGCATGAGAATCATTCGTAGCATCCGAATACCAGGATTAGCCTGAAAGTATCTCCGAAGGAATGTCAGTGTGCAGAGGTGCGTCACTGATGAGAACCACGCTAGGTATGCAACGATATTCCAGTGAAAAATGCCAAGGCCGCTGTTGAGTTGTGAGAAGCCACTGGCAAGAATAGACAGCCCAGTAACAATTTGTGTGTCGCTCATTGCTAAGATAGCCTTTTGGAGGATAAATTTAGTTTCTTTTCCATACGATGCATAGTTTGCGACATAGGGCAGCACTCACGTTTTTTAGGGGCTCTTTATAACGATCTGATGGCTTCCCAAGATACCGCCAGATAAACGACAAGAGTTTCTTGTCAACTGGGTTTGCAGACACATCAAGTTTGGTATCTTCTGATGAGCCCATGAGATATTGCACAACAAGCAATAAAAATGAGAAGTATGCTGTGCCTATAAACCCAATAAGAACCTATATTCAATTAGAAAAAAAATCATGACTTGTACCTCCGACGCCCTTTGGGGTCGCGCAAACTCACGCCATTCCCTGAAATGTCAGGGTTCGGATCTAAATTTCTGAAGCTGTCAGGAAATCGGTTTTCATCGCTAAGATATGAGCAATCGACCATTCTGAAGACTCGCAGCGTCTAGAACTACTGGCGTTTGGGAAGATCAAAACACTACAGACAGAATACACATCTGGGCAAGGCTATCAGGGCAAACGCATCTATTATAAGTTAGGAGATGCCAGCGATTCGCCGATCCCTTGTTTCACCCCATGTAACCACTAGCTAAATATTCCCTAGTATTCATTTACATGGGTGCTTCAGCTGAGATGCGCAGCCTTGTCATAAAGCCATATAGGCAAGGCTAGCTTTTTGCACACCGAGGGTAGACAAGAATGGGCAGAAAGGCAGTTCAACTTATACAAGGCTAGATAGATCGACATGGACTATAAGGTCGTAAGGTCCCTCGGAAACAAGTGCCTCAACCAGAGCGCCCTGTTCTTGTGTGTGATCGACGACCTTTACCACACCTAGTTTGGAAACAAACTGTAAGGCGGCCCTCACGTGATGGCACGTGGGGCGCTACGCCGATGGCAGCCCTACGGTGGAGCTGCCATTCGGATATAGCCCGGCTATTAGGGCTCACGGTATGGGAGGATATATCAGGGGCTGGAGCCTCAGTCGAGGACTGCAGTCAATAGTCGCTGTATACAGGTAGACCTATTGTTACGCTATATAACCTCATGTTCCTGCCTTCTGATCTGGTTCCCTGAACTCCCGTGTGACCCTGGGCCTACGCCTTTACACAAACTCCTTGTGATTTGGTGAACTAGTGGTGACCACGGTATACCCTGCTTCGGAGACATATTGAACGGACAGGCTGCCGAAACTAGATGAACCGCCGTAAATCAAAACCTTATTGTTTTTGGCTGAGGCGAAGCCATCAAGACTAGGCTTGTCCAATCCAGCATTTGCGGTGAACAGACCTATGACGGACCCCAAATTCCCTGTCAAGCTGGCCGGGATGGTGAGATCGGTACCCTCTGGTACTTTGCTTGCCATACTGTCCCAGGCCACCACATATCTCTGATAGGCACCATAGTGGTTGCCGACTGCTCCGAATTTTTTAGCTGCGGCTACTTTGTCACCAACCTTGAAGCGTGTAACTTGTGGACCGACTGCTTCAACTCTACCCCCGAAAAAAGAGCCAAGAATGGCCGGGTATTGGAGCGGGAAGATAGCGAGCTTAGCAATCTTCCATTCGATTGGGTGGAATGTAATGATTTCATTCCTAACAAGAAGTTCATGTGGGCCGGGTTTGTAGGCCTCAGCTTCTTAGACTTCGAGAGGAGCCTTCGCTTCTGTGATGACGGCCGCTAGGTTGGCCATGGTTGTATAGTACTGAAGACCTAGAAAAGTCGTAACCTCAAGATGGAGATCAAGTAATCCTACTGAATTGTTGGGTCGGAAACGGTGGAGCTTGTTTGGATGCTTAATGTTCTAGTTGGGTTCGGGAGATTAGGTGAGAAGCACGCCAGATTTTGTTAGTTGTGTGAAGAGGATTCTTATACTTTCGGGGATTATCGATTGTCCTTGCACTATGCTTAATGGTTATTCCCCTATTTTTATTCGCAGCGGGCACTAATCTACCAAAACCCGCTTCGGGGCCCGAAATGCGCGGGTCTGACAGGTGAAGAGGATTGGAAAACGTGATAGTTTGACAGCCCCAAAGGCTGCAAAACATTTGATTAGTTCTGATAATATGGTTGTAGAAGGCCGGGTTCCTGGATTATCAATTATTATTTCAAGTTTTTTATTTTTCTAAAGACGTTTGCGCTGAAAAATGAGATTCCTTTGTCTTCACGGGAAAGGGACCAGTGGCCGCATCTTTAAATCGCAAACTGGTATGCCCATACTTCCCGAAAATATTACGGTGACTTAATGAATGTTATTATTTAAATACTAAGTCCAATTAATTTACAAAGAGATGCTCATGATGCTACAGCTACATTCCGTAAGCTTCTCCCAGACACCTACGAGTTCGACTTCGTCAACGGCCCTTTTTCCGATGGCCCTGCTGCGGGGATCGACCTATTCCACCCACCGCCATATTATAAGTTGTACGAACACCTCACGCTCGAATCGCTACAGCAAGGTTACAAGTGGCTTCTTGCGTACATCAATGGTGTGTATGGTTAAATATATTCCTCCACCAACTCCCTGTGATAAACCCAGATCAACCATCAACCTCTAACAAACCCAGAAAATGGCCCATACGACGCCGTCATGTGCTTCTCCCAAGGGTGCTCCATGGCTAGCTCACTCCTCCTCTACAACCAGTCACTGTATCCGAATTCCCCACCGCTCTTCAAAGCCGCCATATTCATATGCGGCGGCGTTCCCCTCGACGTCCTCGCATCGCTCGGAGTTGAGGTAACTGCCGAAGCTCGCGATCTGGATCGGTCATCCAAGGTCGCCCTACAACAACAAGCATCCACCGAGGCCATCCTCCGCAATGGACGTGAGCGCTGGGGCTCAGGGCTTAATGATTACTCTACCTATCAAACGGAGGGATTCGACAAGCGAGGGATGGTATTCGGGATTGATGTGGCGCGTATCCCCCGCCAAATGAAGATTCAAATCCCGACAGTGCATGTCTATGGGGCGAAGGATCCGCGATTCCCGGCAAGCATAACGATGGCACAGTTTTGCGATGAGACGGTTCGGAGGACGTTTGATCACGGCGGCGGGCATGAGATTCCCCGCAAGCGGGACGTTTCTAAAACTATTGCAGAGCTGGTGGAGTGGTGTGTTCTGATGGCAACAGAAGGAGAGTAATGATAAGTATACAAGAAAGATTGAACGTTACAGACGGAGTTAGCAAACTAGAATAAGTCCATTATCTACAACATGTTTTCAAAGTATATTGTTTTGTATGATGTATTCAGTAAAAATATTTTTCTACGCGCAGATAAAAAAATGAGAGAAAATAATCGAGTCACAAATTGCCTTTGGCTTATCAACTATTGTACGGCTTTAAGATACAGTGTGACACTTCTTTATGCTACATTGCTCTATATTGGCGACTAGACCTGAATCTAAATGGCCCTACACCCCTTCAACTATATATGTAGCTATGACAGCAGAGTGCCCCCAGTACTCTCAATAACGCTTCCCGAAACGTTCTTATCCCTCATCAGGTACAAATATGCCTCCACCACGTCTTCGACTTGACCGATTTGTCCGGTGGTCATCCTTCCCTTGAGACGACCTGTCACGTTGTCCCAGTAGCCAATCTCCTTCACGTGATTCCAAATCTCCGTCTCAACTGGTCCTAATCCGACCGCATTGACTCTAATGGGCGCCAGATCGACGGCTAAGCCTCTGGTCATGCCACGGAGGCCGGATAGATATGCCTGCATGACGGTCCAGTCTTTTGAAACATGCTCCGATGCGCCGCCAGTGGTGATGGTGTATGATGCCGCGGGGCCGTCATTCAAGTGCTTGCGAAGTTGTTGCGCAACAACGAGTGGGGCAAAGAAGCGCACAGTACCAGCCTGCCTGACGGCATCGAGCTTGAAGTCTTCAAGTTTGCCGACCGCCAGAGCATCGCCAGCTGTGAAGACGACGTGGTCAAGCTTTCCAGCCTTGGCAACCTCGGCGAAGAGCTTCTCGACCTCCGAGGTGAGCGTTTCTGGGGAACCCAGGTCGCATGGGAAACCTTGGATCTGAGCTGTGGAAGAGGCGTTTCCGCTCTTGAGGCGCTCTAAGGCGCTGGAAATCTTGGCGGTTGAGGAGGACGAGATAGTGACAGAGGAAGCGCCGTTCTGGATGAGGGCTTCAGCAACACCGAAACCGATTCCGGAGGATCCACCGATGACTAGGCACCGTGCGCCCGCGAGCTTCGAAACATACTTGCCTAAAGTTGCAGCCATTGTGAACAGGTTGGATAATATTAGATGGGTTGGTTGGAGAAGTCACAGATCGAACGTTGCTGGAAAATAGTCTTTAATTAAAAGTCAAGCATGCAGCTCATCATACTATTTATACCTGAATATACGTATCCCAACAGCCGGCTGTTGGTCGCATCGCATCGCATAGTCCAACGGCCAGCCGCTGATCGCGTCGCGTTGTTGACAAGAGTACTAGGCAGGAACATAAGCCAAGCGGTGCTTAATTCAAGGATTGAGGAGATACGACCCTCCGGAGTTAAGTTGAAACGCCTCAGAGTGGATGTAAGTGGTTGTCGTCTCTAAATCCCTAAACCCCCTCTAAACCCCCTCTAAACACCGTGTTGGATTGTCGTCCATGTTTTGCGCCAATACAGGTAATAAATTAGTCAGCGAATAGGGCTGAAGCTTTGAACCCCGATGATCTCCACCACCATCCCAGCACGATCCCCGTCGCGTTCCCCACCAAGGCTCCATTGTCCGATTGGCGAAAGAGAGGGTCTAAGCTTCAGAGCTACCCCGCATGCCCCTGTCAATACGAGAGAGATTGTAGCTCATCGGGCAAAATAGCTAAACTACGTAAAACTGTAACATATCCGAGGGTCGGCCAATATGGCCCATATACCATGCTGTCTTCATAGCAAGTGCTTTAACTGTTTCGATGAAAACCATTCTACGTACAACGACAATGGATGAGAGGCACAGGAATGACACGGAGCTGGAACGTGAAGCTCAGTCCGCTCTAGACAATGGAACCACGCCGGAAAGCCAATTGAATGGAAACCAAGCGTTTCCGCCTCCAAAAAATAGCCCAGATAGCTCTCTCACAACAAGTTTTGAAGGCGAATCTGGCGCTGCACCGATGAAACCTGACCAGGCCGCAAATAATGCCTCATCCCCTGAAGCCGCGCGCACGACGCTCGAGACAGCAATTATTATGGGCTCGCTCGGCATATCTGTCTTCCTCGCTGCTCTGGACAATACGATAATCACCACCGCCCTACCCACAATATCAGAACATTTTCACTCAAATGCAGGCTATACCTGGATTGGCTCCGCGTATCTCCTTGCAAATGCAGCCTCTACACCTTCATGGGGAAAATTCTCTGATATCTGGGGTAGGAAGCCCATTCTGCTCGCCGCGGCGGCTATATTCTTTATCGGCTCTCTCCTCGCTGCAACAGCAGTGAATATTGGGATGTTGATTACTGCGCGAGCGATTCAGGGAACGGGTGGAGGAGGGCTAATTGTCTTGGTGAATATTTGTATAAGCGATTTGTTTAGTATGCGGGATCGGGGTAAATATTTTGGGGTCATTGGGATGGTGTGGGCGTTTGCTTCTACGATAGGTCCGATACTAGGAGGGGTGTTCACGGAGAAAGTCAGCTGGAGGTGGTGTTTTTATATCAACTGTGAGTCGCTACCTAACGACCGTCCTGGGCCGTGTTATAAAACGATTATCTCCATCCATTGCCTACTATTTTACGAGCTATATGACAAATGCTAACTTCCGATTTAGTACCCATTACTGGCACTGTTATTATCCTACTTTTCTTCTTCCTACACCTACATAATCCGAGAACACCTGCCTGGGAAGGATTAAAGGCTGTGGATTGGGCTGGCAGCCTACTGATTGTTGGTGGGACATTGATGCTGCTCCTTGGACTCGAATTTGGAGGAGTCGCATTCCCCTGGAACTCTCCAAAAGTAATATGCCTTATTGTTTTTGGAGTGGTTGTGGCAGTCCTATTCGTCCTCAACGAATGGAAATTCGCACAATATCCGGTCATGCCACTCCGACTCTTTAAGCACACCTCCAACATCGCCTCCCTCGGTGTCTGCTTTTGCCACGGTTTCGTCTTCATCGCGGTATCTTACTACCTACCTCTCTACTTTCAAGCCGTTTTAGGCGCCACGCCCCTTCTCTCAGGACTCTATCTGCTTCCATTCGCGCTCTCCCTCTCGGTTGTCTCAGCGGGGACAGGAATCTGGATAAAGAAAACCGGCAAATACCTCATCGCAATCTTGTTCGGTTCGATTATTTTTCCTCTCGGAATAGGTCTCCTCATTGATCTAGATGTCGACAAAACTTGGGTTAAAATTATAATCTTCCAAATTATCGCTGGCATTGGTGTGGGACCGAACTTTCAGTCACCTCTCATTGCCCTACAGACCATGGTGAAGCCAACAGACATTGCTACTGCTACAGCAACTTTCGGATTCATACGTAACCTATCAACGTCGATATCGGTAGTGATCGGCGGAGTTGTTTTCCAAAATGAAATGGAAAGGCGCCACCCATCTCTCGTTACTTCGCTTGGGGTGGGAACCGCAAACGCCCTGAAAGGTGGCTCAGCGGGATCTAGCGTTAGTTTGGTGAACCAACTTCCCCCACCACAACAAGTTATTGCACGGCAAGCGTTTTTCGAGAGTTTGAGGACAATGTGGATTATGTATGTAGTGTTTGCGGGCGTGGGCCTGCTATTTTCCTTCTTTGTTGGGAATCAGATATTAAGCAAGGAGCACCAAGTTACGAGGACGGGACTTACGGAGCAAGAAAAAGCGAGGAAAGACCATGTTGATGAGGAGAAGGCGGTAGGGGGGACTACGGGGATATCAAATGAGGAGGTTTGATGAATTTCTCATGATATAGGATTTGATTTAAGCGTATTTAGATTAAAAAAAGCGCGTTGGGTTGGGGTCATATTATGGTAATCATACTACGGAAATGGTGTTTGGGAACAGTTAGACACGAGGCACCATTTAATACCTACATAATAATTGCAAATAAAACTGGCTGATGTCTAACTCTCGACCCTTCCCTTTCACCTAATGGCCTCGTCTTGTGATCTACTTCGTTTATTGTGAATGTTGAGCTTGCAGGCAATGACTACAAAGGGTTGTCTATCTTATTAGGAGGAGGGGCAATTCGCACTAGATATAACTTGCTTCATAACATCAAATTGCAGCCATATACAATGATGAATATCATCTTAGAACAGACTATTTAACAATTTCTATGCTATCTAACGAGCCTACGAGTTATAAGTAAACTGCCTATAGGCCTTCGTTAGACTGTGCTGCCGCAAGCTTCTCGGCATTTATGCTGGATTCTTTAGTGACTCAAGACCAATCACCGTCCTGGAGATCCTCGAGGTTTTGCCCTGATTTGATCTGTTCCTGGACTTCTTTCATCGTCCATTTCCTAAACTTGTGACCAGGCGGGAAATTGGTATTTCTTAACTCTATCTCCCCATTGCTAAGCACATGGTTCAGTGCCTCGCAAAACTTCTCATATGCATAAGCCTCTGGGTCGTGGGACCAAACCCAGCGAGGGTAACGAGAGCGGATTAAAGCCGGGTTCTTCGCGATTGCGTCCCAGTCGGTGTGCTGCTTCAATTGCTGGTTAACAAATCCCATCTTCTGCCCACATGACACTCTCTGGTAGCGGAGCTTGTTGTATGCTTTGGTCGCGTTCGCCGCATGGGCTTTTCCACCAAGCTGCAAACACGTCGCGAGAGTGACTCCATCCTCAATGGCTTGGGTAGCACCATTTCCAGATGTAGGCAGGAAAGCATGTGCGGCATCACCCAACTGCACAACTCGTCCGTTAGGTGAGGTCCAATCCTCATGAGGATCACGGAACTTAAGCTGCCAGTTGACAATGGAGCCTTTCGGCGCCGTTTTAATAAATGCTGCAATAGCGGGGTGCACGGGAACTTCTTTCTCCATTACGGCAAGTACTTCCGATGGGTCGACGTCTGGAACCCAGGACTCGGTGGCTGAATCGTCATGCTGCAATTAAGCGGGTAAGCATACATTTATAAATAGTCTCAGGGAACATACCGAATGGATAAAACTCCAGAATGCCATGTCCTGCGTAAGCGCAACCATGGCATGGGCGCCGTTCCTACACAGTTGTTAGCCGCTGGCGCGTAATATGGCTGGAAGGAACTGACCCCAACCAAAACTGCCATATAGGCCGCTCGTTAGTCTTGAAACCCCACTGTTCCTGCACAATTGGGTCACGCAGCGCGTGTTCTATGGGGTACCCTGCCCTGTAAATTGCCTTTCCACTCGTCCTCAACTCTTTGTCCATTCCTCCAACGATTTTGCTGGATTTGGTCCTGAGGCCATCGGCCGCAACGACAATATCGCCAGTGCGTATCTCACCATTTTCGAGAACAACGCCTCCGAGGCCACGGTGACTATCCTCCCAAAACTCGACGGCCTTCTTGCCCCATTCGACCTTCAGCCCAACACGCTCTGCTTGTTCTAGAAATGCGCGGTATAGCTTCACGCGGCTGTGGGCGTTGACCGAGGGAAAGCCTCGTCGACCAACGATATTCTCTGGGTCATTAAACATAGGTGGCGCTGGACCGTATATGCGCTCGCCCGTCTGCTTGTAATATGACATGACGACATCGTATTGGTCGCGCTCAATCTGATACCCCATCTCGGGCCAATGGCGGAGGAGCAAGATGGCACTCGGCTGGATTTGGACGTTGTCGCCAGTCATGATGGGACCTGGGCTTCGGTCCAGTATCTGGACATTATGGCCTTTCCGCCAACACTCCAAAGCGCAAGTAAGGCCGCCCAAACCGGCGCCCACAATGAGAACGTCAATGCCAGTTTCGGGGTAACGCATCACTGTGGCGTCGATGCCTCTCCGAGCAGATTCTTCGGGACTATCAGCCGTATCATTTGGATTCTTGCCATCCGGATTCATACTGTTCGAATTCGTACCACTTGGCTCAATTCCATTTGCTTTCGTAGCAATTGGCGCCATATCGTTTACATAATTGCCGTTTGGAAGCGTGTCGTTTAGGCCATTAACATTTGAATTCGTAGTTTTGGGATGCGTCAAATCTGGCTCAGCGCCAACATCTGGCTGCACAACAGCTGGTTGAGTAACATCTGTCTTCACAGCATCTGGCACCGTGCCATTTGCTTGCGTTACATCTGGCTGCGTATCGTTAGGATCCATCTTGTGTAGAGAAATCCTTTTCGCAAAGCACGTCAAGCTCGAGGCGCCAAAATTGACTTAGGGGGGGCTTTGCAGTATTGTAGATTACTATTCTCGTGATATATATATGTACGTTTATGTGAGATATATCAGTGACAATTAAAACGCTACCCGCCAATAGTTCTCCCCCGGTCATGGATTGGGACTCGATGTGCCCGAGGCTGCGCGGCAGGATGTTCTATGTGTTTCCTCATCGGATTTAGAACCTTCTCCGCTCCGGACATACACGGCCATAGCGTTGCAAAATCCTACAAGTAAGAATTGCTTCGTCGGGTTATTTCCCAGACCATGCACTGCCACCTCTTTGGACAGATAGCATTTTACGAGGAGGAAGCAGCACATCCTTTGCAGCGGGTTACAGTATTACTGTTAGGTCGCCGATCTACACTCTTCAGTCTATCTTTAGTCTCGGAACATAATCCCATGTTAGCTAAGCCCCATTGCCCCCATTGCTTGCAGATCCCGCCGCTAAGGTAGGTGACGTTAGAACCCCTGCGTAAATAGAACCCCGTCTTACAATAAGCCCCGCCTCACAACGAACCTCTGCTTCGGGTGCCGATCGGGAAACAGGGTGACACAGCTATACTGCAGGTACCGTGAATTAGACGGGAATCATCAATTGGTGTGTTAGTATACGCGAATGAAGGCAAACAACAACCGACGATGTTATTGAAAAGAGATGTTATGTTAAGGAGAATATTCTATAATACTAACTGGAGTTAGATAATTACCCCCAACTAGATAGTACGAGAGTCTATGTCTGTGCTTTCCAATATGTCTCTTGAGCAACCAAACGGCGTGTCGCAAACAGCTTTCCCTCTAGAGGGGCTGAGCTGGGTTATAACCAAGAATGCCAGTATAGTTAGCCATTATCTTGAGGCAAACCACCTTCCTCAGCCATCTCGAGAGAGCGACGGGCCAAGTACTATCCTCCCTAGTGGTTCGCCACAGAAAGTTCAACAAGCACGCCAAGAGATTATTGCAGCAGCTCTTGAGATTCTGCAGCTTGCAATTGGGCCCAGCGAGTTCTTGCCCAACCTCGCTACGGGTGTAAGTCTTGATTAATCCTCTCTCTAATACCATAGTAAGACGTACTTATGCTCACAATTCAAAGTTCCAATACGTCTCCTGTCTCTCGTGGCTTTGCCAATACAAGATTTTCCACCTTGTGCCCCTAGACAGCACGATTAGCTATGCAGAACTTGCTACTGCAGCCAGCGTCCCTGAGCAGCGCCTCAAGAGCATCATCCGCATGGTACTCACCAACTCACTATTCCGTGAGCAGCCAAACGGAAAACACGTCGGCCACTCTGCGACGTCGGCGCTACTAGCACGTAACGAAGATGTGTACGCCTATGCTACCTACATGTGCGCCAAGTCAGCACCGACCGCGATTCACATGGCAGAGGCGCAGAAGCGGTGGGGAGCCGACAGCACGCGCACGTATGAGACGGCGTACAATGTTGCCTTCGACACTGATCTGCCATTCTTCGATCACCTTTCGCGGGACAAAGAAAAGATGGGCGAGTTTGCGAGGTACATGCGGAATGTGAGGAGCAGCGAAGGCGTTGACTTCAAACATCTTGTGGCTGGTTACCAATGGAGTGATATCTGTGATAATGGGACAGTCGTCGATGTGAGTTTTATTTCCAGAAAGACTAAACTATACCCCGTGGTGCGGACTCTGCTAATCTTGTCGCTCTGCATAGGTCGGAGGATCCACTGGCGGCGCTGCTATAGAGCTTGCCAAGGCATTTCCCAATCTCAACTTTGTGGTAGAAGACCTGCCTGCAAACGTAGACATTGGGCAAAAAGCGGCAGAGTCATTGCCTGCTGATGTTGCATCTCGCCTTACCTTCCAAGCGCACGATTTTATGCAGCCGCAGCCAGTGCGTGGCGCAGATGTATATCTCCTTAGAATGATCCTCCACGATTGGCCTGACAATGAAGCTGCCACTATTATCAGAAGCATCGTCGCGGCTATGGCCGACAGACCAAATTCGAGGTTACTTATCATGGACACGGTGCTTCCAGCGCCAGGGTCGGTGCCAGTTTCTGTAGAGCGTATCGTACGCGTCAGAGACCTGACCATGATGCAGGCTTTCAACAGTAAAGAGAGAGATTTGGAGGATTGGGAAAATCTGCTTGCTGCTACCGATCCAAATCTGCAGCTGGTCAATGTTGTCCAACCGTTTGGTAGTGCCATGTCTGTTTTAGAGGTCGCTTGTAGCTCACACAATAGCTGAAATGGCCTCGGGTATTTAATATAAATAAGATGTTGGCTGAGGAGACGTTACACTACCTCTATACTTGACTACACAACCATATACTTGTTGTGTGTTGCACCATGATTCTTAGGCACAAAGCCAACCGTATTTCTACCATCAAGACGTAAGGCTCTATTCTAAACAGATGGCAGAAGTTGATATTGTGAAAGCCTGATGGTGTATTATCTCCGACATAAATTATCCCATCGTTGATATTTTTGCGGAAAGTATACGTGCTTCTCAGTACCGTTAATGAGGCATGGACTATCGGAGAGACCAAGAAGGACTACATCGATCTTTAAACTTCATTTACCTAATATTTCCCTAGACTTTATATATTGCCAAGGCTTTCCTTCGAGGCATCCTGCTGGGGTCCTGCCCTATGTACCCCACTGCAATATGCACTTGGGCCCAACCGCGAGTGTCACTGGTTCTCGAGGTGTTTTATATCCCGAAATTATGCCTCCTTTCGGGATATATTCCATTGGTCTCATATGCCATTGTTCTCCGAAATGCCTTCTCTGGTAGGAAATGCCCATTTACTGGTGCAGCATATTCTCGTGAAATTGATTCATTCGCGGGGTCTTCGGAATATGTGCGGCATGCATAAAGTATAAAGAGGTGGCAGATGGATGGCGCATCTGCTGGAAGCAACTGGAACCAAAATTTGGTGGGCAAATCTTGATTCTTCTCTAACTCTAAAAAGAAATCTTTTATCTATTCAAGTGCTAAGCTCCCTCAATTTCAACCTCATCATATTAGATATCGTGGAATGCTCACCCTTTAGCCACGAATCTAGACTTATATACAAACTATCAATGCCGCCATGAGTAGATTTATCGGTAAGACATTCGCCACCGGTGTTATGCGAAGTAATAAATAGTTCAATCAGACGACCGGCTCTTCTCATCTCGCCTAAGAGCAACTGGATCTTCAAGGCGATCTGAACATGCAAGTCGTCGACATCAAATGTCCCGATTGCCATCTTGGTTGGTGCAACAGCTAGCCCTGCAGACTGTGGCAATGGCGATGTACCACTTGCGCTACTGGTATAGGAGCTAGTCGCCGTGCTCGACCACACGAAAGGCCCGGCCCTGGACCCGGAGCTCTTGCTAGAGTAGGATGAGGGACCCGACGTTGGCACATGGTGTGACGCCATGTCCAACGCTGTGGCTATAGGGCTGCATGAAGCACTATCCATGCAATTCGCTGCTTCTTGGTACCAAGTAAGGACTCGAGAAATGATTGATGCATAGAGTAATGCAAGATGCGGCGATCTAGCGCAGGAGCAATTTAGGAGGCGGAGGAGACGACTAAGTCGCTCGCTAGCCTCGCGATTGAGACGAAGCACACAATCTAAAGGAACATCCGAAGACACTAGACTACCAGTGCCTCTTGCTGAGCCCGTCCCTTCATTAGGAACACATGATGCCTTGCTGAGGTTATGGAAGGCGAGACTTCCAAGGATTCCGTACGCTTCCCGAGGACAGTCGTGGCCTGTGATGTTGATGTCCGGAGGCGGTATTGACGCTCTGTCGGAGTGTGAACTCTTATGGACATCGTCAGTGTGAGATTGATGCGCTGTTTGTTGGAATGTCAGAGCCCCTGGTGATAGATAGTTCTTCAGCTCAGACGATTCCGGCGTGGATGCGGATCCAGGTCCAAATTGCAGGTTGGAGGAAAGTACGTCGTCGCTGAAATGTCCCCATTCGCCAAATTCCAGAGAGGCGAAATCAACCGGAGTAAAGCTAAACAGGTCATCTATCCCGTCGTTTAGGTTGGCCATGGGAAAGTTGCTGCTGGTGTTGTCGCCGACCGTATCCCATGCACCAGGCACATCAACGGCCCTCGAATCGGGTACCAGACATCCCATATCTATATCCATCAAAACACCACTTCCACTGCTATCACTACCACTCTGTGGCCTATCCACATACGTGGAACCAGCGGTTTTGGGCTGTTCGGGATGTTCGCTGGACGCCGGAAGTAAGGTTGCACGAAGCTTGTCTCGCGGCGGCTTGCCCATCTTCCGCGAGAAGCCGTAGACACATTGCATGCCGTGTGAGACACAGCGTCCACACTCGGGCTGCTCGCGATCACATTTCAATTTGGCCGCACCACACCCATCACAGCTTGATCGCAGTTTCGGGTTCCATCGTTTGGGCATTCGCGGTTGATCGGCCATTTGGAGAGGAATAGGAAACACGTCCGGAGGAGCAGGCAGTGATAGTGAAATGATGGCACATCGGCCCAGCGCACAACGGTTACATATGTACACCAATAATAGACCTACCCACCTTGTTTCTGGTTCACGCTTCCGTCCGTCGTTACTACACTGCCACACGGCCGCGATACGTGCAGTGGTAGGTGCAGAGTTGGCATTCAGTCATTTCAAATTACGAGACTAGCACTTTAGGTACAGCGCCACATTCGCAAGATGCGTACACTACAGGATTCCTTCTAAGAGTTCCTCTGCTTTCAGGCCCCAGATGATGCAGCTTTAGGCCCCTGAACGCAGCTTTCTGACCCCATGTGTAGGTCTCCACTGTTCGTCTCAGCTGTGCAGCCTCATATACGTACGGACTTCATCCGGCTCTCCGTATGCGCCAATTGCGACAAAGAGGGCGTTATTTGCTATAATTAGTACATTGCTCTATCTCACTATATAAATCCTCTTCGCACCATGATCTTACTGTGCTGTATGTAAATCGAGTACATACAGTACAGTAGTGGGTACAGCAGCGGGTCATTGAACGATAATGTTGACTGTGAGCGATGTTGCGCAGGACACGGTGTATAATAGTGAGGCGGGCCGCTCCGTCGGGGTGTATTCTTGTTATTGCTTACTTTTATAGGATGTCGCTTAGAGTCTTCAGGGGGAGGGGCAAGGGCAGGCAATTGGTAGGCAGGGGCGTCTCGAAACGGGCGGGCCGATCAATCTGATCTCTAAGTCGAATCGTGTCAATCTGGTCAATCGAGTCAATCTGGGTCTAATCGGCTACCCGCGGTGTAAGCGAGGTTGAACAGGTGGAACATGTGGAGGAAGGGAGGACGAGTGGAGGGCAAGAAGCACGCCAGGCCAGTCAGTCCTAGAGGCTAGAGTGCCAGTGCTACACCGTACCGTGCCAGTGCTAGCTAGAGTAATAATGCTAGAGTGCTATAGTGCTAGTGCTACTGCTAGTAGTGCTAGTAGTGGCAATGCTAGTGCCAATGCCAATAACGCCAATAACGCCAATACGCCAATGCAAATGTCAACACCCATGCCATGTCTTACGTTATCTTGGTTTTGTAGATGAGTAATATCTCCATACCAGGTCGTATCCCTCATATTCCTCGTAGCCTACTTTGGCGATTGGCTAATGCACTCTCTAATCCTGGCTTTATCCCAGCCCCCTGCTATCCGCCTGCGCAACGTCTCTTACGCAGGGTTGGCTTTGTCTGACCACCCTAGGTAAGATCAGTGTCACGTAACGTATATCGCGCACGTTTAGATCATGCATATCGTGCTCGGCGCATGTCGGTGCATGCATCCATGCACTTCCGTGTCCCTCACATGCTTTGGTATGATGTAACTAACTACACTGAAGTATATTTAAAGATAAGTATGTTATAGATGTCAAGCACATATAAACTCCACTTTGGCCAGATCGCTTCGGGGGATCTTCTCCTCTCCTCTTTTCTCCACTCTTTTCTCCACTCTTCCCCTTCAATCTCCACTCGCCACATCCATTCTTCCCGTCCTTCTCCCCGCCATTATCCCCGTCAGCTATCTTTCCACGCTATGAGCTATGAGCTAGCTTTGACATGCAGCAATCGGAACACCAAGTCCCACAATTGCTGCACGTATGCTCCTCGACCTTGGAGACAAAAACCCGACTGTCCCCGATAATTCCGCCGGCAAATTTTCCCCGTAGGATTCCCCGACAAGGCGGCGAAGTAGAGTAAGGGGAGGCTTCCGCGGACTTGCTTAGCTTACTACGCTTCCCCGAATACCACCTGCCAACTCTAAGGAACTGCCTGTGCACGTGTCATCGACATTAGCAACAGTTGGCAACAAAAGCCTTTCCCGAACATCCTATCTCAACAGGGCAAACACACCCTTCCTGATACAGTACTAAAATAGTTCTTAATTATACTAAACAACGCCTCCACTGCACCTTACCTTAAGCGGAATACTGCGTGTATACATTAAGGTAGCGAGCCATTTCTATCGGCTGTAACAGGGCCTAATTACAGTGATTCGGCTGCGCCCTCACTAACGTCGAGCTATGCGCTGTGGTGCGGCTCAGGACCAAAGGATCAAGAAAAACCCGCCGAAGTATATATCAGCCACTCGACAGCGTCGGGGAATGAAACATTCCTTATACTGTATACCTTGCACGTGGCGCCGGTATTCCAGGTAAGCTTCTCTTGGTGAGTTCCGCATACTTCCATTGGCGTTAATGATGGGATCGGGAAATCATCAATCCTCACTTTCACATACCTCTCATTTCTCCCGGTGTCGACGATGGCATCGGGTAATCATCTATTTTCGCTTTCACATACTCCCCGTTGTGCAGCGAGAGAACCGCAGGCACCGGGAAACATGGGCTTGTTCCTAGATCTGAGTTATCCACGAGGCGCAAGCACCGGGAAACATGGGCACGTCGCTGGATCTCGAGTTGCATGCGAGGATAATCCTGTATTTGCATCTGAGTGAGGTGGCCATAGAAATGTACAAAAGAAACGCAGAAATGTCAAAAATTATTTTGGCAAAAGAGTTCAGATCAAAATCAAGAGTTTAGGATATTTCGTCGATGTTTTGAAATTTACAGTGCAAGTCTCGACGATGGCAGGTCTTCTCAAGTTGTATCTCTTTGGAGACCAAACATATGATATACAGCCGCACTTGAGAGATCTGCTTCAGCACAGAGACAACCCAGTCCTAGAGGACTTCCTCGTCAAAGCATACGATGCAGTTAGAGCGGAGATATACAAACTCCCGCACCAGGCCAGAGAGGATGTTCCTCGATTTACCTGTCTTGACGACTTACTCTTGTGGAACCAGAGTGGCAAGCGATGTATACCCCTTGATATGGCTGTTACTTGCATATATCAGTTGGCGATTTTCATTAGGTACGCGCTCAAGAAATGTCCTCCATGGCCTACTATATGATGAAAGCTAACAGTTAATCAATAATAGCCAAGCAGACAGTTGGCATTATGATGTAAACAAGTCTCGGATTAGCGGTCTTTGTACAGGTGCATTTTCTGCATCCGCTGTCAGCTGCAGCCATAGCATACTGGATCTCGTTCCAAAGGCCGTGAGTGCAGTTACCATAGCCTTCAGGACAGGCGTATGCGTGTCTGCTGCTGCAAACCGAGTGGCACCCGTTCTGCACGATAATTCTGACCAGAGCTGGTCCATCATCGTCAGTGGATCGACTTCATTTGAAGCCGTTCATAAGTTCTGTGAGCAAACTGTGAGTGCATACAGCTCCTAGTAATTTTTTAGTGCATCTGCACCATTATCTGCTACGAACTTACTAATTTTCGTCTTTTGAAGGCACTGCCATTAACAAGCAGGCCCTATGTGAGCGCCTATATGCCAACCGGAATTACCGTGAGCGGACCACCAAAATCACTCGCACAACTCATAAATTCCGAGAGCTTCAGGGGTCTTAGGTTCAAGAGCATCCCAATATACGGACCATATCACGCCCAGCATTTATATTCTGAATTTGATATTAGCCACATCATTAGAGATATAACCTCTAGGTCGATCTTATCCTCTAAGCACATTCCTCTCTCCTCAAGTACAGGAGCTATTGTAGAGGGAAATTTTGCAAAACATTTAGAGGCTGCGGTTAGGCAAGTTCTACTTCAACCAATCCGATGGAGCGATATCCTTGATAAATTGCAGGACTACATTCAGAAGGTAGGGCCAGAATCATTCAGGATCATTCCTATTGCGACTGCTGCCGACCAGCTCATCTATACCGCTCTCAAGCAGACACCGTTGAGAACGTTGGTGCCTTCCACGATAACTCATGTCAAACCAACCTCCAATGGAGATTCCTCATATTCTGGTCCTAAGCAGCCTAAGCTTGCCATCATCGGCATGTCTGGGCGATTCCCTGGTGCCAAAGACAACGAAGCATTCTGGGATCTTTTGCACCAAGGCTTAGATGTTCACAAACCCGTCCCGGCCTCGCGATGGGATACCAAAACACACGTCGACCCCACCGAAACTAAGAAAAACACGAGCGCTGCGCAATTCGGCTGCTGGCTTGACGATCCGGCCGGGTTTGATGCCCGTTTCTTCAATATTTCCCCGCGAGAGGCACCCCAAATCGACCCTGCGCAACGACTTGCTTTGATGACGGCCTATGAAGCAATCGAACAAGCCGGTATTGTTTCGGATGCCACTCCTTCCACCAGACCTGATCGTATCGGCGTCTTTTATGGCGTGACGAGCAATGACTGGATGGAGACAAATAGCGCCCAAAATATCGATACCTACTTCATCCCAGGTGGGAATCGAGCGTTTATTCCGGGCCGCATAAACTACTGCTTTAAGTTCAGTGGCCCGAGTTATGCGGTTGATACGGCTTGCTCCTCTAGCTTAGCTGGAATACACTTGGCGTGCAACTCGCTATGGCGTGGGGATATCGATACGGCCATTGCGGGTGGAACGAACGTCCTAACCAACCCCGATTTCACAGCAGGTCTCGATCGAGGACACTTTCTTTCACGGACAGGAAATTGCAAGACGTTCGATGATAGTGCCGATGGGTATTGCCGTGGAGAAGGAATCGGGACTGTTATCATCAAGCGCCTTGATGATGCTCTTGCGGATAATGACCCGATATTAGGAGTTATTCTAGGTGCTTACACCAACCACTCAGCAGAGTCAGAGTCGATCACCCGACCACATTCTGGAGCTCAGCGTGCTATTTTCAGCAAAATTTTGAACCAAGGTGCTGTTGATCCCTATACTGTTAGCTACGTTGAGATGCATGGCACGTAAGTAGCTCCTTAGCTCCCTAAGGGCATCATTGCCCCTATTCGTTCCCATATAGATTGATGCTAATTCTCATGTTACAGAGGTACACAAGCTGGCGATGCTGGAGAGATGTCTAGTGTGCTAGACACCTTTGCACCACCACTGTCCCTGGTCAAACGGGGAAGGAAAAGTGACGAGGCGCTCTATCTCGGATCAGCCAAGGCCAACATCGGCCATGGCGAGGCTTCCTCGGGTGTGTCGAGTCTCATCAAGGTGCTGCTGATGATGCAGAAAAATACGATGGTTCCTCACGTAGGAATCAAGACAAAGATTAACCACAATTTCCCAACCGATCTACAGGAAAGAAACGTCAATATAGCTCTCGAGCCGAGGCGCTGGGACAGGAACTCCGACCCCTCTAAGCCTAGGCGAGCCTTTGTAAACAACTTCAGTGCCGCAGGTGGGAACTCGGCCCTGCTGATCGAAGATGCGCCCATTCGGCAGAAATTCACTGCAGACGCAGACCCACGAAGCTCTCACCTCGTGGCTATATCGGCCAAAACTGGCATATCGCTCCAAAATAACCTCAGTTCCATACTTGCGTTTCTGAAGCAGAACCCCGATGTCTCTCTAGGTCAGCTCTCGTACACCACCACTGCACGTCGCATGCATCATCAGCACCGTGTGATGGTCGCTGGCTCGACTGCCGCAGAAATCGGTGCCCAGATTGAGACAGCCCTTCGGGACAAGGCGGGAATGACGAGGCCAAAGAGCTCCCCGAAGATTGTCTTCACCTTCACTGGTCAGGGCGCCCAGTACCCCGGGATGGGAAAGGAGCTGTTCGACAACTTCTCCATCTTCCGCAATGAGATGTGCCGCTTGGATCAGGTTGGGCAGAGTCTAGGCTTCCCATCCATGTTGTCGGTTATCCAATCCGAGGAACAAGACATTGGCGTCTTTGCCCCTACTGCTGTCCAGCTCGCGAGTGTCTGCATGCAAATCGCGCTAAGCAAGATGTGGGCATCGTGGAATATCACCCCCGTTGCTGTTGTCGGGCACAGCCTAGGAGAATATGCTGCGCTTAACGTTGCGGGAGTGCTCTCTGACGCAGACACGATCTATCTTGTCGGCAATAGAGCTAATTTGCTTCAAGAAAAATGCACGCGTGACACTCACGCAATGCTCGTTGTTAAGGGGTCGGTGGATGAAATCGCAGGCGTTCTGAAAGACAACAAATACGAAATCGCGTGCATCAACTCACCAATCGAGACTGTCTTGGCGGGATCTAAGGAGCAAGTATCCGCGGTGAAGGGAGTGCTCACATCCTCGGGTATGAAATCCACACTTCTCAGTGTTCCCTACGCATTCCATTCCTCTCAATTGGACCCAATGCTTTTGGATTTTAAGAAAATCGCAAGCGGTGTAACGTTTTTGAGTGCCAAGATCCCCGTCTTATGCCCCTTGGATGGCACGGTTGTGGATGGCAGTGGTAGCTTCAACCCCGAGTACCTTGCAAGCCATTCTCGCCAGCCTGTCAACATGCAAAAGGCACTCCTGGCCGCACAAGGCAAAAATATCATAACTGACCGCACGATGATGCTCGAAATCGGCCCGCATCCGGCTATCGCAGGCATGGTCAAGGCTGTTCTAGGGTCGCAAGTAACATCTCTCGCCTCGTCACAGCGTGGCAGAACGGCCTGGCAGGTCCTGGGGGCTACATTGAAGACTCTCTACGCTGCAGGATCTGATATCCGCTGGGCAGAATACCAGCGCGATTTCAAGGCTTCTCATACCGTCATCCCATTGCCAGCTTATAGCTGGGACTTGAAGGAGTACTGGATGCAATATGTGAACGACTGGTCTCTACGTAAAGGGGATCCACCCCTGATGATCAACTCTTCGAAGCTCGAGAGCACAACCGTGCATCGGGTTGTAGAAGAGACAGGCGATTCACAAGCCACTCATATTGTCGTCGAGGCAGATATCGCGCGCAAGGATCTAAGCCCGCTCGTACAAGGACACGAGGTCGACGGGATTCCACTCTGCACCCCATCTGTCTACGCCGATATGGCGTTGACCCTAGGCACCTACCTCCGTGAGCGCTATCGTCCTGATTTGCAGGATGATCTTGTAGATGTGTCGGACATGACTATTTCGAAGGCACTGATCCTGCGGGTCGGTGCTACCCAACAGCTCCTTCAGGCACACGCTGAAGTGGATTGGCCATCCCAATCTGCATCTGTGAAGTTTATGTCCTTTGATGTGAGTGTACCCCGTCACCTATTAACCTCTATCTAATAGTGAGCTAACGCGATTTGATTGCAGAACAAGGAGAAACTACAAGAGCATGCACGATGCGTTCTTCGCTTCAAGGACAGAAGCCTCCAGCAAGTACTCCAAGAAGATTCAGCCAATGTGAAGAGGAAGATGCAAGCTCTCCGGGACGGGATCGCCGCCGAAACCACTGCGCGATTCAACCGCCCCATGGTGTATCGTGCTATCCGGCCGTTGGCACGGTTCCACGACGACTACCGTGCCATAGACGAAGTTGTCCTGAACAGCACGACGCTCGAGGCCTCAAGTCGCCTCAGTTATGGGAGTGTGAAAAGAGGCGGCACCTATCATACTCATCCCGCCATTATTGATTCCTTGACGCAATCCTGTGGATTCACAATGAACTGCAATGATAGGACCGACCTAGACGTCGAGGTCTACATGAACCATGGATGGGGCACACTGCAAATCTTTGAGCCAATAGATTTTGAAAAGGAGTACACCACCTACACACGCATGGAAGAGGGGGCCGACAAGTTGTGGCACGGCGATGTTGTCATCTTTGACGGCGAGAAAGTCGTTGCCTTCTTTGGGCAGATTTCGGTTCGTGCTCCTCGCCCTCCCTCGTATAAAAACCAATTCGTGCTGACTTTCCCCTCTAGATACAAGGCGTACCACGTAGAGTCCTAAAGATAGTCCTGTCAATCGAAAGCGGAATCAAGTCACAGAAACAGCAACCCGTACAGATCAAGCAGCAGCCTTCTAGTACGACCCCAGCTTTTGCACCGGGTCTCGGTCAATCCCCTCCTCCAGCCACCAGGGAGTCCCATTCATACAAGCTTGAAAAGGCACTGTCGATAATTTCGGACGAGAGCGGGCTCTCTATGGCCGACTTGACCGATAGCACCGTTTTCGCCGAGGTCGGCATCGACTCTCTCCTCGGGCTAACCATCTCAGCTCGCTTCAGGGAGGAACTTGATATGGACCTTGATTTCAACGCACTGTTCTACGAATACCCCAGCGTTAGCGATCTTAAAGAGTTCCTAGGGGAGCCTAGAGCCAACAGTTCTGCGAGCTCCACCGACTCTAGGTCATCGACTCCGGTGACCAGTGGAACGGGGTTGACGACTCCTTCTCCCCCTGTCGACTTTCAGTGTGCTCTCCAGATTATCTCAGAGGAGAGTGGATTTGCAATCGAGGATCTCACCGATGATACAAACTTCGCAGAGTCTGGCGTAGACTCTCTTTTGTCGCTTGTCATTGTGAGTCGGCTCCGAGACGAGCTCGAGCTTGACATCCAGCACGAGTCTCTTTTCCTCGAGTGTCCGACCGTGGCGGATCTGAAGCAATTGTTGCTTGGGTTGATAAATCCAAGCCATGCCGTCAATCCGCAAACACAGCTTGAGCCGATGCTCCATGCAGCTCCTACAATAGAGGCAGACTTCACAAGGCGGAACCGTGCGCCGCAGCGTACTGAGAGCGAAACTGCGGCACTAGCAGCTCGCAAGAAAGCCGTCGACGACTACGTCCACAAGTACACGATCGGGTTCTCCGCGCCCGGTTCCTCGCCATCATCTACCGCACCAAAAGAGAACGAGAAAGTTGTTCTGGTAACAGGAGCATCAGGAAGCCTAGGAGGTAACCTAGTCTACCATATCGCACAGCTTCCTGATGTGAAGACAGTCGTCTGCTTAAATCGTGAGAACAGAGCCGAGCCCTACAACCGTCAATACAAGGCTATGAGGGAGAAGGGCATTCGATTCCCTGAAGCCCTCAAGCCGAAGCTGCTTGTGTTGCAGACTGACAGCTCGAAGCCAATGTTTGGCCTGTCGAAGAGTGAATACGAAGGACTCGTCAGTTCCGTGACCCACATCATCCATAATGCATGGCCCATGAGTGCGAAGCGCCCCTTAGCCGGCTTTGAGTCGCAGTTCCAAGTTATGCGCAATCTCATCGATTTTACTTGCGAAGTCGCGTCCGGGCGCCCAGAGAGCTTCAAGTTTAGTTTCCAGATGGTGTCTTCCATCGGCGTCGTTGGCAATTATGGTCTTGGAAATGGCGAGGCTAAAACAATCGTGCCCGAGGAGAGACACACCATCGACTCGGTGTTGCCAAACGGCTACGGTGACGCAAAATGGGGATGTGAGAGGATGCTCGAGGACACAATACAAAAGCATACAAACCGTATCCGCACAATGGCTGTTCGTCTAGGACAGATTGCCGGGTCTAAGACTAGCGGGTACTGGAATCCCATGGAGCATTTTGGATTCTTGATCAAGTCGTCGCAGACATTGAACGTTTTGCCAGACGTGGACGGCAAGGTCTACTGGACTTCGGTTAACGATATTGCCGGTACGTTGTCAGACCTGGTCCTGTCTGATCGCACTCCTCACCCCATCTACCACATCGAAAATCCCGTTGGCCAACCGTGGCGCGAGATGAATGCTATCCTAGCAGATGCGCTGAAGATCCCAAACCTAATCCCATTCAAGGAGTGGGTCGAGCGCGTACGAGCAGCACCGCAGCGAAACAACCCAGCTTCCACTCTCCTTGAATTCTTAGACAGCAACTATCTTCGGATGTCTTGCGGCGGGCTCGTTTTGGACGTGAAAAACACTCTTGAACATTCTAAGACCCTTGCTGCCGTTGGGCCCGTGCCTGAGGAGGTGGCGAGGAAATACATTCACATTTGGAAAGAAATCGGTTTCTTAAACTAACCGGCCTACTCTAAATTGGACATACTATATATAGGCACGGAGGTGTTTATAAATGCATAATGCAGAGAGTTTTGATATATTTAGATAGAGCTTTGATATAATGAATATTTTTACAACGGAGAAACACTCTAGATCCCTTCCTGCGACACTAAGTATACATAATTTTAAGTTTTGTAAAAAATAAGGTAACGTATTTCACGTACGAGTAGGCCACTAAAACACTAAAACACCAAAACGCGTTAGGGTTAGTTCGCCGCATAAACACCTTTTTAGAGACACCACAGCCCCTGATAATTTCTAGTATTCAATAGGAGTGGTTGCTTCCGAGCCAGATTATGACAAATTTCTCTCTTCTATCGTTTCGCAACTGAGTATTGACGCGTGAAATTCTAGCAATAAACCGAAATTATGGTGTAGGAGAACTCTTCTACTATGCAACACCACCACCAAGCTTATACATTGTCGTCAAAATTCAGAAATTCTTCTTATCCTAGCTTCTGAATCCTCCAGGACTACTGAGAACATCGCCAGCGCCGTGGCTGCTGTCATGCGCAAATTCTAGTGGGACCGGCTCGATGGTTGTGACAATGTCATCTGGACTAGCGGGTGACTGGCGCCGCCCTCACGATTTTGATGCCCTCACGGTGATCCGGTTGTGCACCTTAGTTACTTGATGAGGCGACCTTTGAATAATGAAACAAGGGAATATCTAAGAGCAACTTAGAGGCTAGGAAGTGCATATAGCCAGCGACCTCGAAGAAGATCTTCGGGTGATGGCCGTTCCAAGGGATTGATCTTCATCAACGATCAGAACTTCAGGGGCACGGAGAGCGAGGGGTTGGATGACCTCTGTGAGGTGATTATCGGCCCAGCTTGCGACGCCCCAGTCACCGAGGACAATATCGAAGTGGTCGAATCTGTCGTCGTTGTTAAAGTAATGCTGACGAAGGGGGCGAGAACGGATGACGGTGTATCGTTTCTCAGCCTTGTCTTGCTGCGGAATGGGCGCCTCAACGAGATACCCGGATTCAATGAGTGTGTAGTCCCTGATCTTGACGAAGATATCGCTCGGTTGGATATCTAAGATCAAGATTAGAGATGAAGACGAGACTTCGGCATCTGGACAAAAGTAGAAATAGGGAAATAATAACTCATACCAGTGTGAATGACATTATTATTGTGTGCAAAGTGAATCGCTAACAGTAGTTGGATAGTGATGCGCCGCATCACCTCGTTCGGGATCATGCTATCTGGGAACCAGGCGCCAAAGCTTCGGAGAGTCTCGCCCATAAGTTCGAACACAAGGCACACGTGCGTCCCGTTCGGGCCCTTATGCTCAAAGTCGTCAATGAGATGACAGATTTGTGCATACCCTAGCTGTTCCTCATCTTGGGCTTTCAAGTGCTTCAGGATGTCCCTCTCGAAGATGTCCTTTTCTGTGCCATAGGCTTCAGCGGTGAGGAATTTGAGGGCAACAAATTCACGGGCATCGCCGTCGGTCCTGGATGGCGTATGTTAAGTTATGGGGAGAGTGTTTAACGAAATAGACACGCTGGTAAACTAACGACGCCTGAAGGTCTCGGGCGAGCCAGACAGTGGAATACACGCCGTATCCAATCTTGTTCAGCACTTTGTACTTGTCATGATATACATCGCCGATGTAGACGGGATGGAATCCGCCTGGCCGGTATACATCTCTCCCTTCTTCGATATCCTCGGAACTGGTATCAGGGCTATCATTTAAAGCAGATACTAGGCAGTCCGGGCTCTGTGCAGTAGTGGCCATATTCGTAACGTTCTGGTGCTTCTCAACTCAATTGCGCACAGCGCTAATCTTAGAAACTCTGTGCAAATCATGTTTTGTTAGAAGAATGGAAAACTGACAGGGACGCAAGATGACGTACACCATACACGTGAAAGATGTAGGGTGAAGCGCGCGCGCGTGAGAAAAAAACAGCGCTCCGTTTGCTGTCTTACAATATACTGATAAAACCAATGACTTAATTAATCCTAAAGCTAAATGATGAGATAAATAATGTACTATAAGTTAAAAAAAAATAGTTATGAAAAGTAAGTGCTCGAAAGGAAGAAAATATATCGGGTATTTAAACTAAGATTAAACTGTTTATTCAGCTCAAGACAAAAAAATAAACAGACGACGAAATAATAACACTATAACGCCACCACAATCTATATCAACACAAACTAAATCATCAATCTATCTTCTCAATGAAACACCCTCGGCCCCAAATGCCGAAAAGTCCTGGCCAGCGAAATGCCAATCTAGGCCGACCTTCTTTGCCTTGCCGACCCAAACATGTGGGGGGAGGGTCTCGAAACCTTCCACATCATCACCATTGGCCACCTGCTTGGCAGCTTGTAACCCTTCCACCACATTCTCCATTTGTAAGCGGACGGTCGAAGGATAGTGAACATATTGAACCCTCTCACTATCGTTGGTCGGGTCGGCCGACGACTGGATAAAGCTGTCCACTAGCTGATGCGACAACTCCGATGTTCGCAGCAGGTCGAAAGAGCCGCGCCAGCCCTGAGGCTGCGGGACAGCTTTAAGCTTGAAGGTGAGGTCGAGGAAGTCAGAAATAAGGCCCTCCGGCAGAGCAGTCGGACTGGTATCATCCTGAGCAGGTGCACGGGTAACTCGGTGAATATAAACCGGCAAACCAAGTTCGCGGCCAGCGCGCTCTAGGTACGCCTCAGACGCCCATTTGGAAGCAATATAACCATTGGATCCGTCGATGGGAGGTGCTCCGATATCTGTAATCGATGCCGGGGAACTTTCTGCGTCTAAACCGGGCTGGATCAATCCGCCACTGGAGATAAAGTGGACGGGGGTAGAACCAATAGCGGCCATTTTGACCAGCGTCTTCGTCGAGACGACGTTCGGTCCACGAAGCGACTGATAGTAGTCCCAGAACGATCGGTTAGCACCGCTATGAATAATAACGTCGGCTTCCAGGGCCAAAGCGTTGAACGTTTCGGCCTCCAGGCCGAGTAAAGGTGAGGCTAGGTCGCCCGAGTGAACTTCCACGCGAGACCTGAAGTCTTCTGGGACTGGCTCCAAGACTGAGTCCTTGTCAGTGCCGCGAAAAGCAACACAGTGGACCCTAGATACTGCCTTATTCTCGATCAGCTCCCGCAGCAATCGTTTGCCCAGGTATCCGGTGGCACCCGTGAGTACCACGATAAGACCCTCGCCTGATGAAGGCTTTCTGTTCGGTGTATTAGTTCCGGCTTTGAGACCCTCTTCCAGAGCTATCTCTGCTTCCCAATCAACGGCTGCGATAGCAGCCGCAGCATCAATTTTTGAAGCCATGTCCCGTAGACTGCTGGCGTCAAAGAGTTTCATAACAGGTATCAGGACATGGAAGCGTTTGCGGATTAGTCCCTGAATTAGGACTAGAAGATAGGAGCCGCCACCAAGGTTAAAAAATTCGGTTTCAGGCTTGATAGCAACGGCAAGAGTGCACTCCTCGGGAAGAGCCTCTATCCAGAGGTTCTTCAAAGCGCGCTCCGTCTCAGTGAGACTCTGCTCATTGCCGTCATCGTCGCGGGTTGGCAATGGGAGTGCTTGCACAGCCTTTCTATCGGCTTTGCCATGCGGTGTGAGAGGAATTGCATCAATCGGCACAAGCAAAGCGGGACTCATGTACTTGGGAAGTGGGAGGCGCGCAAGAAGAGACGACAGAAAGCTCTTCTGCTCGGCTTGCTCCAGTGGTTGGGCGAACTCGACATGGGCGACAAGAAAGTCCGGGTTTCGACGCACCGAGACGATAGTGTCGTGGAGCACACCGGCGGAGGTCTTGACAATGACAGACTCGATTTCCTTTATCTCAATACGGATCCCGTTTAGCTTGACCTGGGAGTCACCGGCGATTCGTCCTTCAAAGTGCAGCTCGCCATTTTCATCATAGCGACCGCTGTCGCCGGTGCGATACATCTTCGCCATAACACCACCGCCGTAGTTAGCAGAGTATCCACTTGGGGTGAGAGTATCACGAATGAAAGTGGCTTTGGTGAGCTCGCTCTGGCCGTAGTAGCCATTAGCTACGCCTGCACCTGTAATGACAATCTCGCCGGTGACCCCGCTGGGAACCGGTTTCATGTTCCTGTCAACGATGAAAACTCCAGAGTTGGGAATGGGCTTGCCGATGGAAACAGCTTCTGAGTAGTCGCTAGTTTCATTCTTGTAGTCTACAACCTTTGTTGTACTTAGAATGATCGTCTCAGCTGGGCCGTAGGCGTTGATCAAAGTCACATCCATACCAAGGTCATTGAAGGCAGCCTTGAGAGAGCCGTGCATTGCTTCACCACCAGAGAATCCGAATTTCCAAGAATCCGCGGCCTGGAGCTCGGACCTGCCAAAACGAAGCCACTGGCTGTACTCACCAGGAGTGGACATGACGATGGTGATCTTCTCATCTCGAACGATTTTACACAGCTCCAAAGGATCCGCACGCTTATCCTTGGGCGCAACAAAGACGCTTCCACGGTTGCAGAGACCTAGAAGGATCTGTCCGAAGCAAATGTCAAAGCTATGCGCGCTGTGCTGGAGGACTGTCTGTCTCGCTTGGTCAAACCCATACGTGGCTGTGACACCCTCGATAATGTTCTTCAAGCTGGAGTGACGGACTTCGACGGCCTTTGGAGTTCCGGTGGATCCAGATGTAAAGATGAGAAGCGCTGGTTGCTCTGGCTTTGCCTTGGTGGCTAGAGATTCCACAGTGGTTGACATAGAAGGAAGATCAGAAATATTGATAACAATGGCGTCGCCGTTAATACCAGTCAAATTGTCAACTGTTTCCTGGTGGCAAACGACGGCCGATGGATTGCAACCGGCTAGCATGACGGCGATTCTTGCGGTAGGCTGTCTCGAGTCCAGTGGCACGTAAGCAGCACCAATCTTCCACACTGCAAGAAGTGAGCAGACCCAATCCGCGGTGGGCTCTTGGTACCCGGCCACGCGACGGTGCTCGATGCCAGACTCCAGAAGCGCGTTAGCAATCTGATTGACACGCTTGGATGCTTGAGAATATGTGAGAGAGTTTCCGAGACCATCCTTCAGAGCAGGAGTATCGGGATGGGTGACGCTGTTCTCATCAATGACGTGAGAGACAGTTGGTCCCCACTGAGATACCATAGAGGAGCCTGTAATAAGCTGTTAGCAAAATTGTCCTCCTCCCCACCACCCCTCGAGTATAAAGTTAGTATCGAGAAGCTGACTTACCTAGAGCAATCCCTGTGGCAGCTTGAACCTGGGCTGAATTATATAACGTGAGCTTACTGCCATCGACTAGCAGCTTCGGATCGGCAACAGCATATTTCTTGACTAGCTCAGTAAACATATCCAGCATCAATTTAACTGCTCGCTCGGAGTACAAAGAAGTCTGTCCGCGCCAGCGAAGGCGGATCTCGGTCGACGAAATATCGTTGACATCAATAACCATGTCGGCCAAACTGTAGTTCAGAGTAGCCTTAACTTCATCTCCAGGGGCTCCCAGGCCTTCGGGGGTCTCGATTTTGTGCGGCAGATAGTCCAAGACTACCTGGAAGATTGGCGAGCATTGAGTCGAGCGAGGAACTGCAAGCTGATCCAGCATGGCCTTGAAAGGGAGCCTGGAGTTCGCAAGAGCGGCATAGGCCTGGTCACGGCCCTCCTGTGTTAATTGAGTGAAGCTCTTATTGGTGCTGCGCTGGAACTTCATGGGCAAGACGTTAACCATAAGGCCAATGGTACTCGACGCGCGACTGTCACCTCGATTGGCGTCGACAGTTCCAATGCATAGTTCCTCAACGTCTGTAAGTTCAAATAGCATGATGCGCAGAATAGACAGGAAAAAGTGATAGCGCGTCACCTTCATCTCACGGCAGCGCTCGCGAATACCCCTGACAGTCTTCTCATCTAAGACTGTTATAGGGCACTCCTCGAAGGCAAATTTTGTGACAGACACTCGGGTTTGAGATCTGGCCATTGGGAGCATCGGGATAGGGTCAGGAATCGTGGCGAGAGTAGACCGCCAGTAGTCTGTTTCCGCTTTGAATAATCCATTCCCGACGCCAAGTCGCTGTTCTTCCATCAAATCGTTCCACTGGATTGTCACGGGAGGCAGCGCCTTGCCTTCATATAGCGCACCAAGCTCGCGCAAAAAGACGTCGAAGCTGAAACCATCCATGGCAATGTGATGGAATCCAAGGATAAGGTAATGGGCAGTATCACTTTCCGAAAGCATTGCCATGCGGATGGTACGACCACGCTGGATATCGAACACATAGTGGTCAAGTTTCTCATTGAAGTCAATGGCCTCCTGTAAACTAGCAATCTTCTGAACCTCTAGGCGTAATGGGGAGTTGTCGAGTGACAAGACGCCTTGGGTAGGCTCGTAATCATTCTCGGAGTCGTCAAAGAAAGCAGTGCGAAGTGCGTCGTGTCTCTCTCCAAGCGACTTGACTGCCTCCTCCATGCGGCTGATGTCCATTCTGCCCTTCAGAGCGACTCGGAAGCTGACGTTGAAAGCGTGGGGGGCGTCTTGTCCTAGATGTTGGATCAGAAACCAGAACTGCAAAGAAGGGTACGACATCTTCACCTTCCGTTCGAACGCAAGCTCTAGCTCTAGATCCAGTGGCGGTGTCGATAGTCCCTCTTTGGGATAACCGGCTTCCGAGAGACTGCGACTAGCTGGCGGCGTGGTGGCCTCACTATCGGGGGTCTCATTCTCGCTGACACTCAACGGGGAGCCGTTGGACGTACTGTCGTCGTCTGGGATGACAATAGTCGGCACCTCTTCTTCACCCGTAGAGGCCTCCGCTTCTGCCGGCTCTTTAACCCAGTTAGGGGTAAGTTCTGGTGACAGTCGCTCCATCGTGTCCTGGACCATCTCCTCTACTGATGCGCCTCCCAGCAGCTTTAGCACGGGCATGTCAAGATCCAGTTCCTTGGTAAACCAGAATCTCATGTCCACAGCAACAAGAGAATCGATCCCGAGCTCAATAAGTCGAGTATGAGGGGCAATATTGTTGTCTTCTGGTCGCAGACCGAGATTCTTGTACAAGACGGCTGTGAGACCAGCAAGTAGCACCTTGTAAACGTCATCTTTGGTCTTCTGCTCCTTGAGCTGAGAGCGCACAGATTCATTCTTGCCATCCTCCTGGGCGGAAGAGAGAGCCGTAGAACGCTTATAGTAGCAGAAGCGGGGGATATTAAGCCAGGCCGGAGGATTTTCATCTCGGCTAGGGTCATACGGTCTGAGACTCGATGAGATTTCGTGATCATGACCAGATCCTACATTAGGGTGGCCGGCGTTGACGGACTCCGCAAAGAACTGTAGGAAATCCCACTCAGACACGTTGGAGTACCCCATCTTTCCGAGACGCTCAATGATGCCACGATCTGTGCGGGTGATGTACCCAATACCAAAGATCCCGGCAAGGTTCATGACACTTCCAGCAAGGCCGCGTTTACGGCGACCCTCGACGACGCTGGCCATGAATGCATTGGCAGCAGCATAGCTGGACTGACCAATGTTTCCGGTCACGTAGGCAAGGGAAGAAAAGACCACGAAGAAGTCAAGCGTAGGCTTGCTGAAGATGTCGTTCAAGAAGCGCGTGCCGTCAACCTTGGGCTTGAGAGTCTGGTTGAACATATCATGAGGCTGCTGTGCAATGATTCCATCGTTTAAAATCATAGCACCATTGGCAACACCTGCGATGGGTGGCATTGTGTCACAAATGGCCTTGTGAGCCCGCATGACCGATCGACGATCAGTGACATCGCTGATAAGAGTGACCAGTTCGTTAGTTACAAACTAAAATTATGTGGAAAGGGGTGAAAATTTTACATACCAAGGCACTGCGCGCACCTCTGCGCCGTCAGCCTGAACAAACTTGAGCCACTTCTCGCTGATCTTGGGGGTTCTAGAAGACAAAGCAACATGACGAGCTCCACGCTTGACCATCCATTGACAAATGGAAAGACCCAGCTGTCCAGCAAGGCCAACCAGCCAGTAGGTCTTGTCGGAACGGAACTGGATGACGTCCTCAGGGGGAGACAGATTGACGGGAAGTGTCTCGCTGGTAGTCCAGTTCAGCACCTTCACGCGGGCATCGAAGTTCGCGAGTGTCTGCCCGGTCATATCACCTACTGGAAACTCTTCAGCAGAGCTGCTAGGATGGGCAATAGCGTATGATAAAGTACGCTTTAGGACATTGACCACAGTATCTTCGTTACCAGAAGGCCGTGTGAAAGCTTGTCTGCCGATCAAATCGGCAACGTCCAATCGCCGACACTGGATAGGTAGTTGTTTCTCAATACGGGGAGCAAGGCTTCCTGTATGTCCTCGGCCAGAGAGGTCCACAAATGCAGTCAACCTTTTGGGGAATATTGAAGCAAGGGCTCTTGCATGGGTTGACGGATGGATGTATAGGATATCCTTGTTTGCAATTTCTGTCCTCGAGGTGGTGCAAGTGACGTTTTTGCCTTGATCCGCGGCGATCTCTTTGAGTGCTTCTGCAAGCTCAGCCGTAGGCTCATAGACAAGAAGTGCGCTTGACGGCGTTATCGCAGTAATGAGAGTTTGAGCCAAGGAGACGTCAAAGGCCGCCTTTAGAACACCCAAGTCTTCTTCGCCGGTTCCGTTATAGGCAATAGCCCAGGCTTTGGGAACACTGACGACTGATGCATTTAAGTCTGAGAACGCAAGAACCTTCTCTCCCGAACCGCTCAGCTTTCCGATTGTCAAGAAAAGCGATCCAAAGGATCCCAAGCTGACTGTCGCTAGTGAGGATCGCTCTACCTTTATTTCTGCAAGACCCGAGTTAGTAAAAGCTTCCCATTCTGGTGTCACAACCTGCTGGAGCTCATAGGACGCCTCTCCGGCGGAGATAGCAATAACAGAGCCGTTCAGGTTAGTATCCTTCTGGACTGTTCGGCGCGATGAATTATATCGACCATCCAAAACCTTGTTTGGAATATAACGGGGGACTGTCATCTCTCCACCAATGACACGGATTTCACGTTCCAGAAGCCAGGCTGTATCATATGCCTCGACAAATGAGCCCCAAGTATCGGAAATATGTAGGCGCAACACTGCCTCGGCAATCATTTGGGGATTAAGACTGTCTATAGCGTCGAAATCAATGGTTTGGAATCGTAGATCGGGCTTCTCGCATGTCAAGCAACGTGCAACGCCGATCATCATGTTTGCGTATGGATGTTCGCCACTACCTCCCTGAGTGATCCAAAGGACATTCTGGGCCTTTTCGCTAAACAGCTGTAAACCGGCCCATTTGGCAGGCGTGAAGGGGTTGAAGACAGGCTCGTCAAGTTCCAGAAGACTGAGAGTGATCTGCTTCGAAGTGAAGTGGGATTCTTCCAAAAGATCGAGGTTTTCTACAAAAGTGATATTCTTTGCAATAGGCTGCAGCAAGGCTATGATATCCTCCTGAAGTTGGAAGCTAGACATGGACTGGCCACCAAGGACAAGTAAGTCATCCAGCTGCACGTTGCTCTTGGGGGAGAACGGCTGACGAATGAGATTCATTTGTGTGTCCACAGCTTGGCTGAGCATGATGCTTTGAGGCACCATGAACTCGCCCGAAGGAGGAGTTGCCGTGTCAAGTCCAGAGAAGCCAGACTTTCGGAGGACAGCGTCCCATTTCGCCTGTGTGAGGAGAGGATGATGAGGACGTCCATCCGTCTCGCCAACCCACCAACCGGAAAGCGTGCCAAAGAAGAAAGTAGGTCGTAGAGGATCCGTGTCAGTGATCTCAAGAATGACAAGGTACCCGCCGGGCTTGAGAAGCTTCCTGGCATTGGTCAACGTGGTCTCTAAAGACTTGGTCGCGTGTAGGACGTTGGATGCCACAACCAGGTCATAGCTGTGCTCGGCGTAACCTTGGGCAATGGGATCCTTCTCCACGTCAAAAGTGGTGTAGGCAAACTTGTCTCCCTGCTTGTTAAAAATATCCTTAGCTTCGAGGAAGAAGCCCGCCGAGATGTCAGTATAGGAGTACGAAGCATAGCTATCGCCAATGCGGCTCATAATTGCCTCGGTCGCCGATCCAGTACCAGCTCCGATCTCAAGGATGTCCATTTGACGGAACCTTTGGGACAGTTGGCGAACCAGCTTACCTAGGTAAGCATTATACTCGGGGAAACCGTAGGTGTTCTTGTAGATGTGCTCAAGCATGCCTGTTTCACGGTACATCTCAAGGAAGTCTACCTCGCCACGCATCCAGCCAACGAGATTATCACCGACAACAATTAGCAGGCGGAAGTCGGGATATAATGAGCAAAAGTCCTCAAGCTCGTCTTTCATCTCTTCCCAGGTGTCATTCATGCACTCCTTGCTGACAGTTGGATGCCTGCCCTCGGCAACTTCTCCCACAATTTCAGCCACCCAGGCAAGGTACTTCTTGCGATGCCAGTCGCAGTTCTCACGTTCTTCCTGAGTAAGGACATCATGGACTCGCTTCATGTAAAGAAAGCATGCCCGCTCAATAAATACCATGTGGCCGTGTTCCTCCTCACTTAGAACCCACTTAGAGAAGTCCTTGGTGGCATCCGGGTAAAAGGGAGTCCATTCCGTAGAAGAGAACATGTGCCTATCATCTTGCTCGGTGGTAGCGGTAAGGGGCGAAACGTGTAGACGTTCAACCTGCACCAGAGTATTACCATCCTGATCGCAGATATCGACGTCACCAGAAACTCCATTGGATGGAGTAACCGAAATAACGGAATCGAAAGGCATGTCCATGCCTAATCCTGCGTTTCGGCAAGCATGTGGGTTGACTCTGATTCTAGATATCAAGGTTGGTACCAGAACAGTCCAGAGACGACCATCGCCGGGTGCACCTAGTGCTCCGAAGATAGATTGAAAAGCGACATCTAGAGGCGCGGGGTGGAAAATGAAGGCAGGATCATAACCCTCCGCCCCGTCAATATGGATAATCCCGGAAGCCGTGTCGGTGGTTCGCTTCAGAGAACTGATGCCCGTGAACATGTCGCTGTAATTGTAGCCCAGGGCTGCCAGCGAGTTATAGAAGTGATCCATGTCGACATTGTTCATGTCCAAGCCCAAAGCATTCCGCGAGGGAAGAGATTCCAAAGAAACGGTTCCGAGTTCGAGACGGATGCTACCAGTTGAAGCACGGACAGGTACACTGTCAGGGGTTGGGCAAATGGAGCACTCATAGTCACAGAAAATGACGCCGTTCTTCCCATCTCTTTGAACATTGGACAGAGTCACCAGAGACTCAACGCCAGGGCTCTCGTCAGTAAGGGCCATGGCGCGACTAACGCGAAGATCAATGAGCTCAATCATAGATATCTGCTCAAGTGGCGCCAGGGCTTTACAAGCTTCGAAGGCCATACTGGCAAACCCAGCTCCCGGGAACACCATCTGGCCCTGGACTTGATGTCCGCGTAGCCAAGGCATTTCGGAAGGCTTGATGAAGTTCCTCCAGCGGAAGTCATGTTCACCGCCGTCAAGCCTAACACCAAGCAGTTCGTGGTGACGCTCAGTACGCTGGTACATCGACTTGGTCGCTCGAGACTCATTCCAATAAGTACGATCATGGTCCCAGGCGTAGTTGGGCACTTGTTTGAGAAACATGGGCTTGTCCTGGACATCAGAGAAGAGGGCATCTAGGTTGGCAAAGCTCAGTATAGACGAATCAATGTTCTTCCAGATGGCACCAATGCCCTCGGACAAGGCTTCAACATCGTTGATGTTTCTTGCAAGAACACCAGTGTACGACACATCCGATTTGAACTTGTCTCCGATGACCAGGCTAGCTGGGCCCTTTAAGGCGGGATGAGGACCAACTTCCACCACCACCGCTGGCTCACCAATAGCCTCCAGGGCAGCTTCAAGAGCCTGGGAGAAGAGAACAGGATTAATGAGATTATCTCGCCAGTAAGCACCAGATAGCTGGTCAGCCATCTCAGTAGTGACCTCTGGGCCTCCAAGAACTGATGAGAACCACCGACAGGTGAAAGATGGTTCCTGGATTTGCACCTTGGCCTGGGACATTGCTTGCATGTAGGGCTCAGCACAAGGCGCCATGTGATGAGAGTGGTAGGCTTTGTCTACTTTCAGCATTCTGGCGAACTTGCTCTCGTCCTCCAGAATTAACTGGGCTCTCTCGATGGCCTTCCTGTCACCGGAAAGCGTCACACTGGCAGGAGAGTTGCTCGCAGCCACAGTTATGCGGTCACGGAAGACTGGGAGACGGCAGAGCTCTGTAGCATCTTCCATGGAAGTACCGGCGGCAAGCATAGCACCATCGGCATTAGCTAGAGACCCTAGGACACCGCGATAATACGCAACCCTGATAGCATCGGACGCTGTTAGGAAGCCGCTTGCATATGCCGCGCCGATCTCACCACTGGAATGTCCCACGACAGCGCTGAATTCGATGCCGCTAGCCCGAAGCAAGTCGACCAATACGATTTGGACAGCGGTGCAGAGAGGCTGAGAAAATTCAGCTTGCATGACACTGGAAACCTCTGGTGCCTTAGAAAGCTCCTCCTGAATTGACCATGATGGTCTGTCTTTCTTTGGAAGACTTTGTAGGGATTCTTCCAAGGCCTGGATGGTTGCTAACGCAGCCGGCGAACTCTGGATCAGTGCATATCCCATAGTAGGCCACTGAGCTCCCTGACCGGTAAAAATACCAAGAATCTTTTGCTTCTTGGGGTTGAATCGTAATCCCACGTCCTTGTCGTCGGCTTCCTTGGACTCTAAAGCCTTGGATAACTTCTCGGCTAGGGCAGGCAGGGTGGCTGCCGCGAACGACGCTCGGTGAGAGAAGCACGACTTGCGAGACAACGTCCAAGCTACATCTCGAGCATTGACGCTGTCGTCTACTCGGTTTACAAAGCTGCGAATCGCCTTGATTTGAGAAGTCAAGGCTTTCTCGGAGTTTGCCGAGAAAACAAAGGGTACTGAGGCCGAAGAGTTGCGTGCGATAGATTGCTCCTCGGCAGGAACGTAGTTCTCAACAATAGCGTGAGCATTGGCACCACCAAATCCGAAGCCTAAATACATTTGGACATGTTAGCATCAAATTACATGGCGTCATTAAAATCTTTATGGGAGGGAATAACTGACTGTTTACACTGGCCCTTCGAGGCACGCCGGGGGGTAGGGCAGGCCATGGCCTTGCCGACGTCGGTATTTGGAGAAATCCATAGTATGGTTCAACATCAGGATTTAGGTCTGTGAAAAGCATGTTTGCTGGAATGATGCCATGTTGGACGGAGAGGGACGCTTTCAGAAGACCAGCAATTCCAGCTGTGCCTTCTGTGTGTCCGATGACAGTCTTAATAGATCCGACATAGAGAATATCATCCTCTTTGCTTGGACCACCAGCCGGGTAGAAAGCTTGATGGATTGCACTTGCTTCTTGTGGATCACCAGCTTTGGTTCCGGTGCCGTGGGCTTCGAAGTATTGGCAACGATCAGTCTCACTTAGCGGGTCCAGACCAGCTCTATTGTATGTCTCGCGGATGAGGGCCGCCTGAGATTTGCTGCTGGGCATGGTGATTCCTTTTCAAGTTAGAAGTTGCGTTAAGGTTTCATGATATCTCAAACCTTACCTGTAGTTCGTCCATCCTGGTTAGTTCCCGTCTCACGGATGACGGACTCAATGACATCGCCATCAGCGATGGCATCCTTCAACAGCTTCAGGATTACACAGCCTACGCCTTCGCCACGTGCGTAACCGTCTGCATTGCTGTCCCACATGCGGCTGCGACCCGTTGGGGACAACATATTTACGTTACTCTCAGCGATGTAATTGGCTGAATAACGTTGTTAGCTCTTTTCCCATTGCATTGACAGAAAGCTCGTTTACTCACTAGGCGTGAAGATAAGGTTGGTTCCAGCAGCGACGGCAACTCGGGATTGGCCGCTGCGGAGAAGCTGAACTGCCTGGTGAACAGCAATAAGACTGGAGGAGCAAGCAGTATCGATAGTCATGGAGGGGCCGGTCCAGTTGAAGAAGTAGGAAACTCTGTTTGAGAGAATGCTTAGGGCCGTTCCGGTGGCGGCGTACTTGGGGACATTCTGAATATCCGCATACGTGACCTGTGCGAAGTCGTTGCACATGACACCAACGTAGACACCAGTCGAGGAACCAGAGAGATCCTCAATCTTCTGGCCAGCAGATTCGAGTCCTTCGTAGATAACCTCCATCAAGAAGCGCTGCTGCGGATCAATGGTACTGGCTTCTCCCCCAGGAATGCTAAAGAACTGTGCATCAAAAGCGCGAGTATCCTCGTTCAGGAGATACGAGTGAAGAACATTGCTCGTTCCATGATGATGACCATTTTCATGGTAGAAAGCCTCGGCTTCGAACCTGTCGATTTTTCTGGATACATCTCGTGGATCTTTTAGGAGGTCCCAAAGCTTAGAAGGCGAGGAAGAGTCTCCCGGAAAACGACAGCCGCTGCCAATGATGGCAATAGGTTCGTTGGAATGGCTCATTGTGGCGAATCTGGTGTGTAAACTTTCCGTAAAGTAAATTTGATGTTATTTGATAACCTCGAGTGTTTAGAAACCGCCCAGATATAGCGGGGTGTTTGGAGGCTAATGGAAGCAAGGTATATAAAGTGATAACACGTTCGTGAAAACCGCCGAGATAGTGATCTGTTTGAAGGCTTATGGAAGCTAATGGACGCAAGGTAGACCAGAGTGACAATTCGTTCGTGACAACAACTACCGGTAATAAATTCCGATTTTATATTGGTGGAGAGGTGACAGAGTATCGACAAGAGCTTGCGAGTAGGTTGGGTGTATGCTTTCTAGTTGAAAGATGCGAGAAACACTGGTGTTGTTTTGAAGGCGATGGAGGCTTCAACAACAGATAGAATCATGTAACCAGTAATGTTGAAATTGAAGAGTGTACCCGGTGATGTAACGAGTGCTTGATCCTAAACCTAGTATATAGTGTGCGACGAAAATATATATATTTATGATGCCTATTTTCATATAGAAAGCCGCGACGTTCATGCACCTAACACGTGGGTGATATTACATAGACTATGTTACATTGCTGATCCATCTAAAGCAGACTAGAACACTAAGTCTTAGGACCTACTTGGAGGCCTAGTTTTGTCCTCTTAGAGAATTACGCGATTGGGCGTATGTGAATTGCTGATATAACGGAGGTTAGTGGATGATGCCCAAATCGGGGCACAGCTGTGTCAGCATCCATATTTGGAGAGACTCCTTGTCATGTCAGCAATCATATCAGGAACCACATCAGGTACCATGCCAGGAACCAGGTTTGAAAGTATGACAGTTACGTGAAACTGAAACAGATGAACCGAATCTTATTCTGCAATAAAACTAATCGTGTATTTTTTCTGGAAACTCAAACCTTGAGCATCACAAGGACAGAGTTGCAACAGCGACATGGCAGCGCCACAGGAAAAAAGTGTCCACGACTTGAACGGTCAATGGAAATTTGCAAGTTTACTGCCATCAAAGATAAAGTCCAAGTTTCTAATCGGTGGTTAGAACCATGGATTATCTGATGACATAGCGGCAGCCATGGCCGTCCAGGGTGTCAACATCCTACTCCGCACTGCACTATCTCGAGCTCCTATCTCTCTATCGCTCGAACAGATCCGAGATTCGGATACAGGAGTCGAAAAAATAATTACGAAGCAAAGCACAATTGGCCGCACCATGACAGAAGAGCGAGCTCTTGACTGGGTGGAAGCAGCCACGTCTCACGTTGTATTTGGTGATGTGAAAACTAAGAATCGTATTTGCGCCGTTCACGAAATTGAGAACGAGTTACTGCTCAACAACTGGGAGGATGGAACAGAAGAGCTCATTGAAGTCCAAAGTCTGGGTGCTGGTTGGACAAGCTGGCAGGCATGGGGCTTTGAGGTTATTGACGGCAAACGCTACCATGTGCGCCGAGTAGTGGTGCAGAAAGGCACGGAATTTGGACATGTTACTCCTGAGGCTGTAACTGTAAAAATGGTCTACGATTGGGTAGAATAGCTAGCATATATTTACTGGACATGAACAGAGAATGAGGCATGTATGAGATTGGGGATTCATTGTCAGACGCATTATCTAGAGATATATAACTAATCTTATTTGCGAAAAGCTCGAAATCCTTGACAATAATTTTAACACTTTGGGCAATATGCTTTCGTCTTTCTGGCAAGCTGTGAAGTTCGGTGACGTTGGAACTTCTGGTTGAGGAAGAACGCGGCAATTCAAAATAGCGGATGTTGGATAATTCCATGACTAAGGCCCCTTTCACCGTTGCTTGTAGCATACTTCAGCAGAGCTAAGTGTTAACACAAAACGCATTAGCGCTTAATCTTGACCTCGTTCACACGCTCGACCAGGTCCATCATCGTAGCTTTATCCTCCCCACCGACCACGATACAGCCCATGCTATATTTGATAAGACGTCCAGGGCCAAAACGCCCTTCGCACCAGCCAACAATGACAAGCCGGCCGCTCTCCAGCTGGCTCACAAACTTCCTCTCGAATGCATTCCTGTCTCCCATCATCGGGACCGGCGACATCAGAGTGGCAAAATGCAGTCCACGGCACTCGCTAAAGTGTCCCTTGAGTAGACTCAGGGAGTACGACCCGGTAAGGCGAACATTGAGGTCAATCACATACTGCTGGCCTTCAGATATCATGATATCAGCCCCCATAGGACCGTAGTATCCCTTTGAGAAGACGTACTCAGCCATCTTTGCTGTCGTTGGTGCGTACAACTTGCCCAGCTCCTCTTGGCGTTTGTAGTCGGCCATGGCGCCGGACCAGTTACCTTGTTTGTCAATGACTTGCTCGCAGGTTCCTATGAATACAGGCCGACCTGTCTTGGTGACAAAGATGTTGTGCGCGACAGCCCCGCCAGGAAGCATATCCTGGAATATGAGGCTCACAGGATTAAGATGTGCGTTAGAAGCATTGAGTGAGCGGATCATTAGGGCAATTTCAGTCTGAAGAATTGCGATGCAGGCGTCTCGGTCTGTTTCTGTGCGCACGACAAATACACCGTATCCGGCGAGAGACTGTGGGAACTTGAGCACGAAGGGCAATGCGCGACTTTTCACGGCATTGATAAAGCGACTGCTTTCGCGTCTAACGAGAGAATCGTCTTCTACCTCTGCAGGTGTGAGGGACGTCGTCAATACGTCGCTGGGAGGCATCGGCAGTCCAGAGTGGACGAGGTCATGCTTGGAAAGAAGCTTGTAATGGATTTCAGGAGTAATAATTCCCGGAAGTTTGCTCAGGCAATCTAGAGGATTGCTTGCAACCACAGTAGCGAGTTTCCCACTCGGCGCAATGGGCAGAAAGTCGTCTGGACTGGTGATGAAGTCTAGTCTCGGTCTTTGTGTTGGAACGAGAACATCGTAAACTCGCTGCGCGTCCACTTGGTGTCCCGGAATCGAAGTCCAAATCAAACTCAACCAGGATTGGATATAGGTCTTGTCGATATCGAATAGGTTGACGGGAATAGAACCCGCAACAAAGCTGAGGTGCTGGGCGACCGCCCCAAGTAAAATGCGGGCGTAAATATCGTCGTCAAACTTTTCATGATTCGGATGCTGGTACACGAACTTGGTGTTGGATGGAAGAGACGAGGACACCTGGGTTGGAGGCGGGATCACGGTGACAATGGACAGGTCTTGAGGGTTTCCGCCATCGAGAGTATATAGAGTAGTAAGGGTGGTGTCGAGAGTGATTTGGGGAAGATTGACGCCCATTGTGACAATTTCACAGGTGTAGTTTTGAAGCTGTTGAAGATGGAGACCAGACGGAGCCAGCAATTGTATCAAACAAAACAGCCTGATGGTCTCACAAGACTAGGCACTATGACCGGGCCATTAGTGTCTTTTTTATTTCTGCAAGTAGATGGCCGAGTTTCGGGTGCTCGAAACTCAAACGGTAATACTGGGAGCACTACGCCAACCAAAGTCGACTTGACCACGTCTCATTGCCGAGAGTTATCTAGATTTAGCACAAACCGCACTACCCTAGAAACCCCGAGGATTCTCCTTCTCTCCTGTGAAGCAGCGGTTGAAGCACCTTACGAGTTGCCACTTCGAGCATGCTTTAATCGGATTTAAATTTGTGTGCAGCTACAGAAAATGCACACAGAACTACAGCTTATGGATGGCGTAGCCAAGCCACGAGGCAGTTCGATATCCCATCGCCTAGGTTGGAACGAGCTATAATCTAAAGCATAGCTCAGAGAAGAAGGCTAGGAATAGTACGCGGGGGTATCAGCACGAGCCAAGGGTCAGGGCGAGGTTGAATGTTCCGTGGAAGATGTCAGCACGCAGCTGTAGATGCTCAATCCGGTAGCTCTTCCTGTCAGCAATACCTTTGTAGTCGCCTGTAGGCCAGAGTTATGACATAGAGATGCCATTTGCGGACAGTCTTATAACTTCATGTCTCTTGTCAGATTTCCTACTTGAGATGAGGAGCAAGCGTATATTTCTTGTTTCCCAGTTTAGCAATTTGAACATCTCAGCTACATCTAGTAACCGCTTGCTGACTGGTGAGGGCCGTTCTTGCCATTTGAGGCGAAGTACATCTAAACTATACTGTATTTGGCTAACCCCTGTACTTTGATTGGATACGAAACAAAGTTCAAGATTAGCTAGCTTAATGAGGCTAATAATAACAACACCCCAAACTCGCGCACATACGTAGCAAAAATCCGAACCAAGAGCAAAACTATAGCCTGATCTTTAGGCATGCAGCCCATTCTAACGCAAATAGTTCCGCATAACTATCTCGGCATTGATTGACTAGCAATAATGGAACTACTTGCTATCTTTGGGCCGTTTTTCTATCTCACGGCCTTTTGGCTTCTCCATCTACCACCCTTCCAACACCCGTGCTTTGACATGCAAACCGTGAAGAGGTTTTCCAGACAGACTGCCCCCCGAAATTTTCATGTTTGCTTCGTCTAGAAGGGTCTCATCCACGAGACTAAGGTCAAAGCGTCCAACCCAAGAGCCGACAACGCAGGCCATTTCCGCCTTGACAAGAACTTGAGCGACGCAAGCACGCGTTCCCTGCAAAAAAGTTAAGTTAGAGTATTTGGAGTTTGCACCGCCGGTCCCTGATAGCCTGCCATCCGGGCCCAGCCACCGCTCGGGTTTGAACTCGTGAGCATCAGGGCCCCAGAGACGTTTGTCCCAATTCACAGCTTTGATAGGGATAGCTATGCGTGTACCACTGGGAATTAATTGGCCGGCGATAATGGAATCATTGGTAGCCCAACGCGCAGTCACAGGGACCGGGGGGAAGCGACGGAGAGTTTCGTTGATGAAAGCTTGCAGGAAGGGCATGTTGTCGACATCCGAAGCCGTGGCCTCCCGTCCGGTCTCCGCTAGTTCAGTAGGACTAGGGAAGTTTGTTCGAACCTCCTCTCGTAATCGTGTTTGCCATTCAGGATGAACACAGAGCATGTAAACAACCCATGTAATGGCGACGGAGATGGTCTCGTGTCCGGCGCCGAGGGCGTTGGTCAACTGGTCGATAACACCATCTTCGGATACTTGGGCGATATCCTCGTACTGAACAGCTATGCTGAGAAAGTCCTTCTCAAGAAGGGACTTTTCTGCTAATTTTTGCTTCTTCTCGCGCAGCATGCCGCGGCAAGTACCACGGATGGTCTCCACTGCCTCGTCCATCCACCTGTTCCACTTCACAGGAAGACGGTCGACGAGGGGCGCTGGGAAGAAGGCCTTCATCATCGCCAGAACGAGAAAGGCTCGAGTGGGCTCAAGCAAAGCCCGATAAACCTTAAAGAGAGGGGCATTAGCGTCGGCAATGGCACCGAAATCTTTGCCCATCATGGCCATGGTGATGATATCGATTGCAGTTCGGGAGGCCCAATGACCGACTTCAAATTCCAGCTGTTCTCCATTGCCGATGTAAGTTAGATTTGTTACTGCCTGGCAAGCCTTGGACCAAAATATGGGATACATGTCGCGAACGTGTCTGGGAGCAAATGCTGGCAGGAAAGTCCTTCGTTGCTGCTTGTGAACGTCGCCTTCGGACAGCACTAGGCCAATACCTAGTACTCGACCAACCAAGTATATAATTCCCACGGGCTTGGGAAATTCGTACGTTCTCGTCAAGACCTCTTGGAGGGTTTCAGGTGAGGTGACAATGACATTAGCATTATTTAACAATCCGCGATAATAAATGAGGCCGTCGTTTGGTATTTCGTTGAACCTGCATCCGCAATTTCTCAGCTGCTATTTGACGTTTTCTTCACATCATCATGGCAAATACCGTGCGGAAAACGTACCATTTCTTTTCAGTTTCTCCGGCTCCAGAGGAATAGATTGTCTTGAAATGGCCATTCAGAAGCCCTCCCCCCTGGAACATGTTAAAACGCTAAAAACACGTCCGAGACTAGATTCCGTACGGACCTTTGGCTGTGGCAGCTTGGTTAAAGGACTGAGCCAGAATGGTTTCAGAAACATGGCATATGTGAACAATGCTACAAATTGAACGAGACATAGCGAAGCAAACACTCCGATATAGCTGGTTCTCAGAGGCGGAGGCAGAGATTCGGGGGCATGTTGAACCAAGACATAAGAAAGTGCCCCAGATGCAACCAATATCAATTTGGCACTGAGAATAGCCATGATTTAGCAAGATGGGAATATGATATTAGAAGTTTTCAGTGTTCAACTTTGCGTCCGACGTGAGGCATCGGCCCTTGTAGAAAGAGCAACAACATCAGGAATTAACGAGAGATTGCTGATTACGTCCGAATGAATTTAAAGGGGCACTATTCCTCTCATCTCCATTGTTTCGGTTCCGAAGCCCGGAGACTCGGACTTTGACACGCCCATGTGCCAAAAAATACAAGCCAAACCTTTCCCTGAAGCACGCATGTCATCAATTTCCTCTTCAAGAATGGCGCGCCTTACCTTTATAGGAGGTTGTAGGTTAGCCGAAAGTCCCACATTAAACCACCTAAAAAACGATAAACGCACTAGTAACGGCCCCGCTCAAAAAGTAATTTGTTTTTGCATCAATAACGACACCGAGAACGGCAAAAAGAATTGACCAGGCTGGGGTTCGATCCCAGGACCTTTTCGGCACATTAAATGTTAACGAAACGTGATAACCAACTACACCACCCGGCCAGATGTGCTCCCGTTCGTTATAGGTACCCATAGGTAAGAATCCACAGAACTCTGGCACCGGTGGCCGCTTAGCATATCAACTATTATACGTGGTGCTGATGCTCTACTAGCAATAGGTTTGCAATACTGTATTTAAATTGCTGGTTTTGGTTGATTATTTAGTTCGGGGCAGAGAAAATCACCAATCTAATTCATTGTATCCTACACATGCGATTTAAACTCGGTTTAATTATTCGCTAAATCATAGCCACGCTGTAAAAAATTAATGGTTCTTATACAGACTATTTCGTAAAAATATGTTAGTTAATTAAAGAGACGTCCGAGAGACAATTTCGGTGGTTGTGCCAAAACAAAAATAAAATAAAATAAAAAAGCTAGGTACTCGAACGAGCCTAGAGGTAAAACAGTAATAGCAATTGATTTAAAAGCATCGCGGCCTAAAGGCATTTCATCGTGTCTATTCCAACTTCAAATTCAGCTCACAGACAAAACTAAAACCATACCCAAATCCATCCGCTAGGACTAGGAAAGCTTGTACACCAATTTCTGCCCGCTAACCTCCCCCTTGCGGATAATCTGGACTCCATTAAGTAAGCCGTGCCATCCGCCCTCTTCCACGCGAACAGGATGAGCACGGATCTTGCCCTCAAGCAGGAGCTGTTGTATTTTCTCAAAGACCGGGCCGGCCATTTCAAGCAGACGCGGCTCGGGCTCGCACGCGTACGGAGCAGGCCAGGACGAGGCGTCGCCCGTGATACGCGTGGCAAGAATCCAGTCGGGTTGAATGACTTTGCGTGTGGCAAGTGTGTCGTTAAAAGGGTTGAGGGCCGTGTATTTTCCGCCAGCACGCCCGATAGCTGCGTAGCAGAACTTCATGGTTGAGTCCTCGGCAACGCAGTCGACGGCGTATTCAAGAGCGTTATCGCAATGCGCACGGATGTCGGCAGCACATCCCGATGACTTGTAGTCGAAGGTTTCATGGGCACCGAAGGACTTGGCGAGTTTGAAGTTGCGTGGAGAGCAGGTGGTGAGGACGTGGAAGCCACATAGTCGCAGGAGCTGGATGACCATGGTGCCCGTACAGGTGCTACCTCCGTAAACGAGAGCTTTTGGTGCCTCATCGCCGGTTTTATTATCTCCCCCCGTGCCAAACAGAGCTGGGTCTATCCCCAAGGACCAAAAGAGGGCCATGGCGGCAGAGGCAACAGCGGTACCGAGAGCCGCTGCATCCTCCATAGGTAGAGAGTCGGGGATTTTCAGAGTCAAACTTCCTGGTAACACGACATGCTCGGCAAATGCACCTCCCAGAGGTTTCAGTTTGTTCATGCCACTGGCAGAGCCACAGACGCGGTCACCGACAGATATACCACGAGCCTTGTGCACATCGCTTGATCCAATGGCAACCACAATTCCTGCACAGTCGAAACCAAAAATGCATCCTGGTGTAACAAAGTCTCCGACAAGTTTGGTATCGACGGGGTTCAAGCCTACTGCGGCTGTCTTGATAAGAATCTCATCGGGTTGGAGGGATGGCAGAGGGACATTAGAAGAGATCTCGAAATCTCCCGTCTCGCTCGCTATGACGGCTGTCTGTGTTGTTGGCAGCGTCACAGGGTATTGTAGGATTGCTGCGCTGGCCATTGTGAACGAATTATTTGGTCTATGCAGTAAAATATAGCATGTACGAGGTAAAGAACACAGTTGATGGTTCAGTAAAACAAAATATGTATATCAAAGTAATGGCGATTATTTTTTTGCGGTGTCTCTGAGTTGATGGCGGACATATAACTGGCAAGTCTATCTGTGGAGCTTCATACTAATTCACCTAGCTAACAAATATGATAACACCTCTTAATCAGGTTGATGGTATATTTGGGTTAGACGAAAAAAGAATCAGACACTGATATGACTGGACTAATTCGGACTAAGTCAGCGCTCGTTCGGCCTAGTTCATCTATCTATTCATGTGTCAGCCTGAATGGGATACCACTGCTACTTTAGGCAGTCTTATGACATACCGAAAGAGTCGAAAGTATGGATCAAAATATTAGCCGTTTGAAATAAGTCATTAGAATTCTTCCAATGACAATAATCATGAAAGGATGCGAATGCCGAATATTACCCATAGGTGGGCTATCGTCGGGTCATGTTGTGGGGGGATGCTGACTGGAATATATACTAAATTGAGTGTTAGAATCAATGTAGAAACGCACTTCACAAATTCCCCCCAGTTGGCAATTGTCATCGACTCCACCAATAGTTAGTTTTACATGCCACGCATAATAACGGCTACTTTCTACGCATTGTGATAATCAATGTGTTTATGCCCACCATCACAATGGACTCATTGAACCTCCGCCAGAGCATTTTCATAGCGCTGATCGGCCTGATCGGCTATGCCATTGTACGTCGGGTCATATATTCAGTAGAGACATCGACGTTTAAAAGACTGCACGGTTGTAAACCGCCGACACGGCTTCCCCAGCTCGATCCGATTCTGGGTCTGGACCTCTTCAAGACTATCAAGCAAAATGCCGTTGAGAGAAAGGCACTTGAGACCAATGTCCGGCGCAGCTTGACCGTGGCCCGCACAATGACGATAAATCTCATGGGCCAAACATTTGTATCAACATGCGAGCCAGAGAACGTAAAATCCATTCTCGCCACAAACTTCGACGATTTTGTTGTTGGTCCCCGAATGAGCGCCATGGGAAGGCTGATGGGGAGGGGTATTTTTACCACTGATGGCGTTCATTGGGAGCATTCCAGAGTCTGTCTATTGGAATCTGATGCTGAACCAGAGGCTAAAATTGACCACAGGCTCTTATTCGGCCAAGTTTCACCAGGGCTCAAGTAGCCGACCTGGACAGCATCGAAACGCACGTCCAGAATCTCATCAAGAAACTACCCGAGGATGGCGGCACCGTGGACATGCAGCATTTGTTTTTCAATTTCACCATAGATAACGCTACAGAGTTCCTGCTGGGGCGCTCCATTAACTGTCAGACAGATCCAAGCATGGAGTATTTTTCCGAGGCCTGGGACTATGCTGAGAGCCGCTCGAATGATCGGCTGCGGCTTGGAAAGCTAGCCTTCCTCATGCGAGATGCCAAGTTTGAGTCTTCCTGCGACATTGTTCACTCCGTTGTTGATAACTATATTGCTGAATTTCTCAGTACTAAGAAAGGAGGGGCTGCCCTTGGTAGTGGTGACGTGAAGGCCAAACGATACAACCTCCTGTCTGAGCTCTCTGCGGTGTGCAGTGATCCCATCCAGCTACGAAATGAGCTATTGAATGTCCTACTGGCCGCTCGAGATACAACTGCTGGATTGTTAAGTAGTATCATGTACTTTCTGGCCCGATCCCCGGAAGTCTGGCGTAAGCTGGTGGCCGAGGTGGATGACTTGGGGGGTGAGCTCCCAAATTACGATACTCTGAAGAGAATGCGATATCTCAGGGCCGTTTTAGACGAAAGTGAGTATATTCTCTATACATTGGTGTATTTGCTGTCCGCGCGACGAAGATTCAAATTGAAAGAGTGCTAACCTGGTCAACAGCCCTCCGCCTACATCCTCCGGTTCCTCTAAACATGCGCTTCGCAAGCCGCCATACCACCATCCCGCGCGGCGGCGGGCCGGACGGAAAATCCCCGGTGTTCATCGCCAAAGGCACAGCATTGAGCTACGGTGTATGGACGATGCACCGCTTGCCCGAGGTTTACGGATCCAATGCGGAAGACTTCCATCCTGGCCGTTGGCTGGACTCGGAGAAGCCGCTGCGGCCGGGCTGGGCGTATCTTCCTTTTAACGGCGGTCCACGCATATGTTTAGGACAACAAAGCGCGTTGATGGAAGCCGGATATGTTGTTACTCGTCTTGTGCAGAGCTTTAAACAGATAGAGCCGCGAGGGGGCGTTTTTCGGGAAAATCTAGCCCTGACGTTCAGTCACTTTGGCGGTGTCAAGGTTGCGTTATGGAGAAGATAGCGTAGTTATTTGGCTATTGTTTTGGGCCAAAGTGAGTCTATTCGTGACATATGAAAATGGATTAGCTTTAGTATATGAAATAAATAATTATAACTTCCCAAGCGTGTATATTAACAGCTCGTTAGTCAACAGCCATGACTATATAAAAGTCAAATAAGAAAGATAAAATATGAAATAAAATGAAGTAGAGGAAAGCTCTCAAGTTCATCCCACTCGGCCCTGTAAGGCGCCAGGTGGGAAGGCCTGTCGTTGACGGAAGGAAGGGGAAAAGTGAGCTCGGCTCTTGGTGCGGAACTAAAGGCGAGAACAGGCTAAACTCCCCCCAGGCCAGCCCGTTCCTTACACGCGGCATCTTGCGTACTGTGCTACCTTGAAAGATACTGCTTCGGGTTACACGGCGGATTTAGTCGCGCGACAATATCAGCTATCGGCCGATACGAAATAGGACCCCACGGCTGACGCGGTGTGGAAATAACAAAAGCGGCAAGGTTATCCCAGTTCTAGTCCTGTCCCTGGAGGCTCCACTCACACTTTTATGCCTTCTGTCACACTAAACAGGGACCCTTGACCTGCCATCGGCCAAGGATGTAAGCCGTCCTAGCGTAGCCGTGTTGATCGAAACTAAAGTAGCCCAAGCCTTAACGGTCGCCTTGGTTAGGCTTGTCCTACAGGGAGGGTATGGGGGAAATCTATGGAGCGGGAAGGTTATCTGACGTTGGACACCAAATGGTCCCTGCGAGAAAACTGGTGGCTTGGGTGGTTGCAGTGTGTGCTCGCTGACTGATATAATCATGTTCTGTGGCCCTGATAGCTAAGTAAATTCTGCAAGGAGGTATTTTACGTGCCATGTCACATCGCATCGACTCGTTTGCATCGACTCGTTTCCTAATCGGGTACGAGACTCATACCCCAACCGCGCGGCCTGGGTTTTGAGTGGTCGCCGCCTAATGTTGCTGCTACACTCTCGGGGTTTCGGGGTTCTGCGTGATCTAAAAGTGGCTCGCTCTCGCTCTTCCTATTTGGGAACGAGATCTTACCCCTTGCTAGTGCCGGATATGGTACAATCATCAATACAACACTACACAACAATACTAGCACAGTACTATGTGCAATGGCAGGACGTAGGGCCATTACGCATGCCCCCACGATGTGGCTATACAGTAATTATGGAGGCACATTCAGTAGGCCAATGGCGTGTGGGATTGCCCTCGGTGAGATTGCTTTCAGTGCTGTTGGAGTGCTGTTGGACCGTGGTAAGACAAACCGTCTCAGGAGGTCGCTAGGACTGCCCTGTCATCACAGTGCGCACTGTAGATGCTGCCCGAGTGAGTGCTTGCATATATGGAACCGCAGGGCCACCCTGGGAGTTTTTATCCCCAAAGCTGCTTGCCCAAGTTTTTTTCTTTGTTGTTTTTACAATTAGAGACAAAAAGAGACGTTGTTCACCTTCGTGTCCAACTGAATTTTATAACTCTTCGCCAGCTGCCTTTGTACTGCCGCCGATTTTACGATTCATCGCCAGCTACCCTTCTTTCTTTTTTTTGGGTTGGGCACAAGTGAAATTTCCAGCGCAAACAGCGCTATACACACGCAAAGATGGGTAATTCGGCGTCGTGCCCAGTACACGACCTTTCCGCAGGTAAGCAAAGCTGAAAGCTGAAGGGGAATCTATGAAATAACAATTTTTTAACCCCCGTGCAGATGCTACCTCGCCAAGTTTCGGGTCCATGACCTTCTACACATTTGACATGATACTGGGCGGCGCATCCGCTGCGTTTGCTGTCATCGCTATTTTCCTGCACTTGCTTAACCACGCGACACATCTCAGCGTGCCCCGCGAACAACTAAAGTACGCCCACTACTAGCGTTCATATGTTGCCCTATTTTGTCGCTCTCAATTTTTTTACTGACAAACTTTGCCTTATCTAGGATCATGAGAGTCGCTCTTCTCGTCCCCTCCTACTCCATCATCTGCTTCCTCTGCATCTGCTTGCCCAACGCTGCCGTCTACCTCCTCCCTTGGCTTGACGTCTTCACGGCCAGCTGCCTAGCCGCCTACTTCCTCCTTCTCTGCGAATATGTGTCGCCCCACGACCATGGGAGGGATCTCTTCTTTTCTACTATTGAGCTCAAGGATAAGAGGGCTCGAAAACAGGGGATGGACGGCGCGAAATGGTTCCGAGTAAGTTCTTTCCTCGGATTTTATATGCTCCCCGCCTCTTTGGCAATGCATGATATTTACTAACCATCACACTATAGCAACGCTGGATTTGCGTCTTTCAATACGTCCTCATTTCGGTGCTATGCGCAATCGCAACCGTCGTGACCGAAGCAGTCGGCGTCTTTTGCCAGTACAAGATCATGCCGCGCTACGCCAAACTATGGGTGAGCACGCTCTTTATTGCCGCCTTTTACCAGACTGTTGCTTGGTGTTAACACTTTCTACTATAGCTCGCCATTATCGACAGTATCTCGCCGACCATTGCCTTCGTATCGGTGGTATTCGTCGCACTGACCATGAAGCCTCATATGCCGCAGCAGAGGCTTATTTTCAAGCTTCTTTCCGCTAAGCTTGTTGTTGGCCTCGGTTTCACTCAAAGGGTGAGTCCAACTACCTCGAGAGAACAAGAGCAACTATCACCACCAAGAACACCATTGCTAACATAATTATGTGCAGATTATCTTCTGGATCCTCGAAAGTACCCCCGTGCTGAATCCCACCGATAAGCTCACCTACGCCGACTTAAACATTGGCATTCCGGCTCTTCTCAGCTGCCTGGAGATGGTTCCCATCTCTCTCCTCGTCATCTGGGCGTACCCCGTGGCCCCTTACAAGTATGGGCCGGCTGGCGAAGCATGCGAGCGCGAGCCTGGAGAAACTTATCCCAGGACGTATCAGGGAGGGTTTCTCGGAGTCAGGGCATTCATTGATGTGGTGAATCCCGTCGAGACCGCTAAGGGCGTCGTTATTGCATTTCAGCTGCTCATTGGACGGCAACCCAGCCTGTCTATGGCCCGTAGATAGTTGCCGCGAGATTGGCTTGGCGTATATTATATAGAGGCGGCGTCGAGCGTTGTTTTATCTTTCCTGTTTATTGATCATCTCGGCGGGCAAGCTGGTTAGATAATCTTGGAATATTGTAATTTAGAATCACAAATCGGCATGATTAAATTCCCATGTCTTCCTTTTACTGGATGCCTCTGTGATCTATGCAAATTACACGTCGTTTTCGGATATCAGAATAAGATCTAATCGTTTTACGGTAGGTCCTTATAGGTGCCTGTCAGCCCCTCCGAGTCGATCAGCCGAACAAAGAGGGCAGCCGCAGTCCCCAAGGCGAATATATAAAGTTCGGTGGCCACCTCCGATTTTTTTCACGCGCCAACAATCTCTTAAACATTGGAAATTGACAAACTCTGAACGTCTCCTTCCAAAGCCGCATTCTTTTCAACTACAAGTACAAGTACTCCCAGCACAATACAGCAATTTCTTTGGTTACAAGTTCACGTACACTTTCCACCATTCACCCATACTGTCAAAATGACTAGCTACCGCCGCAACAATGTCAATACCAGCGCCATAACTATCACGGAATACGCAACACCGTCCCCCCTGGACTGGTTCGTCATCGGCTGCATGCTAGCTCTCTTCGGTACGGGAGTAGCATCGCCGTGGATTACACCGGGAGACCACATATGGAACCTGCTTACGCAGTACTTTCCCGGCGGCGCCGAACAGGCGCTTTGGATGGCTCGCACTCTTGTGCCTTTACTTGCCTTTGCTCATGCGGGAGAGGTGGTGCTGTTTGACCAGTTGCGGATGCGGAGACATGGGGTGAGAAGGTGGTCGAGGGTTTGGTGGATGTGGGAGATTAGTTGCGCTGTGGAGGGGATTAGAGCGTGGAAGAGGGTTGATGGAGTGATCGCGCATAAGAAAAAGGAATAATAGAGCAAGGAATGATAGACTTTTGGGCAATACTTGCATGTAAAGACTGAAGGCAGTAAAAATAATTATGAAATTAATATACGGCGACGTGGTGTGGTATTGATATCAATATCTCTAGGGTAAAATTATTACGTCCACGACTTCATTGTTATTGAATGTTATTTATTAAATCAATAAAAATATAAAATGTCTTCAGAATAAAAATAATTTATCGTCTCCTAAAAATCCAGCCCTGCTCTAGAATTCTGGCATAATCATGTCATCTTGACTGAATCGCTCGTTTGCTCTCCCTCATCCTTCTTGCCGCTCCTCTCGAACAACCCCTTCCGCGGAACCAACCCATACTGGTCAGCCGTGCTGTAACGATAATGTCCGAGGTAGACAAAAATACAAAGTACGATGAATTCGGGCACAAGGGCCATGAGCGAGAAGAGAACCGCGTTACCAAACATCGGACTCCATATCGAAGTAAGGAAGTGTTTGCCCGTGGCCTCAAACACACTGATAATCCCGAATACGGTACGGATGCAGAGAATTGGAGAAGCAATAAGCAGCCACTTGATATACTGAGGTTGAAGGTCAATATTTTGCGGCACTAGGGTTATGGATACTGACGTGGAATGGTGGGTTATACATACAATGACTTGACCGTCCTGAATCTTGTCTCGGGCCACAAAGTATAGCCAAGCAGCCATGCCAAATAGTGCTACGAGAACAAAGGCAAATTCGAAATATGCAACCCTGGATAGTGTTGACTGCACCTTAGAGCGATCCGGGTTGCCATATAAGCCCCCAGAAACAGATAGGAGTAAAACAGAGGCAAAAAGCAGGAATCTAGTAACTCTAAGGAACATGTTCTTTCTCCGATCGCCTGGGAAGCTTGCTTGTACTCTGTGGAAACATCTGGGTTTTAGAAACGATACTTGTATGATAGAGAGCAAGATGTTTTGACTTACACGATACGAGTCAAGGCGTGAAATGGCATAATAAGCGGGACAAGACCGATGTTGAGCAGGACGATAGTAGCGGTAAGTAGGTGGGTATTTTCGGGGTCGTGTTGGCTCGCGAGAACAAGAGCGCCGCCAGTAAGTCGGGCTGCATCATAGTTGTTAGCAACCTCGCACCAATCCTCAGCTGGATTCCAGTCATCCTACCACATGCAAATGCCATGGCAGGATACCACGCCAGGCGTGGTCCATACTTCCAGGCTCGGATGCCCACGTACAAAGTCGCCGGGACAGTCGGTGCGTAAAAGACAATCTGCGCAATGGCAGATGCCCTGTGTGCACTGTCCATGGGCGAGGACTATGGCTGAGATCCCTAGTATAAAAAAGGAAAGGCGCTGGTAGAGCAAGTGAAGTAAGCTGACTTTGGAATCCGAAGGGCCAAGTTACTTGGCAGACGGCATACTTATACCTGCGGACTCTGAGTATATAAAATACACCGCCTCAGCAGGGTCCTGTGGGAATAAGTTGGGTATTAGCCGTAGAGCTGGATGTGATTGGGAGTCTTGCTGTTTATGGTCTGAGTCCGCTTTGGTTCGCACATCCAACGAACAGAAGAGCTTCGCAGCTTATGACCCGAAATGGGGTGGCATATCGTCCGGAGTGTCCCGCGGCCTTATAACCTAGCCCCCTGGACCCCTGGAGTGGCAGCTCACTCATGGCCAACAGGCTGTAAAGTAGGCAATATATGTCTCTGAGGGAGTACCCATATTCCAAAATATACAATCGTGTGAATCTTCTGTTACCAACTCGCTGAGGGCCTTTCTGTCTCACCTATTCGCCTGCTCTAGAACTTGAACGTCCATGATACCATCAAGTAATGAGATTCGTATTAGCTATGGTCATTGTTGAAGAGGCAGTTAATTGTTTCCTGGTCGTTTATTAATCTGTCATAAAATTATTATGAAAATGTCCCCCTTTCATCACCAATCTGGCCGCTGTCTGGAGGCTGGGTTTCTTTCGTTTTTCCTTAACCCAAATCAATAGCTCTGCTCAACAGCACTCGGAATACTTGGTGCCACGCTATTCATCAATATCACCAAATATCACCCAATATCACCACCGAGCCTGAGCGGGAAACGGCCATCCATTGCCGATCAACCAATGAGGCGGCTACCAAGACTATCAGATCGTTACTGGGGTCATGCTTGATTCTTTAGCGCACACATCAGCGCAGCCTCCATCTGACGCTAGGACGCGCGTCTTAGCGTCCGCTCCTCCCCAATCGGGTCTATTTTTACCCTTGTCAGGGAAGGGTGTGTGTTTATAGTAATATCGAGCTAGTTGAAGCGCCTCCTCCCCACTCACTCTATATCGTATTCCTTCTGCAGGGTATGTCTCAGTCCTTGGCCTAGCGTAGCTGCATCATTCGCACCGTATTTACTCAGTACTGTGCCATGACTCTTGCACCATAGTCTGTGCATATGCAGAAAGATAGCAACTAAAGGATTCGTGGCTTAACAGCTCCTCCAGACTCGTCGTGGGGTGCGTGGGGTGCGGGGCCCCTGATGTCTCAAACCCTACGTACGTAGCTTTGTTCGGGGAAGTTTTGCCGCAGAGAACCCGACGTCTCTTGCCGCTTTATCCGATGGTCAGGAGTGAGGGGTACTCAAGGTTAAAGCCGTTGAGCATATTTCAGGGTTGTGGAGAACTGCACTTAATTTTTGGCGCATTTCCCCGGTGAACGAAAATGTCTCCTGGCACAAACGGAAGCTGGCTTCACAACAGTACAGTATATTGAGTAGTAGTACAGTAGTAAATTGAATTGTCTAATTATTCCAATCGTTCTATGTAGTATTTATCGGCTCTTCTGTTCCCTAACGGATTGGAGTTCGTGTATTTGCACCCCTCTCTAACAGTACTTGCACAATTTGATTGCGCCCTTGCATTACGGCAAGGTGCAAAGGAGTCTTCCCAGCGTTGTCCGCCATGCTGATTATACCTTGAGCGTCAACGCTGCGCAGCAGTAAGCGCACAATGTTCAAACGTCCCTTTAACACTGCTACGTGCAAAACTGTGCGCCCATCATTGTCTTGCTGGGTCGCATTTGCACCTAAACGGAGGAGCTCGCCCACTACTTCGGCGTGGCCCTCAGAAGCCGCAATGTGAAGAGGAGCTTGGGCGTTGTTGTTGAGTAAGTCTGCATCTTCAGGAGAAGTTGACAGAACAAGGCGAATGATGGAAAGCTTTCCAAAGTACGCAGCGAGATGGACAGCACTAAACCCATTGAGACGTGCCAACTCGCACGAAGGTGAGGAGTTATCACTCATATCCTCGCTATTGCTGGTTTGTATGTGGCTGCCCATGTGGTTTGAGCTGAGGTGCAGTTGGTAAGATTGCTGGTCCATTGATTCGAGGGAACGTGTAGTTACGGGTCCAACAACGGGTAGTGGTGTGGGATAATTAAAGAAGCTTTGGACATCATCGAGGTCGTCTGCCACATCTGACATGTTCTCAAGATCGAGGAACTCCGAATTCGTCTTCCAGCTCTGTGCTAAGCCGTCCTGTAACGCACAAAGCGGTTTCATTAAGTCTGTTATTTCGCCATCCCTGCTCAACAGAATCTCATTCGGCGGCGTCGAATATATTGGGGCGTTCTTGTGGACAGCTGCTGGAATAGTACGTGGCTCTGTCCATACCAGCTCCTTTGGGGCATGGCGGGTTTGTCTGCGGCTTTCTAAGCTCTGGCTGGGCTGCGGAAAATCTGTAATCATTGTCAGTCTGGCACCGACTCGCTACATTATGGTAGCTCAAAAAATTATATATGGTAACTTGTGGCGTTACCTACCGCTCTTCTCCTGGCCCGAGGGGTTCCCTGGTTTGGGTGGCAGGCGCGGCCGTCGGTTGGACATTTGCTTTCAAGATTGCACAAGTCGAGAAATCGCACGACTCATGAGGAAGTGATCCTCTCCAGGCCTCCTGTATAGATTAAATGCTGCCACGGAAGCAAAGCATCTGCCACGAAAGAGAAACATCGGCGATGGGTGAGAAGCATCTGCTACGGAAGAGAGGCGTCTAACACGAAAGAGAAGCATTTGCCACGGAAGCGAAGCATCTGCCAAGCTATTATAAATAACTGCGTAGTGTTGATGGTAGATAGAGTCCCGTATCATACTCAATAAGGTGATGATAGCGCTACATGGCACTGGATTTAGGCGCGGTTCGTGGGTAATGTCGATCCTGCAGTTGAGGGAGCGTTTATGCTCTCGGGTCGGACCGACTCGTTCCCAATCCGGAACCCGTTCAACGGTCATTAGCAGCGGTCCAGCGCTAGGCAATCGATGCACCTTTAGTTCGTTAGACTTGAGCTAAATACGCACCAACCACTTCCACTTGACCGAAAACGGAACCGGCGGCATTTACAGATGGTCCTCCTCTACCTGAAGCCACACATGTAGATCTGAAGAATCTTTACTGGCAGATAATCTACAGATATTTTTGAGCTTACGTTGTCTCGTATTGTGCCTCAAAATATACGAAGGTAGCTCCATAATTGCTCGGACAATTCCGCGACGCACTGAGACATTTACAACCCAATCATAGCAACAGGGTGGAGATACCTGCGTGGGGGCCAAGGTGGTAAAGCACTATTTGACTAAATAATTATAGGAACATATATGCTTAACACGGGTGGCTGAAGATTCCTGTATTGAAGCTGACTCTTCCACTCTGTGGATCGCTGAATTTACCCGCTAGTGAAAGTTTCATATTAAGACTTCTCGGGCATCCAAACGGTGTTTCTCACTACTATCACACCCTCGATAATTGTTCTCGTCTCATTCTCACCTTCTTGGCCACATGGGGAATCATTTACCGAGTTCCCCGTCGATGGTCAGAAGCGTTTCACATGCATGCCTACATGTAAGACATATCCGGCATATGTTGCCCGTGGAAACATGGGATCAGATTACTTAAGGAATAGTGGAAGTAGGGTCCTTATGAGCTTCCATCTTGGGCAGGCCGTCCCAAAATGGCGTTAGCATGGGATGCCGTGGCGCTGTTTCTTAAACATAATGGTGCCCTACAATTGCCCGTCTGATCCTCGGAAAAAAGGGAAGGAGAGCAAGCTCGAGGCGCAGCTCAAACTCGCGACTACATGGTTTTTGCATCGTGAATTCCTTCGGACTGGCTCGGGTCCGTCGGGTCCACAATCCTGGGAAATCCTTTGATGCAAGGTGCCAGACCCTGATGCGCCCCTGCGCCTAAAACATAACCTAAACGATCCCCTGAAGATACAGTACCTCACGCATGTCATCATTTTCCTCTTTAGTAATGGTGCATCTTACCTTGGGGGGTATCTACGGGTAATAATTGGTAGGGCTCCACTGCTATCCATGACCCTGTATATCAACCATTATATGTGCCAACCATTATATGTGCTCTTAATGTGACCAGGAGATTTGTATTTGCTGGACTGCAGAGACATCGTGACTAACACTAGTCGCCAAGCGGCCTGACGTGAGTATCTAGCATATCTAGCGCCGTAATCGACAGATCAGTTGCATGCAGCCCTTATTTTAGGTAAGTTATCTGAGTTTAGGATGGAAGGATGCCAATCCTTCAATGCAACAGATGGGACGATGTAACCAATAGTTTTGCAGGTGCTGGAATACGGAGATATCACGGCCAGCACTGGTTGCGGCTGGCGACATAGATCAGTAGATGGCGGAATGCTTACATGGTTGGCTATGGCCATTGAGTCAAGACGGGCAAGACGGTGACGTATCCGTGTCTATGTCATAGGCTCATCGTTCGTTAGCAATTGGATATGCTTTGTGGCCTGCCATCCCATCTTCGCAGCTTCCTTGCTGGGACCCTTGTCGTGGGGGAGGAAACATGGCGTTCTGGCTTGTTCTGAAGGACGCTGGGGATCTGGCCCCTAGTCAGGAAATAGGAATCTATATGCTCAGCTTCGCCGCGTAAAGATCACTTCTCAGACGACAGAATGCTTCTCCATCATTCTGATATAAATGACATGAACGCAGCGGAGCGGAGACGGTTGCAGAACAGAATAGCACAGCGCAATCATCGTAGGTATTGTCCCCGTCCGCGTTGCTGTACCACCGGAGCACGAGCAAATGTTGACCCACATCCTTGTCATGCCAGGCGAGAAGCGGAAGCGTCACTCGTCGCAACATATCAGCGACACCGTTACCTGGACCCAACCTTATACCATCCCTCGGCCGCCAGCACGAGTCTGGCAAGAGAAGCAGCAGCAGGACCGGCGATCCCCACCAACGTCCAAATCCAAGACCCAGTCTCGGGATTGCCTCACTATTACGGATCAAGTCTCCGAAACATACAATCTACCTCTACCAGAACAACAGGATCAAGGGCAAAACCAGGTTCAGGCCCTGGATGTTCCTGCTCCTATCGACGAAGGCCACAATGACAACCATAATGTTGTGGACACCATGCTATTCAGTAATGATCAGCCGTTCAACAACACATCCTACATAATGCATGATCTCAAAAACCTACTTTGGCTCGGGGACCCGGATAAGCTTTCAGGCTACAACGCACTGCATCTCGCAGCCTACTATGGGCAGGCCAGCACCGTGCGGTTGCTCCTGAAAACACACCCTGCAGACGTTGATCTCTTAACGGATCATGGTCAATCCGCCCTGCACATCGCTACCGCAGGGCTGCATATCGATGTCGTCCTCGCGCTATTGGACTATGAGGCAGATTTAGAGCTCCAAGACAACCAAGGCCGGACACCACTTCATGTCGCCGTGCTGACTGGTGCACATGCTCCAGCTCAGCTGCTGGTAGACCGTCGCCTAGAGTGTCTTCATATGCGAGATATGACGGGATGCACTCCTTTACATGTCGCTGTCATGTTGGGCCACGACGATATAGTGCGTCTATTTCTGGGCCGAGGGGCAGACCGAGCTGCCATCGTTGTGTGATGCAATTTCTGACGCTCTGTGAGCTTGACATATTGCATGGAGGCTGTTTTTTTATTATAAACCAGACTGCAATTTTTGCGTAGATTTAGAAACAGAGAAGTGGATTGTGGATTATACGGATTAGACGATAACCTGGGTACAGCAAAGAGCTGTTCCTTCATCCCATCGAGAAGCGGAGGTGGAGGGTATGGGCACAAAGAAAAGGATTTATGACATACATGGGATTTAGAAAGACGTTATATACTTGATCTAGCTCGGGGCAAGACACGAGTCTGCAGGTGCACATATTGGCCACACCATATACAACATATACGACAAGGAAGGTGGTGTTACTACCACCGACGGGGTGGTAATAGTTGGGAGGGATCGGTTGGTTTGATGTGAGGTGCGGAAGGTGTGAGCGCAGCGGTGAGAAATTCCCTAGGTGGTGAGAAAAGCGCGACAACAGCTAGGTGGTGCAACAACAGCTACCGATAGCCTGGAACGGCAACAACGACGACAGGGGATGATTCGGGTGAATGACCGGAGCATAGCCAGATGCGGGTTAGGGACACCACGTCGGTTGTTAGACACCACGCATCTATCAAGAGTGGTTGAATTTCTCGCGCCGCAGTGGTTGGAGGCAGGAGTTGTCCGCTCCATATTTATGGGTCTGTGATGAGGCAGCCAAGGCTAGAGTTGGCGTGGCGGGGGGTCTTATATATACATGGATTTCTATCCCTAGGTAGGGTGCGGATGGTGGGTAAATGTGATATGTCTGTTCATATGGGGAGGGGATGCAACGTGGGACGTCTCGTGTGCTAGTGTTTATATACATGGATTTCTATTTCCGAGTTGGTGCAGATGGTGGTTGGATATGGGGTTTCTGTTCATATGTGGCGGGGTTGCTCGGCTACTTGCACATATAGACGTTATGACCATGATAAATGGATAAATGAGAAATATATATTCCCCTCTATCATATATACCGCAGTCATATGTACTGCCCTCCAAACCACCCTCTCCTAAATCCCTCCCCTAAATCCCTCCCCTAAATCCCTCGCCTTCCCTATCCCTTCCCCCTCCCCTCTCCTCTCCCCTAGAAGTTTAAAAAATACAAAAAATAAATTAGACCCCACGAGACGCAGCAAGAACAATAGCGCGCAGCATTGTCATTCCCCCGCGTCCCAAAATACACCCCATTCAAACGCCAATTCCGTCCCAGCGATGGCGTAAAAAGCACTGTCGCCGCCCGAGCCCCCGCTCCTTTCTGTCTAATAATGGGTATATGGAGTGGGCTCGGGATGTAGTTCATGAGGGTAAACGCCTGTCGTGGTGTATGCGTGGGTATCTCTGTGATGATGATGATGCGTGTGAATAAAAAAAAGGTCAGGTAAATGGACCGGATCGTACCCCGTCCTGCCCCGTCCCGCCGCTGTTGTGGAGACAGGGGGTGAGGGGAGGGAGGGGGGTTGATAGGTCGTGTGAGAAGTGAATGCAGTGCGATGCGCAGGTTGAACTGCGCTGTGCTGCGGAAACAAATGAAAAATAGCTGTTGAACCAACCCCCCATCTCATCATAAGGAGTAGCACCCACACCCCCTCTCGAGCAACGACCATACACAGCGGGTCAGATGCAGGATCAGGGTTATGGGCACTCCATCCCCATGATGAGATCTCTCAGTTAGCAAATAAGCCGGGCGAACTAAGCGCTTCGTGTCCACCAACGCCGTCCTAGACCCCGCTGCTGGACCTCGCGACGCGCGGCACCGTCTACGATGACCGCGTCCGCGGCGGCGTTCGTAGTGGTGGTGGAGCTGCCGCTGCTGAGGACCTTGGCGGGTTCGTTCCCGAAGAAGCGAAGCAACAGCGTCATCGTGATAGCAGCAATGATACTCCCACAAAGAATCCCAATCATGGCCAAATTACTCCCCCTAAAGCGATGCGGCCCCTTCACCGCATCAGCCGGCCACCCAGTGTACAACGCATACGTCGTGGTAATACTGCCCAGATTCCCCAGGCCGCTCACCAGCGCGGAGGCGGCAGCGACGCCAACCTCCCCATGGCGTGCTTGGAAGATCTCGGAGGTCCATGTCATGGTGATGGGGACGGTAGGGCCGAGACCGGCGCCGACGAGGAGGAGGCCGACGTAGCGGGCCCAGGGGCGGGAGGAGGGGGCGAAGGTGGTGGTGAGGAGACCGGCGATTTGGACGAGGACGGCGGTGATGAAGAAGTGGGGGCGGAGACGGTGGAAGCGGTCCGAGAGGGGGGTTACGAGGAGGATTGCTATGAGGTCCATCTGTTTTGTTTGTTAGCTTAATGGTGGGGAGGGGGTGGTAGCATGGACGTACGATCCAGATGGGAGCGAAGAGCAAGCTGACGGTGATGGATGAGAAACCAGGGTCGATGCCGGCGATGATGACGGAGCCGTAAAGTTGTGTCCCAATTCCCACGCCAACAACTCCAAAATACATAATCACCAGCGGCCATAACCTCCAATCCGCCAGGACGCGGAGCAGATCCCTCGCCGTCCATGGACGCACGTGATACACCCTTCCCAGATCCCGATAATGGATTTCGGCGTCCTCGCCCGTCAGTATGGGCTTCGGACTCGGTAGCCAGCGGAGCAGTCCCTTTTTCTCCGGCGCGGTCTGGCCGGGGATCAGGGGACGCTCGGGGAGCCACCAGAGCAGCGCGATGCCGAGGGCGGCGCCGAGGACGCCGTAGACGAGGAACATCCATTGGAACCCGACCAGGCCGTGGAGGCCGTCCATTTTCTGGAAACCAGCGGAAACAAGGCCCACAACGGCGGCGGAGAGTTGGGCAGCGGAGAAGTAGTAGCCGATACGCTTTCCAGTGCGGGAGGGCGGGTAGAAGAGGGTGAGGTAATACGCCATCCCAGGCCACATACCGGCCGTCACAACACCGAGGAGGAAGCGGAGGAGGAAGAGCGACCATGCTGCTTTGATGGCAGCGAAGCAGGCGCCGATGACGCCGACGGCGAAGACGATGCGGGCCATCCAGACGCGGGGGCTGAGGCGGGACATGATGAGGTTGGAGGGGAGGTCGAAGATGACGTAGGAGACGTAGAAGAGGGCGAGGCCGAGGGAGACTTGTTTGGCGGTTAGGTGGAGGATGGAGGCTAGGTCGTGGTGCACGGAGGCGTTCATGGTTTGGGAGAGGCCGACGTTGGAGCGGATGGCGGAGCAGAGGAAGTAGAGGATCCAGAATGCTGGGGAGGGGAGTTAGTGAGGGTGCTGGGGGTAGGGGAAGTGGTAAGGGGAAGGGCGGGTGATGGAAGGGTTGATGGGGAGAGTGAGGCTCACGAGGAATAATCCTGCGGTCGATTTTTCTAGTAGATGGTTAGTCGTGCATTCTATGGATATGAGTCTGCGGTCACGTACCTGTAGACAGCCTCGACCTTCGCGACTTCGACATCTTCTTGGATAGCAGCTTCCGTGTCTCCCACCACAGCTCTACCACCATCAACAGCCTTAAAATCCTGCTTAGAATCTCCGAGGTCAGACACCGTATCACCGCGGTCCACCATCTTGTCGTCGTCTGCCATCTCGACTGGGTAGCAATGGGAGCGCGTGCTAACAGTCTCGAGGGTTGTTGACGAGAGTCTAGTCTTGCTAGCTAAAGTACCGCACAAATCCTACAGATCCTCTTGCACGTAGAGATCCCTTCTACTGTCTTCTACTCTCAACTGGAAAATAGGGATGGCAATGATAGGACGAGCAATATAAAATATAAAATATAATTTGGAGGGGGAAGTGAGGGCGGGCCAGACCACCCGCCCCGCTTAATTTTTTTGTTGGACGGCTGGACATGCATGGGGAGCTCCGATGTACGGTGGAGTGGGGGTTGGATCGGCTCATGCTCGGAGGAGATGTAGAGCTTGTTTATGATATATCTAGTTATATATCTGTTAAAGGGATTTTTTTAGATTTAATTCAATTTATACTAATTAATCGCTTCTCGTGAGGATATTTCTGATATTGGTTGTTGTCCATCATCTATTTCACGTGACTAGTTGAGAGCTTGGCATATTTTGGTAGTTCGGTACCATGGTACTTGGCAGACGTCAGAGTTTAAATTATGCATCACGTGACCTAAAATCAACCTAAAATCAATATTACGGGAAAGGGAACCAGGGTGCTAGGTGGACTGCGGACCAACTGACTCCCTAAAGCTGACGCTGACGAGACGGTGAGGGATGATATGTTAATTATACTGTATAATCAAGCCGGAGCCGGTCTATCTAACGCCTGACTGTGCGGCAAGACCACTTTCCTCATAGGTAGTCATAGTCACGTGTTTCTGAAGTATTCTGTGGTCCGTAGACTTGTGGAGAAGCGGGGAGACCAAAGGGCTGGGAAGTTGATTTTACGATCATGCACGAAGGATTATCGGATTGACGGATAGATGGGTCAACGGTTTTTTTTTCTTCAGTACCGAAGTGCCGTAAAAGTACAGTCAGTACTGTAAGTTATGCTTATATGTTAGTTATAGGATGCTTATAGCCGTAATAGCATTGCTTTTAGATACGGCGTTCATTCTATAAAATATTCTCAACAGCAGCGACTACTTTGTATCTAGAGGCTATACTCCGTATATATACCGTAGTACATCCACCTATAATTCATTTATCCTATGTATACTAATTACCATACTACTGCTATACTACCACTATACTACCACTATACTAACACTATACTAACACTATACTACTACCCTCCTATAAGCCCTATGGCTGCGAACTCCGCCGATCACGCTATTCCCACCACTCTGGTTGTCAGAAAGTATCTCTACTACCATGTATACTACTATAAGATACTTCTACTAACTTCCTTAACTTCCCTAAACTTCCCTAACTTTCCACTAAGGATACTTTACTGCGAACTCCGTGCTCTTCTGCCGTGCTTACTGCTATAAAATACTTCTACTAACTTCCTTAACTTCCATAACTTCCCTAACTTTCCACTAAAGACCCTTCACTACTCTACTGCCGTGCTTACTACTTACTATAAAGTACTAATAGGATAAACAACTCCTCTGGTTGGCCGTTCTCCACATCCATCGCGTGTGAATGGACGAACCGTCAACCTATCAGCCGCCAAACCGTCCACCCATTGGTACTTCTGATTATATAGTATCTCTCGCCTAATCTCAAGTACCGCTTTCCACCTCCACCCAGCAAAGGCAATACTTGGTCCCCCGATCCCTTTCCCTCAACCCATCACCGTCATCACCGTCCCCCCCACGCATTAACCACACGGTTTCGTTGTACTCGAGTACCAATACTCCAATACACCATACACACCATAGCTTTAGCAATCAACGCCGCCGCCCTTTCACCTATTGAGTAATCAATCCAACCGATAACAGCATCATTTCCCTAGCCGCGCTTATACTATACTTCATTTCATCCAGACAATCTATCCTCACAGAAACCCTTCGACCACTTCTACAACTTCGAACACCTCCCACCACTACCTCATATAGCCAGACCAGCTCCCCCGCGCCGCCAAAAAAACGCCCGCGAGGCTCCTACACTCAACACTGCGCTGTGGTTCATCATGGTGCGTTCGCGATCGTGACATTCGCCTTGAACGGTCACACTGCTGCGTCTGCGACTGCGACTTGACTTGACTTGGTTCTACGATCGGACTATACGTCCCCACGCCACGCGCAGCGCCGGTCTGAGACATTGACACGACGGAGACGGGTGGGATAGAAAGAGAAGGACACCAAGATGGAGAATATACATGGGGTGGATGTGTCGTGGTTGCATAATACAAATAGTAGAGGTATGTTGTTGTGTGTCCTGTTCTTTTGTGGTGGTGTGGTGGGGGGTGTGGTCTTGAGGGTAGTAGGCATGGTTTGGGGGGCTGAAGCTGAAGCCACGGGGAGAGCTGGTCCTGAGGACATGCCTCAAAGACCACCGATAAGGCTGGGGGTGCTGAGTTGTGCTATCAAGTGAGGCAAGATTCAAAGAGCTGTAGCTGCAAACTCCATTCAGAGCGCTGAAACCAGAGGCACCCCACGGATTGACGGAACTAAACACACTTCAGACCACAGCTAACATCTCCCTCTATCCAGAAAGCACCCGCTCCACACGATCAGAACGATCAACCTCCCTCATATCCGACGTAGCGCGCCGCTCATCCCCAGCCCCCAAAACAAACGGCACCACAACCACAACCACCACCTCCGCACCGCGCGAAACCCCTCCCTCAACCCCCCGCCAGATCCCCCAACGCGCCGGGCCCCCCGCGCGCACAATCCCAGAGAGAGTAGGCTCTCCCTCGAGCCTGCCCGGAAAATCGCCCCTCCAGGGCCCAACCGGCATCCGTCGTAACTCCTGGCTTTCCAGCATCTCCTCCAAGTTCTCCTCCTCGCCCTCCAGCGCCCAGCCCGCTGCCGCAGCTGCAGCTGGTAGCGAACAGACACCGCGCTCGCCTGTCGCTCCGCTATCAAGCACACCTGAAGAAGAGGAGCCGCGCCCGCCTGTGCAGACGGCGCCGCGGAATGCGGTACTCCCGCATGGACAGAGGGCGGGGGATGGCAATGCGCCGTACACTCCTGTCCCGCCCAAGTCGACGCATCCGAATTTCCTGACTAGTGCGCTGAGGCGGCTGTCGTCGGGGGGGCAGCTTGCGTCGTCGGGATCGCCTAGGGGGAATGGCGGGATCTGCGAGAGGAGGATACTTAATGTTGATATGGGGAGGGAGAGGTGCTGTATGCCAGAGCTGGATCAGGCGAAGTTGAGGAGGGTGGCGTTTTGTGTGGATGTGGAGATTGCGAGTCGCCCAAGGTATAATGATGAGGAGCCTGTGGAGAAGGCGGTGGATAAGTCGAGGAAGAAGAAGTTGGGGGAGAAAGGGGAGGGGGAGGCGCTGAAGCATGCTACTGAGGTTAAGGAGCAGAAAGAGAAGGATGGGGTGGTACATGTATCTGGGGAGCAGGTGGGGAAGGAACCGGCTAAGGAAGGTACAGAACCAGCGACGAACGGCGTAGCGCCTGCCTCAGGGGAGAAAACGATGACGCGCAAGAAGGAGAAAAAGAAGAAGAGCGACGAGGAGCGCAAGGCCCGCAAGGAGAAGAAGCGCAAGCTCGCCGAGGAAAGCGGGACTATCCCCGTCGAGCTCGTTAGAGGTGACAGCGATAGCTCCGCCTCTGGCGCGTCTGCAACAGCGCCTATACCACGCTCGTCATCCTCGCCTACCACGGACCCAGTCCGTATCTACCGCCGCTGCTGCCAGCTCCGTGAGACTCCCATCTTAAAGAAGATTACTGAGCAGCTTGCCCTCCCATCCAACACGACCGACAAACCCGGGGTCGTTACGCGCCTAGATCTGACGGACTGCTGGCTTCAGCTCGCCGATCTAGCCACTCTGGGTGACTATCTAGCCGTCGTCCCTATTAAGGAGCTCATTATGGAGAATTGTGGCCTCACCGATGAAGGCGTACGCATCATCCTCGCCGGTCTCCTAGCCGTCAGCTCTCCCGACCAGGTGAAGCCACGCCGGTCTCCATTAGGAGGCCACCATGGCGCTACTGCAACGGTCCCGCGCCACGGCGCTGTGCAGCGCGTCACTCTCAAGAACAACCCCAAGATCGGGCGCGATGGGTGGAGACATATTAGTTTATTTGTTAATATGTCGCGCTCGCTGCGGAACCTGGACGTCTCGATGATTCCATTCCCGCAGGCTGCGTCGCCAAAGTCCACGGAGCATGCGTCACCTGTTATTGGTGGTTTTTCTGGTGCAGCTCCAGCGACACCCGCAAGGACCGGCACTCCAGCGACAGCAACAGCAACGGCAGCAGCCACAGATCCAGCAGCGATATTATCAAAAGCTCTCGGCACGCGCCTCGCAGGCGCCGAACTCGAGCTCCTCAACATGGCCGAGACAGGCCTAATAGCCCCCCAAATTGGCCTCATTGTCGACGGCGCCATCCAAACAAGTCTCCGCCGTCTCGGGCTCGCCGGCAACAACCTCGACGCCGAAGGCATGGCGCACGTAGCGCGCTATCTCGAAGCCGGGAAATGCGAAGGCCTCGACCTAGGCGGTAACCAGCTCTGCGACCTCCTCGACCCACTCGTCGACTCCATCTCCCCCTCTCACCCCCTCTTCGCCCTCTCCCTTGCCAACTGCGGTCTCACCCCCGACCAGCTCGCATACCTCTTCCCCGCGCTCGTACGGCTCAGCAATTTTCGCTTCATAGATCTAAGCCACAACGCCGCGCTCTTCGCCACCAAACCCTCCGCCGTGCACCTACTGCGCAAGTACCTCCCCCTCCTGCAGTCGCTAAAACGCATCCACCTCTCGTCCTGCGCCATGTCCCCCGAACAAGCCATCGCCCTCGCGGAGATCTTCCCCGATTCCCCAGGGCTGGCACACGTCAACCTCCTCGGGAACCCGGAACTCACCGCCCTCGCTACGGCAGGGGAAGAGGGACAACAAGAGGAAGCGTGCGCGCTGTACGCTTCCCTTATGGCTGCGGTTCGCGTATCGAGGAGTCTGATATGCATCGATATCGACCTCCCCTCCGCGGCGTCGAGCGAAGTCGTCAAGGCCCTCGCGAAACAGGTCGTCGCTTACTCGTTGCGCAATATGGAGCGTGGCCCTGTGGCGGAGATAACGCAGGATCCGTCTGCGCCGCCCCCTGCTGGCGAGACGCAGCGCGATGAGGTCGCGGTCCCGGATGTGCTGGCGCATTTGGTGGGGTACCAGTATAATTCTAACGCAGATGATGCGGATGACGATGCTGATGCTGCGTTCCATGGTGTTGATGGGGAGGGCGCGGGGGCGCCGGATGAGGATTACGTTATTGGTGGCACTGGCGTTGTCAAGGCGCTCGGGATCTGCTTGAAGAATCGGTCGGGGGATTCGAGAAGGGCTAGTATTGATAGGGATCGTATGAGGTCGTCTGTTGATTTGCGCAGGGGTGATGATGGTGCGGCGGCGGGTGGTGCAAATGGGGCGGGGAGGGCGAGGGATATGTCGAAGAATCTGTTAGGGAGTGCGAGGAGAATCAGAGCAAGGTTGCAGCCGGCGCTGTTGAAGGAGGCGAAGGAGTCTGGGGGGTTGAATTATCGTGAGTTTTATCCCTTTTCCGCGGTTTATTATACCATGCAGTTTATCCATGACTAACACACAACCCAGACAAACTCCTCTTCCTCGACCAAACCCTCTCCCGCATGATCACCCGCTTCGAAAACGAATACCCCGACACACGCCTCCCCCCTTCCCCACCCCTCACCACTGCCCTCCCCACCACCTTCCACACCCCCTCCGCCCCCGCGCCCGCCAGCGCCTCAGCAGGGGACTACGCGTACCCCGATGAAACGGCTCTGTCGGATGAGGACATCGATGCTGTTCCTGAAGAGGGCCGGACGAGCCGCCCGATATTGTCGAGACATAATTCGGATGTTTCGCTTGCGTCGAAGGCACTGTCGCAGGAGGAGGGGAGGATGTTAAGGTTTGGTGCTAAGTTTGGGGGGGAGGAGGAGGGGGAGGGGGATGAGGAGGGACTTGGGGGGGTGGAGAGGGGAGAGCTGGTTGCTGCTGTTGAGGCGGAGGCGGAGAGGGTGAGGGTTAGGGAGGCTGGTGGGGATGTTTAGTCAACCTCTGCTTCGTCGCCACATCCCTCCCTCCGCGGTGTGCACACTGCGTGTTGGTAGATTTGAACTGTTCCGTTTTGTCTCGCGCTGTACATTTTTTGGAACCTTGTTTGCTGGAGGTTCTGTCTTTCTGCGCGGGGTTTTTATGGAGAATAGGGGGGTTTATTTGATTGGAGGGCTCGGGCATTTTCTTGGGGGGCGCTGGAGGCGCCTTTTTTTTATTTGTGATTTCATGGTGCTGGTGATGGAAGAGTGGGGGGTGTCATAGATAGTGTTGGACTTAGGTGGATGGGATGAGAGGAGAGGAGGATGAGATAGTTATTGAAGATGATAACCTGTAACTTCCTTCACATCGCCCGTTCTATGTCTTGGGTATTCTATCCCCCGGGAAATAGAATCAGTAAATATAAGTCAAGAAGCCACTTTCCGAACAAGCCATGGGAAATATTCCACTGGACGGAACAGTAACCCCATAAATAGCCACTGAATCAACAATCGAAATGAGAAACCTGTGGGTGTTAAAGGTCAACTCAAAGTCTAGCGCCAGGCGGTCGGTGCAGACCGTTATTATCAGCTGCATTCCAAAGGATATGCCGCTCGCAGATGGAGTGAAGGCTACGATAGTCTTGTCACTGCCCCTCTCCCACTGTCATTATTCAGTTGTCGCCCTTTTCTCACCACCAACGAAGCTTCCCACCATCGCTAGGCTGCCACGGCCAACCACAGTCGCCCATCCGCACCCCGGATCAAACCACCTGCTTTACCTTGTATATTTCTCCGTTGGAGACAATCGATAGCTTAACAGCGATCTTGTCATGTGGCTGAAGCACATTTGCAGCTTTAGATTGTTGAATGGCCCTCGTTCGTCTTGGTCAGTGTATTGATCTCCGATTTAGGGAGTGAATCTTTTTTTTGGGGGGGGTTGGTTCTTATTCTCTGATCCCGGAGCCTCGTTATCGTTCATAATGTTGACAACCTCACGATTGTGCTTCGTCTCGCCCATTCACCTGGCACGCGTCTACTGTTGATCCCTTTATTTGCACATATGGATATTACTACCATTACCCCGCTTTCTCACATATGCCGACTTTGGATTGAGTTCATGGATCTATGTATAATTGCTCTAGAAATGTATCAGTGCGAACTTCTTTGCGCAAAAAAGTAACTATAATCCAAGGATAGAGGAGGGGGGAAGAGGTTGGGTGGCTATTGGTGCGTGATTTTCTTCCAAAAGAGATGAATAATTTTGCAGAGTCTAAACCCGTTGGTGGACAGAATCACTAACAAGGGGCCTCCTCCAACCGTGCACCTCACTTCGCTCCTCTAAGATTTTCTCTTTCTTTCTTACATATCAGGAAATCAACTGGAGTTGTATTGATGTCACCGTTCCCCGGTTCTGGATCCAAAGCGAATTCTAAATTTGATTGTCGATCTGTTCCCAAACCAACTCTATCGCTGTCGCACCCACTGCCATTCCCATTTTCACATCACCGACAGAGATTCTTCCCGCCGTCAGGACTTCTTCTCACCAACAGGGCTTCTTGCCACCAGCGGGACTCGATGTGCTCGCTGAACCCCTAGAATTGTCGAAGCTTGTCGATTGGGTAGCCGTGGGATGGCGAACAGATGCTTCGCTCATACCCCATATCTGGCGAGTGCGCGCGAGCGACTCCTGGTTAGCCTCGTTAAGACGCTCGAATCCTGGCAGGCGTGTGCGTGTAGGTGAATTCGGCAAACCACCACCGCCGATGCGATCTGCGCAGAGAAGGTTTTGTTTGGGGTTGTCGATCATATCTCAAAAGGCCAACGATGGTGTCAACTATAATTAGCACATGCCATGTGAACCTCGATCTTGGCCATCTCGCAGAATACAACCAAGGAAGGGAAGTCAATTGTCAATCAGGACCTCAGCTGCCATGATAGTTTCCCCATGCCTGTGAATTCTTCTTCGCTTCGGTCCTCTCCCTCTCGTTTGCGTTGGTGAGAAAACGTGTCGACATCTTAGACCACTTTTTCTTTGGCTCCTCAATCCTGTCTATTTTTGTCTCGAGCAAGAATATCTACAATAGCTTTAGAATATAAAAAAATTTGGTCACAGAAGACTTCCCTGCTTTCATTATTGCTAAACCTCTTACTACCTAAAAGGGTGAAGCAGGGGTGTCGGTGGGGTGAGCAGGGTGATAAGGGTGTGGCGCAAACCAAGCTTTCGTGCCAATTTCGCGTAAGCGTAGCTTCTAAGAATAGGTTGTTTAACGTTTATACAGGAACAAAAAAATGGCTATGACGTTTATCACTTTAATACTTGCCAATTAGATTCCAAGTCCTGTTAAGTCGGGTTTAAATGGGTGGGGTGGGAGTGAGGAAGGATGCGGAGGGATGCTGAATGACGCGGAAGGATGCATGCTAAAAAGTTTAAATGGGTAGGGTGGGGATTGGGAAGGATGCTGAGGAATACTGAATGATGTCGAAAAAATATACGCTAAAAGACGTTAATGATGTTGAAGGATTCTAATTGATGTTGCAGGATGCTAAATGATGCTGAAGGATTCAAAGCGATGCCATAGGATGAACAGGGCGACCCATGTGCTGGAACGGGTATGCAGATCGTATCGGTACTGCGCACGATCGACGCTACTACTCTCTCCAAGATCTAGCAAGATCTTGAAAGGATCTTGAAAGGAGCCTCCTCTGGGCAACTCTACCCCTTAGGATCTGTACTAGCCTGGCGCAATCGGATTTATTTGGAATGAGGGATATGATGTTGCAGCATCTTGAAAGCTGATGAACAGCTATAAATATGGACATAGTGCCCTCTATATTCTTCAATAAATCCAGGTCATCAACAAGCCAACACATCAATATCTACAATTAAATCGATAGTCTTTCGCATTCTTCCAACCAATCTTCACCACTTCGCAACATATTCCACGTTAAGAATCATAATCCTTCGACCAATCACCTCTAAACATCCAAAATGGTTTCTTTCACGTATGCCTCCGCAAATATGCTCTCTCCAAGAATTTGACTGATAGAGAATAGCCAAATCGCCGCAGTAGCCACAGCCTTCGCCAGCATGAGCAACGCCTTGGCCGTCCAGCGCGACTCATCCGTCGTCAAAGATCGCAACGCAGGCACAGGCACAGCATGCTGTGTTGGTGGTACCGGCTGTAACTCAGTCTCTGGAACAGCCCCTACCGGACAGACGTGGGAATACTGTTGGTATTCTGGAAATGAAAAGTTCACAGCCGCTGAAAAAGACATGACCACATGTCTCACTGGATTGCACACCAGCCAAAATTCAGCATGCATTAGTGGCGAGGGGTCTCCATGTGCCAACGGAAACAGTTTGCTCCAGGCCGCTCAGAACACTATGCTGTGGGGAAACCATCAGCTCAGTGAAGACGACAGGCTTGCCATTGTGGATGCAGCTATTGCCGCCTCAGAGAACGGCGATTTTTCATACAGTCTGAATCCTGATGCTGGTGACCATCTTACCTTTACTCACACAGCTGAGAACGGGTCGGGAATCAATGGGATTGAAATGTATGGCAATGACTTCAAATGCTAGTCGGGCCTATAGGCTCTAATACCGGTTTGCCTGGTGTTGCTATATCACTGCATGGAGCATATTTGTATGGTTAAATGAATAGGATGGCACATAATTTAATTATTTGCAACTAGAAAATCAGATCAAACTACTCACTACTATGTCCATCCCCGTGCCCGTTATCTCGTATAAATTCCACAATAGATACTCTAGAACCACTATAGCATTAGCCGTTAGAACTTGAATGGCTCTAATATATCATTACTCCCCCAACATGGTCGACTCGCGCCCCTCTTCATAAATACAAAGCTTATTATTTAATGTGGCAGATTCTTTGAAGATTGCTATGCTCGTTGGATTTTTTGGGGTTATGTTCGCTAGATCTGCCTCGTGCGCAGCATCTCTAGTTAAATAAGTATCTACAAGAATGTAGGATAAATTTATCGCTGGGCACTTCGACAGTGTCGTTGCCGCAATGCCAGATGAACTTTATCATGAATATAACAACATCAAGGAAATGTGTTATCTTGAAGAATTCATAACCAAGGTTTCTATGTATTAAATCAGTGATGTTCTTCGTATCCATGCTGTTTCCGTTGTTGCTCGCCGGATTGTACTGTGAGATGCAAAAGTAAGCCATACTTGGATAACAAGCCCAATAGAACATGAGACTTCCAGAGAAATGCTCCTCCATGCCATGGAAGCGAAAGTGATACGCAACGAATGGGAATGTATAAACCAGTGCGAGAGCAAAGAAGGCATATGAAATCCATCTATGGAAGATCTGAAGCCATTCGTGTGTATATATATAGTGTGATGGTATATGGCAACATATCTATATATATCTACGCTTACGCTAAGATGGATTGAAAATGGTCCTTCCAAAAATGATGATGCTGCACCAGTGCTCACAATGATACTATAGCTTCGAATCTTTCGCCGCAAGGTCCCGCAGAGCCTTTCTAAGGATCTTCCCGGACTATGGAATCGTTAGCATGCAGTCCCACCTATCATTCTCGAGCGCAAAACTTACCGGATTCTTAGGTATTTCATCCACAAACACGACACCTCCAGTGAGCCACTTATACCTGGTGGTCTGCTTCTCGACGAACTCGGCGATCTCCCTCTTCGTCGCTGTCATCCCCGGCTTGAGCGCAACATATGCCCTCGGGCACTCTTCACCCTGGACAATAACACCCACCACACCCACATCGCCCACCTTAGGGTTCTCCAGTATCAGTCCCTCCAGCTCCGCCGGCGCAACCTGGAACCCCTTGACCTTAATCAGCTCCTTCAACCGATCAACGATAAACCAGCGGCCATTCTCAACCCTCGCCATATCACCGGTCTTTAGCCACCCGTCACTCATCGTGCCCGCCGTGGCGGTTGGGTTGCGCCAGTAGCCTTTCATGATGTTGGGACCGCGGACCCAGATCTCACCTGTCGAATCGGGATGAACGGGGACGTCGATGCCAGTCTTAGGGTCGACGAGGCGGGCAGAGAGGCCGGAGACGAGGGAGCCAACGGAAGCGTCGGTAGAGAGCAAGGCAGGGTTCATTCCCGTGGCTATAACCGTGGTTTCTGTCATGCCATAACCTTGCTATGGGGTTGTTAGTCTGTTAATGGGAGAGGTAAGTTGCACGCGAGCGTCTCACCTTGATGTTCAGATTGCCACCCCATAGGGTCTCGGCCTCACGGGCGAGAGAGGAGCTTAGTGGCGCACCGCCGCAGGAGACGTAATTGACGCTGCTGAGGTCTGCTTTCTTAGCCGCGGGGTGTTTGGCAAGAGCAGTGACGACGGGCGGCACGATCAGGAGCTCGGTGACGCGGTGGGTTGAGATGTGTCCCAGGAACTCGAGGAAGTCGAATTTGGGCATGATGTAGATTGGAATTCCGCGCTTGGGCCCAATAGAGCTGTACAGCACCTGTCCAAATGCGTGGTAAAGACTACAAGGTAATTAGTATATGTCGAATACAGTCTGTAAACTTGATTGGGGATCATACGGTAGCATGCAGAGGCCTCTCGCAACCTTTAAATTCTTCTCGTAGTCAGGATCTTCCTTCATGAGGCTGATCATCTGGGTGCTAGTGGCCATGTAGTTATAATGTGTGATCTCGACGCCCTTTGCAACCCCAGTCGTGCCGGAAGAGTAGTTGATGACACAGGTCGTATTCTTGGGTTCCTTCGGATGCGCCCACTGGAACTGGGCACCCTCCAAGTTGCTCGCTACGATCGCATCCCAATATTTCACGCCAAGACGAGATGCGCCTCCTCCCTGGTAGATTTCGTCGTCAAATATAAAAATGTTATCTATGCTGAACCCCGCAGTTCCGGCGGCGTCGAGTGCCACCTCCAAACTCGCCCCAGAAGACACCATGAACCGAGCCTGTGAATCCTTCAATTGATGCGCCAGCTCGCGGGCCACATATGTAGGGTTCGCTCCTGTAAATATACCGCCGGCCATCATGATGCCCATGAATATAACGGGGTAGAAGAGCGCATTGCCGGAGTAAACCAGCACGCGGTCACCTGGTTGCAGGCCAGCCTTTTGCAGACCAGCAGCTACACGTTTTGACCATTGCCTCCACGATGCCAGCGTCAGGTAATGGGTATCAGGGCGTGTGGCATCAAGGAATGCGACCTTGTGGGGGATTGGGTCAGATACCGACCCGAATACCCATTCGTGCAGCGATGGGGATTCGATTGGGGCCAACGCGGATGCAGATTCGTAAATCATTTTGAGCAAGAGGGCTAGGTGGTATTCGAATAGCGGACTATAGCATACAAAGGCAGAAAAATGGCGTTTATGTAGAATAGAGGGTTAACAACGTTGGGAGAAGTTAGCGATGATCAGTTGTATTCTTATATCCGCACTCGCATAGTCCTATGCACGTACGCATATGGATCCAAGGTTCCTACCAATTAGCTAGGTAGATACAGTAAGTCAATAGCTACTAGTGCTTAAAATGTCAGCCTCGCGCAGATAGGAGCCAATTCTAACAGAATCATTTAACCAGAATCAGATATATAGTCGGGCTTGGTAAGAGCTGTTTACCGTGGTCACCCTCGGCACAAATTAGATTGCGGGGAAAACGTGTGGGGTAATCCCCGTACCCGCTTTATATGGCTGCTTCCCCCTGTGGTTGGCGGAAACTATGGTTAGTTGCCGAGAGGCTGAATATCACACGAAATGCTGAGTGTTGCTGCAAGGCCCTTCAGTACTACAAAACAGCCAGATATAAACTTGGTCGCGATCCCCGTGTCATCAAGCGGTTTACTTACCGAGATCCAGCTTATGGGAAGGAACGATGGATCGTTCCTTCCCATAAGCATCACTCATATATCACGTGACACCTTTTTTATATCCTGCTCACGTGATACTGGAGCTTCCAGAGCTAGTTTGGGAATAGCGTTTAACTCCCGATACCGAAACATCCAACGTCGCAACCTCACATAGGTAAGAACAGAGTACGGCGCCCTCTAATATCAGATCTCAGTTGCGATTGGTTGCTACTGGCCTCCAAAATGTAGTAGGGAGCGCTCTAGAGATGACATGTAGCTTGGGAGCCAAGCTGCCTCAGCGTAGATTGTCTCGTGTCCGTTTTGACTTCGATGCAGCTCTCATCACGCCCAGGCTCCCAGCGACCAAAACGGCAACATCTCGAAGGTATTTCTACATCGGGGACTTTTTGCGAACCTAGACAGCTTGGCATCATGCGTTTCTGCAAAGAATGCGCCGAATAGAGCTGTGCTGGTCCAGTTGCAGGTTTGATATCCTGCCAGGCTGCTCGAAACGAGGCCCGAGCTTGTGTGAACTAGGAGCCGGCGTTTGTGATCTACTTGGTGGCGCCGGGGCACCTTGCGGAGATCTGTGCATCTCGGGGCCCTATCCGTGGGGCGCTCGCGGGGAGTTTTGCAAAACATGGTGCCTTGTTGGGGGGGGGTTGTCGACAGGTCGGAAGACCGGGACAGTGATATCCCACGCAGAATTTCAAAGCATCTAGATGCCCGGATCTCTCTGTACTGGCGTAGAGATATTATGATACGCGCAGAGATACGTGCATGGGCGTCCCTTCGTTCTCTTCTCGTCATCTTCTGGGCCTTCGGCACTTCTAAATCCAATTGCTGTCAAACTATGGCGGAGCCTTGAGCCTTGGCCTGTCTGGGCCTCTTCGGGCCTATCCGAGACGTGTAGAGCCTCACATTACGAGCATTGGCGCCCGCGCTTATGGAGAATAAAGTCCCTGAACGGTGCAACTGGTAGGAATTTTGTTGCCGCCTATCCCTTTCAGGCTGTGGAGGAGGCTGTGCAGTTGGAGAAACATGATTAGAAACGGTAAGGAGTTGAGTCTGAGAACAGATAGCTTCGGAGAGAGCCCTCTGGGTCGTACTTCAGGACACTTCATTGGATAATTATGCTGTCACAAAAACACTGCTTGCGGTCGGCCTGTTTCCGCACAGCGCGTGGTGATCGAAACACCTGTAAGTGCCGGTTTTCTAGCCTGGGATTGTATCAGTGCAGAATGCGATTGGCCCATATATGTGACAGGCTATTCACGGCCGGCGCTATGTATCCATTGCCCTGTAGCAAGGAACAATTTTATATTCTCCATGACTTTCAACGTGTCCGTGGATAGATAAAAGGGAGGAGAATCCCCTCACAATGTTTGTTCTCCATCAGCTCCACAGCCGCTTCTCTCTGTCTTCACCACCCTTTCAGTACTCTATTCACTTCTCAAGCGCCGGTCGCATAAATTTTCTGCTTCAATCTATTAAAACTTTTTATTACATTTCACTTTCACAAAAGCAAATATGCAGATTACTTCAGTCATCGTCCTGGCCGCTTTCGCCATTCCAACTGTTTACGGCCATGGAGTTATCACCGAGGTTCAAGGCGCTAATGGTGTCGTCATGCCAGGCATTACAGGTGAGAATATTAGCGCTCATACTCCAAACGACCCATTTAACAAGTCATAGTAATCGACGGCACTCCTCGTGACTGCTCCAGCGCAGGCTGCGGCGCGCAGGCTGATACGGCCATCACCCGCAAGAACGAGCTTGGGACCAGCAAGGCCTCGGCACTTGGTCGCACCTCAGGTGGCGGACCGGTCGATGCCGCTGCCGCCGTCGCCAACTTCATGGGTGGAGCCAAGAACATCGCGGCTCGCGACGCCCACATGTCCAAGCGCGTCGATTTCTCTAGTTTCTTCGGTGGTGGCGGCGCCGGTGCTGGTGCTGGTGCCGGCGGTGGAGCTGCTGGGGGTGCAACCGGCACTGGCGTCAAGACCGTGAAGGGCACATCGGAATCCGGCGTTGCGGCAGCAGCTGGGTCGGGCGCCGAGTCCGGTCTCCCCACCACCGCCGACGATGGAACTCTCACGATGACCTTTCACCAAGTGAACCAGGATGGTGCGGGCCCTCTCACTGCCGCCGTTGACGGAACCTCCGGCGGCACCGACCCTGCGGCCTTCAAGAGCGCGCAGGTAGTCCAGAACGTGCCCGGTGCCATCGCAGGTCTCAGCACGGCAACAAGCACCGACTTCCCCGTCAAGATCCAGATGCCGGCCGGCATGGTGTGCTCCGCGACGGTGGCAGGTGTAAACAACGTATGTATCGCAAAGCTTCAGAACTCAGCGCTGGCTGGGCCATTTGGCGGCTCGGTGGCGTTCACGCAGAGCTCGGCGGCGAAGAAGCGCGCGGTCGAGTTCAACTTCCGCGCGCGCCGGTTTGCGCGCGCTCTTAGGGATTAGGTGGTCATAGGGTCTGGAAGGGTGGGACGGCTGAGGGAGCCTAGAGTGGAGATGCTGTGTATGAGATGATGATGGGGGGTTGGTGTTGGTGCTGTTGGATTTTTGTTTGGCGCTTGGCGCTTGCCCGTCGTCTGCGGCGCGGATTCGGGATACACTCCTTATAGATGACGTTACGGAATAGATTTCTGTATTACCAGATTAGTACATAGATATGAATTTTTTATTTTCTCCAGAAATTAACAATTTGTTGGGGGCCGCTGCATGTTGATCTACTTGGGGATTCTTGCATCGGGGGGGAAAGTATACAATTGGCGACTTGTCACAGCCAACCCAAGACGCCTTGCATGAGCGTGACCGACATTGGACCTCTTCTTCACCGAAAGTTTGAAAGGTTCAGCCTCTCTCTAGCCAACGCAAGCCTCGTGCCTCAGCCCCGGATAGAGAAGGTACGACCTGTCGCATAACCCGCCAGTGCAGCCCATGGATGCCTTGTCGACTTAAGCGCCGCTAACGACGCAGGCAACAGCCACGTCAGTTGTGTGGAGTACTAATGCAGTTGGAAGTCCCAATTCGAGTTTATGTCAATCGAATTAACTTTGGGGTTTGCTTCGGACTAGATCCGCTTTGGTTGTGAAGTTGTTGGGAGTGTAGTCCAACTCGGTGGGCGGACGTCTCGCATGACCAGGTGCATTTGTTGGAGTCATACTTGAAGGCCAGTCTGGGAGAGATTTTCATCGAACAACACGCCTTGGCTAAGGTGTAACCATTTCCATTATTAACGAGGCTGCCTATGAAATATCCGTGGGCCAGCTTCCACTCACAATGCCTCCCGCGCTTGACGGCCTCCCCAACGAGATCATCTCCTCCATCTTCGACCACCTCCATGGTGACCAGGCGACCCTCGCAGCCCTATGCCGTGTCTCGCGCTATTTTGGCTCTGTTGCAACGCCCTCCCTCTACCGCATTATCCAGCAGCATGAGGACGCGCCACACGACCCACGACGTACCCCGCTACTGTTGCGGACACTCCTACACAGCCCAGCGCTGGGGAGTCTGATAATCGAGGTGCAGCTCAAGTTACCAGGCCAAGAACGCGAGGATGTCAGTTGCTTTTCTGAAGAAGAGTGGGTGCTGGTGAGGAGTCTGGTTGCCAGATTGTACAAGACGGGATTGTTTACAGAGGAGTTATTTGCAAAGAACATCCTACATACTACAGACCGACGTGACGGTGCCGGCTCAGAGGAGACTTGGAATAATAACGTGCGCGAGGGTCAATGGGATGCCGTCTTCTCCCTTATGCTGTACTGCTGTTCCGGCTTGGAAAAGCTCCGGGGTTTCCAATGGGACCGTTGGAATGGAATTGGGCCTACATATCCCGGTTTCTACTTTTTCACGTTTTTTATGAGCGGCGTAGCTCTCAGTAAAGCTCCAGGACGCGTTCACCCCCAAATGCCCGGCCCCGTACCAATCCTCCCACACTATCGTCATGCGCACCTCTCGCTCGAGACCAAAAGCCCAGGCCGGCCCATCCTACTACAGTCGCTCACACCTTTCCTTTACTCATCAGTTATCGAACTCGTCGGAGTCGATCCAAAGATTGAGGCTGGCGGTACTGAGCGCCATAGACTCTGGGGAAATTTGCAGTTTTTCTTCAAAAGGCTTGTGATAAAACAGAGTATGGTGTCAGCGGATACGTTGCGGTACCTACTGGATTCCTGCGAGGTGCTTGAGGAATTTATACTTGAGTACGGGATTGGAGATAAGAAATACCATATGTTCGGAAACATGGGGATGATGGTATATAATAAAGGGCCTTTGCCTAAGAGTTTGCTGAGGTCAAAGAAGACATTGACTAGGTTAGAACTGGCTCGAGGATTTAATACCTTATATTACCAGAACTACAGCCATATCGACCAGACGCTGGGATCTCTGAAGGACTTTGAATCACTCACCCATTTGACCGTCAAGTTGGAGCTTTTGATCTGGGATGGGAAGCCTATCAAACACTCGAGCCTATGCGATATCATGCCTAGGTCCCTTGGGTTCCTTTCGATAGCTACGGAGGATATCCTAGCTTCGGCCGATTTGCGATTGTTCATAGACACGGTGTCGAGAAAAGAGACGTCACTTCTGCGGAACATGCAGCACTTTGAAGAGTTGGTGTTGAAAAAAGAGGGCTGCGTTCCGAACCTGCGGCATCTCGTCCTTGACGGGATACAGCGGGAGACGGCAGATAGCAGCTCTCTGACAATCTTGAAACGGGCATGTGCAACCTATAATGTTCAGCTTTCCATTGTTCTTCACCACGGATATTATATTGCGCCAGGCGAGCCGGCAATGAGCAGTGAACGGGTGAGCTTCTAGATATTTATGATTCTGCGTACAAAATCCAAATCACCGTTCCAAAGACATATAAGGTACCAATTATGGACGTACACCGTTGATATAATATGAAAGCATACAAAGAGGGATATCACTGGCTGATATATGCACTTGCCTTCTCAGATATTAATTTTGTCATGATTTGTGTTTAAAGCTGCCAGTCGGAGAATATCGTCCAAATTGCACATTCTGCCCGTTTGCTTCTGTCCTTAGCTGCAAGCACATCTGTACCGAAATAGATATACAACATTTCACGGACATTTGAGAGTCAAGTTAATTGGTTGTTTCTTGTTGTTGGTGGACTCGTGCTACCAACGAAGCCTGGTCCTGCATGGGCGGCCTCCTGCAGGCGCTGTTTGTCCCGCACGGCTGTCTGTTGGGGGTGAAAACAACTTAACTTGACATGTTCCCCGTATCTCAGAATACCCCGATGAATTTTCCCATAGCCGTGGCGTTTTCTTTGTTCTTCCTCAATGTTTAAGCAAACCCTAGTGCAGCCACGCGCGCTTAGTAGTTGACACCATCAAGGCTACCTATAGTACCTGTTGTTTACCTTTCTTCTCTGTTCGCCTACCTTTCTTCCTCTACATTTCCATGCTTTGCTGCACGTGGTGCAGGGATATCCACCACAAAGAGAAGTGAAAGAAAGGGTCTTCCAATGTACTGAACCATGATCTCTCAGGTTGTTTACCGTTGCCTTTGGGCAATGGTATTGATAGCTTCGTGGGCAGCTGCGGGTGTTATCACATCTCCCGCAGTATTGCCAAGAGCAACACCAACAGGCTCCGCTCTTATAGACTCCCTTCATGAGTGTGATGGGAAGCATATCTGTAAGTTCTAAATATTGTTTGGTGTGTTCAAGCTGACATTGAAAGTCTGGTGTCCACAGGCATCTGGGACTTGTTATACTGGGGCCGACGGCTACATCGGATGCTGCTCTACGTATGCACCTATCTTTGCACATTATATTAATATATTCTAACCTTTCCACAGGACCTCATGTGCAGCGCGAACTACTTGCATTCCCTATGATTCCAAGGGTTCCCAGAAATGTGATCCAAATTCAGGTGGTTGCTGGAGCTGGTACGGTAACCCCAGTCCCCCAGTTCCTGTTGGTAGTAGCTGCTACGAAATAGACTTGTTTACGGCAGATACTTTAAATTGGCTTCCAAAATAGTACCCAGTGCTAACAAGACATAGCTCAGACTCCAATCTTCCAGCATGCGTTACGGTCACGAATGTCGTGGCGAAACAGCACATATTCTATTGCAGCTTCACAGAAGCCGTATACACATCCTCCTACGAGAACCTGGTCACCATTGGCTCCATGGCGCTTCCTCCTGGTGGTGCCACCATGACCACGGGATCAAAGACTGCCCAAACCTCGGAGTCCACCATGGGCCCAGTCTCGCCGACCGCTACCATCCCCACTTCCAACCTCTCGTCTCAACCCCGATCAGAGCTCTCTGCTGGCTCCATTGTAGGCATCGTTATTGGTGTAATCTGTGCCCTCGCAATTATGGCCATCATTGCTTACCTCCGCTACCGCCGCTACTGCAAGCGCCGCGACCAAATCCAGCGTGTCATTGACGCGAGCTGTGGCCCAAGAAACGGCGATAGGTCACAGAAACAACCCGTCCATCCTTCTCCTATCAATGACGGTCCAGATACCCCGCAGCCGACGTACACAGACCCTGACTCACCAGGTTATGTCGCGAGGTCGATTGCAAATGATCCAGAAGATTACTTCTCGCCCATCGAGGTTATCAAGCGAGTGAATACCGCAGAAGCACTGGCGAATCTGGAGAATAGAAACAAGGGCTTATTTGAAATGGGAGCAGATGCGGAACATTCTGTGGATCGAACGATTGGAAGAGCGGAGATAGGATTTGGGAGTGGTGATGCTGCCGCGGGGATCTGGAAGACTATTGCCGCTCAGTCAGGAAATACAAGTGCGGAAGGGAGGAACAGATACGGGCCACCAGAATTGGAATCCACGTCCACAAGGGAAAGAGAGGATGGACTTAATATACAAAAGGTTGCACCGCCGTCGAGGCAGCCTTGCGGGGCACCATACCCGCCTGATGAGGAGCTGGTCCAGCATAATCAGCGAGCTTTCAGTGCCAATAGTATCGGTACCAGTGTACCAGATGCGAATGGAATCAGCCCCGCCCTCACAAGTATTACGTTTGACGCCAGCGCCGTCGTCAGCCCTCTTCTTTCTAACGGGACGTTCTCGACCACGCCACTGATGGGTCTGAATCCGAAGCCATCCGTGGGTGAGCTGAATCCAAGGGCAACAGTCGAGGGTCCGCTAAACTGGCCAATCCTAGCAGCAAACCGAAACTCGAGCAAGTTGACGAGTGCGACTGGATGGGAGTCGAAGTATCTGAGTCCCGAGATGGCGATTTCAAACGGGTTTTCAGCTGGGGAGGTGGCGGAGGATGCTAATATGGCTCCAGAGAATCGCGATTCTGGCCCCTCTGATGCCGCCTTTATTATGCCGTTGAGAACATCGAGGTAAATTGTTGAAATGATACCAAGGGCAGATAAAGCATCAGCCGTAGAATAGTGTATGGAACTCCAAATAATAGCTTATGAATGCAATACATTAAGATCCTACTTACCACAGTAGCTTAATAAATTAGTCGACGGCAATCTTATATGATCGAATAACTCCACCATAGCATGTATTCCTTATGGCACTCTCCATCCAGCTCCATGGGAAGGTGTGTAGTTTCCTGTCACAGTTGGGTCGAAGCGGATCCATCCTTCACTCACAAGTCCACCGACTGTAGCCGAAGTATCAATATCGTTCCATTCCAGTCTATATACACCCATCCACACAACCCGGGGCTTCCCACTTCTAGTTACTCCTCTCTCCGCCCTTCGCTGCTCTGAGCTCATCCATCTTCGCGACGCGCTTCTTGAATTCCTCGTACTGGCACTTCTCGTAGCTGTGTCTCTCTGTCTGTAGGAACTAGTCAGCACCTGAAGCCCCATTATGCCATCATCCAACAGGCCCAGCAAGTATGGACTCATTGGGCCTTGCTCAACATACCTCACACTTCCATGGCAAGTAGTATTCCTCGTAGCGGCAGCGGTTTAGGGGGATGAGGAGGTTGGCGCAGGAGTCTCTGTATGCCATAGGCAGCTTGGCCTCGGACATCTGGGCCCTTGTCGCAGCTGTTCACACAGTAATCATTAGCAAACATAGCTTCCCAATCGCTGGAGACTTCATGGCACTCCGGAAACAGCGCCACGGCGACCCATTGGACCGGGGGGAACTCACGAGCAGGCGCATCACTAAGGCCAACGGCCGACTTCACAGTTTCAACGACCGTCATATTGCTCAATTGGCCCTCGTTCGATGTTGTGGAGGGTTTGGGTAGTTCGCTTTTGCGGGGCATACATACAGACGTCTTGTCGGTCGAGGTTGTTTCTCGCGGATGCGCTACTACCAATGTGGACTAGCGCTAGATTTACACTTAACGCGGTCAAAGCCGCGGACAACGCGTTTGATCGCGTTCGTTTATCATCCCTGCCCGCGACAAACCGAACGGCCGCGCGAACGACACAAGAAGCGAAATCAGTCTGTGGAAAGCCGAGAGCGGATATTTCTACGAAGTGAATTAGGATCAAGGTTACTTAATGGTACTACCGGACGTCTGCGCTCCACAAGACTCTCTCGAATCTCAGAACTCAGCGACATAGCGTGACAGCGCTCTTGCGCTGCGCAAACGTCAATCGCCAGCAAGATGGTGAAAGGTGCCGCAGGGCCGGGAGTGTATAGCGCAACATACAGTAACGTGAGTCTCTGTCGTTTATATGCCGCTCTTCGGCGCTGGAACTTGCCCAATTTCCCGATGAAAACCGCTAACCGACCTAGATTCCGGTGTATGAGTTCCAATTCGGTGTCGACCTGAAAGAACATGTTATGCGCCGGAGGCACGACGACTGGATCAATGCGACACACATCCTGAAAGCCGCTGGGTTTGATAAGCCTGCCAGAACGAGAATCTTGGAGCGTGAGGTTCAGAAAGAGTTGCACGAAAAGGTTCAAGGTGGCTACGGAAAGTACCAAGGTATAATTTTCAATTTTAAATATTCAAACGCGGTTCTGACATCTATAGGAACATGGGTACCTCTCGAAAAGGGCGAAGAACTGGCACATCGCAACGGCATTTATGAGAAGTTGCGCACAATCTTTGAATTCGTTCCTGGCAACGATAGCCCTCCCCCAGCACCAAAGCATACGACGAACAAGCCGAAGGCGCCCAAGAAGCCCGCAGTGCCCAAGTTCCACAGCAGTGAGTTTCTAATATATCATGCTTAGCAGACCACTTTTGGCTAACAATCAAGAACCAGCACCCGCACCAGCTCGGATAGAGGAGGATCAGTATGACAATATCAGCGCGCAACTCAACGATGACGAGACGCCAGACGATGCCACTGTAGCTTCGGCGTCGTTCATGGGAGAAGATGATCGCTACGATCTCTCGGCCCCTTCGACTGCTCACCGAAAGCGCAAGCGCGATGAAGCTGCTGTGAGCTTGTCCGACCAATACCACATGGCTTACTCGGACGAGCTTCTGGACTACTTTATGCTCGCCCAAGCCAGCGAACCTGCCTCCCGCCCTGAGCCGCCTCCAAACTTTCAGCCCGACTGGCTGATCGACTCGGATGGTCACACTGCACTCCATTGGGCCAGTGCCATGGGAGACATTGACGTGATGAAACAGCTCAAGCGCTTCGGTGCCAATCTCTCCTGCAGGAATATCCGCGGCGAAACCCCTCTCATGCGCTCCGTCCTTTTCACAAACTGTCTCGACAAGCAATCCATGCCCCGCGTTGTCCAGGAGTTGATCTCGACAATTGACTGCGTGGATGCGCACGGCGCAACCGCGATTCACCACGCTGTCGCCTTGACCCACTCTCGCACTAAACACCACTGCGCCAGGTATTACCTTGACGTGGTGCTCAACAAGCTCTCCGAGACAACCGAGCAGGACGAGGTTCGCCGCCTCCTCGACATCCAGGACTCAAACGGTGACACTGCGTGTCACATTTCCGCGACCAACAAGGCCCGAAAATGCGTACGTGCTCTCATTGGCCGCGGAGCCAGCACCGACATCCCAAATAATGCAGGCGTACGCGCCGACGAGCTGATCCAGGAGCTTAACAACACTCGTCGCGAACGCAATCTTGCCGCCTCCTCGTCCCCATTTGCGCCAGACTCGCAACGCCAGATGACCTCGTTCCATGACATCAACATCTCCCAATCGACTCCTAACGCCAGCCAACACCTCAGTTCAGCGCTGGCTTCGCGGAAAGAGGCGCATCACAGCGAAGCGGCGCAATCTGTCTCGACGAAACTGATGCCACTCATGGCGGAGAAATTCATGGACCTAGCGCGCAGTTTCGACGAGGAGCTGCTCGACCGGGAAAACAGCGAGAGGGAGGCTAAGCGGATCCTGCAGAGCTCACAGGTGGAGCTCGCGACGATCCAGCGGCAGATCCATGAGCTGGGGAATGTGGAGGAGGATGACAGCGCGGTCCAAAATGAGGTGAACCAGCTGGCGCATGCGCAGCAGCGAGTAGTGAGTCTTGTTGAGCAGCAGCAGGCGATTATGCTTGGTGCTGGGGCGGCGCAGGAGGAGAGCATGGCGAATGGGAATGGACATGAAGAGGGTGGGGTGGAGGGTTTGGCGGAGCTTCTGAGGGCGCTGTTGGAGGAGCAGGGGAGGAGACAGGGGTTAGTAACTGAATATGCGGGCGCGATGGCTGATGTGGGCATGGGGGAGAAGGGGGGGATGTATAGGAAGCTTACGGCTAAGTGCTTAGGTCTTAGCGAGGAAGAGGTGGATGAACGACTGGATGGGCTTCTCGGTGTGTTGGAAGAGGATGGGGGTGCCGAGGAATAAAGAAACGAGGCCGGAGGGAGATTGAAGTAGGTAGTAGTCTGTTCGGGTATTCCGGGTTTCCTCGACAGGTCGAATCACCGCCGAGCTGTTGGATTGAAGGAGTCATGGGCGCCACAGGATTGTACGGAGTTCTCTGGTTGTTTGGTTGGTGGCTATCTGGATTATAATGATGGTATGCCTAGCGGTTGATGACCTTTTGAAAGGTTATGTTTGAATACGTTCGTCAGTATCGCAAACGAAAACGTTAAAATCACCGTTGATACCCGATCGGCAACTGCTGTCGGGTTTTGTGACCATAGTGACTATTGTTAGGAGTTGCGGCTATAGTGACGGTTGTTCCATGTTGTGGTGATAGTGACGGTTGTTTGATACTGCGGCTATAGTCACCTTCGTGGTAAAATGGTCTGCCACCGCCAGTAGCATACTTCGGCAGGGTGTGCAGGCAGACTTGATTCCGCACGATTTAGGGGGGGTTGTCGAAGATTCTACGCCAAAATGGATCTCGATATCGGGGCATGAACGTGCGCAATTGGGGGGGGGGTTGTAGAAGATTTTGCGTCTAATTCTTACATCCTACTCAAAAGGGGGTCACCAACCAATATCCCCCGATGTACCACATCGGCAATCCCTAGGGGGACGTCACTGAAATTTTGTTACTGTTGGGAGGTCTTGTTAAGGAAATGAATTTGCCGCAGTACGACACATTGAAAAAAACCACTCATAAACTTCATCTTCGGGGCGCATGATGGCTCGCGCTTTGCCCAAGAAGGAGAGTTTAACCCTGCTTGGATTTTGGGTATCTACAGAGTTCATATTAGCGCCGCGGCCCAATCTTGTCTGTAAATTTATTTCCAACTTTCGAGACTTGATGACCATCATGACATAACGGAGGAGTAATAAATACATGTGCATTAGGTAATCCCCTCCTACAGTGCCTTCCATTCCTTGGTTGTTATTGTGGATGGGAGCCGATTTTCTGATTCTATTTCGATGCTTTTTTGCCAGAAAATGTGTTGACTTCATTTACAATCTCCATCTTTGCCTACTACTCGTCTCCTTCAGACCACGCGACCAGACACCCATTCGCACACTCGTTGCTGAGAAATAAAATAGAGTATCAGGGTTCCATACATTGACGTAGTCTGGCCCTGCATGTAGCGTTGCGCCTCCCATAGCATTTCCACCATCTACTATATAGAGTTCGCTGCGACAGCAGCGAATTCAATGACCATAGCCATCACATCTTGGGACCCGCGCGGCTAAGAACACTACTCGACGCGTCCGTCGTCGGAGTTGGGCTACCGCCACCCACATCCACCCCCGAGCGAGTTGTTGCCGCCGTCGGCTCCGTTGGCGACGATCCAACTGTAGTATGCGCTTCGGCATGGCACCCAGCAAAGGCAATGGTGTCGTTCAGCCACATGTCGCCCCCTGGATGCATAAGTATGGCGTTTTCCCACCCGATTGGGCACTGCTGGGCGAGGGAGACGACTGAGGAGCTGTGAGCCGACCACCACGAGTACGCCTGGCTGGCATAAGAGGAGTATGCGGGGAGCACATCTAACGGCGCAGAAGTGGTGAAGGCGCACCAGCTTGACTGGGCGGGGAACGGGCAGAATGCTGTGAGGGTTGGGGCGGCAAGGTAAGGCTCGTACAGCTTCGAGCCGTGCGATTGGAGCTCCTTGAACAAGCTGCCAGTCGGTTTCGGCACGTCCAAATATTGCGTTAGATTCTCTGTGAGGCATTGCCATGGGTCAATTGACTCGGCCGGTTCTGCTCGGGGTGCGGCTGTTGTGCGCTACTGATGCAGTCGCAGTAGCAAAGGCCGCGAGGGCACCGAAATGGGTCACCGTACGCATTTTAGCAACGCTGCAGCAGTTGGGACACCCAGTTGAGGGAAAATAATGGAGAAGAAGGGAAGGTAAACCTTCCTGTGTCAGGATGAGCTTCGAAGTAGCATATAGAAACAGTTTCGTCTGACGGGGGGGGGGGGGGGGTTGGCGGTGGAATGTGGAAAGTGTGTGATTCTCGTCTTGTGATGGTGTAAACTTGGCATTTCATCTCTTTATCTCGACTATCGATTTCCTTAACCCCCCTGCCCATGAATTTTTTTTATTACCCTGTTCTGGAATAAATGTGTCGTCCTGCCTAGTGTTGCATAAGCTTCTACACCACAAACTAAACATGCTAGCACCCGTGCACTGCAGGCACATGCACTACTGTAAACTGCATATAGTAGTGGCGGAGGTACGAGGTTTAGTTAGCGACCCCCATAGAGTCGAGAGTCTAGAGTCTGGAGTCTTCGCTTAGTGAAGATCACAAGCGCGTTGCATAGGTTAAGGCGTTAGTAAGCGAGGTACCCGTCGCGTGCATCCTAGTGGAGCTATCAAGGATTTTATAGTAAGCAAGTTTTTCGATAACTAACTTAAGTTAAGACAGTTCTGGATAAGCTTAAAAGGCGTGCGTAGGTGAGTAGTGTTGGTTTGTATAGAGCCGCATGTTATCGCATGTTAACCCTCAGTTACGTCCTGTCATGTGATACGGAGACCCAAAACAACACTATAACTGACATACTCGTCCTGCAACCTCTTGCTTGGCGTCGCAATCGTTTTTCTGGTTTCTTCGTCAAGTATTGACGGAGGGACAGTGGCGGTGGATGCGAGATGTTGGAAATGAAGATGAAATTACGTACTATAGCCTGCTTGGCAGCATACGAATATTGCCAGAACGCTTTGGCAGCATACGATGCAGCCAAGTTCCTCGTACAGGTAGAGCTAGCTCTGTTGGGAAATACGCAGAAATACACAGTTGCTCCATTCGTTGAGGCGTTTGCTATAGGGCAGGCGACGTTAGCGCCGGTATCGTACAGTTGACAACCCTCTCCCTCCTCCCTCCCTCCTCCCTCCCTCCTGCCTCTTTCCTGCCTCTTTCCGTCTCCTTCTCCTTCTCCTTCTTCCCCCCTCCAACAGACCGTCTCTCCTTCATCTCCACCGAGTACTCGTACTCGCTGTGCTTTTCTCCACGCAAGTTCCCCTCCCCGAAAATGCCGGAGCTGGAAGATATTACCTACTCGCGCGATGAATGCGTTGCCGCCGTCCGCGACTACTATGACTTCCTCTCCAAGATGTACCACGACGAGTCGGATGTCCTCATCCCGCCCGACGGGGGCTGGCCCACAATTACACAAGACAACCTACGGGGTTTAGGCAAAACCGACGAAGTAATCTCGCTGCTCCGTTCCCTGCCCTACATACGCGCGCCCGAGCACACCGTGCTGAAGCTCCAGTCCGCCCCCTTGTGCCAGTTCGCCGACTGGCGACAGGACAGCCATAATGTTAGCATCGGCGCCTCAAATTGTGAAGTGCTCAAGCACTGTTCGGAAAGTGCTTGGCTGCTCGAGGATATCCCCCCTCACGTCGTCAGTCTCACGAGCGGCAACTACGACAATCCCGTCCTCCTGCTCGACACTGAGCTCGGCGTCGCGTACTGGCCTGGGTGCCCCGCCAAGGTGAAGTGCGATCCGCCGCGTGAGCTAGTCTCGGATGATCCGTACGACTATGCAGCCGAGAACGAGGCGGAGTGGCGGGCTGACAGCGCGGCATGGGCCATCCCTGACTTCTTCGAGGTTTTCAAGGACCAGTTCCGGAAGCTGAACTTCGTCCCGATAAGCCCGCGGTTGGTGATGGACGATTACACACCCGCCACCGGGGACGACGATGGGATGGTACCCATGATGCAAGACATCTATCGCGAGCATGGTTGGCCTGACCTACAGCGGTACCGCAAGCGCGAGTGTCTGGAAGCTGTGCGTGCAGCGCTAAAGGAGCGATATCCCGACTTTTCCTCAGATCCGATGGAAGAAGACTAGGATGGACGACTAGGATTAACGGTTGTTTGATACTGCGGCTATAGTCACCTTCGAGGTAAAATGGTCATACGGGACCCGATGTAAGACTTATCGTGTTGATAAGGAAATATAAGGGTCTAATATAGGGCGGGTGCTACAAGTGAAGAGAAGTACTATAAGAAAAGGACTAACAAAGATTTAAGCACTCATCATTCTTTGCGGGTGAGTATTAGAGTACAATCAACATTAAGTACGAGTAGAAGCGCTTAAACCATAAAAACGCCAAGTAAGACTATTCACAGCAAATCGACATATTATAACTATTCAGAATGAAAACAAGTATACCGCCTTGGTCATTAATAATAAAACCTCGTTGATTCCCAAAGGGAAGATAAAATGAAGCTCGTGGGCCGCATGGAGGGTCCATTGACGCGCTCGCGTCAGAGTTGTCGGGCCTAATCAGGCTAGCGCGATAGCTAGCTCGCTTTGCCCACTTCGACCATCGCATGTAAACAACGGCAGGAACAACCCAAGAACATCACGAAGCACGCCAACGCAACGCCCAACGACTCCCACGATCACCACAAACCCTCCAATTCGATATCAATCGCGTCGACATTTCCAAAGCATTAATCCAGGTCCGACCGGAGTTTCGAAAACGCGAGATTTTTCGCGCGTGGCGATCCACACCACCACCCAACCAACAAATACCAGAGAACAGGCCCATGACGAGCTCGGTCGCCGCTCAATGACTACCCTCATACGCTCGCGGAATCCTCTAGAAACGCTGAGCATGAATACACAGCCGCAGCGCAGGCGCAGTAAGCGATTAGCCAGTACGTGCAACCCACGCGCCAAGCCCGGTGAGATAGATAGATAGAGGGGCATGCTAACAATTGTCACAGCATACGATGAATCAGATGGCGACTTCAATTTCACTCGGGGCTCGAAACGAACAAAGACTGCGGCGCCGCTAGAGGCAGTAGCTGAGACGGAACCGGCCCCGTCGCGGAGTAGGAGGCAGGAGAAGACTGAAGATGTTGCGCCAAAGGATTTACCGCGGCGGCCCTCAAAGCGGAAGATGAGCTTTTCCGCCACACCCGCAAGGCCTGATCCCAAAGTACCATCACCTAAAAAAGACGCGCGCGACACGACCAGGAGGAAAAAAGAGGTCCCCGCAACACAGCCCGAGCCGCGCCGTGGGACACGCAGGAGTACACGCTCCTCTCTCGAAAACGCGCGCCGCAACGAAGCAGAGCCAGACTATGACGAAGACGCCATCGAGATGGTTGGCGGTGTATCCACCGTCTCGCCGCCCCCACCAGAGCCCGAGTCGCAATCGATAACGCGCACACCTATACTGAGCACATCTCACGCGACGACAATCGCGCTCCCCTTCAGCGACACGCCAGTGTTGAACCGGAATAAAGCGCTGCGCCAGACGACATCACGACGGTCGAGTCTGGGATTGCGTGGGCGGCGCGCCAGTTCACTGATAGATAGCGGACACACCGCCACGCCGCACGCGGCCGTGCCAACGGACGAGTTCTACAAGCATATCGAAAGTTCTCTGCCTGAGCCGCGGCGCATGAGGCAGCTTTTGACGTGGTGTGGAGAGAGGGCACTGGGAGAGCGACCCGGGATGGGAGAGGGTAGCGCGGCGGTTCTGGCGGCGAGGCATATACAGGAGCAGGTTCTGAAGGAATTCTCGGAGCGGAGTGAGCTGAGTGATTGGTTTGCGCGGGCGCCGGGAGAAAAAAAGGTGGTGGTTGTGCCGAATCCATTGAATGTGGGGAATGCGGCGAGGGTTGCGGAGTTAGAAGAGAGAGTTAAACGGTATGTCCTATTTTTTATATCCTCTGCAGCACGCGAGGGAATTACAGATAGATGAACAGCAGACTAACGATCAAACACAGATTACGGAAAGAGAAAGCAGAACTCCTCGCCCTCTCCGCGCCTCCGCCCTCTCAACCTCCAAAACCACAAAAATCAGCACCCTTGGACCCTACCCTCCTGCCCGCCTCTAGCGCTCCCATACTCGAAGCGCTACGTACCAACGCCACTCTCGCGCCGCGCGTCACGGCACGCCTAAATGTCGTGAGGGATCGTCTGGAGCTGGCAACGGATGTGTTTGCGCATGCGGTGCATGGGCTCGAGCAAGACGGGAAAGAGATGGACGGAGTAGCGGGACGGGTGATGGATGGGTGTGAAGGGCGGTTGGGTGAGAGAGAGAAGGAGGAGAGGGGAGGGGGCGTGGGCATGAGGGATGTGTTGAGAGCGTTAGGGGGGGTTATGCCTGGTGGGGCAAGGAAGTGAGATGGGGTTCAGATGTTGACTTGCTTTTAAGGGTGCGGGGGATGGGCTTGGGGTCGGGGCGTATTTTGGGGGTGTTTATTTGATGGCTTCTGGAGGGATTGCTAGGACGTTTGATGAGTTGTGAGATACGGGATTGGTGTTGCACATACGATGAACCCCTCAATGGGGTAATGAAGGAATCATTCAAATCATTCGAGCTTCTTGTGTTTTGAGTGTCCGGCTGCGATGTCTCATATTTTAGCCTCCAAGCTACTGAGCAATGCAATTTCAAGCTTTCAAGTAAGTATTTCCAGCAACCTAGACTATCATGACTAATTTCTCAGTTTGCCAAGCTAAAATGTAAACATCGAGGTCCATATATGGACGGCAAGCGCCATAAATCAATGGCTGCTCGCGTCAAGTCATCATGCTTTCCCAGTGCGGCAAGTACGACTCTGGCACGCCCCTTGCTCCTGCCGTAGTAGCATGGAGCATGATATTACTAATATAGGATACTTCGACCTCAAGTCACCAGCACAAGGAAGGCACGACCATCCAACTATGGAAGGAGCCACCATGAGTTAGTTGTAACATTCCACTGCACAACGAATTTTGGAATATTAGAATCCTAAGACGGTATGTATTACCTTGTGACCCTCGCCAGCTTAACTATGCAGCTCACTCGTCGCATGTGCGATGCGACACGCCTATAAATACGACCACGCCGACATCAAGTATCCTAAAACTTCAAAACTCAATTCTGCCTCATCGACCCCACAATGAAGCTACCAGCACTACTCTACCTCGGCTTCCTAGCCGCCTCCATTCACGCCACCACCCCCCTACTAAACTGCCTCTCCAGCGCCCATGTCCCCTTCATCACTCCCACCTCCCCCACCTGGCCCATTTTCGCCTCCCCCTTTAACACTCGCGTATCATACACCCCCACCGCAATCGTCATCCCCGTCTCCACCTCCCAGGTCGCCGCTGCCGTCGCCTGTGGCGCCGCACACAAAGTCAAGGTAACCCCAAAGGCGGGGGGCCATTCGTACGCTTCTCTCAGTTTAGGGGGGGAAGATGGCCATTTAGTGATTGAGCTCGATCGGTTGGCTGGTGTGAGTTTGAATCGGGAGACGGGGATAGCGACGATTGGGCCCGGGGCAAGGTTGGGTGATGTTGCGACGAGGATCTATAATCAGGGGAAGAGGGCGTTTTCGCACGGGACGTGTCCAGGGTGAGTTTTCCCCCAGAACTCCGGAAGGGACTTGTCTGTGAAGAGTTGCTGACGGACCAGGAAGTGTCGGGGTCGGGGGCCATGTCTTGCATGGGGGCTATGGTATGTCATCGCGCACTCACGGGCTCGCGCTCGACTGGGTGGATAGCATTAGCGTCGTGCTTGCCAACGCAAGCGTAGTCGATTGCTCTGCTCATTTGCACCCTTCTCTGTTCTTTGCCATGCTAGGTGCTGGGTCGAGTTTTGGGGTCGCGACCGAGTTTCGGTTTAGGACGTATGAGGCGCCGGGGGTAGTGACGTGGTTTTCGGCCGCGCTGCCGTGGGATGGGGAGACGGCGGTGGAGGGGCTGGAGGAGTTGGAATTGTTTACGAGGTACAGAATGTCGCCGGAGCTGAATATGCGGCTCATGGCGTCTGCGAATGGGAGTTCGCTGGATGGTGTTTTCTATGGAGATAGGGCGGGGCTGGATGATGCGCTGGGTCCGCTTTTGGAGAGGGTGAATGGGAGCATTGCCACAGCTGGGACGACGGACTGGATCGGTGGGTTGCTCCATTTTTCGGAATCTGATACGGGGCTGGTTGTACCAGAGCCTTATAATAAGGTGAGTGCCTTCCTCCCAGTAACAAGAAGATGAGATAGTGCTGACACGCCGTAAGCACGACACTTTCTACGCCAAGAGCCTTACGCTAACGCGGCTGAATGGCACGTCGGCTGAGAATTTCGTGGACTACTGGTTTAATGTCGCGTTCAACTTGGATCGGATATGGTGGTTCCAACTCGACCTGCACGGCGGGGCACACGCAGGCGTCTGGGAGCATGACAATGGTGTGACGTCGTATGCGCACAGGGATAAGCTGTACATCATCCAGTTTTACGACAGAGTGATAGGGGAGCCGTATCCGGCGAACGGCTTTCAGTTTCTAGATGGTTGGGTGGATACTACGACGCAACCGCTTGAATGGGGAGAATGGGGGATGTATGTCAATTATGTGGATGCGAGGTTAGGGCGGTGGGAGGCGGAGGAGCTGTTTTGGGGGAAGAATCTTCCGAGGCTGCGGAGGATCAAGGCGCAGGTTGATCCGGGGGAGCTGTTTTTTAATCCGATTTCGATTGAGCCGGCAAGGGGTAGGTGATACTTCGAATATAGTAGAGTGCTGAGATGATCTGTAGCGCTCGCTAGATACTACGGAATATCCAAGGATTGTTTGAGTCCACAAGTGTTTGCACTGTATCATGGTATAGTTCATGAGTGTTGCTTTATGATGTAGGTAGTTTCGCAGTGTGCAAGATTGATTTACTTATATATACATACAATACAACGAGATTATCTCGTTAGTGGCCGCCGCTTAGTGTAAATGAGAGGTTCCTCCTTTCACAGCGCCAGTGACTGCTCCCTCTCGCCCATCCTTCACTCGCTGCGCTTCTCTCGTCCTTTGCTCTATATACCTCGCCCATTACTATATCTCTCGTCCATTCTTCAGCTTTGTCCCCAGGTCGCCTCTGTGTGTCATAAGGCGCGTTACGAGAGCATATCGCCAGCCAGCAACAAGCTGCCAATTGTGGCACAGTATATATCCTGTGCATCTGCGCCGTTTGCGTGCCCGGAACCATTCCCCCGGTCAATGTACCCAGGGTATACAGCAGGGCGTCCTGCGCCCTGCCGTCAGGCCACATCATCGTACCCATCCTAGTTTAACTATACTATCATCTTCCACACACCCACCTACCTCCCCCCTCCCTCCTTCTCCCTCCGCCTAATCCTCCAAGGCACGCCACCGCTCCCAAGTCCAACGCCCCACGCCCTCCGCTCCCGTGGCGCGTCACTCTCCCAGTCACACAACCCCTTCTGCGCGACGCCCTGGGGTATGCGGCCAAGTAGGTCTGCAGTGATCGCGGAGCGGCGGGGGTGGGTGGGTGTGTAGGGACCGTAGATGGGGGAGGAGCGGATGGAGAGGGGGGGGAGGTGAGGAGAGGGGCGGATGGTGAGGGTTAGGTTTTCCCGATGGGGGCCTGGTGATTGAGACTCTGACGCGGGTTGGGTGAGGGGGATGGTGATGGGGGAGGCGGCGAGGAGGGCGCGGGAGGCGGTAGGGGGGAGGATGGCGTGAAAGGCTGAGGTGGTGGGGGTTGTGGGGTGGTGCTGGAGTGTGTTAGTTTTGTCATGTGCCGTCTGCGCGCTTCATCTCATCAAATTGAAAACAGAAATCCATCCTAACCATCCATCTCCAATCTCGCCCATCCCGATGACAACACGTGCCACAATCTGATCAACAACGGAAAGAAAAAATATCCGACATACACCCCAAAAGAGAACCAAGCCACCCAGCCAGATTAAATAAAATAGAAGTAACATACCTTCAAGCTCCGAAAATGCTCTACCTCGCCAAAAGACTCAAGCGCGGCCAGCACCCTCTGTCGTGCCGCCATCGTCACCGGCGTTGGATGCGCGCGAATGTGCAACACGCGCGTTGACGTGGACGCTCCAGCTGCGGCTGTGTGAGCTGCTGCATTTGCCGCTGCGGCAGCGGCGCGTGACATCGTCTTTTGGTCTAAAGTAGATATGAGGTATAAAGTGCGCAGTGGATAAGTCCGCCTGTATCTAGTATATGGCGTGGATAGATGTGGTATTCATTGTCGGGTTGTTGGGTTTAAAGAGAGAGAGTGGAGAGAAGGGGGTGTTTTGGCGCGGTTAGCGGCAAAACTTGTAGATTTTCTGGGGTCGCGGCTAGGGTTGACGCCGTATCGACAACCACAGCCCGACGAGTGCTTTGGGATCACACAAGGGGCAAGGTTCGTGGTTTATTTTTTGGTGTTTTAATTATATTTTATTTATTTAGCTACTATCTATATGTATATATGAACTTTATTATTGCGAAAAGGTATTAATTATTTTTTAGCGGCGTTGTTATTTTATAAATGCCCATCATTTGCGACTTCCCCAAAGTTACTCCCTACGACACCAAGATGTACCTATAGAACTATGATTAGTATGGGTCACGGCAACTGAAATTAAATAGTGGTACTTACAATGCGATTCCCTCCCCTGGCGATCGGATTTGCCTCTAAGCCCACAACGATCGTTAGGTAGTCTGTTGGCGCATGAACCTCCTCGATCACATCGCCGAATATGGACTCAACTTGCGCGATGAGCTCGCCAGGCTGGACGAGTTCGGCGATATCTTTAAAAACCCGCAAAATCCCCCCTGTTTTAGTAAAAATCCAGTACTAGATGCGAAATTAGGATCTCCGTGGATGGATAATAAACGGACGGATAATAAACAGTAAGATTGGGACTTCACTTACGCTTCGAGAGCAGACAACGGACTCTTTTACACCCAGGCTTGTCGCTTGGTCTAGGGTTCCGTCTGGAATTCCGGATGCAGAGAATAATCCTATATCGGAGATGACTCTGCATATTCCAGCGTAGGTATCTTGGATGAATGGTTTTTGGAAAGAACTTGCGTTGCCGATCTACATGGATATATGTCAGCTATGAGTTGAAAGGAGGGCTGATGGTTTGCAGCCGGCTAGCACGAGGGCGATTCTTGCGACAGGCTGTCTCGAGTCCAGCGGCACGCAAGCGGCACCAATATTCAACACTGCGAGAAGTGAGCAGATCCAATCCGCGGTGGGCTCTTGGTATCCGGCCACGCGACGGTACTCGATGCTGGAGGGTATGCATAAGGTACAAGGAAAGTGGACAGTGGATAACATGCCTCAACTGTAAGTGCTTTGACACCAATTGCCTGTGCACAACCTCGTAACGATCCCTTGGTAGCAACATGCACAAGGACTTGCGGCTTCATCAACGTTGCCAATTTCGCAATAACGGGATCGTTCATGTCAGCACGCACGTACAGGCTGTTCCGCCGCCCTAGAGATGCAGTGTGAAGGTCCATCAGGTAGTCGAACTTGGTGACGATATTGTGGAAGATCCGGTATGCGTATTGTTGAGGAGCGGCGCCATCAATTTTGCCTGGCATAAGCCTGTTTAGATCTTGCTTCGACTCTTCGTCAAAGCAGCGCATGGAAGCAACAAAGCCGGGAACATTGACAACGGGTATGCCAATTATGGTTCCGCAATCGACTCTCAGACTCTCTTGTCCATCTTCCAATGTTTCGTGGGTGCTGCGGTGTTTATGAGTTGTTCCGCGTTCGATGCTAGAGAATAGCCGTTGGATGACTGGAATGCCGTTTACTTCATTTCCGTGGATGGCACATGTTATGCCAACTACTGGGCCTGGTTTGCTAGATCGGTAGGCATACACTGGGACATCGATTGTGCTAAGTACACCTGGAGCTATGGTTATGAAGAATTTTGAGACAGTATCAACTGGCAGAGCTTCGATGTTGAGACTGTTGAAGACAGGCAAACTGACCGACTCATTGGCTTTTGGAATTGAGAAGGCCCGGTTGATGCTGCTATCCTTTTTGATTGGCGAGTGCCCGTTGAGCTCGTCCGCATTTCTCTTAAGAGAGCCTATTACACTTGGGGCCATTGTGAAGGTAGGAATTGTTTTGTGAAGCTCGAGGAATAAAGATCTGAGGTGGGGAGAATGATCGGGAAGTAGAACGATGAATGTGATGAGTCTTGGAAGGTTTAAAAGAACGGAACTAGACCTACCCCTTTTTAACCAACCCCTCATTCGTATCTTACCTACTCCATTATCCTGAATATTCTCATCGCCGCTATCGCCATCGCTACTTTCCTATCTTGCAAGTGTACTATGATACTAACTCGCCACGTTGCGACACTAGAGTCATCAACTTAGCTGTCGCGAGCGCTAACTTAGACTAAGGCATGTCAGACTAACCAGGCTTGGACGAAAAGGCGACTCAGCATCGCGGACTAAACTGCATCGGGCTGAATGGGCGAGGGAAATATAACTAACCATATTGAGACAGAACGACGAGATGTTATTTCTCGCGCCGCATTTCATGCCATCCCCATACGCAAATGAGATGGAACTCGGCCGAGATAGCGACAACTGACCCCATGGGTCAAGAACAAGCCCACCGACGCCATGTCTAGTGGACCGGCACCAAAGGGGCTTTGATATTGAAAGCGAAGATCGGCAGAGTCTGGAGAATCTGGAGAATCTGGAGAAGGTTCGAACTTGGCATCAATGCTCATCCTTAAATAGAGGGTCCCGTCTCTGTCTAGAAACCACATCGAACTCGAAGTGAGCTCGTCTGGTATTACTACAGACAGCTTCAAGTCCCCAACAGTTATATTCAACTCCCATCATATACTGTATAGCAGTTCAGTATGTCTCTACAACAGGTCCCTGAAAAGCGGCTGAGCGGCACTGTCTTTGAAGTCGACCAGAAGATGGATTCTTCCAATGGTAGTGATAGCCATGTTGAAACCGCTGGCGGAACCACCATCACAAGAAAGCAAACTTTGAGGAAAATAGACACCTACCTCCTGCCTTTGGTATGCCCCCATTACAACCACTTACTCCCTCTACGCAATTTTAACTCGTCATGATCTAGATGTTTATAACCTACGGCTTGCAAGCACTTGACAAAGCTCTCCTTGGCTACGCAGCAGCCTATGACTTGCGCAAGGATACCCACCTTCATGGATCGCAGTACTCATGGGTTGCTTCGGTGTTCTACTTTGGCTATCTCGTTGCCGAATATCCTCTGGCTTCTCTTCTCCACAAGTTTACTGCTGCTCAATTCCTCGGCGTTACTGTCTTTATCTGGGGAATTGTGGTTCTTTGCATGAACTTTGCAACTAACTTTTCGGGCTTGATCGCCCTTCGGTTCTTTTTGGGTGCATTAGAAAGTGCAGTTGCCCCTGCCTTCGTGGTCCTCACAGCACAGTGGTACACTCGATCTGAACAACCACTTCGCCAAAATATCTGGTTCGCGGCGACACCAACCTTCGGTATTATCGGTGGACTTGTTGGGTATGCTGTTGGACACATAGAGAATTCTGCCGTCACACCCTGGCGTCTGCTATTCATTATCTTTGGCTGCATTACGATTCTCTGGGGTATCGTGCTTCTTTTCTGGTTCCCTGACTCACCTGGAAAGGCTCGATTCTTCACTGAAGAGGAGAAGCTCCATGCCGCCAATGACATCGCTAGACAAGGCACCGGTGTAGAACGAAGCTGGAAGTGGTCTCAAGTCAAGGAAGCCTTCCTTGACGTCAAAACATGGATATTCTTCCTTCTCGGCATACTGAATACCATCCCCGCCGGTGGCCTTTCTAACTTCGGCAGCCTCCTCATCAAAGGCTTTGGCTTCTCCGCAATCAACACCCAGCTTCTGACTATACCTTCACACACTGTCCAAGTCATCTTCCTTATAGGTGCCGGGATTTTCGCTAACAAAGTCCCCAACATGCGGCTCTACATCATGTCGTACTCCCAGCTCCCGTCTATCGTCGGCGTCGTCCTGCTCCACACCCTTGCGAGCGACAATCGTTGGGGAAGGACCGTCGGCGTCTGGCTCAACTACACGCACTCCGCTAGTCTCGCTGTCAGCTTCAGCGTTATCGGCGGGAACGTGGCTGGATTCGCAAAGAAAACGACAGTTACCGTCTTGCTCTTCGTCGGGTACTGTGTCGGCAACATCGCTGCGCCGCAATTCTTCATTGATGAGGAGGCTAAAGAGGGCTATCCCACTGCCATCATCGCCATGCTTGTCTGCTACTGCGGGACGTTCTTAATGCCGCTTGGCTTGCGCTGGATGTATGTCCGGGAGAACAAGAGGCGAGATGCGCTTGGGAGTCAGCCAGAGGAGGATTATGGGGATGATGATGATTTGACGGATTTCCAGCGCAAGGAATTCCGCTATGTGCTATAACTTTGATTGACGAAGATGGGGAATACGTGTGCATCGCCTAAATTCCGAGGCCTGATGATTAGTTTTTGAATATACGATTTGAGTGATCGGAAGCAATTTCCTTCGTGCTGTGTACTGTGAGATATTTTTTGCTTAGTGAAATCTTGCCTGAGCTATTTAAGTTAGTAGTTAAATAAAATTGTGAAATATGTATGAACCTTGTAAATAGAGCTTGTAAAAAATGGCTAATACTAGGCAAGGAAAAAAATCAAAACGTATAAAGTGTGATTTAGTAATACATAGGTATAGTATAGACCTGCTAGGATGCTTCCGATGCAAACTTCATGATCCAAGCACATTGTTCCAAACTCCGCATCAACCCGCTAGCATTACATGTAACAATACCCCCTAGAGAACCATCCCATCATTAATATCCGCAATAACTCCTGCACAATCTACCCTCCTCCCAGCCCCCTCCTCCCTCTCCCACATCCTCTCGACAAACATCTTTGCAAACGTGTACTGCTGCCCCGCCGTTCCCTCATATGCCTCTAGCTTATGCAAAGCCCATTCGCGGTATATCGGATCCCGCACCTCGATTGCTGCCATAACCAGAGGAAGCGGCCAGATTTTAGTCGGCGGCGGCGTGGAACGTGATGCTTCGCCGCGGAGAACGTCGAGTTTCTGCGCCACTTGGATGATCCGCACAGCGAATGCATCAGCTGAGTGCCGAGGCTCGCTGGCGTGAAGGTTCCGCGAGAAGGATATCTCAGCTGTATTGTAGAGTGCCAGGAGGACGAGCCAGGTTGAGCGGACGCGACCGGCCAAACTTTCGTTCTCAGATACCGCGTCTAGTGCCTAGAATTGTGAGTCTACATGACAAACAAGGGGAAATAGTAGCGAAAGAATATATAGCCGGAAATGGAAACGTACTTGTGCATGTGCGTTAAGGCTCGCTCGGATTTTAGATATGCCTGCACTGCCACCGCCCAACCGAGATTTCTCCTGCGTGATATCGCTTAATAGTATGGTAAGCTCAAGCATCCTTTGTAGAAGTGGAAGTTGTAGCCCATCGGCTCTTCTTTCTTCGTCTGGATACGTAACACTGTAGACCTTCTGAAGCGTGTCATACGACGCTCTCAGTGCTGATATAAGGCCTTCCTGACCCCCAAGGGCGGACAGAATTGCACCATCGCCTGGTTGGAAAGCAGATGCTTTCGATTCTAAGGTACAGAACTAGATAGAAACATTAGCTTAGAAGACGAAGGGCTGTTCCAATGTTGCCATACCCATGTTGAGACGCGAGACCTAACACCCCCCATATTGTTTCGTACATTTGGAACTTGTAGAACATGAGATATAAAGCGGAATATTTTCCTTATATGATTAGGGCGAGCAGCCATCTGGTCAAAAAGAGCGAGGAAGAAGCAACTCACGAAGAGAGCATCAATGTCCTCTGTGCTCGCTGCCGAAAAGTGCTGGTCTGTAACAGGATCGTATGCGGAAGGCCACATAAATTCAACGTCGTCGAAACCGCGGCCATAGATTTTGATAATCTGTGAAAGACATTGTTCATAATGAGAATTTGCTATGACGAGGTCCTTCCATCTTCCTGAGTAGAAGATGCTCGCTGATGTCCAACTAAGGATGGCTGAGAGCACCCAAGGATGGCTAGTGGTGAATCGGTGAAAGAAGAAATTGTAAAACGTCCAATCAGCCGACTTGAAAGAGAATCGACCAGTGAGCTGGCGAGAAAAATGCTGTGATAGCAAGTGCACAGTGAGAGTCTCATCGGTTGACTTTTGTGACGGTGTCCGATCACCTGCCCGAGAAGATTCCATGGCATGTGACTCTGTCAGTGGACTTTGGGGAGATGTCATACTGGTCATTAAAGGAGGCTCTTGTTCGCGAGTGGCATTCCAATCGGCTGCCGGCGGGTTGAAAGTGCTTGTAAAATCCATACCCGAGTAGGACAACTCATCCAGACCAAACTGGGGGTGAAAATCCCCCGCGAGTGGGAAATCCAATAATGGAAAAGAGTTGCCTAAAAACATATCCTCCGACTCAGACCCGAGATCAGGAATATTTAATAGGGCGGAGGATGATGCCGAAGGGCTGAGCTGAGGACTAGTAACGTGAATGAGTATATTGCAGATATTCTAGAAGATAGCCAACGAACTTTGCATGAGGTTCAGTCCCCCCCCCAGGATACGAATATTCCCATAACGGATCTTTCGCTGTGCTAGGGTCGACCGAATCCGGAGAGTAGATCTGCCGCATGCTTGCCGGGGAGTTAACCTGGAAGGCCACAACCTGAGGTGGATGTTCGTATCTGCATTTTAAATGGGATGTCTTGCATGCTGCGCATCTTGGCCTACTCTCATCACAAGCGCGTTTCCGTCGTTGACACGTCAAGCAAGTCATCACTGATGGGTATCAAGATGATTTTTCACTCAACAGAGGGAAGGCTAGAGGTTGCGGGGTTCAAGTCAGTGCGCATGCGTGCGGGGGTGGGGTTGGGTTGGGGTCAGGTTGGGGTTGTAGTTGGGGTTTGAGTTACGTCAGCGCCCCCACAGGGTACATATAGCATGGCTCCCACCTTATTTATCAACCAAGTCCTTAACCTCTAGATCTACGGCGTTATTTGTTTAAATAGTCATGGCTAGGGGTATCCTTAGCTAGCAGTATCCATTGTAAACCCACTGTAAACTCACTGTCAGCCTCTAACAGCCGCTGAACACACTGTCTTTCAACGACGGAGTGCTTCGTCTCGGAATGAACTATTAAATGAACGTCGCGAGAAAAATCGGCCTCTCTATATTTAACAGTCTAGGTAGAGGTCTCAAAAACGGGAGATGGAAAAGGTGAAATGCGCTCTGAAATGCGCTCTGTCTAGAGGTTGTTCTCCAGGTCGAAGTTGGGCAAAGTGCTTATGAGCATTTAGCACAGAAAGCTACTGGATTTTAATAACCTAAACACCACCACTTAGAACTAAAAGAGTAAACATCTAGCATTGACAACGAAACTGCATATTTGTATATATTTTTATTTTTATTTCTATTCAATAGTCTATCGTTGCCTTCGCTCGGGTATCCAAAATACCCTAGTACTGTCATCGTACAATATATAATGTGCAAATATGACATCCGTCCCCAGCCACACCGGAGCCAATGCTGCTTGTCTATATATCCAAACTCCCCTATCATCTAATGCCATCGTTATCATGTACACATCCAACCCCCCCCCTTATATACTCCAAGGCCCTCTAACCCCCCTTCACCTTCCCCACCTCCCCCTGTATCGACCCCATCCCCACCGCCCCCTTCTTAACCGCCCCCCACGCCCACGTCTCCAACGCCCCCTGCACAAACGTCTGCGTAAACGGCACCTGAACTATCTGCGTCACCCCAGCCACAACCTGGAGCTTCGGCACTGTTTGCACAACCGGGTATTGCGTCGGGGCCGCGGGCGCAGGACCGCCTACTACGGCGGCCTGGGAGGCGACGGGGGTGGGGGGGAGGAGGATGGAGAAGAGGAGGGCGAGGAGGAGGGCGAGGGGTGAGGAGTGGTGCATTTTAATTTCGTGTGTGGTGTGTGGTAGGCGGAGGAGACTTGGCAATTGCGCGCTCGGGGTGTTTTTGTAGATTAGAGCACGGCGCACTTGGTCGCTTTGCTCTCTCTGCTGCTGCTGTGCTTTGCGCTGCGAGATGGGGTAGTTGGCGCGGCGTGGATCTGTGCTCGAGGAGCTAGTGATGCTTGGTCCCTTGGCCGAACCCTTATCTTTTCTCTGGCGCGTAGTAGACCCTGGGCGCCGTCGTTTTTGAAAATATCGTTCGCGACGTTGTTTTCATTCACCAAGCAACCGTGCGATGCGCAATTGCGTTTGCGATATGGATGGGATGGGTGAAGCGGGTTAAGTGTCTTTTTTTTTGTGCGTCGTGGAGGGAGGGTGTGAGGGAAGGGTTTTTCTGGTGGGAGGGCGATCATGTTGCGATGACGCGGGCGGCTCTGCTGAGCCACGATAAGGGTGGGCTTGGTGTGCAGGGTTAGCGTGGGGAGCGGGGCGGAGCGGCTGCGAACGTTTGAACGTTATATTTAGAACTTAGGAAGTTAAGAGGGAGTTGATGAAGGGTTCACCCTAGTACAAGCAGTATTGAACGACGTACAACAAGAAAATGAAGTTGCAAAATTGATGACAAGCAGATTTTAGATTGTGGAAGTATGCAATTCAAGGAAAAATCGAAATACCAGACGACCGCGAAACAAACCACCAGGAGAAACAGAAATACTAAATGAAAGACAAGAAAATATAACCTACGGATCCTTACCTAATGCGACTGCAGCGGGCGAGTGTCAACCTTCGCTACTTCCAATCGACCTTGACGAGCTTCCGTTACTGGTCGACGTCGCTCCATGACCGAACGTTGCAAGGCTGGTTACGAAAGGAACCCGTGTTAGCGGAGTTCCCAGCCAGGTAATCGACCTTGTTGCTACTCTTAGCACGGAAATACTCAACATGCCTCCCCGAGCCACCCTGCCCTGCGACACCGCAACAAGCTAGCTACAGTCCCCGGTACACTATGCAGGGTCTTGCTTGTGTCGGCCCAAGACCCGTGATATACGTCCACACATTCGCAGTGCCGTCTTGACTGATATAGAATATCCTCACAATTAAAGAGGAATTCGATCATGTCCTAGCTTGAAAGTTGAAAGTTCAGAGGAAGTTGCGACTGAGCTTGCTTGGTAACCGTCCCTTCCATTTATATATTGCTTGAAAGTTCAGAGGAAGTTGCGACAGAGCTTGCTTGGTAATCGCTATTTCCATATATATTGCTTGAAAGTTCTAAGGAAGCTGCGACTGAGTTTGCTTGGTAATCGCTCCTTCCATTATATATTTATATATTGATATATAGCTTGAAAGTTCCGAGGAAGCTGCGACTGAGCTTGCTTGGTAATCGTTCCTTCCATACATACGGTTTCAAATTTCCGAGGGGGCTGCGATTGAGTTGTGTGAAGCAGATGGTTGGGTTTCCCTTAAGACTGAAGTTGGGGATAGGGGGAAGGACTGTGTGGGGGTTTAGTAGTAGATCTTGGTACTACCTACTGCACCTTGGTTCCACCGTATGTCTCCTGTCTCTGCTTGACGGCAATGTTCTCTATAAACCGTCCAATCATCTGTGGTTCAAATGCCAGCTTGTAATATCGATGGATGCCATAGCAACATGGAAGTTTAAGACAGGCGGCTAATAACCCATTCTCCTATGGCAACACAACCTCCTCCTGGTGAATGCCACAATAGCTTGGCTCTGCGGTATATGTTTTAACTTAAGGTGCACCATCATCTCATTGACAAACCGTCCCTCCTCATCTCTCTCCCCCGCCCAGCCCTACAACAACTCGCTCTATCAACACGTCTTGTCCCAGAATACAGCCCGTTCTCTTCCTCGTAGCGGTAGAGAGTCACGTGAAGTTTACACTCACGTGAATTTATTTATATCAAGACAAATCACGTGCATTCTCACCACCACCAAAATATCACGTGCCACCTCCTCCCCAATCACCGGGAGTAACTGCTCCGCGGAGGTGGACAGGACCCGAGGAATTGGTTGAGACGCAAGGAAGTGGCCGTATTTACGTCAGCCGTCTCCGTTAATAGGCCGCGATACGCCTCTTTGCGCCTCTTTGCGTGTTGTTGCTGCAGCTGTGTCTCTAAACGGCAAGCTAGCTCATCCGAAAGTGTGAACGTGCCGTGTCTTGGCGGAGATTGGGGAAGATCGTGTAGTGTTACTTTGTGTGTCGCTGTGATGAGTGTGGGAGAGGAGGTACAGGTACGAAGATCTGTGATGGAAGTTTTTTTTTCAAGTGTGTAGCCTGAACAGCCTGGAGTTGTGAGAAAGCAAGGCTGTGGACCGGGAGTATGGATGTCCGTACCCAAGCCAGGCGGAGAGAACACGTGATTGGTTATAATGCCTGCGCACATCCCATAACGTATCCACTCTTGTCGCGCGACTAGCGAGATGTACGCGAGTGGGGCCGCCAAGACGCTAGGGCTGGATGGGGTCACTGGCCCGAGTGGGTGGGAGATGGGGGGCCAATGGGTGGCGGGTATCTTCCCGTGGCGGCGGGTTGGGAATTACCGGGGGAAGCGAGGGGGTGGATTGGCGTGCTGAGCTAGTGGTGGACTATCTATATATGTGCAGTATATGTGCAGTAGCTGGGTGGAGGAGGGTTGCAGTATGCAACTGTGTATGCAACTCTGTGAAGAGAAAGTGTGCGGTGTGTGCCGAAGGGCCAGATAGTTGGTATTAGGGGGGATGCGAGAGGCTGTTGTTTGCAGATGGTGTATGTAGTGGTGTCCGAGAAGGTTCGTGGGTGTATTGTGTAGCACAGGCTGTATGGATGAAATGATACTGCAGGGTACTTGTCAGATTGTCAATCACTTACTGTGTACGGTCCAGCGGCGGGTTGGCAGTACAGTGGGTTGGTAGTATGTACGGATTGCTGGGTCGGGCTCGGGCTTTGGGCTTTGGGACAGCGAGTGTGACTGGGACTCACAGGCTGCATACCATACGCATAACTCTAATACAGCAATGTGGTTAAAGTGCTAGGTGCTAGTGTACATAGTACTCGGGTAATACTGCCTCACGTAGATATAGTAGAATAGGGTAGTATTCGCAGATTAATAGTGTAGGAATAACCTGTATAGTATAACATGTATAACATGTACAACATGTATAGCACTCTATCGTGCAGCAGAGTTGACTCCTCAAAGGACAAATATTGGCTTGGTGAGACTTCCGCGAGCTGAAAAACAGGTAGCTGGTAATCTGACACCGGTACAGTATTGGTAGGTAAGACACCCACCACTTGGTATAACCACACCTAAGCGATGTCCCATGCCTGTCCCTTCCCTGCATTCCCATCACACACGCACCCTATGAAAGTTCCCTATACGCTGCCCCTTCCCGCATTTTCCCAGTGCGCTGTTCTTTGGTGCTTCCCCGTCCTCTGGTTCTCTGGAAATCTGGTTCGGGGCCGGTACTTCTCTCTACATCCTTTTAACTTCTCTCACCCTCTAAACCTCTAACTTCCATCTAAGTTCCCGTCTTAACTTCAGTACTCTATACATACCGCCGTCTTACTAATCTACCAATACCATACCTATAGTACTCTTTACCGTGTAATTCTTTAGTACCTCCCTGTATCTCCCTCCCGTCCCTTCTGCCGCCTTAGACCCCAATTATTCCCTATTCCCAGCGCCCAGTCCCTGGCCTCTTCCCACTAGAACCGCCACTAGCCCTGCTTACCCTACCCTGTCCTTGTCTTCCCTGTCTACCCTGTCAGTCAGCTACTCCGCCTTGAAACCCTCACATCGCTTGCACTTCTCTTGCCCAAGCGCCTGGTCGAGGGACAACTCTCTCCAAAGAAACTCTTCCACCTAATCTCACTCTTCAACCAACGTCTTCAACGTACTACCACAAACTCCCGACAACCCACCCAACCAGATCTGGCAAATATCATTCATCACGCATCCCGCCGACCAAGAACCCAACGAGCCAAGCCAAGAGGAACCCGACAGACCCAACGACGCGAGTCCTGGGATTCAACGCGAGATACTACAGGACACAGCCTTGGATGGGCGTCTCCACCATTACACAACACCGGACGAGTACTCTGCATTTACCATCCCGTCATCCACCGCCTCACATCTATTATCTTTCCCTCATCCCGCCCTCCCAAACATTCGACATCCCCATTCCCAACTTCTCGGGACCAGACCCTCGCCAGCTCCCCGGGATCCAATACCAACGCGCCCCCACCAAGAGCTTCACACCCTCACCCTCACCACGGCCGACTCTCGAGTCAATGCCCTCGCCGTAACGCGCCACGTACGGCAAACGAGTCCGAATAAACTGTTGGTATGGCACCCCCCGCGGCAACAGCGAGGCGTTCGTCGCCACTACGCCGGCGTGAGAAGTCGCCGGTGAAACAAACTGGAGAGAGTGCATATCCATACGAGTATCCTGCGTCGAGAGCGCGGCCGTCAGCTGAGAGTGCATATCCATATGAACATCCCTCGTCGAGAGCGAGGCCGTCATGGAGGACAGAGCCAGAAGAGGACGATGGGTTCGAGGAGGAGGAGGAAGAGGATCTTTACGGGCTAGAACCTTCATATACGGAGAGATCGTCGAGGCAGGCTTCATATATGCAGAGGCCGCCGAGGCAGGAGCCGCTAGATAGGCGGAGTTTAGAACCGGAGGGGAGTATAGATCTCGACGACGACCCAGGTGAGGACATCGACCTTGACACGGTCTCGCGGTTAGCATATGCCTTCAGTCGACGGTCTGGAACGCAGCGTGACCCGTCGATGCCGTCGCTCCGCGATATCGGGCGGAGGGGCCGGGCTTCGTGTTCGCTTCTTGTTCAGAGCAAGGGAAAGGGGAAGGAGAAGTACGAAGGGATCGCACAGGTGGCGCCGCTGGAGTCGATATCAGAGTCGATAGCTACGTCGGTGCCGAGGTCGATACCGGTCGCTTTCGACTACCGCGCACGACGGGCGGATTCACCTGCACCGATACCCGCGCCTATGGGGGATGAAATCGAGGCCGACCACCCGTTCTCAGACACGTACTCGGCGTTCTACCTCACGCCGCTGCCGCCTCTAACCACAACATCCTACACCCCGGATACCCTCCCCGTCCCGAAACGGCGCACAAGCCACTATATAAACCGGCCTACCATCATCCCACCACACACAACGGCGATTATAATCGCCGAATCCGCGAATACCTCTCCAACCACCACCACCGCCACCAATACCACAACTACCACCACCAACCCCGCCACAACTTCAACATCCACATCAGCCACCACCGCCCAAACACACACAACAACCCAGGTCCCTCCCGCTGCCCTCACCCCCGACCCACCCGAAGACGACGTCGACGACGAAGGATTCTCCGAACCCACCGTCATCGAGCGACTCGAAGCGCTGGATCGGGAACGGGAACAGGCCTTTCTCGCGGGTCTATCGCGCGCGTGTGGGCGCGTTGCTTCGCGGAGAGGGATGGGTGATTTAGGGATGGATGGGATGGGAGGAGGGAGGGAGGGAGGAGGGGTGGTGAGACCGAGGGTTAGGAAGAGGATTAGTAAGAGGAAGGGGGGGCGGAGGGATCCTTGAGGGGGGCTGTGACTGGGATCACTCACTGCCATCGTTGAACGACTGACAACGGTATATTTGGCGAAACTGCTGCGTCCTAGATGGACTTACCAACCTCGCCTCGAGAAGCTGGGGTTGAGGTTCTTTCGTTTCTTTTTTATTTCAACAAGCATCAGCAATAGCGTGGAGCGATCTTATTTATTTTCAGCAAACGACCAGACAGACGGACAGAGGGGCGGAAAGCATAGGGCGTAGAGGAAGGAAAAGGGTGGCCTATGTGTTACCAGGTGCATTAGCGTGGGTGTGCGTGTGGCGTTGTCGGATATTTTTGGAGAAAGAGGGATTTGGCGATGTTATTTTGGATACCCAACCTACGACTTTGCTCATTTATTAGTTTTTACACCATTTATTCGATTTTTGGATGAGGGTGGATGGATCGGTTGGTCGGCTGTGTGGATGCGCATGGCGCCGGGCCAAGAGGTGGGGGTGGGGGGTGGGAAGAGAGAGATATATTATCCACCGATTTTGCGTGTGTATACGCGAGGATCGGAGGGAAGCGGGGGTATATAAATACATATACAGATGGAGAGGGGTCCATGCGGGCGGAGATGGGATAAAATTGGAAATCCATACACTCACTCCCAACCAACCTACCTAGCTTCAACCCCGATTCGGGGCGTGAAATCGTCGCGCCTGCTGTGATTTTGTGAGAGACTGTGTATGTGACGGGCAGAACATACGGTACAATTTAAAAAGTTGTTCCCGACAGGTAGGTATGCCCCCTTTTCCCTTACAAGAAAACTAGGCAATGACTTTGCGGCATTTACTAGCAACGGACGAGCATTCTATCTCATCTCAAAGCTATGTAAAGTATAGTGAAACATCGTGAAGAGTCATAAAGCATCACAAAGAAGCACAAAACATCTACCCCTAATCCGAACCATACGTATCCTCATACGCCTCCTCATACACCGCTCTCGCCTCCTCGACCTCCTCCCTATCACTACTACTAACCGAGCTCCCATCCGCCGTCTCCTTAGGCAGCTCTCCCTGCATCGGTGCAGCGTGATGCTCATCATCATCATCTACCACAAAGCAAAGCAACATATTAGCATTCTCCACCACCGAAAGCTAGAAAAAAACCAGGGGTGGACATACCAAGAGCATTCATGAGCAGCGCACCGCCGATTGCGCCAGCGGCCACGCCACCAGCTGCACCCATCATCATCATCTTCTTATCGTCCTTCTCTTTCTTCTTTTCCTGGTCCTTATACTCGCCCTGTCCAGCATACCCACTTTGATCATACCCGCCCTGTCCGCCATACCCAGGCTGTCCTCCATACCCTCCCTGCCCTCCATATCCAGCATCGTAACCACCATGGTTGTTATCTAATCCGCGAGTCCCATCATCGTGCCCCCCATACGAAGGGGAGGTAGGAACCGTCCACACGACTTTGCTATTCGAGACCTCTAGATACGCCCACCGCGAGCCGGCGGGGTCCCAGAGCGCCGACCAGCCTTGAGGGAGGGAGGGGGTGGGCGGGATGGGCGCGCTTTGGGAGTGGGGTGGTGCGGTGTATTTGCCTGGGGGAGGGCCGGGGGGAGGGGCGCCGTATTGGTGATCTTGAGGAGCACCGTATTGGCCTTGAGGAGCGCTGTATTGGCCTTGGGGAGCACCATATTGGCCTTGGGGACCTCCGTATTGGCCTTGGGGGGCTCCGTATTGGCCTTGGGGACCTCCGTATTGGGGTTGAGGTGGTGCGTATCCGGTGTTGTCTGCAGCTGAAAGGCGCACGAAGAGTTAGTGATAGGTATTTGGTGGAGAGTTGCATGTTGGATGTGGCGTTGTATTATAGGGGGTGCGTTGTGAAGGTTGTGAGGGGTATGAGGGGTATGAGGGGTATGAGGGGTAAAATAATCAACTTACCTCGCTGTTGATCAGCCTGAGGTTCATCCTTTGGCTTCTTGTCATCACCCATAAGGTTCTCGAAGTCCTTAGTTATTTTCTTGAAGAATGACATGGCTAGTCTATTGTTTCTGCTTTCTTGGGTTGTGGTTATGTGATGAAGATGTTGATGACGAAGGTTTCAAGGAGACGAAGGGGGGGTTTATGGCAACTGGCAACCAACGTCGTAACAGGGATACGCATCCTAACAACTGAACTATGCGCTTCTATGCATGGCATTTGCGGTATTTGCGGTGTTTTATTCTCGCATGGCATACGTAAAGCAAGCTTAAGCGTAACCAAGGTTTATTTTAAATACTACGCCTTAAACTGAAGCAGTTTCATGCAGCATTTAATGGAGCACGTCGTACGTGCAGATAAGGCTGTGCCGAGCCGTCTTCCATGCGCTGTTTTTCAACTGATTCTGCTTCCAGAACCGTTAAGAAGGAAAAACTGTTCGGGAGTATAAAGCGGATAAATCATACCACAAGATGATATTTATAAACCAATAACCAGTTACAAATTCTCCGTGAGAGTAAGGGTTGCACTTGCGGTGCGGGCCGCATCCGCGTATTACTTGAACGGGTAGGTGAGGTAGACGTCATGGTATAAGACGACACACGACTTCGTGTCATGCCAAGTCGTAGAGATAGCATAGCCCTTGGCAAAGCGGGGGCAGCCAACGTTGTGTCCCGTGAGGTTGGAGAGACGAATGGGGGCTCACTCACGTATGCACAAAAATTAGACATTCCTTTCCATTTCCTGGCGTTTGCGAGTGAGTGATGTTTTTAGGATTCCGTTCGCCCCGTCCATGAGACATAAACTACAATACAATACAGTACACCTCCCTATTCCGAACCCTATCACTCCCCACACTCTCAGAATAAAGCGGAATTCTTCCATACCTAACGAGGAAACCTCCCCGTCAATCCAAACGGTCCTACCATCCGATCATTCTCATCCTCTGGGACAGCCCCTTTAACGCCGTTAACGCTGCAAACCGCCTCGAGCCTTTGCACAATCTGAGCATCAACCTCATGCGCTTCCCACTAAAACTCACAATCGCAACCAGAGCCAACTTGCCACAAAGCCATGCTGCTTCCATCATCACTTTGCCCACTAACCATTGCCAGTACGCAGACGACCCCTTTAATTCTGTGATTCCCGCAGGTTGCTGCCCATGAAAACCTCCCATGACAAGATGTTGAAATACCAAGAATTTTGCATAATCAGATAACCGGTCAGCAATCTCACAGCTGTGTCTGCCTCAATGCTACCAACAAATCGTGTCATGGAGTATGCTGCACTTGGCCGCAGCTCAAGCATCAGCCATAGTATTCATGAAATCCACACGCATACCCCAACCAAACTCGCTGGAGATTCCCCAGAATGAGACTGGTTCAATAAACCCAAACATGGACGCTTCTGATTGTATCAATGACACGAACCGTTACTGGCCTTCAAGTGAAATAAACCTCCAGATTCCCCGTACAACGCACTCCCATCGACTCAACCAAGCCCGCTCAAATTGACAAGGCATACCTGTTGTCAGGGCCAAAAACAATATACACACAGAGCATCAAATAAATGAACGCAACGCTAAACCCAGCCGCCAGAGTAATCAGCCTTTCATCTGCTGGAGAAATATCCCCTGCACCCCCATACTGGCGAGGCCTCGCCGTAACATAGACGCGCTGCGTATCAGTGCTATCATGCGATCCTTGATCACCACGAACTCGCGTTGGGGTGATATGAGGCGGCCACTCAAATATCTGGCCCGAGTTCTCCCTCTCGCCGTGCAAGAAGTGTATATGGTGGGCTTCTTCGTAGCTGACGCGGTGGCGCCGTACGATGGCCCTGTTTCGTTTGCGACGAGGAGTGATGTATTCGATTTCTGACTCCATCTCGTCATCTGCTTCATGGGCGCCGTCCATGCTTGTATGGACCCTGAGAGCTCTTGCAGCATATTGAGAGGCAGGGAATCCATCAGAACCCTGGGAATCATTGTGACGTGATACTCTCATAACGAGAGAGCTTCGACGAGGCTGGATAGGCGGGACATTATGCTCCTTAACAAATCTTAATATTCTCTCCTTGCTCAGCTCTCGTTCCCTTGATCGGGGAACGAATGTGGTTCTCTTACGCATGTTCGCAGCGAAAGTTGCTTTGTACGGCGACTTGCGGAGGGTCCTGACTCCAGAAGGAGTGTAATGATCTGCATCGATACGCTTCTTGGGGACCCCGCTGGAAGCCTCGGATCCTGCATCCCCTGCCGATGTCAACGCGACTTTATCGTTCAGGAGACCACTAATGATGCCACGCTCTGGCTCTGGAGACGCTATCATTGTCGCCACTTCTGTAGGAAAGGGCACAGCACTCGTAACAGGTAGTGCACCAGACATTCTCATGGACATATTGTCGACATTATTGCTGCGTAAATTAGATGCCACGGGTAGAGAGTAATCTCGCATTGCACCGTTAGTATCACTACCATGGGAGACCTTTTCGAAACGGGATCTGATGTCACTTGCCTTAGTTCCACCATAACCCTCTGAGCTATCTGGATGGATATAACGTGAAGTATGTCGAATTGGGGCGCGTCTTGTATGAGCTTCCACTCTCCCAGTTATCTGCTGTTGCGGCACATCTTCTGCATAATGAACCTTATGGGCAGGATAGAGAGCTTCATCAAGACGCTTCTCAAGATTTTCAATCATCATAATAAGCCTCTCCGTATCCTCCGAGGCTCTCTTCCGAATAGAACCACTGTGACTTGCATGCTTATCATATGGTATAAATCCAGACATGGCGACTTCTCTATTGAGCCTTACATCGCTCTTTCGATTAGAAAATAGAGATGTAGACTGATCTGTGCCCTTTTTGTGAAACAATAATATCCCTTCGAACCAATTCTTTGGACCCCGTGTCGTTTTTTCAGATATGGCGGGCAATTGCTTATCAGTTGCGGTCGAGTCCGTTTCATATTCTTCTGAAGTTGCTTCTTTCAAAGCTAATAATTCCTCGGCAGAAACAGTGTTCTTTGAAGAATTCTTTGAACGGCCAGGTCTGAATCTGCGAGAAAATCTTTGCAGCTGCGATGATTTAGATGGCACCTTTCTCCGCCTAGCCCTCTGCTGGGAACCGTTTTTCGTGCGTTCCTTTGCACCAGCTCTCCGAGAAGAGCGACGAGCAAAAATAGAAGTATACTGCGAAGTTTGTTGTTTGATATTGGCTGGTTTCAAGGGAGGTTTGGATTCTGGAGGTTGTGCTAGTTGAGCCGTTGCTTTCTGGTCTGCATCTTCCATGTATTGCTTTGAAGGTATTGCTTCAAATGTACTGTTTGAATCCTCATGGCGGTATCCTAATCTTTCATATCTATGAGTATCATCCTCGCCACGAATAAAAGCTGCGCGAATATCAGACATCAAAGAATGTGACTCCGGTTGGCTATATATCGATGACGATGCGGATTTCACAGGTAGGCTCTTCCTATATGGCGGCCACCCTCGTTTTGACACATTTGGCTGTTCTAAAGAACCCGCTTTAGTAGCCACGGCCTCTGATAAGGAACTTGCCTGAGATTTGTCTGCGTGTTGTTTTCGACTCCGGCGCACTTCGGGCCCACGCCCCGTTGATTTGACGGCTGTAGAACTTTGAGGATCCGAAGATGCCACTGATGGCTCAAGTGGACGTGGGCTTCCACGCAAGTATTCGCCCGCCTTTCTCGCAGATTCTATAAAAGAGCTCGCAGTAATTTTTTGATAGCCCTTGTCCGCCGGTTTCTCTTCCCTGGGCGTTGTCGATATTGGCTCATCAGAAGCATCTTCATAAATAGATTCTAATGTCGACGGTTCGACAGGTGTTTCAGTATTATAGCTGTGCATAGAAGCGATTCCATCATAGCTTGTTGCAACGGGATGTAGCTGACAATCTTGTAGATGGTTGGTGTTTAGCATAGCACCTCCTGGATAGGGGGCGACAACATCGCGTTCAAAAACCAACTCGCGATCAGTGGTAGAATTTCGAACATGTGCCACAGCTGGCATGGTGATGTCCCGTGCAACCCGTGCTATGTGGTCAGGCTCTCGACTTAAGCTATGACCGCTCATGGTGATATGGGGCAACACTGCTGGGGCCGGTCGAGCTGAAAGATCCCCTCTATGCATCGGCGGCTTTCTCCGTAAGGTTTGGCGATTTCGACGGGCGGCGGCCTCTTGCGAGAAGTATGAACTGAACGGGGATGGTTCTGCTGGCTCCGACAGTATTGGCAGACTTGAAGTTCTCCCAGCCTCCACTTCCGCCATTGGTGCCGAGGATGGCTGGGTCACAGAAGAAGCCAGGCCCAGTCTTGCAAGTACATTCAAGTTGGTAGGGCTCACCGGTTCATCATGTGCCGATATCCGTTCAACTATAGATGGCGAGATGTATCCAAATCTGTGGCTACCGGTCTCACGACGTGTACGAGACCACGGTCTTTCATATTGTCTGCGGCTAGGGACAGAGTCGGCTCCAATCGTGGCGGTTTCACTCCCATCCAAGTTATTTGGACCCTCAGAGTTTGCATCATCGACTGTGTTTGATACCTCCGGCTGATATGAGAATTTCTCGTCACTTTGCTGGTCCAAATTGCGCGCCACAATTACCGATGAGGTTTCCCGTTCAACATCCTTGGAGGCATGGAAATCAGACTCCTCTCGTTGGTGGGAATGCCCGGCCAAGCTGGGATTCGAATCCGCCAGTTCTTCGCTTTTGCGCGAGAGGGAGTTTCCTAGGGACTTGTCTGTAATTTCCAAATTTGGAGGTTCGATCGTCCGATCATGCTGGCTTAGATCCCCAACTGGATGGCTATTTGCGGCGTCATTGGCAGCGGTATTATCGGCAGCAGCCTCAGTCGTTGTCGCATTGCCAATTTTAGCTGGCCTCCGAGGGCTTGATGAATAGAAGCTTTCAACGCCATCGGCTCCTCGATGTCGTCTGGTTGGCAGCCTCCGTGAGCCCTGACCTCTGAGAAGACGTGTTCCCAAGGCCTTGCCCTGATAACTCGGAGTATCTGACATCTAAACTTGAGAGGGCTCAGTGTCTCCAGTAATAGCGAAAGGTTGGATTGTACGGCAGAGTCCTGGATAATTTTCGAACGAACCTGACGTAAACTCTGCCCAAAAATACGATTGTGATTGCAACAATCAGGATACCCAGCATATCATTGGAGGAGGGCTGTTCTCTTGCCGGATGGCCGCTCAGGCACGAGGGATGAAGGCAATCTGATGGTCTGGCTGTCCGGATTGAAGAAGAGAGTGATCGGACAGTCTGTAAAAATGAATATAGGAATGATACATCTGCCGTAACGATGGGGTATAGGATAGATGCATCAACTAGGAAAAGAAATTATAGGAGTAGAAACGAATAGTATATATGCGAATAATGATGCTGTTGACGAGGGAAAGGATTGTGAGGATTTGGAGAGAATATGTGTGGACGACAGGAAATTCGGACTTATCTAATATGGATCAAATGAAATAACTTGACCAACATGGCAGGAGCGACCATCTCAAAATGAAATAGCACTGCGAGGAATGTAAGGAAGGAGCAAGGCAGTCCTGCGTTCTTTCCTTCCCAAGGTGTTTTCCGCCGGCATACATGACGAAATAGACCCATGTCCAACATAATTACCTACCATAATTGCCAACATCTGATGCACTCTGTCAACTATCAAAAACTATCAAAAGCCCAGATAAAATCCACACCGAATGAAGTTTGATGAAATGGTTATATAAGACTCCTGGAACAAAATGTTGAGAGGTCATTTACACTTGCAAGGCTACAGGAGGCGGAACGATAGACCCGTTCCGAGCCGAAACCCCAATTCTGCTGTCATCATCCCTGTCGCCGCGGGGTAACGCATCCCCAACATCAATCAAACCCCATTTCTCACCAACTTCCCAACTCTCAATGCGCCAATTAGTGAATCGTGTTATAAGAACATTACAATCATACCCATTAACCTCGACCTTTCAACCATCTCACAACAGAGCATATCAAAAAAGCCTATCCACCATGTCTACAGTCCTGAAGCAACCCGTCAAGCTTGCCCTCGTGCAGCTCGCAAGCGGTATGCATCCCCCGCTTCCCCCATCAGTGCCAAATACTAACACAACCTCCACAGGCTCCGACAAAGCCGTCAACCTCGCCAACGCGCGCACACAAGTCCTCGCCGCTGCCTCCAAGGGAGCCAAAATCATCGTCCTCCCCGAGTGCTTCAACTCGCCCTACGGCACGCAGCATTTCCCCAGTTACGCGGAGACGCTGCTCCCCTCCCCGCCCACAGCCGAGCAATCCCCATCCTTCCATGCTCTCTCCGCTATGGCTAAGGAGGCAAATGCCTACCTGATCGGTGGTTCGATCCCCGAAGCTGACGCGGAGAACACGTCCGCTACGGCTGGGGCACCGAACAAATACTATAACACCAGTCTTGTCTTCTCGCCCTCTGGCGCCCTGCTCGACACCCACCGCAAGGTGCATCTCTTCGACATCGATATCCCTGGTAAGATCACATTCAAGGAGTCCGAGGTTCTCACCGCGGGGTCTCAGACGACGATTATCGATTTCCCCGAGTACGGCCGCGTGGGGGTGGCTATCTGCTATGACGTGCGCTTCCCTGAGCTAGCCATGGTCGCAGCTCGGAAGGGAGCATTCGCGCTCATCTACCCCGGTGCGTTCAACCTGACCACCGGTGCGCTGCACTGGGAGTTACTCGGACGTGCTCGCGCGGTGGACAACCAGGTGTTTGTCGGGTTGTGTAGTCCGGCGAGGGATATGACCGCGGGGTATCATGCGTGGGGACATAGTATGATTATTGATCCGTGGGCGAAGGTGTTGGGTGAGGCCGGGGAGGGACAGGAGATTGTGATTGCTGAGTTGAACCCGGAGCCGATGGAGGAGGTGAGGCGGAATATACCTGTGTCGACGCAGAGGAGGTGGGATGTGTATCCTGATGTTAGCAAGGGGAGTGCTTGAGTGTGAGTGAGTGTAGTGTACTACCCGGGTAGATGGGATTGTTTAGGTAGCAATTTAATGTACCCTTAGCTGCATCGAGTGTGCAATCGGGCATACTTGAGAACCTTGAAACATGAGTCTGCTGTCCTAACTCGGGGGGAGAGAACCCTGATAATAGGTTATATCACAGGCTCAATCTCAATATGCATCTTCTATCCCATCTCAGTCTCCTGAAACTCTCATGTCAGCAGCAGCAATCATCAAAGCGAAGACAAGACCTAGCCCCCTCCTGGAACGGAAACCCCACCACCTCAGAAAAGAAACAACCAGTCAAACTGACACCCGCGGCTAAACCCCCTCTGCCGCCACGCCCGCAACCGGAAATGACGACCGAACAGGCTATTCAGCACATCCAGCACAGCACAGCCGCCATCCCTCGCCGTGAGCTCCCTCAAGTCCCCACCGGATACAATGCCATACTCACAAGCCATCAAAGACAACGTCCATGCTCGGGACAATAACAAGCACAGCACTCTACATCCAACACCCCCCTCCAGCCGGCCCTACCTCGCAAGCCGTCAAATATGAACACCACGACCCCCTCGTATACCTCCTCCCCCCTGTCCCCTGCGCAGATGTCCACATACGCACAGTACAGTACACACATACCTAGTCCACCACTATAACCAGCGCTATACAGACCACCCCAGGGTTCCCCCCCTGACACCCTACAAGCGGCCGCACGGCCACGCCCCGATCTCCCTCGGCGTCTTTCGGGCTGGCGGCCGATGCACTCGCTCAGTTCGTTTCATTATGGGACGAAGACGCGCCATCGAAATCTCCATATCGGCGCGCGTTTGATCATCGCGCCGACCTAGCCTCATCGTGCACCCATCTATCTCATCACGCTATACGAAGTAGAACTAACTAACTGCAACACCAGCAACAGCGCAGATCCCAAGACTACCCTAACCCCAAACCCCCCCTCTCCCCCGCGGCCGCAGTCCATGCGGGCCTTCCCTTCCCTTCGTACTGCAGGTGGGCTTGTTTGGCTTGTTTGATCGCGCCTTGAAAGGCCGGCGGCGGGCGGGCGTGCACGGGTATCGTGCGTCGGTTGTGTTGAGGTTCTAATCTCGGGTATGAGAAAGTTGGATGAGGGCGAGGAGGGGCAAGACGAGAGGAGGAGGGCAGGGCAGGGTAGGGGGTGAGGAGGGGAGGGGGAGGCATGTGAGAGAGAGAGGGCTGTCTGTGCGTGCGCTGGGGGGGTTGCTGATTCTGAGATTGATGCTATCTAGGAGGGTATATCTCGTATCAAGAAGACGTGGGTATCTCATATCCGGGTACACTCTCATCCCATCTATCGATATTTTATCCAGCCGCGCAATCCGCAATCCGCAATCCGTAACCTCAAATCCACCAGCCAGACAGCCGTCTATATGTTCGTCTAGCCACGCACACCCCCTCGCATCTCCCTCCATCCCTCCCCTACCTCGTCCCATCTCCCTCCTAGATCAAGCACATCGTCATCATCAACCGTCCTCAAACCAACCCCCCAACCTCTCCCCAACCTCCCCACAACACTCAACTCTAGCACGACCACCAAACCCACCAGCGTAGCGCGCGCCTCTCTCCCCCCCATCCCATCCCATCCCACCACCACGCCAAGACCCCGCCGCTAGGCGTGCAGACTCTCGCAAGGTCCACCCCAAATAAACAACATCATCCGGGCCGAGCATCGACCGTGCTACTGTAATCTACTGTATAGTCCTAAGTAGAGGGCGGGACGTGCGTTACGGCCGGGTCGGTCGGTCTGTGCACCTATGTCTACTTCGGTCCGTGCTCGAGGGTGGGTGGCCCCCTCGCGGCGCGGCGCGGTGCGGGATCGGAGAGGTGAGGCGAGGAGGCGAGGTGTGGTGTGGGATCGGGAGGGAGGGAGGGAGGGAGGGAGGGAGGGAGGGAGGGAGGAAGAGGCGATGGTGGATAGGGCGAGATGTTGACGGGGCGGAAGGGAGAGGAGTGAGTGAGGTTGGTTTTGCTCTTAGAGGAAGGGATAGGGGACTGAGTAAATACGCGCGCGCGCAGATTATATATACAGATTTCACGAGATGCAAAAGGATGAGCAAGTGAGTGGGTAATGCCGTCGTGATCTTCGTTATCAATAAATCCAATCCAATCCAAGTCTACACACAACACACAACACACCTCTTTCCCCTCCCTTCTCCCCCCCTTCCCATTTCCCTCTCCTATCCCCCTCTTTTCCCTCATCTTCAAACCATCCCCTTCCCCTCCTCACACGACAGCTCATGCATTTCCATCCCATCAACAACCCAAATCCAATAAATCCCCTCGTCTCAAACGCACGCAACTATAGAGGCGCGAACTGCGACGGTCCATCCATCCATCCCTCCGCATCCCCCCCGCCAATCCTCCAAAAGTTACTTTTCCCTCCCACCACAAAAATACCCATTCCCAAAAGAAAGAACCATTCATGGGGTATGTCTGTCTGTCTGTCCACTCAAAACAAAAAACACAGGAAGCCCGCCCGCCCCATTCGCAAAATAAAAAAGATCCAAAAGCTCAAGAAAAAAAAAATAACAAGAAGCCAGCCAAAGAAGAGATTTTAAACAACAAGAAAGAGTAGTAGTGAATGAGAAGATGCCCCTCTAATCCAAGACACAAGGAAATAAATATAAAAAATGATAGAAGATTCGAAGTCGAGGTCGGCATCGGTTGGTACCCGGTGGCGGGGATAAGATATAAGGAGTGCGCCGCTGCCGCCGAATCGGAGATAGAGGTATTTGCGTGTGCGTGTGCGCGTAAGCGTGCGTGATGGGAGGAAATATGAGAACCATGAGAACCCCAGCGATCGAGAATAAAAATAAACCAGCTTCGGTGCCGCGCCAGTGTCCGTCGGAAGGTGTCGGTAGTGTACAGAAAAAAAAATCGAATTTCGCACGTGCTATGGGAGGATGTGATAAAAAACAAGATTCAGACGTGCGTTTTGCGGTGTGTTCGCGGTTCAGTATCGATGTCGATGTCGGTGTCGGTATCAGGACGGTGATTGTTTCGTTTAAAGGGTCGTTTCAAAGGTCGTTCGTTCAGGGCGGATCCGCCTCTCATCTAGCTCTTGTGACAGGTCAGCGAAGGACACTACACAGCACAACACCGCAACGAGACGGCCTGCGCGCGCGTGCGACAGTCCCTACGCAAAATAGCCGGGGCGCTGCCATTGCCGTCTCGCTCAGGCGCGGGAGTGGGGCGGCTCACAGCACGAGCTGGTTGAGGTTGCGCTGGATGATCATGTCCTGGACGGAATCCATGGTGATCTTGAGCAGGTTCGTGTCGGTAGCGTTGGTGAAGTGGCCGTAGACCTCCTTTTGCGGGTTGCGGTTGAGCGCCTTGAACTTGTCGAGGAAGTACTTCGAGGTGGCCTTCGAGTCGCTGGCGTCGCCGACGAAGTCGGGGAAGCCGTGCTTGGTGATCGGGTTGTCCTTGATCTTGGACTTGAAGAGATCCATCTTGTTGAGGAAGAGGATCAGTGCCGAGCGCGTGAACCATTGCGAGTTGGCGATCGATTCCCAGAGCATGAGGGCTTCTTGCATTTGGTTCTAAGAAAAGAGGTTAGCGGGGCCTGCTTCGGTGCGTGTGTTGGGGCCAAAAAAGGCGGAGACATACGCCATCCTTGTCTTCAACAAGACACTGATCGTAACCGCTAATGGCGACGAGGAAGAGCAGACAGTTAACATTCTCAAAGCAATGGATCCACTTCTTGCGCTCAGAGCGCTGTCCTCCAACGTCGAACATGCGGTATGTCAGGTTCCCGAGATCAAAGACCGTCTCAGTGATACCCGTTGTGCGCAGGCGCGAGCGCAGCACATCCTGGTCTGTGGGCACGTAGTCGCGCGCGAATAGGCGGTCGACGTCCTCGAAGAAGCTGCGGGAGGGGGATATATGTTAGCATTGACTCTTGCGGAGTGTTAATGTAAGGGGGTTATAAGGTGTACGCACTAGTTCAAGTTATCGTGTAAAGCGTATTCGTTCCCCTTCTCAATCGCCTTCTGCACCCCTGCATCGGACCACAACCCCTTAAACGGCGTCTTGTATTCCGTCGGTAACGGGTCCTTCGGTCCCAAATCATGATCGACGAGGATGAGTGTGATATATTTCTGCAGCAATCACACACGTTAGCCCATACACACGCACGCACCAACGCCCCAACCGAAACCCGTAACCACGGCGCCGGGAGGTGGGAAATGACGGAGAAGGACAGAAGGACGTACGCTATTGAATTGGTCTTCGAACGGGATCTCGAGTTCCTCCATGGCGTCGATTATGACGCGGAAGGCCGTGAGGATGTTGTTGAATATGATGGCGCGCCATTCCTCCTTTTCGCTCTTAGAGAAGCCTTGGGAGTAGATAAGGCGCATCTGTTTTAGCACAGTGGACTTGCCGCTCTCTCCGGCACCTGGGGATCGCACGCCATTGTTAGCCGCGGCAACTATGAGAGGATAAAGGAGGGAGGGAGTCGGTTTGTGTGAATTGGAGATTGGGGGCTGGGAATTGCCAATTGGCAACTAGGAACGGGGAGAATTGCTCACCTAGTAGCAGCAGCTTGACCTCCCTCGCGGCCTTCTTCTGATCAGCCTTGATAGTCTTCTCGATCTCGCGGTTCTTTGCCAGACCCTCCTGGTCCACGGCGCCGCCACCTCCGCCGCCGAAGCACATCTTGCTTGAGGGGGGTTGTCTGGGAGTTTGTGAGAAGGGTTGTTTCCTTGTTTCCTTGTTTCCGGTTGGTGGTCGTGGTGGTTTCGCGGTTCGTGTCAGCGCGGGCGGGGAGCTAATTGGGAAGTGGTTGGTGATGTGTGGGACAGGACATAGGAGGAGGGATGACGAGGGCGGGTGTTTCGGTGGTGGTGGTGATGGTGGAGGAGGAGAGGAGAGTCGGACGAGACGGGACAAGACAGGACAGGAAGGGCAAAGTAGGCCTCGACACGGACCAGGTCGTCGCGGCAGGTGGTGGTAGTTTGGTCGAGGCAGGTGTAGGGTAGGGGGATGGGATAGGATAGTAGGTAGTTGTGGGTTGTGGTACTTTGTTACTGCTGCTGCTTCCGTTCGGAAATAGAGGAGGTAGTAGATTAGGTAGGTAGGTAGTGGGACAGAGAGGAAGTAGAGAAAGTGGAGGAGGAAGGTAGTAGAGTAGAGGTAGGGTTAGTAGTTAATTAGATTGTTTAGAACAGTGTCAAAGACCATTGATCGGCACTGGGTGGGATAGTTCGAGGATAGTTGAGGATAGTCGTGGATAGTCGTGGATAAGTGGAGTGGATAGTTGGAGTAGTGAAATGGAAGTGTGTCGGTAGTAGTGTGTAGTCGGTAGTACAGTAAGTTTTTAGTAGTGGAGTTGTACGTTAGTAGTGGAGGTAGTGGCAGTGGGAGTAGTAGAGGTAAAGATTATTATTGGTAGTCGGTAGAGGTAGTGGTAGTAGTGGTAGAGGTGGTAGAGGTAGTTTGCAGTGGTAAGTGGTAGTAGTAGTAGGTACAGTAGTAGTGCAGTTAGTAGTAGTAGTCGTACAGACTCAGTACAAAAACAACAAAACCGTAGTAACTCTACACTACTCTATACACTCAACTCCGATGATCAACTCAACAGCGATGATGCGGAGTGTGAAATGCCCGCATACATGGTAGATTAAAGTGAGTAAGCAAGCATAGCAAGTACATCCACTCCCATACACTCTTCGCTATACAGTCAAGTACTCCCCAATGCGCCACCACCCCTTGAAGAAAAAAACGCAGCAAAAAAGTGCCAATTCCGTCTAATGAAGAAAGTGACAAAGCATACAAAGCATACAAAGCATTACAAAAGCTACCTCCGTCATCCCGGCCCCATGTCTACCTACCCTCCTCCTCGTCCGCTTCCAGTCTAGCCCACCCGTCCAAAGCCCCTCTAACCTTCTAACCACCACTGCCACAAGCTACAGGTACAAAGGGGGTACATCCCGTTACTGCCATTACCATTACCTTCTCCCACCACACAGCTATTCTTACACAACTACTACTAAAACTACCCACACCTTTCCACCAAACCAACCACACCTCCTACCAAACTACCAACACCCCACACACATCCACACACCTTCACACCACACCCACCACACACAGCACAACCACCTCAACCTTCCCCCCAAGTACCATCCCCGTACCCCCCCCCCCATGGCACCACAACCTCATGGCACGCCTGCCGGGGACGGCGGGTGAGCAAGCTACTCACGCTACCCACACCCCACTAGTCCGTTCGCAGGTCTAGCTCCCCGGCCACCACGCTGCGAGGACACACGGACCCCCTCCCTCTTGGCCCCTCATCTTTCATCTCCCATCTTCTCTCTCGCTCGCCGCCTTCATCCATCATCCCCCTTGCAGCCAATCATGAACCTCCCTTTTCCCTTTGCCGTACATGCGCAGAATGGGTGAATGACGCCCCACCGTTGTTGAGAAGGGGGGCTTTTCTTGGCGTGCTTGGCGGTGCTTGCTTGCTTGCTTGCTTGCTTGCTTGCTTGCTTGCTTGCTTGCTTGATGGCCGCCTTTGATGGGTACTTCTGATCTCGAAGGATACAGGTGGGGAGGAGATGTACTCGACATAATCTATATACCCTACACCCTACATACCGGACATACAGACATATAGACATGGGAGATGGGAGATGCCACAATCGAAAACAGACACCGCACGTCCCCTCCCTTAGTCTATATACCCTACACCCTACATACCGGACATACAGACATATAGACATGGGAGATGGGAGATGCCACAATCGAAAACAGACACCGCACGTCCCCTCCCTTAGTGACAGTCGGCGTGTTACAGACCTTCCTCTACCTCCTCACCAGCGCATGCTTGGCACTCCCGCTTGGCCGCGAGCGTACAAAGGGTTCGCGCCGGCGGCATTGGCGTTATCCGAAAGCGTGGTGTTGGTGTTCGTGCGTGCGCACATACACCAAAGCCGGCGAATCCACTTCTGCACTTCACCGAAGAACACCGACCGACGCTTGCACCAACTCTCTTGCAAAAGTACAGTTTGCAGCGCAAAGAGAGAGGTACAGTATAATCCACTAAGCCCATGCCCGATATCAGACTGCCATCCATCCCCACCCGCGTGCGCCCTGCACGCTTTTGAGCAGAAAGTAAAATTAAGGACCGTCGCTACACTTCCCCCCCTGGCCCCTCACCCTCGCCACGGCGCACCGCGAATAGATTGCCCACTCTGGTGCTGAAGCTCATTACGGAGTGGCTCCCGTAGAGGAGTAGGGGACTGAATGCACTGTAGATGCAGAGAAGAGTACTTTACATGCTCTAGCACTCTACTCTACTTTCCACACATGCACTACAGCTGTAGAGTACTTTACAGACAGACTCTAGCACCCTCACATACCCTAGACCATCATCCTGCATACCACAAGGGTCCTCCTCTCCGCATGCAGCAACACTTACCTGCTACCCGTACACCGCAGTGCTAGACTACTGTACCTGTACGACCTGGTTTCGAGAGCTCGATCGATCGTGCGACAGTGCTGTGGTGTATGCACTCGTGTATGTACGCCCCCCTCTACACTCACCCACCATCACCACCACCACCTCGGCCGGCATCATCCGTGTATGTACGACGCCGGGCTGCTCGCGCGATTGCATGCTGGTGGTGTCGCCCGCGTGGAAGCAGCGTGGACAAACGGCCCTCGGCACGTACAGTACAGTACAGTACGCATGCGGTGCGGTGCGAGGCGTGGAGTGGGGATCATGGTAACTTCTTGTAGAAGTACAGTGTCCATCTACCGCGGTATCTTACTCGTGAAAATCATTACCTTGTGTGAACGGCGGATGGATGAGCTTCCATTCTCAACCATGCATGTGGTGGTGCTGGTAAACTAGAAGAGAGGCGAGAAATTCCGGCAGCGGCGGGATCGGCTCGGTTGTTTCAGGAGGGGAGGTTGTTTGTGCCGCCCGCCGCGGGGGGAGATGGGAGGTGGAGGTATGGTATGGTATGGTACGGATGGGAGGTGGTGGAGGGATTGATAGGAGGTGGAGGTCAGTACAATACGGAAGGGATGGAAAGGATGGGGAGATAGGGGGTAGCAGATGGGGTTGATTCCTGGATAGGGGTGCTTGCTGCAGGAGTGCATACCCTGCCACGCAGCTACTGCACTGCAAAGGGGGACTGAGTCGGGGGTGCCACGAGGGAGGATAGATAACGGCGTGAACTGTCAGTCAGTGTCAGCACTTACTCACATGCTGTAGCTGTAACGCGGGAGGCGCGGCGAGTTTATCTGGGGAAGAAGGAGATGGACCGATTCGGTGATAAGAAACACCGCGATCGTGGCCCGATTGAAGCTTCACTCCTTGTTATGCTCATCCCCAACGGTCCTATTCTCTCCTCTCTTTCCCCCTTTTCTCCCTCGCATCCTAGACAATGCACACGCACGGAAAAAAAACAAGCCGAAAACAGCGCCATGGCACAGCACGGCACTACTCCCCTACTCTAAATCCCTATCCCACAATCCCAGGAACCAGAACAAGCAACAACCCATACCATACCATGAAACAAATGCAACCGCGTTCTATTAAAAACCCCCCATGCCCTGTCGCTGCAAAGACAAGGTATACAGCCGGCGAAAAGTCTGCTAGCGGATGCCTGATGTGGGTGTTATATCCGTCTTGCTGTGCTCCTCCTTTTTTTCTTAGGGGTTCGGGTGGGTGGGATTTAGGGGACGGGATGGTGCTGGGATGTTTTTTTTTGTTTGGTGGCGCGGCAGAGAAGGGAGGGGATATGACAGGAGAGGATGAAACACGCCGAGGTTGAGGTTGGCGTTGGGAGTTGGGGGTGGTAGGTGCGTGGGTGCGTGGGTGCGTACGAAAGTGAGATGGGACGGAAGAACTGTGTGGCCTTTTCCCGGTTGCATTGCACGTGAGAGAGACTGGGAGGGAGTTAAGGGGTGTAAGAGTGTAGTAGCCGAGGAAAGAGAGCGAAGGAAGGAAAAGGAAGGAGAGATAGGGAGGGATCTAGTGAGAGTGAGAGTGAGGGTGTGTGAGAGAGAGAGAGCGCGAGAGAGAAAGAGCATGTTTGCGCACCACACCACGAGTACAACTCCATCCTCACCTCCTCTCCCACTCCTCCCTCCCACTCCACCGCCATCATGTCTCACCCACTCCGTCCCTCCATCCCCATCATCCCATCACGGGACACAAGACGCGCAACACACAGCCGGGTTAAACATCGCACAAAAAACTGTGCGATCCACGATCGAACATCGCACAAACCACCAATGATCCACGATTCGAACAATCACACAAAACCACCACTCACCATCCACGCCCATCACCGCGTAACTCCTCCTACGACTTCCTCCCGTCTCTCCCCCCCACTCCGCAGGCAGCCCAATGTCGAGTTGAGGGAGTTAGTTTTGTGTCTCAGTGAGGGTTGTCGTCGTCGTCGTCATGAACTGCGCCATTCGAGCCGTTCGTCTGTCCATCACCACTCACCACTCACCATACTATGTTAAAAATACACACCACACACACCACGGCACCTGATCGATCCCCTACAAAACTTGTAAAATCGGCACCCACAAGCCCATCCCAAGCCATTCCACACCGCACTGCCGAGTGAGCCGTCCATTGCCGTCCGTTCGTCGTTGCCTGTGATTAATTTTAGACACTACCCGTTTCCCCCATTGGACTCCAATCCAGCTCCCTCGTTCCTCGTATCCTCTCTCCCTCCCTCCCTCACCACACAAAAGCCCACAGTTAGCGTAATGTAAATGCGCGGTCCGAGTTGACGTCTGCCTGCCCACTGCCGACCACACTCACATTGCCCAACCAAGATCGATCATCCAGCCGTTATGACCACCACGGCAGCCCAGCCCAGCCCAGCCACGCCTGTGGAGCTTCCCAACGTAGGTGCGTGCGGTGGGACAAAAAAACAAGCTGCCCACACAAGCACAAGCACAAGCAATAAACAAGCGGAATCAAGGACGCGACGACTGAGCCACAGCTTGGCGCGGTGTGTGGATACGTCATCATCCACTATTCGAGGCGATAATGGCGCTAGGGAAAGGGCGAGAGGCCACTACCGAGGCGAGGACCCTGGCGGTTGGAGGGTCGATTTCAGGGGTGTGTGTCTTGGAATTGTGAAATTTGCCCATGGCGGATTCCCATTGTTAGAGGAAAGTAAGGTAAAGTTGGATGAGTTGGAAGGCTAGTTAGGGTCGTGAGATGAGGGTGAAATTAGACGCCACAGACGGTGAGATGCTAATATTTGAGATCTGACGGCATCATTGTGCTGTGAAATGGTGAGAGCTTTGTCTGTCGGTTTGTTTGTTTATTCGTCTGTTTGTATGTACTCGGCCAGCCCAGTCTCGTCCCATCCACCTGTAGTGCGAGCTGAACTGAACCCGATCAGCCACCCACCCAACCACCACCTAACCCACCATTCAATCCACCAATCCACCCCCTACCGACCAGGGGATGCGTGGCTGTGGCTGAGGCCCCGGCACAGTATGATGACGTGTGAGACAGGTTCACGAGCTTGATCCTTGATATGCCGATAGCTTGACGTCGATCCCAGGCCTCTCCAGCTTGGCCGTGCCAACTTCTGACAGCTGGCGGACGGCGCACCCGCTCGATGCGGTAGGGAGTAGCGGCGTTATTGGTTTTTGGTTTGTTGTTTTTTCTGCTGACTGGCTGGTCTTGCGCTTGTGGGATGGGGATGGGAGGGAGGGAGGGAAGGGAGGCGAGAAGAATAAAGGGTCCAGGTCCCCCTTGGTTTTAGTTGTGCTTCTTCTTATTGTTTTTTGTTTGGTATATCAATCAAACAAACTTCGCCATCCATTGTACGCATCATAAATATACGAGGATAGCAAACGTCTATCCAATCGATCTGAGTGCAAGGGAAATTTGATAAATAAAAAAAGAAGAAGAAAAGAGACAAGATCGCAAACATGGTCCTCGGATTCTTCCACCATCTGGGCTCGTTCCTGCTCCTCGCAGCCTGCGTCCTCCTCATCATCACCACCATCACCGCCCCCGTCATCAAGAACCTCGCCATCCTGCGCGTCGACCTCCAGAATGGTGACACCGTCAACTTTGGTACCTTCGGGTACTGCATCCTAAGGTACGTTTCTCATCCCTTTTCTCAAAATCTCTTCACACCTTCTATCACCTCTGCAATCTCCCCCCGATCCACACCTCCCACCCACCACCAAAAGCACGTGCAAACAACTAACCTCCCTCCTAGTGACGCCGGAAACACCTGCACAAACGCCCGCATCGGCTACTCCCCCGTCCCCCTCCTCGACACCCTCGGCGCGGGCGACTACGGCTCGGCATCCAAGAACACCGCCGACGCCCTCACCCGCGTCATGGTCTTGCACCCCGTCGCATGCGGTCTTGCCTTCCTCGCCTTCCTCGCCTCGCTGGGTGCTTCCATCTTCGGCTCCCTATGCGCCGCGCTCATCTCCTCCGTGGCGTGGTTGATTACTCTCGTCGTGCTGATTACGGATTTTGTCGCCTGGGGAATCGTCAAGAAGAAGGTCAATGATGATGGGAATAGCCATGCTAGCTTTGAGGTGGGGATCTGGACGCTGCTTGCCGCGTTTGTGGTGCTCTTCCTTGGAACGGTGTTGGTGCTGCTTACGTGCTGCTCGGGACGCAGGGAGAAGAAGCGCGGGGGAGTAAGGAAGGCCGAGCCGGGTTTTGTTGATGGACCAGGCAGGCCCGCCAGGAGACGTTGGTACCAGAGGAGATAAACAACTCGTGGGGTTGTGAGATCTGGAAGGGGGAGGGAAAGGAAAGGGGTTTAATGTGGACGTGGGATGATGTGTATGATGGATGAAGGGGCGCGAGTCTCATGTGCCGATACGGTGCTGGGAAGTGTATATGGGCGCGATGATGGGGATGCAGAGATGATTAAAAGACATAATTCCATAGCTTAATGATACCAATCCTCGATTTCCAATGATCAAAGTTTCGAGACGGCAGCTGGGCTGTCGAGAGAAACTACTGCGTCGCTACTATGCGTAGCGACGCAGTAGTTTCTCTCGACAGCCCAGCTGCCGTTTTCTTAGTCGTTGAAGAGGAACCTACCACTGCCCTGCCCTGCCACCGACCGCCAGTCCTGCAAGTAGAAGAAGAGGATAGATGATCCCAAGCTATGTTATACATGCCTTGGAAGAAATTATATTACCACCCGTTCCTCGGCTTTTCATCGGCTCTGTAAACAACGTCCACAAACCTTCCGATTGGTGTAGGATTTGCCCGTTGGAGGGAGGTAAGCTACTATCGTCTTTCCGCTGTCTTGGCATCCGAGAGGGGGGTCAATCAAGCACAAGCTTCCCCGGATTCCGTCCCCCGACCCGGCTTGGGGTTTTTTTTTAACTCTTAAAGATGTGCACAATGCCATTGGAGAACTGCCGAGTGTCTTGGCGATTCCCCCATGGGGGATGATTGACAGGATAGCTCCCTGTATTCGAGGGTGAGTGTCGACTCTGGTAATATACCCCATCGAGGACCTTCCCCGCAAACTCGGGGGAGGTCGGTGAATATTGGCAGCCTCCCCGCGTTCTTGGCGGCAGTCTTGGCGGCAGGTTGACGATACGCCCAGGCCGTCCCTGGCATGGCATGGTGCGGCTTTTGATGGCTATTGACAGCCCCCCCCGTATTCTTGGCGTCTGCGAGGAGGATCGGAATTTGGTGTCCCATTGACGGCTCCCCCGCCCTTTTGGAGACAGACTGTGAGAGTTAACGACCCTGCCCCCCCGCAAAGAGGGGAATCTGGGTGTCTATTGACAGGCGGCTGCTGCTCTCTCTCCGCAATATTGGCGTCTGTTGTGAGGGTGAGAGCCGACCTTGCTAATAAATCCAACTTCCAATTCTGTGCCTCTTTCCCCGCAAAGTTGGGGGGCGGGGGGAGGGGGGGGGGGACTTTCGGCGGCTATTGACAGCTCTTCCCCGTAATCTTGGCGTCTTGTGACAATTGAGTTTACGGTATGGCCCAGGGCCCGAACCTGCTAGGATCGGCTTTTGGTACTAACTCCCCCGCAGTTTTGGCGTCTGGGAGGGTTGTTGACGACATGGCGAGGATCTTTCACCGCAAGGAGCGGAATGTGGGTGTTTACTGACAGCTTTCCCCGCGTTTTTGGAGCTGGTGAGGGTGAGAGCTGACCTCTGTCGTGGGACGCTTCCCCGCGAAGTGGTATCCTTGCAAAGGCCCTCCCCTGCCCTCCCCCGCAAAGGGAGCGTCATTTGATAGGTTTAGATTTGGAGAGGCTAGGACGTTGGGGGGATGGTTTGTTTGTTTCTGGGTAGGAGGCGCAAGAATACTAGGTATCGATGGGTGTGGGAGTCAATTGCCGATGCTGGAGATAGATGGTTTGTTTGTTTCTGCCTAAGAGGTGCAAGAATACTAGTTATCGATGGCTGTGGAAGTCAATTGCCGATGTTGGATTGGGTGAGTATATGTATTCCATAGTTTCTCATTTCTAAGATGATTATTGAACAGCCTCACACAAGCATCTCGTCGGAAAGAACAATATAGGCATCATGAAACTCCTCGCTAGGCTCTCGCTCCTGGCTATCATCCCGTCTTCGTTAGCGGTTCCAACAAATGACAATCAGATCGCCAGCAGAGATGTCGTTCTTAACGCCCTCCCCATGCTCAAGCCACAGCGTTCGCTGTCCAGAGATCTTGTCAACCTAGATGGACTGTGGAAATTCTCCGTTGCAACCAGCCCCAACAGCACCGCCCAGCCTTGGACTGGACCATTGGTCACCGACCTCGAATGCCCGGTCCCAGCTTCCTACAACGACATCTTTGTCGACCGCGCGATCCACGACCATGTCGGATGGGTCTACTACCAGCGGGATGTGATTGTCCCCAAGGGCTGGTCAGGAGAGCAGTACTTTGTGCGCGCCGAATCCGCTACCCACGAAGGCCAGATCTATGTCAATGACCGTCTCGTCGCTCATCATGTGGGCGGTTACACTCCATTCGAGGCTGATGTGACCGATCTTGTGACTGCGGGCCAGCAGTTCCGTCTCACCATCGCGGTCAACAACATTCTCACGTTTGAGACTCTTCCGCCTGGAAAGGTGCTGACAAGCGCGTTGACGGGAAAGAGAACGCAGAAGTACTATCATGACTTTTACAACTATGCGGGCTTGGCTCGCTCGGTCTGGCTGTACTCTGTGCCTAAGCAGCATATCCAGGACATCACTGTTGTCACGGATTATAAGGGAAACACCGGCATGATCAACTACAACATCACCGTTGCTAAGGGGACAACTGGAAAGGTCCAAATCGCTGTCATCGACGAGAGCGGGAAGACCGTTGCCGAAGGCTCAGGGGCTACCGGAACCATCAATATCCCCTCGGTGAAGCTCTGGCAACCCGGAGCAGCATACCTCTACAACTTCCGCGCCAGCATCGTTGACTCTTCCAAGAAGACCCTGGACACCTACAACCTCGCGACCGGCATCCGCACCATCGTGGTGAAGAACACCCAATTCCTCATCAACGGCAAGCCCTTCTACTTCACTGGCTTCGGCAAGCACGAGGACACCAACGTCCGCGGCAAAGGCCACGATCAAGCCTACATGGTCCACGACTTCCAGCTTCTGAACTGGATCGGCGCTAACTCCTTCCGCACCTCCCACTACCCCTACACCGAGGAGATGATGGAGTACGCTGACCGCCGCGGCATCGTGGTCATTGACGAAACCCCCGCCGTGGGACTTAACTTCGGTTTGGGCACCCCGGGCAGCGTGACCTTTGGCCCGGACCTCATTAACAACAAGACCCAAGCCGCGCACGCGCAGGCCATCCGCGAGCTCATCCACAGAGACAAGAACCACGCCAGCGTCGTCATGTGGTCCATCGCCAACGAGCCCGCGTCCGACGACAAGGGCGCGAGGGCCTACTTCGAGCCCCTGGCTGCGCTCGCTCGCTCGCTCGACTCAAGCAGACCTATCACTTTTGCTAACGTGGGCTTCGCGACCTACCTCACGGACAAGATCTCCGACCTCTTCGACGTCCTCTGCCTCAACCGGTACTACGGGTGGTACACCGAGACCGGCGACCTTGCCGAGGCCGAGGTCGTGCTCACTACCGAGTTGCAGGGATGGGTCAAGAAGTTCGACAAGCCGATCGTGATGACCGAGTACGGCGCCGACACTGTGTCGGGGCTGCACACCGTCCTCGGGTTGCCGTGGAGCGAGGAGTACCAGGTGGCGATGCTCGGGATGTATCATAAGGTGTTTGACTCGATTAAGGCGATGGCTGGGGAGCATGTGTGGAACTTCGCGGACTTTCAGACGACTATTGGGACGGGACGCGTGGATGGGAATAAGAAGGGTGTGTTTACGAGGGATAGGAGGCCAAAGGCGGCGGCGCATGCGTTGAAGGAGAGGTGGACGAACTTGAAGAAGAAGTAGGTCTGCCTTGGACTGAGGGCGCAATAGTAGCAATCATTCCTTCTATATCTCGAACGTGAAAGCTCTGAGGAAGCTGCGACTGCTGCATGCTTGATAATTGTTCTTTCCCTATTTAGAAGTTAAAACTTATGAGGAAGCTACGACTGGCTTTTGGTTGGTAATCGTTCTTTCCCTATCTAGAAGTTGAAACATATGAGGAAGCTACGACTGAGGCTTTGCTTGGTAATTGTTCTTTCCCTAATTAGAGGTTAAAACTTATTGAGGAAGCAACGACAGAGGCTTTGCTTGGTAACCGTTCTTTCCACATTTAGGGGTCAGAGGCATGGCGGCGGCTTAGTTTGTTGAAATCTGGGACGCCACTTAAATATATTGTACCTCATGTTTATACAATAGCCACATTAGCTTAAGATGCCCTCTAGATAACATACGGCTCACAGGATTCTGGTCGATTATAATATATTTCGCAACAACTCATACACATACATACGCATGTCAATAATAGCCATACTCAAATCTCAATCTCACATTACATCTTCCATACACCTACTATTTAGCCTCCTAAACAAAGTAAATAAATCCCTTCACCAAGTCCCTTCAGCCTTTCAACCCTATTTCGACCCCTTGCCACAAAAATGACAAACATACAAACATTTGACCCCTACCCCCATCAACCCTTCCTATCCCTCCCATTACCAAGAATCCGGGGAAACAAAGGCAGCCGACCCTGCACCCCTAAACCTCTAAACGATTAGCGAGATCGCCCAACCAGATACGGTAAGGCGGTGTGCTGTATCTCGCCAGGCACCAGGAGCAAAGGGAAGCAGCAACAAACCTGCAAGCAAGCTAACAACAGCACCAGGGAGAAGTAAGGGAAGGAGGGTTACGCAGGGAAAAGTCTGGGTTTTGTGTACGGGATAATCGGATTGGAGTTGAGAATATACCGATCTCACACATACCTCAGCGCGTGCTGCGGCATCCACCACAGCAGCCGCCACCAACTTCACCACCTCGCCCTCGACATCCACATTCTCTACACCACCGAAGGCGCGCCCTGGAGAGGCTGCTATACACAAACCGATACACACACGACACCCCTTACAAACATACAATGCGCACCTCCCGCATCTCCCAAGACACCACCCGTGCCCTCAACGCCACCACCTCCGCGGCACACCCCCCCCGAAGCACGCGCCTCACGCGCTCCGCACTCGCGCAGTTCTCACTCAATGCCGGGTCTGCTACGGGCACGTCGATAGGAGGGGGAGGGGATATCGAGGATGCGATCCCAGCCGGTGGGGAAGGGAAAAGGAAACGGGCCGGTGTGGCTACGGCTGCGGGAAGTGGGGGTGTGAAGAAAGAGGACGATGCGGGTAATAAGGCGGCGTGGAGAGGGAAGCAAGAAGATGCGTCGGACTCGGAGTTATCGTCTGCGCCGTCGAGTCGCGCGGTCACCCCGCCGGTGAGGAATGCAAGGAGGCAGCCTGTGAAGCGGATTAAGCGCTCCCCTCCGCCCACCGCTGGCTCCGCGGTAGGTCCCGAGAACTGGGAACGCATCTACGATCTCGTTATGAAGATGCGGACTGAAGGTGGGGTAGCGGCCGATGCAGCGGTGGACACGATGGGGTGCCATACCCTCGCGCAACCTGATGCCTCGCCGCGGGACCAGCGGTTCCAGACGCTGGTGTCGCTGATGATGTCGAGTCAGACGAAGGATACGACGAATTACGTTGTGATGCAGAAGCTTTACAATGAGCTGCCCTCTGCGACACCGGGGGGAAGTCCGGGGTTGAATTTGGAGAATATACTCGCTGTGCCTGCGGAGAGACTGAATGAGTTGATCTGGGCGGTGGGGTTCCATAATAATAAGACGCGGTATATTAAGGGAGCTGCGGAGATACTGCGGGATGAGCATGGGGGGGATATTCCGGACACGGCGGAGGGGTTGATGGCGTTGCCGGGGGTGGGACCGAAGATGGCGTATTTGTGTCTCTCGGCTGCGTGGGGACGGGTGGAGGGGATAGGGGTTGATGTGCATGTGCATCGGATTACGAATCTGTGGGGGTGGCATGGGAGAGGGGGCACGAAGGGGCCGGAGGAGACGAGGGTGAGGCTGGAGGGGTGGGTGCCGAGGGAGAAGTGGGCGGAGATTAATTGGTTGCTGGTTGGGTTCGGGCAGACGATTTGTATGAGTGAGAGGGGGAGGAGGAGGTGTGGGGAGTGTGAGGTTGGGTTGGAGGGGTTGTGTGCGGCGGCGGATGGGGTGAAGGTTAGGGTGGGGAGGGAGAGGAGGAAGAGGGAGGAGAGGGAGAGGTTGAATGTTGAGTTTGAGGGGGAGGAGGAGGGGGAAGAGGAGGAGGGGAAGAAGGAAGGGAAGAAGGAGAGGATGGAGGAGGAGAAGAAGGGGGGGAAGAAGGAGGGGAAGAAGGAGGGGAAGAAGGAGGGGAAGAAGGAGGGGAAGAAGGAGGGGAAGGTGGAGAAGAAGGAGGTGAATGGTATCAAGGAAGAGGTGGCTAAGGAGGAGGTGTTGGAAACAGTTGAGAAGAAGGAGGAGGAAACTGAGACTAACGGTATCAAGGAAGAAGTGATAAATGGAGTTCAGATCAAGGGGCAGGATGAAGAAGCGGAGAAGAAGGTTATCAAGGAAGAGTCCAGGGACTGAAATGGCTGAGCATCCGAAGCGGAATTTGTGTTATTTTGTATGAGAACGGCTAATAAATACAATGAAAGAGCCTTAATTTCCTTTCAATTTTGTTATAATAAACCTAGGGATAACTATTAAATGTATAAATATCTTTATAATAATTACCAATAACACTAAGAGGCGCTTGATGCGCCCCTACGCCGCTCCACCGGCGCTACATTCCCCTTAGCCGAGCCGCCAAGCACGAACCCCTCCAACATTATGTCGACGTTATCGATTGTCTGACGTACGATAAGTGCCGACCCGTACTCTACCCTTGCGGGCGAATTACCCCACCATTAGACAGCTTCGGCATAAAAGCACGGCGTCACCCATCAACACAACAAAACCCATCTATTTATTCCGCTCATCCAGGAAATTTTAACCTGACGAACAAAATGGATTCTATGGTAGGAACTACGGGCGGGCATTTCTCTCCACATGAGGGCAAGGTAAGTGTTCTACTGGGAGAGCTCTATTTACGTCATGGCGAGACTGACTTTTGGTTCTGTAGCCCATCACTTGCAAGGTTAGCATCCGATTCTGCCCGTTCGAAGCTGGGTGTGAGGTTACTGACGATAGGACAGGCTGCTGTGGCATGGGAAGCCGGGCAACCCCTTACTATCGAGGACATTGAGGTCGCTGCGCCCAAAGCCAACGAGGTCCGCATTGAGATCTACTACACCGGTGTCTGCCACACAGGTAAGGCTACAACTATGCCTAGGCATTATGGAAACAGCACATTGACACAGAATAGATGCCTACACCCTCTCTGGCAAGGACCCCGAGGGCGCATTCCCCATCGTCCTTGGACACGAAGGAGCCGGCATCGTCGAGTCCGTCGGTTCGGGGGTCACCTCCGTAAAGCCCGGTGACCACGTCGTAGCACTCTAGTACCACCCCCCCTCCCTCCCCCAAATCCGCGGAAGTACACTCGCTAACCCCCCGCTCCCAGCACACCCGAGTGCAAGGAATGTAAGTTCTGCAAGTCTGGCAAGACGAATCTGTGCGGCAAGATCCGCGCGACGCAGGGTAAGGGCGTGATGCCCGACGGCACCTCGCGCTTCACCTGCAAGGGCAAGGAGCTACTCCATTTCATGGGCACGTCGACGTTCAGCCAGTATACCGTCGTGGCGGATATCTCGGTTGTGGCGATTACGCCGTCGGCGCCGATGGATAGGACGTGTCTGCTTGGGTGTGGGATCACCACCGGGTACGGCGCGGCGGTTGAGACGGCAAAGGTGCAGCCTGGTGACAGTGTTGCGATTTTCGGCGCCGGGTGCGTTGGTCTGTCTGTTATCCAGGGAGCGTTGAAGCAGGGTGCGGGGAAGATCATCGTGGTGGATGTGAATGGGTCGAAGAAGGAGTGGGCTGAGAAGTTCGGCGCAACGGACTTCATCAACCCCAATGATCTGGGCAAGACGACGATCCAGGATAAGCTGGTGGAGATGACGGATGGTGGGTGTGATTTCACCTTCGATTGCACGGGGAATGTGCATGTGATGCGTGCGGCGCTCGAGTCGTGCCATAAGGGGTGGGGAACCAGCATTATCATTGGCGTCGCGGCGGCGGGCCAGGAGATCGCTACGAGACCATTCCAGCTTGTCACCGGCCGCGTGTGGAAGGGCTGCGCGTTTGGTGGGATCAAGGGCCGCACTCAGCTGCCTGGGTTGGTGGATGATTATATGACTGGCAAGCTGAAGGTGGATGAGTTTATTACGCACCGCAAGACGCTGGAGGATATTAATCTGGCGTTTGATGCGATGAAGGGTGGGGACTGCATTCGCTGCGTTGTGAATATGCGGGAGGTTTAAACTGGGGAAGGGGGTGATGTTGGACTAAAATGATGTATCATGAGTTTCATTAGATGTCCCTAGGATGAGAAAATAGCAAAACATATTTCTCTCTGCTTCACTTTTGAAAAAACACGCAATATATTTAAATTATCACCCTATCAAAAAGTCCGTCTGCACCCCCTAATCATTTTATACAAACAGCATTTTCTATAATTCTATAATTACATCGTTTTATTTAAAGAAAATATATATTACCCACATCTTGATTAGTATCCTATTCAACTTTTGATCTATATTCTCACCCCACACCTATCTCTACATCAGCACCAACCCAGCAACCGCACCGACCAACACCGCCGCCACCGAGCTCGACAACTTCGTACCAGCGCTCTTGGTCGTGCCCTTCTCAGGGTTCCCGCCGCCGCCGCCACCCCCTGGGGTGCTACCACCGCCGCCTCCACCAGGGGTGCTACCACCACCACCTCCTCCTGGGGTGCTTCCACCGCCGCCCCCACCTGGAGTGCTACCACCGCCGCCTCCGCCAGGAGTGGTGCCTCCACCACCACCTGGGGTGGTACCACCTCCACCACTAGGAGCGCCACCGCCCCCACCAGTTGGGCTGGCACTGCCGCCACCACTAGAGGCGCAGGTTGGACATGCAGAGCTACCGCCGCCGCCGCCGCCGCCGCCAGAGGAACCGCCACCAGAGGAGCCACCACCAGAAGAACCACCGCCGCCGCTAGGGCATGATGGGCAACCCTGTCCCCCACCAGACGAACCGCCACCAGAAGAGCCGCCGCCACCAGGAGTAGTCTGGTTGCCGCCACCTCCGCCGCCGTGATTAGGAGGAGTTGTTTCACCGCCGCTAGGAGGTGCAGTTTGGCTACCACCACCACCGCCACCAGCAGAGCAGGATGGGCAGGCGGAGCTACCACCACCACCACCGCCGCCGCCAGTAGGAGTTGTCTGATTGCCACCACCGCCGCCACCACCGGAAGAGCAGGTTGGACATGCGGAGCTACCACCACCGCCGCCGCCGCTAGTAGGAGTAGTCTGATTGCCACCACCACCACTGGTAGGGTGGGACGTTGTCTGAGCACTACTAGGGGGGGCTGTTTGACTCCCACCACCGCCACCACAGGTTGGGCATGCGGAGCTGCCACCACCGCCGCCGCCGCTAGTAGGAGTAGTCTGATTGCCACCACCGCCGCTGGTAGGGTGTGAGGTTGTTTCGGCACCACCACCACCACCGGAAGAAGAGGGACAGTTACATGGCTGGCCGCCGCCGCCACCACCTCCAGATGGGCAGTTGCATTCTTGGCCACCACCGCCGCCACTGGGGGTTGTCTGATTACCGCCACCGCTAGGGCTAGGAGGAGAGGTTGTCTGAGCGCCGCCACCACCAGTCGAAGTTGGACAGTTGCATGGCTGGCCGCTGGTGCCTCCTCCGCCGCCTGAGAGGCAGTTGCACTCTGACTGCTGCGGAGCTGCGGACGAGACGGGTGTTGCTGCTGATGACGGCCCTTGGGACCCAGGCGCCGATGCAGATGACCCAGGCACCTCTGCCGATGACCCGGGAGCCGATGCAGATGATCCGGGAACTTCTGCAGATGATCCAGGAACTGATGCCGACGAGCCGGGGATCTCTGTTGTCTGTCCTGGCCCGGCGCTGGTCTCGGTGACACTGGGGCCGGTAGGGGCTTCTGTGGTGTTAAAGAATGGGCCGTGTGTCAGGGAAGTTGGGACAACGCTGGACAGAGTCACGATTGTTGTGTTCAAGGACGTCTGGGTGATTGTTGTCGCGTTCGCCGGGGTCGATGTGTTGAAGGGTAGATTCGTGATCGCTGGGTTCGACGACACTTGAGTTCCCGTAGCGCTGAAGCTGGTAGTGTTACCAGCTTCGAATGATTTCTGCGAGAAGAACGGAGTGTTCGTTGCCGACGGCGTCTCCTGGGAAACCGAGATTGTGATTGTTCCAGTAATTGTTCCCGTGGCTGTTCCCGTGGCTGTTCCGGTAAGTGTGCCGGTGGGTGTGCCGGTAGCTGTTCCGGTTCCCGTGGACGTCTCGTTCTGGGCCACAGATGAGATGCTAGATGCGGTGCCAATTGAGATTGAAATGCTGCTTCCGGTTCCAGAAGGTATAGTAATCGTGGAGCTGACAGTCTCCAAAGGTGTAGTAGTAGCCGTGGAGCTAACAGATTGGACAGATGAAGAAGCACTGGAGCTGGCAGAGTGCGATGACACGGAAACACTGGAGCTGCTAGTCTGCGATGACACGGAAGCACTGGACTTGCTAGTGTGCGATGACATGGAAGCACTGGACTTGCTAGTGTGGGATGACATAGAAGCACTGGAGCTCTCGGAGGTCTTATGGGAAGAGCTGGAGCTTCTCTTCTCGGAGGAGCTGGGCTCCTTGCCTCCCTTGTCCCAAAATCCTTGTGCATTGGCACAGGTGATCAGCCCGATAGCGGCGAAGGCGAGGTTAAGGCGCATTTTCGTAGATCATGTACTGTAAACGAATGGAAATATTGACCCGTTCACCGAATATACAAGACCCAACAAAAGATGTGCTGTTCGACAGGATGATCTCTATGGGGCCAGATATGAAGTGAAAAGGGAAGAAAGATGGATGGTAAGGGGACGAAGAATCTTATACCTACCTGTCCTTTCCACATCGCCTTTCCACATCGATCCTTTCTGTTTCTTCTCACTCCACTCTTACATATTTGTGGTCTCGTTGCAGTTGTACTACCATGGAGCTCGTCGCCGACGCGTAATAAATGGCGTGCGGTTATTGGCGATGTCAACGCCAAATAAGCGCGGGCCTTCTAATCACACCACCCGAACATGGAAAGGGCATTGGAGTGGCCCTAGGGGCTGTCAAACTTGACAGGTTTAAGCTTCAAAGCTAAAGTATAGGGGCCTTAGCCGCCAATTCGGACTTATCCATTGCCAATTATTGGCTGCTTGGAGCTTGACAGGATTCTGTCAACAGATGACGGGGATGGGCTGGAAATAGGGATACTATGGCATCATCTGGATGGTTGAATCCTTAGATCCTTGAATCGTCTGATCTTGTTATGACCTTGTTATGATCTTGCTGTCTGTTCTCTTGGCTGCAAACTCACATATCAGCTGAGATACGTCAATGTTAGGCTACACTTACTTGCCACAGCCTTCATCATCTCTCGTTGTGCTACGACATGGCCCACAACCATACCCATAATCACAACCAAAAAGTCATCACCGGGATACTCGAAGCATTGGTAAACCAAATTCTAGACCTATATAACATTTCTATTCCGCGGCCGACCGGTGCATGCTTCAGCAGCCACAAATTATAGAAACATCGAGGCAGATACCGAAGTGACGAGTTATCCTAATAACACAGGCTATAAACTAACAGCTACCTGTCTTCCGGTGCTCCCGAGAACAAACCAACTCGCATCCTGTGGCTCTGTAGCGTATGTTAGCTTGCACCCTAAAGTATGCCGGGCTTCAACAAGGGCACTTACAGATGGAAGCTTGGGTACCACCACCGCCAAGACAGCCAAGAAGTTGATCGTAAAATAAGTGAAGTCGTAATGTGTGTAGTGTGTGCTGAGCAAAAACAAAACGATAGGCACGCTAAGCAGAAACTTCTTCGCCGGGGTGTATTGGTCTCCGTTGTCGATTTGCTCCCACATATTCAGGTTGTCGTAGGCTCCCGAGTTGAACTCGAACGGAACGCCGCGAACCCAATGGAACATCAGATATGAGCCAAACATGTATGAGATGTTTGTCAGTGTCCACGAGGTTTCCTGCGAGACTCCCGGGATAATGTCGTAGAAGATCTTCAGGCAAGCAATAATAACAATGTGAATGGTCCATGCACCTGTACAGATGAATGTCAGCTTGATTTCCACGAATGATTCCCCTTCACATCTGCCAGGCAATGTAACATGCAACGCCATATCCTCCGTCTTCGAAGACGTTCAAGGACATCGTACAATATACACCACCCTAACCCGAGTGACCCCGCGTACCCCAGATGAGCGTGTTGACTAACCTTTCGCATTGACCCAGTTTGCATTCAAATTTGGCAGCGCAGCTTGATCGCTCATGTGCTCTATGCTCTCCGGAGGTTCTTGGTATAATAAACTGCTCGACCGTCTCCTCCTCCCCGTCTTTTCCTCCGACATGTTTCGATATGCGTCACCTCGACGAGGAGGGTTTGAACTCCCGTCGTAGGAGATGGTGCGAGGGAGGAGCAGTGGCGAAGACAGCTTGGCGGTATTGGAGGGAGATATACTGAATGTATGGATCACGCTTTGATCGAGCGTGTGTATTGAGAGGTCGTATGGGCTCGACGTGGATGGATGATGATTGTCGATGGCCGTCGATATTCGGGGGCGATGGGGAAAGCACCTGGTTATGCCTGGGTGTAGCTTGGTAGATAGGTCAGCACAAAGAGTTGGTAGGAATGAAAGAGCTTTGCATGGAAAGAAGTTCAGACAGTCATAACAGAAGGCGACTTTCGCTCAAAGGTCGAGACTGTCTTGGCCTGCACTGGTGCAGCAAGGTCAAACAACCGCTTACCTAGTGTATGTAACGACTGAATAGCAGTAGCGTGTTATGTATGGCTGATGAGATTTATATATCGACCAGAAGCTATTTGCTTCAATATGCTTCCTTTGTGGTGGTATTAGGGTGCTGTGGTACTTGAAAGAGTTGATAATATGGATATGTTTCTAGAAGCCCAGTCCGGGACGTTCGAATATGTTGCCTGGGATCTGATGCGTCGTGTTCGGAAGAACCCCTGCACGCATTATTACATACTTCACTCGTCTACTCTACCGCCTTCGGGCCACGGTAGCCCGATTGGTCCATTACCACCAAGCCGATAACGATAACAGATAAATTTAACCCACGCTTCTATAGATTGATTTTGATGATTGATTCTGAAAGGACAGTGCGATTCACGACATCAACAGCAGCACCAATACAAACAGACGAGCATACAGGACGGTCAACGGTACCGATACTGAATCATAAAGACAACTTGAACCTCCTCTACGATAGTCTACTTCCAACAATGTTCGCATAAGCTCGCCACTCCCCTCGGTCTTACCTCGACATGACTACCGACGACACGTCCGACTCGAGGACGTCCTCCGTGGGCCGGAAACGCACTCTGCAACAATCAGTTGGCAATGTTGCTGAAGTAGCTGCACAAAGCCCGACATCTGATTCGGATGGAGGTCGGCCATCTGGACGTGCGAATAAGCGCGCCAAACCAAATGGCAACGGAGGTGTTGAGAACGATGCTACCCCGGCAGTGACAGACAATTCGGCGGGTGCCGCTGAAGTCTCTGTTGAGAAACCTAAAGATGCGACAGCTGTGGCCATGTCATGGAACAAGGGCGTCCAAGCGACTGTTCGGACCTCTCTTGGTGGTGGCGCGAAAGCAGCGAAGAAGGCTGCTGCAGCCAACAAGCCACCCGCGGCTGAAAAGAGCCAAGAGGAGCCACCTGTTGCAGGAGACACACCTGCTTCTGGACCAGAAGTTTCTCATGATAAGACCAAGCCGGCAAAGATGACAAGAGCCCAGAGGCGAGCCCTTTCTGCCCTCGACGTCGCTACTGCCAAGCCGGCAAAGCCTGCGGATTCAAATGTGCCTGAAATTTCGAATACAAGCAGCCTTACTTTGCCTTCACCAACCGAGAGACGAGTGAGGGAAAAACCGGCTGGCTATATTACTCGCGACCTCAGAACCAACTTTGTTTATGAATTGCTCATCAGGAACAACAATGTTGTGGGCAAAATGGATCTAGATTCGATGGTTGCTGCATGCGACGCATATATGAACAAGCACTACTCTAAGATCGAGAAGAAATATGGGGCTGTACAGCTGAAAGATGAGTCCTTTATGGGGTTCTGCAGAAACCGACTGAAGGAGGCGAAAGCAGGCACGATGTCAACGTCCAAACCTGTTTCTACTGCAAGTTCCGTAAATGGGCGAAGTTTAGGGGACATTTCATCTACAGATTCCGCTGCAGCTTTGGCTGTACATGGTCAGAGCAGTGCCGTCGAGCATTCCACCATTCCAAATGACGGAAACCAGAAAGAAAGGCCAGCAGCAGTTGTTTCATTGATACCCGAGGATGCTGAGGATGATGATGAATACTCCCCTGAACTCGAACCCATGGTTTTGCCATCTTCTAGTGCAGCCCGAGAGACGGATCAGATCCTCAGTGAGGCTGAAGCTGCTCTGATCAACAAATATTACCCAGGCTTGCCACGTGGTACCATCCGCTGCCTTACTTGTGGTAACAATGGGCACTTGGCCGCCTCCTGCCCTCAGCTGAAATGCTCTACCTGTGGCGTCCATGGCGTTCATTTCACAAACTCTTGTCCGAAAACCATACGCTGCAGTAAGTGCCATCAGCGAGGCCACCAAAAGCCCACCTGTCCCGAGAAGCTCGCCCTCACCGAATCCGAGGGTGAAGCTTGTGATACCTGTGGTTCTGGGCACCACACTGAGGACTCCTGCCACTTTTTGTGGCGTAGCTTCAAACCAGACTTGGGATCGGTTCGGAAGGTCCGTAGCCTCGTAGCAGATTGCTATAACTGTGGTGCGGATGGACATTATGGCCCTGAGTGTGCGCTTAGTCGCAGTGCCTCATTAACAGGGGGATACACATGGTCCATGGCAAATAGGGATCGTTACGTAGACACCAAGATGAGCATGCCTGCGATCTCAAATGGGAGAGATTACCTGCCCGCCAAGCCCCAGAACGGATTCAGCATCAAGGGATCTGCCAAATCGAATCCCGTAACGCTTGATGATAGCGACGAGGAAGATTTCATTCGGGCAAAGATAGCTCCACCGCAATCGAAGGGCCACATACGCTTCACTGGCGGCCGTCAACCGCTTGAAGAGCGATACCAGCCTCAGCCTCCACCACCTTCCAGTTACCGGGAGCCACCTCTCTCAAACTCCTATCGAGGAAATGATGACCATTTCAGGTTCGGGGAGGGACGGCCATATAGCCCCCCACCCAGTTATCCTGATTATAATCAAGGGCGATATGATGATCAGTATCACAACTTTGATCACGACAACGACTACCGTTCCAATGGCCAGCCAATGTTACCATTTAGAGGCGACAACGATGGCCCTCGCGCGGGTCCAAACCCCAGCAAACGCTCAAGAAAGGGCGCTGGTAATGGGCCGCTTCGTCATGACAACGTGGCGCCTCCACAGTCTCTTGCTGGAAAGAAGAGTGGCCGTGGGGGCCGCGGTAAAGGCGGAGCTAGGGGTGGTGGAGGCCGAGGTGGTGCGAACAGAGGTAAGAAATAAAGCGTCGCCCTATAAAGTTATGTTTCGGGTCTGCGAGACATTGTACATTTTGTTTCAAGATAAAGCATCATGAATGGTGCTGCATATGTGGTAACCAAGTCGAGCTATGCAAGCGTGGACCTGGTATAAGGGATCCTACTTGTTCGAAGGTTAGACCACTGAAAGTTTATGGAGTTACCAAGACTTTAAAGTTGGGGCTACTGTAGAAATAATCCTGGGTACAAGGTATTACGTTCTTCAGAGTCTGGGTTATATGAAAGAGGTGATTGTTACCCAGTTAGGGATTGAGTTAACCATTCACTCAAGGAGCAATGGAGTTGTAGGGGCTGTCAACGAGGAGAATTGATTCATAAACTTCTTAATTGCTTTCGTGTATCAACCAATATCGCATTATGTAGTTTCTACACAGAAACCCTCATTGAACAAACCAAACAGCCTACTTCTACAATCTTTCTAAACAGCCCTGATTCAGCCTTAATTCTCATAGGGTCCTCATCCGCTCGATATGTTCATCATAGACCCTGGTCCAAATGCGGCAGAATGTCCAACACTAACTGCATTAGGCGATATATTTCACCGCCCGGGATGAAGCTCGTGTGAACCAAGGAATATCGGAGCCGAAACAATGAGGTAGCTTTGCCAGCCAAAAATCGTCAACTACAAGACTCGTCCCCCAGAGCCACAGTACGCGCCCAGTATACTCCTCATATTGTCAATTGACATCTAATTGATCGGTAGCGACGCCGCGAAAATGCCAGAGACCTCGATCCCCCCGCCACCAGTGGTCACGCGTCCCAACAGGCCCGTCTCCGAGACGCTGCTGAATGAGAAGGTAAGGCTTTACAGCTTGCCCTGGCGCGCCTAGCCAGTTTTATCTGGTCAATGCGAAGTTTGTAGAGCTTGTGCTGACCTGGCGTGATAGTGGGACCGCTGTCTCTCGTCTCTTCTCATCCGCTCGTCCCTCGGCCTGTCCTTCGGCGTCGTCTTCTCCGTCCTCATCTTCAAGCGCCGCGCGTGGCCTGCTTTCGTCGGCTTGGGCTTTGGTGCCGGAAGGGCGTACGAGGAATGCAACTCGAGCTTTATCAGGGCGGGAAAGGGACAGTCTAGGTCATAAACGATTCATCGGAGGGAATGATGGGGGTGTGTTTGTTTGATACGAAGAATTGAGGATCGAATACAAAATAGGATTGGAGTGGGGGAATTGTACAAGTACAAACCGAGAGCGACAGATATAGATCGAGACATACAGCAAATAAGATGGTGGTTGTCCATTTCCTGTGTCTTTTGTCTACGCGACCAGTGAGCCCAAGAGGAGATATAACATCATTTTTCATTGTTACGGCTTTGACATCGTGCGGCTTATCTCATTCTTGTCTTTTTCTGGCATTCAATTCCGCCTTCTCGGCTCATTCCGCCCCAGTTGCTCTCCTGTCGATTCTCCTTTCTCTGTATCCTCGTCTTCCGTTTGCCCTGTTACACTCACCCTCCCCGTGGTATTACTGCATTCCTCCAGCTCCACCCATGTATCCTCGTCCTCGTCCTTGTCTTTCAGCCTCTCTGCCTTTATTTTTAAATACCTCAGACCTTTCTCGCTGAGCCTGGCCTGTCCTCGGTATTGTGGTCTCAAATAATCCAGTCCAACAAGCGCGAGCCAGGCCAAAAACAGGACCGTTACTGTCATGCTGACGAGTAGGACGTAAAACTCTAAGCATGCGATTCGGATTTCCCATTCTTCAAAGCCGGTGCCGGAAATGCCATGGGTTTGGAGATGGGGGCGAGAGAGGAACGTTTGGGGCCGCTGGGTGGAGGAGGCATGGGGTACGTCTGTCATTGACGGCGAGCAATCGTTCGGCGACGGCGCAAGGGTAACGGTTGTGATGAGAGATGGAATCTCGTGCATCTTGTGCCAGATAAGAGCGACACTTAATCGCAATCATGGACAAGGCTGTAGTACTGTCGCGATGTTCTCGTTTAGTTCTGGGCCAGTAGTGATATGAAGCCCCGAGACAATAATAATAATAGTTATTTAGAGGAATTGCTATAGGATGTCTGAGATATAATATTGCATTAAAATAATTGTTAGTATTCGTAAGACACGAACGGCATGCTTGAACAGACGTTGGGTATCCGAACCACTTGTGGTTGACTGTGTCGCTCCTTCTCCAAATCAAGGAGCTTAAAATAACGACTAGCTATGCAGAAAAGACGAATCTGAAGACGAATCCGAAGGCCATTTTCAGAGATTAATATTCCATAATCCACTCTCACTCGTCTGGAATTTATCAGAACGTATCCATCAAGTCATTCAAGTACTCCACGATCTCGACATCTTGTCTGAGTACATCGTTGACATTGTTGAAGCAACTTGAGGATTTGTACAGACGCATTTGCTGTTCAATAAAGCTCAAGTGCTGTTCGTTCTAGACACAAAATTCCAGTCAGCCATCAAATATTCAAGCAGATAAGACTGGTGCCGTGAGCTCTATCATGTTCGGGATGTAGGCTTCGGCGCCGAAAGACGCGGTGCCACCACCCTCTCGAGCACGACAGAAACATAAAGGATGACAATAAATTCCGAACTTACTGCAGATCTGGAAGCCCAGAGGGACTGCATCCAGCCGAGGGCATTATAAATGCTACTTTCCGTGTCCCATCCGAATTCTTGTTGCTTCTCATCTATAGCTTGCAAGAGTCTCGTGGTTGCCTGAAGAAAGACATGGCAGTGCTTGACGACCTCAGGACAATTAGGATTCTCGATTGCTATATCTTTCACGGGAATATTCAATAGGCTGAGTAATTCTCCGTCTAAATACGTCAAGGAGCCAGCCACAACCTAGTTCCAATGAGCCAAAGGTGCCTAATAGTGAGGACAACCGTATAAAAAAACTTACGTCTTCGATCTCGTCTTTTGAACTCTCGTTGTCTAAGATTACTGCTTGGGCAGGATTCCCATTATGAGATGACTTCAAAGATCGTATCTTCTCATTGCAGTCTCTGGTGATGGATCTCAATGAATCTATGTCCTCTAGCGTTATATGGGCACTTGTAACCCAAGCTAGCACCGTGGCCGCGAAAACGCTAACAAGTCTGATTTGAACCATCCTAAAGCTTCATCGACTGGAACAATGAAGCTCTCTTGTTAAATCAAAAAGCAAAGTTGAGCTGTAGAGCGAGAGGCTGGAGCTGTCACGAGTACGTGGTGTCTCTGAATGTTGGTGCCTCGGTATTGTGGCAGCCTTGACTACAGACTTTAGTCTATGATAAGGCTGATAAGAATCGTGGCGCTACCCCACGTTCCGCATCGCTAGCTCCAAATTTGGTTTTATAGAGGAACCTTCTGGCGCAACGTTGATCGTTAAGCAAATACATAGCAGGATGCCACGAGATCCTCTCATCGGTCTAGTGGGCAAGCCCAGCAGCGGGAAGTCTACTACTCTGAATAGTCTGACTGACGCTACTTCAAAAGTTGGTTGGTAAATTCAACGCCGGCGCGAGAAGGCTCGTACTGATTCCTCACAGGCAACTTTCCGTAAGGATAACTATAACAAGACTATGTGGCTTGACTGACTTTATACGAATAGATTCACTACCATCGACCCAAATCGAGCAACAGGATACCTACAAATAGACTGCGCTTGCGCCAGGTACTCTGTCGAAGACAGGTGCAAGCCGAATTATGGATCTTGCAAGGATGGACGACGGTCGGTGCCGATAGAGCTGCTTGATGTTGCTGGGCTGGTGCCAGGTGCCCATGAAGGGAAGGGACTGGGAAACAAGTTCTTGGACAACCTTCGACTTGCGGACGCATTGATACATGTCGTTGACGTTAGCGGAACGACCGACGAGGAGGGGAAGGCAACACGAGGCTATGACCCGTCCCAAGATATCGCCTGGCTACGCTCGGAAATTGTACAATGGGTTTTGGGCAACTTGATGGTGAAATGGGGCTCTATCAAGCGCCGACACATCGCAGTAAAGGCCACAGCTGTCGAAACTTTGCAGGGGCAGTTTTCGGGGTACGGATCTAATGCTCAAGTAGTAGCACGCACCTTGGACCGCATGGGCCTTAAGGAGCCGCTGGAACACTGGTCAGATGAGACAGTAGCGAAAGTCGTTAATGCCTTCGTGGACGAGAAGTTCCCAACCATTATTGCACTGAATAAAATCGACCACGCGGACTCGGACAAGAATATCGCCAAAATTGCAAAGATGCAGGACCCGAATTCGATTGTACTGTGCTCGGCCATCTCCGAGGTGTTCTTAAGGAAGCTTGCGAAGCAGGGCTTTATCAAGTATACAGAAGGAAGCGAGTTTGTAGATACGAGAGCGGATCTTATCGCGGATGGTGACCCTGAGGGCGGAGGACTAAAAGAAATGGATGAGAAGCTAACGTCGAGGATTGAGAACCTAAAAGATTTGGTACTGTACCGGTTTGGCTCCACGGGAGTCGTCCAGGTGTTATCAAAAGCCGCGGAGCTGCTTGGACTAGTTCCAGTATTCCCCGTGCGGAATGTCTCGACATTTTCATCGGGCCAGGCAGGGTCAAATGCTGTATTTAGGGACTGTGTTCTTGTCAAGAAGAATACTACAGTCGCAGAGGTTGCTCGCAAGGTCATGGGAGACGCTCCCTTGGCTTATGTAGAAGGCGCGGGTGGCATCAGAGTATCACCGGATGATACCGTCTCTGTAGGGAAGCATGATGTAAGTTCTCACTATTACCAGGAAGGTACCCAAACAGCTAACCATGAGTCAGGTGCTATCATTCAAGTTTGGCCGAGAATAGGTGCAAGTATACGGTTTTGGGGATGTGGCGTTTTCGGGGCACTGCAGCATATAGAAAGGCGTTTGACCTGGTACACCTGGGTAACTGGCGTTCACCTGCCATGGAATGGTAGACTTTAAATTGGCGTTCTCACGGACCTAGAAATTTGTATAGTGTTGCGCCAGACAATTCTCGCAGATCTATCTCTCATGTCCCCTTTCATCGTTCATTCCCACCACTGGATCAGGCGCCTTGGGATATTCGGCCTTGGCCTTCTCGTTGGAATGGTGATTGTCTCGTTCGCTAGTCGCAGTGTCTGGATCGCCCGACTCCCTCGCTGCTATGCCTGCTTTTGAAGCCTCAACGTATACACCATTTTTATCCTTCGTTCTGGTGATATGGTCTTTGCCTGTGGATCCTATTCCATGGGTTTTAATCTCTCGTTTCCATAGTGGCGTGTTGCTTAAGCCTCGTGTGATTACGGTGGTGCCCGGACGTCGACATAAGAGCGCTGTGGCTAGAAATCGAAAATTATGCTGCATTGTAGAGTTGCATCTAAAGAGTATCTCGTAAATTTACTCGTTATTTTATGTTATTATAGAGCTACTATTGATATACTAATTTGCACTATTGTGGTTTGGTGTCGTCATACAGTATGAGTTGGTGCGTTACATGCGTGTAAGTATGGAGCTGGGACAACGTTTCTCCAAGAGCTCTAGCCGACGCCGAACTACATGTACAGAGAGCTTCTGACAGCTCCCAGTACAGCAATCTTTGCCCGCCTGTTCACAAGAGAGCACCAATTTTGATATTAGCAAAAATGCGGCCACCAGCTCTGCCAGTATCAAGTCTGCGTACTTGGGCGAAATTTAATGGTATAGAATTTGAAGATATATCTGTTGAGAAAAATAAAGAATATGGAGGCTACGGCATCGTCTCGACCACCACAATCGATTCAGCCCCGGACCAAGAGGGCAACCTAACCGTGTTGAATGTCCCCAAAGATCTTATACTGAGCGCCGAGACCATTGCAGAGCACGCAAAGGTTGATAAGCATTTCGGACAGATTCTGGAAGCTGTTGGTGGAAGTGTAGGTGTGCGCGTTGTCGATCACGTGAAACGTATAGCTAACGGCAACTCAGACCTTACGTGGAGATGTAATGCTATTCTTGTTGATGCAAGTTACAAGAGCTTCATCAGATCCAAGTATTAAATTCAGTGTTTCGGGTCCGTGGACTGAGTATGTCAAAATGCTGCCGGAATACATTTCTCTGCCGACAGCATGGCATGATGACCAAATAAACCTCCTTAACGGAACGTCTCTAGAGGTAAGCCTTTCGAAAGCCATTGGAACAACCTTGTCCATAAATGTTGTCTTGAGATGCTTACGCTCTCGCCTTCTAGAAAGCTGTTGCAGCAAAAGTTTCAGCATTAGTACGGGAATTTGAGACCCTCCGAGAAAATACGACAGAGATCCCCTGGTGCCACAACGCTTGGTGGGAGAAGGAGCATCTTGAATTCAAAGATTGGATTCTGATTGATTCCTGGTATCGATCACGCTCTCTAGAGTTACCTCTTTCTGGGGAGGCTATGGTGCCATTTCTAGACATGGCAAATCATTCAGCAAACGCAAATTCGCACTACCAGCAAGGGATTGATGACGAAGTGCTCTTGCAAGTCAAGCCCGGACAGCACATTGAAAAAGGGGACGAATTAACTATTGACTACGGCTCTGCCAAGAGTGCTGCCGAGATGCTGTTTAGCTATGGGTTTATAGACGACTTGTCTTCTGTGCATAGCCTTGTTCTTCATATTTCACCTTCTCCGGATGATCCCTTTGGCAAAGCTAAGGTTAAGATTCATGGCAAGCTCCCTACGCTTCATATCTCGGCGACCGATGACTCTCTGGAGCTGACGTGCCCATTCATCTATCTTATGTGTGTCAACGAAGATGATGGGTTGGATTTTAAGGTATTGCTGGAGACTGATGGTACATATGGACAGATGCGGGCATTTTGGAAGTCTAGGGATATTACCGATTCCATTGGCAGCTTCAAGGACATTGTTACTGCTGATCCTCTCGCCGATGTGTTTCTCTTACGAGCAAAGGTCCTCTTGAGATATATAGTGGATGAGCAGTTGGAACGACTGAGTGAGAGCGAACATACGGCGAATGAGCTCGATCCCAACCAGGAGAGCTTATCAGCGGGTGACAAAGGGATTCCGGAAGCTGCATCAAAGCTCCGCGTGATCGAGGCAGGACTTCTCAGCAAGAGCTTGGAATTATTAGAGGCAGAGGTATGTTTGTTGGGCTTTCTCACTAAACACCACTCAACATTTCATTAACATGCATTTAGATCAACACACTATCGTCAAGTCCTATAGTGCGTGGATATTTAGGCAGTTCAGAGGCACAGGACGCACCAGGGGCCGGAGATAACGACGAGAGCGAAGATTTTAGCTGAGCCCTTGGCAGTTAGTCATATGCAGTTCATCCCATAGCATTATACGTGGGCTACGCGTGAGTCCCGGATTAAGCTTGGCCATGACAGCGAATCAATAATTCTCACTGGCATCGGCATCCGCTTCATATGGCAGTTGGTGGTGGGGAACTTTGCGGGGAGAGCCAAACACGCATTTAGCGGGCCGAAGTGGGACACCATTAACAAGCTTTCATGTCAGTTAAACAGGGGGCCCAAACTACTTCTCCTGTATTCGAGGCGAGGTTAATAGTAATACGACTCTACAGGCGCAGGAGTTGCACTTCGTGTCATGCGGTTTGGGCATGTACTTTCCGATTGGTGGATCAAGGATCGATCAACATGACCACGTTTTTTTTAGGCTGATGGAAATGAGGACGCGTCATTGGTCCAACGCATAAGAGCCGGACGAAGGGCTCATTGCGACAGAACATGACAGGCTTTCTGGAAATCCTACCGAAAGAGCCTGGCGAACGGATCTCGTCGGCGTTGAATAGCCCTAAAAGGCGAGATGATCTTCGAGGTCTCTGGCAAGTTGAATGGACGATTTGATTCTGATAGTCGCTCTGAAGAGAAGATCGTAAATTTAGGCTTAAGCGTCTCTGCTGTGCTCCCCGTGTTGTGCTATATTGATGGTGGAGAGGGGCGTCAGAGACTTTCTATCCTGGCCAGCACATGACGATGTTGGGGTGCATCTGTGACCACGAAATCCACAGCTTGATAGATTGCCTTGTCGTGGCGCAATATCGGTGACGTTCAAATTCCTCGTTTGGCATTCCGATTATGTTTTACTAAAAGGTTTCACTGAGCCGTACGTATCGTGTTTCGTTTCTGATGGTATTCTATCGGTGGCATATAGCCCGCTGGCAGCAGGGAGTCGCAGGCATAGAGAGAAAAGGAGACGACTCTTTGACCTTTTTCCCCGCCTTGTCATACTGGAGCCGCGTCTGCTAGGACTTTAAACCTTGATCATATATAATTTCGGAGGAAAAGAGTTTGGAGCATTACGATCCAATACTGAAGAAGACATTCCCAATCAACCCACAGCCTCCACAAACTCCTCCACATCCCCAACAAATCGTGGGGAGAATTCTCCACCTTACCCGAAAACCCCGCTGGTTTCGGGACGCTAACCGTTTACTGAGCCGTGTCATGAGCACGAGTGGGACAAAGTGGGATAGAGGACCACAGTAACGTTAACATAGCGCTTTCTCCCTGGCGCCTGCATCGGCACACCTCTATCCCTCACTCAAACACTCGCACTCTCCCACACAACAGTCAGCATCCATCCCACCACCTACCACCCGTCCCAGCCTTGATTTTATCCGCGTATTACCCAGCCACAGAACCTCAATACACACACGCTTTGCCATCTCTTACTGCCAATCTCAACACTCTTCGAATGCTGTGAATGTCTTCGCATACCTCTACTTATTGCGCCGACTGAGCACTGTCACTACTCACTCACTGTTCGTAGCGATATTCGACGCAGGGACAAGTGCTAGCGCTGAATGAGGACCCTTATCGGCGTGAACGCGCAAAACCCGCACCAGCCGTGGTCCCAACGACCGTCGCCAATATGCCTGGAATTCTGCCTATGAAAGTGATCAAGGTCGGGACGACCGCGCAGAGCCGGATAGCGCAGGCCTGCGATCGCTGCCGGAGCAAGAAGATACGATGCGATGGGATTCGGCCGTGCTGCTCGCAATGCGCAAACGTCGGATTCGAGTGCAAGACGAGCGATAAGCTTAGCCGACGAGCCTTCCCACGAGGATATACCGAGTCGCTGGAGGAGCGGGTTAGAGTGTTGGAAGGAGAGACGAGGGAGTTGAAGGACTTATTGGATGAGAAGGATGAAAAAATCGATATGCTGTCGCGGATGCACAATAATCGAAGGATATCGAATTCACCGTTGAGTTCATCGCCTGTTGTCGTCGAAAAACCCGCAGACTCGCCGCAAAACAAAGACGATACCTTCCGGGTGCAAGCAGTGCCGTTGCAGCTCGAGTCGGACGTGTCAGACTCGACATTTATGGGACCCTCGACCGGGAGGACGTTTGTTGGTAAGCGCGACACCGGCTACCGATGTATGTTATCGCTAACCGTAACCTACAGATGCATTCAAGCGCAAACTTCGTGACAGTGGGAAATCATGCTCGGGATACAATCTAGGGACATTCCTCGCGCCACGAGAAGACTTCGTGCCTCGGAGGAGTTCACCTAACGGCCCTAACATCCCTCCACGTATGTTTTCCGATCGATGCATCAACATATTCTGGCAGGAACATGCGCCGCTCTTCCCCGTCCTTCACAAACCAACATTTCTACGGTTGTATGAAGAATACATTGCGGATCCCGAACAAATGGTTGATGACCAGAAGTTGGCTGAGCTCCACCTCGTCTTCAGTATCGCTGGATTCTCAAGCGACCTACCCGACAAGGATCACATCGCTCGTTGCGAGGAGCAGTGGCGAAGGTCTCTCAATGCTCTTCTCATGGATAGTACACTTGGTACTCTACAATGCCTTGTCCTTGCCTGTCTGTATTGTTCTCAAACCGGGCAATACAAGTCATTGCAAACGTACAAGGCCATAGCTGTTGCGCTCGCACAGAGATTGGGACTGCATCAGAGCCAAAAGCGCTTCTCGTACGGCGCTCTAACAATTGAGACGAGGAAGAAAGTGTTCTGGTCTCTGTATACAGTTGACTGGTAAGTGTCATGTCCAACATGACTGTAACTTCTACTGATTATTATAGTTTTTCGGCTGCATCTATGGGTCTTCCCCAGTTGTTGCAAGATTCCGATATCGAGACAGAATATCCACTACCCATCGACGATGAGTATGTCGAGGAACGGGGATATCTTCCTACGTTGCCTGGAGAGTCCTCGAAGATTTCAAGCGCCCTGGCCCTTTTCTGCGCTTCACGGATTCTCTCGAAGGTTTTGCAGAGCTTATATCCTGCGAACACGTCCAAGGATCTCTCGTTGAATACCATGACTGCGTTAGAGAACGAATTGACCGAATGGTCCGAACAGCTACCACCAAACCTCAAGCTTACCTTTGTGCAAGATAAACCGTCTACTGACGTGACCGGGAATCGTTCTGCTCTTCTGGTAAGTCTTGTGAAACCTCTGGAATTTCGGGGTTCTAACCATAATAGTCACTTGCCTATTACCACATTCGAGGGTTGATACATCGTCCTGCTGTTGGATCGACTCTTGGCGATAAAGCGTCCCCATCTCTTATTTCTGTTGCGGATTCTAGTAAACACGCCATCCAGATTATCCAGTTGCTCGAGGAGAGAAGCATGTCGTTCTCCTTCTGTGTCAATAAGAATGAGATGCTCACACTGTGCGGCTTGAGCCTGCTCTACCAAGGGTTGGATCTCAAGAGAGAGGGGAAACTGCTGAAAGACGGTCAACGTCTCATTGGCGCAGTTGAAAACTACCTCGATGCGTTCAAAGCACCAGGCGCAGCTGACTTCCGTAAACTTGTCAGCTCCCTTGCGCCCACTGAGACATCCAAGACATTTGACTACGGAGGCCAGAATCATGCCACAGCACAAACACATTCGCAAGCTGGACGACAAGTCCACTTGCCCGTAACATCAAGGTACACCAACCCGTCTAGCATCGACACGGAACTCCTCCAACAACAGGAGCGCATGCGCCGTGCAACCTTGAACAGCATACCCATGCTCGGACTCGGTAATCAATCGGGATCGCGCCACAAGAAGCCGGACGCGACATCCCGTAGTAAAAGCTACCACAGCTCTGCACCTCGTCAGTCGCAGCCGCCTCCTACGCCATCGCTCATTTCAACTAGCACTAAGCCACGCTCAAGCTCCAACTCAGAAGCAGGGCCTAATCTTAATTACCTTGCGCTTAATTCAGCGCCATCCTCTGATGGACTACGGAGATCTCGTAGCGTAGTCCAGCAGCGTAATAATGAGATCCAGCCGCAGCAGTACAAGACGCCAAACCTGGCGCCGTCGGAGTGGGAGGCCCTCCTCGGCTCGCTCGATAGCGGAAGCAGCAACATTTTCGATGCGGTGTATGGTGGCTCCGTGCCGGGAATGCCAGTAGCCGTCTCCGGTGCTCCAAATCCAGGAGGCCAGCACACGGGTAGTCTCTCGTCGTCGGGCTATGGCGACTGGGACCTGTCACCCGATACGTGGGATATGACGGCTCTTAGCATGGGGGACTGCGACGCGTCGGCTGCAACGCAGAGCGTGCTTAGCCTTAGCGAGGAGAGCCTTAGCAGCGGGGATGATCTCGATTTTGGGGTTCCAGGAGCGCTAGGCGAGTATAAGCAGTCTCTGCTGCAGGGTGGCTTGAATGGGGACGGGTTTTATGTTGATGGCTTGGATGGGAATTTCGGTTTGTCTTGATTGAGATATACCAGCATGGAGTCTGGTTCTTGGGAAGGCGCGTGGTGTGAAAGTCGCGGTGAGAAAGGGAATTTCAACTGGATGATTTACGAGGTAATGTTGGATGGATGGATTTCTTGGTTGCTTTTGCGAGTTGGCCTATAGGATCGATCCCGTATCCGAATATTTGGATGTAGTAAATAGCTGTCATATATCACAATTTTATTTACGGTTTTTGTCATTTCAGGGTGCTTAAAACCCCTATATGTCTCAGTGACTAAGTGGGTGATTGGCCAAGGTCAGGGGTTAAGGGACGTCAGTGTGGTAGCCAAGCTGCAGGTCGACGTGAAATAGTGATGAGCAGGGACTGTGTAACCTCGACAGGAATGTAAATGCTTCTCCTATTCTCAGCCTTGCATTCAAGCAAACATATATTTTTCGTTGTGGAAATGGCGGCCCTCCAGTGTGTTTGTATTCTTTTCCTGTATTCATTCCCTTCCTTTGTTTCCCTTCCCTGTAATTAAAAGCAGCCTTCCTGAGCTCCAACACCGCTTATATGCTAGGTTTTCTGGTGTTTGATTTAACATCAAAATGAAGCCATCGAAAGTAGAGTCATCTGATCCGAGATTGCGCAATGTGCATCTTCGATCGATTTACAGGGAAGCGGAGGAATATGATGTTGGCCCGTTGCTACGCAAGTGCATTACATTATCATCACTACACAACTTGCTTTTGGGCCAAGACCCCTTCATTCCTAGTTGGATTGCTATTGATGGTGATACAAAAAGCCCAGAATTTTGGATTGAGACCCTGACTGAAGTCTCTGTTCGTTCCAATGAGTATATCTGTGCGGGAGCGGCCCCGTTTCACGATTTATTGGAAGGGCGATCTCAGGCACTTTGCACATCGCATGCCCTCGCTCATTTACGCAAGAACTTGAATCTTGACAGCCAGGTCAACCGAACTCCAAATGCCAATGGAAAGCGGCCACGAAGCGATACAAATGGGCCGCCCTTGCGAAGCCCTCAACGCACGGGTTCATCTCCAAAAAGCCCGGAGAAGCCAAAGCTCACACTTAAGAAGTGGCTGGAGATATGCGACGGATCAAGGACGAGCTGGAAAAATATCCATGCCGAATGGAACCAGATGATTTTCGTATCCAAGTCAGCGAAGATCGTATCATGGGATAAACTTAAGGGGGACTGGGAAACTCAGGGGCTTACGCTGTCACTGGGATACTTCACTGATATAACCATAAAACTTGCTCGAAAATGCAGCTCGTTGATTTTCGAGCTTTCGAAGGGGCGAAGCAGCTCAAATAACACACCTCCTCCAAGCTACATCCCACTTGTTCGCGGACTTGACGACCTATGGCCAGCGGCTAAGAATACCGAGTTCGAACGCTGCATCCAGGAAGTTGTTCACGGCAATTTCAGGCCCCAGGCGACCGCACAACTACTGGGATATATTCTCGAACTGGCGCGGATAATAAAGGGGTCTACGATAACCGTGCCTCGGAAATCCCAACAAGCCGAGCTCAAAAAGGCAGAAGCCCTGTGTCGCCGGCAAGCCCGCCAACTCAAAGAAGAACAGATGGAGAAGGATATCAAGAAAAGGGAGGAGCTGTGCCGCCAGGCGGAAGAGAATTTTGCACGAGACACCTTGGCCCTCGACGATGAACGTGCCTCGGTTGATATGGTTTCAGCAAGGCTCAGAGAAGCGCAAGCAATGTGCGATGAAAGGGAGAGTGCATTGGCAGCGAAGGAAGCATTTTGTGCAGATAGAGAAAATGCATTGGCAGCGAAGGAGGCATCTTGTGCAAAGAGAGAAAGCGCATCGACGGTGAAGGAGGTGTCTTGGGCAGCGAGAAATGGTACGCTGGCGGTGAAGGAAGCGTCTTATGAAGAGCGACACGGTACACTGGCAGCGAATGAAGCATCTTACGCAGAGAGACAGCGCGTATTGGCGACGAAGGAAACGTCATGCACAGAGAGACGGTCTCGCATAGAAAAGGCAGAACTTGGGCTTCGAAAGAAGTTGGAAACCTTTGAAGCAAACCAAAAATTACTCCTCGAGGGTCAACGCAACGCTAATAATGGCGATGATAGCCATGCAAGAGACAAGGCTGCGATGACGAAGCGAGAAACCGCAAACATGAGAAGGGAGAAGAATCTTACGGAGAGAGAGCAAAGATTGGATGCTCAAGAAAAGAGCTTAATGTCGCATCGGGCGTGGATATCCCAGAAGGGGAATGCAGCAACTGACCGTGAAAAGGTGTGTGCCGCCAAGGAAGCGGAGTGCAGGGCGAGGGAAGAAGCGTTATGTGAGGGGCAGGCGACAGTAGCAAGTGAGAGACAGGAACTCGAGACCCAAACATCGGCGTTGAGACATAACCAGGCGCTCTACCAGAAGGCGAAAGAAGAGTTGAAAGCAAGAGAGGAAGTGTTATGCAAGGGGCAGGCGACGGTAGGAAGTGAGAGACAAGAACTCGAGACCCAAACATCGGCGTTGAGAGATGACGAGGTGCTCTTCCAGAAGGCCAAAGAAGAGTTGAAAGCAAGGGAGAAAACGCAACACAAGGAACGCGCCGCAGTAGTAACTGAAAGGCGGGAAGTTGAAGTCCAAAAATGGGCGTTGAGAGAGGACGAGGTGGTCTACCAGAAAGCAAAGGGGGAATTGAAAGCAAGGGAGGAAGCGCAGCACCAGGAGCGCGCCGCAATAGCAAGCGAAAGGAAAAGAGTTGACTCCCAAAGATCGGCATTGAAACAAGACCTAACCCTCCACCGGGAAGGTAAAAAGACGATGAAGGCGAATAGTGAAGCGTTGGCTCAGGAGCGGGCAGCAATATTGTGTGAACAGAAAAACATGGCAGCGGCACAAAAAGACTTTGAAAACAAAAAGTCGGTATTGAGGGCGGAGCAGGTCGCTATGTCTCACAACAAGCAAGAAGTGGCAACCGCAATGAAGGCCTTAGAAAGCGAGAAGCTGTCGTTAGGAGCAGATCTGGCCGCTCTATCTCGTGAGAAGGAAGCAGCAGCAGCGAAAAAGAAGGCCTTAGAAATCGAAAGGTTGGCATTGGGCGCGGAGAAAGTTCTCTACGAAAAAGACAAAAATGAGTGGAAAGAGAAGGTAAGAATCAATCTGCAGCAGGTGCAGGAGATGGAGAGGTCCCTCTCTACTTGGTGATTTCGTAGATCTAGATAACTGCTGCGTCAACACATTTATCATTCACATGGGTAGTCTAGCTATAAGAGTCATCTCCATTATAATATAAATAATTAAACTGATTTTCAGTTTAATGATCTTCTAGGTCACCTATTGCAATACTTTACAACGAATCTCTACATAAGTTCCACCCGTTTCGTTCTAAAAGTTCTCCTTCTTAAGACAAAATTTCCACTCATTATCCTCCTCTGATTCTGCTTCAATAAGGCTACCGTGAACATGAACTATGTCGATTTCTACACCGAAACGTTCTCCATATCCCAAATCAGTGTTCGGCACGGATACCAATATACCCTTGGTATCCGGGTATATACCCGAGTATATACCCTACCCGTCGATATTCTAGAGTATCCGGTGTATCTGGGTATATACCCGGGTATATGCCAAGAGTAGCCAAGCATCGCTAAGGCTTCATTTTACAGACGTCGTCTCGACGATATGCTTAAACTATTGCCTTATAAGCATACTAATATCCTTAATATCTAATTATTACCTATTACTTAGGCTATTTAGTAGTTCTAGTAACCTCTATAGTCTTAAAATGAGTATTTAGTAATAATAGTAATATTACTATAAAAAAGTATAATAAGCTATTACTACTAAAAGCTTCATTTTTATATGCTTTTATTCAGCCTCATGTATCCGGGTATATACCCTACCCGTGAGCTTCACGGATACTACCCGGATACATATCCGCCGAACACTGTCCCAAATCCTTGCAACCCTCGGTTTAGAAGCCTCCGCCCAAACCCATCCATTTTTGTTTCTACCAGGCACCATCGTGACTGCTGTTCAGTCCTCTCCCGTTATATCAAGTTGAAATCTCCCAAACGGACGGTCTATTTAGGTCTGGTCGGAACAGCCGCAATCTGGACGGTTTCGCTAAGTTGCGGCTCCAAATTCCGGTTTACCGATGCCAGCAACTTGCAAGGAGTTTCCCAGTTGACGATATAGTGCACAGCTTTGCATCTAGAATCGGCAGAACAAGCATCAAGACAATCATCAAACCCATCCGCAGTTAACCTAAGCTGAGTAAATCCCCTGGTTCGTTTGTTGCAGTAAATCTTGTAAGTCCAATTTCCGTGGGTGACTGTTTTGTTGTCCTTGGTGGGGCACTGATTCAACCCATTCTGCTTCTTTTGCCACGCATCTTCTCCTGCTTGGCAGGTGTTTAAAGAGTTCTGGAGAAGTTGGCTGTTGTTTTCGCAAGCTTCAATCTGAGTCCCACAATCAGCCTCTGGGCATTCTGGAGCCTCTGGGCATTCTGGAGCCTCTGGGCATTCTGGAGCCTCCGGGCATTCTGGAGCCTCCGGGCATGATGGGGCCTCCGGGCATGATGGGGCCTCCGATTCCTCAGCCCTACGGTAGCTCATGTACACTACTCGAGTTCTGCTTCGCAGCTCGGGCTGGCTAGAATGCTCGACTAGGGAGCATGCAGAACCAGGTCGAGCGCTCCACATGCTTCCGACACACCCATCGCTCTGCTCACAGCCAAGGATACAGTCGTCCGGGTTCCTTGCATAGTGTCCAACGGCACGGACTGAGGTGGGTGAGGCTTGATCGCAATGGTAGGTTACAAACAAGCCAGGTTCGATTTCGACTTCTTGGCCATTCTTCGCGGGGCACAACTGATCATAGCCGTGCGAGGCGAAGGAAGATTGACCATTGCAAAGGCTAGCCAACAGGGGAAGGGCTGCGAGGAGAATTTGAAAGTTCATGATGATTAAGAGCTTAGTCAAAGTGCGCTATAGTTCTGAATGAGATAAAGTCAAAGCAACTTGATTGATGTTGCTAGGTGGTGGAAATGAACGACATATTTATAAATTTTGAAGGGACTGGCTAATGCCTGCTTATCGCCTTAAGCCGTCTTGAATGAGTTCATCGCGCACTACGGATAGTACCCGGGATCCCTTATTTGTCTTGCATGTCTCCAACCGCGGCCATTTTAGTCCATAGGAATATCGACGGGCATCATGAATTACCCGGTGATGTTCTACTGTCTTAGAGCACATACATTAAATCTGGCCTCTATAGGTTGCGTCTAACTGACTCGACTGAACCTCTAGTCTAAGGCAAACATCTCATAATTTAGATCGGAAAACGCTTCCCCAGCTTAGCAGAATGTGGAGGAGATAGTAGTAGTGAGACTAGATAACCCACGAACTCAACACATACATAAAGCAGTGGCCAATGATTCTGGATCATGTGATGCCCTGAGCACCCGTTGTTTGACTCGGTGATGCACCTCTTCCCGGCCCCGGAATATTGGGCGACTATCTCAGGGGTATTTGCAGGGGCTCAACCCTACTGTGATGAATGAAAAGGTAACACATCGCCTCTAGAATTTTGCGATTGATATCAGTAGTTGAAACCCGTCTGTCTGTTTGAGACTACAGCGATGTTGTCAATACAGCTCGGCCCTGATCCTGACTTTACCAGGCCCACCTACGGACCATACTGCACCTCTAAGAGGTCGGGATCGCCAAGTACTACCCTGTGACAACAATTCTAATTATGAAACTAGGTTTTATAACTACGCTGGTTGAAGGCTGGAAAGTTACCAGCTGAACTGAAGTGTCGGCCTTGCGCAGTAGCTTGCATTAAATGTAGAGCACCGACTTTATGTCTCGATTATAGGGGTGTTAGATAACAACCTGTAAGCGCAACTTCTGATTAATAAGAAACAGGCCCTTGCTCTCTTTCCCTGAGACAAGCTGAAGAGCAGGGGTCCCCATGATGTAAACACACTTTGAGAGTCTCACATTAACGTAATTCTACAACGTCAAATCTGATATCAAATCCGCCAGCACTGTGGCAGACTTGTGAGCTTTCTGGGAAGCGGTGTGATATTGAAGGCTAGGCCTAGCTGAAGTGAGACCATGGTCCTGAAGACATGAAACATACATGTGAGGAGAAATCACGCCCATCTCCAATCCAATGAAGTTAGTCTTTGAAATGCTCTTCTTGCTCGGCAGTACAGCTACTCAGTTACAATTGTCTACGGAAGCCATTGATTTGTTCGAATACATGTCATTCGTCTCGCGGATGGCTGCGATCTTCCCGCATCGATCGATCCGTTAGCGCCTCTGCGACTCGAGCCCACCAGGTAGAGCAGTTAGTGGAATTACTCACTTATCTTACGTGTGTAACTTACCTCTGGCACCATTAATGTTAAACATTGCTTAGAACGACTACCGATGAATAGGCTAGAGTACACCTTTCCGGATGAAAATACCGTTCAACAGATTGAATGATAGTTCTTACTGGGCGAGGGTGAGATCTACATGTGGAACTGGATTGTAGCATTATGGACACTAACTGTCTCCTAAGAGTAAAGATCTGCGATGCCACTGCATTGCTGCCATCCCACTATGAGGAATAGACACAGCTAGAGATCTGCCATCCACCACGTCAATTAGGCTACAATTCCGATACACGATTAACGTGGCTAGTCGGTAGACTCTGTAACTTGCGGACTGTTGAGCAAAACGGGCCCTAGAGTACGATTATCCGCAGTATGTTTTAGAGGAGTTTTACAGATCGGACTGGCTGGGTTGATGATGGAAAAACTCATCGGTCTACACACATGTCGGATTAGTTGAGCTTGGTTGCAGAAGGGAATGGCAACAAAACTTGGGGCAGGGACACATATTGGTCAAGGCGGAGCGCGTACAACTCATCGATCTTTTGGAGTCTGGTAGCATCTTTCGCTAACATGGTGTGCACCAAGGAGTGGATCGAGGAGCTATAGATCGTGTTTAATTTCAGTTCCTGGTAATTTTTTTTTTGATGTCGCTGGAGTGTAGCGAAGAAAAGCAATTATCCATCACGTGTGAGGTGAAACACTTTCAGGTTGACTGAACGGTTCCATCTCTGTAATTATGTTGTCTCGTTCAATCATGATGGCCTCAAACATTGCTTCGGCGGACCCGCCTATGGCACTTGGCCGTCGACAGGAATTGCAGCAGCTTCGCATCCCGTTCCGTGTTCTCCCACATGAGATTCTCTTTACGCCAAGGTTGGGAAATATCATGAGTAAGCAGGTCTGTTGTTGCCACACATGAATCTTTAAGTGCAAATTCTGACATTCTCAGCAACTGTGCAACTACGTGGATGGCCTACTGGATGAACTTGCCCATCAGTATCCCACGACCGTCTCACCCCAACCAGGTGTGTGGAAGCTCGTCAGAGACAATGTCGACGTAGACTTGGACAAATGGGACCCTTCTAGTCTGGAGCTGGACAAGGCTCTTTTTATTACTTCAATACATTAAAATCTCCCGTGCGATTGTTGCAAGCACGACTGCAACACGCAACGGATCGTGGACGTGGGACAACGGGATGACGTCTGTCCATTTTTCGGATCGGGACGCATTTGTGCTTGAAGGCTATAACCACATCCTTGTAGTCCTTCGTTGCCAAACGAAGCTTAAGATATCAAACAAGAAAAAGAGGATAGAGGAGACAAGCCATACCGTATTCATTCTAACGACATACACAGTGCAAGACTTGCTGAGGTTGATACGGGCCAGCAATGTTTGCAGCATCTTTGTAGAGTCTCACGAGGATAACTTACGTTGGAGTGGCTCGTCTGCAAGCGAATTAGGCTGGCAACACGGCACTGTACTGAGACTAGAACTGTGGTAGATGGGAATGAGCGACACGGCGAACGTTCGCAAATCTAGGTGTTTATTGTATAGGGGGCCGTTAGTGTATTCGCGACTGAATTTGTTTAAATGTAGAGTTAGGTCACTTTGCCAAAGACTTAAGCTGATATGGATCTTAATAGGGGAAGTGAGATTAAAAACTATAAACAATGACGCTAGATACTCCTACCTCCTCCCTATCTAATTAATCCTCCTATCTACCTAATTAAGGAAAGCTATAATACTTATAAGTGATTCTATCTAGTTATAGGACTATAAGATAGTTCTATGAAATTTCTCTATATAGTTTTACAAATATATCTAATGTTCAAGTTAGACGTTATAGATTTAATACTCTATAGGCTTATTAACTCTAGGTCTTTTAACATACTTTCTTACAAAGTGCCTTATTAAGTGGCTAGGACTTTAGAATAAGATAACCCTCTCCTAAATCGTTAGGTTTAGGTTCTTAAGATATATAAAGTATATAGTAGGCCTCTTATCTATTATAAGGGCCTAGTAAGTAGAGTAGCTATATACTATAGAAGGTAGTATATAACTATATATAGGAGCCCTTATAATCATGATGGCTAATAGGTGGTACCTTAAGACGAGTAGAAAAGAGAGAAATGGAAAGTAGAAAGTAGACCATAGGGACTAGGAACTAGGGACCGCCGTTTAAAGGGTGACCGACATGAGGCTGTAATGAGATCTGTGATCACGTGAATTTGGGTTTAGCATGGAGGTAAAGGGTGCGTAGAACAGGAACCGCGCCCTGCCAAATCTAGCAGCTTCAGCCTCGAGAAGTGGCTTTATTATATAATCGTAGTTTGTTTGAGGTTGTATAGCGATTATACAAGGCTGCCAGCTGCCCTTAAACCTGGCTCTTAGCATGGGACCTACGTATCTGGGCGGTACTAACCGCAATAAGTGACAGATTTGGCGGTGAGCCTTGTTCTGCCACAAAAATTCTCCCCCGCACCTACAAGCGACCCGTAGCACAAACAAATCAACCTCAACCTAGCTTGGGTACTAAAGGTCAATCACAATTGCTACCAAATTACTATCACGATTTAGGCCCTACTCCTGTCGCCTTCTACCATATTCATCGAAGAGTATTTTGCTGGCCAACCCTTTTTCTCACTCAAGCTTCAAGATGTCTGAAATCACTCACCCCACTATCAAGGGTAAGCTAGCTACCCCTCCATTGCCATGACGAACATGAAGTTTTCGGCCGTCCCGGGTCTTGCTCCGAGGTCGTTGGCATCAGAATCCGATTTCCTCGAGTCTACGTCCCAGAGATATCCTTCAATGGAAAACCTCGGCGATGCTCTCATAACTACCCCGCACTTGTAGCCTTGCTACTGACGGAGCACACCTGCTAACGAAGCTCACACAGATGGATGGTTCCGCGAGATCTCCGACATGTGGCCCGGACAGGCCATGACCCTCAAGGTCAAGAACGTCCTCCACCACGAGAAGAGCAAGTACCAGGATGTCCTCATCTTCGAGTCCACCGACTACGGCACCGTTCTCGTTCTCGACAACGTCATCCAGTGCACCGAGAGGGACGAGTTCGCATACCAGGAGATGATCACTCACTTGGCGATGAACTCTCACCCAAACCCCAAGAAGGTTCTGGTCATCGGTGGTGGTGATGGTGGTGTCCTCCGTGAGGTCATCAAGCACGACTGCGTTGAGGAGGCCGTCCTGTGCGACATTGACGAGGTAAACCCCGACACAACTACCCTGAAAACAAGGGCGATTAATCTTACACCCTGCAGGCCGTTATCCGCCTCTCGAAGAAGTACCTTCCAGGAATGGCCATCAGCTACCAGCACCCCAAGGTCAAGGTCCACGTTGGAGATGGATTCAAGTTCCTCGATGACTACAAGAACGAGTTCGACGTCATCATCACTGACTCCTCTGACCCAGAGGGACCAGCCGAGATGCTTTTCCAGAAGCCATACTTCCAGCTTCTGTTTGGAGCTCTCAAGGAGGGTGGCGTTATTTCTACACAAGGTTGTACGTTCTCCTAGGTTTGCGTGCTTTTATCGCTCTCGTTTGCCAGCCGATTTGGCGACATCGTGTGTTCATATACCGTGCCGCCGATCAGTACTTGCTTCACTTGATACTGTTTGCATTTCTGGTTTCTGCGTTCGTCATGTATTGCGAAACTTCTAGAGGCAACCTTACCACTTGAGCTCTGCTAACCTAGGTATCCCCATATCCATTTCACAATGCTGACTGAGACAAAATAGCTGAGAACCAGTGGCTTCACCTGCCATTGATCACCAAGCTTAAGAAGGACTGCAAGGAGGTCTTCCCCACTGTCGAGTACGCCTACACCACCATCCCCACCTACCCCTCCGGCCAGATCGGCTTCATGATCTGCTCCAAGGACGCTACCCGCGACATGAAGACCCCGCTCCGCAGCTTCACCGCCGAGCAGGAGGACTCGCAGCTCCGCTACTACAACGCGGACATCCACAAGGCCAGCTTCATCCTGCCCACCTTCGCCCGCAAGGCGCTCCAGTAGAGGAGGATAGGAGGAGGGTTTGATTATGATTTGATGATATCGAGGAGGATATATAACTGGCTGTTGGGTGTGATTGCGCCATGCTGATTGCCATTTTTTGGCGTAGCTTTGATGGGCAAGTCTGCGTCTGCAGCATCGGGTAGATATCATACTTTGACTAAGCGGGATGAAAGCAATATTAGAGTTCTCTCCCAAGAGTGTTTGTGATTCTAGGTTCAGTGCCGTCATATGTGTTATAGTAATATTGATACAATCGGGACGCCACAGGACAAGATAGGAGAATGGACGGAGCAGTATAATATCCTCGCATCCCAGCCTCATTCACGCGGATATCCGCTTGTAGATTGCGTTCTTCATCGGCCATCCACACCTCTCACGTCCTTCTCCGGCCACCAGCATGCAGACACCAAACAGCCACAGGCCGTACATATACCAACAGCCCCCCTCCCACAAACCTTAACCTCTTCCAAATTCACCCAACCACCTCGACTACCCAAAAACACAAGCACCCACAATGACAGTCCCCCGCCAGCAAGACGCGCCTCCCAACCCATCAGCTATCTCCACCGCCCATGAACCCCCCACAACACCCTCCCTGCCGAAAGACTACAAGAAAGTCGTCAAATCTCTCATTCGCCGGCGCGACATAAGTCTAGAAGTCAAGATCGACCTCTGGAAGCGATTTGTCGAGTACGAAGCCTGCGTGGATGAAGAGAGCCATAATAATGACGAAGAAGAGCCTGTCTTTACCAATACCAACGCGACAACGGTGGGTGAGATTGGGCCGGATGTCGAGATGCCGGTTCCGTGGATGGAAGACATGCCGAACTTTGGTAGTGGTAATGGCGATTTATGGTATCATGGGGGGGATGGAGATAGCGGGTATGAAGGGAATGGGAGTCATAGTGTTAATGGAGTTGAGCAGGTCGAGGGAGACGAAGCTATGGATGATGTAGCGTCTACAGAGGTGGAGGAAAAATAGCGACGGTGCCGGGGAATCTGTTGAACAGGAAATCGCTACTACCATCAGCAAGGGTAACAACCAGGAGAAGGACGACGGAGATAACAGCAATGAGAATGGAAATGGAAATCGCAGCCTCGACGCCACAGCTCCCATCTCGGGGGCAGAGAACATCGCAGTCGTCACCTCCAATGGTAACCAAGAAACCAACACCGACGTCGCCAACACCACCCAACACCCCGACCCCCACCCCAACCTCTCCAACCCACCCGACCTGCCAAACAACCCAACCACAACATTCACCCAAGTCCGCTCCGACATCCGCTCCTACTTCGCCACCCTCGCCGAGCGCGAGCGTCTCCTCGCCTCTCGAGAAAAATGGCTTGCTAACCGCGCAGAAGCGCTATGGAGGAATGCGCAGGTTTTGGCGGGAATATTGGGGAGGGGGGTTGATAGGAAGGAGAGGAAGAGGGTTATGAGGGAGTTTGGGGGGGATGATGGGGGTGAAGAGGAGGAGGAGGAGAGGGGGAGGAAGAGGACTAGGCGGGTTTAGGGTGGGGTGAACAGAGCGTTGTTCTTTCCTTGTATGGAGTTGGGGTGGGCGTTCTTTCCTTGAGAGTGTTGTGGCTTGGGGGTAGGGTTTGGATGGGAAGGAAGGTGGGTGGATTATGGGTCGTTCTTTCCTTGTGCAGTGTTCTGGCGGTGGATGGGCGTTCTTTTCTTGATTATGGGTGTTGGGTGACGCATGGTTGCCCTTTCCTTTGGGGTGTTATGAGTGTGACTTGGAAGGAGCGAGAGGAGTTGGATGATGGGTCGTTCTTTCCTTATGTGGTGCTTTCATGGCGAATGGTTGTTCTTTCCTTGTTTGTTGTCCGTTCTTTCCCTCAGGTGTAATAGGGTTTGGCTAGGAAGGAGCGAGATGAATCGGATGAAAGGGTTGTTCTTTCCTTATGTGATATTTCGGCGGCGATGGGCTTTCTTTCCTGAATGTTGTGATTATTAAGCCGTGGATAGTCGTTCATTCCTTCTTGTATGATAGTCTCTATCGATGGTGGTTCCTTCCCCGTAAGCGTGATAGTAGTCAGGGGATATGGGCTGGCGGCGAAGGTTAGTCAGGAGTAGTAGAATCAAACATCAGGCCATACCATAGCATTGCAGTCACGCTGCGCGCTTGTGCCTGTTTCCCCCCCAGAGTTTCGAGTGGCAGCGGGCTTGTCCTGACTGCCCACATTCATGAGGTTGTATTCTGGATCGTGCATAACGCCTCAACGTCCACTCGAACTTTTGCTTGCATTTATCAAACGGATATATATTGCAAATATTATCATATATATTTTGAACAGACGACGCATACAGACAAGGAATATATTCACGGCTCTGTCTAGCATCACTTGAAACTATCATGGGCATCTCCAAGCGCAGCCGCGATAACGACGACCAACTCCACCCAAACGACAGCAACCCAAATCATAAGAAAATGAAGACGAAGACAAGCATCCTTCAGAACAATAGAGATATACCGCAAACCACGACACAACCCGAAACCCAAAAATCCCTAAACTGGACAAGCCTAGGTGAGCGAGTAAAGCTTAGGCACGGCCATACAAGCGATGCGTCTGTGCGCAGGGACGTTGATCAGTTCTCAGATTTCGACCAGAACGGTACTTTAGTCGAGCAAGTTGATAAAGAGACAAAGGTAAGGCTACCTAACCTTAGATATGAAAGTGGTGGTGCTAGAGTCGTTACTGACGCTTCCAAGGTTTCGTACTCGACAGTCGATGAGGAGAACGAGAATGGCGCAACAACCACTGGCGAAGCACAAATACTCGGCGACGAAGCACTTACAACGTCCGACGATGAGGGAAGTGATACAACTATCGATGCGCGCACAGATGGCAGCAACGAGGATCTTGTAGCCACCGCGGAGGCACTTATAAATATCGGAGAAAGGCATGCAGTCCCCAGCGCATCACCTGAGAGAGCTGCAGAGGCACTTTTACTCTTTGCCGCCCACGACATCCGCGCAGCCTCTGAGGAGGTCGTTGCCACAGCTGGATCGTACGCGGGGGCTAGTGGAGGTTGCACAGAAACTGGTGAACAACGGACTACCAACGAGCCCCAAACGACACTTGAAGTCCAGCTCGAAGTGCAAGTTGCTGCAGAAACACTTGCTCGACTCCACTTAACCAGGCCAGCAGAAGCGCACGATGTGATAACTGCAGATGACGAAGCAAGCGCAGCACCGAGTACTTGGAAACCTAGAGTGGCAAGGATATCAGCAATCATAGCAGATGAACCAGGCCCATCTAAGCCATTCGGAGATTCAACCCAAGTGGCATCAAAAGCATATTCCCCTTCCCCATTGTCGGCATCGACAACCCCATCAGCATCAGAACCAGGACCAACACCCGCAGAAACTGCAGAAACCGCCCGCCTCGCTCGCCTCGCCCACATCGACACCCTCATGATCCCCCGCTGCCCCGTGCAACGCTACCTCCTCGGTCTCCAGCATACCTTAAACGCCAAACAGACGATATACAAGTGGGAGGGCTGCTGGTATGGGCGGGAGGGTTGGCGGCGCGAGATATTGGAGTGGATGCAGCTGGAGAGAGAGATCAGGGGGATGGGCATGGGGGAGTGGGAGAACGTCTGTGATTTTGAGGATGACTGGGAGGACGTTGAGGATGATGAGGACGCCGAGGGGTGATGGGTGAGGTGGAGGTTGATGTGACAGGCGGTGGTTGGGATGTCCGGCATTTAGAGATGAGATGGAGATGCGACTGGTGGTGTCGATCTCAATCAGAGGTGTTGATGGATCTGGGAGTCAAGGGAGACACACTATGGTCTAGAGCGTGTTGATCGACGAGCACAAGCGACGGCGCCAACATGTGCGCGCACACGTTGGCGACCGCACACACACGCCGCCAAGGAGGTCCCATCAATATTATCAACATCTCTATTTCGAGATGCAGGAGTTGACGAGTTCTTCCTCCGCAGCAGACACGCGCCCAACATCTCCTTATCCTCCTGACCCCATTACCGCCGCCATAAACCCAGTCCGTGCACGCACCCACTGGGCGCCAAGCTCCTAGCTGTCGGCGAAGGCCGTGGTGACGCGCGGATGTGGCTCCGGTCCGCAATTTGACGTGTGGCTCGGGGAGTTGAGTGGCGTGGCGCAGGCGGACCCCATAATGCCGCAGCTTCACTTTCAACTCGCGCACGCAGCGCCACATATCAACAACATATGCATGTGAAATGCCGCCGGGACATGCAGGATACGGTGGGGCTGGGTAGGGCGGAGATGGAGCTCAATTTGGTGGAGGCTGCGCGCTTGGTATTGCAGTTAGGTAAGCTGGTGTTTCGGGTACCGGCACATATTTTGGCTGGGCGTTTAGAAAGGGAAGGGAATGCTGTTTTTTGGTGGTAGTTAAGGTGGTATTGTTTGTGTTGGGGCTGTTGTCTGTTGTCTGTCGTTGTTGTTATTGTTTGGTTGTTGTGTTGGAAAATCTAAGTCACAGTGTCACTACTAGACGGCACCTACGTTATGAATTACCTGTCACTTTCTTGGATAACCATGACAGAACAAAAGTAATTTAGAGAACAGTATAGTACAGTGCAGCAAATTATTAATAGGCATTTCGTCAGAGACTCGACCCGGAATCAAGATCCCTTCTAGTAGAAACTAGAAACTAGAAACTGGAAATTCCGTGTATTGCATAATACGCACAACTATTTTTTTTCAACAATAAGCCAAAAAGCCAAGTCTCTACGTAAACATATGATCCCCCCAAGCTATGACGTAATGACGTCATAACTGTGGCGCACCTCACTCCCTGCCACCTATCTGCCACCTCTCACTTACCACCCCACCCTTCCCGCTTCTCTTATTGGTCCCATCGCCACGCACAGACCAACTAATCCCAGTCAGCCCATCACCCCTCCAAGCGGTGACGTTTTACTGTCCCCCCCGGCCAGCCTAGTCCACCTCGCACCCCCCCCCCAACCAAAAAAAAGTAGATACAGATTTGGCATGCGCCATACTCTCGTCAGTGCTACCCGATCGACCAACTGTTGCGTCCTACTTATAAAAGACGTTTGCCCCGCCCTCTCCTACTTTCTCTTCTTCAAGACAATCACAAACTATTCACAGTAGCTTCAACAAGTAACAAACACTTCATCAATCGACCAAACACCAACAAACGAAAGTTAATTCACACAAACCTTCAAAATGGCTTTCACTGCTAGGTACGACCCTCCCCTCTGCGCAGCTTCAATTCACCAGCTCTTCACCCAGAACAGCTCTTGAATTCGAAGCTCCAAACCCTTACCTCACTCTCACTCTGAACCCTCCAAACTAACACCCCCTACCAGCGACATCTGCAAGATCATCCTCGCCATCTTCCTCCCTCCCCTCGGCGTCTTCCTCGAGCGCGGCTGCGGCGCCGACCTCCTCATCAACATCCTCCTCACCATCCTCGGTTACATCCCCGGAATCATCCACGCCTTGTACGTCCTCCCCCCACTCACCTCCTGCACCTCGTAAGCACTGCACAGCACAGCCAGCTAACAAAACTCACAGGTACATCATCTTGAAATACTAAGCGCGTCACCGCCCCGGAGCACCCTCCCGCCTGTCTCCCTTCTCTCTCATCGCCCTCCACAATGACAGCGCGCGCTCCGCCTTCTTCTTCTTCTCCTCCTCTCATCTGAACCGTCTCGTCTCGTCACAGCATGCGCTCCGACCCGACTCAACCACCACCCCTGCGCGGCACATTCTAGCCGGAAAGCTTGGCGACTCGACTATCCAGCCCAGCCCAGCGCGCATCCCTGCGCTGAGGCTGGAAGGATACGAAAAATTGCCCAGCTGCCCAGTCTTGACGTAATGCGCGGTACTTGAACGAACCCTGGTGGATAGCTCGGGGGGGCCGGACCCTGCGAAACGCATCGGCTCGTTTTCGGTTGGGGACTTGATCTCTCTCTGTCTCTTTTTCTATTTACGAAGTCGTTTTTTTGAAACCAGATTTTTAGTCTACGGACGCTGGGATTTGCACTGCGCTATGAGGGGGGTCGTTGTTACACACGCACACGGGGTGTGTGGATGTGGGGGAGTCGGAGAGAGGGGAGTTGGTTGATAGTTGAGAAATTTAATACATGATGATTCCCCCATTACATTACGTTTCCGTGCTTCCATTTGATGTGCATTTGGTCTAGACGGGGAGCTACGTGGTTTGTGTCTCATTGCGACGGAATGGATGGAACGGTGATTTTTTGTCCTATGCTTTGATGTGTTGTACTGTCTGTGCTAACGGGGTGGCTGGTGTGGTGCAGGGCCAGGTGATGAGCTAACTGCTCTACTAAGGCTGTAAGTGGGGGGTTGTGGATACCCTGTAGTGCGACCCTGGTGGAGAAGGGACGACATGGGACAGGGATGGTTTACTGGCTTGTGGCTTGCGCATTTCTGCAGCGATGTGGATGTTGTGGTGGTCTAACGGCTGGACCGGCCTGGACCGTTCAAATACCGAGATTGTAGGACCGGAAGGAGGGAGGGAGGGAGGTTAATTTCATCCTTCTATGTGTTTCACGGCATGGAGAAGGGGTTTTAATGGTTTGCTAGGTGGGTTTTGGTGGTTTATGATGGGTACCAATGCACGACACTTGGCTGCCTAGGTGACAGGCTGGCCGAGATCGCAGGATCAGATGGTGGATGCATAGAGGGTGAGAAAGTCAATTCATCCTTCCCGCCTTATGGGCAAATGCTGTGCGCAATAACTAGCTAAATAAGCAGGCAGGTGTAACGTCGTCCGGCTCATTCCGTCCTTCTGCCGCCCATGAAAGTGTTGGATCATGCCACTGCGCTGACGCCGAGTGAAGGAGAAGAAGAAGATGGAAATCGTGACTGATCATAAAAGGCATCCCGGCATCTCATGTTTGAAGATGTTACGCCGCGCTGTTGGTTACGCCGCACTGTTGGTGACGCCCGAGGAAAGAAAAAATAGGTCGTGAAATGCACATGTTTCGTCGTTGCGAAGAAAAAAATAAAAGAACAGAAAGAACAGAGATGTTGCGTGGACGGGCGTGATAAAGTGAAGAGATCAGACGAAGGTGCTCGAGTTCTTGAGGATATTCAAGTTGTCTAGGCTATGTCCTCATCGCGTTGTTGCTCGGGCTCTTAAGAATGCCATTTTAGAAATCGCTTGGTTTCGTCGTCGTCAGTTCGGTGTTTGCGTCCAGTGTCATATTCGCATCACCAATCCCCAGTATCCCAATTCCAGGGAGTATTCTTGGCTGAAGAGGGAGCGGCGCGCTTCTCAGCTTCAACCCTACACAGTCCACATGTGCAGCCCCACTCCCCAGTGCCGAGCCCGAAACAATGAGGAGGGGCCGCCTTCGCGTTCTCGTCACCATAAACTTCGCAACCCTGACGCCCGTCACATCCCAAGCCTCCGTTGCATTTGCATCGTTTCCCGGCGCCATTCTTGTCAGAGGACTGCATGTGGATGTTCCAGATATTGTCTCGCTCGCGACACGACGTACATGCGCATCCCCATTTACCAGAGCAATCATCGACAAGAGTGGAGGGTAAAGGCTCCTCAGTCTTAAACATGCTCCATGCGGTGGACTCATCGTCCTTCGTTGAAGTGGCTGCAGAAGTATTTCCGTGCCATCCGTTCCACTCCTGAATACCGGTAAATTTGTTCTTCGCCTCTATACGGACTACAGCGTCCCTCTCGTCATTCGCCGTAAGAACTGCAGTCACCTTCTTAACATCTGAGAGCTTAATCTCTCTGCCACCGAAAATTACCCTCTTGGCCTCCTCCTCGATCTCCACAGCCATCTTATTAAGATCCGCCAATTGGGTCTCATTTTGGTTCCAATGCAGAACCTTGGCTTCAACGTACATCTTGACCTGCACCGCCAGCTCGAGCACACTCGGCCAATCCCCTGTCGATGACCCGCCCCGATCAGCAAAGGCCTTTTCCGGTTCATCCATCAACACCTTATACTGGTTGTGCAGACTCATCCTGAGCTGCTCCAGGCATTTTTCGCGAGATGCCACTGCTACCTCTCGTTTCCCGACTAGCTGGATGCGCGTTCCTATATCATAATTTTGCTTCGCGGTATCCCTTTTCAGCTCTTCGCGCGCATTGGTCAGCTGCTCCAACTTTTCCTGCAATTCCGTAGCTTCCTGCTTCGTTATGGTTATTCTAGCTTCCATATCACCCTCGTGGCGCTGCAACAGTGTCTCGCGGGTCAACTGGTTGTCCTCACGTTTTAGTGACTGATCTTCACGAGTCTGTAGCAGGCTCTCACGAGTCTGCAGTTGGTCTTCACGCCTTTGTAACTGCTCCTCGCGCTGTTGCAACAGCCTTTCAATCTCCTGTCGTTGTTCTTGGTACTTCTCCCACTCGACCTCGCGGGTTTGCACACTGTGCTCACGCTCCGCCAACTGTAACTCACGCTCCTGTAACTTATTCTCAAGCTTCTGTAGCAGCCCATCGATCTCCTGTCGCTGCTTCTCGCGCTTGTGCAAATGCTCTTCACGCTGCTTCAGCAGCCCCTCGGCCGCCTGTCGCTGGTTCTGGTGCTTCTCCCACTCCAGCTCGCTATTCTTTAGGTTCTGCTCGCGCTTTTGTAATAGCTCAGCGAGCTCCCGTTGCTCCTTCTCGCGCCGATTTAACGCCACATCGGTCTCGTGTTGCTGCATCTCGCGGCGTAGCAGCGAGCTACCTAGCTCGAGCAGGTGGCCCGAGCGCTTCTGTAGCTGATCCTCGCGCTGCGCAGTGTCATGTTGCGCTAACTGGCGCTCGTCTCTTGTTGGGTCGTAGAAATCTCGAGCAAAACCCCGTGGGCCTTGGGTAGTTGGAATAACAGCACGGACGTTGGGCTTTTGGGCGGGGCCATTACGAACAGCTTTCTGGCGGGGGATGTCCACGTTGCCCAAAGGTTGAAGCGGTTTCTGGAGCACGTCGAGCTTCTTGGAGAGTTGCTCGCTATTAACTGCTGCTTTCATGTTCTGTTTATTGACCATCTCCTTTCTTAGAGACAAGTCCAACTTGTCTATCTGTTTTGAAGTGGAGCGTGCTGCTCCATCCAATGGCTTGGGAACCCATACATCTGGTAAAGCCGGATCACTTGTGCCCTTTCTAAGCCAGCTCATTTGTTCTTCCCATACGCCATCGCGTGCCGACTTTGGGAATCCGATCAGATACTCGTGCAAAGGGTCCCAAGTACTTTTGTCGCCGCTCCAGAAGGCAACCCAGAGGGCGATGTTCTTTCCGGAATGAGAAACATCGGAATACATGACGGGGTTGGCGGCGGGTAAAGGTACCGGGACAGCATCGACCATGTTCTCACGTCCAGTCGTTCCGAAGTCCTGAATCGCCAGTTGTTGCCTCTCACTTTTCACTTCGAGTTCGCTTTTCACATCGGGTTCGGATACCGATATGGCATCTGTGGTGACATCTCTGGTATGTGGAGAGCTATTATTGGTATTTGCAGTCAAATTTGGACCCTGCGTATCCATGGGCGGCATCAATATCGACTCATAGCTCTGGCCAGAGCGGATTCTAAGAGGCTCAGTCTTGGGGATAGCGTCTTCGGTGTCCCATTCAACCTCGTCACTCTTTTCTCTCACTGGTTCTTTAGCCTCCTCTGCCGGCTCTCGGGCATCCTTCGCCGGTTCTTTGGCTTTGGTAACCGTTTTTGCCCAAAGTAAAACGTTCGCCTGAAGATCGCGAATTTCCTGCAGCATCTTCTGTACAGCAGCTTCCTCTTCAAATGCATTTTTGTTGGGCGAGCCATCTGGGTGGGTCAGAAAGACTTTGGTATTCAGAGGCGTAACTTTCATTTGTTCCATAATGCTCCGCAACTTGGCATGAAGTTTGCTTAATTCATCATTGGAAATATGGCCTGTAAGTGCACCAATTCTCTTCTTTAGATCGTTCAGGACCTGGGTCTCGTGGAACTTGTCGTGATTCCTCTCCAACCCCTCCGCTTGCTCAAATTTACTCACTGGCACAGGAGCCTTCTTCGAATCGATTCTCTTCCGCAAGCGTTCTTCTTCTTCTTGGAGCTCGCGCAAAAAGGTCTTCATATCTTGTTGCGTGTTCTGAAAACGATATACCAAGTCTCGGCTCTCGCCACGCTCCTCCTTAGATCGCACATTGTAAACATCCTGAGGTAGACCTTGGTGGACGAATGTTGGCATAGTTGCTGGAGGGCCTGTCGCTTGAATAGGTTCGCGTAGAGGACTATCAGTATCTGAGAAGGTCGCCAAGGCTTCGATCTGAGGATCTTGGTTGGGGGAAGGGGCAACTGGCGGAGGGATCGCAGGTTTGGCAATGCGCTTTCGCACCATGGCTGGCGATGTAGTGTTGATAGGTAAACTATTTGAGAGTTAATAATGAGTAGAATGAGCTTTGGTTGATTACCCACCAAGGTGTTTTGTGTAAAGAAGGTGGTGATCTGAAAACGTATGGTTAATCAGAGAAGTTTTGAGGTTGTGAAGTGTTGGAAAAACAGGCACAAAGAGTTGTGATGTCGTATTGACAACAGGTAAAGCGCCACTGTTGTGGTTGAGGTGTAGTTTGTAAGGCTGTCGAGGTGAGGTTACACGGCTGGAGTTTCGATCTCACTGAACATACCCACGAGGCTCCAGCTATTTGTTCTCTCAAAACCAACCGGAGTGGTAGAAGGTGTATTTGACAGTAGGTGTATTGTTTGCCGTCGGATATATTCCGAAGTAAAAAGGGTCTACTTCAGTTACGGTTTGATTTCTTTGTGTTGTCGTGAAAGGCGTTGGAGTTGAAGCAAGGGAGTCCACGCGGCTGCCTGGCTATATGCACGAGAGAAATTGGCTGCATACTCCATTCAGGGATGCTCACAAGTAGGTATGTATGACACTGACCAAACACTTTCATTGATTGAATAATTGCTGCCTCTAAACTCAAGTTTCAAACTGTTTCTGTACTTGATTGTTTCTATCAAATGTTTCGTTATTATTGTATTGGTACTGATAGGCCGCGGGGTTGATGCTGCAAGGCTGGATGCTTCAAGCTTCCTTGTTGTACAGCCAATTGAGAGTAAGCAAGAACCATTGAAACTCAATTAAATCATTGAAACTGTAGACAAATTGTATAGCAACTTAGAATAATTAATACTTATGTGATAGCACATGGTATGTTTATCCTAGCCTGGTATGGGCCCATGGTGTATTCCAAAGTTTACAGAGCTCTCATATCTTTATCAGGTTATATAATCACGTGATGTCGATTTCTGTTTGTGAACATTCCCTTTTCCCACTGAGAAACTCACCAAGAGCAAACGCGTCTAATGGCAGCTACATAGCTGCCATTAAGCGCCCCTCCAACAAGTCCTGCCAGGGAGGTATGGCTCAGTTGATAAGTATCAACGCCTGGCAGTTGTCACGCGAGTGCGTGTGACTTGGAAACTCAGTTCGTCTGGTTTCGGGGTTCAAGTCCCAAACAGCTTGATTCTCTTTTGCATTTTTTTTTGCTTATAGTAGCTCTTAATATCCTCCTACTTCATTCAAAAATGATATATCAAGCTCATTATCACCTGCAATCAGCTGAATTCACGTGATTTGATAAAGTGTAATATTTGCCAAGGCGGCTCCGCCTAAATGTTGTTCCGTAAAGCCCTATTGCCGTGCTAACACAAAAGTGGATAGCGCAAAAACTCTTGGCACCCACAATCCTCTGATTTGATCGCGACAGACTATTTTATCTGGATCTTCATCGACAATCGACAAGGCGTAGGATTATACTTCTTTGCGACCACCAGTCAACATTCAAAATGGCTCCTAACACCGTACGTTTATGTCCCTGAACCGCTTTGCTGTTGGCTAGGCTTCATCATACTTCCTGGCCTCATGGCCTTGAAGGCACGATGTCGCTGCGGCGTGATACAGTAGGCTAAGACTCTTTTTTTACAGAAATCCGCGAAGGGCAAGCAGGCCAAGATCACCAAGAAGTTCATCATCAACGCCTCCCAGCCGGCGTCTGACAAGATCTTCGACGTCTCTGCCTTCGAGAAGTTCCTCCAGGACAAGATCAAGGTTGACGGCCGCACCGGAAACCTCGGCGACGTTATCCAGATCTCCCAGCAGGGTGAGGGCAAGATCGAGGTCATCGCCCACCAGGAGTTCTCCGGAAGATACCTCAAGTACCTGTGAGTATTCACCTACTGGCTGTCGTGGCTGTAGTAGCCAAAGTTCAGAAGCACATACTGATTCCGTTCCAGTACCAAGAAGTTCCTCAAGAAGCAGCAGCTCCGTGACTGGCTCCGTGTCGTTTCCACCTCCAAGGGTGTTTACGAGCTCCGCTTCTTCAACGTCGTCAACGACGAGGCTGAGGATGATGAGGAGTAGATTTTCTGCTCTCCTTCGGACACACACAATGCAGTGAAGCAAGCTGCCTGTTAGCAGTTAATTCTAGCTAGCCAAATGCACTTCTACCGCTGCATATCTTTCTCTTTGCAATGCCTGTCTGTGATATGCATGACCAATTGTCCACGGCGCTCTAATCCCATCAATTGGCCTATTTTGCTCGCAATGTCATATTAATAACTAGTGAGAAAGATGCTGCCTTATCCCTCTACACCTGCCAATCGCCCAAGTGACATTGTCCCAGTCTTAACGATATTTAAATGCTTTGATAAACTTGATATCTGAGCGCCTACGAGCACATGTTTGTAAATTAAAAATTTGTGCCTTGCAGCGGGCGGGTGTGGCTCTGGAAAGGCTGACAGGGTTTGTAGAACCCTGAAGATCGCCCGCCGGCTAATAATCGATAGCGATTGAGCTCCGATATCCGAAATATATCAATCAGTGACTCCCATATTGTATTACAAAATAAACCCACCATACTCGCCATTATACTGTACGTTGGCTGCCTGATATATGGCGGAGAAGCTGTAGCGGCCTTCCACTTATCGATTGGAGGACTAAGTTATCGCAACACTGCATAGTCCAGATAACGCCAGCCACCCTAAGAGCTAGATGATGTGCGATTAGGTCGTCAAGTCGATGTCCGCAGAATCAGTGAGCCAGAATGGCCTGAAATTGGAGAGCGCAGGGGCGCCAGATAAAAGCAATGCGCCGCCAAAACAACAAAACTACAAGGGCTTCATCGCTGGCGTCTTCTCTGGAATCACAAAGCTTGCAGGTAAGCTTCCAATGAAGAGCTGAACCGATGACAAGACACTGACACCTCGCGCGCAGTCGGCCACCCCTTCGATACGATAAAAGTCCGCCTCCAAACCTCGAAGTCATCCCAGTTCAACGGGCCCCTACAATGCCTCATGCAAACGATCCGCAACGAGGGCGTCGCGGGACTGTATAAGGGCGCCACGCCCCCCTTGATAGGATGGATGTTCATGGACAGCGTCATGCTAGGCTCCCTCACATTCTACCGGAAGTTCCTACACCAGAACGTGTTCACGCCTCCTCTCGCTGCCACGTCGTCCTCCTTTGCGGCGCTCCCAATCGGCCACGAACAAAAACCCCATAAGCTCCCCGTTATCGGCCACGCTATGGCCGGTGTCATGGCTGGGTCAACGGTCAGCTTCATCGCTGCGCCGGTAGAACATATTAAAGCGCGTCTGCAAGTGCAGTACTCGTCCAACAAAGCAGAGCGGTTGTACAAAGGACCGGTGGACGCCATCCAGAAGATTTACCGCTTCCATGGCGTCCCAGGCCTCTACCACGGTCTGACAGCCACACTGCTATTCCGCAGCTTCTTCTTCTGCTGGTGGGGCAGCTACGATATCTTCACTAGGAAATTGACCGAGAATACGAGCCTGAGCACGCCGGCGATTAATTTCTGGGCCGGGGGGTTGAGCGCACAGGTCTTCTGGTGCACGAGTTATCCGAGTGATGTGGTGAAGCAACGCGTTATGACTGATCCGTTGGGAGGCGGATTGAATGATGGTGTAAGGAAGTTCCCCAACTGGAGGAGCGCGGCAGTGGCGGTGTATAGAGAGAATGGGTGGAGGGGTTACTGGAGAGGATTCTTGCCGTGCTTCCTGCGCGCGTTCCCGGCGAATGCGATGGCGCTGGTGGCTTTTGAGGGGGTTATGAGGGCTTTGAATTGAAGGGGTCTGTCTATATAGATGAATGGGGGACTCGGCGTCTGGAATTTAGAGGGAATAGAAATTTTGCGCATGCTCTGTCTATAAAGTTTGCCTCTAATGTTCACTATTTGAAGCTCACATACAATATATGTTAATTATATCGCCGGGCTTATGGGCACATACCACCGCGGCATGGTGGGGCATATTGCACATGAAGGATCATAAGCACGGGGAAGGGGCCAAATAACCTTACTATGGCGCAGCCAATAGGGCCATGAATCTTACCTCATGGGCGAGCAGCGATTAGTCGGAGCCGGTGGTTATATAACATGCGTTAATCGCGCACGTACGCGTGGAATTGCGGTGTGTTGGAAGTATCCCAGGTATCTGTGGTGGCGGGCCATGAAGAACCACCCGAGACCAAACTCCTAACTCCGACGGCCGCGATCGTCACCCCCTCAGCCTCGAGGGTAGCCTGGTGAACGACGGGATGCCCCTTCCCTTTGTTCTCCACAGAAGGGGCAAACCCAAATACTTAACTACATCGGTGTGCAAAGTGATATAAACCTCTTCATTGCCCACTTTCTAGTTTGCGGTCGACAATTCGGGGAATCCTGGTCGTTGCCGTTTGAGCTGAATACCCTTGCAGCCCTTCAGGTGTCGGCACGCTGATATACATATATACATTTCCAGAAACGTGGAAAGTGAAACAAAAACCACTGTTCTGAACTACAGCATCTCATATTCGAAATAGCGACTTCGATTTGATCTCATCTATCTCATCGCATCTGGAAATTGGATATCACAGAACAGCAATGGACGACCGGACGCCACTTCTGGGAGGACCCTCGAGCGCTCCCCACCGTTCGTTCGCTGTCTACATCTCCCCCAACCTCCGCTGATGAAATTACAGCTAGTTTTACCCTTGCCAGGAAAAATGCCGATGGTCAGCGAAGACCGCAGGCTATCGGCCATCGGGGTTACAAGGCAGCCTTCCCTGAGAACTCTATGGCCGCCTTCGAGGGTGCTGTCAAAGTCGGCGCCGATGCCATTGAAACCGATGTTCACTTGACAAAGGACGGCGTGGTAGTACTCTCACATGTTTGTGCCCTTCTATACTGACTCTATGAGCTGAGCTAATGAACCTCTAGGACAAAACTCTTAAACGCTGCTTCGGCCTCGACAAGAAGATTATTGACTGCGAGTGGTCGTACATAAAGACTCTTCGTACAGTGGCCGAGCCAAAGCAGTCCATGCCTCGGCTCCTAGATCTACTGGACTATGTTGCGAGCCCTGGGCTGGAGCATATATGGGTTCTACTGGATCTCAAGGTAGTTCTCCACTGGTATTTTGAAGCTACCGGGTATTTAACAAGCATGATCAGTTAGACAATGATGCAGACGACTTGATGCGGCTGATCAGCGAAACAATCGCTCAAGCAAAGCCATCAACGCCGTGGAAAGAGAGGATAGTGCTCGGATGCTGGGCAGTAAGTGACCATCTAGATTCTTGATCCTAACCCAGGTGCTGACCATGTATAGACCAAGTACTTGCCGCTTTGCTCAAAATATCTTCCTGAATTTCCAATCACGCATATTGGCTTCAGTATATCATATGCGCGCCAATTTTTGAAGGTTCCCAATGTGTCATTTAACATGCTCCAAAAGATCATGGTTGGGCCGTGGGGAGAGCAGTTTTTGGCAGACTGCAAGGCATTAAACCGCCCTGTGTTCCTCTGGACGGTTAACGAAGAGAAGTGGATGAAGTGGAGCATAAGTAAGGGCGTGGATGGGGTCATAACGGATGATCCAAAGAAATATTTAGAGGTTGCTGACGGTTACGATGAGAAGAAGCCCCTGGACCGGGTGAGTCTGAGGGATTATCATAGCCTGGCGTGGGTGAATTTATTGGTATCGGTATTCGGATTTATATTCAGGCTCAGGTTTGGATACTCCATCAAGCCGGAAGAGATGAGGATACACCACGAGGAGGTCGCAGTGGGAAAGGTTTCCTCGTAATTGGAGGGCATACGGTTAGGATTTATGAGTGTCTGCTTCACATGAAATATGTCGCCGAGGAACAGTGCTGGCAGCGCCGTCCTCGTAGTGCAATATTGGCACTACTTTATAGAGCATATATTACGAATGGATGATGTGATTTTCACCACTCCGTAAAATTATACTTTCATTTTCCGATTAAAATTGAGACCCAAAGCCTTGTAAAATGACGTTGAGAAACGCTTGGCTTGGGCCGCGATAATAAAGTGCCAATCGCGACACGAAGCGAAACAACCCCACGAAACGCGTCTCCCTAGCTTTTATTGACTTCACCCGCAACACCAGCACCACGAATGCGCCCAATGCTGTAATAATGCCTAGGTAAATACTCCACGCACCTGAGTTTGACGACTGCGTTCCTGACTTTCGAATCTAGAGAAATCATTACAGTCCAGGCGGGCCAGTGCGGCAACAGCAGTATGTCCAGCGCTCTTACCCGGTCCCCATAAATCGGCTTTCTCCAGGCGGGCAATGCTTTTCAGGATACTAATGATCTATAGTTGGAAGCCAGTTTTGGCAGCAGCTTTGCCAGGAACACGGAATTAGCCAGGATGGAAACCTCGAGGACTTTGCGACAGAAGGCGGCGATCGCAAGGACGTCTTCTTCTACCAGTCCGACGACACACGATACATCCCCCGAGCGATCCTGATCGATTTAGAGCCTCGAGTACGTCTAAATTACAGCTATAAGGAATGATACATACTGACACCCACAGGTTATTGCCGGCATCCAATCTGGTCCCTACAAAAACATATACAACCCCGAGAACTTCTTCGTTGGCAAGGACGGCGTCGGAGCCGCGAACAACTGGGGAGATGGATACCAAACTGGAGAATCGGTGCACGAAGATATCATGGAAATGATTGACCGTGAGGCTGACGGGAGTGACTCGCTGGAGGGCTTCATGATGTTGCACTCTATCGCTGGTGGTACTGGCTCAGGTCTCGGATCTTTCCTGTTAGAAAGGCTGAATGACCGGTTCCCGAAGAAGATCATACAGACATACAGTGTTTTCCCGGATACAACGAACGCCGGAGATGTTGTTGTCCACCCATACAACAGCTTGTTGGCGATGAGGCGGCTGACGCAAAACGCGGACTCGGTGGTTGTTCTTGACAATGGAGCGCTATCGAGGATCGCAGCGGACAGGCTGCATGTCCAGGAGCCTTCCTTCCAGCAGACCAACCAGCTGGTATGCCCCTGTATTGCTTATATTCGTTGACGGCATCAGGCTAATGACTTCAAACAGGTCTCCACAGTTATGTCCGCATCCACAACACCCCTAAGATACCCAGGATACATGCACAACGACCTCGTCTCCATCATCGCCAGTCTAATCCCCACCCCCCGCTGCCACTTCCTGATGACCTCCTACACGCCATTCACCGGCACCTCCCTCGAGGCCGCCAAGACCGTCCGCAAAACCACCGTCCTCGACGTCATGCGCCGTCTCCTCCAGCCCAAGAACCGCATGGTCTCCACCAACCCCTCCAAGAAGTCCTGCTACATCTCCATCCTCAACGTCATCCAAGGCGAAGTCGACCCAACCGACGTACACAAGTCCCTCCTCCGCATCCGCGAGCGCCGCCTCGCTACCTTCATCCCCTGGGGCCCGGCATCCATCCAGGTCGCGCTGACGAAGCGGTCGCCGTACGTGGAGATGCAGCACCGAGTCAGTGGGCTGATGCTGGCGAATCACACGAGCATCGCGACGCTGTTCAAGCGGATTGTGAGGCAGTATGATGGGATGAGGAAGCGGAATGCGTTTATGGAGGGGTATAAGAAGACGGCGCCGTTTTCGGAGAACTTGGACGAGTTTGATGAGAGTAGAGAGGTGGTGACGGATTTGATTGCCGAGTATGAGGCTGCGGAGGATGCGGATTATATGGGTGAGGAGGCGCCGCAGAATGAGGCGGGGGATAAGAGGGTTTAAAGTGTTATAGTGGGATTTGTGAGGTGCATGATACAAATGTTGGGTGTGGGTATTTCTGATGGCGCCCAGGAAGGCGTTTAGTGGAGTAGCGGTACGATTATGGTAGGAATGATACCAAAGTTTATGTTCTGTATTTTGTTTGCCTTGCTTCACGTACCAGTGTGATCATTCATGTGATTTGGGTGAATACAATTCATGCATTACATATATACAAAATTCTAAGCTCCCAACATTCTGGGGCTTCCCATATCCCTCTATTACATTACAACTCGTCAAAACGCTCTCTGTAGACATTGCTGTGTGTTTTTTCTGGGCAGAATCCGAACCTCTTCCGCATTCCCCTTTGAAATTATAAAGGACGGCATATCATGCGATTATTGGCGTATCCAGGGACTTGTGAGACCAACCGCCAGTGTGCGCCATCTGTGGTCACAGAATTTCTCTCAACACTGCTCATAGCTTCCCACACCTCTTCAGTCCCACTTCCCTCTCCACCTCCCAGCAACCAAAACCCCAGCCTGCCTTCCAACTCCCCACCCCACATACGCGCCTACCGCAACAGTAATCGGCCACGCCTGCCACGGCCTATCCCAATCCAGTGGGATTGGAATCGCGCCGATCCACGAGCCAATCAGCGTTCCAGCCGCAGAGCCAAAGACCTCATCCAGCGGCGCGGTGAGGGATAGGATCTCAAGCCAGTGTCTGGATGATAGGGGACGGGCATAGAAGAGCGGGAAGAGGGCCAGGAAGGCGATGTGAAGGGTCAGGAGGGTGGTGTGCGGGAGGTGCGTGGTTAGTGGTGCGCCGAGAAGGATGGTGGCTAAGAATACGGGGGCGGCGGAGAGGATTGTAAGGATGAGGGAGAAGGCGAGGCGCTGTAGAGGGAGCTGTTAGTTGTGTGGACTTTTGGTATCTCGGGGGAGTAGAAGACGTACGTAGACAATATCAAGCGCAGGACCGAACCACTCGTTCTCCTCCTCCTTCTTGGCCTGTATTCCCGGCGGCCCAGTCTTGGCCTTCGGCTTCTTCTTCTTCTTCTTCGTGGCTGTGCCACCGAGGGCGGGTTGCAGACAGATGGCGCAGTATGCGCTCTGGATGAGGGCGAGCCCCGCAGCGCCGTAGGTGAGGGAGGTTATAGGGTCGGCGACGAGGCGGGGCAGGCTGAAGAAGACGGTCGATAGGAGGAGGGGCGTGTGGACGTGCGTATAGACGTGGGAGAGGGGGGTGTTGAGCTTGTAGATCGCTGTTGTGGGTGGAGGGGAGGTTGAGGTAGAGGTTGGGGCGGGCGTCGCAGGGGCTGCTGGGGATGGTGGGGGTTTCGCAACGGCGGTGGGGGGTGTTGTTGAAGGCATTGCTGAAAGCGATTGCCTGGCAGGGCAGCTTTATGAAGGATGCCGGGTTGATGGTGTTCCTGGAGGAGACTCGTCGTTGCGTCAAGGGTTATCCGCGACTACGTTGTTACGGATTGAAGCGAGGCGCGAGACTTTCTTGCAGGGGTAGGTCCGCCGTAGGCCTTGGCATCATCATCCGATATCAGATTATTGCCTCACCACATTTCGCATTTCAACAATTCTAAATTTCATATTTTGGGCATTATTTATATAGTTTCATCAGCCAGTCTCCCATCTAGCTATTTTTTGGGCTATCTCGAGCCTTTGGCACCAGGCCCCTCAAGGACAAATCATAAACAACATCCTCGATCTTCTTGACCTGATATTTAATGCTATCACTCCTCCGCCTCAGAGAGTCATTCTTGAGGTTCAGCAGCTGGAAGCCGGCAAACAAGTCCTTGACAAACTTGCTGATCGCAAGCGGGCGTGCGAAGTCACCCAGGGTGACGGAGTTGGTCGCAAGGCGCGCGAGCTCCTCGATCAAGCTGATGAGGGAGTGGAGGTACTCCTCAATGGTGATGTGGAAGGAGTCTTCGTCCTTGAGGTTTACAGGGACTAGGTAGAGTTAGTATATGCTGTAGAAATCTAGTAAATTGCCATGTAGACAACAATATGCCTGCGTAAACTCACCACCAAGAACATCGCCAACTTCATCGATTGTGAGGAGTCTGCCTGCTTCAGCGGGCTTCGATTTCGTTGCCATACCACCCAACCATCCACACAGGAGGATCGCAAAGATGACATTCTGGATATCCTTCGTCCACATGGCATTATACCTATATCCTCGTCAACTCTGTCTGGCCCGAACACGTCGCACCACGTGATAATACATACTTGTAGTACGGGAATTTACTGGCCACCTTAGATAGCTCCCCCACGCTCTCAACCTCACTCCTGATAGCTGCCTCAGCGGCTTCAATCACAGGTTGCACTGCAAGTTCTCAGTCAGTTGAACCTCAGAGCTGGGAACAGAACAAACTCACGCTGAGCTGGAGGCGTGGAGTGAGCTCTAGAGAGGATGGAGTGGACAGAACGGCCCTGTCTCTCGAGCTTCTGGAGGATGGTCTTGATTTGCTCACGCACTTCAGCGTCCGCATCAATGGAGCTCTGCAGGTCTTCGAAGATCTGGGCGTCCATGAACGCGTCCGAGACTGGATAGGACATGATGGGTGAGTTAGTCTGGCCGGGTAGGGTGGACAGAGAATTTTGATTGGGTTCTGTTTATATTATGAATAGATGATAATCACAATAATGCCAAATAAATTACTGAAGGCGGCCAATTCTGTATAGAATATTATATTTTTCGATGCTTCGAAGACTCAAACTACAATATATTCATCACGTGTTCATATATGTAGCCCATCGGCTAATCCTCGGGACCTGTCAACAACTCCAAAGACCTGACCTCCTTCCATCGTCAAGAACAAGATCGATATCTTGTCCGATGTTCGCCATGTGCTGTTCATAAGATTCAATATGGCTCTAGCCTAAATACTCCGTCCTCATATAGAGATATTACTTGCATAAACCTCCATGCAAGATTCAAATACGGACGCCTGCGAACAGACCATGAGCTGAAAACTTCCCCTCCTGTAAGCCGGCCAATGGATGCACCGCCCAGCCGTGTCAAGCCAAGATGCAGGAGCGCATAGATACATTGGCAATATGGGAATTCATATTTTCTAGAAATGGCAATAACGAGACATTTTTGGCAAACGAAATGGTATTTGGTCTGAATCCGACTTCAACGAATTCTAGTCATACTAAAGGACCCATATCGCAGAAGTAATGAGACTCACCTGGTCCCATTGAAAAGGATTTAGGGTTCTACTCAGTAGTTCGCTCTTATGCTTAATGTAACGTCAGTGTGCAGAGGAATGCGGGGATACGAGCTTTTAGCCTGCTTTTCTTATAATAACGGCACTACTGTAGGTGGCCGCCAACCAGGATACTTCATTTGAGCCACGGCCGCTCTTTTCCTATTCATTTGGCTTGGTATCCTAGATTCTCGTATGAGGGCTCTCAGCCCGCGATGTCGGCGGCGCGTGTGACGAGGGCAATACGAGGGGCATGGTACGCGGGTACTTGGCGAAGATATAAGAGTCTTGCTTTTTCTCATTTCTCGTTCCGTTTGTTTCTTGACCCAAAGTGATATCAGATCTTCAAAGTTACCAAAAGAACCAACTAAAGTCACTCTTTACGCTTTCACAGACACAAATCCCTCATCCAAGGCAATGGCGGTATCACGTCTCAGCCTCTCCTCGGCACTATGCCTTGCCATAGCGTGAGTAATCCTCCAATATCAAGATCAAACTCTCATCTAACAAAACATCCTCTCTCACAGCCTCCTCCTCACCCCAATTACCGCTCAAAAGCCCCCAGTCACAGTCTACACAACCGTAAATCAATGCCCAACCACCACACACCCAACCGCCACAGCTTCCACTGGAGGACCCCCCACCAAATGCGTCACAATAACCAGCACCACCACCGCCGCGACCTGCGACCCTCACCAAACCTGCCCCATAATCGCCTGTCCCGCAATCGCCTACCAGGAAATACAACCCTGCGGCTGCCCATCCATCGTTCCCACCGTCTATGAGCCTACCGGCTGCTGTCCCGGTTGCATCATACCGACAGCGGTAGCTATGGCAACGGGCTGTACGACTACGCCTCCGCCTCCGCCGCCGCCCTGTGCAGTTGTCACGTCGACAGTGCCGCCGGCTTGTCCGAGCATTTCGGGGTGTATGGTGCCGGATTGTGTGTATCTTGAGACGCTGACTATGGGGTGTGATTGCTCGGGAGTTTCCACGGTGACGGAGTGTGATGGGAAGTGTCCGGGGTGTTGGACGGAGTATCAGACGCTACATGTGCCGTGTCCTACTAGGCCGCCCTTTTGAACGGGTGTGGTGTATTAACGGGAGGATTTGAAGGGAGAGGTAGTGTCTGGTGTTAGCCAATTTAGCAAGCTGCTTATGATTATGGAAGATTTTTACTTTAAAGTCACGCGTTGTGTTTGTGAACATTCGGGATATAATTTCTAGATGTGAATATTTAAGTTTAACCAACTTTATATCCTGCCAACTTATTTTTAATACCTCTCTTTCTCCGCCAAATACTCGTCAAAAATCCTCAACGCCACAGCCTCGCCACTCATATACGCCCCCGCAGCCGTCCCCAGCTCCTCAAATGGTGCAGTATGCTCCCCAGCAAACCACAATCTCCTCTCAGGGACCCCGTGTCTGATCGTCTTGACATCCTCATCCGCGTCCTTGATCCCCACCTGGAAATTACAGTAGCTTCCATACCCAGCAAGATCATCCATCTGCCACTCGGTGCTCAAAATAGCCTTGGGCTTGCAATTCTCGTCGTCGGCCGAGAAGTTGGGGAGCAGAGAATAGTAAGGGCGGAAAAAGGCGTCTAGTGCAGCATGGCGCTCCTCCGTGGACCTATCGAAGGTAAGTTTCACGATGTGTCTTGAACAGTCGCCATAGAGGTAGAAGAGTAGTGTCGGGCGCCGATTTTCGGGTGAGAAGGCAGCGAGGTTCCAGATTTCTTGTGGCCAGCACTCGGGGTTCGTATCTGGTGCGTATTTGGGTGATAGCCAGTTGGTGTACCCCGCAAAATTATCTTCTTGGTTTACAGTCCAGAATGCGGAAGGAAATGTAATGTATACCTACAAAGACGTCAGTGTGTGAGAGGACGAATGGAAAGCGTGCAAACCTTTTCGAGGCGACCAATGGAAATATTGTCCATTGCATCACATATCTTCTGCGGCAAGCGTGGATAAAAGCCTCTCTCTTTAACCTCCTGCAGGCATCCAAGCGGTACAGTACAGATAATTTCATCACACTCGACAACCTCCGCTTTCATGGTCGCCACCTTTATCGCACCAGAGAATCGGTCTGTCGGCGTTACAACTTTCATTACCCTCGATCCAAGCCGAATGTCTGCCTTCTCGCGAGGCAGCTTGGCTATCCTGTCCAGGATGGCCTCGTATGTCGTTTCAATGAACGTCTCGTCTGGAAGAATTAGGCACCATCAACCGGAAGCGATTTGTTGACTTACCACCGCCACAACACTCCTCCATCCAAGAAAACCGCAGACTCTGCCTCGTGACAGGGTGGCCTACGTAGGCACCCCACATTTCACTCATGCTCAAGATCAGCTTCTGGTCCTCGAGCCGATCCGGGAGCTTCTCCTTGACAGTAGATTCAATGAAGTCGTACAGACTTGCGGTTTCTGGTATCGATTTACCATTCTTCGCGCTGTATGCAAACGCTTCTTCTATGATATCCCATAGCAGTGTTGAGAGTTCAGCGGACTTCTCGGCCGGAAGAAGTTTCCCATCAGACGTAAAAATGTTTTGCTTGTTGTTCCAGTGGTGCAGGGACGTGTTCGTTTCTATTGCCAGATCACGGATTGGGTGTTTGTCGCCAGTGGCGTGCTATAAAATCCAACGTTAGACAGGTACGAGGGAAGTGGAAAGGAAGCAGCTTGCAATCCAATTTGGTCCACTTGAAAAATGTCAGCTTTATGTCAACTAGCGATTTATAAGTGCCACATACATATCCACAGTATATCCCAGTTTATCACTCTGGCATATCTGCAAGCATTGTCAGCACATGCAACAAGAACACCTAGCCCATCGGTCCATAAACCTACTCTCCCACCAATTCGATCCCTCGCCTCTAGTATCGTCACCTTATAGCCCTTTTGGAGGAGCACATCCGCAGCTCGCAGCCCAGATATACCAGCACCAATAATGCAGATATGAGGGGGGTCACTCATATCACCACTAGCAAGTGTCGACGGCTTCTCCTTTTGGTCACTCATATCGGCTATTCTACACAGATGATGAGTTGTAGTAAAGTGCAAGTAACCAAATATTACACAAGGATGATAGAACTTGAGGAGTTGGGAGGGAGCGATGTTGTCTCTGGGTATTTATTTTTTCTCAATCGTGCGATGCCTGTGCAATGTGACGAGCGGCATGAGGGGCCAGCTCGCTAGCCCCACGTCAACAACCCGCTTCTTGGGAGACGGGCGGGCGAAGCCCAACGCTTGGAGCTGCAAGGCAGATTGCAAGGTTCAGATATATATGCAGTCAATCAATACGCCTCATAATTGCCTCACGATCCGTAATCAATTTTGCCGTTAATGGCAGGTGGTTTGGAAGGAGAGGTCATTTCTGATCATGATGCGTGCATTTATGTCATTCTAGTAAATATGGAGACTACGCGGGAACGGCCTTATAGCTTATTCCAACTTCCTCCCGCTCTTTCCTTTACCAACGCGCCCGCTCCAAGGTGAATTGCAAACTCCTAACAGTACCGTCTATATTCCTTAGAAGATCCTCAACTCCATAATAAACTCCATCTCGCCGTTTAAAAAGCGTCAAAATCACTCCTCCACACTTCATCTGTCAGTATTTCAAGCGATTGTTATAAGGCGAGTTATCTTACCTTCGAGGTTTATCATTATCCGCTTCCCGCACTTTCAAATCCCTCGCAGCCCTCTCCTCGTCCAACATAATCACAACATTTGCATGGCCTCTGTTTGTCGCGAGGCTCTCCGGCGTGTCTCCATCTACATCCATATTATTCAGATCCGCACCGTGATCGAGTAATAAGCGGCAAATTTCAACATGACCACCGTATCCACACATACTCAGAGCGGACCACTACACCATATCAGCAAAATATTACAAGCATGAGAAGATAAAACTTACACCCCATCGATCCCTAGCATTCACATTCGCGCCCGCGCTAATCAACTTGGCCACTTTGGAGATATCTCCATCGCTAGCTGCCTCAATAATCGCGGTCTCCTTCTTGAACATCTTGAACAGCACGGACGACACACTCGAGGCCCTTCTAACCCTAAGATCAGTTCTAACATACGCCGTAGAACTATCAGGATTAATCCGCGAAGGATGCCTTGATAATTCCGCCGCGAACTCCTCGTTCGCAACAGTGATGGAAGGCATACTCGGCGCTGTCGACGTGCCACCAATAGAAGCCTCACCAATGGACGTCCCTCCAATCGAACCAGCGTACCCCGAGTCAAACGAACCGGCTACTGCCGACCGTCGCGAGCTGTTATCCATTTCCTCGAGCATGCCGTTTGAAATCGCCGCCTTCAGCCAGTTGCTGATGTACATGTGGTGTTCTTCCACGACTGAGGCGGATATACCTACATCCTCCAGTTCGCGGCGCAGGAGGAGCCATACATCCTCGGTATCGATGGATTCCGTGACGCCTGAAGATGTAACAACGGAGCCTTCGCGGAGGCCGGCTCGAACTTCCTCGATGAATTTATTGAGTCGCTTTTCGATCCTCGCGGTTGAAGAACTGTCCCACAACGTTAACTATGTCCAGTTCCATCAGATTATGGAGAAACATACTTCGCCAGACTGCTATTAAACGCAGTAAGTAGACTAGTATTCGAAATAATCCTCGACCTCACATCCGCCAACTCCTCCAACCCCCACCTCACACGATCCCACGACCGCTGCGCCTGCGTCCCCAGACTCTCGTAGTTATTCAGCAGACTCTCCAGCTCGGTAAGTACCTCCTTACACCCATCGATCAGGATCGTGAGTCTCGCATCCCGCGACGGGCTGAGGCCTTCAGTCTCACTGACGTACTCCTCCGTCTCCTTGATGACGACGTGCAGCGATGCGACTTCGCTGGAGATGCGATTGAATTCTGCCGACGACTCTTTGCAGTTCTTGTACAGCTTCCAGGTTAGGGTGCCGAGGAGGATGATGTCCCCGATACCAACGCCGAAGCTCATCGTTGTATATCGTGATAAAATATGCTATGATTCAAAATCGCACGGGAACTCGTCATCGAAGAGAGACACGGTTATATATTATACTTGATCCCCCATAACCAAAAAGTCCGAGTCATTTAGACTCTGGTACAATGCCGTAGCTTTCGGGAGAGAGAGACACCCCCACACAGGTTCCTGGACGCCTTGTCACCTTTGATTTGAGGGGGGTGCGCGGCGCCTCCACCACGGAACGTACCTTGTTCATAACCATCCATGCACGGAAGAAATGCAGCGCGATTGACCTATTGGAGGTTGACGGCCAAAGGCCAAAGATGCCTTGATGCAGAACTATACTGTGCTACGGCCAAGATATTCGCTTGAGTTTGCTGTTCCCAGTTCCCCCATGCCTGCCACGAGAAGCTTCGCCACCACGTGAATGGAGGGGAACGTGGGCGCGTATCAACTCAGGTACTCCGCCACAGCGCCTCGGGTTTTCATAATCTCGCTATCTCGAACTTCACTTCATATAATCCATGGACCCCACGAATACTCAAATCAGCCCTCACTCTTCCTCGCGACACCGCCACAGGCGACGCCCCAATGAAAACGAAGAATTCAGCGCCCATTTCGCATCATCTGGAAGCAGTGTGATACCAGAGACACCCTATCCCAGGACGGTGAGGGCAAGCCCCCAGCGCGTCCCAGGATCGCGTTGTAAAAATTGGATTAATCGCGTTTTTGTCCAGTGCGGACAGTTTCAGAGATTAAACTGAAAAGAACAGATACTACACTTGATCTAAGCCATTATGGCAAAGGAAGCTGGAGAGAAAGGGAAGAAAGGGGATGTGAGAATGGCGGGTGGAGGGGTTTTATAGGTGAGCGGGGGGAGGGTTTGGCAGGTACAGTGGGTTGCTTATCGGGGGAAAGTTGGTGGATGAGACAGGCGCTAGCGAATATTTGCAGTGTTTGCTCATACTGAATGACTAGATTGTTGTGTTTGTTGTGTTTGCATGGTGTGCCTACTGCAATCCTCAAAACCGACGACACTCACGACTGCTGCCTTGTGATACCCATAAGATAATTATTATTAATCTCTTAATTGAATTAACTACCCAGAAGTAGGCACCTCGCTATGAGTCAGAAGTTATAGCTTCAATAAGACCATCCAAGCCAAAAACCCAATCCAAACATGCCACCCAAAAAAATGCCAATATCCAATAAACGCCATGCTCATGCCACTGCCGATCCTCCCAGCATCTGCGCCCCAAAACCCTCTTTTTCCCAATAAACCAAAAGCAACAGCCGTCTTTCCCTCCTAATAAACAGCCTTAACATCCCACCCCACCTTAATGATCCTGACCACAATAAACGCCGCCAGCCCACCGGCATAACACACCCCCGTAAACGTCATCAGGCCCCAATACTCGCCGTGGTTCGCCTTGACGATCTCACCGGCGATGGGAATCCCAGTAAGGCACCCGATGCTCACGATGGTGTAGCAGGTGGCGAAGTAGCGGCCCAGGTTCTCGGTGCGGCAGAGCTTGCCGATGCAGACTGATGTCAATCCGATGTTCGATCCTGACGCGAAGCCGAAGAAGAGGCAGAAGATGATTAACCCCGGCATAGTCGTCCCAGCTGGTAACCACACGCCGAGCACCATAACGACTGATAGGATGGTAGTGAGAATCATCGTGTTGAAGGCTCCAATCTTATCCGCATAAAACCCCGGCAGCCATCTCCCAAAAACCGACCCAATATTCAGTATAATAAGGCACTGATACGAGAAAGCCTCAGTAAACCCCGCGTGCAACGCATAACTACTGATATACGTCAGCGGCACAAACAGCGCCCACTCGAGCAAATACACCGCCGCAACAGTGAGCGCGAACACCCCATCGCGGAAGATCCCCAAGTCCGGTTTAGCGCTGCTGTTGTGCTCCGGCGGGAGGCGGCCGCGGACGAGGACGCAGCCGATGGACAGGAGGAAGATGGAGAGGAAGCCGAGGCAGCGGGTTGCCCATGCCCAGCCGAGTTGGGGGATGAGGTACTGCAGCATGAGGGGGTAGACGATGCCTCCCAGGGCGCCGCCGGTGGCGCCGATGCCGGTGGCGAAGCCGCGGCGGGCTTTGAACCAGTGGCCGATTGAGGCGATGGCGGGGGCGAAGATGAGAGATGTGGAGGCACCGCCGAGGATGCCGAAGACGAGCATGAAGTGCCAGTATGCTGTGGGGTGTTAGTGTGGTGTTCAAGATGATAGAATGGGGGGGCTGTAGAAATGGGGAACGTACTCTCGCAAACACTCAACAGCATCAAACTCGTCACCACCCCCGCCGACCCCACAAGCATCAACCACCTCGCCCCATGCTTATCAAAAACCGGCCCAACAATGACCCCAAACCCAAAAGCCAAACACGCATACATGCTAAAAATCCACCCAATCTCTCCCTCACTATACTCCCTCAACTGATTCCTGCTAATATACGCCTGGAACGAGCCCAGCGTATTCATCACCCCCAGAGCCGCGAGCAGCGAGCACAGCGATCCGAACACAACGAGCCATGCCTGAAGGCCGCCCTCGGGGTAGAAGTTCTCGTCCTCGCGGAGGGTGAGGGCGCGTGTGCTCTGCGAGGGGGAGGGGAGGACGGCGGCGCTGATGACGCCTTTTTCGGGGTCGTGGAAGGAGAGCTTGTCGCCGTCGCGGGAGATGCGGCTGTGGGTTTTGGAGGGGACGATGTGGAGACCTATGGCGTCGGAGGAGGAGTCGGTGGAGGAGTCATTGTGGGACGTGGTGATGCCTTCTGTTGCGGCGGCACGGTCGTGGTCAGCTCGTAGGACTTTTTCGTCCACGGGCGTGGTGCCGTGGAGCTGGGTGTCTTTCTTCTCCTCACCACCCATCACGTAGAATGCACTCTCCTATAATCCACAGTCTCCCCCTAGAAGCCCTTCTCTTTGTAAAAAAAGTATAAAAAAAATGCCTTGGCACAGTATTCAAAGCCAAGCCTCTTTCTAAAAAATTCACCTCTCCCAAAAAAACGAGTGTAATCCAAAAATAAACAAAGCTATACAAACTCTCTTTCTTTGTTTGTTTGTTTCTTTGTTCCTTTGTTCCTTTATCCCCCCCAAAATCTCGCGGCGGCGGCGTCCTCCGACCCTATATACCCGCCCCCTCCTCTCGCTCTCCACCCTCGACACTACTATAAATTTCTCTTACTTCATCGCAGTTCGGCCCCGCTCTAGCGCGGATACGCCCTTCGGGGCGCGCTAGTCAACATGGTTTTTATGTGCTGGGGAGGGGACTAGGGGGACGCTAGGGTGCGGATAGGTGCCGCACTCGCGTGGAGGATGGGGGGGGGGAGGTGCAGGGAAGGGGGGTTGTGGGTGGTGGTGGATTGATGGGAGGGGGAGGGGGATTGATGTGGTGAATAGATGATTAACTGAGAGGAGGGGATGATGGGCCTGGAGGCGGAGACGGGTAGTCGGCATTGAGGATGTGTCAATGGAGCCATCCCGAGCGCGGAGAGGCGTCCTCACCTGACGTCTATAGACTCCATGCGGAGAACGATAGAAATATCCAAGACAAGACCCAATCGCACGCCTTCACCACGTGCGATTGGGTTTCATGGTGATGCGGTGTGACTTTACCCTGCTTCTGCTTTACCTTACCTTACCTGTCCTCACCTCAGCTACTTGCGCCGTGCAGTGCAGTGTGCAGTGTGCAGATGTGTGCAAGTGCTGCGGAAAACAGTGCCGCATCTAGGAATTTAGTCGCTGGGCGGGCAGCTGAGCCGAAGTGCTTGCCGAGACTCAATAAGCCTTTCCACCTTTTCAACCTTTTTTCGCCTTGGCTTGGTTGGGTTGATGATGATGACTCTTCACACAACACCCGCCACGTTTTTTTTCTTCCCTGTTTCCTTTTCTTCGGGGGTTGGAGAAATACTTGCAATACTTACATTATGAAAACTGTAGGTAGATGACTCTTCAAATGTACCCAGTAGCGGAGTAGCGGATTTACTTATCCCCCCTTCCCCGTCCCCCAATCCCCGCACGCACGTCTGTTCTTCGTCGCCACACATAATAGGCGGGTCCCGATCTCGCAGGACAAGCCACTCGGGTCTGTGACCGGGGAGTCGGAGAGTTGGTGCCGATGGAGGTGTGTGTGTGGTGTCAATTCAGCCCATTTCCTAGGATCGGGGATTATTGGGGGGGGGTGAGGGTTTTAAGGTTCGGTAGTGGAATGTGATGGGTGTGGGATGGGACGAGGGGGGTTTTATGTCTGGTGGATGGATGGGGGGAAGGTGCGACTGAGAGTGAGTGAGTTGGTGAAGTTGAAGGTACGTGTCAGGGAAGGTACGAGGGTGTTGGAAGGGGAGGTGCGACTGGTGTGGTGTTTATATGTTTGGTGAGGTTATTTATGAAGGGGTGCGATTCATTATTTTACAATTTAAACAATATATTTTTGGTGATTACTATTTTATTACTTCCTCCAATTCCTCAATATTGGAACCTGATAATTATATCCTGTCCCATCATTTTCTATTTCCCGTCTCCAAGCCATTCTCTCTCTTATTTTCAACTCCATACACCGGCCCATCTCACAGCAGTCAAAAAGAGGCATGGATGATGGCATGAAATAGGTAGTCTACCTAACCTCTCAAATCTAACCAAACAACGCACCAAAAATATCAGTACGCCGCGAAAATGCCCCTTATCATCTCCCCCCCCCCAAAAAAAAATACCAAACAAAAAAACCAGAAAATAACACCCCTCCCCCCCAAAAAAGCGCCGACTCATACGCTCCCTACACCCGCTTTCCCAACAAAACCCCAGCAGCAAAAAAACGGGGCCGAAAATGGTCCCGCGAAGTCAAAAAGTTATATACAAAGATTGCGCCTGGTCTCCTTGATGCGGTTTGTGAATCGTTCTCGCCTTCGGATGCTTTCTAAACCGAGCGGAATGGGACGATCTATATGCCTTTAATCACAGTAGTGCGCTCCGAGTTCAGCTGCGCTGCGTTGCGGTCGTGAGATTCCTTCTTGCACTTTAAAAAGGTGTCAGCCCAAGTTCTTCCAGATCAAGGCCTACAAGCCACCACTGCGGTTCTTGCGACGAGTCGGCGCCGCACAACTCCCCCAACAACGAGGAGTCGCTTGACGGACTCGTCGCCATCGCCACAGCAGCAGCCACGCCACACCCAGGGTCACTAGGGGAACAACTTACGTCTTCCAGCCCTGTGCACTTATGGTCCTCCAAGAGGCGGTGCTTCCCGCAGAAATGGCCATTGCAGAACCCGCAATCCCCCACGATGCGCTGCGCGACCTCCTTACACTCCTTGTGCGTGCAGCGGATCTTCTTAGGCGGCATGCCGCCGCGCATCGGCACGACGAGGTGGAGTGTGGATTCGGGCTTGATGCCGTGGGCGGTGAGGGGCGCGTCGGAGGAGGGCAGGTGTTTGCCGGCGTGGACGAGGTTGAGGGATGTCGTTGGGAGGGAGGTGCGGAGGGAGAGGAGGGTCTTGATGTGCGAGAGGGAGATGTCGACGGGGACGGTGAGGGGGATGACTGGGGGGTGGGAGTTAGCGCGTGGCTTCTTTGGAGTTGGAAGGGAGGGAGGGAAGAGGTGGGCTTACTGTCGCCGCTGAGGTTCTTGATGAAGATCTGCATTGTCTCGGAGGGCTCGGGCGAGGCGGAGCTGGAGCGCGAGAGAGACACCATGTTGTTGGTTGGAGAGAGTGGTGAGCGGGAGTTGTTGGTGGTTGTGGGTTGGTTTTGTGGTGGTTTCGTGGGTGTGGTTGCCGACGTTTGTTGGGCTTGTTTATGGGATCGAGAGTTCGAGTTGTGAGGACAGCTGTTTCTCCAACAAGGTGAGTTGAGGTGGCGAGATCTGGGGAGTGTGACGAGGTGTGTTGTGTTCGTTATGCTTCGTTTTATGAGGTGGCGAGGATGTACGGAAATGAAGACGACGAGGGAGTCAAGATCAGGAATCAAGATGTGTTTTTAGTTGTTCGGAGGCGAATGGGGGTTTTTATGAAAGAAGAAAGATGGAAGGGGAGGGAAGAAGGGTGATTCATATAGGAAGCGGTTGGGGGAGGCGGCGGTGGAGTGAGTGAGTGGTGGTGGTAGGTGGTTAGAGTGAGCACGCACGGGGCGGTTCACAAGTGGTTCCCCGAGGACAAAGTACAGGACGAGCGAACGAGCCTGGTTGGTACCAATTGCGTGTTCCGGTTGCACTTTGGCTGGGTGGCTGGTGGTGGTGGTACTTTGTAGTGTTAGGGAGTTGTATGGAGAGTAGTATGGTGATTAGTAGTTGTGATAAGTACCGTTCATGGTGTATGTAGTACCTAATGGGTGGTTCTAGTCTGGGTCAGGCCAGGAAGGTTCTAGTAGAGTTTGGTGGTAGTGGCAGTTCAGTAAGGGAAATGTGCCTTGAGGGGTGTGGATTAGGGTGGACGGGGGTGTGGATGGGGGTGCCCGTGTGCGTCGGTCGTGGCGTTGTGGGCTGTGGCGTGCGACGTGCCGTGTGTTCGTGTGTGAGCCTTGTACCCCGTAACCTCTATGTGGGTGTAATGGTACTTTCAGATTCATAGTGTACGGTACTTTCGTATTTCGTACGTCTGGGTCGATGCCCCGTTTTTCGGCAGAAGGGTGCCACTAGACCCATCTAGTGTGAGGTTGAATGCGGTTTAGTGCGGTTTGTAGTTTGGCGGTCCCTTAACCTGGCGACGCAAAGAGGTGGATGGGCTGTGGAGGGATGTCGGAGTCTGGATGCATCGGTGGGATTGTGCTGTACTGGTGGTTATATTGGTTATATCACTGGGTTATCACGGGGTCGACTATCGATATCTCATATCTACAACTACAGTAATCTCTAATCTCAGTACTCGAAAGACACATGCAAGCTGCTTCAATATCTGGGCGGCAAAGAGACAGTGACATGCCTGACTTATACCACGTAAGTATCTCCTACTTACTGTATCTACTACTGTATCTACTACTGTATCTCCCTCATAGTGCCCACGCTTATGCCCATCTACCTGCACCAACGACCATTTACACCCTCGGCCACCCTGGATCAGCGGCCATCTTCACACGACCAACATCGCAGCCCGGCGTCTGATACGTACAACCCCAACCACTCGCCGCTTCCCATTCAATACCGTCCACAGTCCCTGTCTTGACACGCTGCCACACTATAGGCACACGAACGACGATATACCACATCCCCTCTCCGCCTCATCTATCCCATCGTCCCCAGTCGACGAACCTCGAGTACAGGACAGAACAACACACCATACAGAACTGAACTATACAATACTGTACTATAGCAGACTGCATCTCCCATCCATGACTCGCCGCCTTCATCAATCCCGCGACTAACGCAGCCTCATCACGACACACGATGATCCACTCTCACGCTCCCCCCTCTCCCCTCGTGACCATCCATGATCATCTCGCGTGTGTGCAGCGTTTCTCGGTCTCCGTAGCCCCTTCTCCCTTGTAGCCGCCGCCGCCCGAAGAAGCCCTGATTGTCGTCGACTTGCCATGCGATAACTACGCCATCGCGATAAGAAGGCGGTGAGACAACCTGGAGGCGTGAGGTACGTACCTCCCTTCTCTTATCCAAGTCACGTGGTGGTTTCCATTTTTGCTGTCATGGGGATATCGATTTTATTTACTCGGTGTTAACTGCTCAACATCTGGAAATCTGTCGATACTATTACCTTTCATAGCAGAACCACAGAGGGATGGATTTCATTTTGGGTCATTGTGCACGTGCTGTGGCCACTCTGAGCGTTGGTGATGTAATCAGCCGGCAAAATTTAATTGCTTGCATCGTTACTTCCTCAGTACTTGAGTGCGGCTGGAAAAATGTTGTAGACTTGGCCACTTCAGCGACTCGAATCCCCCCGAATCCGCTTTGTTCATCAGGCCATACATGATAGAAAATAATAAAGACATACTCGAGTAGTGTACGCGAAAATTATTCACTGCCTATTGCCCTCATTTAGGGCATCAAGTAAGGAATACACTTGCGTTTTTTAAATATGTGAAAAGTAAACAAACCAGTGGAAGAGCAACGGGCGAAACCCTGCAGCGAAGGTTTTTGGCTGGTTTTGGCGGTTTTGGCAGTTTTCGCTGGATTTGGCTGGCTGTGGTTGGTGCCTGAGTTGCTATTTCTCCTCCGTAGTGCCACCCATCCCTGCCCGCCCATCAGATTTCTGTCCGTGTCTGTCCACCACAACCTTACAATTCCCAGAGATCCAGGGATCACCGAGACTCCATCGCTCCTTCCCACTTGCCTGACCAGCCCGCGTCCGAACGACTTTTATTTTTCCTTCAGCTCCTTTCCGACCGATCTTCCCTTTCTTCTTCTTTCTTACATCACAGTTATATTTTCCGACGCGACAAGGGCTTTCGAATCCATCGGCTTCCAGAATAACAACAACCGACGTCAATAAAGTGCTGAACTAGAAACTAATAGCGCCTCATCTCGATCATCATCACGCGAACAGCCATCTGTGCGCGACAACCAGCATCTCGACCCCTGTGGTTTGTTTACACTTGGAACGTCGGCAATAATACGACTTTCGAAAGCACTACAGTCCCACTTCGAAGTGAGCCTGATCTCACGCGCGGTCTCGAATGACACAATAGAAACCCTCCTATCTCGACCGATCTCTTTTTCCTTCGCGACACATACACATAACACACAGACATCATGTCTGATACTCCCCGCCAACTGAACGCGGCCCAGATGGCTGCCAGGAAGATCAAGGCGCCCACTAGGAGGACGAAGCCCAGCTCGAACCACGGTGGCGACGATGGAAACCAGGCCCCTCTCTTCGCGCCGATGCCGACGTCGAACTTTGGCGCCCAGAGCGCAGGCGGCATGTTTGGAGGAGGCGCGCCGAGCGCGAATAACTCGTTCAACTTCGCCGCTCCGCTGCAGGCAAACTTTGGCGGCTCCGTGTCCTTTCCCCCTGCGTCTACTGGGTCGGCCATGGGCAACGCGTCGGACAACGAAGAGGCTGCAAGGCGCAACAAACCATTCCAGATGACTGGGTTTGGGTCGGGCGCTGCAAGCCCTGCTCCACAGGCAGGTGGCGGAATGTTTGGACAAAGCGCGGCCGCACCATCGAATCCTTTCAGCTCTGCTCCCCAACCCCAGGCCCCAAGCAGTGGCTTCTCCTTCGGAGCTTCATCGAACCAACCCACGAGTAATCCATTCTCCTTTGGCCAAAGCGCACAGGCACCGCCAGCGACTGGCGGCTTTACATTTGGCCAATCCACGGCGCAAGCTGCGCCTGTAAACAACCCCTTCCAGACTTCCCAGGCGCCATCGAGCACACCTGGGCTGAGCTTCGGAAGCACGGCGCCGACTACACAAGCTCCTGGAGGGTTCAGCTTCACGGCATCTCAGCCAGCTGCTCAAGCAGCAAACCCGTTCTCGTTTGGCAACGGAGCTCCCGCTGAGAAGCCAGCGACCCCATCATTCACCTTTGGACAGACCCAGCCACAAGGCGGGTCGCAAGCTGGGTCCTTACCTGGTTCCCAGACACCATCGCGTGCTGAGTCTCCCGCATTCAACTTTGGCGCACAGGCTCCTGCGGCCAACAAGCCAGCTGGGGGCGCGTTCACATTCGGACAGTCTCAAGCACAAACCGCAACGCCTGCGCAAACGCAAGCACCTAATCTTTTCGGGCAGCCGACGCCAGGTGCAGCTGCTCCATCTAATCTCTTTGGCCAGGCAACTCCAGCAGCCGCTGCTCCCGTTTCCAACATGTTTGGCAAGCCAGCAGGACAGGAGGCCGCGGCGCCATTGAACCCATTTGCGCCTACGGGCGCCAACCCGTTTGCGAATATCAAAATACCAGATGCTGCGACATCCCCTGCGCCGTCGAGCAATTTCTTTGGGAGCCAAACTTCTAGATCTGTTAGCCCTGAGAAAGATATGTCTGGCACTGAGTCTGCAGCTGAGGCTACGCCAAGCTTGTTTGGTTCGACTATGAAGCAGCCTACAATCGCAAATGATCTCTTCAAAGTTCAAGCTGAACAGCCAGCTCCGAGCCCGGCAAAGAGCATATTCAGCAACTTCGGTGCTGCAACAACACCTGCGAAACCATTGTTTGGAGCCCAAAAGACCGATGGCTCCAGCTTATTTGGATCACAAACTCCTAAAGCTGCCCCTCCAGCCATGGATTTATTTGGGAAGCCAAAAGTTACGGAGACGCCTAAGGCAGTTGCAAGTCCTTTCGGTAAGCCTGCTGACGCCATCAAAATATTTTCGCTGCCGGAACAAAGAAATGGTTCTATTGATACCATTGACAATGCTAATGAGAAACCATTAGCGAATGGTAATACTGCATTGTCAGAAATCAACAATGGCGCTAAATCACCTTCGCGAAACGCGTCAACTCTCACTTCCAAATTGGGCGATATAAATTCATCCACAAGATTTAACCCTCCTACTTCTTTCCAACCACAAACAAAATCACCTTCACGCACCAACCAAGCTTTCCAATTCGCACCAACAACAACAACAACTTCAACAGAATTGGCTAAACTACCTGATACACCCGTCATGGATATTTCCGACTTCCAGAAAGTCGTCCTCGAACGTGCTGAGGAGTATGATGAGAATGATCTATTTACCAAAGCCCACAAGACAGAAATTGCACGCATCGTCGCAAAGTACTTCCCACCCACCCTTTCTCCCAGACAGCAACTGGAGGCGTACGCTGCTATTCAAATCAAGGCCTTGAAGAGACGTGCTGAGATTGACATGGAAAATGCAACTCAGCCCGCGAAGAAGATGAGAATCAAGGAGCAGCTCGCCGACTGGGAGCAGGATGTTAAGCAATGGAGCGTCGTACAGGCCAAGAGAGTTGAGAAACGTAAGGCTGATAGCCTGACTGATGATGCTGGAATGAATGGTGAGGGATCCAACAAGCGTCAGAAGCCAGCTGAGCCAAAGGTCCAAAAGGCTGCTGCTCCTATGTTTGGGTCGCCTGCGAAGTCAAACTCCGAAAAGGTATGTTATCGATCTTGACCTTCACGCCTTTACACCTCGATCTTGATCCTTCAATTCACCCGATTATATCTTGTCGATCTTGGACTTGTCCCAATCATAGCCTTACTTTCACTTCCCTCGATCTAACCTTCCCAACCCTGGCGTATTTCATATATAATCTGTTTCGTTTTTCCCGTTCATCCTGTTAATTCCGATCTAGGCTCCTCTTCCAAACGCCAACAAACCGAAGGTTCCATCGTCCCTGAAGAATGTTTTCACACCAAAGCCCGCTGAGGCAACACCCCCAAAGCCCACTGAGCCTGCACCAAAACCCGCCGAAGCTGCACCAGCTCCGACGCCCAAGTCCAAGCGCAAGGCTGATGTCCAGCTTACCAAGGATGATCCCACTGGCGATGAGTCTACACCCAAGAACGGCAAGGCTGGCTCTGCTACGTCAAGCTTGTTCCGCAACATCGTTGGAAGCACTCCAACTTCTACCCCAGAGAAGCCAATGTTCTCGCTCACTAAGACTACCGAAGACAAGCCACGTGCAAACCCATTCGCGTCACTTAAGCTTCCACCAAAGGCTGCGTCTACCCCTAATGGCGCGTCACCATTCAAGGCCCAACCCGCGAGCGCAACTCCAACTCCAACGCCCGCGCCCGCGCCTAAGGCAGCTGGAGGATTCGTGTTCAAGCCCACTCAACCTGCGGCGGGAGGGTTCAAGCCCACTCAACCCGCAGCTGGCGGATCCACGGATTTCATGTCTCAGTTCGCAAAGTCTGCCAAGAAGACTGCCGATGCTGCAATGGAGAAGGCCAAGGATGAGGATTGGGATGAGGACGACGAGACTGAGGCTGAGTGGGAGAAGAGATACCACAAGGAGCTAGCTGAGAAGAGAGAGGCGCTCAAGCAGAAGCCAGCGCTTGCTGTTCCGACCTTCGGGTCTGCAGCATCTACTCCTCCAGCCCAGTCTCCGGCGGCGAAGGGTCCGGCAGGTGGTAACGACGGGTATGTATTCTAATTTTTCTGGTTCTATCTTATTAGACCCCCTCCATAGCAACTAAGTGGTTCTACTCCTGATGTCAGTTTTCCAAAGTTGGTTCTGGCGAAGGGGTAACCTGAGACTTCTGAGGCGCATGTTAAGCAACGTGTGCCCAGTTTTACTATAACAGGCTTTATGCGCTCTTTCCGAGGTTGCGAAGACTCAGAAAGAGAAACCTGTCCCGGAGAAGCTGGCAGTGGTGGAAGCTTCCACCAAGCCTGAGCCTGAGGTCCACCTTCTTCCCCGTCTTCCCTAAGATAACCCACTGTTATAAATTGAGCTCTACTGACGTCTTTCAGGCTGAACAGCAGCAGCCGATCTGGAACCTCGAGCCCGAACTCAGTCCTCAATGAGTACGTTCCGGGCTCGGGTCGGATCGGTTCGAAGCTGGGCAACCCGTTCGCCCACCTGTCGGACGCCTCGAGCGGCAAGGGCAACGATGCCGACGACGACAGCGATGGGGCGCCGGCCCCCACGCCAAAGGCCGCCAGCAGCCTTTTCTCCCGCGTGTCCCGCGGCACCCCGGCTGCGACCTCGGGTGTCTCCAGCATCTTCGGCTCCGTCGCCAGTTCCCCGGCGGCGGCAGAGCCGGCCGACAAGACCTGGAACCCCGAGAGCCCGATCAAGTTCGGGGCGTCCGCGGGCGCGAAGTCGAACCTGTTCGGCTCTGTTTCGGGGGCGGCTTCGCCTGCGCCTGCGTCGCTGTTTGGGTCTCCAGCAGCGGGTGCAGCGTCGCCTGCCCCCATGTTCGGCAAGCACGCTGTGACTGGTTCTCCTGCGGCTGCGGCCTCCCCGGCTCCGTTGTTCGGGAAGTACGCCGTCACACCAGCTGCGCCGGCGTTTGGCACCTCGGCCTCATCTGAGGCAAAGGACAAGCCCACCATGGGTTTCAGCTTCGGGTCCGGTGCTGCCACCCCTACTGCCCCCAAGTCCGCGGCATTCAGCTTCCTCTCCAACGGCGGCGGCCTTGGCCCGACTCCCTCTCTCGGCGCCTCTCGCGCGACTACTCCCGGCGTCACGACCGAGAACGAGAGCACGGCCGACGAAGCAGCGGCAAGCCACGACGACAACGAGCCTGGCAAGGAGCTCCCCCAGAGTGACCTTGCCAGCGGCGATGAACCTGGAGAAGAGACACTCGTCCTCACCAAAGTCAAGGCGCGCATGATGACGCCCGAGAAGAAATGGGGTCCCAGCACCGTTGGCACGCTCAAGCTCCTCCGCAACGAGAAGACCTCCTCCGTGCGCTACCTGATCCGTCTCACGAACGGGTCGGTGGGGATGAACAAGGCGTTTGTGAACTCGAAGCCGCGCCTGATGGGCAAGAGTGTCGCGGTTATCATGATGGTTGATGCGCCGAAGGAAGGGGAGTCGCCGATGACGACTGTGAGTCTTGCGACTGAGTCGGAGGGGGCGGCGAAGAAGCTCGTTGAGGCTATTGAGAAGGTTGTTGAGGGGATGGAGAGTAAGGCATAAGCTGGAAAATGATTTGTCGAGTCGGTCTTTCTTTGCTGGACTGAGTGCGCCTGGTTTGAGTTGGCTTGCCTTGCCTTGTATTCCGACGAGAAGAAGAAGAATGGAATTTGTAAGAACGGAGAGGATGGATGAGAAGAAGTCTGCCTTGATTCGATACCCCATCGCGTCCTCGTCAGATTAACTCCACCTAGGCCGTATCTACCCGCCTGTCTCCGGACGGGGTCATGGGGAGTCTATGGTGATGAAGTGCCTTTGGCGGGGCGCGGTGGGGGGTGGTCGCTGAATGGATTCTGCGGACTTATCTCTTGGGGAAGTGTTCATGTGTTGGAATATGAAGATGGTGTTTAATGTTTGAGTTGAAGGTTGAGAGATGGAGCCAGGTGATTCGGGTTACATGAACAAATCCAATGGGGGACGATATAAAGGGTACATGGCCGGAAGGAAGATAAACTGTACATTTGAACAGTGGAAAAGAATGGTTTTTTTACAATGGTCAATGGTTTTTTCTGTGTCGAGTTCAATGCACATAACTTGGGAGCGGGCGGGGCGTCTTTGCATGCATAGATCTGGGTTTGGGTTTTTTTTGTGCTTTGACTTTGAGGAGGTTAGGGGTTGGGGATGGGTGTGGTGTGTATTATAGATAGTATAGTGCCGTTCAGTGCCGTTCAGTGCCGTTTAGTGCCGTTCAGTTCAGTTCAGTTCGAGAGCCAGTCAAGGTGGATGGTTTTAGTTTTTTTTACCTCCGTATGGGTATACACGTAGAAGGATTGATTCAGAGATCGTTTTGTGTGCATTGCTTGCTTGTGAATGTGTGATGCGACTTTACGTGGTTGGACACGTGGTTTACGACGAGGGGAAGTCAATGCAAATGAATGTGAACGATACATAACATCATCATGTGAACATATATATTAAAGCTACGACTCCCAAATAACACCATCCCATGCCCAATTTTCGTATATCCCATCCCATGATAATTGATACCCAGAAATCCCACTCGAAACATGACTCCAACCCCAAATCCCACAACGCCTCAACCGGCGGCCCGGGGGGTATTCCCAATGAAAAGCCAGACACCTCATAGAAAACTGCCGTATGGCAAGCTGCACGCACGTACAAAAACAAATATGAAAGGTAGGCAGGCGCCCCAATCATCCCTTATTATCCCCGCGATGATCGAGCACGAAGCGGCGATCAACCTCCATAGTAACCTGCTCGTCCTCCTCGCCCTCAAACCTCAGCTTAACAAACTTCCCATTCATCGCCACGACCTCGGCCTTGTAGAACGTAGTCGTATCCGGGTAGCGCGCCAGCACGGCCTTGCCCTGCGGATAATCCGGCAGCGACTGTCCCAGCTCGGGGATGGGCACCATGCGCGCAGCCGAGGACTTGTGGATCGCGCCGGGACGGTTGGTGACCTCGTCCGGCTCCGGGTCCTGCACGTCGTAGCGGCGGCTCTTGCCTTCGCCTATGATCTTCACGACGACGCCCTGGATCCACTCTGTTTCGACGTTGGGGTCCTGGGGCCGTGGGCGGAAGGCCACCTCGGCGCGAAGATTGAACGTCACCTTGCCCTTGGCGTCGATCTCGTAGCTCGGGGTGTGCGCGGGCGCGTCCTTGCTGGTGGTGCTCTCCTTTGGGGGCTGGCTGCTGCGGCTTGTAGAGCCTAAGTCGCGGTTTTTTCGGCTCGGCTTGTCGAGTACCATGGGAGAGGGTGCGGGGGACTCGGAGGCGACGTCGAGGTCCATGGAGGATTTATCGCGGGAAGCGCCGCCGCGACGGCTGGGTTCGGAGGAGGCGCCTTCGTTGTGGGATTGTAGGCCGCGGAGGACTTTGAGGCGCTCGATGAGGGGTGTGTCGCCTGTTTTGCCGGCTGCGAGAATTTGTTCTGAGAGCTTGACTTGTTCTCTTTGTAGGGATGAGAGGGAGTCGAGTTCTAGGACGGATGGGGGGTCTGGGGGGTAGGTGTTAGCGTGGCGCTGGGAAACGTTTAGTGGGTGAGACTCACCACCGAGGATTTCGCGCTCTTTGAACCCAGCTTCCATGAGCAAGATCTCTTTCTTGCCCTCTTCCATGCGCGCAACGAGAGTGAGCATCGACTTCATGGTATCTTGGCAGCTCTCCCAGATGGACAGCTCGGCATTACCATCGTGGCCATTCCCGCCACCTCGGCCGCGCTCCACCCTCTTCCGCTGACTAGCCATGGTTGGCCTTTTCCCGTTATTCGATTCTTCGCCCCGGTCGGGTGATCCGTTGAGTGTTGCTTTGCGGCGACGCGACGTCGGCGCCTCGCTCCAGTACTTTGATGGCCCGTCGAGGGCGAGTTCCTTTAAGGGCTGCATGTTAGCATGCGATGTCTCTTCTTCAACGACGTGTAGGAGCGGCAACGAAAAGATTTGAAAGCAACGCAGGGGATAACTAGGAAGCAGACCATATAGACAGGAACAGACATACCTGAGTATTTCTATTATCCAGGCAGGACGCGACTTCCCTTTTCCACCGTGGTAAGAAGAGAGGAAGTTGCGACCTTGTGCTGAGCAGAATCGGAAGGAGCGACTGGTAGCGGTAGTGTATAAAGGAAGGTTAAGAAGGGGAGACCACGCGAGGAAAGAGCGATGGCTGATCCAAAAAGGCACCAGACGTGAGCTAGTCGGCGCGATTGAGATGGAGGTTCGACGGTGGCGGTTCGGCTTTCAGCCTTACCTATTCCATAGCGCTGCGATATCGACTCATGGTCCGTGCGTTACTCCGCTGTTTCACGCTATCTGTACGTCATGACGGTTCCTGGCGTGATTTTTCGCGGTAGATCGTTGAATTTACATTCTTAACATCTGCGATGCAGTTCACTAAGATATAGTCAAGGCCGAGGATTCTAGCTCTATTTAAGGCTGTGATTATATATATACATTTAATTTGGGTATCTATGTTCCATCTTCAAATGGAGTTGAGTGGAAGATTAGACTACCTACATTCCGATCACTGGATTCTTCTCTGCCCAACCCCACTGGTGCTTCCTGGACTGCCTTTCGAGTGTGGGAGAGGGGAAAGGATTGGAAATGCTTCCCTTCCACCGTCCCTGCTACCGCGTGCTGTTGAATCCGCTCCTATGTTTCCTGCCTGACGAGGTTATTCTCGTTGATGCTTTGCCGCTATAATCGGAAGGGATAGAGGCTAGCCAGCCATCATTGCAAAGCTGTTGTTCATAATGGCATAGAACCTTGATCACTGCGTATAACGGTATCTATGTGACTTCTTGTCCAATTTCATGGACGTCCATAGAACCCTCACACCAACTTCGGTTTCCTCTTGATGCCCAATAAAGCACCGTGATCTTTCTTCTTCTTCACAGTCCGCGCAAACGTCGGCACCGCCGCCTTCTCTGGGACAGCCGTATCCTCTTCCACTATCCTCCCAGCTGCTTCCTCAGCCCTAGCCTGGAACGCGCGCTTCGCCGCCTCCTCATCCGCAAGTTCTTGGGCAGCCACGCTCTCATCAACTTCTGGCTTCGCAGCCACACCGCTCGCCTCTCCACCACCCACGCGCTCAAATCGTGCATTCCGTGTCCTAATCTCATCGAGCGCATCGGCGACAGCCATCTCCGTCTTGGCATCCAGCGTCTTCGCCTCCAACTCCTCCATTGTATCCTTCTCTGCCTCCTCTGCCTCAAGGCGATCCAGGCGCTCCTCCTCTGTCTCCTCCTTCAGACTGCCCTGGCGCCAGGGCTCAAAATTTCGCTTTGCGCCGCGCTCGCATGTGTAGTCGAGGGACTTCGGGTCGGTTTTGAAAGTGATTTCGGCAGAGCACCGCGTGCATCTGATGTAGAACCGGAAGATGGTTATAGAGAGGTATTTCTCCTCCGTCGTTTCCTTGCGCGCGTTGAACTTGCGGCCTTTGTAGATATATTCGCCGCATGCAATGCACTTCATGGAGAAGGGAGCCATCAAGCGGACGGTTTGGACTTTGGGACCTGGTGCCTTTGGGCCTCTCGACCTGGTGATCTTGCTGGGATCGAAATCCGGGGGGTAGTATTTCTGGAGAACTTTGCGCTCAGACATCTTGACGGCTGAGAAGAGTTTAGATCTGGGGAGGAGGTTGTATTATGCGATGTCTGCGCCGGGTCGTTGATGATTTTTCGAATTCGCCTCCGCCTTGTAGGAGGATGATTGGCACTGTCGGCGCGCGAGATCCGTATGTCAGTTTGCGGATTCGGTGGTGAATAAAGCCAAGAGAATATGAGGCTTTGCGATGAAGTATAACTCCGGTCGAAGTGGGTGAGGATGGGGAAGGAGCGATGGTTATCTGCTCTTGCGCCTGCCTGGTTCATGGCTGGTAGACAAAGAGTATTACGTAAGCGCCACTTTTTGCAAGGCTATGTAATCAGTCGGCCCATCTGGATCTAAACCCACTCCTGTCAATAACATCCATGTCTACTAGTTGAGCTGTTTACGGCATATTCTTCAGAGAAAGTTGTTGAAATATTTATATCGAGTAAGCCGCGCGAAATTAATGATTTGAAGCTGGGTTATGCAAAGCTTGAATCACGGTTTGAGGAACAGCATGCCACCGTCACTCGGATTAATCACCTCGACCGAAGGCGGTGACTAAACGTAGGTAGTAGACGGTAATGCACGTCGAAATGATATTTATAGGGATCTAATTCTATTGAAGACGCGACTATAGACATATAAGTTTCGTCGAATTCTCATATATTGTTACAATGTTTTACGCGTCCTGTGACGTCATATTGCAAGGCTGTACCCCGCGACAACACGTGACCACCAATGTGGCATGTTGGTATTATTTGAGGAGATATGATATTGCACGTTAAGATAAGCAGGTAGTCGGCAGTTGAATAGTAAAACTATCTGACTCACGAGTTGAGTTGCCTAAAGTGGAGTTTAAAATCTTGTCCTCTCAAAGTGGCAGGAGGTTTGCAAACGATGACCAACTGAAAACGGTCGTTGATCTTACCCCGCCAAACTCCCTGACATACATATAAAGTGCAGGTACGATTTCACATATGCACAATAAACACCCCCACTCCTAAAAAGGCTTAATAAATTTTCTTCCTTATTTCAGAGGCCGTGCCAGCGATCAAGATGCCTATGCCAGACGATGAGTGGGAAGAGGTTATCCAGACGGTGCCGTCCGTGGATGAACCATTCATCCAGAAATACCTCAGCGGACGAGAAGCATTAATCGCCCAAGAAAAGAAGCAACGTAGCGGTAATACCCATTTACACGTCCCCATTGAAGGCGTCAGCTTCTAACAACCGCGCCAGACTATGCATTCCGCCAATCCCTCTCCCCCATCGCCCGCGATGCCTGCGCAATCGTCTCCCGCATCCGCGACGAGGAGCGCGACACGATCTGGACACCGCAGCTCGACGCCGCCGTGGCATGCGAGAGCGAGACGGCCGCATACCCCGGTATGATGTTCGGCCTTGCGAAGGAGACAATGGAGAAGACGCGACTGTGGAAGATAATCAGACAGATGCCCAAGGGTGCGCTGCTGCACGCGCATATGGACGCTATGGTCGATTTCGACTTTCTGATTGACGAGCTGATGCGGACGCCGGGGATGTGTATTTTTTGCGAGACGGATTTGGCGACGCCGGAGAAGGCGGAGAATGGGATGTTGAGGTTCTGCTTTAAGAGTGCGGCGCCGAAGGAGACGGATATTTGGAAGGCGGATTATAATAGTAATGATCCGGTGCTGGTGACGAGGGCGGCGGAGCTACATCCTGGTGGCAGCGAGGGATTTATAAAGTACCTGAAGAACAGGTTTACGATTTCGAGAGAGGAGAGCTTGCAACACCACCACGGTGTAGACCATGTCTGGAGGAGATTCCAGTCGATTTTCGGCATGCTTGCTGGTCTTACGTCTTACGAGCCGATTTTCAGGGCATTCTTGCAGAGGATGATGCATCTCCTGAATGCAGATGGAGTCAAGTGGGTTGATTTACGACTTGCTTTCGCATTCCAGTTCCACAAAGAGGGGAAGGAGACCCCAGAAAAGGGGTACGTCGGAATGTTCAAAGTCCTCGGCGAGGAAGTCGAGAAATTCAAGGCATCGGAAGAGGGCAAGGGGTTTTGGGGGTTGAGGATGATCTGGACAGGTCTCAGGAGATTGGACCTCAGGTGGGTTATCGAGGATATGGATAACTGCATCGAGGTTAAGCTGGCGTATCCTCACCTAATCTGTGGCTATGATCTCGTCGGCCAAGAGGACATGGGAAGGCCACTGAAGGAGATCTTGCCTGAGCTCTTCTGGTTCCGCAAGCAGTGTGCTGATGAAGGAGTCAACATTCCCTTCTTCTTCCACGCAGGAGAGACGTTGGGTGACGGCAACGATACGGATCAAAACATCTTTGATGCCATTCTTCTTGGAACCCGCAGAATTGGACACGGATTCTCACTCTACAAGCATCCGCTTCTCATCGACATGGTGAAGGAGAAGAAGATTCTCATCGAAAGTTGCCCCATTAGCAACGAAGTATTGCGCCTCTGCACCTCGATCATATCCCACCCGCTCCCTGCGCTCCTTGCTCGTGGCGTGTCTTGCTCACTCTGCAACGATGACCCTGCGATCCTTGGTCAAGATACCGCTGGTTCGACGCACGACTTCTGGCAGGCTCTTCAAGGGTGGGACAACCTTGGTCTAGCAGGTCTGGGCTCGTTGGCAGAGAACAGCGTTCGGTATGCGGCATTCGAGGATCAGACCAACGCCGAGTGGCTCGAGGGCATCAAGCAGGGCACTCTGGGCCAAAGTGTTAGGGGAGAGAGAATGCGGGAGTGGGCGCTTGAGTGGGAGAAGTTCTGCCTTTGGATCGTGACGGAGTATGGGGATGATGCAGCTAGTAAGGCTTAATGTGTGGGTTTATTGGCGTCTTGGGAGCGGACCAGGGGACAAGGAATATTCATCATAGATGGATCCCCATATTTCAACACTTGGGGATGTAGAATTTGTTACTGTTAAAATATTATCCAAAACAAATATGATGACGTCTATGTGATATGATGGCCTGTATGTCGATACCTAGAATTTCGGACCCCGTATTTGTAAGGTGGTTGGCTGTCTCATGACACATGGGCAGCTGTTGCGTGAGAAGGGTATTGGAGCGGAGCGGAAACACCACTGACCGAACCTGACTAACCCTGACCTGGGCGGGTGTGCTGATACCGAGTGCCGCCCCTAGCGCAGCGATTGGTTATCGATAACGCTAGGCGAAGCGGCACCACCCAGGTAACCCCCCTGGTAGCTCACCATCATTCACACCAGCCAGCTCACAACCTCACCTAACGGACTCTGTTCTTTCTCTTGGTCTTATTGTCGCCTCTTAATATCCTTAATACTGCGGCAGTAAGGGGACTGAAAATGTGCATTCTGGCCTAAGAGGATTATTGTTATACTTCTGCACATACCCTAAAACAGATCAGACATGCGCGGCGGGGAAGCGGCGAAGACGCACCACTTGTGACGCTAGACTTGGAAGCGTCCTTTGAAGGGGCGGTAGTGGACCGCACGTTACGAAACTGATATTTGAAACAGTGCGAAGCTATCACGAAGCTTTGTTACTGCTGGGATTGCTATAACATATAGCCAGAGCTACAGGCCGCGGGGCAGGCTCCCAACGTCCGCGGCTATGGCTTCGTTCCTCCTCCCGACGTCGATACAGAAGCGGCTGCTACGGTATGCTCTTTCGCGGCTGGAGATTCTAGATACAGATGCGCTGGATCTGGACCGCCTGGACATATCATGGGGCTCCAAGAGCACTCTGGAGTTCCGCGATGTGGGGTTGCGGTTGAAGGTAACGGCTCCCGATCACTACTCTGGCGCTGAGGTGGCGTGTGCTAGAACTATGCTGACTATGTATGAACCGTTAGAAACTTGGAACTATGCTCAAACTACCCCCGAATATCGAACTCGCGAAGGCCCAGGTGCTGTTGCTCCGTTTGACTATACCGGTCGATATATACAGTAGCCCCATTGTGGTGGAGGTTGATGGGGTGGAAGGGCATATAAAAGTGTCACCTGAGGGCGAACACGGCATCGCGAAGGGGAAGTCTACGGCTGGACATGACAGGAAACAAAGTAAAACTGCAGACGGGTCCCGGCCAGGCGGGCCAGAATCCAACGATGATCCAGGTTCTCCGATACCTACGGTAGCGGATCTAGCGCAGTCATTTATACAGACCGAGACACCGGAAGAGAGGGCGGAACTGGAAGCAGCCATCACGAGCCAGTCTGTGGCTTCTCTGAGCGACGATGGAGACGACGACTCCACAGTTGGGACTGGGGCGGCCCTGGCGTTACCAGCGTTTATGGCAAATTTCTTGAAGGGTATCGTCGACAGACTTCAAGTGAGGGTCCGCAGTATCAAGCTGAATCTCGATGTGGATATTCCTGTCGAGTCGCTGGGACAGTCGACAATGGACCCAGTTACACTGCAGATAGACATCGAGGATATAGATATTGAAGGTGTTACTTTCGGCACAACAGCTGATAAAGATGAAGGGAAGGTTGATGCGGAAACTCCAGTCTTGCCACTCAAGGATGAGAAGAGGCTAGTTAGCCTCAGGAACCTTCGTGGATTTCTCATTTCAGATGCTGGGCACTTTGCGAGCCTTGCGCGCTCGTCAGGGATGCCATCTCCTGCGGCAACGCATTCAGACTTGCGAAGTCTGAAAAGCCAGAGCCTTTCCCGACAAGGCTTCAATGCCAGGTCTGATATAGAATCACCACCACTGTCAGTTAGAGATAGCCTCTCTACATCAAATCTCGCGTCGTCACCTGTGCCCCATGACGACGAGGTGTCAAACCCAGCGGTGTCAAACCCAACGTCGCCAGTAGTATCCAGCATTGGCCACTCCCTGGAAGCATCAGGACGATTTGATGACGCGCCGGAAGATGACGACCACCCAGATGCTATGGACGAACTTCCAGCCGATATGATGAGCCACAGCATACTGGATAACTCCAAATTTTTGGATGAAGTCGCTGAGAGCCAATTTTTAGATGACGGTAGTGGTGAAGAGAGAAACGACTTTCCATTTGGAAGTGTTCACGAGAAAAAGCTGTCCTCTGAGAAATCCCCGCAGTCTACACCACGGGCGTCCATGTTTTTGTCCTCGGATAAAGGACTTCATAGAAGCAGATTTACCAATCCTGCTTCGCTGGCATCGAGCTCTAGGCTTGATCCTCGGGGAGCTTCTGTTGCAGGGTCACAGATCAGAGCTCCTGGGATCGTCCGCCCTCATGCTGGGGTGGCAAATTCAGAGCCTGTGGCTATGCACAAGAGCGGCCACTCCCACTATGAGGAGACATTTGCTTCTATGCCGAATTTGACTGGCAAAAGGTCAGGCCCGCCGTCTGATGTCAGTGACTCGCCGTCGGATTATGAAAGCCTGGCGGAGTCTAGATTGTTTACCCACGAAGATGCTGAGAGCATGTATATGAGTGCGTTGTCTCACGGCTCGAGGCACGAAGAGGCACCGGGCGGATACAATGTTCCAGGCAGCGATTCGACCGAGGCTCCGGAACCACCCCGGACTCCAGAACTAGGGGGAAGTTCTGGAGCTGAAATGCCGTATCGCCCTGATAGTGCCGCTGAAAGCATACTTGAAGACGGAAAATATGAGATTCCTGTTCCTACCGAGAAGGCGAAATCTATCAACTCGGAATCAGACTTCACAGCTGAACCCGACATGCAATCAGAGACACCCACGGAAGATCACTTTGATGCATCCATTCCGCCGATAAAGAAAACAGAAACCAATATCTCCGAGGCATCCAATATCTCCTCGGATCGAGATAATAGGATGGCCAAACAGCTGTTTAGCCTGGACCATGTTGGTATATATCTCCCTCCTACAGCTGACGGGAACGGGACATTGGACCAAGCCACTGCAACAGAAGCTGCTGCTATGGAAGCGTCTGCTCGAGCTAGTATATATGGTCCCCAGGCGTCAGGATCCCGATTTTTAGCACCAGATTTGCCTGGAGCATTCTCCACACCCTCAATCCGAGCTCGTGAACGCCCATCTGTTTCTGAACAAGATAAGCCTAAGAAACATGAGCTTCCGGCGAAGGAAGATTCCAAATCTACCACCATCGAGATAGTTCTTGGTCAACTATACGCACAGGTCGATGTTTCTGTGGCACGGCTTCTTTTCAAGCTATTCCAAAGCATATCTGCCGTATTTGAAGGTAATCAGCGAAGCCAAGCTTCAGCGCCAGAAGAAGAAAAGGACGTTTCACCGGTGTCAGTTAAGTTCCATGCAGATCGTTTCTCTGTAAAATTTCTGGAAAGACTGCCGGGCACGAGGATACCGGATGCCCCCTTTGGGGAGGAGTATGTGGTCAAACCTCCAAGCTCTGACGTCTTGCTGCGGACTACCTTGAAGGGGCTTGATATCAGTTATGATATTTCACAAGCCTCAACAGCTGCTTCTATTACGCTACAGAAGTTCGTATTTGGCTATGCCAAAGAGAATATACTCTCATTCGATGCAGATCTCCGTATGAGAGAATCTGTCAGAGATCTAGCAGCTACGGCTGGTGTTGATGTATCCGTCAAAATGTTAAAAACTCCAGTCACAAGTCGCTACAGCATTTTTACTCTGCCAATACACTTATCCATCAACCTACAGAAGCTTGACGAAACATTCAGCTGGTTTGGTGGCCTGAGTAGTGTTCTGAACATGACCAGTTCTATGGCATCAAGCGCTACGATGACAACCTCGAGCCCTGCTAAGACAAAACCTCGAGGCGTAAGGTTCGATGCCCCGATAATGCCAGACGATGAGTCGGTGTCGTCACAGACCAAGGTCGATGCCCGAATTGCCGGATTTGTACTGGATCTTATTGGTAAAGACTGCAGCGTTGGTCTCGATACGACAGCCGTCAAAATTGTCAGCCGCGATGAGGGTATTGCAGTTGCCATTGATCAAACGAAGATAACAGGGCCCCATCTAGCTACCTTTTCCAACGATGAGCCCGCGATTCGCGCAGAACTGACTGGAATGCGACTGGAATATTTGGAAGCGCCAAAAAGTGCTGATCTTGACCGATTACTGGCTTTAATTACACCGTCAAAATCGAAATATGACCGGGACGATGATATCTTACTTGAGACCCTTCTGCGGCAGCGGCGACAGGGGGCCGTTCTCCGAGTAAACATAGATCAGTTCAAATCTCGCGTTGCACATCTGGAACAGCTCAAATATCTGCCTGATCTGGGCGAAGAAGTCTCCAAGCTCTCAACTGTAGCCAAGTATTTGCCTCAAGATGATCGACCTGGATTCCTCTCTCTTGTCTTGGTCAAAAAGTTTGATCTGAAGGTGGATATTAATAAGACAATTGGCAATTTCCAAGCACGGGCAACAGATATCGAGGTTGCCCAAATAACCTTACCGGCACTTGTGGCTCTGTCAATGGATACTTTTACTGTCCACCGAAACGACACCGAGGAAATAATATGTGCTGCCACGACCGTGGAGCTACGCCCAGCTAAAGATCGATCGCCTGCAATCATGGCACGTATGATCGGTGATGAAATGGAACCAGTCATCAAACTCAAGCTCTGGAATCTACGATTAGAGTACAATGTGCCTACCCTGATGACTCTTCTCGGCCTCAAGGATAATGCCACTACAGAAGATATGGCTACTGGAATTGCTGCGTCTGTGGCTACGTTGACAGACCGCAAACAGATATCTCTCGCAATGCAGCGTGGCGAGGCCAAAGAAAAGGGACCAAAGAGCCAGGAGTCGAAGGCATTGACTGTGGATGTTGCAATCCGAGAATGTATTTTGGCATTGAATCCTCTGGGACTACCATCAAAGATTCTAGTGGTGATGACTGAAGGCCACGTCTCGGCAGTGCTGCCAGAAGATAACAATACAAATGTCACCGCAGAATGGGGGAAAGGCTCCTTGGTTGCCATCGATGATGTTGCAAACATCACAGCGCCAACCCTTGCGAACAAAAGCAGGCGGCAATCATTCGATGGTGGAAGCTCTCAAGTCGCTGATCTCTGTTCACGTGGATTTGTTTGTCTTGGATATGTTGCGTCCGCCAAGGCAATTGTACGGGTATCAACAGGCAAGAAACCGGGTGAGAAGAATATTGATGTTGAGTTGCTTGACGAGCTGTTTGTTCTGGAAACTTGCGCCGATTCTACACAAACGCTTATTGCTGCACTCGCTGCGTTGGCGCCACCGTCCCCGCCTAGCAAGGAAGTCAAATACCGCACCAAAGTCATGCCGATGCAAGATCTTCTTGCCTCATTCACTGGAGACGCCTTCGAGAGCAACAACCCTGCGGGAGATTTTAACTTCGACGATGAGTTTGGAAGCCGCCTTGGGAGTGATATCAGCGACAACTCGAATCTCGACTTTGACTCTCAATATTACGCAAGGCCAGCCAACTCATTACGAGAAGATAGTCTAGGCGAGTCATCCCAACACGGCTCGCTGCTTTTCGATCAATACAACAATCCAGGCCAAGACACAGACGATGGCGTTCTCCTCGAAAGCTTCTCTTCCAAACAACATGTACATATAAATGAAGAATTGGATTTTAAGGAGGATTACTTCGGCAGCGGTTCCATGGTGGAAGGCACGGCGCATCGGTGGAATTCGGCGAAAAACATGTACGACAAGTCGGATACGTATAAAGTACGGGAGAGTCCTTTGAAAGTTTGTGTACGGGATGTGCATGTAATTTGGAACTTGTTTGATGGATACGACTGGCAGGCAACACGAGATACAATTACGAAGACTGTTCAAGACATTGAGTCGAGAGCTAGTGATACGCGTGCACGAAGAGACAGACGCTCTACGGCTGTTGAACTAGATTTCGAAGAGGAAGAAACAGTCATTGGCGACTTCCTGTTCAATTCCATCTATATTGGTGTTCCAGGCAATAGAGATCCAAGGGAGCTGGCTGCAGCTATCAACCGAGAGCTACATGATAATGCAACGGAGACCGAATCTCTAGCGCCGACAACAGTTTCAGCTTCCCCAAGCCGGCAGGGTGGACCACCCAGAGTTAAAGGGAAGCGACTTCGACTTAACAGGAGCAAGCATCACAAAATCACCTTCGAGCTCAAGGGCGTCAATGCGGATGTTATTGCATTCCCACCTGGATCCGGTGAAACCCAGAGCTCAATCGACATCCGTGTTCACGATTTTGACATCTACGACCATGTTCCAACTTCTACATGGAAGAAGTTTGCTACGTATATGCACGACGCCGGCGAACGTGAGTCAGGTTCGAGCCAGATCCATATTGAGTTACTCAACGTCCGCCCCGTTGCCGAACTTGCCGCATCTGAAATCGTGCTTCGGGCCACTGTGCTTCCACTTCGCCTACACGTCGATCAAGATGCCTTGGATTTCATAACTCGTTTCTTCGAGTTTAAGGACACGTCAAACACACCTTCTGGTGCTCCGTCGGAACCACCTTTCATTCAGCGCGCAGAAGTGAACGATGTCCAAGTCAAGCTAGACTTCAAGCCAAAACGCGTTGACTACGGCGGCCTCCGCTCTGGGCACACCACGGAATTCATGAACTTTATAGTCCTGGATGAAGCGAACATGGTGCTTAGACACACGATCCTCTACGGTGTATCTGGTTTCGATAGGCTAGGCAAGATGCTGAACGATGTTTGGATGCCAGAGATCAAGCAAAACCAACTACCAGGAATCCTTGCGGGCCTAGCACCCGTACGCAGCCTTGCAAACTTCGGAGGCGGCGTAAGAGACCTAATTGAAATCCCCGTTCGCGAGTATCGGAAGGATGGGCGCCTGGTGAGGGCTCTCGGAAAAGGCGCCGCAGCGTTTGCCAAAACGTCTGGCACAGAAATAATCAAACTTGGTGCCAAACTGGCAATTGGGACACAGACAGTGCTCGAGGGCGCGGAAGGCGTCTTGGGAGTCTCTCCAGCTCCACATCATCGCACTGGGGGAGATTGGGACAACGATGGAGACTCTGACTCCGATGAGCCGCGCCTGGTTAGTTTGTATGCCGACCAACCTGTGGGTGTGGTGCAGGGCCTGCGCGGTGCATACAAGAGCCTCGAGCGCGACCTGGTCATGGCACGAGATGCGATTATTGCGGTTCCTGGTGAGGTTATGGAGAGCGGGAGTGCGGTTGGTGCGGTCCGGGCTGTGGGACGGAGGGCGCCGACGGTTATTCTGAGGCCGCTTGTGGGAGGGACGAAGGCGGTCGGGAAGACGCTGTTGGGGGTGGGTAATTGGGTGGATCCGGGGAATTTGAGAAGAGTTGATGATGTAAGTTTCTCCCATTTACTTTTACGCTGCTGTTGGTCAAGGAGGTATACTAACTGGTGATAGAAATACAAACGGCATTAGTACGTGCCTGCTGGCAAGGAACGGAGGTTATGATTGAGCGAAGGGGGTAGCGTGCATGATGTTTTTGAGCGAATTAAATTGCATGGGATATTGGAGTTTAGATGGCGTTTAGGAAGATCATTGTGGAGGGATTGAGTGTGTGGTTTTATATTTCACCACGCCATGGACTGGCGCCTGCGAGTCTATAGTGCGGGTTTTTTGGTAAATCGAGCCACGCTGCTACTAGAAGAATTGGGTTTGCGGCGGCAAGCCGGATCTGGGATAGTATTTTGAGATTGGAATAAGATCGTATAACAGCTATTTCACAGTGACTATATTGATAAAGAGAGCCAGTGGGAAATGTGTATAATTATTGGGCCCCTTTTGCATCCCAATGCTCTGAGCCGCCTTTCTCCCAATGCCCTCCTGACAGCTGGGGAAATCATCCGCTTTGCATCAGAGAATATTACCAGGGGATGTCTTAAAATCCGTATACATCTTCTCCTTTGACCTCGCGGCTTCTATGTCTATATTTAAATCAAGCTTGTAAAAAATGGAAGTCGGCCTTCTCTCATCAACCAAGGAGAAACGAAAATACACTCAGTTGGTGCGTTAGTAGTGATAGGTTTGACAACCGCAATCACGACCTGTAAATTGTAGTCCACGACATTACCTGGTCAAGATAATCATGGTACTGAGAGTTTCAAACGGTGACATGAAAATCACGACAGGTAAGGGCGGCGACGAGGAGTAACACTAGTGGCGGTCATGAGCTTTCAAACGGCGACATGAAAATGGCAGAAGCGGTGATGAAAAAACAAGTGAAACACTTTTCTCAATGTAACGCAGTGTAACGGTGACTGGTTGGTGTTATGTCTCGAGGGTTCTAGACATGATGGCTGGCATTCATTTCGTTGGTGTTAGGGCGGCCTTACACAAATCGAGAAAACAAACAATTTATGAGTGGGACTAGAACCCGTAAACTGACGTTATATATTCGTTCCATTATATCAGAAACTCTTGTAACACATCTCTCGCTATATATAATTACAACATACTCTTTGGCATCTGCTTCATCGCCTGTCTAACTCCAAGATCACCCAGAACCTCCTCTGCGCCACCTAGAATAGCATCGAACTTATACGTTCTGTGGAACGCCTCGACCACTCTGCCCATTCCCGTCTGTGTCAACCCTCTGCCTCCGAAAATTTGCACCGCCTCATCGGCAATCTCGTGCGCACTCCTCGTAGCAAACATCTTGAGCAGGCCAATCGGGCCAGCCAAGTGCTTGGCCTGCTCCGAATATGGCATCTTGGTCATCTGGAAAGTGATGTTCTCCAACCACGCCTGGTTGGCCTCGACGTGGGCAATCATCTTCGCAAGCTTCGCGCGCACAACGGCCTGCTCATTGAGCTTCTTGCCGAAGACGACGCGCTGCGCCGCCCACTTCATGCACTCCTCAGTCACGGTACGAGACCATCTGAGGACAGAGTTGACCATCATCCAGCGCTCGTGGTTGAAGTTGGACAGGATGACGTGGATACCCTTGTTCTCAACACCGAGAAGGTTCTCCACGGGCACCTTGACGTTGTCGAAGGTGATGAAGGTGGTTCCTGCAGCGGCGGAGTAGGCGGTCTTGATGGCCTTTGTCTCGACGCCCGGGCCTCGCTCGATGAGGAGTACGGAGAGACCCTTGTCGGTCTTGACGCCGGTGACGAAGTAGTCGGACCATACGCCGTTGGTGATCCACTTCTTCGTGCCGTTAACGATGTAGTGCTTTCCATCAGGAGTCTTGACGGCGGTGGTGCGGATGCCAGCAACATCCGAGCCAGCGAAGGCCTCGGTGATAGCTAGGGAGATCTTCTTCTTGCCACTGAAACACTCTTGTGCAATCTTGTTCTTCCACTCCTCGTTGTTGGCGAAGTTAATAACGGCCGTCAAACTAATCGTCATGCCTGCCATGTTACCATCTTGGAATCCTCTCTGGAATGGTCTCGCAAGCTCCTGCCCGACGATGGAGTCGTGGAAGTAGTCAAAATCGTCGCCCATCATAACCCCACCAAGTAACTTAACACCGTGCATGTGCTTTCCGGGGCCTATACGCATGTGGAGAATACCAGCTTCTGACATACGGTTGATGAGCTCCTGGCTAATATGTGCGCCAGTCCGCTCAGACTCTTCGGCCTCGGGGGTGACGTATTTGTCTACAAACAACCGAATCGCCTTTTGAAGCCTACGATGCGAATCATTGTAGTAAGGGCTGTGGAACTCGGGTCTCAGCCATGTCGGCTCGCCGTATGGGACAAGGCTTAGGTCGCCTTCTTTCTTCTCGATAACTTCGGGCTGCTCATTCTCGAGGGTGCCGATGCAAAGGTCGGAGTATTTCTGGAGGACTTCCTGACGATGGAGGTTGTAGAATGCCTCTGTTGCGTCTTGGCCAGCGACTTGCTTAAGGACGAACTCTCCGCCGGGATGGGCGTCGACGAAGTCGGTCAAATCGTAGACCTTGTGGTCAATAATTACCCAGGTAGAGTCCTCGGTGGTATGTTTCGCCACCTCGGCACGAGTGAGGTTATTTGAAGACATTGCTAAAATGAACGATGCGTATTCGAAAGTTTGAGGGAATGGAAAGGAGATAGAAAGAATAGAGCAAGATATAGCAGTAATAAAACAACAAGCCGAAGCAGTTGGAGTACAATGAGCGTGGCCTATGGTTGTTCCCCAAATCCGTCGGTGGGGACCGCATAATCCGGGGTAGACGGCAAAGGACCGAGGCATAACTGGCCAATAGAAACACAACGATTTCACACTCACATGCCCCCCGCCAAGTCACGTGAATTACGACCTTTGGGACGCGCTTTGGGTCGCGTCTCAAAAGGGCCATCAACCTCAAACTGATCGAAGCAGTGAAGCAGCAATTTAAGAGCCAGCAAATACACCCAGCCCGCCCAATCACCCAACAACTCACAGGGCTACTGCATGTTCATAAGCCGCAATGTCCGCCGCTCCAGCCCCCACGATCCTTGACCTGAAACTCGCATTTCTGCGCTCTCAAATCCAGGCTCTCTCCGCTCCACTGAGAATCCCAGTGAACTACCAACCTCCTGATGAAAACCAAGCCATTCGCCAACGAGCCATAGATGACGCTCTCTTCCAACTTAACGCCCGTATTCAAGAACATGCCAAACTCGTCTACTCCGCGCCGGCGCAGCGCCATGTCGCCGAGCAGGTGGACGCATTGTACTGGATGGCTGGGGAGCGCGACGTCAGCGGGGAGCTTGCGCGGGGTCAATTGGAGCTAGGGACAGATTTTGGTATGGATGCGCTGTGAACTGGAATAGAATTCGACTTTGCTAACTGTTGGCAGCGGCGGATGTCAACATCACGAGTCTCCCGGATGCGTGGGAGGATGAAGAGGAGGTTGCGCAGCGCCCAGAGGAAGCGCAGCGGTATGTAGAGCTAGCTGCGCACATTAAGGGGCTCAATGATAGGCGCACGGAGTTGAGAGAGAAGGTTGCAAGGTATAAAGCATTGAAAGGGATGCTGGAACCGTTTGAGAATTCGAAGGAAGACGTTCAGGGGAACCTATGTACGAGGGATGGGGAGGTGGAGGCTGAATTGCAGAAGATGGGGATGCTTATGGCGCGGGTCAAGGGCAGGCTGGAGGGGTTGGAAACATCACAGAACCAAGGGGATGAGGAAATGGACCTTGACTTCTTGGACCAGGAGAAGAAGGCGGATCTGCTACTAAAAGATATTTTGCGGTAATAGGCCATCCTCGATGATTTGATATGACGAAGATCATATGAAAATTATACTACGATACCCTCTTCATTTGATTTCACGGTAGATTTCAAGCAGGCGTGACAGCTAATGGTGAGATGCAAGGATCGGGATCCCACTGAAAGCGAGAATCCTCAACCCACAACGTTAAACATAGAAACACGAAACAATTTCGGCGCTGCTACACCCAAGCTGATGCGGGTCTTCTGTGCTGCGCTGGGTGAAAGGCTTCTTGGGTGGAATGATGCTGGCAGTGCTGCCCTTACGTTGTTGCCGTCGAGACGCTATCGCCGTCAATATGCGGCAGAATCCATCAGAATAAGAATGAGGAGGAATGTCATGTTAAAGGGCCGCCTCCGATATTTCACAAGGCTGCATTATACAGATATTACGATAGGCGAGACCGGTCAACGTCTTAATGGATGTTTATTATGGGCTGTGTGAGGAAACTGACCGGCAGCGGGATGTCAAGTTAACTGTCATCTAGGTATTCTCCCCGCTATGTATTCTTGTCACCAAGGCATGCTGTCACTTGCCTGTAGCTAGGATGTTGCTGTCGAGACGATGTTGTTGTCGCTGGGCATTCTCATAGGACTAAAAGATAAAGTATATCTAACAGATAAAGTATTGAAATTAGATCTCCCTGGTTTTGTTAGTCGGACGTCTACATCTTTTGCGACCTCGTTTATGTATTTCATTGCCGCTGCTCGGTGGAAGAGTTAGTACTCAATCTCTTCGTCGCTGAAGAGAACACTAGTGTGTTCCGTACCTCATACAAGTGCCTCGTTATCACATTCTTCATATGCCTCTTTTTGAGCACTTACTATCGGGTCAGATATTTAGCCGCATTACCAAATAGCAAATGCGATCCGATACGATTGCAATGGATTACAATATACAAAACTAACTTAAATAGCTTAAATGAGGCAATCCCCACTTCCCATGGAACTTTAGTATCAAGCTCAGCGCTAGGCCTAGGAAACCGAGTGAATCCGAGCAATGCCAAGCCCATCCCCAACGCCTACCAATCAGCGACTCTCCACGCCAGCACTGCCTTACGAATGCCGACGCCATGGTAGGACACCATTGAAGCTGGCGAGATTTGGAGGCTCGGATTCGGAGCGCATTCTGTATTTGAAGGCCATGCTGGAACATTGCTTGCGTGGTTCCTGAATATTTTCGGGCAGTGCGATTACGCGTCTCGGGTTCGATGGACAGTTTGAGAGTTGAATGCGTGGATGGAGATGGAGGATGAGGTGTATATAAGAGGGTTCTAGAGCGTGGAGGATGAGGCGATACAGCACACAGTTCAATACATCATTCTTCTGCCTCAGTTATTCAACCTGAAATCTTTCATCCAGCACTCTTTCCAGAAAGTTCCTAGTTACTCAACCAATCCAAACCCGTCAGACATCGTCGAGATGGGGGAAAGCATTTGGACCTACGACCCCAACTACCCGGTCAGCATCGTGTTTGCAGTCTTCTACGCCATCCCGATGTTTGTCCAAGGTTACCAGACCTTCATCAGATACCGCAGCTACTACTTCTGGGTAGTTTTCGTTGGCGCCTTCCTGGAAGTAGGGGGCTATGCCGCCCGCACCGTCGCCATCAAGCACCTTGACCAAATCGTACGCACCCCCTTAAGAAGCAGAAATAGAGACCACATCACTGACCTCCACCTCTACAGCCCCCCTACGCTGTCCAAAGCTCCCTCGTAATCATAGCCCCTATCTTCATCGGCGCTGGCGACTACATGCTCGTCTCCCGCCTGTGCCTCGCCGTTCTGCCCAGCCATCTGACGCGGATCTACGGATTCTCGACACGCAAGCTGACGCGGATTTTTATCACCTGCGATATCATCAGCTTACTCATCCAGGTGTCGGGTTCGGGCATTGCGTCGTCGGGGAACTGGGAGGGGAGCAATGCGACGCTTGGTGAGAATGTGTTGATTGCGGGGCTAGCGACGCAGTTGGCGGCATTTCTGTTCTTTGTGGGGATCCTGAGGAGGTTCCATCAGTTGGCGAATACGGAGGGGAGAGCTGATGCGCCGAGAGGATGGCGGAAGGTGTTGTTGGCGGTGTATGTGTCGTCAGGTTTGGTCATCGTAAGTCTGAGGTCTGGTTTGTATCGTGGAGCGTAGTTGCTGACAAGATTCCAGATTCGCTGTATTTATCGCCTCATTGAGTTCGCCCTGGGGATTGACGGATACCCATTCGAGCACGAGTGGATGTTCTATGTCATGGACTCGGCGCCGATGCTCATAGCAATTATCATGTTCTGCATCTACCACCCTGCAAGGTACTTGCCAAACCAGCCTTCGGAAAAGATGACCGATGATACCCAGCTCGAGAGCCGCTTGGTGTCTAAAGTGTAGATAGAAGTTGGATTGACGCAGAAGTCTTGGAGAGTCGTAGAGTTGTTGTGAAACGAATTTTGGAGCTATTATATAGATGATGTCTATGTCTTATTAAATTTCCTATGTCTTCTTAGCTACAGTTAAACCAGATGTCATTGCCATTGCTTTCCACTTTTCACGGGCATTATTCAAGATCTCAGCAGGCCATCGGACAAAATGTCGGAATTCTGGGGGCACAGATCTCTCAATGGAATCAAACCAACTGCATCGGTTTATAAGCTGGTTTGTGGGGAAGGTCTTGTCGTATTCCCGCTCGAGCATCGGTAACAGGACCACTTCGAGGGCCATAAAATGAGCAAGAAGTATCTGTCCGACAGTGTTGTTGGGATTTGCAAAAGCACTGAAGTTGGCATCGCTCAACATCCCCATGACGTTGTAAATGCCGACCAGTCTCCAGTATCCTTCGAGAAAGTCAGATATGTACGCTTTTATCCCATTAAAGTGCAACTTACCTAGCTTTGAGGATGCTTTGATGCCACTGACCACATTTGTAAGTTCGCTATAATAAAAGCTATTGACTTCATCCTCAAGAACAAAGTTCAAGGCTTCTAGGGATGCTTCGGCCCCTTCTGCAAGAGCCATATCAACGAACGGAAGGTCATCCAGCCTTGGCTCCATATATCTCAGATGGGAGTACCAATCTATGACGAAGAAGGCGATCGAACTTTGGCTTAACAGTTGTCCTGATAACATCACGCAACCTCGCACCATTATCAGAAACTCGATTAGGCTGTCGCTCATAAAAGCCGATTGGAAGGTGAGCGAATACATCGTCGCCAAGAGAGCATCGCCATCAGGCTCTTTTTCGGGTTTCTTTGACAAGGCCTTGTTAAAACCTTCGATGGCGCGAACGCGATGCGAAAGTGCTGCATCACTGTAGTCGACGTTTGTTATAGCACTGAGATGAGTTGCGGCTAAGCCAAGCATTGAATGCATCAAGTAGTCATACTGAGGGCGGTTAATAAACCCCGTCTTACAAATCCATGGGTTTACTCACATTATGAGAAAATGCAGGGACGGTCTGTATCCAAACTTGAGAATTATTCACAGGTAAGTGGGGATATGCATTTAGAATAAAGTGCTGGAAAAATCGCATATCATCCATAGTGAAGAGAGTGGGTGTAGACTGGAGGGCAGCTGAGGGACGGGTAATCTGCCTGCGCAGAACAGTCATTACGTCCAACTCATGCGGCAGGACTTCGGGGTATTTGCATTCAAGGCTCCTCCTCAAGCAGTTGAGACAAGAAGGAAGTGTTTCTTGACACTATATGATATTTAGCTTGATGCTGGACTGGATATACGGAAGGCGCGACCGATGATATAGAAAGGAACGACCGACGAAAAAGGAAAGCATGACCAGCGACGATAAAGGAAGGAATGTCAGATGAAAAAGGAAGGCACGACCGACCTTAATTTTCCTCCTCTTGCAGGAAAAGCAGCCACCACGTGATTTCTTGTGCCCCTTTCTCGGTCCCAACTGAGAGCTACTTCGGGGTTTGGGGGGCTCTAGCGAACTAGAGCCCCTACTGGGCACTGATTGCACCGCATCGGATACCAAGTCTATGTCTCCGAGGCTGTCATTTAAGGATGCCGACGATGGAAATGGCGAGGTTCCTCTACTCTCGTTGCCTTGGGCGTAATCGAACATGTTTATCCCATGTAGTTGCTTGTGAGCCTCTTTGTATAAACCGGGCTAAAGATAAGCTCTTAAACCACTGCCGAGAATGCCAGTAACTATACTACACCACCAGGAGCTAGAGCATTCTTTTTGTGGTATTCTTTGTTAGAATCTAGAGTCATTGGCTTGGCACTGCGCAACTGCTGGCGTAAGGCAGGTGACGACGACACTGTGCTGAGAAATAAGCATGGCCCAACCTTTCCGACTGGTGTCTCGCTTTGGGCACTTTACGGTTGAAGGGGAGGCTGAGCGGCCAGGGAACAGCCAATTAACGGCCAGATACTTAAGGGATGGCGCCCTGTCATTGAATGCTGGCAGTACATATTTACAGGTGAGAAATTGAAAATTGAAAAATAAATAATAGTAAATGAAACCCTCAGAGTGCGTCGATATGATATTATCAACCAAATTGATGATATGAGAGTCTGTTGAGTTATGTAACGGTGATAATTCGCAAGACGTTATAAGCATGAAATATATCATAAAATACTAGACAGAATACTACAGAGACTCATATAATAATATCACAAGATAATGCATAAGTCTTCAAACTTCTAGAATGGCTACTATAATCAGCTTTCAAGTGGAAGTTGAGGTTTGGTGCCTTCTGGTCGTCTCGGCGTCCAAGCACCTGAATGAAGGTGCTGGCGTCTGGCGGAGCGCGGCCTGGAAATTTAGGAATACGATTAAAATAAATGTAAACAGTAAACAAAAGCGTGAACTTCTTCTTTTGCTCTTCAAGCATCAACCTCAAAGGCGCATTTGTGAGTAACGGTGATTGCTCTCAGGTACAACAGTTACTAACTACACCGTAGACCACCGGCGAAACCTCGGGTCATCAGCTTCCTGCCGGATAAACATGGCACCGACTTCCGGCGATGCGCCGAAAACTCTCGGCGCTGGTTGGCGCACCGACGACGAGAGCATCGTCGCCGACCTCAACGCTGAGAGATTAGACAGCGCATCCCGGTCCTCGTCTCCCGACACCGTGATATTCGACCCCGACTTCGCGACAGGGACCTTACTACGACGCCAATCAGGACACCGAGCTTCTGGCCTCTTCCCCCTCCCCCCACCACCAACCCTGGGCTCCCAGCCCGACAATACCCCGTATAAATTTCCCACGCGTGCCGCCCCCCACAAGCTCACCGAAGCTCCACCTGAGGCCGCCAGACGCTATACCTTAGGCCAACCGCTGCCGGACCAGCCGCTCGAGTTCCCCGTAATCGACACGTACCGCGCGCCGCCCCAGCCTCACCGTCAGCCTCCCCCAACGCCAAGATTCGCCTGTGCACCCTTCGATAAACCTCCACCACCACCACCCCAATCACCGCACCGCAGCAACACGACACCGAAACTGAAACTCCTCCGCGGCTCACCCGAGCGCTCCCCCAGCCGAACGCAGAACCCCAGCTCGCCGCCTCGCTTCCGGATCCGAGGAAACTCCCACGCGCCTCCCCAAAACAATATGAGCTACCAGAACTACCTCGACACACCACAGACCGGATCAGCACCTGGACCCCGCCAGGCCCCATCGCCATCGCAAGGAATGCCTCACGCGAACGGCGCCAATGGCGTCCCTGCCATGCCGGGGATGATGGGCGGACTGCCTACACCGGCTGGTCATCAGTCGGATCTCAATGTCATCTACAATATGGTCGAGACGCTGCACAATGAGCTCGCTGAGACGCGCGCACGCAGCGAGCGTATCGTAGCTGCTGCTGGGATTATTCGCGCCCGCGCCCTCGAGCAGAACCTCACTGCTGAACAGATCGCCGCCGGCGTCGCTGCTGAGCTTAATGGTACGCCCTACCCTTCCCCCCTTCCCCCCTCCCCTTCTCTCCTCCCTTTACCCATTGAACCCACTAACACACCCCCAGAAGGCACCAAAAACCTCGAAGAAGAGAACTCCCGCCTCCGCCACGCCCTCTCGCACGCCACCCACGAAGAAGCAGCCTACAAGACCCTCTGCGAAGAATTCGCCGTCACAATGGGCAACGCCCTCGAGCTCGGGCACGCCTACAAGCTCAAGACCACGCTGGACATGTGCGCATGGCACCGTTCCTACCGCGATCAGCTCGCTGCCGAGCGCGCCGAGAACCTCGAACTCCGCTGCCGAATCAGCGATATGCAGGCCTCTGCAGCGAGGGGGATGGAGCAGATGCGGTTGTTTAGGAGGGGCTGGGATAGGAGTGATCTCGTGATGGAGATGAGGGCTGAGATTGTGAGTTTGAGGCAGCAGGCGAGGGGGTGGAAGAGAGTGGCGCTGTCGGAGTTGGCGAGTGATGATAGTGAGTTTAGTGATGATGATGATGTGGTTGATCCGGAGGAGAAGAAGAGGTTGAGGAGGGTGGAGGAGGAGAAGAGGGGGAGGGAGGAGGGGGAGAGGGGGGAAGGGGGGGAGGAGGCGGATGAGGAGGGGGGGGCGATGGTGAAGGCGTTGGAGGGGACGAGGATTGCGGGGGAGGGGGAGATTACGATATGAGCTTCCTTGACTACTTGCGAGGGGTTTATTTCCTGAGAAGAGGTCCGTTTGGCGGCGCATTGCATGAAGGGTGTCTGGGTTAGCGTGGAGTTGGGGGGTTATATTTGTTTGAGTAGTTATGGGGCGGGCGCCGAGTATGGTTGCCGCGTTCGTATGGCTCGGCGGTGTTGTGGCACTGGTCGATGCGGTTATCTTGCTTTGCATTTGTATTATAGGAATCTTACTACAGAGGAGGTCTGCCGATGATGGCACATGACCATACAAGGAATGGAAAATTTGCGGATTATAATTCACATCGCTTCAAGTTGATTGTATTACAGGTCGTCACAAATTCACCACGGCATGGTAGTCCAAAGACATTGGAAGACTGTGACTGAAAATGGTATGGCACAAGACCATACAAACAATGGAAAATTTACTGATTATAATTCACCCTGCTTCACGTTAATTGTATTACAAGTCATCACTAATTCATCACCGAGTCATAGTTCATGCGGGCACCATAGTCCACAAACGTAGGAAGAACGAAATGCAACTCTATACAAAACAGTCTATAGTACATCTACAGTGTCTATCCTCTATCTCGCGACAGAGCACACCAAGTAACAACACTCAATACAGAATATATATCCCACCCACCACCGAGCCCACCATTCCCATCCCAGGTCCAGCCCGCCCACCCAAAACGCCCACTCCCATACCAAATAAAAACACATTTATATGCCACATCATATCCAAACACTACGAACCCAAAATACTCTCCTCATCCTCATCACTAGTAATATCCACCTCCTTAACCCTCTCCTCCCTCATCTCCCTCCACGTACTCCAACTCAACACCCCAAACGCCACCACAATGAGCCCCCCCCCCACCACAGCCGCCGGTCCGAGCGGCACCCCCGTCAACGCCCAATCCGTCGCCGCGACCAAGAAAATCGTCAACAGCGCCGCGACACTGCTCAACACGGGGCTCGTGAGACTGATCAGCACGAGGAAGCTGCCGGAGAACGTGGCGTTGGCGAGGACGCTGATGCACATCATCCAAGCCGCCTCGCCGCGGGGGAGGGCGAAGGGTTCCAGGCCCGTGTAGTGCAGGATTGGGAGGGGGATCCAGAGGACAAGGAGGGTGAAGGCACCGATGAGGGAGCCGAAGGTGTTGGCGAAGATCATGCCGCGGCCGGGGCTGCAGCCTGTGGGGGGGCAGGCGAGGCGCTTGTAGAGGACCTCGTAGAGGCCGTAGAGGATGGAACCAGCGCCTATGATGAGGTTTCCTGCTAGGCGGTTCTTGGCTTCTGTGTCGGAGGCGGCGAGGGCGTGGGCGTCGGGGGGGTTGGTGGGGTTGGGGGATGAGGTGTCTCCGTATGCGACGACGAGGACGCCGATGATGGCGACGAGGACGGCGAGGGATTTGTCGGTGCGGAGGGGCTCTTTGAGGAGGGGGACGGAGAAGGCGTAGGCGAAGAAGGCGGAGCAGTTGTAGATGGCGGTTAGGTCGGAGGGGGTGGTCATGTTGACGGCCAGGTACCAGGAGCCGCCTGCGATGGTGAGGGCGGTGGTTACGCCGGCGGTGGTGCGGAGAATGTAGGGGATTGGGGAGTGCTGCGTGCGTGGGGGGGTGAGGGATTGGGATTCGACCATCTGGGCGGTGGTGCGGAGGAGGTAGACGTGCCGCCGCCAGAAGGTGAGGAAGGGCATGGAGCGCTTTTGGAGGCGGAGGCACATGAGTTGGAAGGGGTAGAGGAGGACCCAGGATCCGTGGGTGAAGTAGCTGGGATGGTTAGTTAGTATGGATGAGGCAGAGGGGGAGGGGGGGGTGTTGGGGGTACATACAGCATGCAATACGCCTTGTCCCATCCCAAGTCCTTCTGGATATAGACAGCCGTCTCGGTCTGGATGACGAAACTGATCAGACTAATGCCCAGAAAGAAGGCCGCGTATGTGTATTTCTTCTTCGTCTCGAGGAGTGCCTGAGCATCAGCCGGGCTTCGACTCCGCATCGTCGAGCGGCGACTAAACGTCGTATGGGCTGGAGTTATGGGAGGACTGTCCCTCGCGCGACCTCTCTCGTCGTCCGATTTATGGAGCAGCGGCTGCCCTGACCGGCCATCCTTGTGCCTGTTATACGGGGGTCGTCGCTCGCCCATCTCGTCGGTCTCGGATTCGTCTTCGTGGTGATCGTACGGGGAGTCTTCGAAGGAGCGTGGCTGGCTGCCTCTGCGGTTCTCGCGTGCCCTTATGTCAGCCTCTGAGGCTGCTCGTGAGGAAGCGCTGGATTTGGCGGGCTCGGAGTTGTGGCCGTTGGAGAGGTGTGAGGCATTCCGGGAATGAGAGGGGGTCTTTTGGAGATTATACGACATCCATGCGAGTTGAAGTTCTGGAGGATGGCGTGGGGTTGTTCAAGGGTCACCGCAGAATCATCAATGAATGGGGGTTCGAGGATTTTGTAAAGTGTTGTCTGGTGGTAGTTTGGTTGGTAGAGGTGGTTCTGGTGACAGTTTTGGTGGTGGTTTGGTTGGTAGAAAGGTGGTAAATCTGGTAATGTGGTAGGTGGACAAGGTTTTAGTGGCGTTGTACTGTACTATACGGTACAAATGGGTACAAATGAGTACGCCAAGAGGGCGACACGGGGGCAATTTTGGGGGAATTTGGGGGGATCTGTGCGTGTCTTGGTTGTCTCTTGGTGGTGTCTTGGTGATGACATGGTGGCTGATTGGCGTGGGTTCAGGGAGACAATGGGGGAAACAAGGCTGACATCTCATGTATTCCCAAGTACCACACGTACCGCAAGCAGTACCACCACAACACCACATGGACCACAGTGAAGACGGCAGCTGTAGGCGGAGGATGAAGAGTAGAAAATGCAGAAATCTAGTAACCGACATCCCTGCGAGGCGAAAATCCCGTAGTAAATCTGGCTGCTCGACCCAAATTGCAAAACTCTCAACGCTGAGCAAGAATGAGCCGGTTTAAATGCTACGATTGCCGTTTTGACAGGCAAATATCAACGGATCAGCCACACGAGTCCATGAGTCCTTAGGCACACGAACCTTAAAAGGACCCCACACTTGCCATCGATCCCTGCCATCCCTCCTTCAGTCATCATTAATATGAGTGAAATAAGTCTAAATAGACTGTAAAAGTTTACCTATAAGGAACGATTACACAGACAGCTTCATTGTCTGAGTTGAGTCGCGTGAGGAAATGCTTTCAGCCTCCAGCATGTCATGGAGCAATTAGGTAGCAGCGTTCGAATGCACGAGGAATTATGCATTCGAGCGGCCGCATCATGTGAAAATGACTTTTCAGGCTGAGAGTTGTCTCTCTTCCGTCGACTACACTCTTATGACCAACTAAAAGAACTGAACACGAGAGCTATGATTTGTTAAGCCGTTTTAAAGGCTGCTAGGGACTATGTTAGGTATATTAAGATGGCTAGCATTCCTACTAGAATCGATTTTAAACCACACCTGATTTCAAACTAGTCTCTAACCTTCTCTGTTTAGATCTTCTCTGGCGTAAAACTTTTTGAGCAAAGACTTGATCATGTATAAACATAAATAGTACAAAAAAGATTAACAGAGCAGAAACCACGATAATAAGAATAAGAACAAGGACAGATACCCAACGACACATCTGAGTATATTCGCCCCAGTTCCCAGAAACGCTAGGGGCGCTTTGCACTGCGAGCTCTACTTGCATGGCAGTGAGCGCCGTGGACAGTAGTAAGAATAGAGCCAGGAATGGTGCTAGGACCCTGCCAAGGTACTCATTCCACTGAGCGTGAATATGATGATAGGTCAATCTTCCTAGCAAGAAGCGCGCAAACCAGTTCAAACGGGACAAGCGGATCTCTCCATATTGATAGCGAGGCGTAACGTTATCGTCATCAATCTCTGCGAACGGAGCGATGAACTGTGCAAATCGCTCGTACGTGATGGGATGTGCCCCGTCATTAGTCGGTATAAGCCCTAGCTCCGTACTCTGGGCTTTTCGAAAATCGATTTCATATTTTATAAGGTAGGAGTATGTTCGCAAGAAGCCTGTCGCGGCCCGCCTCACCTCTTCGTCTGTTTTCTCGACGTATTCCCAGAAGGCAGATGAGAGGAGATACGCCGGGAGAGGTTTGATAAATATCTGGTCATAATGCCATACGAGGTGAAGGTAGGCATTCTCGGTAACGGTAACGCTGCGGCCTCGGGCCGCTTGGAAGTGGAGGGGAGAGATGTGGCCACTGTCTGGCGTGACTGCCTTGAGCGATGGTTAACATATGTTCCTGACTCATTAAGTCATTTATCATACGAACCAGCCAAAGATATAGAGCTATCTTATCGAGATTTGGAGCTAAAAGAGCTTCCCTGAGGTATTTTTTTAGAGGAACGTTGTCAAGGGATGTTCGAGCCTGGCCAGGGAGGCAGTGCAGGTCGTCTTGACGAGCTCTGTGGAGGCTGTTCTCGCCAGTCGCTGATGTGACAAGCGAGAGGTCTTTGTTAAGTTCAATTTTGGTATCGATTATGGGCATTGTTACGGTTACCACAGACTAGGGGGACAAGGAATTCCAATGTTGAACTTTGAATGTTCCGCCAGCAACCACCCATATTTCTTCAAGTTCTTCAAGTGAGGCTGACAACCCCTGTACGATTCACCTATAGGAAATTGTCTGTATGCGCCCACGTGACTGTAACGTATCCATCTTGTCTTCTCGAGACAACTACAGCTTCTCCGGGATAATGCTCTATGAATTACGCACCTCTGAATTACGCACCTTCTTGGATGTCATTCTATTATCGGCAAACTCTTGAGAAACGGGGTGGACAGCTCAGCTGCTCGGCACGGGCCGTCTCCTCTACCCTTTCAACACCCCTCCACTGCGGAGTGTCCTACTAAACCAACTTCATGACTTCGGCTCTCTATTTTATACTCGCCATACTGCCGTCTTGGTTGGCGTATCATTCTTGGCGTTTATTACGGCTTGTTTTTCAATCGGTACGAGGCTACAAATTCAAGAGGGTTTTTTTATTCGACTTGAGCAAAGCTTACGGGTTGATCTCTACTCCTCAACCGGAGATACCATCAACTCCGTCACCGGTTTGTCTCTCTGCTAGCCGCCCACACAGTGACAATCCCAAGGTCATCCAACTTCCAAGGCTTTATCCAATATTTCCTGCCGATGGGTTGAAAGGCGATACTACTGTGGAGTATGCATCCATTTTTCGAATCAAAGACACAGACTAATTCATATGTAGCATCATCGCAGTCCACGGTATTGAGACCATCTCTCCAAAAACATGGACCGCATACGAGCGGGACACAGAGCCAAGGGGCCGTTCCTTCTACTGGCTGAAAGATGCCAACATGTTACCTTCAGTCGTCAAGGGAGCTCGAATTTGGGCGTTTGACTACAACTCAAACTATTCGCATGATGCTCAAACAGTGAAAATTGATGGCCTTGCTATGGCCTTATTAAATTGTATGAAGGACAGACGTGGTGACTTTGAGTCGAGAAAAATTATCTTCATTGGATCCTGCTTTGGTGGCGTTGTGGTTGCTGAGGTAAGAATATTTAAACGTTTGCTGCGCTCTGAACACTGCTGGTCAAAGCTCACGAGTAAAACAACAGGCGCTATTGACTGCATTTCGCGATGCGGAACGCAAAAAGGCTTTGTTCGATCAGACGGCTGGTGTCATATTCTTGGGATCACCGCTGCGAGGAACTAAAGCAGCAACTTTCGCGGGCTGGAAAAACCTCATTTTTGGAATTCTTGGCCCAGACCAGGAGTCCTCTGATACGCTTCTTGACGACCTAAAGGAAAACTCTAGCAGGCTAGAAAACCTGGTAGCAGAATTCGGGAAATTGACGGTGCGAAGTCGGACGCAGGCAGGAATTGAGGTACGATGTTTTTACGAAACTCGAAAAACGCAGGTGTCCAATGCGATCAGTCGGAATTTGCCAGTCAAGGAAATGCTTGTAAGTTTTGTAACCAGCCACGAATAAGACTAGCATTTAATGTTATAAAGCTAGTGGATAAAGTCTCCGCTTGTTTAGATTGCCACGAGCACATCCCACTTGACGTTCGTCACGCAATGATGAACAAATATCGGGGACCTGAGGACCCAAACTTCAAACTCGTGTCAGGCAGGATCAAGGATATGATGGATAAGATCCGCGCTGATCGATCATTGACAGGCGATGAGAAAAAGTGTATGCAGGCACTTTCTTTCCCCTACCAGGATCAAAAAGATGTGAACCCAGAACGGGTAGAGGGGACATGTGAATGGTTCCTCCAACATGAAAAGTTTCTTGCATGGTGCCAAGATACCACAAAAAATCTTCTCTGGGTTACCGCAGGCCCGGGATGCGGCAAATCAGTTCTCTCTAAGGCATTAGTGGATGAGGGATTGCTCCATGCCGGGAATCCAGATACAAAGACGGCATCAATATGCTACTTCTTCTTCAAAGATGATGCAGAGCGGGGGAGCGGGATCAATGCGCTTCGCTCTATACTTCATCAGCTCTTTAGGCAGAAGCCATGGCTCATAAAAGAACACGCAATACCAGATTACGAGATTCACGGACCGAAGTTTCCTTTCAGGACGCTTTGGAATATTTTGATCAAGGCTGCGTCGGATGCAAACGCTGGCCCTATCATATGTCTCTTCGATGCGCTTGACGAATGCGAACTGTCGAATAGAAATTCATTAATCAATTATATCAGCAGTTTCCATCGCGACTCGAAAACGTCCACCTCTAAACTCAAGTTCATTGTCACCAGCCGGCCATACAACGAACTCAGTATAGAGTTCAAAGTTGATGATTTGCCTTCAATCCAGCTCGATGGAAATGAAGTGTCAGAAAATATTTGTAGAGAGGTTGACCTTGTGATTGCCAGCGAGATCACCCGTATCGGCAGCGGCCGCCGCCCTCCACTTAGCGATGGAACCCAAACCAGCCTCATACAGCATCTTAAAACCCATAATAATCGAACCTATCTATGGGTGTATTTGATGCTCCAAGAGATTTCAAGATCGCTTGAGTCAACAGAACGGAGGTTGACACGGCTCATAGAAACAATACCACTTTCTGTTAACGAAGCTTATGAAAACATTCTGAAAAGAGCAACGAAACCATATCAAGCCCAAAGGGTGTTACGTCTTATTTTGGCAGCGGAGAGACCGCTAACCTTAAAAGAAATGAACATAGCCCTCGAGATACTAGACATGGAAGAAAATGGCGACCACTATATCCCAAAGAGCGACCGAAAGTTAGAATTAGACAGAACGGAGGCGGAATTTCAAAGGAAGATCGAGGATTTCTGCGGCCTGTTTGTCAGTATTGTTGATCAAAAGATATATCTAATTCACCAAACGGCCAAAGAGTTTCTTACCAGCAACAACGGCATCCTCAACTCTTGGAGTCCTTTGTGTTGGGAGAATACATTTGCACACGAGCTCTCGCATTTAGAGGCGTTAAAAGCGTGTATGTGGTACCTCCAACTTGAATTTAGAACCAGTCGCTCTTTCCTCTCATATGCATCAATAAATTGGACATTCCACTTCCAACAAGCCGGAAAGTATGCCGACGAAGAGTTGGGGAAGGATGCGCTCCAACTCTGCGATACTACGTCTCAAAGGTTCTCATTATGGTTTCGGGAACTTGGCCTGGAGCGTTGGGGTTTACCACCCGTGAATAGTAACGATTTAATCATTACATGTACTTTCGGTCTTGTGACTGCTGTGAAACTTCTAGTCGAGGGGAAGTCTAATGTCGATGTCGACTCTAAGGGTGCTAGGTACGACCGGACGCCGCTATCCTGGGCGGCAGCGAATGGGCACGAGGTTGTCGCTAAGCTGCTGCTCGAGAAGGGCGCTGAGGTGGATGCGAAGGACACAGAGTATGGCCGGACGCCGCTATCCTGGGCGGCAGGGAACGGGCACGAGGCCGTGGCTAAGCTGCTGCTCAAGACTCTCGATAGGGGTGCTGAGGTGGATGCAAAGGACACGTACGGCCAGACGCCGCTATCCTGGGCGGCAGGGAACGGGCACGTGGCCGTGGCTAAGCTGCTGCTCCACAGGGGTGCTGAGGTGGATGCGAAGGACACAACGTACGGCCGGACGCCGCTATCCTGGGCGGCAGGAGACGGGCACGAGGCCGTGGCTAAGCTGCTGCTCAAGACTCTTGATAGGGGTGCTGAGGTGGATGCGAAGGATGACTACGGCCGGACGCCGCTATCCTGGGCGGTAGGGAACGGGCACGAGGCCGTGGCTAAGCTGCTGCTAAAGCAGGGCGCCGAGGTGGATGCGAAGGACACAGAGTACGGCCGGACGCCGCTATCCTGGGCGGCAGGGAACGGGCACGAGGCCGTGGCTAAGCTGCTGCTCGAGGAGGGCGCCGAGGTGGATGCGAAGGACACAAAGTACGGCCGGACGCCGCTATCCTGGGCGGCAAGGAACGGGCACGAGGCCGTGGCTAAGCTGCTGCTCCACAGGGGTGCTGAGGTGGATGCGAAGGACACAACGTACGGCCGGACGCCGCTATCCTGGGCGGCAGGAAACGGGCACGAGGCCGTGGCTAAGCTGCTGCTCAAGACTCTCGATAGGGGTGCTGAGGTGGATGCGAAGGATGACTACGGCCGGACGCCGCTATCCTGGGCGGCAAGGAACAGGCACGAGGCTGTGGCTAAGCTGCTGCTCGAGCAGGGCCCCGAGGTGGATGCAAAGGATACGTACAGCCAGACACCGCTGTTTTAGGCGGCAGGGAACGCGCACGAGGCCGTCGTGCAGCTTTTACTTAGGCGAGGAGCTTTGGTAGTAGAGGATATTTAGGCCTTGTAGCGCTATTTACACTTTGATCATTATCCACTTAACTTTTCCCACCGACCTCCAAAGTTTAGCCTCTTGTCACATAGCTCTATCTACTTTCCATGACTTTCTAGAAGCTGGCACCACATGAGACGGAACTTACATCATCGCGGACATCACCACCACAATGCCCATCCCCTCCCCAAGTGACGAGTCCTGTACTCCTGTACTGCTGAACTGCATCCCCCATGCATAGTCAGTGCCGTACACCGGCCACATTAGTAGCTATAGCATCGACCTGCAAGCTAATTTTGAAACAAAGATGATATAATTAGGGGAACCCTGTTAATGTGTGCATCAAACTGTTGGAAGCGGGAATGTCGCCTTTTGTCTTGAATAATTCGCTGACAAATCCGTGCTAGTGTCAATCGGGCCATGCTCTCAGCCTCAGTATGGCTGAACACGCCTGTGAAAACGGTCATCGTAGCCAGATTTACTACGGGGTTTTCAGCTCGCAGGGACGTCAGGTAATCAGCGTGCATTTTATATGTGGAGTATGTCTAATATTATCGAATATGTGTATATAACGTCTATAATATCTATAATACTCACCCATCATCAACAGATCATCTTTTTGAATTTCTTATTTTATCCTCCTACACCCACCCACCACCACAACCACACCACCACCGACAATATCGTCATCGACGCCACCAGCCAGGTAAGGCCCCATGCCCCAAGCCATAAAACCCCCATATACAACGGGCCCTTCTGCTTTTCCCCGCATTGTGCCTGGACACCCACCTGCCACCCCGCTTCCCTCCCTCCCTCCCTCACCATCCGCCATCCGCCGTCTCCGCTGTCACGTCGACTAGCTACATACCACCAGCTAGCTACACACTGAGATTTTATACTTTATATTGTGTATATCCCATCAAAGAACCGTTTTCAAACCGCCTTTACTAATGGTAGTGACTACAGTGACGCCTTCGCGGGAATAGGCTCCCTCCCCCCCACGACTCAACAAAACACAACACGCACAACCTCAAAAAATGCCTCTCATCCCACCCTCACCCACCCCCCACGCCGTCCTAGGTCTCCTGACCTTCGGCCCCGACGCAAGTCTAAGCCACCACACCTCCCCTCCCCCCGCCGCCGCCAGCTAACCCCCCCTTCTCCCTCCAGCCCACCGGCGGCGCGCGCATCACCTCCCTCCCCGCCTTCACCACCATCCTCGACGTCTACCAGTCGCGCGGCTACCACGAAGTCGACACCGCGCGCACCTACGGCAACGGCACCCAAGAAGCCTTCACCCGCGCCGCGGGGTGGAAAGAGCGCGGTCTCACCCTCGCTACGAAGTCTCTCCCCGAAACGCACCACGGTCACAGCGCCGCGAACTTACCTGGGAAAGTTGAGGAGAGTCTGAGGGAGCTGGGAACGGAGTGCGTGGATATCTTCTACCTCCACACCGCGGACCGGAGCGTGCCGTTCCCTGAGACGCTGGAGGCGGTGGATAAACTGCACAAGGCCGGGAAGTTTGTGCGTTTCGGACTCAGCAACTTCGCTGCCTTCGAGGTCGCGGAGATCGTCGTGACGTGCCAGATGCGCGGATGGGTGCGTCCGACGATCTATCAGGGGATGTATAATGCGCTCACGCGCGGGGCGGAGGCTGAGCTGTTCCCGGCGCTGAGGCGGTACGGGTTAGCGTTCTATGCGTATAACCCCCTCGCGGCGGGGATTTTCTCGGGGAAGTATGTGTCTGAGGCGGAGAGGCCGGAGGAGGGGCGGTTTTCGGATGTTGATGGGAAGAGGGGGGAGAGGTATCGGGAGAGGTATTTTAGGAGGGGGGTGTTTGAGGCGTTGGGGGGGGTGAGGGGGGTGGTGGAGGGGGAGGGGTTGACGCTCGTGGAGGTGGCGATTAGGTGGATTGTGCATCATAGTGGGTTGGAGATTGTGGGGGGGGGGAAGGATGCTGTTGTTCTTGGGGTGAGTAGCTTGGCGCAGTTGGAGCAGAATCTTGATGCTATGGAGGCGGGGCCGTTGCCGGAGGTTGTGGTTAAGGCTTTGGATGAGGCTTGGAGGGGTGTTAGGGCTGAGTCAAGCGATTATTGGATTGGAAAGCTTGAGTACGACTATGATACGAGGAAGGCGCTTTTAGACGTCTGAGAGAGTGAGTTTGGGTAGGAGTGAAAAACTGAAGTAACGAATAACCGTGAGACAGAGACATAGAGGGCATTGAGACTTAGACCTCATAGATCAATCCCAGGAAGATAAACCCTTCATGCAGTGAACTCCATAGATAATAGTTAGTAGTAAGACAGACCCGGACAAGATCAAGCCCGTGATACCGTCTTATGGCCAAAAAATATTAAAAAATTAACAAGGGCAAACCCTTCATGCAGTGCACTCCATAGATAACAGTTAGTAGTAAGACTCGGACAAAGATGTAGCCCGTGATACCATCTCATACTCCAAAAACTCGCAAAAATCAAAATTACCCCTCAATCAGCCGCACCAACACCCTACAAGCTCAAGATCTCAAGAATCTCGGAGATATTTTCGTCCTCTCCAAGCATGTGGAGAAGAAAAGAAGGAGACATATGCTGTCTCAACCCGTCTGTCCCTGGGCTGGGGAAGACCCAAATTCCCAGACCCGCTTATGACGTCCCCCCTTATCCTATCCTCCCCCAACGCACGTGAGCTTCCGGCCGGTAGTAGTAGACAAACGCCACAAGCCAGCCACCCACCTGCCTGCCGTCACCAAAAAAAACCATATAAAAAACCAAAGAGTACACCATAAAATCGCCAAATGCTGTAATAAAAACCACCATAACCGACCTCCCCTGACCTTCTTAATAAGCCAAAAACCAAAAGTTCGCAAGATCCCTGTCACTCATCCTCAGCACTCAACAAAATTCGAACTGACAGCGTCAAGAGCAGCAGCTTCACGGGAAGCCTCGGCTGACAAGGGTTCCCCACAAAACCCCCAACAGCGTGTGTGGGTGGTGGTGCTCGGGAATCGCGACCGTCACATGCTGGGCGCGGCGGCGCGGGAGGAGTAAGGGCCAAGTTCGAGCATCCGCTATTAATACCCCCGAGCGACCCCCGATTTCTTTAACCGGGCTTCTTTGAAATAATTACTACGAACACATCTATACCAACTCCCAATAAACTCGATAATAAATCAATCCTTCATAATGTCTCTCAAGAACGGTAAGAGCGCGCAATCAATCAATCGATCGATCGGATCGCATGATGGGGAAGGGAAAGGAAGTAGGAGCTAATTAGTTGGTGCAACAGCCGCATTCCCCTCCTCCGAGGCCTTCGATGCCATCAACGCCTCGCTGCAGTCTGATGATGCTGAGCGCAAGAACGCGATCAAGGCAGGCCAGTCGGTCTTTGCTTTCACCCTTAAGAACAAGGCTGGGGAGACGGACAGCTGGCACATCGACTTGAAGAAGGATGGTGTTGTTAACAAGGGACTTGGTGATAAGCCTACTGGTACGTCATTTTTGGGGGATTTTACCCCTGACGCCCCCCATCGATCGCGCAAACAATTGGGGGGAGTTGAAACTTGCCAAGGGGGAATTGAAGCTAACTGAAGCACCAACAGTCACCCTCTCCCTCTCCGATGAGGACTTCGGCAAGCTCGTTGCTGGCAAGGCGAACGCACAGAGGCTGTTCATGAGCGGCAAGCTGAAGGTTAAGGGTGATGTGATGAAGGCGACGAAGATGGAGCCGATTCTCAAGCGCGCGCAGACGAAGGCCAAGTTGTAGATGGATGGATGGAGAGAGGCTGGCTGTATGATTTGGGAGGCATGTAGAAAGAACGAAGAGCGTGTGATATAGGGAAAATAAATTATAAAAAGCTATAACCACTATATGTCCGTCTGAAAGACCCGTGTGTCCCTCCTTGCCTTCACCAGGCCCAAGCACCGGCCTTTACGTGCTATGAACCACCTACTGTCGCCTCAAAACATCTTCGTCTCCCCCTCAAACGTCGTATACCACAGCCTCCTAACCGCCACCGCATTATCCTCCAACACCCCCATCAACGCCGGCAAGCGCTTCGCCCTAATCTTCCCCAGCAACAACTTCGGTCTCCTCCCCCTCTCGGTCCTCTCCACCTCCCCCACCCAACCCCGTTCAAGCAGCACACTCCCATACTGCTCCGTCGTCAAGTTGACATCAACGCCGTGCACCTGCTCGCCGAGGAAATACGGCAGGACCAGTGGCAGCGTGGTGATCAGCACCGTCTCCGGAGCTATAACTGCGAACAGCGCATCCCAGAAGTCCTCCGCCCGCGGCCTCGGAAGCCGTTCATGGTCGGACACCCAATCTTCGAAAAGCACAAACGACGACACGATAGGCGCGAGGTTATGCGCTGTGAGAAATGCCAGGAGCGGGAGCAGCGAGGCGAGGATGTCGTCTTGGTATTGGATGAAGAGCCGGGGGTGGCCGAAGAGGAGGGGGAGGGCGGCGTGGCGGAAGGTGCGGGAGACGAGGGAGGCGGATTTGAGGGGGGTGGGGTGGGGGGTGTTGGGGAGGAGGGGGAGGGAGGTTGTGGAGGCGATGAGGTGGGAGTTGGGGGTGGTGGGGAGGAAGGTGAGGATTAGGGTGAGGAGTTCGTTTGGGAGGGGGGGAAGGGTGGAAGAGGTTGGAGGGCTGGGAGAAAGGTTAGTATGTGGTGCATCGTCTTGAGGGGTTGGGTCTGACATATTCTCCGCTGAGTCTTCGATATGGCTTTCTGTGAGGCCGGCTTCCATGGCTGTGAAGACATTGATGGAATTCTGTCACCTGGAGAAATATCACGGATGCAAGCTACGACGTCGTCCATATATCCGGCTGCATGAGGCATTATCACGGACCGCGCCTTGCGGCCTCATTCTTTCCTACCATTGAGCGTGAGCCCCTCAATGGCTTACCTTCCGGCAATATTCTCAGCCTTACCTGTCGCCTCGAGGAGTGGGGCCGTGCGCAACTGGGGAAACTCTTGGAAAAGGCGGGACAAGTCACATGACTGTACTGGTAGTATATGTGGTCACGTGATAATCCCCGCCAATCTAACACCAAGCTCCCATTAGTCACTCACCGAAGATAACCGACTCCACAAATGATTAAGTCACGTGCGAGGCCGGTGTCATTCCGGCCACTGACCCACCAAACACCAATACGGGTTAACTCAGAACCAAACATTGGCAACGTCAAAGCGGCAGACCTCAGTATCTCACCGCGGGGAAAGGGTGATGGAGAGAGTATAAGGACCAATTTTTGTCATATTTATCAGGTTTAAAGCCATTTCAAGTCATCTCTGAAGCGCTGCTATGTTGTTATGTCTTCTTTTGCTTTTTGTGTAACCACAAGTGATGGATATACCCCTATATATGCTTCTAGGCGTCATGGAAGTAGTGTCACTGCCTCTCACGCCGACACATATCGTCAGCATCATGACAACGTTGCTTTGTTAGGTCCCCATTGTATAACGGGCTTGGAAATTCATTTCCTGGGACTCGTCCAATCTCAAATTCTCATTGCGTAACTTCTTCCCACGTCCCCCTTGTTGGAAACGAGAGGGGAAGGTCATCCGACGATTGAGGCCGGAATGAATACCGGCCTCTGAGATAAAAGCGAAAATTTTGCCCACAATGGACAGTTTCCTTTCTCTTTCTCTTCACATCATCTCTCTACCATATCCTCGAGACCTCAAGTCTTCCAACGCTTTTTGTTTCACACCAGACAACTTCTATAACATCTCCATCAATTATCACAATGGGTTCTAACAGCGAGCCCACCTTCAATGTCCTCGCCGATACACGGCCAGAGGACACAACCTTGCCACCCTTCATGGCCTCTACCTCTCGTGGATTCCTGCCACGTGCTGATCCCGTTGTCGACCTACCAGAGGAGTTTGCTGCATTAAGCTCCATCCTCGAGCGTATGCCCATAGTCACGTTATCAGGCGAGCCCGGTCTCCTCGCCAAGGGCGCCTTGGGAGATACCGTCACGGCTGAGCTAACTGACCTCTCCGCTGCCGTCGAGAAGTATGCCGATAACCTCTGCATCCAAACCGCGCTGTACAGAGACTACTCCTTCATCGCCTCGGCCTACCTCCTCGAGCCTTGCCACATGGCCTACATGGCCAAGTCACCATACGGTCTCGGTCGCCAGAGCCTCCCCCGGTCTATTGCCCTCCCCCTCTCTGTCTGCGCCCGCCTTGCTGGCTTCCAGCCTTTCATGGAGTATGCTGGCTCGTACGCGCTGTACAACTACAAGCTCGAGAACCCAGATGCTGGCATGAAGTACACCAACCTTCGTCTGATCCGTGCCTTTGAGAAAGGTCTTGACCCAACCAGCTCTGAGGCTGGCTTTGTCCTTACTCACGTGGAGATGGTAAAGAACTCTGGGCCTTTGGTTGAGGGTTGTGTCAGGGCTCTTGATGGGTGTGGGAGGGATGATAGGCAAGAGATGGATGATGGACTTGATCAGGCTTTCGAGGCTATCAAGAAGGTTAACCAGGTTATGGAACGTAAGTGCTCTATCTTCCCTTCGATATATATGGTGGACAAGAACTAACACGTGCCAGGTATGTGGGCAAACTCCAAGCCAGGAGACTACATTGACTTCCGCACCTTCATCATGGGTATCACTTCCCAGTCCATGTTCCCCAACGGCGTCGTCTACGAAGGTGTCTCCGAGACCCCTCTCTCCTTCCGCGGCGAGTCCGGCGCAAACGACAGCATGGTAAGCGACCCACCCCCAGCCTTTCCCTACCCCACCAGCCGAGCTAACCCCCACCCCAGATCCCCCTCCTAGACAACCTCCTCTCCATCTCCATGCCCTCCACCCCCCTCACCACGATCCTCAAAGACTTCCGCTCCTACCGCCCCGGCAACCACCGCGACTTCCTCTCCCACATCGCCAACCTCTCTCTCTCCGTCTCCTTCAAGAGCTACGCGCTCTCCGAGCCGAGCTCCGCGCTGCGCTACCTCCGTCTTCTCGACCAGGTGCGTGATTTCCGCTACCGCCACTGGTGCTTCACTCGCGAGTACATCCTCAAGAAGACTTCGCATCCTACCGCTACTGGTGGAAGCCCTATTGTTACTTGGTTGCCTAACCAGCTTGTTGCGGTGCTTGATGCTATGACTGAAGCTGGTGAGGGTAAGGCACTCAAGAGTGTTCCGGCGGGTAGCAAGGCTGGGGAGGAGGTGAAGGAGATGTTGGATACGGCTGAGAGGCAGAGGGATGGCTTGAAGAAGGAGGTAGAGAAGTGGTGCTCTGATCGTGGGGTGCCGCCGCCGCAGGGGATTACGGATACCCTCCAGGCTGTGGCTGCTCACTAGGGGGTGGATGACTTTTATGACTGAGGTTTTGGTATATAGGACAATGGGATTACCCAGAGTGGAATATTGGAAAATATTCATTTACTTAGATCGATAGAACGATATGTTAAAATGGAATTATTTATGACTATGGTTTTGTTCCTGTTGCCTCGGGTTGTGATGGTTGTGCTCCGTTGCGCCTTAACTCCGTCGGATTTCACATCCGGACGCCGACGAGGCGTCGCCGTGACACGCATCCTCTGAATGATGGCGCAGAAAAATATAATAATATTTCTAATAAATAAAATATACACCGAGGCTGTACTGATGAAGTTGGTCAGCATGAAGAGGGTGCCTCGGCTGAAGTTCCACGCTCGTAATGTTTTCACCTATTATATTGACGACTTCTCACATTCAGCATCAGCCACAAATGGCACAACAAATTTCGCGGCCTGGATATTAAATCGTACCGCATTCGTAGTATGTGTCCGGTCAGATATTGCACCGAAACCAGCGTAAGATTTATTTTCTGGATATTTTAATCACTAATCCAAAATACTTTGTACATCTTGAAGTTAGTTATTATTATTTCTCAAGATCTATAAAATCCAGCATCATACCCTGATATCACATTCTCAATTCTGCATCCAGACAAACGAACACATCGAGCACATAAATTACATTCAAACCCACTGCCTATCACCATGTCAGCCCCTCCAGCCCTGAACATCCCCCCCTCACCCTCCACAGTCACAGTCTCCATAATCGACACCACCATCACCGTCCCCTTCCCCGCCAGCCTCGTCCTCCACCCCATCATCAACAGCATCACCCAGCTCACCGCAAACGCCTACTGTTTCCTCATCACCCACTTCCCCTCTAACCAGACCATTCTCTTCGATCTCGGGGCACGCAAAGATTTTGACAGCAATGCACCAGCACTAGTCCAGCGCCTTCGCGCTTTCGGCATAAACCCTACGATTGAGAAAGATGTCCCTGAGATCCTGGAGGAGGGCGGGATGGATTTGAAAGATGTTAATGCGGTTATTTGGAGCCATCATCATTGGGATCATACGGGGGATATGTCGAAGTTTCCATCGACGACGGAGTTGGTAGTTGGGCCAGGGACATCGACAATGTGGCCTGGGTATCCTGCAAATCCGGAATCGCTGCTACTAGAGAGTGATTACAAGTACGTCCAGCCCCTTTAACATTACCCCCTACCTTATTAAAAAAATCCAGGGGCCGTCCAACCCGCGAGATCACCTTCGATCACTCCCCAACCGGTCTTAAGATAGGTCGTTTCCCAGCCTTCGATTACTTCGGCGACGGGAGTTTTTACCTCCTCGATGCCCCTGGCGTGAGTCCTCCCATCTCCAACTCCTTCCCAAGAAAGTGAAATTAACACCCACAGCACGCAATCGGGCACATGTGCGCCCTTGCTCGAACCACTTCCACCCCGCAAACCTTCATCTTCATGGGCGGCGACACATGCCGACACATGGGTGAACTGCGCCCAAGCCCTTACTTCCCCCTCCCCGCCACTCTTTCTCCCTCCCCCCTCTCCCCCACAAAGACCGCATACACAACCTCCTGCCCCAGCTCTCTCTTCCTCTCCCTCCACCCTTCCAGTTCCGCAACCGCACCATTCTACACCCTTGCCCTGGACTCGAAGGGGAAGAGTCTAGTATGTGTTGATGTCAACGACGCAGAGCACACGCTGGAGAGCGCGAGGGAGGTGGATGCGGGGGAGGAGGTGTTGGTGGTTATGGCGCATGATGCGAGTTTGAGGGGGGTGGTGGAGTGCTGGCCTCAGACGGCGAATGGGTGGTTGGAGAGTGGGTGGGGTGTGGAGGGGAGGTGGAGGTTTTTGGGGGATTTTGTGGGGGAGAAGGAGGGGGAGAAGGGCGGGGTGGAGGCGGGGGAGGAGGCGCGGCTGTGAATGGAAGGTGGAAGACCCGATGGCGAGTTCGTGGTTGAGATTGTTTTAATTCATCCTGTTATGGTAGTGTTTTACTTGCGGTAAATGATATTTAGTAATGGATTTAAAGGTAAACCAGATAAAATGGCTTGGTAATACGTTGCCTAACTTCGACGTATCATATATGTTCCTATAACCGCCCAATTCGAGCTATGATATCCAGCATCCGAGATATATGACAGCCGCCATCTGAGCTGCCTAACACGGCATTTTATACTCCTACAAAAAATAAAACATAAGGCCAAAGATTCATAAGCAGATGTGTTGGGAAGCTAGCCCACTTGGCAGTCGGAAATTTGCCGACTTTCGATAAGCATCATATCATGGAACACCTGTTTTAAGGTTAGTTCTAAGCGGCACTTCTTTAAAGGCTGTAAAACATCCCAAGGTGATTTACTTGGTCGTCTAACTTTTCGACATTCTAACTGGAGGCGCACTCATTAAGACAGTCCTGATAAGTAAGGGTATAAAAGTAATCTAGATTGAATTAATTGAAACTAATTACAAAGTGTACCTTACAGCGAATTGTTGTGTAATCATCGTTGTGCTAACCCGGATAAAAGAAATCATGACATACAATTCCAAGCTTCACTTTTCCCAAGTTGGGGGTTACCCCGCATACGATACCCCGGTTTGTGCCGCTAACCCGCACGTTGTACTGCTGTCAGATGGGGATTGAAGGGATTGTCCGGTAAATTATCCGTATCCTACTTTCTACCAAGTCTGCTAAATGAATTTTTATAGGCAATTGGGTATGTAGATCATAACTACCTTGCGAATCCCCGCATCTCGCCATGGAACCCCATGCCGCAATGGACATTTAATTTATTTCAGCCTGAAAGGGATAACATCATCTCCAATTTTATGAATTTATTCGGCTAGATGCTTCTCAAATATGGCTATGGTGCTTATAAGCACCAGTATATAAGAAGTGGGCATTCCATGTTTATTCGATAGCGTTGTTCCTTCCTCATTCGCCAACTCATTACTCACAATGCGTCTCCTGCATTTTCTCTTGGTCACATTGGTTGCCGCGGAGGACGGCTTAGATGGCTGGCTTCGTTATGCACCATTGGATCTTGGCCACAAGCATGTGTCGTTTCCAACCAGCATTGTTGCTCTCAACTCCTCCAAGGACAGCCCAGTGTATACAGCAGGCTTAGAGTTGCAGAAGGGTTTCAAGGGCATCCTTTCTCAAAATCTCAAAATCAGCCATGACGGCAGACCAACCTCGTCAGCTATAATTGTTGGCACCGTCGCTGAATATTCCAAGACAAGCAACAAGCCCCTCAATGCCCCAAAGCTTAAAGAAGATGGGTTCTGGCTGAGCACTCATGGCAACACCGTTACAATTCTCGGACAAAATGAGCGTGGTGCTCTGTATGGCGCGTTCGAATATCTATCCCGTCTTGCACAGGGGGATCTCTCTCCGGCTACGTATGCTACGAGCCCAGACGCCCCTATCCGCTGGGTAAACCATTGGGACAATCTGAACGGCACGGGTACTCATGGTAGCGTTGAGCGTGGTTATGGAGGTGACTCTATATTCTACAAAGACAACGTTATCTACCAAGACTTGAGCCGTGTCACCGACTACGCTCGTCTCCTAGCCTCTATCCGTATCAATGGAGTTGTCATCAACAACGTTAACGCGGACCCAGCCTTTTTGACAGACAAATACTTGGAAGGCGTGGCTAGAATTGCGAGTCATTTCCGGCCGTATGGCGTCAAAGTTGGACTATCTCTCAACTTTGCATCCCCACAACTCATAGGAGGACTTAATACATTTGATCCACTGGATCCCTCCGTCGTTGAGTGGTGGAGAACTACCACCAACAAAGTCTACAAATATGTGCCAGATATGGCTGGTTATCTTGTTAAGGCCAACTCAGAAGGCCAGCCCGGTCCACTCACCTACAACCGCACGCTGCTTGATGGAGCCAATATGTTTGCCAAAGCTGCCAAACCCCACGGAGGCATTGTGATGTTCCGTGCTTTCGTGTACGATTCCGTTAATCTCAAAGAGAGCGATTGGAAAGCCGACCGCGCGAATGCAGCAGTCGATCACTTTAAGCAGTTCGATGGCCAATTCGATGATAATGTTGTCGTTCAAATCAAATACGGGCCAATTGACTTCCAAGTCCGAGAACCCGCATCTCCATTGTTTGCCAACATTCCTAAGACGAACGTGGCTATCGAGCTTCAGGTTACCCAAGAGTACCTTGGACAACAGTGCCATCTTGTCTACCTTCCTCCGCTATGGAACACCATCCTTGATTTCGATCTCCGCGTAGACAACAAGAAGACCCTCGTTCGAGATGTCCTTTCTGGGGAGCGCTTCAAGCGGAACCTGGGCGGATACGTTGCTGTTTCCAACGTGGGAGTAAACTCAACCTGGCTTGGTAGTCATCTGGCAATGTCGAACTTGTACGCATATGGCCGTATGGCCTGGGAGCCAACCGTCGATGTTAAAGCTACTCTAGATGATTGGACTCGCCTTACCTTTGGCCTTGATAAAAGCGTCATCAATACCATAAACAAGATGTCTATGCAGTCATGGCCTGCATACGAGCAATATACCGGCAACCTTGGTATCCAAACCTTAACTGATATTCTTTATGCCCACTACGGCCCCAATCCTCCATCGCAGGATGACAACCCCTGGGGCCAGTGGACACGTGCAGATGCGGACTCTATTGGCATGGATCGTACTGTTTGGAATGGCACCGGTTTTGCTGGCCAATACCCCACTGAAGTTGCAAGAAGATACGAGAGAATCGAGACGACTCCTGATGATCTTCTTCTGTGGTTCCACCACGTCCCTTATACCCACCGTCTACACTCTGGCAAGACTGTCATTCAACACTTCTACGATGAACACTATAAAGGAGCTGAGACTGCCCACAGCTTTCTTGCCATGTGGAAGTCACTCAAAGGGAAAATAGATAAACAACGTTATGAAGAGGTTCTATTCCGCCTAGTTTACCAAGCTGGACATTCAATTGTCTGGCGAGATGCGATCAACAACTTTTATCACAACAAATCCGGCATCGCAGATAAGTCCAAGCGTGTTGGGAACCACCCCTGGCGTATTGAGGCCGAGAGCATGACTCTAAAGGGCTACGCTCCTATCGCTGTCAACCCCTTCTTTACTGCCTCTGGGTTTAAGGGTATCGTCACGACGTCGAATGCGCCAGGCACAGCAACGACCAAGGTCAACTTTCCTTCTGGCACATATGACCTTGCTGTAGGATACTATGATATCATTCGAGGCAAGGCTAATTGGAAAGTCTACATCAACGATAAATTACTCGGCGCCTGGGATGGTGATAACGAAGACAAGCTTGGCCACTGGCCATCAGAGTTTCTCGACGGCCACTCCGCAACACGCATCACCTTTGATGGCGTTAAAATTAAGAAGGGCGACACGATTAAGATTGTGGGAACACCGAACGGGCCAGAGCTCGCCCCCGTCGACTATATCGTACTCCTTCCGAAGGGGATTATTGACTAAATTTAATTGATGTGCTATAATCCTGAGTAGTCTACAATACAAGTATTGGCATTAGATAAGACTATAGTAGCAAATATACATTCAACAGCTTCAATACTCTCTTTCGCCTCCGCATCCATGCCGTTGGATGGCGATTGATCCCGTAACGCCAACTAATCCCCACCCATGGTATACGTGTTGCAGCTCATGTACAAAAATGATACCCACATCATGCAACGCCAACAAGCAACTCTCAATCGCTCCCCAAATCCTTAGGTATCTTGCTACCACATACTCCAGACTTTAGATAAATCACGTGATGCTTAATTCTCCTTCATTCGTTTGGAAGGACGTGCCAGTGTGTCGTCAGGGAGGCCACTCCGTTTCGTCCCTGGCAGACTGCCAGTGCGGATGTCATTGTCATCCTGGCTCACCCGGCGATGGGGATATTCTGTCTTCATGCCCTCGAAACAGTTACTGGAAACCTTGTCACCTGTGCTGAAGAACGGGTGCTCCAATGCTTGTTGAGCCGTAAGCCGCTTATCAGGATCGTATTCCAGCAAGCCTGCTAGCAGTTTATACCCCTCGGCGCCTAGGGAGGAGGAGGCTGGCTGAGAAGTTCCCGAATGCTGCCCAATGGTTGAGTAATACCAGCTCTCGAGCTTGGAGCCTGCTGGCTTGCCATTCGGCTGTACCGGGGCATGGAGCGAAGAAAGGTTGGCATATTCTGGCATCGAGACCAAAAGCGGCCACTTATCCTTCGTTGGTAGGCCCATAATGTCGACGATCTTCTGCATCTGGTGCCTTTGAAATGGCACTGTCTTCTTTGAATCCATCTTGGCTTCTTCTCCTTTGAAGATGGGCCGTAAAGATAACAGCTCAGCAAAAATGCAGCCCACCGCCCACATGTCTATAGCAGGGGTATAATGCCGGCTCCCCAGAAGCAACTCGGGTGCTCTGTACCAAATTGTGACAACGACCTTATCTCCGCTGAATAATGAGTGCAGAGGCTTGCTGAAAAGTCGAGCCAGCCCCAAGTCTCCAATTCGAACCTCTCCAGCAGATGTTACCATGATGTTTGCAGGTTTTAAGTCTCGGTGAAGGACCCAGTTGCTGTGCAGGTACTGACAGCCGTTCAGTAACTGAAACATGATACTCTTAACTGTTGCGGATGGTATTGGATGGCGTGTTGGTTGTGTGTGGTGGTGGATGATCTGCAAGAGATCGTGCTCCGCATACTCAAAGACCATGTAGATGCATTTATCCTCCAATATGATCTCAATGAGTTTGATAACATTAATATGGCTCAGTTCTGAGCATAGCGCCATCTCTCGTACAGCTGACTGTGATATGCCAGTGTAATGAATCTGCTCACCCTCCTTGTCGGGCTTGAACTTCTTTATCGCAAATTCCCCTGTCTGTCCAAGGCGGCCTGCCGCTTTGTAAACTCGGCCATAAGTACCACTACTAATGAACCCGATGACCTTGTATCGGTCAACGACTCGGACCTTGCTCTGATATGCAACATGGCCGCTGCTTCTGTCCGCGGGTTCTATGAAAGTGTTAGCAGAGAACACGCAAGCGAAGAACAGAACATAGGACCTCGCAGACCCAAATACGGGTCGCTCCGGTACGCATCAAATCTTTGAGGAAACATCTTTTCAGGTGCAACGACGACTAGAAGCAATACTTTGCTTCTATATAAACGCAAGAGTACTCCGCTATTGGCGGAGTTGAGAAGCGCAACGCGACGTGACGGGAAAATACGTGTCCAACAAGAGCATCTCAGTAATCAAAGAAGTCTGTTTTGTCACCTTCAAAGGCCTGCTGCACACTCCTCTTTAGGTTTTGTTTTGCCGCAGCGGCGGATGATGGCCCGCTGGCCGAAGAGGGCGGGTTATTGTTGGCCAGGCTCATTGCTGTCTATCATGCTTCACCCGAGAAGGAACGGCGCGGCGTGGGGGGGAGGGGGCGATTCCCCAACACGAGCTGCTTTGAAGGCTCAGGCGAGATATGCAGGCGTGTCTCGGGCGCCGACGGGCCTCGGAGATATTCCACCGGGGGGGAGGGTGCGAAGGAACGAGCTCCGGGTAGTCCGGCGACGGAGTGATGAGAAGGAACGTAGGGCAAAAGCTGCGCGTGCACGTCGCTCTTTTGGTTTGATAATATATGTCTTTATTTACGTCAATAGAGGGGGTTTGAATCCATGTGGTGAGATTATGCAGAAACGGTAGATCTCCAGGGGGTTCAACGTAAAGGGCCCAATATGGACAGTCGGCGGTGGTGGTGAATGTGGCTTATGGGTTGGTTGTCATTTATATCGAATCTGTGGAGTTGTGGTTGGGGGGAAGGTGGTGGGGGTGAATTAATGCGGATACGCGTTCGGAAGTGGGTGTGAGTTTATCCGGTGGCCGGTGGCCAAAATCGCGGGGAATAGTTGATACAGACACGCCCGACGTCAATTTATCCAATTCCGCTACCCGCGTGGTACGCCAGCGCGATGATTGTGTGTGGTGAGGCTGGCTATCAACTGTTCCACCAGCATCTGGAAGGGATATATACAGGTAAAACAGCTCTAAGAAGCAAACAACAAAGTGAAATACGCCCTCAATCTTGTACCCAGTGACAGAGGCACAGCTATTCATACACTATACATGTGACGACTTGCTATTGTGCGCTGGGATCCATTCGAAGAGCCACGATCTTACCTGAAATATAAAATTGAACCAGACCACTTAGCTTGAAGACAGCACGCGCAGTTCACCATGGCCTCATCAGGCTCATCAGGCATGCGACAATGTGTCCGGAATCTCACTCCCTATCTTGTCTTCATGATGGCCATCATAACCCTTGGGCCCCTGCTCTTTGGCTTCCATCTCGTATGCTTCTCCGCGCGTCCCCATGCCTCTCCATACCCCTCACAATACTGCAAATTACTAACTTAGATTTTCTCCAGGCCGAGCTTAATGCTCCAGAAGACTACATAACCTGTAAGAAAGGGACTAAAGGGATGCCCAAAGGCGCAACCCTCATACCATGCATTCCAATGGACAAGGCGCAGTTCGCCTTCGTTTCCTCGATCTTCACAATTGGCGGCCTCTTCGGGGCACTCTTAGCAGGACCTGTTTCGACCAGCTTCGGTCGCCTCCCAGCAATGCGTATCTCTTCGATCTTCTATGTCGTCGGTTCCGCCATCACAATGTGGAGCGCATCCATCAGTGCATTCGCAACAGGACGCTTTCTACTTGGTATTGGCGCCGGAGCGAGCGTCGTCGTCGTCCCAATTTATATCTCAGAAGTCGCTCCTCCCTCAGACCGCGGGATCTTTGGGTTCCTCACACAGATCGCGACGAACATGGGCATCCTCATTACTCAGATCCTCGGTTACTACCTTAGTTATTCTATACTATGGCGTTTCATCCTTGCTGCTGGAGGTCTCATCGGCCTTATCCTCTTCTTCGGCCTCTTCCTCGTCCCAGAATCTCCCGCCTGGACCGCCGCGAACCGCTCTCCTACGCGCGCCCTCGCAACACTAAAGCGTCTACGCGGGCAACACGCAGATGTCTCGGAAGAGATTCAAACCTGGGATTGCACCTTCCCACCTTCCGATTCGCAGCTGAGCGAATCGACTACAGGCCTGCTAGAGCCTGAGTCGCAGTCTCGACGCTCATCCATCAGCACCTCTTCCAAGTCCCCGCCCCGTGCCCACGTCGGCATTGTAGCCGTGGCTCTCAACCCCATCTACCGCCCCGCCATCATCGCCGTCGTGGGCATAATGTGCGTGCAACAATTCACCGGCATAAACTCTGTAATGATGTACTCGGTCTCCGTCCTCACCGACCTCTTCCCTACCTCCGCCACCCTCCTCACAATCCTCATCTCAGTTGTGAATCTCATCGCCACCACTGCCTCCGCGCCCCTCCCGGATATCCTTGGCCGCAAATCCTCCCTCCTCATCTCCATTACCGGACTAGGCTTCAGCTCCGCTGCTCTGGGTGCCTCAATCCTCTTCTCCCTCCCCGCTCTATCCGCTGCCTCCATTCTCCTCTTCGTTGCCTTCTTTGCTACTGGCTTGGGTCCCATCCCCTTCATGATGGCTTCGGAGCTGGTTAGCACAGAGGCTAAGGGCGCGGCACAGTCATGGGCGCTGGCGACGAATTGGATCGGCACGTACCTCGTTGCGCAGTTTTTCCCTATTTTGAATGATAGCGTGAATGGGGCGCTAGGCGGTGCGGGATGGTTGTACTTTGCGTTTGCGGCTGTGGCGGCGGTGGGAGTGCTGTTTGTGAGTCGCTTTGTGCCGGAGACGAAGGGAAAGAGGGATGCCGATGAGGTGTGGGGACGAGTGAGGAGAGTTGATTGAGTTTGGTGTTAAGCGTGCGATTGAGGAGTTGGACGGGTAGGGTGTTGAGATGGCTTGAGAAGATCAATCGAGCAGGGTGTAATGGGGTTGGCTTGAATGGTGTTCTGGATCGTGTTCTATCAGGGGCGTTGTTTAGGAGCATTGAGCGACTGATGTATTTGATAATCCATGGAATTCACATGCATACAACTTTGACTCCTATCATTTCCCACGTATCTCTGCAGACATACCATTCGTCATCATGAGAAAGATATATAATTTTGTCGCTATGAACCGCTTACCCCCCAACTCTATCATCTATCCCCCTCCCTATCTCGGTCCGAGCTTCTCCAGCGCCCGCGTCCCCTGCTCCTCCCACTCCTGCTTGCTAATCCACATCGCCTCCTTATCCGCCATGATATTCGCCAGAACCGCACCTCCCAGGAACACCATGTGTCTCCTCCTCGGGGGGTCCTCAATGCGCACCTTGAACTTGCCGAGGCGCTCTGGGTTCCCGCCCAGGACGCGCGTGAGCCACAGCTGCTTGAGCTCCTTCTCGAGACGCGATGGTAGACCGGGGTACATGCTGCTACCTCCCGAGAGCACGATGGCCTTGAAGAGGGAGGAGCGCACGTCGACGTCGGCGGCCTGGATGGTGTTGAAGAGGAACTCGGCAATACCGGGCTGCTCGACATCGACGAGATGGGGCTGGAAGAGGCACTCTGCGGCCTCGAAGCGCTCGCTGCCGACGCGGATGACGCGGCCATCGGGGAGGGTGTAGCTCTCGACCAGAACGGTGGTTTCCTCGGAGAGCTTCTTGTCTAGCTCCAGGTCGTAGGAGACGTAGCAGAGCTTCTCTTTGATCTGGCGTGCTGTCTCGAAGTCGGCAGTACGGTTGAGGGCGTATCCGCGGCGGGTGAGCAGGGAGATCAGGTTGCGGGTTACGTCGCGGCCGGCGACGTCGAGGCGGCGCGTGAGGTGGTTTAGGACGGTGGATTCGTAGACGGGGACAATGTGGGTTACACCATCACCAGAGTCGACAACGACACCGGATGAGAGACCTGGGGAAGGAGTGTGAGTAGAGGGGCTAGGCAGCGGGAATGGGGAAATGAAATGGAACGGGGCTTGACGAACCTTGTGCGTAGAGAGCAAGAACTGCCTGGATGGCAACATATACGCCGCCGAACTGGTATCGCTCAAACATAACTTCGCACATCTGCTCTCTGTTCTTGAGGGGGTTCATAGGTGGCTCTGTCAGGAGGATCTTTCGCCCTGTCGTGTCCACCTTCATCTTCTCGTAAAAAGTATAATCCCATAGGTGCTGCATATCATCCCACTTCTTGACAATGCCGTTCTCCATTGGGTATGAAACCTGTAACATGGTCCTCGCTGCCGCTGCTTCGTCACCGCACATGATATCCTTAATTACGGAGGTGGGGTCGCCCTTTTCTTCGGAACGCAGGATCGGTCGTCCCACGATAGAAGGGTATTGGAATTCGGGGAAGTTCTAAGATGCATTGTCAGGGCTGTACTCGTGGTGGTGCTGAAGGGAGAGAGAGCTTACCTGGGCCGCGTAGCCAACCTTGAGGAAGCCGGTTCCGCCATCGAGGACTACGGAAAGTGTTAGAAGAGGGATTGGCAGCAGTACAGAGGAGAGTAGAAGTACCAATAGGGGCCTCCGCCATGATTGCGATTTGTGGAAGCTCAAGATGTTGGATGCGCCAGCCACAGAAATAGAAGAGGTGTAGGCTGAAGTGGGTGAGAGAGTGAGCTTCGATCGCTTCTGTGACGTTGCGGCTTGGGCTGGGGTAACTGCGGGCACCGTATAGATTGCGGCGGTGGTGGGGTGGACAGGTCACGTGCGAGTTGTCAACAGCGTCCACCTTTTCGCCAGCCACGACTGAACCAGAACCACATCACAACTTTATATCAACGCGATAATATTTATATTGTCAAATACCATTGCCTTCCAGACTATTATAATGCTGTAGTATGGAGCAATGGGAAAGTAGGTCCTTAAGAGAAACTTTAAGCTGCTCCTCAATCCTTCTTCTCCCACTCGTGATAATTACGTCCTGATGACTCGATACGAATTATCAATTCCTCAATCACGGCCGCATCGTGGTTTCCACTTTTCACATTTGCCCCTTCAACGCCCTTCATCCCCCTCCCTCCCACATTTTTCTCCTCCCAGAAACATCATAAACATCATAAACTCCGCATATCTTCCATCTACTTCTTGACGTTCAAAAACGAAACAAATCTCAGGGTATGTAAGCTGGCTGTTAACATGCTGCTGTGTTCTAACTCCCCTTGGACAGGAACATGGCCGCACTACCAGAAAGTCTCTCTCCAAAGAGACCTGCAGACCTTCTTCTACCGCAGCCACCAAAAGAAGTGCAAATCCTCGTCATTAATCCAAACTCAAATAGAGATATGTCTGTCGGTATTGGCAAACTAATCAAGGGTCAAGCCTATCCTCCGGAGGTATGTCGTCTCTAGTGATAGCTTCTCTCCAGTCCCAAATTCATACTATTTTACCTCTCACTCTCCTCAAGTCGATATCATCGCTTGATTAAATAGATGTAGCTAATTTTATCAGCATACCAAACTCATAACCTTTACCGCCTCATCTGGCCCCACCAGCATTGATAATGAGGTAGATGCCCTCGCCAGCACCAAGGTCATATCCTATGATATCGCACAAGCTACTCCTTACTTCGCCGCCAGGGATGCCTTCATCGTTGCTTGTTTCAGCCCTCATCCTCTCGTTTCCGTACTCCGCAACCACCCTTCCCTCTATCGGAAACCCGTGATCGGCATTTTCGAAGCAAGCATCAGTTTATCGCTCAGCATGCTCCCCCTTTCGGTTCCAGAAGAGTATGTCGACCTGCCAGCTACTGCCGATCCGCAGCCCCCGGCACGAAAGTTCACAGGCACCAAATTCGGCATCGTGACGACAGGCGCGGCATGGGTACCCATCCTTACAGCAGGCGTTAACGACTATCTCGGTTTGCCAGCCAGCGAGACTTCCCAATCGGCGAGGTTCAAGGGAGTGGCGAGCACAGGGCTCACTGCGGAGCAGTTGCACACCACTCCACAAGAGGAAGTGAGGGAGAGGGTGGTCAAGGCCACAAGGCAGCTAGTTGCGGATGGCGATGTGGCTGTTGTAGTATTAGGCTGTGCTGGCATGGCTGGCATGGACAAGTGGGTTGAGGATGCATGTGTGGAAGAACTCGGACGTCGAGCTGCAAGCCTGGTGAGGGTCGTGGACGGGATTAAAGCTGGAGTTGCACTGGCTGTGGAAGAGGCCAGGCATATGAAGCAATTGGCGTACCGAGAAGCACCTGCAGCTGATGATGCCACCGTTATAGAGGCGGAGGCGTATTGAGTAATGGCGAGAGCCAATGTCGAGAGAGCGAGGCTAGATTATCTGTGCTGCCTAGAAGGTTGAAGAGGGACTGTGGATAGAAGTAGAGGTTATAGCAGCTATAATTAAAATAAAGGCATTCAATTACTGTGGCTATGATCGTCACATTAATTGTTCGGAAATACAGATCAAGAGATGATTACTATTGTCTAAAACTGCTGGCATCGATCCTTAACTATCCACAGTACAGTACAGTACCGTTCCTATGGAGACTTTGGACAGCACGAGTAGCGACATGCGAAGCAATACTTTTAGACAGACTATATTAGATTTTGTCTCCTAAGAAGTAATAACGCGTACACCTGGCTCTTCGGCTCTCCGTATTTAATTATCTCCTTTATTCTTTATCACGCAGCAAATGGGTATCTCAAAGCCTTCCATCCTCCTTTCACATCTCCCCCAGTCCTAGCTAACCTCTCAGTTGACGATAGTCCTGTAAATCTCTCTCCCCTCCAACGCCTCTTCCCCTCCCTCGGGCACTTCTCCGACCACCCTTCCCGGCCGCCCTGCCACAACCGAAAAACTTGGTATCACCATGCCAGGCGGCACAACTGTCCCATCCAGGATCCGAACGCAGTCCTTGATGAGCGCGAATTTGCCAATCACACAGTCCTTCCCAATATGCACCTTATTCCCCACTATCGCCGCCTCCACGATCGAGTTCTGCCCAATGAAGACGTGATCCGAGAGCTTGAGAGGGTGGTAGCTAAAGACCCTAAACCATCTTGTTAGCTTAATCCCCCAAATCCAGCCAACAAACGCAGTCGCATACCCCTTCATAACCCGCCCAGGTGGCTTCAACACGCATCCTCGACTGAGGAAGCAGTACCGCCCAATCGCGACCGCGACCACAGGCGCCTTCTTCTCTGTCCCACCAGCCGGCGCGTCGAGCGTGCGCACCAAGTCGCCGCGGATGATAACTTCCGCCTGGATGACGGATTTGCCGCCGAGGATGATATTCTGGGTGCCGATGATCTGCGACTTGCGGCTTACTTTGTTACCCGTGTCCTGTGAGAAGAAGCCAAGTCAGTTACGGTGACGACGAGGTGGGTCGACGGAAGGAGGTGCTCCGGGTCGCGCGCATTGGGAAGACACGACGAAGTGGAAGGCGGGAGGGAACGTACCGTCTCGATATACTCTCCGCGAGGGGGTTTGCGAGACATGGTTTCGGGGTGGGCGTTTACATTGCTGGTTTGAGGGAGGAGGGTAGAAGGCTATTTATTGAGACCAGGGAGCTCTTTGATATGGGGAGGCTGCGCTAAACCTTTGTTTCTGGTCACAGAGGCGGTGGTGGTAGGCAGAATAGCTTGGGTTGTTCAAGTGGGGGGTATGCTGATGTACTTCCCGCCCCTACGTAGGCACTATCTATACATACATTGCCCCTCTTGAAATGACGTTCCCACCTCTTCCTGCCTATAATCTGTCATCTGGCAGGTCTCAAGCTGAACATCGCAACAAAACTGATAAACCGTCATCTGCGATAATGCAGGTTCCCTTGATCCGCCTCCAATGCGGGGTAAATAGCTACGATTGGGGTAAGGTTGGCAACGACTCTGCTGCGGCCAAGTTCGCTGCTGCCACGCCATCGGATTTTTCGATTCAGGAGGAGAAGCCATACGCAGAGGTTTAAATATCTGGTACCTTTTTCATAATGTATGCTAATGCCCCAATAGCTATGGATGGGAACTCATCCCTCCAACCCTTCGAAGGATCTCACCACCCAACGAACCCTGCTCGACCTCGTCCAGGACAACCAAGCCCTTCTCTCCAAAGATATTGCTGAGCGATTTGGAAACAAGTTGCCCTTCCTTTTCAAGGTCCTCTCCGTAGGAAAGGCATTGAGCATCCAAGCCCACCCCCACAAGAAGCTCGCCGAAGTGCTGCACAAGAGGGATAGCAAGAACTATCCCGATGACAACCACAAGCCGGAGATGACCATTGCCATCACAGAATTCGATGGACTCTGTGGATTCAGGCCTCTGGCAGAGATTGCCCACTTCCTGAAGACCATCCCTGCTCTGAGAGAGATCGTTGGAGACTCCGAAGCTGCTGCATTCGAGTCTGCCATCAAGGGCCAAGACACCTCCACCGAGCCAGCCGCAGAAACACAAAACAAGAAAGCTCTCCAGAAGCTCTTCGGAACCCTGATGAACTCCAGCCCCGAGGCCGTCACCAAAGCCTGCGATGCCATCGTCCAATCCGCCTCCTCAGAAGGCGCCTCCTTCGCATCCGGCGGCCTTCCCTCCACCTCCGGTGAAACCCTTGCCCGTCTTGTCGCACGCCTCAACTCCCAATTCCCGCAAGACATCGGACTCCTCGTCTTCTTCTTCCTCAACTATGTCCAACTTTCCCCGGGCGAAGCCATGTTCCTCAAAGCTGATGACATTCACGCCTACCTCTCCGGCGACATCATCGAGTGCATGGCAGCCTCTGACAACGTCGTGCGCGCTGGCTTCACGCCCAAGTTCAAGGATGTGCCTACCCTCGTCGATATGCTGACGTACTCATACGCGCCTATTGAGGAGCAGAAGATGGAGCCGCAGGACTACGCGTACGCGACGCTCAATAGCACCGCGTACACGTCGTCGAGCCAGGCGACGCTTTATAACCCCCCGATCGACGAGTTTAGTGTCGTTAAGGCGGATTTGAGGCGCAAAGGCGCGAAGGCGACGTTTGAGGCGATTGCGGGGCCGAGTATTGTGCTGTGCACGAAGGGGAGCGGGTACATCGGGGTTGGGCCGACAATTGAGGAGATCAAGGAAGGATATGTGTATTTTGTCGGCGCGACGGCGGAATTGGTGTTGGAGAATAATGGGGAGGAGGAGTTTACGTGCTTCAAGGCCTTCTGTGAGTTGGAGAGTAACGCGGAGGAGGCATCGCACAACGAGAAGGAGAAGTTATAGACTAGTTTTGTTTTCTTGCTTCGTAAAACGAATGCAACGCAGCGACCTTGATAGAGAGAGATGACCTAACAAAATTCATACAATAAATGAAAAGAAAAGCCAGATTGTGGTATAAATATAATGATCTAAAAATTGTCTCTTTGATTTTTTAGTCGCTTATCCAGACGCAACATTGGTTCTATCCGTTATATGCATTCCCCACGCCCTTCAAGTAGATACACAAAACGCCGTGCCGCCACCCTGCAGGGCGTAATATATCATGTGAGAAATGCGTTGGACTTTTTTTGTCTGGTGCAGTGCTCTGAGTCGCTTGCGCGTTAATATAGTAATGTTGTATATGGTGTCGATTTTTTGCGGAGAGTGTGCTCTGGAAGTAGGTAGTAGTTTGTGTTAGGTAGATAATCAGAGTCGAAATCTGTGGGCAGGTGGAGCTGGTATCGGTTGGGAGCGATTATCATGCAGTCTCCATGCTTAACATGTGGCCCATCTTCTCAATCTGTGTTGTCGTTAGCAAGGCTCATGATGCAAATTTATCAGGGAAATGTCTTACCTTCGTTCTCAAATACTCTCCGACTTCAGCACTCTTAATTCCTCCCTTGCCCCTCCACGCTAATGGCACCATTGCCACACGCTCCTTCACCACAACCTCCCTATTGGGCCCTTCAACCGCACGCACCTTATCAGGATTATTCGTCAACAGCCTAATCTCACTCTGCCCCAAATCCTGCAACATCGCCGTCGCCAGCCCATAGCTCCTAGCATCGGCTGGATGCCTTAGCAGAATATTTGCCTCCACTGTATCACTTCCCAGATCTTGCAAATTATACGCCTTCAATTTCTCGCCAAGTCCGATCCCGCGGCCCTCCTGCCGCAGGTACACTATAACCCCGCCACTCGACCCTGGCAGTGCCATCAGCCGTGCCGCCTCATCTAGCTGCTCGCCACAGTCGCAGCGTGCACTCCACGCCGTCTCGCCTGTGTAGCACTCAGAGTGTATCCTCACGAGCGGGGTGTCACTCTTGGCGGCCTCCGCTTGCGAGCCAGGGAGCTGGCTCGTCGTTCGTCCGGGGTACAGGCGCCCTGTGTAGGCACCACGGATCATGCGATCCATCTCCGTCTCTCCGGAACGCACAGCGTCGAGGCTGCTACTGCGAATGGTGTTGCCAAAGACAATGGCAAGATGTTCCTTCTGGTCGACGTTGTTGGTGTACAGATGCAGGAACATCTCTGTGCCGGTAGTAGTGGGGATGCGTGCGCGCACCACGCATGTCACCTCGGGGAGGACCTCGAGTAGGCGCGGCTTCTTGGAGCCGCATCCGCCATCTGGAATGCTGCTGTCGACGGGTACGGATGCAGCTTCGCGGTTTTGGGCGGGTGTGGCAGTCCCTGGGGTTGCCGGTGGAGTGAATGCGGGGCTGACGAGGCCGGGGAGGGCTTCTCCCTCGGAGGAGGAGAGGCTCAGATATGATGGGAGAGCGGAGGCTTGTGGTCTTTCGGGGTGTGCGCGTCCTTGCGTTTTGAGGTCGTGTTCGGGGACATTATGAGGGGCGGAAGGGTTGAGGCGGGGCGAGTAGAAGGGGGGAAGGTGTGAGTCGTGCTCGCGTGCTTGGTCGTGTCCCTCAGCCATAACGGCGCATTCGCGGCTTTAAGCTGTACAGCACAATGGCAATGGCGGTAGCAATTGCACGGTAGCCGGTAGTTTTGAGTCGTAGAATGAGTATATAGAGCGTGGTTCGGTATATGTATTTGGAGAAGTGAGGGGATAAGTTGACGTCCGGGATTATTGATGATGGGCCGGCAAGCCCGAGGTCGCTTGTCCCGCACTTTCTAAGGGCCTAGGCAAAATATGCCTTATCCTCCGTAATCAATCGATAAGCAGAGTAGTGCACGTGCGATGACGGAAAAGCTGACTAAGTGGAGTACAAATCAGCAATCAGCATTGATTAGTGGTAGAGTCACATTTCACGTGATTGATAATCCACGTGAATAGTCACGTTTTGTGGAATCGTGAGGTGATATAAGCGAGAAACAAACGTGGGGGTTGTGGCGGGGTGTGGCGGTGCACTAGTCCCCAATTGAACCCCGTTTTCCATCACATGACATCCCATACCCGTCAAGTTCGGCGCAATGTGGCTAGTGAACCCCAAGGGGAAATTAAGGGTTGTGGAAACTCCTCCAACCCCCCCCTGACGACTGCCGAGAGACATTGAGCGGCTATCGCGTGTGTGTCCACACTCTGGAGATTGAAATAATTTACTTGCGAATGCAAACTTCCTGCGCAAATTTACTGAGTCCTCCTTAAAGCTCTTTTCACCAAGCTGTCCTCTATTTACGTTGGTGGTACGATCAATTCCGCGACCTCGCGCCCAGATAAACACTCCCCTGACCTACACGCGACCCTCTCGAATTTCGTGTTTCGCATCGCATTCCCCTAATCAACTTGCGCACCAACCCCGCTCTTACTCGACTCTCTCAGCTCTCACCGACATCTGTGCATCTGTGCATCTCAGCCTTGCAATTGAAGCATACGAAGAACCAACGAAAGACCGTCTACCTGACTCTCACGCACGCGCTCCACCGCCAACATGGGCGGCCAGATTTCAAAGATGATGGGCAAGATCTTCGGATCGAAGGAGATGCGCCTCCTGATGTTGGGACTCGATGCTGCGGGGAAGACCACTATTCTATACAAGCTGAAGCTCAACCAAGACGTGACGACTATCCCAACTGTCGGGTTCAACGTCGAGACCGTCACATACAAGAATGTCAAGTTCAATGTCTGGGATGTTGGAGGACAAGACAAGATTAGACCCCTATGGAGACACTACTATTCAGGTAAGACATCACTGTTATAGCGATGATGCCTTCAAAGCTGCAAATTCTAACATTGTGGTACAGGCACTCAGGGATTGATCTTCGTCATCGACTCTTCAGACCACGAGCGGATAGAAGAGGCGAGCCTGGAACTAAATCGCATTATCAGGGAACGTGAAATGAAGGAGAGCTTGCTGCTCGTCTTCGCCAACAAGCAAGATGTCAAAGACGGTACGTTTAGCCTCCAACCCCAGCTCCTTTCAGATACAAGACTAACCTTCGTCCAGCGATGACACCCCAGGAAGTGACCAAGGCCCTGAAGCTCGAGAAACTGGAAGACACGATCTGGTATGTCGTGCCAAGTTGCGCCACAACCGGCGAGGGACTCCTCGAAGGCCTCGTAAGACCCCCTTTTCCCTCTTCCCCCAACCGCGCTAACCCGCTCCAGGCCTGGCTCTCCAACAACATCAAGACACCGCCAGCAGGCACGGTCAAGACGTAACCGCTCCAGCACACGTACAGCACACGCTCACCATAAACGAAATTGTCACGGTCATCCTTTCTTTTCCCATGTCATGCGCGCGCTTCATTTGCATCCATATTGTCTAGCGTTTCCTGTCGGCGGCGATACCACACTCTGCTTCGCTCACCTCGTCTCCTGACTCCGCGTCCCTGTCAGGTCGGTTCGACCAGTTACGCGTCGGGACTGGGTTGGCAGGGAGGTTGCGGGGGGCTGGGCAGAAAGCTTATATCTTTTGTAATTGTAATACTATCTGTTGGGGACGGTAAACTGGCGGATTGGAGGATTTTTAGGAGTGATTTGTGGGGAAGGGGAGGTTTGTTACTGTCGTGTCGGTGGAGATAGATTATATTTATCTTAAATTTGCCGACTATTTTAGGGACTGGAGATGGTCTTTGTGCCGTGCTTGTGTCTGCTGGTTGCTTTCGGATTTTCCCCTAGCCTACATGGTTTTCCCATGCAACCTGATTGCTTACTGGGACCCATCGATGTGTAACAATGCACAGCTTAACAGGGTGTGTCTATCCAATACAAACACCGCCAGCAATAACAGCAACAGCAATATCCAGTTCAGCGCTTAGATGGCACCTTTCGTATCCTCAGCATTTCAAAATCTTTACATAAGAAGTTGAACATAAGAGGTGCAGCTCTTGAAGAGTATAGAGGACATTGTTGGGGAATATAAATAGAATGAAAGAGTGCTAAGGTAACTCTACGAGAATATGATCGCATTGGGCCTTAAATTCCTACCATTTGCAACCCATGAACACACGCTACTGCCGACGACTACGCTTAACGGCCCGCACCGGAGTTGTGGAGTTTGTTGAATATACGACCTCTCACAATACTTCTGTACGCGCCAACATTTTGTTCTACCGCAATTGACAGGGACCTTGTATGGGGCCTTGTATATACCTTACTGAAGTCGGTTGGTTCTAAGAGACTGGTAATATCGCTAAAACAGTATTGCAGCCTAAATGTTAGAAACGGTTTCACTACGCGCTGCCCAGCCTCGTCATGGATGTGCATGGAACACACATAGCGCCTTGTGTCAGTGTATCTCAAAATAACCACTACTTAGCATATATCTTCCAACACAGTTATCTTTGGAATGCATATAGTTTTGCTTGATGTAGGCCGTTACCTGTTGTCCTTTAGGATGTCACTACCATGTCTATCATATTATCAAATGCTTCACGACTGAAGCCCGAACTTCGTCTAGCGCAAGCCGTTTCGCAGTTTGAAGCGGACCTCTCGAGTGAACAGAAAGTTGCGTTTCGTAACTACAGATCTCAATGGCAAAATTCCCCTCCAGGTCCTAGCGATGTCATGCGACTCACGGCCGAGGTTGACTATTGCGCTTCTAATAAGAGTAGCCGCGGGCGTTGTTTTGGGCCGCGGATGACCAATTTCCTGCAAGCCGTTCAACAATTTGCTGCGCTTGGTGATATCATACTAGGCGGGTCCCAGAATATAATAGCATGCAGTGTCTGGTCGTTGGTGCGAATGTCATTGCTTGTCAGTATCCCTTGAGCCCCTTAGCTACGTTCTACTGACATATTCGTAGTTAATTGCAAACTTCTCTTCCTATCTAGAAAAGCTATCGACTCTTCTTATGACTGCCGGTCAATCGGCTCCCCGTTACCAAATGATAGCCTTGCTATACCCCCAGTCAAAGAATCTACAGTCATACCTGCCTGAATATTTCGTTGTAGTGGTTAATCTTTGCCATCGATTGTTAAAGTTCACGCAGAAGTCTGCCTTGGGGCAATTTGCATCTAGTCTAAGTGATTTAGACACGAAAACATACCAGTCAGAACTTGGCCATTGGGCGAATGCGATTAAAGAGGAAATGAGCCTTCTGATGGCTAAAACGATTGAGGGGGAAGCCCAAGACAACTCTATATTTAGAGCTTTTTCTAACAAGATCTCTAAATCTATATCACGCGAGCAAAAGTTGAAGGCAAGCTTACGGATCCTCGATTCCTGCTCTACATATGATTACGAGACGACTTGGAAGCAGACTCGAAAGATTGGAAATACAACTCTATTCAACCTAATTGACGAATACAAGGACTGGAAAGGACAAGATACCTCCTGTACACTTATATATACAGGTGGGCTAGGATCCGGAAAATCCGTTTTGCTAGCCAACCTAATTGACGATCTACATCTTGATAGTCGAAATAAGAATATTACGGTTTCGTACTTCTTTTGCCGGTACGACATTCTAGAAAGTCTGAAAGCGCGGACAGTCATTGGTTCTCTGGCCCGACAACTGCTACGCCCGATAGCAGATCTCGCAACGGTGGCGGGATTCATCGACAGGACTGCTACTTTTGCTCTAGATTTCGAAATGATGTTCAGTTTACTCCAACGCGCCATTGCACCGAATTCTAGAGCATACTTCGTCCTTGACGGGTTAGATGAGTGTGACTCTGCCGAAAGAGAAATATTGGTTCTACAACTCCGCAAGCTCCAGGGGATATTTCCACTGGTTTTATGTCTATCAGTTAGACTCGATCCCGGCAATGTTTTGAAACTCAGCCTAGAACGGTTCATTGCCGCCCAGGTCATATCAATTCCCAGTGATAACCCCGATATTACTTCGTTCATATCAGCAGAACTAGAGAGCCACATAGAGTCCAACCGATTGGTGATAGGAGATCCCTCGCTTATACTGGAAATACGAGACTTTCTCCTTGAACGATCCCACGGAATGTTTCTCTGGGTAGCTCTGCAAATCATATCCTTGTGCGACATGAAAACAGATGATGCCATTCGCCAGGCTCTAATAAACCTTCCTAAGGATCTTTCAGAAACGTTTTCTCGTATTTTGCGGAAATCAGAAGGATCTGGAAAGGCTTATCAAAGACGGATATTAGAGCTTGTAACTATAGCTCGCCGTCCCTTAACAGCGGAAGAACTTAGAGACGCCTTGAGTGTAGACCCTGGTGATCCTGTCTGGAACTGGTCAAGGCGTCTCAATGACGTGAATTTTATATTAACCTGCTGCGGGGGCCTCCTTACTATTGATGAAGAGGAGAGAACTATACGGCTCGTGCACCATAGCGTCAAGCAATTCCTTCTGAGTGGGTTTGAAGACTCAGCTAACAGAAAAATCACAGTCGATAGCGCAAACAGGGCAATGGCAAGTATCATTGTTACATACCTCAATTACGGCGTTTTTTCAACCCAGGTATCTACTACGGTAGTCCCCCAAATAATGACTGCATCAGCACCGTCCCAAATTATACGTTCAGCGCCCGACTTACCAAGCATCGTTAAAAGTCTCACATTAAAGCTCTTAAATTCTAAGAAGAAACCTGGCTTTGACATTGGAAAGACTCTTGCGGAAACAACCAAGCTTTTCCGTTCTCAGCCGATGGATGAATTTCCTTTTTACTCTTATGCAAAGCTCTATTGGTTGCCGCATATCTTTTTCATTTCAGAGAAAGAGCCGATTATATACGACCTGCTGCGCAGGCTATGTAAAGGCAATGCAATAAACATGAATGCAACAGATAAAGATGACTGGACTCCACTGTCACTAGCCGCGCGGGACGGGCATGAGGCTCTATTAAAGTTGTTGCTCGACTCCGGCAGTGTCGACGCAGACTTAAAAAATGGAGTGGGACGGACGCCGCTCTCTTGGGCTGCAGAGAATGGGCAAGAGGCCGTCCTCAAGTTGCTGCTCGACTCTGACATTGTCGACACCAACTCAAAGGACAGAGTGGGACAGACGCCGCTGTCGTTTGCTGCAGAGAATGGGCATGAGGAAATAGTGAAGCTGCTGCTTGACAAAGGTGCTAAGCTAGAGGCCGAAGACGGAGGTGAGCGGACGCCACTCTCATGGGCTGCAGGAAATGGACACATTGCCGTGGTGGCACTATTACTTGATGAGGGCGCAAATCTAGAGTCTGAGGACTCCGGCGGCTACAGGCCGCTCCTATGGGCCGCACAAAATGGGCACATAGAAGTAGTGAAGCTCCTACTAAACAAGGGTGCCAACCTAGAGTTTGAGTCTAACATTGGCCGAACGCCGCTCTCGTGGGCTGCAGAGAATGGGCATGAAGCAGTAGTGGAGCTGCTGCTTAATAAGGATGCTCGGATAGAGTCTAGGTCAGACGATGACCGGACTGCGCTCTCAGGGGCCGCACGGAATGGGCATGAGGCAGTAGTGAGGCTTCTGCTTGACAAGGGTGCCAAGCTAGAGTCTACACGTAACAGTAACCTGACGCCACTCATGTGGGCTTCAATGTATGGGCGTGAGGCAGTAGTGAAGCTACTGCTTAACAAGGGCGCCAAGCTAGAGTCTACAACTGACCGTGGCCGGACATCGCTCTCGTACGCTGCTGAGGATGGGCGTGAGGCAGTAGTGAGGCTTCTGCTTGACAAGGGCGCTAAGCTAGAGTCTACAGACATTCATGGCTACACGCCGCTCTTATGGGCTACACGGACTGGGCGCGAAGCAGTAGTGAAGCTGCTGCTTAACAAGGACGCCAAACTAGAGTCTACAACTGACAGTGGCCGGACATCGCTCTCGTTCGCTGCAGAGTATGGGAATGAGGCAGTAGTGAGGCTTCTGCTTGACAAGGGCGCTAAGCTAGAGTCTAAAGACATTGATGGCCATACGCCGCTCTTATGGGCTACACGGAGTGGGAACGACGCAGTAGCAAAGCTGCTCTCTTCTATTACTTAAATTCTTAGATCAACGTATTGGATCGTCGTTACCATGTTTCCAAGTCTGTCTCGGACAGGCAAGTAACCATTTTTCGAGCTGTTCGCGTTAAGATCCTTACAGTACTCCATTTGCAATACAGATATTCCATGTGGTTGCGTAGTTCTCATCAAGCATTAACATTTGGTATTGATTACGCATAAACCCACTCCCAGTCCCTCAACTCCTCCAGCAAACCCATTCATTCTAACATGTCCATTCAACATAACAATTCTAGGCCGTCACGCCCACTGGAACTCCCTTCCCTGGCCTCGCAAGCGTGTACTTCGCAAACGACCGGGCGAGCGCCTTGCGACAGCTCAGCTTCTGCGCACCAACAAAACTATCCACCGTCACGGCAATGGCACGGTCGACATCCCTCGCGGAAGCATACTCTGAGAGCCTCATGCGGCTAAACGCCTCGGCGATACGCATAATAGCCTCAAGATGACGGACCTGCATATATTAGTAAAGAACCAACAGACCAGGTAAACAACAAGGGGAGAAACTCACAGTAATAGGGAACGCTCCCGTAGCCAACGACTCGCGGCGCATATCCGCAAACAGGCGCGCCACCTTATCCTCGTCCATCTGGTACAGCTTCGGGCGACAGCGCTCGCGCGAGTACAGGATGTACTTGCGTAGCAACTCCTGGGGGATCTCGCCCTCTTGTTTCGGGCCGTCGCGCTCGACCTCCATGCGCTCGCCCTCCGTGTCCTCCTCACCGGTGGCGGCGGCAGGGTGACTGCGTCCGTGAGAGGCGACGACGAAGCGAGCGAGGCGCTCGTCCTCCTCTGGCTCGACGGTATCGCGGACAACGCAGAGAATGTCGAAACGTGAGAGAATGGGCTCAGTGAGGTCGACGTTCTGGGAGAAGGGGAGGGTGGAGTTGTAGCGGCCGCCATTGGGGTTGGCAGCTGCGACAATGCCGCAGCGCGCCTGGAGGGTGGTGACGATACCAGCTTTGGAGATGGAGATGGTCTGCTGCTCCATGGCTTCGTGGATGGAGGTTCGGTCGGCATCGTTCATCTTGTCGAACTCATCAATCAGACAGGTGCCGCGATCAGCAAGGACGAGCGCGCCACCTTCCAGAGTCCACTCTGATGTGAGAGGATCTTTGCGCACTGAGGCTGTGAGACCGACCGCGGAAGCACCCTGACCTGTTGCGAAAACGGCGCGGTGGGCAGTCTTCTCCACGTACTTGAGGACTTGGGACTTGGCGGTTCCGGGGTCACCAAGGAGAAGTACGTTGATGTCGCCACGGATCTTGTGTTTGCCTTGGCCAACCTTGCTAACGCCGCCAAAGAGAGATAGGGCGACAGCAGTCTTAATGTCGGTGTGGCCATAAATGCTGGGTGCCATGGAGCCAATGATCTTCTCTATGATCTGCGGGTCGCGAGAAAGAGCGCGGATTTTCTGTTCATCTTCTTCTGTGAGGCGGAAGCCGGCAAGCTGGTCGTGCAACTTGACAACGTGGTTTGCCTCAAGGATTGTGGCGAAGACAGGGAAGCCGTTGCGGTTGTTCAGCTTGGCGTCATAGTTATTGCGATAGACGCCCGTAACCTCGATCTCCTCACCCGGCTTGGCTGAGTCAATGAGATCCCAGAGAAGGATGACCTCGCGGTGCCGAGGTAGGCGACCTGCGGGTACTGTACCAGGGGACTCCTGGAGGGTGAGTTTCTGGAAGTTGCGGTAGACAGTCTTATCAGAGTTGACGGTGAAGGGGCCGCGAGACTGGCAGCTTTGGCAGTATGAGATCTTAACCTCGACATTTGATTCTTGCATGAAAGGTCCAAGGGTAGTTTTGCACTTGGAGCAATCAAACTTGACGTATTTAAGCTGAGGGAAGACGCCACTGCGGCGTGTGACAACACCGCTGACACGGATAAGGCTGTTAAGATGGCTTTGGCGGAGTTCACGGAGAGTGTATTGGGTAGGTAGGTCGGAGATGCGGACGTGGATCTCAGAATGGATTTTCTGGTAGTCGGGATAATGAAGCAGTGTAACTTCCATAGCAACCTCATCGAATATCTTCAGCATCTCAGATGGGGCGTTTGCGAGGAAGTATGCCAGAATAGCCTTTGAAGTACCGAGATGGTCATATGACACTTCAAGGGACTCTGCGTTGATCTCTCCGAGCGTGCGAACCCTGTTTCCGTAGACTGAGGAACCATTGTCATCAGTGTATTCCGTCAAGAACGACTTGAACTCTCTTGCAATCGTTCTCTGAACTTGTGGTAGGGCAACCCATTCCACCACACTCGTCGCTTTGACATCTTGTAAGGCCTCCAGCGTCAACTCTTCTTCCATGATATTGTCCATCATGTCTTCATCCGGCTCCTCGTCATAGCGATGGCGGCGGCGCCTGGGCTGGTTGGTGAGGTCCATTCCATCGTCTTCTTCCTCATCTTGGAGGAAGGCTGCTGGCATACGGCGTCGGCGAGCAAGCTCACGATCTCTCCTGTTGAGTCGCTCTTCTAGCTGGCGTCTCGTTGAAGCATCCAATTCCTCGTGGTCGCCTTCATCGTCGATATCGTCACCGCCATACTGGTCATCCTCGCGAGCCTCGTAGTCGCGCTCAAAGTTGTCCGCAAAGAGATCAATTCCGTCGTCCTCCTCTACCATCTCATCTGCATCGTCGATATCCGCGATAAAGTCGTCCACTATGTCATCGTCGTCGTCGTCGGCACGGTCAAGATGATATGCGGGCGGCGACGATGGGATGATGGCGGCAGCAGGACTGGAGGCATAACCAGAAGTCGGCACATCATCTTCATCTCTGCCACGTTTGCCCAGGTTTCTGCCTCCTGCTCCGCGGTTCGCGGAGTCCATATTGGGCCTCAATGGCGAACTGTAGAGAGTCAGGGATGATTGACCCAGAGCGTTCGGGATAATGTTAGAACATACCTCATGGTTGCAACAATATATATTTAAATGTGCAAAATCCTTTTGTTTATACCAGAGTTTGTTGTTGATAATGGTAGCCTGGTCAATGACATGGATGAGTTGGCGCTGAGTTCAGGAGGGGGGATAATTGATCTGTTCAGACGCGTCTTGAAGTTTCGCGTTTCGCGTTTACGCGTCGGCGCGCTTCCACTCTATTACGGTGACCGAGATTGCACGAGGCTGTGGATATGGTCTCGAGCCTCGCCATATCCCGACCCTGAACACAACAAAACTACATCACAATTTACCATAACTGAGCTTTAAAACTAAGAAGAACGTATAAAATGGCGTCTTCGCAAGATATTGCTGATTCCAAGCGACGAGATAGCGATTCTGCAGCTTCTCAGGACTCACAAACCGCCGCCGAGTACGCGGATCCTATCCAGCTCGTCATGACATCCACTGACTTTTGATCAGATTCATCAACAGCCAACTTCAACTTGAGGCAGATGCAAGAGAGGCTCTCCCATATGTATGCATGACTCGATTCTCTATTATATCTGACAAAAACTTACCGAATCCAGAAATTCGACACCTGCACGAAACAACTCGGTCCTTTGCGCCAGGACCTCTTCGCCTGTATAACCTGCAACCCGCCACCTGCGAATCCATCCGATCCCTATACCCCAGCTGGAGTCTGCTATTCATGCTCGGTTGCGTGTCACGGCGAGCATACTCTTGTTGAGCTGTTCTACAAGCGCAACTTCGTTTGCGACTGCGGTACGACGCGTCTCCCATCCACTGCGCCGTGCACCTTACGGATCAACTCGGAGACGGGACAGAAAGGCGGAGTGGTCAATGAGCCGTGTGAGGAGAAGAACGAGTATAACCAGAACTTTCGAAACCGATTTTGCGGATGCGAATGCGACTATGATGCCGAGTCCCAGAAGGGGGTGATGTATCAGTGCCTGGGCCTTGGGCCGGCAAGGAATGGTGGATGCGGCGAGGATTGGTATCATACTACTTGCGTGGTTGGATTGGATCCATCGTGGCATGATGAGGCGATGAAGAAGAAGGCAGCTTTGGCAGAATCTACAGTTGGAAATGACCAAGGATCGACGACTGCCATAGTAGAAGCCGATGGGGATGCCATTGATATCGAAGATGGTATGCCAACACCGCCTGGGTTTCCTCACGCCGATGACTTTGCTGGTTTTATCTGCTACAAGTGTGTCGAGGCAAACCCGTGGATCAAGGCATATGCTGGCACAGAGGGATTCTTGCCGCCTGTGTTCAAACGGAGCGGGGCGCCTTCGCCTCAGGCCAAGTCGGAGAAGAAAGAGGATCAAAAGGCGGCTCTGAAGACGACATTCGCTCCTGTTGCTTCATCGCAGAAGCGAAAAGCAGAGGATGATGGTGCTGACGCTGATGTGGAGACAAAGCGAGCGAGAGGAGACAATGACACGGAAGGCAAACCCACATCAACGGCCACCGCCGAGCCAAACACCAATGGTGATGGCGCGACAAACTCAAGCATGAAGGACGAGCCAGCGTCTTGCAAAATCAGCCATCTTCCCTCCCCACCAACTGAACACTTCTCCCTCTTCTTCAAAGACGACTTCCGCGCCTCTTTCTGCCGCTGCCCAGCTTGCTTCCCCCACCTTGCCATTCACCCCCAGCTCCTCGACGAAGAAGAGTCCTACGAGCAATCCCTCTCGCACTCCTCGGCCGCATCCGACGGGGCAGGCAGCACGCTCGGCAGCCACGCAGGCAGCCTGTTGGACCGTGGCGAGCGCGCACTGAGCACCATGGACCGCGTTAAGGCGATTGAGGGCGTGATGGCGTTTAACCACCTCAAAGAAAAGTTGACTCCGTTTTTTAAGGAGTTTGCAGAAAGTGGGAGGGTCATTAGGGCGGAAGATATTAAGGCACATTTTGCGAAGATGAGAGGGGATGAGGGGGGAGCCGGAGAGGTGGAGAGAGAGAAGGCTGGGAGTGCGGAGGAGGATAAGAGGCGTGAGCAGGGAGGGTATTGAGGTAGTAGTGGGAGGGGAAGTGTATGATTATTTACGAACGGGCGGGGATATAGGAGGAGTATAGGAGGATAAAGGACCCTGACAGGCAGGCCCATACAGTTTAGGTCTCGAGCCGATCAGGATAGGTTGGGGCTCGATGGACACGGCGCTATTTGACACTTGCCGGCGGTTTTCATATGAAGCTATCGAGGGGCATAGATACCGTAATTTATCAGATCTTGCTCAATTAACACGGTCGTCGGTCTCTCAATTTCATCACGTGTGCTCACTGGAAGTACGTACAATACGAATCATCTTAACATCCTCGAACACTCTCATCTTCACCAACTCCGTACACACTGTATAGTTGTTAGATCCAAATCCCTACGCCACACACACAAACGACAGACGATGTCGGCGAGGCCGAGGCCTTCTCCACTACCCCAACGCCACGATCGACCGCCTGACATACCAAGCTTCCCACTGGATAACCCTCCGTCCCCAACTCAGCGGCGCCTTTTCTTACTTTTTCCTCCCCCATTCCCTTACCGTTATAAGTCAAAGGGCGCGTGCACTGTAATCCTAGCCTCCGAACCAGCGCCGTCCAATCGCCCCCTCAGCGCGCCGTGCGGGACCGATTGGAGTGCGGGGGCTTGGTTCTTATCAGTCACCATCCTTGCTGGCAGATTGGCAAGGGCGGGTCTGGTCTATTGGAGATGCTTGTCGTGATAGATAACCATATGTGCCGCGTGTCTCGCTCCTAGATATTTCACCGAAGCCTGTACCATATACGCATACTGTAAGCGCATATAATGGCGGCGCTGGTATATCAGAAAAAACTTCCAGAAGCGGCGTCCCTCGTTCTTGCCGTGTGGGGGTGAGACACGCGACGTACGACATGCCCATGCCACGCGCATCCCAATCCATCCCATGCCAACTTTCCCTCCTCCGCTTTGGACCCCTGCAATGTCGGCGATAGCTCTTAGCTCTTGATGTCATGGAAATGGCAGTTGCCTGCCGCACCACTGCACCCACCAGGGAATGAGCGCCGACGGGCTGTGGCGCCTCCTGGACATCCTTATCAGGGCCTAGGCGCAGATCGCAGGGTATGGGAGGTAAGTAGGTGGGCGTGGGTGGTAGGTATATAGCGGCTCTGGCCCCGCGATGGTGGGTGGTTATTTCATTCTCTTTCTATCTTCCTCACTCTTGCCTTTGCAACTCGTCTTCTACCCGTACGGTTCCTTTATTACTCTGGCATTCCTGTATTTGTGGTAGAGACCGAATCCGGTGATTCCTCTGTGCCTGTGATTGTTGTCCAGTGTATGCAGTAGCACCGTCACCCTCACACCGCGCCAGCAGGACCGAGAGACGCGACAATGCCGTCGCCCGAGTCGCTCCATGCCGCGCTTCCCTCCAAAGAGGTCGGCGCTGACGCCCATGATGAGGAGGAGCTTGCAAATTTCGGGTACAAGCAGGAGCTGAAGCGCGACTGGGGGCTGATGCACAATTTTGGCATCTCCTTCTCGATTATTGTGTGTTCCTCCCCCGCTCCAAGAGGTCTGAGAGATTGTCCGAAGACTGATAGTTAATGCAGAGTGTGATTACGGGCATTACGACATTATTCAGTTATGGGCTTCATACCGGTGGACCGTGAGCCTTCTCCTCCACCCCAGTAGGCAAGACAGGCGCACAAGAGCTAATGGAATAAGTGCCGTAATGTCGGTCGGTTGGATAGTGGTGTCGTTCTTTACCTTCGCAGTTGCGCTGGGAATGGCAGAGATCGTGTCAGCCATCCCAACGAGCGGCGGGCCATACTTCTGGGCTGCGATGTTGGCACCCCCAAAACATTCTGCGCTGAGCTCCTGGCTCACTGGCTGGTAAGTCCTCTTATATCTCTTTTTTGGTTTGATCGGGTGTATGATATTGGGGAGTGGAAAAAGGCCGCTTACAACGACAAGACCCACCCGCCTAATTCTCATATTTTGCATTCCATTCCTTGACTCCATCCAAACTGACCATCCACCTTTTAGGTTCAACCTCCTCGGCCAAGTTGCTGTCACGACAGGTATAACATTTGGCTGTGCAGGTCTCATCTCAACAGTCGCAACCGTCAAATCTAGCTACGAACCTACGGCCGCAAAAACAGTTGGCATCTACGCCGCCCTCCTCGTCTCCCACGGCATCGTCAACACCTTCGGCGTCAAAGTCCTTCGATACCTTAACAACACTTCCATCCTTTTGCATTCTGTTGGGGTAACCGCCATCGCCATAAGCGTGCTCGCTAAGGCGCCCACCCACCAACCTGCCTCCGCCGTCTTCCAAAAATTCTACGACGGCACCGCCGCCACCCCTGATGAGCCAGGATGGTCGATCAGAGCATCACCAGCTTATGTGGCATGCTGCGGTGCTTTAATGTCCAATTATACGTTAACTGGGTTCGACGCATCAGCTCACTTGAGTGAAGAGACTCGTAATGCTTCATGGAGTGCCCCCATCGGCGTGATATCCTCGGTGGGCTTCTCTGCATTTTTTGGCTTTTTTGTCATCATGTCCTTCCTCTTCTCCATCCAGGACTTTGACCGCACGCTCAACAGTGACTATGGAAACCCAGTCCTTCAAATATTCGTGGATGTCTTCGGTCCTGATGGCGCTGTCGTGCTGTTCTGTCTCATTATCATATGCGTCTGGCATTGCGGCCTTTTCAGTATGACCTCCAACAGCCGCATGATGTTCGCCTTCTCACGTGACGGGGGCATTCCACGCTTCTTCGCTCACGTGGATGACAAGTTCCAGTCTCCCATCCGCGCCGTCTGGCTCGCTGCGTTCCTTGCGTTCCTCCTTTCCCTCCCCTCGCTGGGTAGCTCTGTGGCCTTTGCCGCCGCAACATCAATTGCTACCATTGGCTTATACATTTCCTACGGCATTCCCATTCTCATCGGACTCATCTACCCAACACACTTCAACAGCAAAAAGGGGCCATTTAACCTAGGCCGGTTCTCGAGACCGGTGGCACTCGTGGCAACCGGCTGGATCGGGTTTATTACTGTGGCGTTCTGTCTTCCCACCGCAACACCGGTCGATACGCAGAGTCTGAACTATACAGTTGTGGCTGTGGGAATTATAGCCTTTGGAGCGATGGGGACATGGGTTGTGACAGCCAGGAAGTGGTTCGTAGGGCCGTTGAGGGAGATTGAGTTAGAGGCGGCGGGGGTGGATATTAGTGATCCGGCACAGGTGGAGAAGGCGGAGAAGGAGGGGGTTGCGGGGGTGAATGGGGAGGCGAGGGGAGTGGAGAATGTAAGTGCGTCAGTAACTGATTAAGGCGGTGATTGGTGATGAATCGAGGAAGCTGGAAAGGGGGGTCGGAGGAAAGGTTAGATAGGCCTAGATCAGTTGATACTGTAGAAATGCAAATCAATCTCACGTATTTTGAGACAACGATATTGTATTCCAGGCACTTCGAGGGATATAGAACAGAGTTGAACAACCGACTCAGCAAAGGACTGACTCGCTCAAAGTACTGATCATGATATACGACGATAGCACCGTTAGGAGCATCAATCCAGATTCAGTGTGTTAGCTTGTCATTGTTTTGACTCCCGGCTGCCCCTCCCAGTTCTCATACCCCCATTCTCGCAGCCCTTTCTCTTTTCCATCACTCCTCCATTTTGTCACCGTCTCTACCTTTTCTCACCACCCCTCCGTTTTTCTTACCACCCACCCTGATTCTGTCAAAACCAGCCAGTCACGAAAAGCACCCACCATATTTGCGGATAGATGAGGACCATGATCCTTTCTTACATGCTCCAGGATCCGGACATGAAATCTGCGATTCTGAGTTTGTTTGATTCAACCTCGACTTTGCCCAGGCCAACCTTATTAAATATCGACGATGCTCCAAGAAGTGAATGAGATTCTATAGGGTATCAGCTTCGCCCCCATCGTTGTCTACAAAATATACAAATCCAGGATGCCATGGTATTACATCTCCAAGAGCCAGTTCGACATGAAGAGCAGGAATGGAGCAGTCATTGAGGTGCGTATACGTTCCCGGTAACATTTCGAGGGTATTGCGAATCTCCATAGGTCGTAGAGTGTGTTCGAGAAACACATTCTAGACATCTCAGTGTTGAACAAAGCTGGCATATACAATACATCATCTCGCACCCTCACGTGTCTCTCACACAGGCAACCCCATTATCGGCAGCAGCATGGCTGGCTCCTTTATTTAAGCCAACCGCCGGCCACGAACAACAGGGCACCAGGAGAAGCATTTTAGGAGAGGACGCGGCTCGGGCGAAAGGAAATAGAATGGATCAGGAGAGAGTAAGACACCTGCCGAAAGAATTCCCGGCCAGCCAATTTCGGCTTGAAAATCGAAGGGCGGTTCTTACTACCCTCTTTTCTCACCACCCCCTCCCACTTCTCACCACCACCACTCGCTCTTCTCGGCCACCTCTTCCTTTTCTCACTACCCCCCATCTTTCTTGCCGCCGCACCTCTTCTTTCTCGCCACCCTCCCAGAGATATCCAAGTCAAACAGAAGATTAAGAAGGTGTAGCGAAATCTAACAGTCTCGCCGAAATCACCTTAACGCTCCAGACACAACAGAGTCGAACAGTGCTGGGCGGGGGAAAGAGACTGTCTGAACTGGAGAGTCAGGCCTCCTTACCACGACGGATGGCAGCGACCATGAAGTGTTTCTCTCCATACACACTCAACCAAACTCCATCCATCATACGTTTCAACATCCACCTCGCATCTCACACATCTCACACACAAGTAATCCAAAACCAAAGTATTCCATCTTCATCTTCATCAGATTGGAAACTACCTAACCATGGGCACACCACCCGGCCCCCACCCATCTTAACACACTTATCTAGCTAAAAACGAAAACAACACAATTAAAAAAGGTCGAAAGAAAAACGGAAATATAGCGCAAAAAAAACACACGTCTTCCCGGTTCGTCTCCGCTCATCCATTCCATCCGTCCCGCTCAGCGAAAAATACAGAAAATGTGGTATCAACTCTCTCTCTCTCATTTCGTTCCTTGTTACCCCCACCGATCCATTCCATTCCCAATTTTTTCCCCGCCGCCGCCGATTGAATGCATAGTTTCCCGCTCTGTACCAACAAATTCACTAACTTCCTGACAGTCTGTCCTTTGTTCCTCGGTCGTTTGATCATCATCATCGGCAAACGTCAACAACAATGACAAACCAACACGAGGAACCAGCAAACTCATCGGATCAACCACCACGAAATCACCTCATCCACAGAAGAAAACAAAAGAAAAAGAAAACATCAACCTCAGATCAACCACACCACAGATCTACAACTTCCCCGACCTCCCGGCAGCCGGAGCAGGATCATACACCTGGGCCTTAATCCAGTTCGTCAGCGCCACATCTCCCCACTCCTCCCACTCCAACCACGTCTCCTCTGGCAACTCACTCACGCCATCACGACGCGCACACTTCATCACCTCTCTCGCCACAACAGCAGACGCGTCGCGCACGCGGCTGATATGCGGGTAGATGAGTCCCTTAGCGATCTCCTCGCTGTTGAGGCAGCCGGAGAGCGCGTGGGCGGAGGTGTACACCATGTCGTCGGTGACGCGGGACACCTTACCCAGGATGGCGCCGAGGCCGAGTCCGGGGAAGATGTACACGTTGTTACCCTGGTTGGGGTAGTGGGTGGTGGTGACGTCTCCGATCTTGGTCTCGAATGCGGAGAATGGGGATCCCGAAGCGAACAAAGCGGTTCCGTCGGTCCAGGTGACGGCCTGCTCGAAGGTGCACTCGGCCTTGGTGAGAGGGTTGGAGAGGGGGAAGAGGATGGGGCGGCGGCCGGCACCGGAGGCGTCGACGGAGGCCTTGAGGGCGCGGACGACGGACTCGGTGAAGACGCCGTGGGTGGCGGTGAGGCCAACGAGGGCGGTGGGCTTGACGTATTCGATGACCTCCTCGAGGGTCTTGAACTGGTGTCCAGCGTTGTCGTGGCGCGCGAAGAACTTCTTGTGCTCGGCGAGGCGGTCGCCACGGTCCTTGGTCACGAGACCCTTGGTGTCGACGAGGTAGAACTTGTCCTTAGCTTCGGCGTCGGTGAGACCGCGGCGGGTGTAGTACTCGAGGAGCTGCTTGGCGACACCGACACCGGCGCTGCCGGCGCCCATGAAGACGAGCTTCTGGTCCTCGATGGGGACGTTGGAGAGGTTCACGGCTCCGATGTAGCTAGGGGTTTTGTTAATATGTGATAGATCGACGAGGAGGGAAAGGAAATGCGTACCCAGCAAGGATGACGGCTCCGGTACCCTGGATGTCATCGTTGAAGACCTTCTTGTGCTTATACCTCTCGAGGTAGGCAAAGGCCTTCTCGGTCTCGAAGTCCTCGAACTGAACGACCATATCCGGGTACACATCGGTCACGGCCTCCATGAACTCATCCATGAACTCACGTGCCTCGTTGACGGACACGCGCTTCTGGCGGAGGCCAAGGTATAGCGGGTCCCTGAGGTTCTGCTCATTGTTGGTGCCATAGTCGAGAACAATTGGGAGAGTCTTCTCCGGGTGGATACCGGCGGCAGCAGTGTACAACGCGAGCTTTCCGATCTGAGACTTGGCTTAGCACGAGGCGTCAAGAGAGTGGGGTGGGGAATTGATTAAGTGAGGGGAAGATGGGGTTGGGGGGAAATACCGGAATGCCAACGCCGTTTACGCCGAGGTCGCCAAGACCGAGGATGCGGGAACCGTCAGTCACCACGCAAATCGACGGATTGGGATACGGCCAATTCTTGAGAATTGTGCGGATGGAATTCCTCTGCTTGATGGAAATGTATAGGGCCTCGGGTCTGGTGTACAGAGTCGAGTATTGGAGGCACACGTCGCCGATCGTGGGTGTGTAGACGAGGGGCATGAGCTGCTCAACGTTGTCGATGAGAACGCGGTAGAAGAGGTCGATGTTACTCGACTTGAGGGTCGACAGGTATAGGTATTTGTCGATGGGTGTTGATCTCGAGTTGATCATCTTCATGGCACGCATCACCTGGGTGTCCATGTTCTCCATAACGTGGGGGATGAGCCCAGTGAGGTTCTTTGTCACACGCTCTTCGGGAGTAAACGACGTGCCTATGGTAAAGAGTCAATTGCTGTCATACGAGCATATCACTGGGGATCTCGGGGTATTTCTGGGGTGATCCGGAGTATTCTGGGATGATCTAGGGGTTTTTTGGAGAGACCTACTCTTGTTCCACGCCGGCTCGCGGAGAACCTGATATCCCTTCGCCATATCTTTGGGAGTATATTCTGTGGTTGCGGTTTGGGTGACGGGTGCAGGATATGCCTTTGTTGAGTATCCAGCGAGGTGATCTAAAGATGCCAGCTTCATTTGTGCGTCAATGGCAGCGGTGTCGACGTAGGAGAGGGGGCTGGAGGAGTGTCTCTCAGAAAGTGAGACTCGTTTCCTGGATGCGAGGAGGGATGCAGCGCTAGAGACGGAGGAGGGTGGTGATATAGAGCGGGTTGAAGAAGTAGGAGTTGGAACGGCGGATGACTGAGAGCTATGGGGGAGAGAAGGTGGAGGAGGAGAAGAAGCCATTGAAGAGCGGGAAGAATGTGAGTAATGGTGTGAGCGAGAAGGAGAGGACGAGTGAGAATTAGTGTAGTGAGTGGAGGCGGATGATGATCGTGATGACATGTAGGCGTGTGGGTAGCGGGAGGAGTAGTGTTGGTAGTAGTGGTTATAGTGTTTGTAATGGTGGTAGCGGCAGTGGATGTGAGTAGTTGTGACTGGAGCAACTTGAGTGGCTTGAATTGTGGTAGTGGTTGAGGTGGTGACTTGCGGGTGCGGGTGCGGATGCGGAGGAGAGCGGCGAGATAATTTGGGTCTGGTCAATGAGCTTGGAAGACCAAGAACGGCGGACCGAGGCGGGCTGCATATAACAGAATTGGGCGAGGCTCGGGATATCACGGAAAGAGTGGAAATCATATTCTGGCGCCCAACGCACAGGCAGGAGGGGAAGAAGGGGGCAAAAGGGGAAGGGGGCGGGGAAGGGGGAGGCAAAAGACGGAGGAAAGGGCAGGAACAGTCCTTGTCCTTGTTGCTGTATTGTCTGGGACTGTGACTTTGGGGAACAAAATTGACAAATTGGGGTCAATTTGGGGCAATTGGGGTCAGAGCCCAGAGGTGACAAGCCAAAGACGAGACGAAGTGAGAAGGAGGTAGCGGTAGTAGTGGAACCGGTGTGCGTGGTTTGTTCTCTTCGGACCTTCTATGGGCTGTAATGGCCTGTGATGCCTGTGATGCCCTGTGGTCAATGGGCAGTGAGAGCCTGTGAGAGGCCGGAGAGAGTGCTGTGAGAGCTTGTGAAATGCTTGTTCGGGTCGGGTCGGGGCGCTGGAAATTTGTTTGATGCCCAGTTTCGGATTCAGCGGTTTCGAGAGTGCTCCGTAGGGAATAGTGAGATGAGTGTTTGTTGGGATGATGAGTAGTGAGGCTTAGTGAGTGAGGGATGTCACGGTTGCAAGACATATACTAGTCAAGGAATAGTAACAGAAGAAGAAAATATCTCAGAAGCAAGAGCAATGTCAATCAATAATGACAAAGAATCTCACACACACAGACACAGACGGCAACTTACATACATGGCACCGGTCCGGCGTAGGGAGTCACAGAGAGAGAACAGTCACAATGGAGAGCACAAAGCACACAAACGCCCGCCTTCTCAACGGTGAGTAATTGAGATCCGTCGGTGAAGTAGAGTCATATTGATCCCCATCTCGATACTCCCAATGCCGCGATCGGGGAAAGTCGTTGTGTCGGAGTTCTGTACAGTAGTCAGTACAGTACTACATCGTATGGCAAGGTACATCTAGCTGCAGCCTTTCCCCAACTTTTTTTATTTTTGCCTTGTGAACGGGAAGTGTACCCTACCTTACTCTGCCTGTGCATGACTAAAGTACCTGCCGAGAGGGATTACCGCAGAAATTGGGTGGTGGGACACCCCAGACGGTACATGTGTGTGGAACAATTGCCAAGGGGCAGCGACAGCGTAGTTTAGTGTTAGTAGTGCTAGTAGTGGTAGTAGTTAGTGCTAGTAGTCTTAGTAGTGGCGTAGTCTTGTCGTTGCTGTCACCGTTGTTGGGAGATTCTTTTCCCGGCTGTCTGGTCTCTACCACACCTATTACGCTACGTGTTGAGACGACAGCGGTACGCGCATCATCGGACTGGGGTACTTGAAACTCTCCACCATTGTGTCCTTTGTCGCCGCATAAATACATGTACCCTATATGCCCATGCTATGTATTCATGTCCTCCAGAGAGAGCCGGGAAGCGGCAACTGGGGAGAGAGGTAGGTAGGGGGAGTTAGTTAGTGGTAGGGGGGTGGGCAGGGGGACGAGGAAGGATGAAAATGTAATCAAGTGGAGATTACTTGGGTGGGGATGCAACTTCCATAACTTCCATACGCTATTAACGCTACTAACTCAACCCAGTCTACTCTCCAAAATCCCGGCATCCTTGTTCTTTCCTCCTCATCCCCCCCCCCAATCCCTCACTCATTTGTCCTCATCTGTCCCAATGTCCCAATACTCCCCAAGACTCCCCAATCGTACTCTCCCCTTTTCCCCAACAAATGCAGTGCGAGACCTCGTCCGAGACCATATAACGTAACGATCACAAATATCGCAAATATCTCACAAATAAATCTCGCAAATATCTCTCACATCGGGAATTCCCTCGCGTGCCAGCCAAGCCTAGACTTGTTGTCTTTCCATCCTCGTACGAGCATTCGTACTCCTCCATTCCTAGCACCACCACCACTGTAACCTCCCTCTCCCCACTCCATCCCCATCTCCCCTTTTTTCTCCACTTCTCGACCTTTCCCTTCTCCTCCACCTTCCAGCCCTCACGCCATTCTCGTCTCCTTCCCCACCCGTCCCGTTTCGGCGAGTTGTCGTCCTCCCCGATCATCCACAAACCCTCAACCCACCTGAGACCCCAAGAACAACCAAGCCTTTTCGCGCACCTCAACCCATTCCCACTCCCACACATCCTCCTCATGGCCATGAAACCTTTTCTCTCTCCCGCCAGTCACACCATCCCATCCCGTCTCATCATGCCCTCCCTCTCCAGTGACACCTCTCATCTCTTTCTCCCTCACCACCACCGCAAAAGCAAAGAATCCCAATCCCGACTTCCCGCGGCGATCCCCGACCCGATCGCCGCCCCATCCCAACCCCACCCACCACGACCGGACAGGGGTGCTGAAACGCCTCGCTCCGGCACCTCATCCCTCCCCCAACCACCCCAGTAGTCAGTCTAGACTAACTAGCGGTGACATGTCCGCCGGCGAAGCCCGACTTCTCCCGGGCCTGTACAAAACGCAACCGTACTCGCCGCCACTGCCACTACCAAGCCCTAAGTATTGTAACTGTAGTTGTTCTGGACGCCTGGAGCGTGCGAGTACGGGCGGGTCGATTTGGTAATTGCCAATCCCCCGACTGGTGACTGAGCGAGTCGCCTCGGCGGAGTTCCGTGGCATGTACGCGTGCTCGACGCCGTGGGCGCTGGGTCTCGTCTCGAGGAATACGATGCGTATGCCCCCTATCCGTGCCACAAGGAGCGCAGGTCTCCGACACTCGTAAAATCGCTCAGCGGCCGGCAGTCATTCTTCAGAATAGGAAGAGAGGGAGAAAATCCCCGATCGGCAGCCTCCGACGACGACTGACTCCTTCAGCCTCGTACCACAAGGCTGACATTATCGCAAGCGTAGGTAGATGTCCGCCTCCATACTGTATCCCCCCGTCCAAATCCCCATCCCAACCTCAATCCCATGCATGCCAACCTTCTACCAGTCCAGTCCCTCCAGACCATCCCTTCCCAGAATGCGGAGAGAAAATAGAGTACAGTGCAGTCCTCTAGCTCCCTCCCCACAGCTTCCCCACCAAACACGCCGACCTCGCACGCCCTCCCGTCCCCCATCCCCCAATCCACGAAAACAGGCGCGTCGTCGGCCTCACATGTGCATCCCCCCCCTCGTCCCGGTATCGCCCATCCAGCCTTCACATTCCCATCCCCATCCATCAACCCCTCTCTCCAGCTGCCCCGTGCTTCGAGGTTGTTTACCCCTCGGTACACTTTCCCCTCAATGACGTGCACGATATAGTAGTATGCGGGGAGAGGTATCGGGATCGGGGGAAATAGGGGAGGTGTCATGCATGTAGCTACCCGCTGTGCTTCTGATCTTGCCAAGGTTAACGCGGTGTCGGGGAAAGACGCATCGACTCATCGTAGCTGTACGCGGTTGCACGTGTCAACGCCCATCAATCAATCAATCCATCCATCAATTCAATTCCCTTTGGGGAACAAGTGCGTAAATGATAGAATGTCGAAATGGAGGTATGGAGACTGAAAGATAGGGCAGGAGGGACCAAGCGGCGTCTGATAAGTCCAGCTAGGGCACATGCTTTCAATTCAAGTAGCCCGTTTGGCTTAGTGGTACAGCGTCTCACTCGTAAACCGAATGTGTCCGATATGAGAAGATCCTCGGTTCGATTCCGAGAATGGGCATCTTTTTTGTAGTTTTTTTGCACTTTTGTTTTTAGGTACGGGGATGGAATGATTGGGAGATGGAGGGACAGAGGGTACTATGGGGATTGATTTGGGGTGAGAAGGTGCGATGACTGGTCTGGGTTGGGAGGCAAGGTGCGAATGTCTCGCTGGGGGGGGGGGGGGGCACGTGACGAGCTATGTTTTTTCTCACTTCAAGTCGTCAACCCCCGATTCAAGCACATAATATCTCAAATATCGACAGAGTAGTAAGCATTCATCAAAATGAATGATAAGGTTGGGATTTCTTAAGGAAGTAAGCCTTGGTATTTTTGAGCGAAGCCAGCGACTGAAAAATGAATTTCAAAAATTATAATAAATTATGCCAGAAATAAATGAATTAAAATTGCCAAATCTTTATTTATTGCAAACTAAGTATACTTTATTGAAAATAAACCACGCATCCATATCAGTCCAGCGCCGCAAACAATCGGGGGTAGCCAATGTTTCCAGACAGCGAAAGAGTTTTCGCTGTGACTCGCAAAAGGACTGAGGAAGTCCGGAGGGAAGACTAATGGCGGGAGGTGCGGCGGTGATGAGAATATCGCGGCCGCAGTGGCAGGTGGCAGCTTTAGGCTATGTTCTCTCCGGCCATACAGTGATAACTTTTGGCTCATCAGCGCCCATGAATAAACTCGACCTCGACCCCTTACTTTCCTCAACTGGTCATTGTGACGACGTATGTAGTTGTTTCCTTTTGCCCGCTCCGTCACGAGTTTTAACCTATCATTTTTGGTGGACAAGTTGGTGATTGCAAAGTCGTCACAGGGCCCTACGAAAGCCAATAAAGGATGTATTGAAGTCTGCCAGGTGTTGGGAATAATCTGAGGGCTGAGAGTATACATTGTTTTTAATTTCTACGGGGATAGTAATATTAGTATCTCCTACCATTTTATTATTTATATTAAGAGATTTATTATAACACGCGAGGGATTTTGTACAATCTGACAGCTAAACATATTATCAATGTGAGTGCTTCAGTGCTGTCTCATAATTGATAGCTTTGATAGTTTAATAGATGAGAATATCTCTCCTGAACCCCAATTCATCTTTTCCTCATCCGTACTGCATTTTACCTCAACACCACCCCCCTCCTCCACAATTCCTATCAAATATCCTTTGTTTGGGAATGGACTGGGCTACATATATGTATATGCAACGTTGTGTAGCTGGATGTTCTACGCCGAGGTGTCTTTGAAATTTACAGCGAAAGATAATGAAACGGGCTCACAACATCTATATATCACAGGGTAGGGCAGACAATGAAAGTTTCATAGTTCATAGTTTCATAATCGTTTGGAAAGCCAAATGCTCAAGAACGCCTCATTGTTGTTGGTATACCTATGAAGCACTAAAGAGAAAAAAAAACAGAGCACAGAAGTCTCAAGACACCGGTACAGAAATTTACTCTCTGAGCTCGGCGATCTTGGCCTTGACGCGCTCGACCTTCTCCTCCTTTGTGAGCTTGCGGCCCTTGTACTTGAGGGACTCCTTCTTGTACTCCTCCTTGTCCTTCTTCTCGGCGGCACCTTCGACCTTCTTGAATGGGTCCTCACGGATCTGCTTGTGGATATCCTGGTAGAGCTCCTCAAGTCCATCGGCCTCTATCTCATCATCGATGTAACCCTGGAACTGGGACTTGTAGCGCTCCTCATCGTCATCGGCGAGGGTCTCCATGTACTCAGCGACGTGTCCACCGAAGATGTACTTGCGGAGGGTCTCGGAGTCGAGCTCCTTGGACTCCATGTCGAAACCGGGGAAGCGGTTCTCGGAGTGGGGCACGAGAATGCCACCATCGGAGGCACCCTTCATGGCACCGAAGATGCGGGCACCAGTGGAGGTGCGGGCAAGACCAACATCAAGGAAGGCCTTGAATGGGCGGCGGGCGTCCTCATCCTCAGCGGCCTCGGTGAGGGTGAACTCTCCGTCAGCCTCCTCAACACCCTGGAAGTCGGCGTCCATGCCGAGCTTCTTGAGGACACGGCGGGCGATCAGAAGACCAGTGCAGTAGGCGGCGGCCCAGTTGGTAAGACCGTGCTCAAGACCGTAGGCCTTCAGCTCGTGCGAGTAGGCGGCGCAGAAGACCTTGTCTCCGGAGATCTCGGAGGTGACGATCTGCATCACGATGTCGCGGTTGGTGAAGCGAACCACAAGGCGGTATTTAGGCGCATTGTACTTGTTCTTGGCCTGGGTGATGAGGCGCTTGCGAGCGTAGTAATCGGTCTTTCCGGAACGACGGCGCTTGTACTTAGTCTGGAAGCGACTATTTGAGGTTAGCAATGCGATTGTTTCGAAACTGAGAGAGGACTTGATTCTTACCTGTAGTACGCGGAGTTCTTAACCAGCTTGGTGAAAGGCTGTGAAGAAAACCAGAGTCAGCAATTTGCGCTTCAGATCTCATCCGAAGCATCTTGCATGGACCCATTCAACGTAGATCCTCGAGATCCACGGAATTCTCGTTCAAGCATGCTATGCTGAACGGTGTTGATGAACTTACCATCTTGATAGATTGGCCGCACAATTGCTGGAATGTTGTGTCGAAGGGGCGTTGTCAAGAGAAGAAGACTCTTGATCGTGGGGTGAGGTCTCTAAGTTGTGCGCGAACTTTTCGCTTATTTAGGGTGGGTATTCAATGCATCTCGAGTTTTTATTCATGGTCGGCGACGATAACAGCCTGATATATGGGGCACAAACAAAATTGAAACACCCAAAGATAAATGTTGCCTTATATTTAGGGTTACAATAAAATTCGACTGATGTTAAACAACCTTATATTTAGGGCTCCAATAAAATCCTGAGCGTAGTGCACGGCCTTAAATGCAGGGCTCCAATGGTAATCCGGGTACTGTAAGACCGGCGAAAGGTTCAACCATCATACCGAGCCTCGGCATCAAATTGTTACCCATTTGGCGACCTTGCTGGCTAAGGTTTTTGAGAATCGCCACGATGCCCATTTCCAGAAAGATATCATAACCATGTCAGAGGAAGCACATCATTTAGTAGAACTTGCTCTAGGCACTGTCGAAGCACTCATGGCTCCGAAGAAGCAGCCAAAGGTTATCTTGTTCGACATCGGAGGCGTCTGTGTGAGTCCTCCTGCCATACTATACCCCGCATTCCAAGTCCCAGTTTCTCAGGCATATCCATCTCCAGATGCCCAGCTTGGGCATATAGTGCAGAGAAACAGAGTCCAGTGGCCGGCGTATCTCTCCAGCCCAAGGCGTATCCTAAGCATGTTCAATCGCCGAAGAAAACTAACATTCCCAGGTCGTTTCTCCGTTCCAAGAAATCTTAAATTATGAATTAAGGAACGACATCCCCCCAGGATGGGTAAACCACTCGCTCTCCAAGACCGCTCCTAATGGAGCATGGCACAAGCTGGAGCGAGGAGAAATCAAGTGCGACGAGGACTTCTTCGCGGGCTTCAGCCATGACTTACGTGATCCGCTCCGCTGGAAGGCCTTCTACACGGAGGCCATGCAGAAACAAGGCAAGACAGTCACCGCCATCCCGCCTTTGCCTCAGGTAGATGCAGAATGGCTCTTCTGGGAGATGATGGGTGCTTCCAGGGCGTCGGACCCATGGATGTGGCCAGCCCTGAAGAAGCTGAAGGCCAGCGGCAAATATATCATTGCCGCCCTGAGCAACACTATCATCTTTCCCGAGGGGCACGAGTACAACGATGCGAATGAGGTCCGCGGAATCTTTGATATTTTTATCTCGTCAGCACATGTCGGGCTTCGCAAACCGGATCCCGCAATCTATAACTTGGCGCTTAGTGCCGTCAACGAGTACGCCCAGAAGAATGCCTCGGCACAAGGCAAGGGACTTAACTTGGGGAGTGGGATCAAGGCAGAGGACGTTGTGTTTCTGGATGACATTGGAGAGAACCTCAAGGCGGCGAAGAAGGTTGGGTTTGGGACTATCAAGGTGCACCTGGGGCAGGCATATGATGCTGTTGCTGAGCTGGAGAAGTTGACTGGGCTTGACCTGGCAGGAGACCACCCGAAGGTATCGAGTGCGCCGAAGATGTCAAAGTCAAAGTTGTAGATAGAATACACACAATTTATGAACAATCCATAACTCTTACCTAGCTCTTGCCACGTTGTAAATATTGTGAACTGATCGTTCCTTCGCCAGTAGCCAAGCCTCCCCAGGTTGCACCTGCCTTGTTAAAATATTGTAAAACAATCGCTCCTCCCTCAGTAGCCACGCTCTCGCTATCAACAGCGCCTGCCATGCTGGAATATTTTAAGCCCTTAGTTCCTCAGCAGTCATGCTTCCCCCATCAGTTGCACTTGCCGGGTTGAAATATTGGAAACATATCGTTCCTTCCTCAGTAACTACGCCTTTGCCGTGGGTTGCACCTGCCATGGTAAAATAATTGTGAACCTCCATTACTTCTTTGGTAACCATGATTTCTCCGTCAGTTGCACCTGCCAAATAAATATAAATGACAAGGACGTAATTTTCTTTGATAGGATCCAAATTAACGCACATCATGGGCTCATAATCATCATATTCCACCTCGAGGTTCATAAGTTTTAATCTACTCTATGATACTTATGCTGCTACTCTCCATGCTGAGCAACAAGGGCCATTGCCTTATCAGATAGACCTGATAATTCTCCATTTGCAGTTCGGCCCCACAACGCACCCCCCTTTGTTTAGGCCACCACCCTGGTGGATAAAGAAACAGGGGCTGCTTCACCGAAGCAGATTCTCCATGGAAACCACATAGAATAGCAAGCAAACGAGCTGAGAAAGTAGCTATAGACGAATTCACTCTGTAAATTTCACTCTCTCTAGCCTGGAGGTGGGGGCTAGCTTGCTTTCCTTTATATTTGACTCCATCTCAACTCTTGCCATTGCTTCCGTATGCAACCCATTCCACTCATCACAGCATTGGATTATAAGTATTATACACATCACTATACTTTTATTTGTATTATATTCTTGTTCCTTAAGATGGGACAGGATCACACAAAACTTTTCATTGCGTGCATTAAGTGTGGAAATCCACCATCAAGTATCCTCGAGACCAGGGGAGGCTATTCTGACATCTTAATGGAGATGTTGCAAGAGGTGTCTTCTACCATCCCTGGGTGGAACAATAGTGATATATCTTATATCACCTTCGATGCCACAAAAGGGCAGCTACCTCGTCGCCAATCACTGGACGGCTATGATGCTGTCGTGATTACTGGTTCTGGTAAAAATGAGCCGTACTATGCCGCTGCAAGCCCGAAAGCTAACAAAAGATTCAATAGGAGCCGGAGCATATGACACTGATTCATGGGTGCTGAAACTTGTTTCGTTTGTGGCGGGTATGTATACACCGCTGTCGAATTCCTCAAAGAACTTTCTAACAATAATGTAGAAATATACAAAGATAGACCTGATATGAAGCTACTTGGCAGTTGTTTTGGCCATCAGGTCATTTGCAATGCCATTTTCAAGGTATGAATCCCCTCGGAAACCCTCGCTCCGGCTCTTCTACTATCGGCTTTCAACTAACACCCACAGGCATCTGAAGATGGTCCGGCACAAACCGACCTTCCTCCCGTCGTTTCCCGAAATCCTAAGGGATGGGAGCTTGGAATTCAGCTGGTCAAACTGTCACCCGAGTTCCTCGCAAGGTTCGGACCGGTGGGCTCAAATCCCGATTCCCCTTCGGAGATGCGGCTTCAGCTCGTCCACCAAGATAGAGTAAACGCTAAGTCCATAACAAAGGCCTTTGTGAGAGTGGGACAAACCGAACTCTGCGATGTCCAAGGCATATATAAACCGGGACGCGTATTTAGCCTTCAAGTGCATCCAGAGTTCAACCCAGAGATCGCGATAGAGTGCCGCAAACCCATCGTGGAGGAGACTGAGTTTGAGGGTATCATAAAGAATGGGTCTGGTGGTGATGATCACCTTTACGCTGCTTGCGCTATTCTGGAGTTCTTGCGTGAGGAAGTTGCTGAGGAGACGGTGGCTATGGAGGAAGTCACAGAGGAGGAGGTGTTTGGGAAGGGTGCTGTGTGAGGGGAGGTGACCTTATCTTGATGCATGAGAAGCTCACTGTTTGTGGGCACTCATCGGTTGGGGGGTTGTTAGATGGGGGAGCGGTGTTGGGGACGGGTATATGCGGAGGATTCGGCGAGGGAGGGGATTGGAAGGTATATGTGGAGGATTCAGTGATGGGGGAGATGAACCCGGTGCGTGTATCGGTGGTGATATCGGCGTGAGAGTGGAGAGTTTATTCGGCTTGGGGTGTTCAGCGTAGAGCGATGTAGCTCCGGCTTTGTATTGTTTATTCGGCTTGGAATATTTGGCGAAGTATAGCTCCGGTTTGTGGAGGTTATGCGAAAAGTTCAGGATACAAGCGGCAGCGGCACGGATGGCGTCTTTGGATTTGTACAAATATCAATATGAAAATGAAGCTTCTCATTCTTTCTAGACGCCGCAATTCCCATATGGATATCGATGAATAATAAACCAAGTGAGAAATCCGAATAATAAAGAGTCTTGGAATGAAAGAAAACACAATAAATAAATACAGCGGCAATATCTAAACTAACCCAAAGGCATCTTGGAAGATCATTAATTAAAGAGATAGACCTGTTCGTTCTCATACATGACCTGACTTGACGTCGATTTCCAACCAGTTCAATACGGAAGTCGCCCATGTGCTCTATATTCACGTGACACAATTCTAGAACTTGACAAAGTGGAGTCTCTTACCCATTTCCCCATCCCCCAGATCCATTGTTTCTTCGTCCCACTAATAAATGCAACCATGGTCGTTCCAGATAATTTCCAAATCTTCAAACCTACTGGCTCTACTCTTTTGAAACATACAGGCACGGCTACAATTGCATACGGAGTTCTGCAATACCAAATGAGAGCGCTACCATTACTCCGGTTAGTCCTGTCGAATCTTCCATCTTGGCAAGGCAATTTGGGGGGTTTTCAAGGAAGTAAGCTTTTCCGGCTAAGTAAGCGCACGATCGATGACGGAAGAGAACGCCACGAACACGATCCCTTGCCGGAAATAAACGCCACCAAATACATCCCGTAGTGCCGCCTTCCGACGGTCCGTTCAACAGCGTGTGAACAAGCGCGACACAATGGTAGCAACAGAACAGAGAGAGGGATATATCCATAGATTTTTGAGGATTCTGCGATGCTGCCCGATACATCTGTTATGGCCGAGGACTATATATCCACAGCGCAACCTTCTGCACCTTCTCTGGTACGTGGAATACAAAAAACCGGATACTCGACTATGCCCTACTCTACAAACAAGTTAGTGTTGTTACGTGCGGGGATGCTAATACTGGGACTATGGAGGGGTGCGCAACCTTACCAAACTGCTGCCGGCTTAGCCGACAGCAGACGCGGCGGGGGTTAGCTCCAGGAAAAGAAGTGATGGGCGACTAATCCCTAACATATACGAGAGAAGAGTGCGAGTCTTTACTCTTCTTGCCGAACGGATCAAGGGATAAACCATCCAATTACCTTGATCCCAATGGCAACGTCACCTTGTTTTGCTACTAGTCGAGTTATGCATCTGTGCTTATTGAACCCCACAGCTCTTTGGAGCCGATATGTTCAATGATCATGGCCACAAAACGAGCAGTGCTGTGAATGGACATGGCGCGGAGGATTATGCTGATCGATCCCAATAGCTGAAGGCTCGCATACATTTAAGTGGGTTCCAAACCATGGAGTCGCTGCCACCTTCAAACCTCCGCGGTGGGGAGAATGCAACCATGACCCTTTGACGGCTCCGTGGTAACGCCGTCCATGACGAGTGGCCAAAAAACGTGGATGGTGGGCTAATCCCCGCCAAGCGGGGTCTATCAATCCTACCCTCTCCCCAGTCCCCCTATTGTGTTGGAGTACGGGGGAATAGCGTCCGAGCAGATCATCAGGTGAACTTCCATACCAGGCGCGTAGTGGCCGACTTGTTCAGAACATCGGTCCTATTCGACTTCACACCTGACGCGATCCCCACATCTCCACAGTCTCCAGCTCTCGCATTTTTCTCATATAACCCCAGCTTCCCCTCATCCTCGCGTGCCTCTGATCTTTTTTCTCCCCCACGCTTCCGAGACTCTTGAGGGGTTCGATTCCGCTGTAAGAGAACACAAATACGCTGAACTGCGTTCGCCGTTTGGATTCTCCAAAATGTATACCGTGGGCAACATCTACGTGATCACGGCCGTCGCCGTTATTGGCGGTGGTCTGTTTGGTTTTGACATTGCTTCCATGTCTGCCATTATCTCTACCGAACCATACTTGTGTTATTTCAAGTAAGCAATAGCAACTCTAGTCTGCTTGTCGAGCCAAGAATCCTGACTCTGTATTTAGTCAAATTCAAGGAGACGATGTCAACAAGTGCTACGGTCCTAAGCCAGATGTGCAAGGTGGTATTACTGCTGCCATGCCTGGTGGCTCTTGGCTCGGTGCTCTGATCTCTGGTTACCTCTCTGATAAGCTTGGCCGCAAACGTTCGATTCAAGTCGGTGCAATTATCTGGTATGAGCCCGCTATAGCTCCTACCATCTTGGTATAATATCGCGCAGAGGAGGCTAATAATCCGCAGGTGTATTGGTTCTATTATTGTCTGTGCCTCGCAAAACATTGCTATGTTGGCTGTTGGCCGTATTATCAACGGTTTCTCTGGTGAGTAAATTGAACACAGCCATTGTTTCTCAGCAACTAACTCCTCAAAGTCGGTATCTGCTCCGCACAAGTGCCTGTATACCTCTCCGAAATTGCTCCACCTTCGAAGCGTGGCCGCATGGTGGGGTGTCAACAGTGGGCAATCACTTGGGGTATCATGATCATGTTCTATATATCCTACGGCACTGCTAGTATCAAGGGAACGGCAGCTTTCAGAATCCCGTGGGGTCTCCAGATGGTCCCTGCCATCCTTCTCTTCGTCTTCTTGCTGTTTCTGCCAGAGTCTCCTCGTTGGCTCGCACGTCAGGACCGCTGGGAAGAGGCGCGCAACGTCCTTGTTTTGGTCCACGCGAAGGGAGATGTGGACAGCCCATTCGTCGCCTTGGAACTTGCTGAGATCAAGGCCACCGTCGATTTTGAGCGCCAAAACGCTGACGTTACATATATGGAGCTTTTGAAGCCCGGCATGATCAACCGTACTCACGTCGGTATCTTCATGCAGATCTGGTCGCAGCTGACGGGTATGAACGTCATGATGTACTATATTTCCTATGTCTTCACAATGGCCAACGTCGGCTCTGCCGTACTGCTTTCCTCGAGCATCCAGTACATCATCAACGTCGTCATGACCATCCCCGCCCTGATCTGGGTCGACAGATGGGGTCGCCGCCCAACACTGCTTGTTGGCGCCGCACTGATGGCAACCTGGATGTTCGCCAACGCCGGTCTCGTGGCGACCTACTCCCGCGCTCCCCGTCCCGGAGAGTTTGATAACGCTGCTGAGAGCTTCAGCATTTCCGGCAAGCCCGCCACCGCTCTCATCGCCTGTACATATCTTTTCGTAGCCTCTTATGCGCCTACTTGGGGGCCCGTTTCCTGGATCTACCCACCCGAGCTGTACCCTCTCCGCGTTCGTGGAAAGGCTGTTGCGCTCGCGACCAGCTCTAACTGGGCTTTCAACTTTGCGCTCGCCTACTTTGTGCCCCCGGCATTCGCGAACATCACCTGGAAGGTGTACATACTGTTCGGTGTCTTCTGCACCGTCATGTTCATCCACGTCTTCTTCATGTTCCCCGAGACGGCCTCTAAGACTCTGGAGGAGATTGAGAACATCTTTGATGACTCTACCCCTGGCGCCCTGCGTCTTATTGGTACCCCGGCGTGGAAGACCCGTGTTAACAGGGATATCCACCATACTGAAAGTGGTAACGTTGACCCGGACAAGCTTGCTACTCTGAATGCGTACCACGCCGAGGACAAGACTGCTGGTCTGTCTGACGAGGCTCCAAAGGTCTAAACGGTCATGGCTGGCTTTAGTTAGCCTTGAATGGTGTAGTGGAGAAGGTGCTTAAAAGAGGAGTAACAGAGGGCTGTAGAGAAGGATGTTGAATACCCTAGAATGCCGTGAAATTGAGCGGTCGTAGCTCAAGAAGCCCATTTAATACGTAGGGATAGCTATGCGCCTTAATGCGCTTGCCTGTCATTTACAAAATGCAAATGCCATATCTTTTTTTGAGCTTTGAATCTGTCTTGTACGTGAGATATCACACAAACCTCCCATATCGAATTCTCATGCAGCCCGATTTTGATATTCGAGCAAACCCTCCACGTTCCCATCACAACACAGCACAGCAGATCTTCCATTTAGCCGTTAGCATAGAAATTAGTACCCTTCTAATTTTATCTAGAAAAACAGAGGTCTAGTAAAGCTATTTAGAAGGCTAACTTTAGAGTAAAGTATAAATGGTAAAAGGCAAAATTATTTTTAATAACTAACGTGTTAAGAGGCTAAAGACACTTAGTAAATAATGTAAGTAAATTATAATAGGACATAAGATAGCAATTACCTAGAACGATCTTATAAGTTGCATCTACCTATAGGTACTACCACCTATAGTTACTACTTAGAATATTAGTATACTATGAGACGGCAAGCGGGGTACGGTTTCTGAGCCCTAGCTCACATGGGTTTAGCACCTCTACTTCGTGTTTGGTAGCATCCCGTTCCGAAAGTTGGTGCACGTGTGGCTAAGGAATACAAGTCATGACGTAGCTCCGGCGACATAATTTGAAGACGACGCAGGTCGTCGACTCGGTTGTTCACAACATAAATTGCTTATCTTGCCCCTCAAAAAATCAAAGCTGAGGGACATTAGACGTAGACGTCGGTTCAATAGAGAGAGAATCCTAGACAAGCAATGCAATCGTCGCTGGGCTGTCCCAGATGGCGGTTGAATCCCCCCATTCTTCCTCGCCCAACGACATAAATCTTTCGGACCGCAACACCACGATATTAATCGTGACTATTGTCACGGTTTCCGTCGCGACGGTGTTAATAGCTGGACGACTGATAAGCCGTGCAGTTATCGTCAAGCATATAACATTCGACGATTATCTAATTGTTATCGGCTGGATACTATCGTTGGGGGCTAGTGTCGTGGTTGTATTTGCGACGGGAAAAGGGTTAGGAAAGCCAGATGCAAGAATCAAGGACGAGTGGGTGCTGCCATTAAAGAAATGCATATATGCATTTAGTGTGCTTTATGTGCGTATATCCACAAAAGGTCTTAGGTTAGGAGGAAAATGAAAGGATGGACTAGGCAATATAAAGCGAGCTACAGCTAATACTTACTAGAATCCAGCTCTTGTAGCGACGAAGTCAAGCCTCTTAGTCTTTTACTTGCGACTATCGAGGGTTACGAATAAACTTTTTCGAATTATTTCATATGCAGCGCTTGTGCTAGTCAACGCGGGGGGTTTGGTCTTGACACTCCTCTATATATTCCAGTGTCGACCGGTCAGTAAGACCTTCAACGTGCATAATGATCTAGCAAAATGCATTCCGATCATCACGCTATATCTTACCTCCACACCGATTACAATCGTTACCGATGTTATTATCCTGGTACTTCCGATACCTATGCTTACTGGAATACATATGCCTCGGAGGCAAAAGAATATATTGGTGTTTACATTCGCCTTGGGAATATTTGTAATGATTGTGGATGTGATTCGGGTTTATTTTTTGCAACAGGCCATGATAGACGTCTCGTCTTTGACCGCGTCACCAACTTCAACGATTGGGCTAGGAGATGAGAAAGATTACGCGTTTATCGTGTCATATTCTTTAATGTGGACAGCGGTCGAAGTCAATATTGGTATTGTGTGTGCGTGCATCCCAACATTGAAGCCGATAGTAAAGAGGATTCTTCCGATTTTGCTTGAGCCGACTCGCCACCATTCTTCTCACGAGACACCCACTGCATCTGTTGCAAAAGTTGATAATACGGACGGTAGCAATCCATCTCCGGAATCGACATTGCAAGGAAAAATACCACCTGCGAATATCGTGGCAACAGCTCCGATCGCGGCTAAAGCAAGGCGACAGGTTGAAGCCGACGATATAGAGTTTATCACTATACCAACCACGGCAACTAATATGCGGGCCAGACAAGAATCGAGTGCTTCTAGTTCCGGTAGCGTCTACTTCGGTTTTGTTAATATCCGGCGCCCGAAATGTTTGGCAGATCTTTCCTCGGAGGACTCGTGGAGGTACTGCACTGCTGTTACGATCCTCTTCTTCTTATGGGGTTTCTCATACGGCCTTCTCAACCACTTGAACTCACAGATAGTGGCAATTTCGCATTCTGCTGTATCGCAAGGCATAGGCTTACTATCAGCATATTGGGGCGGGTATATATTCGGACCCTTATCATTAGGATGGTATGCGTTAACAAGGGGGGGGTTTAAGGTGACATTCATTGCGGGGCTCTGTGTGTATGGCGTTGGAACTCTCATGTTCTGGCCCTCTGCGGTTCTCGTTTCCTTCCCTGGTTTCGTCATATCTACTTTCGTCGTAGGCTTCGGTCTCTCCGTTCTCGAGACGGCCGCGAATCCCTTCCTTGCTCTTGCCGGTCCGCCATTATATGGTGAGATGCGACTACTGCTTGCACAGGGGGTTCAGGCTATCGGAAGCGTGGTTAGCGAGCTTCTTTCTAAAGTACTTTTTGCGAGTGTAAAAGAACATTCAACATTAATTGGCGTACAGTGGACATACCTTGCTATCTCATACCTCGCGGTCATTCTCGGTCTCTTCTTTTACTACATGCCGCTTCCGGAAGCGACTGACCAAGAGTTGCAGAGGGCAACACGATCTCGATCTCTGCCTATGAACAGAGTTATCATAGAGCCAAGGACATTGACGCATATTGGCGCCTTTAGAGTCGTGTCTATAACGCTTGCCATCGGTGTCTTTGCACAGTTCCTGTATGTTGCCGCACAGGAAACTGTCAACCTCTGGTTCTCTGACCTCTTCGCCGACCATGATCTGGGTTTCAGCCCTTCTTTGACACTACCAAACATATCCTTGGTTGGCCACAGCGTCTTTGCGGTGTCACGCTTTTTGTGCGGCGCGTTGTGCCTCGTTATTCGCCCACGCAAACTTCTCTGCGCCTCTCTCCTAGGCGGCATGGCCATATCTATAACTATTGCGGCGCTTCCCTCACACACCGCTACAACCCACCCTAATACGGTGTTGGGTCTGACGGTTGGGTTATATTTCTTTGAAGGCCCCGTATTCCCCCTCATCTTTGCGATCGCCTTGCGTGGTCTAGGCCGCGCGACAAAGAGGGGTGCGGTGATGCTAGCAGCTGGGACTGGGGGTGGCGCCATGGGACCATGGGTTTTGTTCGCATCGCAGAGCAAGATGGGGGTGCGCAGGAGTTTCTGGATCGTCGCTGTTGCTCTAGGGATGGCATGCCTATTCCCTGTGTATTTGAAAGTTGTCAGAAGGGCGAGGGAGGTAGTTGATTGGAATGGGGTCGAGGGTAAGGAGCGGAAGTGGGTAAGGAAGTGGGTAAGGAAGTGGATAGGAAAGTGGACGAGGAAGTGAAGCTAGAGTGTAGACAACTAAATGATATATTAGGAATAAAACTACTAGTAATAGTGCTATAGGGCTTGATGCTGAAATTCAAAGCTTTAGTAGCTCGCAGGACATAGTTCCATTTAGCTGGCTCTACTCTAGGTTAGGGCATATCTAGTAGGACAACCTAATGATAGTGAGGGAACCAAAATCGTAAGGGTAGCGTTATTTACCTACATAGCTAGATAGCACTAATTCAACTATTATCTAGGTGCTTGCTTAAGATTAGTAGATTAGTAGTTAGGTAGGTAGCTACTAGCAAACATCTACTATTATATGTTTTTACCTTTTAATACTTAATATTCATTTATATGCTAAGGAAGTAGTACTACTTACTTTGCTCTTTAATATTAGTTTTCACATACAACCACAGACTTAAGAGAACTAGGCATCCCGTCCGCTCTACTATACATAAGCTTGTGATCTACCTGCCTATTACTCTCAATCGTGCTAATAGGCATAGCGTGGAATCTAAGCCCCTTGCCGCCTTAAGGGGTGAACCGAGGGTGAACCGAGGGTGAGTAGGGTGAGCAGGGTGAGCCGAGGGGTGAGCAGGGTGAGTGAGGTTAGGCGACGTAACGTTTTCACAATATACTCGGTCTGCGCTTGTGGCTGTTAGACGCATCGGCGACGGGTGGGTAGGTGCGGGGTAGTTGGGCCACGCCGCGCGTGACGCCTCCGCGCAGAGGGCGAACTTAAAGATTTGGAAGACGGCATCTTGTTCAAAATGTTCGGTTTCAAATTTCTTTCAATTTATTATGATTGTATTTGAAGTGGTTGGTGAAGTTATCTACTACAATTCAAAAAGTCGCGAGGACTAATTCCCTGCTCAGACCATAGATTGGCGAGTTTTCTTAGATTGGTAACGACAGATATTTGCTAAAATCAAAAATCAAAACAAAAATGCGAACTCCTCCCACTGAGTCTCTGAATGCACCAACCTCCTTTCCCACCCCAGTAGCATACCATCCTACGCCCCAACAAAAGAGAATCCCGACCTGAGTGAGGTAGCAAGTTAATGAGCCCCAATCTCAACTATATGTGGTGTGATTCGTGCCTAGATAGAGCATCCCACATCATAGACAACAAAACTCTGCCCGCTCGTTGATGTAGGCACGGAGGCGGCCGCGACGGAGAACAGACGGCAGGTGGGGCTGCCGTTCGGTGATGGAGTGCCGAATTCAAACCTAATCATAATATACTCGTCACTGATATTCTAGTGTTTTGTAGAGATAGGGAGAGAGGGGGAGAGAGCTTACGATTTGCAAGAGGGGTTGGCTTGGCATTGGGTCTTGCATGTAGCGGCGCTGGAGATATTTGCTGGCGTGGAAATGGGTGTGGTGTTTCCGGTAGGGCCAGTTGGTG